GCGTTTCGCCCAGGTCATTATGATCTCCGTGTTTGGTCAGTGGTCTGGAAACGGTCTCGGTTACTTCAACTCGACCGTCTTCAACATTCTCGGATACACTTCCAGCTCTACTCAGCTGCTCCTGAACATCGTTAACTCGATTGTGTCCGCCATTGGCGCTGGTATTGCCGTCTGCTTGACCGATAAGATGCCCCGTCGTCCAGTTCTGATCTTCGGAACCCTGGGTGAGTTCATTTACCCAGCACCTACACCTCATTTGATCATTCAACTAATGGAACTCTGAATAAAGCCTGCGCCATTACTATGGCCATCAACGCCGCTATCTCTGAGCCCATCGCTCAGACCGGAACCATCAGCAAAACGAAGGGTCAGGCTGCCCTGGCTTTCTACTATCTCTTCAATGTCGTGTTCTCTTTCACCTACACTCCCCTGCAGGGTGTCGTCCCTGCTGAAGCTCTGGAGACTACCACTCGTGCCAAGGGTCTGGCCCTTTCTGGCTTCATGGTCAGCTCCATCAGTTTCATCAGTCAGTTCGCCTCTCCCATTGGTCTCGGCAACATTTCCACCAACTACTTCTGGATCTTCGTCGGCTGGGATCTCCTTGAGGTTGTGTTCTGGTATCTGTTCTGGTATGTTTATCACCCTATATCTACCATATTCCCGTTCATCAAACTAACTCCAACCCTTAGTGTCGAGTCCCAGGGCCGTACCCTCGAGGAACTGGAGTGGGTGTACCAGCAGCCCAACCCCGTCAAGGCTTCCCTCAACCTGGACAAGGTCGTTGTGCAGGAAGATGGTACTGTCACTGAGAAGATTGAAGCCGATGCTTAGTCTCAAAATTGCTCAATCACGTTGAATGGATGACACCTGAGAATGAGGCCCCAGTTGCTAGGGGGCTGTTGTGGCGGGGAAAGATCTGAGGTGGATTGACTGTCAGGGGTACTTTGACATATTTGTTCTAATACTTAACTTCCTACAACAATTCAAATTATATCAAGGGGGATTATATCTGCGTGCTAGTTGCATTTAATTAGTCGATTTTAGGTGGCATTCTATTTTTTGATTAGACGCAAGTCTGCAAATACCGGAACTATCAGATACGAGAATGGGAGCCATCGATACTAGAATATGGCCTAACCTAAATTGCAATAGAACCAGGACCTGAAAATTCGGGGGCAGTAATAAGACCACAGACAGCCGCCTTTGACGCGGTAGAGCAGCTGATGCTGAAGCAACCTGCTGGTATGCGTCGCTCCAGCCGAAATGAAGATGATTGAGCTAATTTAAGGCGCATCCTTTGCCTTTCTCGAGATGCTCGAACCTACCATGTTCCTTTCATTGGTTCGCTTCTTGAGACGACGTTGATCAATAAGCTTCTTGGAAATTTCTCTCACCTCCTGCCCATTGCCAAAGCACCAGCAAATCACCACTCATACAAGAAAAAGCGAGACGATTTGTAAAACGTTGTGTACTACGGATGAGGAAGAGAATGGCAAATTCGGACTCCTAAGATGATCTGTTTAAGCGTCTGCCTCGGGACAACAAATTCCAGGAATTGAGTTTTCTTCGAACAGAATTTATGTCTGAATGCGCCTCACTGATGAACGGTGGAACCGAAACAACGACAGCGGGAATAATCAACACCATTTTCCTGCTGTATATCCTAGCCAAGAGCGAACCAAAGGACACTCAAAGATATTGACACCCCTGGAGATAAAATTTCTCGCGTATAATGTTGTGTCGAGGTTGCCATACCTTTGGGCTTGCATTGAAGAGTCACTGCGTGTTCGTTCGGCTGGTGATTGCCTAATCCCGGTGACCTTGCTATGGAAACGACTCATTGAATTTTCTGATTATAGGTGGTGCATGATTTCACTAGGACGGACTAAGAGAATGTCCGCGGCGCACCTTCGCGCGGACAAGTGTCCTTAATGAGGTATATATGTCTCCGCGGTTATAGAGCTGTACAACACCGTATTATTTATGTTTTAAGGGCTATATTCTACGTGATGCTAGGTATTTTGTAGGCTGGAAAGGAGAGTAACAGATCAATAGATATTGAATGTCTAGCATTTTTCTATCTCTTTTTCTTTTTCTTTTTCTTTTTCTTTTTCTTTTTCTTTTTCTTTTTCTTTTTCTTTTTCTTTTTCTTTTTCTTTTAATACCATGTGAACTTCTTTTAAGGACGCGATCGAAGCAAGAACGCGGTCATATGTAAGTCTTTTGATAGCAAGGTCAAGGAAAGGTTTCAACTTAAGCATAGGAAAGGTTCAACTTTAATCCTGATAACCTCCCTATGAAAATGGCCCATCTAATTTTCTGATCACGGTGCATGATTTTTGACTGGTAAAGGTTTAGAGAATGTCTGCGGTTTACTCAGTGCGGATAAGTAAGTGTCCTTGATGAGGGTTGTATGTCTCCGCAGTCGTGGAGCGGTCCCTTTGTCCGATTATTCATGCCTTAAGCGCTATATCACGTGTGATCCTATGCATTTTGCAGGTTAGAAAATAGAGCACCAAGATAATAGATAATGAATTTCTGGTTTTTTCCCGATATTTTTTTCCCTTCGCTGAAATTGGTGTGAAGTGCCTTTGACAACGCGATCGAAAGCAAAAACGCGGTTATGTGATGCCGCTGGCAACGGACACGCATTGTATGGGAGGTAACCACGATAACTATGAATGGCTATAAGTTGATTGGTTAAAGACATATCTAAATTGTCTAGCGAATCAAACTATAGAAGAATAGATCTCTTATCAAAATTGGGCACAGCTATAAGTTGTTGGGAGGGTTTGTTAAATCGCGGACATCAGTAAGCAGTCCAGAACCATCATCAGTATAGTTTCTTCCAGTCCTTTGTTTCTAGTACCTAACATGAATTGCATTGATAGTATTATCAGTCAATGAACACCACGATGACTTGTTCTAAGTTCTCTTAGTATGGACGAGTGATTAGGTCATAGCAAGAAATTACAAGGCTGTCAGAGCAAACAGGCACCGTAGTAAGGTTGCGACTCGACATCATTCTGGCGGTGTACTACTACCCCGCCAAGTTCGCGATACAAAACCGCCAGGTCGCTCAGATCCTGCGGGGCCCGCAAATCTTTCGCCTCTCAGCCGATCCTCGAGAACCAAACGAACCTTTCCACCGAGTGTGAGGTCTGGCACTGGAACCTGCTACTGCAGAATATGTGGTAGTCTCGACAAAAGTCTAATAGGATAGGCGAATTGACATCTCGGCCGCAGTCAAGATTGACCAGCAGGGTGCAGGGGGTACTCACGATCCTCGTACACACTACTCCCGCCCCAAGTACTAAAGCGACCAGCCACTGCCACGCTGGCAGTCCGTGCTTTTTAACCCCCGAATGTCTCGTCCTTAGGCTCTCCTCAGTCAACCTGGTCCTCGGAAAACCTTTCTGTATTTAACCAGTGAGCTGGCACAATGCCAATTGGACACTCGAATGAGGCGAGACAAGGATTCCGGTCATGAGCCGCTGCCACGTAGCGCGCTATGGAAATCTTGGGACTGACCTCGTTTATTTCAGTACCATAAGGCGATTTACTCGTTGAATAATTCATGCATGTCTACTGCAAGACAACGCAGCAATCGCTTGATTGCGCCTGGACACAAGTCACTGAGGCTGGGGCGAGAAAGAGGCTGGAAAACGCACGGGTTGGAATTGCCAGCCTTTGGGTGAAGATGAACTTGAACTTGAATATAACACCAAACTCAGTCATTCAAAATCAAGTATCATTTAGCAAACAATGAGCTATTATGGAATTGAAGTTGGTAAAAAAAGCAAAGTACAGCGCATCGTTGCGGCGGTGTGTTCGGGTTACTCGTGAAATTCGTTGCTAGTGGGACTACGTCGAGGAACGGGCGCGACTAGTAACGAGAATTACACTACTGTATTCACCACGTATCTATACACAGTAAAAGTCTTCTCCATGAGTGATTTGTCTAGTCTATACTGGGTTATGATATTACCACATTACGCAGTTACCAATATAACTCCTCTAGCTGCCCGAATCCAGCCCGCGCCCCGGTATCTCGCTCCCATGCGTCATATCAGGGGGAAATCCGTGCAGAGGCTTCGTCCTTGCGTGCGATTAATATTCCTTTAAAGAAAAAAGCTGAGGCTTTTTCTTGGAATCGATCCCCCAGCCATTGTCTCGCAACTCCCTCTACGTCGCAGTGTCAGTCGAACTCCACCATACTTCCGAAGCTCTTCATTTTGTGTCCGCGATTCTTCCCCGCGCAATCCGATTGTGCGTTGGCAACGAGCATCACCGGCCTCGCGCCTCCCTACCGAGTGTACCACACGATGCGTCGAGCCTGCCTCCTAATAATCCACGAATGCCCCCTTTTCCCTGCCTCCGACCGTGCCTTGCGTTGCTAGCTGTCGCGCGACAGCTGCGATACATCCGATCTGAGTGGTTGAACCGAGGATAGTACCTATCGATCCGCGGAATACTCGACGCGGTCTGCATTTGGTTATATTTCGCGGCGCATTTGAGGTGTTCTCGTGGTGCGTGAAGAGTTTGCTACGGCGAAAAGGGAAATATACCCATTGCGACTGGGGTGACAACCTGAAAGAAAGCAGTTCTGTTTTCGAGTCTTTGTCTTGGACCTTAACTGCAGGACAAAAATACATTAGCTTGGGAAACTGTGCGTGAATTTTGTGCGCTCAAGCCTAGCACTTTGAGATCGGTCAGATCAATTCCATTGAGATCTACCGAAGCGCCGAGATCGCTCGAGGTCGATTGGTTCGCGGGAGGTAGGCGCCTCGGAGTATGCTGCAGCCGCTTCGTTTGAGGGTCGTTTGAAGTTCTTTGGGTTGGTATCGTTTGTGCGCGCTAGCAAGGTGAGTCCCTTTATTGCTTTTCTTTCTTTGTTTACTCGCTTCGCACTCCTAAGACTTGCTTTCTTTTTATTATGAAACCTGCGAATCCTAAATGCAACATTCTCCCCTCCTGCTAAATTGATTTTCTGTTTAACGATGCACGCGAAAAACATGCATGACCTAAAACAACTCACCGTGGCATTCGACCACATGGCTGACTCGACCGAGCTGGATGATCCAGACTGTCTCCCTATAGATTTATGGATGGCCTCCTCCGAGGTGGATCAGAAGGCCTTGGGCAATTTCGCGGCCGGAACGGCCCTCGAAAACCCTTGCTTGTCGGCAATGCTGTATAGAGTGTTGGGTGTCTCGGTGATGCTTTCGAAGAAACTCATTCGTGCCCGCAGGCTGCGTCGATTGGATGTCACGCGTGAGACCAAGTCGCTCCAGCTCTACCACCACATCATATGGCTGTCGCGCGAAGGCCTCGTCATACTGGAACATTATGTTTTACCCATGGTAACCGCATTTGTCGAATTGAAGGTGCTATCGTACAAGCTCCGCGCCTCATTCTACCACATCTTTGTGCTCTTTTACAATCGGCCCGTTATCATTCCACCCGACGCCGAGCCGCCAGCCGATATGAAACGCGACTCGATCTACAACCCGGACTCGTTGACAGCGCTGGATGGATCAGATGCCAAGCAAAGCAAGAAGACATCGCGACCTCCGGGCCTAGCACCTGTTCAACCGCCACAACCAGCTATTTCATTCCTCCTTCCTCCATTGGACTACACGACAACTGCAACTGCATGTTTCAATCACGCCGCCATGCTAGCAGACAAACTGCTTCCAGGCTCGCACCCCCTCCGTCTATCCGTCAAAATGGAATATGCGGCATACCTATATGACTGCCTACAAGACCCAATCTCGTCCCGCCGACTAGCAAAACGCGCCATCGCCGATGTATACAATGCCCAGGAAGGCATGGACGACGAAAGCTTCGAAGATGCCGCCGAGATTGTCGGTGTACTGGGCAAGATGGTCAAGCGTGGTTGGAAGGCTGGCAGCAGTACAGCCGGCAGCACTGTTTCTCGAGGCGAGCAGTCTCAAAGCCGGAGCAGTCGCAGCCCCTCACATCTTGATATCAGTGTGCCTACGACTGTCTCCCCTATTCCTGTCACCAAACCTACACCTGTCCCTTCCAGCAGTGCCGTCACAGAACCTGCGGTGCCGAGCGCGAATATGATGAATCCGATTTAATGTCGCATGAGGAGTTACGATATAGAAAAACCTGATGGGAGCGTTTTGTGTTCTTTCTTTGTCAATTTCTACCATTTTGTACCTGGGCTGGTATTTGTTTGTTTCATTTTCCTTCGTCAATGTACATAAGTGTCCTTATCATAGGCACCCACGTGTAAATAATTTGCTCACTAACTTTGCATTTTTACTGTTCGCATCCGCTTGAGAATTCAGTACGCCTTAGGCAGTACATATCCTCCAATACTAATAAAGAACTGCATGGCGCGTCCCATGAATTCTGCAAAATCTGCTCCGATCCAGGTGGGCAGCAGGCTCATCCTGGATGACTCGAGCTCCCGAAAGTATTTTCCAGCGACCTGAGTATCCTATAAATCAGCTTCGCCTATCGCTTGTAAGAATCTCATTCTCTTACCAAAACACAATCCCCTTGCCGTGCCTCGTCCAAAGCAACCAGCGCGATCGCCTCAGCAACACGCTCTGGCGTGTTCTCTTCGAGACCCTGCTCTTTCCATCTCTGGGAAAATCCAGCCGTGATATGCGTCGGGGTAAGGAAGGGTGCAATCCCGTTAACTCGGACACCTAGGTCGCGAGCTGTCGATTGAGATGCACGAAGAAGACCCAGTACGCCGTGCTTCGAGGCAACATAAGCAGTGACACCCGTACCGCCGAAGTAACTAGATGTTGAGCCAACCAAGGTTATTGATTTACAAGGTCTCGATGTCGTGCTGCGTGGCTGTTTCATGTAGAATAGTCCTAGTCGGAGGGCTGCTTCCAAATCGGCCATCAATTCAATAGTTTAGAAGGGGCCAAGATCATGAAAATGAGACATACTATTCAGCGTCCCCTTCAGGTTGACGTCAATAACTCTACCAGCCTCGGTATTCTCCCGTAATTCCCCATTCACATCAACCAAATCCACATCCAGAACGGGACTCGACTCCATAATCCCCGCATTCGCAACAACAATATCAATCCCACCAAACCTCTCAATCGCAACCTTGAAACACGAGGTCAACTGCGCCCAGTCAACAATATTTCCAGAAACAAAGATTGCACGCTGTGGATTTGTAAATGTTGACGATATCAAATTTTCTGCCGCGTCTTGGAACTGGGCTAGATCTGTGATTACTACGTTGGCTCCATGGTGATTGAATAGCGCTGCTGTTGCGGCGCCGATGCCGCGGGCTGAACCGGTTATTAAGACGGTTTTGTTTGCAGAGTGGGATAGGATGCTGGAGTCGATTTTGATTTGGGACATTTTGAATAGAACACTCGCGTTGTTGTTTGATTACATCGTCTTGCTTGATTATTCTCGCTGGAAGACTTTACATGGCCTGGCCGAGACCTCCGAAAATGCGGAGAAGACTGCGGGGTTCTTGCCGATTGCGACATCCATTCATTTGGGGCCCAACATATCTCTCTTCGCAAAAGGAAGCTATGAGGGACGCGTTTCACGGCTTGGAGTTGATAATTGTGATACGCAAGTGCCATTACAGTCCAACCAAAGGACGATTACCAAAAACGTTCAGTATGTACATGCTTCCAAAACAAGACTCATAAATCAGTCCTTCTTCTCACGATCAGCCGCCTGAATTTCGTTGACGCTGACTCTCGATGGCGCACGCGAGGTATATCTCGAATCCGCAATTCTCGCATCCAGCGTACTCACGGCATGGAACGAAAAGTCCAATTCTCCAACCAAGCCTTTGACATGTTTCATGAGTCTCTCCACGTCTCCCACAATGCAGCGAGTAGAGATTTGTAAGACTGCGAATGCTGCAAAGCCCGGTTCAGCAATGTGCTTGATACTCAGAATATCGCTGTCAAGGGCCTCAAGGCGCTTGGAGAAGCTGTACGGTCGGGGAGCCTTGAGATAGGGAGGTAGAGGTTGTCGGTTTGTGATACTAGCGGAGAGGAGACAAAGCAGGGATGTGACCTCGTGAGTTGTGACATTGGCAGTGCCGACCAATCGCCGGAAGTCGTGCATCCAGGCCGAGCCTGTCTCGTCGTCTTCGTCATCTCCGAGGCGCATCAAAGTGTCGGATGCGTACCCGAGTAAACTGAGGTAACTTACGATACTACAGGTGAGCTGTTAGCAATTGATCACTAGAGGGAAAGATGAGTGGGTGAGCAACGCACTTTTCAACACAGACAATGATCGAGTCGTATTGCTTCTTTGGAAACCGACCACCGATCGGAACTCCCCACCTAAGGAATTCCGAGTAGGTTCGCAGTCCATTCAGCATTAACATCTGTTTTGAAAACACCTTGTGTCGTGCCTTCTCCAGCTTCCGACCCGCAGAACTCTTCAGAGTCATATCCCCCTCGTCTCCACGCATGCGAGCAGAAATCGTCTCATGGATAATGGAGTAGTAGTTGGCTAGAAGGTACAACGATGCACCTAGGCTTTGACGGAGGACCGAATGTTCCGAGATGGGGTATGGGAAGAACGTCCAGAGGAATGCGACCGCAATACCTCCACTGACAGTAGCCAGACGATACGGCGCAAGTAGATAAATTGGATAGTAAGGCTGTCCGTTAGAGGTGGCAACCTGCTCACCCACTTTGCGGACCTGGAGTTCGTATCCAATGATCATAGTCGTAGTAACGATACTGATGATTCCAATGACGCGGAAACGGAAAATCTTGATGGGGACGTAGAACGCACAAGATACGAAGAGGAAGAGGAACACGATGACGCCGGGGGTCTTCTGACCCGGTATATACCAGACCAAAAGACTCGCGACCATGGCAATAGTTGTACCCGCGATGCGAAGCACAAAGCTGAAGATACTTTGCCCAGAAGTGGGAGACATGCTGAGATTCACCATGATCATGGCCCACACAAGGCGTTGCTTGGTGAAGAAGGATTGGGTATCATGTAGCAAAGCTACGATTGCGATCGTCATGGTTGCACATGCGACTCGGAATCCATAGTTAGATTCAAACGAGCGCAAAAACCAGGGAATCACCCGGACCTTGTCACCGAATTTTTCGAACGCGGTGCTAGGCGGAAGGTGCTCAGGGTCTTTGCGGTGCTTATAGGCCTCGCCAAGCTCGAGACTGCTGTTTTGCGCATGTACATCGCCCATGTTGTCATCTTCGTGATTGTCCTCGGCCTTAAGCCAGCTTTTCACCCATTTGATCATGCGCTTAGAACCGGGAATAATGAGTCGAGTCCGCGACAATTTACCCTTGGCGGCGACATCGTCAGCGTATTGAACAAATTCAAGGACCGTTTTTCCGGTCGAGTAAAGCAATTGTTCCATCTAGAGGTCCATAGTCAGTACAAGACCAAAAAAGTTGTCCCCTGGATTGGAGTGGAACAGGACGTACGTAAAGGAACAGGTAAAGCTGTCGTCGACTTCGGTCCTGGAACGAAGAAGATGCAGAAAAGAAATCGCCCTTCAAGCTTCCCATAGAAGAAGGGTGATCAAAAAAGTCCGGTGGTAATTTGACTCCCTTCTCCTCGGCCCAAGTCTGAAGAGCGATTCGCTTCGCGCTTCGGAACTCGCCCAGCTTCTTCTCGAAATGGGCTGTAAAGGCCTTCTCTCCAGGCGCGGTGTTCCCTGCTGAGGCTTCTACATCTTTCGCCTCTTCCTCGGCTTCATTATTTGTAGGTGCTGCAGATGCCGACTTCTTGGGTGGCTTCGTCAGTCGGAAGACATATGAGGTATGCAATAGTCCCTCGTCAATAGTCTGAATCATCTCGGCGAAAGGATCATGCACTGCACGCATAATATCATTCCAGTCGCGCACAGCGCGAGAGCGAATCTCTTCAGGAACCGTTTCGGCATTTGGGTCGAGGGGGGCATTCCATCTGTTGTAATCAGACAATCTCTGGAAGATATCAACCACGAAGCTCAACCCGACCACGGGGATCATGATCTGTCGGAGATGGCGGAAGATCAGTTGCAGGTCATCCGGGCCCAGTTTACCGAGTGCGAATTCTCTTTTCGCAAAAGACAAGTCTCCATGCAGTTTTGCGTGTAGATCTGTGATTTGACGGATAGCAGCCCGAATATCCTCAGCCTCGGGACTGTAGACTTTGCCCTTCTTGCCAAATTTCTCGCGCGAGTCGTCATATGTTTCAGCCCGGCCAAACATGTCGTCACTTTCTAGTGATTCAAAGTAGGCTGCGTGGGCCCCTAATGCAGAACGAAGCCCCCCAATATAGCCAGCCATCTGTTTGCGAACCGCCTTGCGTGACGTCATTGGCAGGATAAACAGCGAAACAGCAGTGGCAATGGCCAGCCCGCTGAGGAAAGTCCTAAGCAGCTGTTCCACCAGTTGAATTGCAGCTGCCATGTTGACCATCTGTGGTGCATAGACAGACGAGACGTTGGCAAAAATGGCGTAAATGATCACAGGGAATTGGAACTGGGGGTATTTGGCACGGAACGTGTGTACGAGCCAAATTTGGAAGAACAGCCATACACCACTAACAGCAGATGCTGATGAGTTGTAGGATTGGCTGGTCACCTTGGTGCTGGTATGTTGGCGTGCTTTGACACTGGAGTACATTGTCAACAGTGCAAAGCAGGCCGCAATACAGACGGCCAGCACGTCAAAGATCATCATCTGGATGAACTTGGCTCTTGGCATGATGGCAAAGCCGAGAATTGACACAATGGCCATAAGATAACCAAGAGTGGTGTACTCATCCGCAACATCTGAGGCTTGGTAGCTGCAAGGCTGATCAGCGATACTCGGTCGAAAGACCGGGTATAGAGGGGATTGACTTACATTGACACCGCAATCGCTGGCGCGAGTCCACCTCTTTGATGATGTTAGAACGATCTGATAGCACTTTTGTTTCCTCCGCTCACCAGCCATGCAAACTTACTTCATCATCAGCAAGATAGTTGGTTGGTCCAAGCCCGTCCTCTCCCATGTTTTTTTGATCCAACCCCACAGGGTCTTCTTTTCGTTGGCCGTCGTAGCCCTGGATGCGTAGGTGCCGCGTCGCGACAGCGAGGGACCCTCTGAGGAACTCCCCGAGGAGTCTGACTCGCGCGTACTTGTGCGAGTAGCCATGTTCGGCGACTAGCGCCCGGCGACAAGCCCGCGCGCGTCCAAGTTCCGCCACACACAAAGTCGTGGGCTCGTTGATGTTACCAAGAGGCGCAAACGGCCCGGTGCATGACCACGTGATCTGACGTGATATCGAGTGTTGCGAGATGAATCTCAACGCAAGCAAACCGCCGAATGCCGTGGCTGCAGAGAGTTGCTTGATTGCGAGAAAGAAGCGGAACCGGAACAATCGAGGGGCAAGAGTTGATTGCCGATTTCGCTCCACGTTCCGAGTGGAGCCCCCGCCTTTTGTGTTGAGGCGCAATTCAGAATCCATTGCGGGGAGCACATTACGTACATCTGTGGCTCGATGGTAATAGTCAGTCGCGCTAGTCTGATGAGGTTATTTGATCGATGATATAGCTGTAGCAGAACACTGACGACCTGCATACAACTGGATCGTCGCTGGGCTGGAATCATTTTTTTCGACGAATGGGAGGACCAAATGTATATAGCCGAAACTCTGTGGAGACGGGCAGCAATTGTGCATCAAGTGGTATCGCTTGCGGGATTGAGAGGATAGCTGCTTAATCCGAGATTTCCAAGAATTATCATATCGCAGAAGGGACTAGGGTATGTAACTAGACTGTCCGATTGCCAGCCTGCGAAACGCGACCGTTATGGCAGGAGTCCGGCGCTAAAAAGGAACCAGTAGCCCCTGAAAAAGTGAAGCGCCGACAACTCAAAAAGAAGCTTCTTCCCTGAGCCCTCAGGGTCTTCATTTTCCCCACTCCAAATACACCCCACGGTGGTCGATGATGCGAATACGAGATCATTATTCGAGACTACAGACATGACTTCCGACAACAATGCCTCTGTCTCACAGCCTGCGCAAACCACATGGGACTCAATGCCAAAGCGCAAACCTGTCCCTGGTGCCACCAATGCAGCGATCGACTCTGAGGAATCAGCCTCTGGCCAAACCAGCGTGACGAGTGACAAGATCGCGTCGCCTGAGAAGAGGAATACTTGGCTTCCTGCTGGTGGTCTTACCCTTTGGTTCGCATCGCAGAAGCGATCGCGCAAAATCCTCATCGTCGGCATCGGAGCGGGGATCATACTGCTCGCACTGATCATTGGTCTTGCCGTGGGCTTGACCGTGGGTAAAAAGTGAGTCAGCCCTCTAGACTAAACAAAGCTGTCTTATTTCTTGTACCAGAGAGGTTACTGACTTTACCAGACATTCGAATCTTCCACTTCCAACTGCCAACGGCGGTCCCTATGAGGGTGACCTAACCTACTACAACCCAGCCCTCGGGTCCTGTGGCTACACCAATACAGACTCCGACATGATTTGTGCAGTATCGCATATCCTGTACGATGCAGCCTCCACAGGCTCAAACCCCAATGCAAACCCGTTATGTGGCCTGAAAATAAGACTCCGCCGCAATGGAGAAAGTGTGGACGTGAAGATTGTCGATCGCTGTGTTGGCTGTGCAGCGACTGATCTAGATGTCACGGAAGCAGTCTTCAAAAAAGTAGCCGACATAGACCAGGGTCGGGTCTCTGTCGAGTGGTCCTGGCTGGAGACGCCGCCTGTCTCTGTCTCTTGAATGACATCAGGTCCTGCATTCACTTTTGATACCCTTTCAGGGCCCTGGCTATCTTACACCTGATTTAAGCCTCAGGATGGGCGGCCCCTCACATCAAACACACAACAATTCGCTTCTCCATTTGCTCAACGGCGATGTTTGGATTGATTTCTATGCGGTAGATGAGGCGCATGGGGCCATCGAGACCTAAAGAATCAGTACCGGCATGAACAGGCAAGAATCCCGCCATCAGTGATCAAACCAGCGAGACATTTCGAGACCAAGGACAACGATGTTGCCCTTTCATCTCCGATCATGGAGCACGCCGAGCAACAACAGTTACAGAAACTACACCCTCAGGTCCCATCTGCACATCCCTTGACGCCTGTGCGCTCAAGCCCGGCGTTACAAACGAGATGACTACGGTAGCAAAACTTGTCTCTACCATGGCGGATTATTGATCCTGACAGACCCGATTTTCGATTCAAACACGGGCATGCGTAACCAGAGGTGGACGGTTTTGGTCTAAGAGACTACAGTAGCAGTTCATACGTCTGAGTCTGAAAACCAGGGAAACGGACGAACCAGACATACTTTGACCACTCTTAATTGAAAGGTCTTTCTAATTTCTTCCGAATCATCTTTCTTGATGGTACAGATCCCATTTCAGTGGTCTATCGTTCAACTTGCATAATCATTCCACTCCATCACTCGTAAGATGATTCTGAAATTTATCGTGCCTCAAACTTATAGAACCCTACTGGACCTTCTTCACAGTTGATTGTGTTGTAATGAGTGGCGCGTTCATCACGATAACTCACATGAATTTTTCAACATTTCCTCGCATATTATTGAAATTCAATGTTGAATAAACACTTTAGCTTATTTCTCAGCTACCATTGCCAGCGTGAAGTGTCTCTACCCCAGTCTATATCTCTTCGTCTATGTGAAGAGTCCGGTTTAGCGAGCTCGGAAGCCGCTATCGTCTTGACTTCAACTTCGAAACGGGCGTTTAGGCTTCCACTCGTAAAATTCTCCGACCAAGAAGCTACAGTACATCAGTCAGTGAGCAAGTTCTTCAAGATGATTTGACAATGACATACAGTGTTTGCGTCTCGTGGTGCCAAACTAGACTTTCTGCCGTGGACACCGGATACCACCCGTTCTCTACTAGCGTGCTAGATCGTCGATAATAGTTAGACGCAGTGATAGATAAAGAAGGAGTAGCAACTTACGGGAGAGCTTTAACAAAAGCTACGCGGATTTGCTCCATTTCGTCGCTTTCAAGAGCCCAAACTGTATCAGCGCCGTAACCATCTCCGAGGCGTAGCCTTGGAACGATCTCCCACACAAGCCAGATGATAAATCCACCCAGAACTAGCCCCGAGCGATCATGAGTACCTATTTTATATTCGAAGAGCTTTGGTGTATTACTTGAGCCGTTCTGAGTGAGATCTATACAGGCGGTCAATTCTCGCGGGGGATAAGTCGTGGCTTGTCGGCCTCTGGAGTCTATATCCCACATTTCAGTTTTTCGATGGGGAACTTGTTTGTAGATTCGCATGAAGGCTTTCTTTGAACGCCTTTTAGGATCGCAGCATAGGGCTTTAGCCGACGCAAAAGATACAAAGCCGGATTCCTCGTTTTCCTCCACGTTGACTTGATGGTCATGCTCGTTTAGCTTCTCGATGATCTTCCACCAAGAAGGGGAGGGTCGATCGAGAGTGACGATAGTTCCAGGGTCGATACCCTTAAAGAACCTGGCCGAGTATGGGGATGACATTGGAGCTACTTTAGAAAAGAATTTTTTGGAGTGGTGGAATATCGAGAGGAAATACGATAAGAGAGAGCGTCATTATGAGGCTCGTATGCATCTTGTGCTAGTCATATTATTGGCAGCAAGATACCTGGTACAGCGACGGCCGTAAAAGTCTGTGGCGACCTTGCTAATTGACTCGCTTTTACAAACCATCATGAATTGATAAGCCATTACTTTACACTTGCAATCAATCCAATAGAACTTTTTTGCGTATGCGAATACAATCATTCTACCTTCGGCATTGAATCGACGGCCTCCCACAAGCTGAGATATCATCATGACATCGTTCGCAGTCTAGACATTTCACTGCATCATGAATGGAGCGTTTCTATCAATTGAGCTGTCTATATTCGCACAATTCGACTTCTTATACAATTATATGGACCTCTCACTTCCAGAGACGAGGCATTCGACTTATTTCCGGTCATCGACCTCCTCTGCATGCTCCGCATGCTGAATATTGTTCTTGTGCAGAGTGTTCTCCACATCGGCACGACGCTGTTCCTCAGTAATGGAACCAAAGATGAGGTCCATCTCTTCCAGGGTCCGGCCCTTGGTTTCTTTCACGAAAATAATGACAAAGATTCCATTAGCAGTGCAGAAGACGCCGAACATGATGAAGGTCTTCCAGCCAATGCTGTGGATAGCACTGGGAGTGATCTTGGTGATGACGAAGTTGAACAACCACTGAGTAGCAGCTCCGAGACCGACACCGTATGAGCGGAGACGAGTAGGGAAAATCTGAGAAACAAATTGAGATTAGCAAGAATTGTTACGAGAAAAGTCAAGAAAGAGGGGAAACATACCTCGCCGAGATACACCCAGGGAGTTGGTCCCCAAGAGAAGGAGTAGCCAATCACGTAGAGATAGATCATGGTGACCATGGCAATGGATGCCTTGGAGACAACCGTGGAGGTCGTGTCGGGAGGGTGAGTAGCCAGAACCGCGCCGATGATGAACATCATCACGGCCATCCAGACAGCACCGCCCATGAGACTGCGCTTACGGCCCCAGCGATCAATTCCAATGAACAGGAAGATAGCGGTAGCAATAACCTTGACAGTGCCGTAGATACCGGTGGCAAACAGCGAGGAGTTAGAGCTGCTAATACCGATCGACTGGAAGATCTGAGGCGCGTAGTATCCAATACTGTTGGTTCCGGAGAATTGCTGGCAGACCATTATACAGAAGGCCACGAAGAATCGGTAGCGGTTGCTCTTCTGCAGGCACTCCTTCCAGGTGACACCCTCTGTCATAGCAGTCTCTTCCTCAATGGCAGCATAGATCTCGGCAATTTCCTTCTGGACTTCCTCGCTGTTCTCAGGGGCGTTTCGAATGTAAGCCAATGACTGGACGGCTTCCTCACGGCGGCCTTGCTTCATCAGCCAACGGGAAGACTCCTTGAGGAAGAACAAACCGATGAACATCAGGCCACCGGGAATTAGCTGGATAGCGACGGGAACACGCCATTGTTTCGTGTTGGCAGGCATGTGGAGGGAGACACCGTAGCCCAGCCAGTAGGCAAAGGTACTTCCAATGACCAGGAACTCCTGGAAGAGACCGGCGATACGGCCACGGTACTGAGCGGGAGCGTTCTCACTGACGAAGACGGGGGTGATACTGGACATGCCACCGATTCCGAGACCAGCAATGACACGTCCACCATAGATCATTCCAATCTCATGGTGAGCAGCGACCTGGACTGCTGCGCCGATCATGAAGATAAGGGTGAAGATCATGAGCGAGTATCTACGACCGAGACGGTCATTGATAAACGCAGCAGCAATGGCACCGAAGAAACAGCCAGCAGTCAAGAGACTGACCACATTTGAAGTTACTTGGGAATTTTTATCCGATGCAAAGCCACTTTTGCCGAGAGGGAGGCCGAAATCATTCTTGAAACTAGTCAGGGCCATGACTGAGCCCATCACACCGGTGTCATATCCTATAGAGCGAGTATGTTAGACTTGCTTTGTCTCAAGTGATCATGATAGAGAATTGGTGAGACATACCAAACAGCAAAGAGCCCATATAGGCGACCGAGGTGAGGATATACACCCTGGAGTTCTTGAGGAAGCCTTCCTGCGCCATGATGACAGAGTAGTTTCCCTTGAAGTGGCGAAGGGATATGAAGAATACTTAGAATTTAAAGAGTAAGCACGCCAGGTGCAAGTTCCAAGTTCCCTGAGAAAAACCGGGGGAAGAATAGATACTTTCGACCCCGGGATGGATCCTCATTTATATTCGGGGGTTGGCACTAGCAAGCTACCTGCAACGGTATCAGCGGACCTACTAACTCAATTAACTAGTGAGCCGAGTATCGGGTTCGGCTACTGCTAAGCAACATCCAAGATCTGGTGGCACTGCTGCCGTGCGACTACCCTTGCTAGGGGTCCTTGTCGTGATTTCGTCTTTTCCTCCTTTTGCCAGACACGCTGACTGGTCCGGGGGAGCGGGGCATATGGAGACTCCAATCAACTGGGGTCGAATGGGGGAAATTTGGCGGGGAATTCCGCGGGGTTCGCCGTGGGGATTGGTTCGGTCGCAAACTTCTCTAATTTTTCCGTCCATTGAAGCAGGTTGCTGGTTTTCTCACGCATGGCATGAGGTCCAGCCACGACTAAGTTTGATTGGCTCTGTTCGGCAGCGATTGCACGGGCCAACCATGCTTCTTCGGCTGCCAAGAAGGATGAAGAAGGCCGAGAAAACCCTGTGATTCATGGGAAATTTGAGGCTTTAATCCGTCCGTCGGCCCACTTTCAGGACCCTCCCTTTGACATAAAGTCTGGAGTACGCGCATTATCAATTGTCCTGTGATGTTCCGCCGTTGTTTCGGACAAAATGTCACCGTTTGCTCGGTCAGCTTGTTCATGAATGTTGACATTGTCATCAATGGACGTTTTCAAAGTCATGTTGACCATCAAGAGTATCTAAGGTTACACCAGCCTGTCAATAGCCGACGGCAATTGGGATCTATTGCCGATTTAGTTCCAAGCTAGCTCAGTCCGTGTTTATTCAACTGATGACAAGCAAAATCCATCAGGGACATAGCGATCAGTTCCTCGGCTTCGACTAATAGCAAGCTGATTGGAAGCTGCATATAAGCTTTCTGCGATATCCGCTGGATAGTTGGTGGGCCACAACCCGAATATTACGCCAGCTATGCAAATTCATTCGGAGTCGGTGGGGGAGCGGGAGGTTCAATACCACGGGACCGAAAATCGGTACTTACATGATATCTTGCTCTACCAGACTCTCTCTAGCATTGTCTAGCCGCGTACAAGCATACCAACCGGCTACTGAAGCTGTTGCCGACGATAAAAATCCGTGGAAGGGCAATAGCCTGTTAACGGAAGAGCTAGACGCATTGGCCACTCTATAGATGACCAATTTTAGTGGGTGAAGAGGCGTTTCGTAAGCTATGACATGATAGCTATTACTATCAAATCCCCAAAAAATGTCATTCCAAATTGGCAGACCTACGAGATCGTGACAGTGTAGTCTTCAAAGCAGTACTTGGATGAACTGGAAATAGTCAATATCAACTAATCTGGATGCTCAAATCCAAATTTTTCCTAAATGTGCTGAAGATGCGAGTACAAGAGTATGTGTTCACTCAATGGACAATGCCATACCCTTGGTAGCAATGGCTCGTCAATCACAAGACCTATTTCAACTGGGATTCAAATACTAGTGGACATGAACAACTGCAACACCACAATGATGGGAATATCGTAACCTCATAACATTGGAGTTCAACACCAGCCTACACGCAATTTATCACAGACTCTCTAGACTCCCCCAGATGGGGCGTCACATTATGCTGATACCCTCTGTGAACATCGTCGTCATTGCTCAGATCCCCTTCAGATACATTAATGATCCTCTTTCCGTCAAGGGAGGAATCTCGCCTTCTCGTTCTTGAACGCGTGGTGCTGATTGCATAGCGGGAGCTTAGTTCATGTGTATCCCTGCTGCTTATCTTCCGGCTATTTGTGGGTCGCAAGAGTGATCGGATGCATGGAATTGATGCTGTTACCATCACCAAGTATGTTTCAATGTATAGCCAGCGGTCATAATGCACAGTTGCTGTAGTCGGTTCGCTGTCCGAGGTTGCAAGGACACGGCTCTGGACGGTTTTGATGATGGATGCGATCATTGCGCTGGTTGAAATTGGAGCGTTAGTTTAGGAGCGCAGACTTTGTTCCTCAATTTACTCACAAGATTCCCATTCCAAGTAGAGCAACTAGTCCAAGCTTTACTCGAAGCTTGAGATTCAGATTCCAGAATATAAATGTCGAGAACACCGCAAGGTATAGATCCGTTGCAGAGTTGAAAGCTGTTTGCGAGACCGATCAATCAGTTATCTGTGATATTCTGGACGTGATAGTACTTACCCCCTTGAAAATAACCGTAGTAAGCTTGGACATGTACATCCCAGCATTTCGCCTTTCCAGACTGGTCCCAAATCGCTGATGTGTGTCCTGGGCATTGCACAAATATTATAATGATAAAGACGCAGTTGATAACAATTTGAAGACCAGCCAGAATCCACAGAATAATCCTGTGTGATCGCGTCTGCACGAGAAGGTCGATGATGAAAACAATGAATGATATTCGGCCCAAAGCTCCGCCTGCAAGGCCAAATGTTTGAGCCAGATAGTCGTGCATGATGATTTTGGAGACATTCGGTGCCTTGATGCTCGATAACTCTTGACCAAAGCCCTGCTTTATGGCCAAGGTGATCATGATTGATCCGACCACTGCTAAGCACTATGAGTCAATATGAAGTCAGACTTGATCTTTTGGGATATAATTTTTGCCATTGAAACTACGTAAGGAGACAGATCAACTCACCAAAGCGAAAGCCATCAGGATATCATCGGCACCAAACTTCCTAATTCGCAACTTTGCGACGATCCTTAAAATGAGGATGACAATGGCAACAGCTGTAAGACCCCAGATATCCCTGAGCAGCTGGGGTCCAGCATTATAGGTAGAATCTCTGGGTGAGAGAGACATGACGAAGAAGATCTTTGGCTGGCTCGTAACCAAGCCGCAATATCATGGCAAAATGATGCCGCTGTCCTGTCGACATGCGACAACAAACCATCAAATTGATGGTTATAAATTCATACCGATGTCAATTCGTTATCTTCAAAAGGCGAACAGGGTTAAATCTCATCGGAGATCTCCTCCATTGTGAACTTATATGGGATCTGGAGGGTGCAAAACTAAGTTCATTGGGGGCGAATAGGGTTTGTCGGAGGTCTCCGCGTTTTCAGGTTCCTTGGGACACTTGACACAGATAAGAAGCTCCATGCGGGCAACTCTAATATCTCGAGCGATTCACAATTTCACTGAAGCTTGGCCTTGTTGGCTGCTGGTTTCGATAATGGTTATCATTGTCATTGGCCCCAGTACGAATGTAACTCGATTCTTGGAAGGCTTGTTGCGGCTGAGGCGGCCGTGGAGATAGATCTGGTGGATTATGTCTGCTTCATCTAACTAAACACTGACCAGTGGTTTGCGCGGGAAGGGAGTTTCGTGGGGGCGATGGCTTTATCTCATCGAAGATCGGGTCTCTGCGTCTCTTCACTGTACTTTTGTCGATAGGACATGTCCGAGACAGCGAGAATTACAAGGCTAGCTAGAAGCGATCTGAAGGGGTCAAATGGGCGACGAGGTCAAAGCCGAGTCTGGCCAACAATATGCCGACGTGATCTGCGTGCCTGTCTTTCCTCACTCGTGATATAAGTCTCTCGGAGCGAGAAAGTTTAGACTTTTCGTTCTTCTTGGCTTGTGCCTCTCTGAAAAGAGCAACTGATGGCGATTGTGATCCGAATCGGTGGCACGCATCATGGCTTTCAATCGCTCAGGGAGTCATGCTGCGCGAGATGTTTCCTAGAATGCCCGACCAGTCTTCTTCACTTTAAACCACAGCAGCTAGTATTTGCTGGGTCAAAGCGCTCAGCCCGACACATTTCTGGCAGCTCATCCTTCAGAACTGCCCAGTTTTGTTTCAATGAAGGGGCTCAGAGCTTGCGCAATAATTGTTTGTGGAGATTAAAGGCAGAGAAGCTTAGCACGCGTCAAAGCCGCTGACCTAAATTCGCTTTTCAAACATGAATTTCCTTGAGAGTCTCTGTTCTGAAATGCCCTTGAACCTAGACCTTAGTGTTGACTCACTACAGAGTATGTACCGTCTCCATCTTCATGCAGGAGACTAAGCGTCTCGTGTGTAAAACGAAGACACGAGACCCGTTCTCAAGGAACCTCGTTGAAGTGCTAAATATGAGGAACATGATCAGCATGCATCGTGTCTTGTCACTATTATTTTATGAGGTCCTCGCCCCTAGTCTGTCTGCTTCTTTTCTGCACATGATTCACGTCCCGGCAAAGCGATCTAAACCTCCTAGGCTCTATCTGAGCAAAGACAAGCAAAAAGCTCCTACTAGGGCCAACTTTTACGGGAATTGATCCAACTTCAATTAGTCCTCTGCTTCTTGAAATCGGGAGGCAAAAGCAGTGATGTTCCACCCTTACCTGGATTTTGGACTTCACTCTGTCTGTCTAGAGCTATGGCGCATATATCATTCTGCAAGTTTGTCCAGAGATTCTCAATGCTCCAGGGACAATGGAATAGTATAGTCTTTTGTGGAATGGAGGCAAACTTAGCACAGCAACCGTTGGCCTTCGCAGTGAAATCGACCGGTCGCGACGCCTCTTCTTGTCTGAGAGACGCTATCCAATGCGTCCGAATCCGGGGAGTTCTTGACCCCAGTGACATCTCAATTATTTCCAAGGTAGAAAGTCCATGCGGTTACTAATCGAGAGTTTGAGTGGCGATCATTTACCAGAAGAAAGCACTTCCATTTCCAGGGTTCACAAGCGCGGCTACCCGACCCATTTCGGGCCATGGAAGCTTCGGATCACACCCTGGTGCTTATTCACATCATAATTAAGGCTTCTTCTAACCTTCTTTAGGTAATTCAACGATGTGAAGATCAAGTGGGACTGCAGTCTGGGGTATTTATAAGGCTGCAAGAATACCCCAGAAATCCTCGTCAGATCGTCTTTCATCCACAGTCTACGATTTCCAAGTTTTGCGTCAGCACTCATTCTACAATGAAGTCTTCTTTCGTTTTGGGGGCATTGAGCCTACTCGCGGCTAGTACCGGTGTCTCTGCGACCATGACCGTGCCTAACAGCCTATTCCTCAAGTCAATCGCCGAATCGGTCTCTCTGCCAATGTTCACTTGGTCGGCCAATGGAACCCACACTGCCAAGGGATACACCTCCAAGGCAGGCGATAAAACCAGTGTTGAGGGTATGAAGGAAGACTGCGACAACATCAACCTCAACAAGAAGATTTCTGTAGACTTCCGCAGCGATGTCTTTGGTCCCGGTTTGATCGGATATTTCTACAAGTGCGAGAAGATCCGTGATGACACCAACCTCTATTGGTTCACCATCAGCTCCGGCAATCCCTCCCAGATCGACAAGATGTGTGATCCCAACACGAACTACCCAATCGTGTTTGACTCACAGCACAATACCTGGTGGATTGATGAGCCGTTTGACTGCACTCAGCGTACGTCTCCGGTGGCGCATTCTCAATAAGGTCGATTTCTCTTGGTACGCAAAGTGGTAAGTACAGCCAAAAGATATTTACCGGACCCAGGGACTGATCATGGGTATGATAGATTCAAGCCGCAATGATCAAGCCATGACTCAGGTCCAGTCAAAATCAAAATAGATGCGCAGGCAAAATTATTGCAGGGAAGCAACATCCGACTCGCTATAGGGGCATGCCCTCAGATGGCCGCCTTATCATGTACATATAGGGCCTCCCTGTAATAGGCTTCGTGCAACATCTACTCATATCTTGAACGCAAATCCATTGTATATTTTAGGCCAACGGGTAATATCCCAGTGGTTTTTGATCTACTGGAGCAATGGCCTCGTCTCATCGTTGTCTTGAGCTTCTTCTACCAAAATTTGACTCTGTCCATGTCTCCGGCGGCTCTTTCCAAACACTCCTGTCAGAGACTTGTTCAACAAAGTGGCCAGTGAACAATCTTGCCCATGGTCACTCCGAGGCTCATGAGTTGGTTGTTCCCAGCGACGCCGCGCATACTTAGCAAGGTATAGTATGCCACATCCGGCCCCAATAGTTACTAGCATTCCCAGTATTGACACCATGACGGATAGAACTGTCAAAGTGCTAGCATTGCATCCAAATGGCTGAGCCCGAAGCTCCCATCTCTCCTCGGAGCCAAGTGGACAGATGTGGGCAGAGCCTATGGGTGACAGGATAGGTAGGCGTACGGGGTTGGGCACGCAGCTAGATGACTAAATGAATAGTTAGTAAGTTAACTAATATATTGCTATCGTGCAACACTTTGTAACGATTTGGAATGATGCAGAAATTGACTCATGGGTTGCTGTGTTTGAAAGTGGTCAAATACAACCAACAAAGCAAAATGCGTTGATCGAACAAAAGCCAAGGAAGAGTAGATGACAGATAGCCGGAATGATCTCATTTGGAATGAAACGATAAGGATTGAGCAGATACTCTCGCAAATCAACGACATAGTAAACAGTGCGACCTACTATTGGACACCAGCTGCAGCGAACATCACCTTCTAGGCATGACGAGCATGATTGGCGACGCCAGCATACATGGAAAAGCGATTCATCGAAAGCAATCAGTGAATCATTGCTATAGTTGCCTATAGCCCCGCCACGAGGCATTATATAGACAAGAACGCTGTTTACACGGCCTTGTGCCAGAGCGCTACTCGATCAAAGGCGCGATAGGTATCTGGAGAGACAGATCAAGTTGATCGTCTGATATACGTATCGGATGTGGAGCAACTCAGACAGAACTTTTAGGGATGCAGCTTGGTCTGAGATGGAGAGAGATCGAATCGAATGCTCGCAACTTGATGGAGGGACATTGACGTTGGGAGGTTGTAACGTGCGGGGAAATGTATACGCCCCTGGACAGTTGAGATGGGCTGTGCCCTCCCTGGAATGATAAGTTCACGTACTTTTTCCAGTCAAGCTAGTTCCAAATAGCTAAGGAGAGTTATTCCATCCTTGTAAAGCCATCAGATAATTGTTTTCGAATCGGCCCTGTCAAACACCATTTTTCGCCATTGCGAACTGGCTGATCGGGCGTCCACTACGAAGGATTTTGGATCACAACATCAAGATCCAGATATCTCCCCAGTCATCAATGTATGGAAATCGCTGGTGGTACAATTGTATTAAAAGCTAACAAAGATGCAGGCATGACACCATGAGGTGAGATATAATGGAATGGACATGAGGATAAATCTGCCACGCTTGCCGGCCACAAGCAAGCATCTCCCATACAACAACTCCAAATGGAGCTACTCGGAGACCAAAATCGCTTTCAACATCACATTCATATATTGCTCATTCGAGAAAGGAACGGTGGAAAAGGGAAAACCGCTTAGACGACGCGCTTGACCTAGATATGTCACGAGAGATTAGTCGACTGTTTTGCGATACGCTCAATCAAGTACCACTTATGAAACACTCACCTCGAAGAAGCGCTTCAGCCACCAGACTTGGAAAATGCCCTCTCCAATGACCACAGCCAGCTGGAAGATACTCCACCACTTCACCCGACCGTTCGTGCTCTCTGCGGTATTCCGGTGCACCCGCTCACGGACCACAATGTAAGACTGCTCATCCCTAACCTGCGCGAGGGCGTCGGACAACTTGCGGACTATATTTTTCCAGACGATCAGCCTCAATCTCTCTCTTCCATGTTTGGACGCAGGTCCATGTCCATTGGCTCTCTTACCTTCCGCCTCCAGAGGGTCCGCCGACATCTCCGACTCTGGCACGTAGACAATACCGTGGACATTGAAAGAGACCTCCTTGGAGTTTGAGGTCCAGCCCTCATTGCTGAAGCAGTAGTTGTATTTGCCGTCGGCGTGTGCGGTGAAGGAGTAGTCCTCGTTGGAGATAGCCTGCTTATAGTATTGGCGGTTACGGAGAGGATCCTCGACCTAGAATTTGCGATCATCGTCAGTTTAGTCTGTTCCTTGCAAGTAATTGCTCTCCCTGTTTGACAGCGACCATGCTCCCTCTCTCTGGGCAGAGCTCTCGCCTCATAGCCGCCAAACCAGGGGAATCATCAACACCCCGCGCAGACCTACCCAGAAATCAATCTCGAGGTTTCCACTGCCACCAAACTCCCGGTCGCCAACTTGGAAGGTGACTGTCATCAGATCATCACGGTGCAGGGTCTCGTGGAAGCACTCTCGCGAGTGAGCCTTCAGTTGAATGGTGTGTGCGGTCGCGGCGGAAACCCAGCCCAGCGCCGTGACCAGGAGGGTGGTGGCGGAGAATCGCATGTTGAAGAACCGATGACCAAGTGCTGCTCGGATTTTGCAGTCGAATTGAATCGAATTGGCGGGCAGAGAGGGACTGAGGTGGTGATGATGATGCTGGTGGTTTCGCAGTGAATTCGGGGACAACGCGCAAGGTGTCAATTGGAGACGCTCGGACCACTTTGGTAAACAGCCCGCGGAGGAAAAGAACAAGGAAGTTAGTACAGTATATTAACATATTCTGCCAACGTCTTCATTTATACATTTCAACCCATATGTTATATGGTCATGTGATTAAATTGACTTGAATAGCAACTAGAATGATGAAATGTGTTTGGAATCACAAATTTAATGGAAGAAAAGCGAGTTCATCCTCCAAATTTACAGGCCATGCCGCAACTATGAGGTACACATCATCAGAAGTCAGAGAAAATCCCAGGAGCCAATGGTTTTTCTGCTACAGTTAGAGCAGGATGTGCTAGAATATAAATGACCCTAGGAATAGTTGATCTACTGACAACTTTGGTTTGTAGAAAATGCCGGTTCTTGGATTATTCGGCCCTGTGGTGTGGTTTAGCTGAGAGAAGCTTCAAGGTCACCTAGCATGGTCATTATCTGGCATAAAGGGCCATTTCCTGGGGGTAGAGAATGCTCCAATAACATTATAGTGTTAATCTCATTCAAGCACCTTGGTCGTGATCAATTGACAGCTGATCTGGTGGTAGCTTGCGCCTTCCAGAGACATGTACTGTACATAGTGCATCTGTGGTCTCGTGCCCTGATGCCTAGTTCAAATCTGCTTTATCCTTTCTCAGATCGACCATAAGTACCCCTCTACACAAAAGCATTGAGCTAGTCTTGCAAAAAACAAGACAATAATGATTTGCATAGACCCGGCTGGCACCTCCGAGGTCTATGGAACCATTCTGGCCCCACGGATCCACAAGATGAACTTGAGCAAAGAGGAGAGGCAAATTCTCAGTAGCCCGCACGGCCAGGCAAGCAACCAAACTGAATCCCATCCGCTTTGACAATGAAACCCCTACCATTGGCCTCGAATAATCTTCTACCCTATGCAAGTGCCGATCCATCAGGTCGGAGGCGACAGCCGAAGCTCCTCAACTCCATTCCTTACCTGCATCAGTGCTAGGGCCACATTTATACATCCACCATGACATCTAGAACTCCAACATCGCGGATAGCGCGGCAAATTGATAAAGCTCGAGCGTACCTGGCCATCAACTCCATCATTCTACGCAGTTTCTTATGACTAAGTTTATACCAGTCAGGAAAATAGTCTGCCTTTGACTAGATCATTGGGACTGAAGCATTCGCGGGGTTAGGCTTGGATCCACGCATCGTCTCCATTAGAACGTCAAGACTTGACTCGGCCCTACCCCGCCACGGTAAACTGAACTTCCTCGAGGCTCTGGAGGGGTCTAGGTGGGTTTAGAATGCGACGGCGTAAAAGAATGGTCGGTCTCAATGCCGAATTGGACACTGTACTTACAGACTAAAGTCTGGGTCTGGGTCATGCTAGTCAACCCCTTGACAAAAAGATTGCTTGAAATTTTATGGAAATTTTTCGCACCAAAGATTATAAAGGAGGATGAAAATCTTCCTTAAAAAGATATTCAGGAAAGAATCATTCGGCTTTCTTCTTTTTCTGTGTTCGTTATCGGTCGGTTTATCTGCCTGCAGTTGGACTCGTCAGATCTGGGAGAGCTATCTGATACCGACAGTGTACCTTATCTCAAGAATGTCACCATCACAATTTGAGAAATACATCTTTCTTACCTCCTTTGCCGAAAAAATCATCCACCTATCCAACAATCATATGGGTTCTTCACAGAATCAATTCCACGCTGTCTGGGACTCAAATAAACCAAGACAACCAGCCATCGAAACACCGTGCGCATTCGGCGCCCAAGATGGTCTCTTGAGCCTCATGGAGAGGGTATTCTCTCTACACATCCTCTCTCGAGAAACTGGAAACCTGGATTCAGAATCAATCTCTCAAGCCCTCGGCATATGGAATGACCTGGAGCACTTGAACCCCCCAGAAACCCTCGATTCATCCGATTCCCTGTCCCTACATGCATCCTGTGTATCGGCACTGTTTGTGTGGCTTTATCTCGTTGTACATCCGGAAGATATGGAAGAGGAGAAGGTCCAAAATACTGTATATACAGGTCTTGTTAACGCAGAGAATGTCTCTGATGTCAAGTTTCACCCATTTTTGCTTACCCCTGCTTTTTGTCTTGGTCTGGCTAGCATTCGGAGGGAGGATAGAGACTATGTGAAGGCTCTTTTTGACAAGGCTGAGCGGTCGGGTATATCGAGGGAATTCAGAGAAATTGTCAATGGAAGCTGGAAGAGGCGGGACAAGGGTGTGAAAAGGAGCTGGGACTGGGGAAGTTGATGCGGCGTTGCAATAAAATTTCAAAATTGAAGGTTGTTACCCAGGCGCAGTTATCAAACACGTCAACCTAAAGACCAAATATGACATCCATGTCCTTTCATGCCTAAGGACCGATAAGTAGCGTACTTAACGTTAGGACGAGGCAGTCCAAACAAAACCGAGGAACTTGCAGCTGTAGGTGCTCTACAAGCATTCGAACGGCTCATAGTAGGCACGCACCACCTAGCAGTGGAAGAACTCGATAAGAAAAATAATAATATGTATAAGTAATATAAAACCCCATCATCAAGGAGCAAGCGAGCGACAGCATCACTATTAATATGTATAATAAAAAAGGCACTGAAAATATACAGGGTAATTTAAGTAAGTAGTAAGAAGGCAAAGAAAGAAAAATATATCGATTGCCATAGAACGAAGACAACCAAAATAATAATCAAAACAGGGGTGGTATCAAATCCGAAAGGACGTCAAAAAACACAGAAATCCGATCTCGAAATGAAGGAAATATGTATGTATGGGGGGATTTATTGCGGAATGAGCGGCAGAGTTGGGTTAGTTGGGTTGGGATTGTTACAAATAGAGGAACGGGAGAGAGAGAGTGTGTGTGCATGTGAGCGAGAGAGAGGAGTGATGTAGTGATGGATGGTGAGGGAGGAGTTGCGAGTAAAGAAGGACGACGCTGCAAGCATAACATGAAACACAGCACGCGGATAAAAAAGCAAATACAAAACTGCAAGATGAGCAAAGAGAGATCAAATCAAGAAGAAATGGAGAAAGATAAATTCTTCACCATTTAAACATTCTCGATCAAATTTTTGTGGGAGTCCAAGACGAAAACGAGGCATCGCGGATCGGATAACCAAAGGGGGGGGACATAAGTTTTCAGACAGTCTAATGAAATCGAATGGAACTATGAGCAGGAGACAGATCAAGATCAAGATTCCTCTTCGGCGATGGCTTCAGAGGAGATCGAAGGCCCGAAGGGTCCCTCATCTGCGTCCTTAGGCGATGCCGAGACCATGCCATCGACTGTAGACTCAATGTCATCCGATGCAAAGTTACCCTCGTAATTTGCCGGCTCGGCGTCGTGATCGTAGCTCGAGCGGCGGAGGAGAGGAGGGGTCGTTGGTGGTTCGGCGATGGGGACTTCTTGACGGACTGATCCACGGCGAGGAGTTGAGGTGAAGCCTCTCAGTGGCCGGGTCTCTGCGTAAGCGCGTCCGGGACCACTTGTGTTCGGGGCATTTTGGCGAGCATGGGAACTCGGAGGCGTCAGGAGACCGGATAGGAAGGCGCCGGCGTTGCTAGATTTGGAGGGTGTCTGCTCGGACGGGGTTGAGCCGCCGTTGGCAGTCTCGCGGGCCTTACGCCAGTTACCCCAAGCGGCGGCTGCAGCCAGGGGAAGCGAACGGGGCGAGGCAGCGAGCTCGGTAAGAGATTGAAGCGAGGGGAGGCCGGAACCAGTTAGTGCGCGATCCCGCTCTTGCTGTTGCATCTGTAGGTTGGCCTTCAGACGAATGGCAGCATCGCGGACGGCATGCTGGTTGAAGGAAGGCTGCGAAAGAGTCTTGATGATATCCTGGAGATCATCGATGCGAACACCAAGCAGCTCACGGAGCCAGTTGATCTCGCTGTCCTTGTCCTTGATCTTGTTGGGAGCATCCTTGTCCATAGAAGCAACCTCCTGCTCGAGCTCCTCAATACGGGTTTCGCGCTGCTGGAGCTGATCCTGCAAGACGAAAATGGATTCACGCAGGGCCTGCGGGGAGATTCTCTCCGGCTCTTGAGATCCCTTGCTGAAGGAGATGGAAGGCGAAGTCGAGTGGGTGGGCGCCGCTGGGGTTGGGATTGCCTTGGCAGTTTGAGCGGCTTCGGCGGCAGCACGGGCAGCGGACTGGGCGATCTCAAGCTTCTCCTCAAGATGCTGGACACGTTCCTCGAGGTGCTTGGCCCGGTCATCCGCCAGAGCCAAGCGGTCGATCATATGGGCCTCACCACGTTGGCGATCCTCAGAAGAGTTGTGCAAGGCACGAGCGTGGCGCTCGCGAAGATCATTGAGCACACGTTCATGAGTCTTACGCTGCTCTTCAAGGGCAACCTCTCGTGACTCCTTCGCGGTAGCAAGAGCAGCGAGTCTACTCTCCTTTGCCTCCTCGAGGAGCATCTCATAGCGCTCACGAGAGGTATCAGCGTCCAGACGAACATTGTCCAACTGGGTCTCAAGACGAATGATCTGGGTCTCAAGCTCAGCACGAACATAATTGACCTGGTTGTTGGAAGCCTCGAGATCTGCCTCCATAGAAGTGCGAGTACGCTGAATCTCCATGCGGCTGCTCTCACGAGCCTCGTTGAACTCGCGCTCGAAGCGAGCAGCAGTGAGCTGGAGATTGTGATTCTCAGCCCGCAGAACGGCAATGTTCTCTTCCATCTTGGCATTTTCTTGCTGGGACTGCTCGTAGAGGAACTTCACCTTGGTGGCCTCCTTCTCCTGCTTCTCCAGAGCAACAACTTCATCTTCCAACTTCTCGCGCAGCTTCACCTCACGGTTGTACGAGGCCAGCAGCTCATTGTACTTGGCAGATTGTTCCTCGTCCTTGCGGCGCCAAGCAGCTTGCTCTCGCGCGACATCGGCCGTGACATTCACCATATCAGTCTGCAACCGGTCAAACTTCTCAGTCAGGTTCTGACGAGCAGCCATGCTGTCCTCGATACGAGTGCGCAAAGCATCAACAGTCTCATGCAATGATGAATTCTCGCTCTTGGTAGTCTCCAATTGACGACGGAAGCTATCGGCCGAAACACGGTATTCATCCAGAGTACCCTCGAGCGCAATGTTCTTGGTAGACAACTCAGCAATCGTAACCTTGAGAGTCTCACTCTCCTCAGCAAGAGACTCGGAGCGGAACTGCATCTTCTCCAGATGAGGAATCTTCTCCTCCTTAAACTGGAGAAGACGGGCCTCCGCATCTTCAGCAGCCGCGCTGTGGCGAGCAGCATCCTCTTCAGCAACCTTCAGCAGTTGCTGGAGCTCACCCACAGAGTCAGTCGCCTCACGACGCAGCCTGTACTCAGTCTCAGCACGCTCATCAGCGAGACGCAACATGCTCTTCAGACCGTCAATCTGGAGCATAAGGCTGTCAGCACCGATCTCGTCGGCTTCCGACATCCGCGGAGTCTGCTGAGCCATGTGACGAGCAAGTGACTCCTCAAGAATCTCACGCATATCGCCAACAGGGTCCTGGGCCAGCTTCTTGATAGTCAGGGCCTGGAGCTCCGCAATGCTTTCCTTAAGCTGGGCCATCTCGCTGTGGCTCGAATGCTGAATTCCACGGTTGGGCATATCATGCGTGACCAGTGCCTCCATAACGACACTCTTCAACATCTCCAGCTTGCGATCGCGCATGTGGTGGGGAGAACGCTCGCGAACAGAGCTCTCGTGCTCCTCATCATCCTCGTCATCAGCATCACTGTCCTCCATGGCGGAAGAGGCGCTGCGGAAAACTCTGCGGCTAGCAGTCCCAGAAGCGATTGTAGCCACTGACTGCTGGATGACAGCCAAGGCACGCTCCATAGGAGTCAACCGGTCATCAATAGCCGAACCAACAATGTCATTGATACGGCGGTCGAAGAAGCGGTTACGGTTGAAGAACTTCTCATCCTCACCAGAGGAGATCATATCATCCCAATCACTAACATGGTCATTTTCAGTGATAAGCTGTCGAACAGGAGACTGAATACGTGAGATGAGGCTCTTCTGAGGCGAGAAAGTGGCAGTGCTGGCGGCGTCAATGTCGGAGCCGAGCCTGGGGATGTTGAGCTTGTAAGTCTTTTGGCCACCGCCGGGGCTGGGGCTGGGAGCCTCGCTGCGGGCTTCCGCCGAGCCAAAGCGGTGCTCCTTGGTGGGAGCGGACTCGGAGATGAAGTGAGGAGGAAGTGGAGTGTGTTGACGCTCGATGCCAACGTCAGAGTCGTCGTTGAGTTGTTCCATAATGGCGTTGAGCTCCTCGTCATCCGGTGACTCTTCGGCGGATTCCTGCCAGCGTGACAGATCAGGCTTGGGCTGGGGCGTCTCGTGGATGATGGTTCGCTCAACTGGTGCTGGCGCGGGCTTGGGCGGGCTGGCAGTAGCAAAGCGAGAAGCCATGAGACCACCCTGGGGCTTCTTCTCGACAGGCTTCGACACGGTCTGCTCGATCTTGACAGGGTCTGATTCAGCAGGCTTTTCTTGGGCAAAGACAGAAGAGGGCACACTCGTTGGGACGAATGAAGGAACAGCAGGCTTGAATTCGAAAGGTTGGGCCGTCGGCGACAACATGGTGCTCTTCACGGAGCTTCTAGAATCCTGAGGAGCATGGCTGACAGGCTTCTGCTCCTTAGCTGGAGCGTTCTCCTGAACAGTTTGTTCAGCTTCGGCCTCTGCGACAGGCTCCTCCTTAACTTCTTCGGTCTGTTCATGGCGAGCCATTGATCCAGCGCGGGACCTGGCCTCGTCCTTAACGTCAAACAAGGTCCAAGTAGTAGCCTCACTCGTCGGAGTACCCCTACGCTCCGCATGCTTATCATCCTCGGGCATGGCATTCTCCTTGCCCTCGGCGAGGGTATGAAGAGAGCCTGGTGCTTGAGCGTTACCAGTCTCGCCCAAAGGCTGCGAGGAGATGCTATACCGAGCCTCGCCCTCGGCATGACCGATGCCACGGCGAGCGCGTTTGTGACGGTCAGTAAGCACGATACGGCCTTCTGCATCTTCCATGGTCGCCGGCTCTCCCTCCTTGGCAGATTCGACTTCATCTGGACGGACGATGGGAATGGCTTTAGACTGCTTCGGGGGCTTGGCAATTTCAGCGAAATCGATATCTCCGAAGATCTTCGTCCGGCTGCCGGAGGGTTGTTCGGAGCTAGCATTCGAGTTGAGGCTGGCAGACGGGTTGAAGACAGGTGCATCCACGTTGAAGGACGCAGCAGAGAACCTGAACGAGCTAGGCTTGGGCTCAGGCTCGGGGATGGGGTTGTGATGAATGGAGCCGTTGATCACGTTAACTGGCGCGAAAGATGGCGGGGGGGCAAAACCGAATCCGGATTGGCTCATACCATCCATACCACTGAACTGGAACGCGCTGTTGCCAAATGCACCTTGTTGGGTTGCAAAAGAAGCAGTTGGATCAAACGGCCTGGCTTCCACATTAAGGGATGAGATGGAGAGCTTCGAGTGATGGCTGGCCTTGGACTCGTGCCAGGGTCCGTGATCAGGCAAGACACCGCGAACGTGAGGAGTTCCGGCAAGACTAGGGTTCGTCTCCACATCGGAGCCCTCGTGGGTATTGGGTTGCCCAAAGTGCGCATTGTAGAAGTCGTGGGGCTGCTGGGAGAAAGGGTGCGAGGGTTGTCGCCCGTTCTTCTGAAGCTGGTGGTGTTGATCCTGCTCTTGCATTGCCCAGTGGTTTTTCAGGATGTTGGGATTGAAGCCTTGGTGGTGATCAACATGATGATCCTCGTTGATGTGATGCTCCATATGGTCATCCATGCGGTATTCGGAGTGGTTCATTTGGTCGAGACCCCGCTGGAGAGTTTCACTCAAGTTATGACCATGGCCACGGGGCGTCGGGTGGGCAATCTCGATATTCGATGTGTGGAAGTGATCCGGAGCGTTGACGGGAGTCTGAGGAGTGGGGTAGTGCTGTCCCTCATCTTGACCATCATGTCCATATCCGGTTTCCCACACAGCCTTCTCATTGAAGCCATGGAAAGCACCCTGGTCATGAAGCGGTGACACAGGGGACAGCATCGAGTTGAAGTTGGGAAGGGTACCAGGACCACCTGATCCACTGGCTTGGCGAAGGTTGATCAGGCTCTGGGGAGTCATCGACTGCGCAGGAGGCGTAGGCTGGAATTGGAATGGATAACCAGGCATCATGCCCTGATCGATACCCATGAACGGAGTCTGCACGCTGAATTGCGAAGCTGGCGATGCCAGGGATCCAATGCCGCCGCTTGGCGTTCCTCCAGGCTGTGCGAAGTGTGGCGAGAATGGATGCACTGCACCAAGTGGATTGCTTGCGGCCGAGGCAGTGGGAATTGGCGGCGAGGCCACGAGGCCAGGGAAAGGTGTCTGGGCAGCGGATGCTGGAGAGATCGAGGGTTGAGGCTCAGGGTCGCCGAACGAAACACCCAGAGCTCGCAGTTTCTCCTCCTGGAGCTCGGCGACATAGGCATCCCACACAGCCTTGTCAGGGAATTGAATGTACGGCCGCTGGCCCTTCGTCTCTTCATAAACCTCATACGGGTCGGGATACAATGGACGGCTCAACCCTCCAAGCTCGGTTGTTGAAGAAGGGTCAACTTCGTCTCCAATAGAGAATCCACGCACGTCCCATCCTTCCTGCTCCCACTGTTTCAAGCGGTCCTCCACATCTTCACGCGTCAAAAGGCGATAACCAGACTGTTCGGTACCACGCTGATCATCAACTGGCATATCGACAATGCATGCTTTCCCGCGCCATGCCAGCTTCTTTCTTCGCCGTGAGACCGGGGTTCCCGATGTGGTGATATCCGAGGCCTGCCTCTTGACAGCTTCCGGTTGTGATGACTCCTCTGTGCTTCCTGTATTTGTGTTGTCGTCCGCTGTCGTTGCTGGTGGGGGTGGCAGCGGCTTTTCCACCGGGGACACGGCCTCGGCGGGTGGTTGTGACTCCTGAGAATCAGCCATCATGTCTTTTGACGGTTCCTTGTCGTAGGCAAATCCCCAAAAATCCTCCTGGCGCAAAGTGTCCGCGCGCTTATGCTGGGTCTTCTTTCCTTTGGCGCGCGCAGCAGCCTTTCGACCAACAAAGTCCGAAAGGGTCGGGGTCTTGAGCAGATCGCTTTCGCGAGTATCGTCTTCAAGACCAAGCCAGTCGTCGGAAAGATCGTCGGCGAGGTGATTCTTCGCAGTAAAGAAGGACGGCGCCTCGCTTCCGGAATCGTCACTTAACCAATTACTTTTCTCTGTCCGCGGTTGTCCCGACAAATACTGATTGATCCAATCCTGGGTAAAATCCCGAATAGTCTTCTCTCCCTGGAGTGATTGTTCCGTAAAACCTTCCGCGACACTTGCTCGTCGCACTTCCTCCGGGTGATTGACAGCGATAGACGGGGCAGGCGAGCTCTCACGAGAACCCGGATCGACCCCAGCGAATTGGCTGAGGGTTAACGATAGTCGCCGCGTGCTCGGTGCAGCATACGGGGACCCCCAGGCCGTGGTGTAGTAGACACTGCTATCCGCTCGGCGAGTCTCCGGGGATGAGACTAAAGACTCCTGAGGCCGACGGGAGTGGTGGTGGGCCGAGAGGAATGGCAGTTGCGGGGGCTCGAGGTTGATGCTCCGCGGGGAATGCTGCTGGGAGGGAGAGCCAGTGGTTGACGAGCTCGACTCTCCAGATGAAGGAGAGGACAGGAACAAGGTCGGGCCCAGATGCGATTCGTCACGTAGATTGCGCGCGTCTTTGGGATGGAACGGAGAAGACGCCGCACTGGCGGAAGAGACCGCGTGATCTAGATCTGTACATGCATCGACGCGGGGAAAGTTAGTGACGGGGTTGACTTATTTCCTCTGGAATGAGGGGGGTGTTCGAGAAGATCCGATTGAAGGGGGTGGTGGTAGAAAGGGAGGAAAAATCGCGTGGCGACGTGGAAGAGGTCCGGACAATTGCAATTCCCACGACGGGCTCGAGGAGCAGCGCATGAACACAGGAGTAGACGAGGACCATGAATTGAAAACCGAAGTGAACCAAACACCCACCTTCCGTGTCGACTCCTGCAGCAAGCACTTGCTTGCCGCTCCGCTTATCGTCCAGAATGTTGACGCATGGAAATCCCACGGGAAGAATAGACCTGGCAGAACGGACCTGTGATTGGCGATCGAAAGGGAGGGCAACGGGCAGAAAAGACCGGGACCCTTTGGCGATAACAATTCGATGTCGAACCTAGATGGATCCTCCGCGGGGACGAGAGAGGGCGAAAGCGAGAGGGGGGGTTGTAGGGAGTGTGGAAGAAAGATCACAACGCGACAGAAGTATGGCCGGACACGCAGAGGACAGGGGAAAGGGGAGGTGGAAAAAACGCTGGTTATGTCATGTCACGGCCGAACACTCTCCGCCATCGAGGGAAACGCACTGGATGTACTGAGTACTTCGGTGATGATTGGGCTTCAGGGGTAATAGATGCCCCTGAATAACTACCTAGTGAGTCCCTAGCGAGTACCTAGTACGGGAGGGGAGGACCCTCATGAACGAATAGGCTTGTGGGCGAGGTAATATTCAGTCCATACTAACGCGGTATAGGCTGTGTACAGGCTGTAAAGTAATTTCCTCTCCTAAAGGGGACTATGGACGAAGGCCGTTACATAGAATTAGTTGGTTAACTACTTGCTAAGGCCACACTAACAAAGTTTTAGTTAGTACACCAATCCACATCCACCCACACACTTCCCGAGGCGGTTAGCTGCTAAGTCAACTTAAGACTGTGATTGACCCAAGACTCTGACGAGTTGAAGAGCACATGTAACTAGCGGGAGGCGCTGAATGGGCCCTGATGGGTTCCCCCCAACCCTTACCTGCGCAGGTACCCCGAAGAGCCCCAACAGTTAAGAAGCACCAAGGCCTGACCGCCACCAATGTGCAAGGACATCCAGCGGTGACTAGACTCGATTGCTTTCTCGGGTCCAGCCAAGTACCCATTGTGATGTCTCCCCTTGCCGCAGTTTCAGGTCGTGCAGTTGACCTCGAGGTGTTCGTGACAACAAAGTCGCGTTCCAAAAGTAAACAATGCTGGCGCGTGGTTCGCGGAGAATAGCTGGAATGGATTCGATCGTTTGGATGGATTCAGGGGTAGACGAACCGTGGTTCCTCGGTTCTCCATGTCTGTACAGTGTACACACAGCATGTTATGAGAATACATCTGTATTTATGTATTATTGCCACTTTGTGCTATCGCCACCTAACAATCTTGGTATTACCAAGACAGCCACAGATACCGATGACATAATCCCTCATTGGGCGGGATGAACTGAGTAGATTAGGATCAGTATGATCGTTGGGTAGTGATACAGCACGCCAAAAACAGTAGCTACGTGGTCAATGGATTCAGATATGATTTGTACGTGGTTCCCAATCTGGCCATGCCAAGTAGACCATAGTGCATGAGGCCATGCTCCCTCAATGGCCAGTCACCTCCGCTCCAGCCTTTCCTCGGCTGCAAGGACGCTGTCACTGCAGAAGCCACAGTCTACTCTACGAAATAGAGGACATAAGACAACACAAGAACCAATGCATCCGTATCACAATTCAATTCGGATTTCAGACCAGAAACAACAATTCGTCTATGCGCGATTCCCGAGTCCCAACGAGAATGGTTAATAAAGTAATAAACTGATGAACAACGAAAGGGAGCTTTCCAAAAACATGATACAATCTGAAAATAACAGTATCTACGAGTTTCATTCCCTTTCAAACCATGAAGGGGAACATTCCAATAAAAAAATCCCTCAATCAAGCACACATCATCTTAAGATGCACGCTTATTTGGGGCAGCTGGTGTCAAACTTGACCTTGCGGTCGGCGGTGAACAGACCCCAGTGCTTCTCGTCCATGGGCTTGCCGTTGTCACCAACGCTGGCGGGCTTCCAGGACTCATCGAAGGCCTCGAAGTAGAACAGGTCAACGCCCCAGGCGAGCATGCCGCAGACACCGGTCTTCCAGAAGGTCTCGGCGTTCTTGGTACCGGCCAAGGCAGCCTCGTAGTCAGAGCCACCATCTAGATTGAGAACACACGGTCAGCCACATGAACAGGGTCTTCGGCATAGAATCAATAGCAGCCGTATTTTGCGGGGTCACTCACCAGTGGGCCAGCCAGTCTCGCCGTTGATCACACGGATCTTGTCGGCGTTGTCGCCAGCAATCTTCTGAATGTGGGTCATGGCACCGGACATGTCATCGAAGTAGGTCTTGTAGGCCTTGTCGGCGGCGGTACCCTGCCAGTAAGCGAAGGCGTTGGCCAGAACGTAGGTCACCATGGGGTTGGCATCGGTGTTGGTGGTGAACAGGTCATCAGCAGTGCCGTCAGCGAACTTGTTCCAGCTGTCGGCAGTACCAACAGTAACCTTGGGGAACTGCTTGGCGACGGCGGAGATGTAGTTGTGTAGCTGGGGTCCGGTCAGATCGCCACGGTAGAGGGTCTCGGAGCCGACGGTGATGGCCTCAATGACGTCCTCGTTGCCGGGGACAGTCTTCTTGAGAGCGGCAAAGTCCTTCTGGAAGGAGGCATCGTTGGTGCCCATATCGCTCTTGTCCTGCTTGCCGACCCTAAAAAAAGGAAAACACCGTGCGATTAGCTTAGGGGCAATGGGACAATGGTAGATAGGAGCATCGCCGGTCTTACCAGATACCCAAAACAACCTTGAAGCCCTTGTTCTTAGCGGCGGGGATGATGTTCTGAGGGGTATCGCACTCAGTGCCGGAGTAGGTGCGGACGAGGGTGGCAAGGCTCTTCAGGTTGTCGAAGTCGGACTCGTAGTCCTTGGTGGACTTGCAGGTACCGTCGGCATTCTTGTCACCGAGGGAGAAGCCCAAAGTACCACGGGCCGAGACCAGAGCCGGGGCAGCGGCCAGAATGATGGGAAGGAGGCCAGAAACACGCATGGTGACAGGCGAGGAAACGCGATGGTCGAGAAGGGGGTTCCGGGAGAAAAGAAAAAGCTGGGGAAAGAATGTAACAAAGCGAATAGGAAGAAGGAGAAGGGAGTGACCAGGAAAAGGAATGGACTTTCTTTATAAAAGAGAAAAGAGAAGAGAAGGGAAGGACGTCAGAAGTGGACGCAGTTGTAGTTGGTAGAAAGAACGAAGTTGAAGGCTCCAGAGTTTGGGTTGGATAAGACTGGTCGCCTCCTGGACTATTCCCAAAGAGGCTGCCAAACGGGGGGGGACAGGACGCGGGTGGCTCCAGATGGGTGATCAGCTCTCCAAAGGGTCTCTCACACAGAGGCCCGAGAGGGTTTGGGCCCTGGCAGGATGCAGGGTGCAGGGCCTTCAGGGACTGGAGCGACTGGGCTTTCTCCATCAAGGGGCAAGCGCAAAGGCCAATGAAAGTCCCTAATGAGACCCGAATAAGCCCCCGCCGGGCCTGTGCAACGGGGCCCAACTTTACCCTTTTGGGACCCGTGGATGAAACAAAATCTCGCTCAGGGTCTGGACTCCACTTTGAGTGTGGCGTCCTCGTCTTCCAGAACAACTACCCGAACACTTTTTCGCTGTTGATATCTTGAGATTTGCTACTCTTGTGCTTCATTGCTATGTCTCTTTCCCTTTAGGATGTGTTGTCTGTCAACTGTCGTTTCACTGTGTCACCCCATAATCACCAGTTGACCTAATGCCAAGCCTCGCATCGCCTTCCCCGATGGAGAGATCGAGAGTCATGATGTCACTGTGCCTCCATGGCCGATTAACCAGATACTTACGTACCCTGGGCATCCACGAGAATGAGCGCAACAAGTGGGGTATAACCGGCCAACTCTCACGGATGGCAACAAACCGTCCCTAAGGAAAGCCATTGTCTTCCTTGCCTTTCAACGGCTTTCCCACGGCTGTCCCCATCTGATGCTTCCCTGTGCTTCCGCCAGGTGGGCGTTCGAGCCACCAAGCGCCAGTTCCTGCAATATCATTCTTATGGTTCATTGAGGTCTGAGCAACTGAATCTGAGCAGGACACTTCGTCGCCGCCGAAGTTTTCATCCTGGTTATCCATATTGCCTAATTCAATATCTCAAGGACCCTATTGATCTAGTTCTCCGAGGTTACGTTCAAGCGTGCTTATAGGATGGTTGTTCTACCAATTGTAGTTCAAAAAGCCTGCTCATGTTTATCCTCGGGAACTTAACTTGACCAAACAGGTACCATCGCTGTTCTGGTCAGCACTGCCATGATCCATCAAACAACAGCGAAGGGTTCTGGTCCATTCGGATATGTTCGGACGGTTACTGTTTCCACACTTACAAGGTTATCCAAAAGATAGATTTAAGAGTGGCAAAAGACATGAAATTTGAGAGATAAAAGAGTGGTAGAACCATCTTTCTTGGATATACATTCAGACTTGGACATATGAGAGGTACTACCTATATACTCGCCCTCGAATCGCGATTTTACCCCCGGATCTGCAGGTATAAAGACATTGGACTATCCACATGAGCCTGATTCTTGTTAGTTGCTTGAATTTATCAAAACACTCCCATATCGGATGAACTGTCTTCCACATCAGCGTAATTGAATCAATCAACTACAGGATCAGACGCAATGCAGGATGACAAGACTCTTTCTTATCTAACTACTCTGTGTCTAGGGGCCTATACTCTATATACGGCATGAAATCTCTGCTTACCAGTCATGTATAGTGCCTTAATACCAATGGTAGGTATTAACAAGGTCCTTGAAGATCAGGTATCTAGTAGCGAGCATTTCGGGTAATTTATTTCTTCCGATTTCTTCCATGCTCATTATGCAAGGGTTTCTTTTCTCGCATATCGAGCTTGGTAGGAATTGGAAGAGATAAACTGCCCGAAAGAACTCACTACCAACTACCTGCCCTTGAAGACGCTCATCAAGACCTGCCATTCAACCTTTAGCATTATACATTACTGGTAAGCGCTTGTTTCGTGTTGGATATGAAGTAGAGGGTCCTATACGTAGAGTAGTACTGGTACCCCAAGAGCACGCAACCTGGATACCTGTGTGACTCCATGACGATATAGCCAAGAAACCAGTGTTCTACTCTGTGTGCTACATATGTTGATCCTCGGCTCCGAGAATACTGAAATCGGATGGCAAACCGGGAAATCAAAGGCCAACTATCTCATCAGGTCAAGTTATCATAGTGGAGATTCAAAAATACTATTATACACACCAAGAGTCGAGTATCCAGTGAACCAACCCCACAACGCCGAGTTCAGCACCTCAGAATACATGCAAACAACCGACTTTCACATAACCCAGCTCATCGCTGCCATGTCCGACCTACTCCTGCCCACCCCCCTCCTCACCACCAATCCACCAAATCCAAATAGCTTTACACCAAAAATAAGTCTCAACACTCCCAAAAACACCCAAAATTACCAGTAAAAACAGCTTCATATTGCGACTAATGCCTAGGCCCTCAAAGCTAACAGACGGGGCCTGGACCTCGTCCGCAGCCATACGCTCGTTGTTGTGGGTCTTTGCCGATCCGGGCTTTACCGGGGATGGCGGTTTGTTGGAAAGAGATGCATAGGCTGCCCGCATCCAGAAGGCGGGTGAGGAGAAGATGGTGGTCGGTGGAAGTCTGGATTGTCGGCCTGGACTGCCGAGGGGAACCATGGTACTGAGGGGTGGAGGTCGGGGATGGTGGATTTTGGAGGGGGAGATGGTTGAGATGCATCTTTTTGGAAGGTGGTGGGTGATTACGGTGGTGGGTTTCATTGTAGGTATGGCGAGGTTGTAACTTGTAAGAGGGGAATTGAGGGGTGGTCGTTCTCTTTTGCTTACTTCTTTTGTCGATGGGTTGGCATGTGGCTATGATGCGGGTGGGGGCTGGACAGGAAGGGTCTCGAATTTTGAGATCCCAATTAGTCGTCAAAATCATGTTATCTGTAACGAGTGCGGTGAGAGACCATTAGATGATGCGTGAGTTCTCGAGAAAGTTGAACCGAACGATTTTCGAAAGGTCGTTTCGTAAAGAGAAAGTTGGGTTATATCGGATCGAACTGTTTCGCTGGTGTCTAGATTCAGACTTCTGGACTACCACTGTATCTAATTTGATGACTAGCCTAAACGGATATAGAATATTGAAACTCCTAAGATCTAGTCTAATGTTTTTCAGGAAAGCGAACGCTCGCAAGATTGCCTTTGGATTAATAACTAAGTAATGTTGCGAGGCTCAAAGGTGGTCATGGGTAACATAATTCTAGGTCTAATGGGGCATGACTTCCCATCTTCCCCCGATGCTCGTATGTCAGCAAAATCTTATCGACATTCCCAAGATCTATGCTGTAACGTCGCTCTCGTACAAAAGAAAAAGCAAAATCAAAGGCAAAAGCAAAAGCAAAAAAAAACAAACGCCTCTCTAGAGGAGGAGGCATCTATCTTGCGCGTAGGTATCCTTCAGCAATTTAAGCTGATTGACCGTCATGGTCTGCCGCGGCAGAGCCGCAGGCAGCTCGACGATCGCCCGGCGCAAAAGGGCCAACCCAACTTGTCCAAAAAAGACAAGGATCCGCTCACTCGATCCTCGTAGCATACCATAGAGGAGAGCGATCTGGGTTTCCTGCATGTCGGCAGGAGCGATGGTAAGGATCTTTTGGATCGAAGTCCAGAAGATGGTATTCGGAAAGGGGTTGGGACGTTGGGCCTTCCCAAAGTTGCGCAGCGTCAGGGCGGAAAATCCGGCGCCCAGGGCCGTCATGCGGTCCATGTGAGTCTGTTCGCTCACAAAGGGGCCGCCGGCTTCCAAGCGCCACCAGCCGAGCGCCTGCCGGCCTGACTCGGTCTTGTCGTCCCCGGTGGAGCCCCAGAGTGCCGGGCATACCACACGGTACTTCGCGAGCAGGATGTCACTCATTGGCAAGCCCTTGAACATGAAGCTGTCCATAGAGAAAATTTGGGCAGCGACGATGCCGATTGGCTCAGCATGGGCCGACTTGATGGAGGCCTCTCCAATTAACGCTGAGATCAGGGCCTTTGAAAGCATGTTCAGCCCGTAGATCAACATCGCGGGCACCTTATGCTCGGTCTGCGCGATCTCATCGGGAGGGAATGCGATGAATGGGCGGATATCAATGGATGGCCCCGGCATCTGGCAGGCCTTCTCCAACTCTGCGCGAATTTCCTGGGTCTATATTGAGAACAGTAAGTTAGTACTCTGTGTTGTAAATCACATAGCAAACGAACAATGAATGGAGTGGCGTACCTGTGTCTTGTTGACACCCTTGCCGTCGCGCAATTGACCAACACACTTCTTAATTGACCTGCGCATGTCGCCCATGGCTTTCTTGGCAGATGGGTCGTTCTTAACGAGCCCCTGTAGCCAACTCCGCAATTGCTTGAGCGTCTTATGGATCTCCACGTAGCGGGCTTGAATGCGCGCTTCATCGGCTGTCAGACCGCTCACACCAACCTTCCCCAGCTCAAGGGCCTTGGCCTTTGCCTCAGCCTCCTGCTGGGCCTTCTTGACATCTTCGGCTTGCTTCCGCTTCTCGGCCTCAGCTCGTTCCCGCTCTTCGCGCTCCTGGCGCTCCTTCTTCTTTTGTGCTGCCTGTCTTGCGCACTCAGCTTCTTCCGCCGCCTTCTTTGCAGCCTCCTCCTTGGCCTTGCGGTCCGCCTCAGCACGCGCAGCTTCTTCCTGTTGTCGGCGAAGTTGCTCTGCCTTCTCGCGTTGGATGCGCTCAATGCGCTCCTTTTCCTTGCGCGCAGCCTCCTCTTGCCGCTTGCGCTCTTCTTCTTCGGCACGGATATGTTCCTGCAGAATGACTTCGGCTTGCTCACGCACCCGGTCATGTAAGGCAGCAGCCTCGTCCAGCGCAGCCGTATGTTGAGCCTCGAGCTCTCGATCAATCCGGTCGAGCGTCTCGTAAAAGGATCTGCGCTCGTAAGCTCGGACCTTTTTAAGGTCAGTATTGAAAATGTTCGCATTCTCAAGGTCATTGACCAAGTCGAGCAAGAGTTGCTTTGACGGGCTATCCATCTTTGACGAACTGTCCATGCCGGTGACGAACTTGTGATTCCGAGTCATCGTACCAGATGTGTAGGTTTGACCGGAGAAGGTATGGTTCGGATTGGGGCGTGAGATGAAAGGAAAGGGAGGAAAGAATCCGAGACGGAGCAAGTGTTGAGATGGAGAAAGTCGTCGAGGGAAGAAAGTAGTCAATAGGAGAAAGTGGTGGATGGGATAAGGTGGCAGACAAGGGGAGAAGGTGGTTGAGACGTAGTAAGTTGTCGAGACGAAGTGATTCGTCTAGACAGAGCAGGAAGTCGAGGGGGGAGAGTAGCGGATGGGAGAGAGAGTGGTGGTGAAGGGAAGAAAGTGGTCGAGATAGGAAAGTAGTCGAGCTGGAGGAAGAAGATGGTCGAAGGCAGAAGTTGGTTGGAGGAAGAAGTTGAGGAGGTTTATAGTATTGAGGAGCAAGAACTCGAGGTCGAGGAGGAGAAGGAGGTTAAGAACCAGGTGAGAAGTTCGGAACGTCAACGAGACCAAGTCTCTAACGGCAAAGTGAGAGTACGGCAGTCGTGAGACTCATGGTAAGAGAGGAAGCGAGCAAGTGAACTGAATGTGACGTCTAGGTGCGCGAAAGAAGGTTCCGTTCAAGCAAGTGCGCCGCAGGCAATTGCTCGCCGCAATCACGAAGCTCGGTTTCTACGATCTCTCAGATTGTGAACAGTCCTTCCTATGTCAGATTTATAGGTAGGTTCGTCAAGTTTAGTGAAGTGAGAAGGGAGGAATGTGTCGAGGGTGTGAGGTTTCAAGGGCGAAGTCAAGTCCCATTTAATGCTATCGCAACGTCAATTGTTAGCAATGAATAGATTCCAGTAATTTCTCTAGCCACGGAAACAGCAGCCTCTTGGGAGAGCAATGCCTGATCGCATGTCCATGAGTGTGTAGCCTGGTAGGCAACGTACCGTTCAACCTGACGCGCTGCCCCCAGCCAATGCAACAGTCGATGTTTATCGCGAAGCCAAGAGTCTCCAACGGAGCTCAATGCGGAAAATAAATTACCGGCTGAGTCAGCTGGACCACGGAACTTTGGAACTGGCGGCGGTGGAACTATCGAACTCTGGTTCATTTGCATCATCGTGAGCATCATCCATTCATGCTTAAAAAAAAGAAATGCTAGTAATTAGAGCTCATATGAATTGCTATAGACGAGTCTGTTTTTTCATTCCAATGTACAATACGAAGAGCTCAATGTGCAGCAGTTAGCAGGCTGTCCAGCTATTAAGCCAGTCTCACAGGGCCCCGTCAGTTTTGGCGCTAGTTCGAGACAGTTGCTCCAGCTTGATAGCCACTAATGCCGCCGACTCAGACCCAATGCCTAGTAGGTCACTAAGGAGGGGGTAAGCGTATGTAGATCCCTGTATCCTAACTGTGACCACCACTGCCCATAGAAGCTATCACCACTTGAGATATACAGTTTCAGTGGCATGTAATGTGTCTAAAGCCAGAATCAGTCAAACTCGACCACATGGCTGCATCAGGATGATGATGAGGTCGTCGGGAGCAATGAAGATCATCCACGGCATCCGCCTTGGGGAGAGCTTTGGTATTGAGATGCTGTGAAATAGTATTTACGAAACGTCAATCCAGTTTAATGTGGTCTGTAGCTGTAATGGTATTGTAATATAACGTTATACCAGAACTATACTATCTCTCCTTTCCGTACCCAACCCTCTCCCCACACCCGCTTTGTATGGATCCATGATCACCTCTTTCTTCTCCTTTCCCCCCCTCCTTCTCCTTCTTCTTCTTCTTTCCCATCTCTCTCTCTCTTCCCCTCCCTCCATCGTTCCTTCAGGCCGAATCAGTCGATGCTTGCATCGTCTATTCTATCCTTCCCATAATTACTCTTGTTGTCATTCTCTTCGGGGGACGTGCAACTATCTGGGCTTGGTTTTCTTGAACTCCCGGGATTGCTCGCGAATTCAAGAAAGCTCCTGCAGTAGCTTTTATACCTCGTGGAGTCGAACCTCGGTCTTCCTACGGTGGTCGTTTAGGATTCAATCCGCTTCCTCCCACCCTTTTGTGCCGGTTGCTTGTTACCTGTGCGTCCTAAGCACTCGTTCCTGCAATCCGCCGACTCGGTCCTTCCCAAACTCCTCTCGTCGAATCGAGCGTCGTCCCTTTTTCAGTCGATCTTTGGATTGATCGGTTCAACGCACTCGGTGCAATTGACTTCGACTGCCATTCTCCTCGATTCCCGCGACTTGCTTGTGGCTTCCTCCGTCACAGCTTCTCTGGCCGTTTCTAGCAATTTTCATCCCACGTTGGACAATCGCAGACGTCATTTTTGGTATGCTAGGGTCTTGAGATTCGCTTTAGTTTCTCTTACAGGTAAGAGTGCTTCATTGCTTTCCATCTGCAAAGCTTGCGTGGGTTCAAGATAAGCGAACGTTGTTGGTGCGGAGTGGTTTGATCCTGGGGGTTTGACCTGGAGGACGGTGCTTTCGAGTCCCTGCCCTCATCGACTTCTCCGCCCGCAATGACAACACTGCTCCTGCACTGACCACAAGCCTGTCATCACTGTTTCCCCATCTCCTGTCCCTCCTTCCTTCCCGACTCGCTCCTTCCACATTGACTCTTTCTACTTTGTTTTTGTCCCTCCCTCTCGGCTTGCTTTTCTCTTGTTCTTTGACCACAATCCCTCCAGCTCGTCACAGTCATCATCCACCTTTTGCTAATTCACTCTCTTTCCTGGACCTACAGTATAGTTCACCCTATCCATCATCGTTTTGAGAACGATCGTTCGAACATATATCAACCCATCTGCGGTCGGTTCGCGATCCGAATTCACTCGGTTCGATTGCCTTTCGAGGGCAACGCCAGTCACTCCTGTCTCCGGATCTCAATCTCCGTCCGTCCCACATATTACACTACAGTGCTAGCTGTATTCCTCCATCAAGATCATGGATCAACAAGGCCAGTCTGGGGTACCAGGCCCTGCTGGGCGCAAGCTCCACATCGCTCACCGGAGAAGTCCATCTGAGCTGACCCCTTTGATGAGTACGATCAAACTCCTGTCACCCTGCTCCCTCCCAAAGACCGCCCAGCTAACTCGTCACCTGTCATTTTTAGTGGAACAACTGGCTATTCAGCAACAAATTGAGCTGCTTCAGCAGCAGCAACAACAGATTGCCGCGACACACCAACAGTACGTGAACATGGGTCTCCTGCAGCCCCAACAGCTGGGCCAGGTCAACGCCTTCTCTCCAGGCGGCTCCATGGGTGGTGTCTCTCCTCAGGTCAACGCCTTCCAGTTTCCCCAGCAGCAACAGCAGCTTGGGGTGCCCATGAACGCACCGAACCAACACTCCCACCGTCGCAATCAGTCTGCTCTCCCTGGCCTTCCTATGGGTCCTCCCCCGGCTCCGTCGTCTGGTGCTTCCGGATACGCCGATTACAACCAGCAAGGTCAAAATAATCACCAGAAGAATGAGAACACCAACCACGGTCGTGGTCGTGGTGGACCCCCTGGTGGAGGTCACCAGCGCCGCCACTCCCTTGCCCTTCCCGAGGCGAAGAAGGCTGCCGAACTGGCTCAGCAGAAGCGTACAGCCTCTGGATTTCAGTTCCCTGCTCCCGCCCCAGGGTCGGAGAACCAGTCTGTTTCGGATGACAAGCCCGGTTCCAGCACTTCTCCCGCACCGCAGGGTCTCGGTCTTCAGCGTGCTGGAAACATCCGCGCTGGCGGCCACGGTCGCAGTCAGTCGATGGCCATTGGTGGTAACCGAGGCTCCTTGTCTGGACGCGGTGCAGGTGGTTTCCAGTTCCCGGCTCCGAGCGAGGGCCAACCCGACAACCAGCGCCGCGGTAGTCAGGCTGGCGGCCACGCTCGCACTGGCTCTCGAAACTTCGACGGCAACTGGCGCCAGCCCAACAACCAGAACCAAGGACAAGACCAACAGAAGTCCTTTGGTGGTCAGCAACAGCAGGGTGGGTTCCAACCCGGTCACCGTTCGCGTGGCTCTATGAACCAGTCGATGGGCTCCATCGGCCAGTTCCAGTACCCGGGTCAGCCCCAGCTTATCCAGCTGCCGCAGGGACAGGTCATGATGGCCAACCCGCAAATGTTCGCCGGCGGCCAAGCGCAGCTGACCCCTCTGCAGCTTGCTCAACTCCAGGCCCTCCAGCAGCAGAGCGGCCAGGGCATGGGAGGCCTTCAGGCGAGTCAGCACGCACCTCCTCAATTGTCTGTTCAGCAGCAGCAACAGCAGCAACAGCAGCAGCGGAAGACTCTTTTCACTCCTTACCTGCCCCAGGCCAATCTGCCTGCGCTGATCAGCAACGGTCAACTCGTTGCTGGTGTTCTGCGCGTCAACAAGAAGAACCGTTCCGATGCCTACGTGACTACACCCGACTTGGACGCCGATATCTTCATTTGCGGTAGCAAGGACCGCAACCGTGCTCTGGAGGGTGACTTTGTCGCCATTGAGCTCCTCGACGTTGATGAAGTGTGGAACCAGAAAAAGGAAAAGGAGGAGAAGAAGAAGCGCAAGGATATCACCGACGCACGCTCTGGCAGCAACGCTGGAAATGACAAGTTGGGTCGTTCTGACTCCAATGGCGACAGACAGGAGATCGGTCCGGATGGAAGCATCCGCCGCCGTGGCAGTCTTCGCCAGCGTCCCACCCAGAAGAAGAACGATGACGTCGAAGTTGAGGGCCAGAGCCTCCTGCTTGTTGAGGAGGACGAGATTAGCGACGAGCAGAAGCCTCTGTACGCTGGCCACGTCGTTGCAGTTGTTGAGCGCATTGCCGGACAGATGTTCTCCGGAACTCTTGGACTTCTTCGACCTAGCAGCCAGGCAACCAAGGAGAAGCAGGAGGCTGAACGTCAGGCCAGAGATGGTGCTCACGGTCGTCACCAGGATCGCCACCAGGAGAAGCCTAAGATCGTCTGGTTCAAGCCTACTGACAAGCGTGTGCCCCTGATCGCAATCCCCACTGAGCAGGCTCCTCGGGACTTCGTTGAGAAGCACCAAGATTATGCCAACCGCATCTTCGTTGCTTCCATCAAGCGTTGGCCCATCACCTCCCTGCACCCCTTCGGTACCCTTGTCGAGCAGCTCGGAGAGATGGGTGACCTGCGCGTTGAGACCGATGCCCTTCTTCGTGACAACAACTTCGGTTCTGACGAGTTCTCTGATGCGGTTATCAAGAGCATTGGCTGGGAGGATTGGTCAGTCGCCAAGGAAGGTGACGCGCTTGCTTCTCGCCGTGATTTCCGTGAGGAAACCACTTTCACGATCGATCCCGAGGACTCCAAGGCCCTCGAGGATGCTTTCCACGTCAAGAAGCTTGCCGATGGAATGGTTGAGATTGGTGTCCACGTTGCGGATATTGCTCACTTCGTCAAGGGTAACTCTCTCGTTGACCGGGAAGCTAAGAAGCGCGGCACTGCGGTCTACCTGGTGGACCGTGTCATGAACATGCTGCCTCCCCGTGTCTCCACTGAGCTTTGCTCCCTTGTTCCCGGTGAGGACCGCCTGACGGTCAGCGTTGTCTTCAAGGCCAACCCGGAGACTGGTGCGATAGACGACGACGTTTGGATCGGCAAGGGTGTCATCAAGAGCGCTGGTCGCCTCGGCTATGACGAGGTTAACTCTGTGCTCACTGGCAAGTCGACCTCGACCGGTGCTGGTATCACTGCAGACAACCTTCAGTTGCTGAACGTAAGTCTTCGTCTTCCTTTCCGTATTTAATCAGACACTCAACTAACGATCTTCTTTCTAGGATGTTGCGAACAAGTTCCGTGATGCCCGGTTCGGCAACCGTGCGGCCAATGTCCCAAGCCTGCGTCTCCTTCAGCAGCTTGATGATGAGAATGTTCCCGTTGAGTACAACATCTTCGACTCTACCCCGGCGCACGAGCTTGTGGAGGAGCTCAGTCGCCAGGCCAACTTCTACGTTGCCCGGAAGCTGGTCACCGCTATGCCCGAAAAGGCATTCCTGCGTCGCCAGCCTTCCCCCAACCCTCGCCGTCTGACCCTGTTTGTGGAGCGGATGAACCGTCTCGGCTACAACATCGACTCCTCCAGCAGCGGCAGCCTCCAGAGCTCGGTTTGCAAGGTGGAGGATGTTGAGCTGCGCAAGGGTATGGAGACTCTGCTTTCCAAGGCTATGCAGCGCGCCAAGTACTTTGTTGGCACTGGTGCCGCGGACGAGCAGCGCCAGCACTACACTTTCAACGTGCCTGTTTATACCCACTTCACCAACCCCTCTCGCCGCTATGCCGACGTTATTGTGCACCGTCAGCTCGAGGCTGTCCTTTCTGAGGGCGCAATTGAGTTCACCGATGATGCTGAATCCTTGAACAAGACCGCCGACCTTTGCAACAACAAGAAGGACTCGGCTCTCAATGCTCAGGAGCAGAGTGTGCACATCGAGGCCTGCCGCAAGATGGACCGGAAGGTTCACGAGATTGGTGGAGATCTCATCAGTGAGGGTATCGTTCTTTGCGTCTACGAGTCCGCCTTTGACGTTCTCATTCCTGAGTTCGGCTTTGAAAAGCGCGTCCACTGTGACCAGCTGCCGCTGAAGAAGGCCGAGTACCGCAAGGACAGCCGTGTTCTCGAGCTGTACTGGGAGAAGGGTGTTCCTTCCTCTGCGTACATTCCCGAGGATGAGCGTCCCAAGCCCGGCAACTCTCGTGCAGCCCAGGCTGCTGCCGCTGCCCGTGAGGCTGAAGCTGCCAAGGAGCGTGCTCGCGAGCGCGATGAGGCCATGCGCAAGCAGACCGAGACTGGTACCATGTCCGCGGATGACGTTGATGCCCTCTTCGATGACGATGAGGATGTCGACGAGGTGACCGAATTGGCCGCTGGCGTGTCTCTAAACTCCGCCGACCGGTCGACCCAGAGCATGCCTCCCTCTCCCACTCGCAACGGTCACCACCAGCAGGGTCCTCACCGCACTCGCTCCGACCCGAAGATTGCTTCAAGCACCAGCGATGCTCCTGAGAGCAAGATGACCAACAAGGAGAAGTACCTGAAGCTGTTCAAGCTGAGAGAGGAAGATGGCGAGTTCATCCAGGATGTCACCGAGATGACTCGGGTCCCTATCATTCTGAAGACCGACCTCAGCAAGAGCCCACCGTAAGTTTCATCCTTTTCTTTTCACTACTTTCTGCCGTATATGTTTGATTGGCACATCCCATACTAACTTCATTTTGCAGTTGCCTGACTGTCCGGTCCGTCAACCCCTATGCCCTGTAAAAGTGCTCTGCAGCGGTTGTCCCCCTTTCTTGGGAAATATTATTGCATGTCTATCCTGCAAATTCTTTGGGTGTTTTTGAGCATGGCCCCCATGATCTCCCAACCCCCATGGACATAATTCTCCCCCAACATGCGGATCGAACATATCATTATCTGAAAATCCTCTGATAACACCGATCCACCCTTATATCTCTACCCGACTCATCTTTCCGACGTGTCCTGGGGGTCCCTTATACTTATTTGTCTGTTATATGTTGTGCAGCGGTTGTCTGTTTTTTTTAGTTTTTTTTCCTTATTTTGCGAGCATCTGAGTTTCTTCTCCCGGAGAAAGAAAGAAAGTGTGGCCCTACCTTTCAGCTTGATCTCTCCAAACCCCTTCCCTCCTCCATGTCTTTGCGCTTTCGGGGGGTCTTTGCTATTATTTGCAGTCTTGCGCGATGCTTGGAATGGGTGGTTCAAGGGAGAAAGATTGATTGCAGCTCGATAGTTTCCGAAGAGTCCTCTATTAATCCAGGTATTCACATCGCCTTTGCTTTTCAATTAGTAAACGTACAAATTCAGAATTCTTGCAGTTCTACAATGATCCCCGAAGTGGCTACTTAGGTGCTAGCATCGAGTTTCGAACATGGTCATATTGATTGTCTATCCAGACCCTCACGCACGCTCACAACACATCTTTAATGGCTTGAGCAACATACGCAACATTGCCCTCGTCCAATCCACTGAGGCTCATGCGCCCATTGCTCAACATGTAGATATGATGCTTCTCCCTCAACTGTTGCACTTGAGCACTAGAAAGCCCAGTAAAGCTAAACATACCGATCTGCTGCTCAATGTGACCCCAATCCCCTTGAGCACCAAGCGTCTCCAATTCCGACTTCAGCAATGCTCTGACACCTTTAATCCTATGCGCCATCGTCTTCACATCTTCGTGCCACTTGGAGACTAACTCAGTATCATCCAAAACAGTATGAACAAGCCGGGCACCGAACAAAGAAGGACATGAGATCTCGGCGCGAACCAATCGGACTAGATGCGCCTTGGCTCCCTGAGTGGGGAGCAAGGGTGGAGTGATCAAGTGAAGCGCGCCAATTCGTTCACCGTAGAGTCCGAAGTTCTTCGAGAGTGATTGACAGACGAACATTCCTGCCGGTCCGGTTGAGGATGATGACTCGGTGAATAGCGTGGTGTAAAAGTATCGGATCGCCCATGCGTCGGCGTCGGCAGCTCCAGATGCGAAACCCTGATACGCGCAGTCAAAGATCACGATCAACTTCTTGCGTCGCACGGCATCGGCGATTTTCTTCCACTGGTCCTGCGTCGGATCAATGCCGGTGGGATTATGGGCGCAAGCGTGTAGAATCACGACATCGTTTTCTTCAGCGGACTTTTCTAATTCAGACAGCATCCCGTCGAAATTGAGTCCCCGGGTACACGGGTCATAGTACGGGTATAGCTTTCTTGTCACATTGGGTGCGGCTATTTCCCAAATCAAATGGTGGTTATCCCATGTTGGATCAGAAATGAACACGTTCTTAGGACGAAGGTTCCTCGCACAGAATATCGCCGCGAGATGGTTTGCGCCTGTTCCTGCGACGGCTTGGATACTTGTTATATTGTCCTGCGAGGCGATTGCAGGACTGAAGAGGAGGTCGCGTGCTTTGGTGAGGAATTGGGCGTGGCCGGCTATAGGGAGGTATTCGTGGTTGACTTGTTGATTGTGGAGGGTTTGTTCGGCCTGGATTGGAGTGAGAATGAGATTGGTGGATTGAATTGTGGGGGTATCGGATTTGATTTTACCTCTCTTATGCTAGGTAGGACCCATGGCTGGCAATTGTTGTCTCGGTAGACGCCTTGTCCTAGGTTGACCTTGTTGGGGAATGTGTCCTCGTTGTAGGCTGCTGTCAGGGCGAATGACTCGGGCTGCGGTAGCACTGGTAGATCGCCGAGATTTGTAAATGCCATATCTTTCTAATAATCTAGTGTCTGTTGAAATTTAGAATCTCTTCCAGAAATATCGATGTGAGTATGTCCCAAGGCGTGATACAAGCGTACCAGTGTCAATTCGTGATGGTTATAACAGATGAAAGTGATATTTAGCTATGTGAACTAGGACAGAATCAATTATTTATTTGAGTCATATATAGTAATAACCCCTCCTAATCGACAGCCCTGGTGAATCGGCAATCGGGCACTTGGCCGAGAAACTACTCCTGATGATGGTATCTCGGTTGGTTGACTCGGGCTCGGCTTCCGGGTGCCGGTTGGAGCATCCGATCAAGGAACACTGACTGATGCCTGCTTAGGAGGAGTAATACCCTTGCCAAACGTTGATATCTTGATACCAACACGGTAATATCAATGGTTCATTTGAAATGTATCAATCGGTATTTAACTGATTAAGCTCATCTACTGCGCCCTAAAAGGAACTCACCCAATTCGCAAGCCGAGTCTCTCAAAGACTGATCCTCGAGAAACATCCCGTCAGACCAAACGAACACTTTATCCGCAAGAAAACTTTTCCTTATTGAGATAATGCATTTTTCATAGTAGAAATGAAGACTAGTGACGTTGCGCAGCAAGTGATCTTGTTGCAAGCTCAGCTTTGCGGGGACCTCTTGATGACAGCTGGGCTAACAAACATTGATACCAAACACCTGGCCCTAGCCTCGCAGTCGCTGTCCTTCTTCATTACTCTGATACCCTACGTGCGCGAGTGTGTTCGTCGGCGACCGTCCATAACAGTCCCCGGCATGGCAGAGTATGACCGGTTAAAGCGCATATTCCAAGACCATCAGTCCGCTATCCACGACAAGCTCATCAACATAATGAGTTTTCGCGCCACCGTTTGCATCAAAGAGATGAATAAGATCAAATGGGATGACGAAGATGAGGTGCAGAGGAACGTCAGTCTACACATAGAGACGCTCACGAAAGAGGTGCTCACGCTACACCGAGTGCTGAGCAAGCACCTGCCCACGGTGACCGTGAGCATGATTGTCGGACAGGTCTTTACGAACTACAAGGAGCAATGGAGTAAGGCTTTCGAGGGTGCGGCGATACAGACCGAGGCCAGAAAAGCGAGGTTAGCATCTTGTTCGAGAATATGTTCGTTGCTGGCTAAACAATGTGTAGGCTTCTGCGAGATGCGGAGCTTCTTGAATCTAAGCTCGGCAAGATTGACGGCGGACAAGTGCTCGGCGTGCACATAATTAATATTGTCAAGGCGAAAAGTACGAGCGAGAGCAGGCCCGCGTAAGAGCAAAACGCCGTATACCACAATGAACGGCCCAAAACGCATAGTAAATGCTCCACCAATAATATGAAAGTGGCCTTCACGAGGTTGCTAGGCGGGCGAAAGCACGGCTGCGATGGAGCTAATAGCACCGTGGCTTCTTTAGGGAATTCGTGGATCAGATAAAGAAACCCAAGCCTTAAGAATCATGAAGATGCTTTAGAGTAAAGAGCTTAGGCACAGCAAGCAGTTTGCAGTCAATTTCTCTTAAATTGAAAATCAGTTAAATTCATTCCCCCATAATGTACACCAAACACTCCGTTTCTATCAATCATAAACCAGGGGGTATCGTATGGCATCAAGCAAATGGAAAACCCAAATGCAGAAAACAAAGCAAAAGCAAATGAAACGGAGAACTCGCAGAGACAATTACAGTCTGCGTACACCAATCCGGGGCTTTGACTTGGTCCCGGCAGGCTTGCGTGCGCTTCCGCCGACCTTCTTGGTGACCCTGTGAGGAGGTTTGGCCTTTGAAGTGACCGAGGGGGCGGGCAGAGTCGGGCTCGGTCCCGAAGACAGAGGGTTGGTGCTATTGCCGAGTGTCGCAGCTTGCATGTCGGGTCTTTCCTTCAGGCCCAACAAGCCAGAGTCATGGTTCTCCTTTCCGTTGTATCGAGTCCGATCGGGGACATCCTCGTAGATTTGGAGATCATCGCGCAAGCGGAAGGGAGTGTTGTTTCCCTTACTCGGAGACAGCTTGGGGGGATTGCGCTGCGGCGAGGGAGAGTGTCGGGAATGGATGAAATTGGCGGCGATGTTTCGGGCTGAAGGAGATACCTGAGCAGACTCCTCCTCCTCCTCCTCCTCCTCAGAGTCCGAGTCGATGATCATCATATCCGCGTCCGGGTCGTCGGGGTACGAGGTGGAAATGACGGAGAGTGGGCGCTTGCCAAGCGTGTTCTTGCGTGGGCTTGGAGGTGCCGGGAGGACGGGAGTTGGTGATAGTGAGGGGTCATTTTCTTTGCCTGAAGCAGCGAGACTTTCGTTCTCACTGTCGTTCATGGCGTCATCTTGATCGCCGTTCTCTGGAAGAGTAGGCAGGGAGGGCTCAACGACAGCGTGTGGCAGGTGATTCTCAGGCGGATTCAGTCTGCGGACTGTCTTCTTGGGGATGTTGGATCGCAAGCGGGGCTGTTTTCTTGGGCGAGGGCTTTGGACCTCATCTTGGTCCACCGGGATGGAACTGGGATCCTCGCCTCGATACTTGGCTTCCTTCACAGCAGCTTGCATCGCAGGTTTAATTGGCGCATGAATCGAGGTCATCAGTTTGGCTTGATGGGCAAATGCCTCGTAATCCTCTCGGAGAAGGGTTCCAGCACTTGCATTGAGGGCAGAGTCTGGATTTGGGTGAATGAGAAGGCAGGAAATGGTCTGCAGGTGAGAGAAGACAGGGTCAGCTTAACTGATCCGCAGGGGACTAACCAGGGAAACCACTAGGGTGAGCGAGGCTTTCAGACGGCAACACTTACAACAAGCACGTCGCGCAAGGTCAGCTTGGACTGCCAGTCCCTCTTTAGAGTATCCACACAAACTGCGCCTGTGTTCTCCTCCACATTCGGGTGCCAGATCTTCGTGCGGAAGGTCGCCTTAGGTGGGCTCTTGGGATAATCCTCCGGCATCTTCAAGTCCAGTCGCCACAGACCCTCTGCGTACGGGGTGCCCGGAGGCCCAGTGATGAGCACCTTCAGTTGAGAAAGGTCGTCTCCCATGGCGAAACGGCCATCATGTGGTAGCAAGAGGTAGTACGGTGGAAGGTCACGGTTGAGGGCAGCATGGTCTGTCGCCAACCGGCGCAAGTTGGAGACCTTAACCATCGTGTCAGTACAGTGAAGCACTTATTGCGCGCTTGATCATGCACATCGGGATAGATGTGAATTTAGGGATGGGACTTACCATGATGGCGGGTGCAGTTGTGATGATGATGAAGTAGCTTGGAGCGAAACAAAACAGTTGGTTACTTCGTCGACGGGTTGTTTGGAGCCGCTAATCCCGATGTAGTGGAGGCGGTGACGCGTGTTGACGCGACCGCGTTAACTCATTACGTTTCCTAATCGGGCACACTCGTGTCAACATGGCTTAGCTTTGCTTATCTTCGCTCAGCTTTGGATGTATACAAGTCGATTGGTATATTGTTTATTTTCATATATTACCCTACGCATTACTAGGCTTTTAAGTGCCATTGAATAAAGCTACGGGTCTTGGTTCGTCAAGTTCCACTTGTTGAAAGGTCCACAGTCGGTCCCACAAGGCCTTGATGTGAGAGCCCACGACGGGTTAGATTGAGATTTGTAGCTCCATCTAGAGAGTCAGGCCTGTAAATTCAGGCATATACTGCCAGCGCTGTAACAAATTATCACCCAGTGACCTTAGCACCTAGGCTGTCTATACTTTGAGGTCTAGCAATAACCAATCGTCAGAGACATCAGTTAAGGAATGGGAGTCTGTCCGACCTTGTATTTACCAAAGAATTAAGCTAAGCTAATCATGACAATGGAAAAGACGTTAAAGAATAATAAAAAATGTAATGTTAGATGGGGAAACGGGTGCGCCATGGGTACGCTGTCCGATTGACGAACCAAAATAAAAACAGATACAGATTGTCCCCAGAATGAGATGGCCAAATTACAGATGTCCCCGAATATTAAGCGCGAAAGAAGGAAAGTAACGAACAAACAACCAGAAACCTTGCTAGAATTTTCATGTCCCTCGTCCCATGGACTGCACCAACTGAAAAAGAATGGGCAGCCCGCATTGTTATGACCATGTTCCACTTCATTTCAAACCTGGAATCCATTTCGGAGTATTTGCAGGGAATGGATTCTCAGCACGAGATGAAGAAGTTCATATCGGTCATAGATAACTCGTAGAGCTAGCTGCTTCACAGAGCGAAAGCAGCCAGGGCAGCCAGACCGGCCAGACCCATGGGGCCAGCGGTGGCCATGGCAGCACCACCGGTGGAGGAAGAGCTAGAGGCAGTGCTGGAGGAGGAGCCGCTGGAAGAAGAGGAAGACGAGCCAGTCTTGGTGGAGGTGCTGGTCTCGGTGGAGGTGCCAGAGGACTTGGTAGAGGAGGTGAAGCCACTCTTGGAGGTAGAGGTGGAAGCACTGCCGCTGGAAGAGGCGCTGTTGGTGACGGGAGTGACCACGGGGGAGGTCAGGCCAGCGGGGATGGAGGCAGCAGGCTGCTGGGAGGTCACAACGGCGGGCTGGGTAGTCACGGCAGCGGGCTGAGAGGTGACGGCATCAGGCTGGCCGGTGACCACACCGAGGGAGTTGGTCTCGGTCAGGTACTTGGTGGCAGGGTTACCCTATGAGTATGGTAGTTAGAATCGGTTGGTCAACCAGAAAGTGTTTCCTGGAAAGATTGTACTTACCTCGGTAGAGCTGGAGGAGTCAGCGGCGATGGCACCCATGGCCAGGGCCGAGAGAGAGGCGACGATGAAGGAGGCACGCATTTTGATGGTGTTGATTTGTGTGGTTGAGAAAATATTACTGGGAGAGAAGATGTTTATGGAGATGTGTAGAGGTGGAGAGAGAGGAAGAGAGCGAAAGTCACGGCGAGCAAAGCGAGCGTCGGCGGGATATTAATTAAAGAGGAAGCTGGTTGTCTAGGGAAACAAACAAAACGTATACTGACTGGGAAACAGGGAAAACGGGGGATTGTCTTATATCTGTTGGATCTCCAGTCTCCTCCGTTGTGCTCTGTACACAAGCACTGACACGCCATCCGCCATCCTCAGCCATCTGGGCTGAGGGTTGGCCAATCGGACCACCGAACACCTAAGAAATAAGTGGAATTGATTGGAAAAGAGGAGAAAATCGTCGAACCGAGTGGGCCTCGCCTGGGTAGGAATCGATTTAGCGCGGCAGCTGGATCTGCAAGGTCGAAGGGTTTCTATTTTGGTGAGTGTCTGGGGTCACACCGGATGACTGCCGTGCAGCAACGCTGGCGTAAGCTGTTTTGGTTGACGAGGTTACCATGGACGGAATAGTGATTTACATACATAATACTATTCGTTTGGAGAGTGTAGATCTCATTGATAGTTGTAGTGATACCTAGAGTTCATAGGATCACTACAATGGTACGCATAACAGAAAATAGTAAGGAGTTTTCTCCGACTCTTCGTACGTTTGATTCTCAAGTTTAGTTTGGATCATTGAGGATCCACCCACCCTGTCATTTTATTGCAACGCACGGCCATTCGGAGCCTCCTACGTACAGGGCGTTCCTACGTACAGGGCGTGGCGATATCATACGAAACAAGTATTTGGTCAATTGATGATGATGGACTTAATTAAGAGAGGGGTCCTGGGAGCTGGGAGCATCCCGTCTTTGCTTCTTTCCCCCTGACGAGGAGCAGGGATGATACAGATCCATTATTGTTAATAGGGAGAAGCAAAATCGAGAGATCATAAGCATAGAAAAAATTGTACATATGAAGTATGTATGAAGTATGTATGTACTCCGTATTGAAAAGAATGGTGGGCAATAGTGAACAGTAAAGTTTGTAGTTCCAGTTTACAGTACAAACATCTCGCAAGTCTATCTGGAGAAGAGGAGTACAGCGTGGTCCAGTTCACTTCGGCACCCTCGCCCGAAAAGCCTCCATCGAGTCCACTGCGTTATGCCTGAAGAAAACCTCCCCTCGACAGACCGCGTGGCGGCATACGCATTCCTCCCCAAGAAGCCCAGTCATAAGAACATCCAAAGTTTCTCTCTTACCACACCATCCTGGATTGACTTTTTTTTCTCAACGGTTTCGCGTTCGTCTATTTTCTCATTATTCAATCCACAACCCCTCCTCGGATCAGGTTTCCCCAATTTCCTTGCTCGTTCCAAGGCAGAGCGGGTGCCGTTCGACGTGGCGTATCGGGTGAGACCGCCAAGAAAGCGAGACTAAGACTAGCTTGGGACGCGGATCGCCCGACAAGGTGAGACATCACTTTGTCGGCTATGATTAGTCGCCTATCACAGTCACTACGGAGTACATACTGTATTCAAAGTGGCTATGGTGACGGAATGATCATAATAATGAGGAGCCAGGCAGAAGTTCTGCAAGGCAATGCACCCAGCACAAGTTCGCTCTGGTGTCTGGTGTTCAGTTCGCAATGGTGCCATTTAGGCTCTGATTGTGTTGGTTCGTACCAACAAGTGTACACCTTCTCGGGAAAACCTTGTAACTGTCCTGGGATAACTCAAAACTGAATTACACGCCGTACATATGCAAGGTCCCCTCCCGTACTGAACCTACACTTTTGGCATCCATGGGTCATAAACAACAGAAATAGTAACATTTCGAATCCTAACGAGTGAGGTCCAGACCTACTCTTCCAAGCCATGGAGGACTGCGGTGGGCTTCTTTCCACGGGAAATCCTAACGGTTGATCTACCCCATCACCTCCTCTGATACAGTCCGACCTGCTAGGAAAGGCATTTGAGAGCATGCAAAGTGGGTAGCTTTTCCATGATGGCAATAAACATCCTATACAAACTACCTATATCTCTACAAACCCTACACATCCTCAGCAGCAAACACTCGTTTCCAGAAAGAACAATCATGGCTACACCACCATGTAACCCCCGTTCCTGCTGTTTCACCAACATGGTCGAGGCGTCGCAAGCTGGAACATCTTGAACCCTCGGGTGGATTCGAGATCCATTCTACCCTACCAGGGACATATGTACGCGGTACTCCGTACAGTATGATCAATGTCCCTGCCTAGTCCCTGCAGGACCTAACGTGTTTTAAGCTTGAATACATCGTGGAAGAAACGGTCCCTGGTCTGGTCTACTATTCGTGCGACAATAAATGCGTATACTGTACTCGACTCTGTGAGACAGAGGATGAATGCACTAGCCAAGCAAAGAATACGTATAGTAGGACTATGTGCATCATCTGTACGGAGTAGTAGGCGATGCAAACGGATAGCTTCTCGACTCTACCGTATATGTTAAGTGAACAATTGCGCTACCAAAAAAATCTCATTTACAATGCGCCGAGCCTCCTTCATACCTGCACAGAGGCCAAGAAAAAAAGGCCCAAAGCCAAAAGAAATAAGCAATACAGAGAAAAGCAAAATGTGATTCGCCCCGTAGCCGTCGACGCATGATCCTTGCTGGCCGGCATATCTTTATTTCGGCCAATACTTGCCACCGACGGCGATCGACGCGCTGAGTGGTGCCATTCGCAGGCTCGTAGCCAGGTTGCAGTTCCTGATCTTATGTCGTTGATCACATGCAGACTGTCAATATCAGATGTCGCCATCTGGGCATAGGATCACCGCTCACTCTTTCTGTTTATTAGCTGAGGCACTAGATGCAGTGCAGACTGAGAGAATACTCGCAGGCAACCCCATCAATAGTTCCATCGGCCATGAGGCAGGAGAAAAAGAAGGGAAGGTTAAAGACCGAAACGCCGTATGTACGTACTGATCGGCTTCGAAGGCGGATAGGATGGATTGAGGCTCCCTCGCAGCAATAGTAATGTCTATAATACAAAAAATGCGACGCCACAATAATCTCCAACATTATGATACCTCCTTTTCCATAATCACTGCTTGTTCACCACATCCTTCTCCCGCATCCAATCCGCAAACTCCTTCCGCTTAGCCTATGAAGTAGACTCGGGTTAGCATTGACCATAATAGGATAGTGTTCTATGCTGGCTTCGAACACCATTGCCAGCTCAAGGAGCTCGACATTGAAAGAATCGAAGAAGGACAGGATGAGATAAGAAGAGTCCATAACTTACCCGAATATCCCAGAACCCATGGCGCTCCTCCAAGCTCAGATACGGATTACGCGCACCACCATTCCGCTCAATTTCACCCGCCCAGTCACGCCAGCTAATCGGCTTCAACTTCTCTGCACCGAGAACCAGTCCAACAGAGACAATGACGACGGCAACCAGGACTTCGGCGATGATATCTTGCGGGAGGGCGGTGGAGGAGGAAAGGCGGGCGTTGCTGAAGAGCACGGTGTGTTCGTGGGCGGAGTAGCCACTGCAGATAGAACAGCTTGTTAGTTTATCAATTTCAGATGATGGATAGGGAGGGCCGGTCTTCGGTTGGAACGTACGCGTGGGCCAGCAGGACCAGGCCGAATAATGTGACGAGGCGCGAGAGGAAGCTCATGGTGATGAGGTGGTCAATTGGGGAGGTGTTTTGGAGGAGTGGTGTATCCCAGTGTAGTGGGCTGGAGATATATCCTGTAATCAATTCAAAGTGAATAATTCAGATGGCAGGATAGACCCAGCGATTGATCGATAGCTCTGGAGGGTAGACTTAGGGTCCTGGATCACTCGTCATGGGAATTCGGATTGTCTCTGGATGTCCGCCATCCAAGCCGCCCGCGTTGAGATTACCTAAGCATCTGGCGTTGGCCGGGGGGAAGCTCAAGTCCAGCTGGGTATCTAAATGCTGCTACAATCATGATTAAACCCCTCGCTGCCTACTGCATAGCTATAGACCAATTGAGAAGTACTGTTTTGCTAATGATTGAGTTTGACCACCCTCCATCTGTGACCTGTGACCACTGTCATTCGATTTGGTGCTGTCTAGCTAGCCGTCCTGCGCTGAATATATATCTCAGTTGCATAACTCGTGATCGAATGATTTGCTACATATCGGCTACAAGATTGAGAAATTTCCAAAGTTTGAAAACATCCCAATGACCATGAATGAAGTCATCGAAACACTTCTCATATCCATTGCCATGGGAACCTGCCAAAGGCAAGGTTAGGCAGGACTGGAGGCCATCACCCCGAGCCCCGCACCCGAACCTGCTAGGAAAAAAAATTCTACCCCGCCATGCAACCTCACGATGCGCAAACTGCTGCCACCTACGAGGATCTCACCAAGAGAAGTATTTAGATTCTGTTACATAGAAAACACGATGGGTCATGAAAATTTTTTAATTTTTTCATCAGACCAGCCATTGTTAGACTGGATTCTAGGTTCGTTACTATTTGGGGGTTCCTAAGACATCAAAAATTCCATCATCACGCCATTGCCACATCGTAAAATGGGACATCATTTACAGCTTCTGCATGGCAGCAATGTCGGTGGACTGGACGTGGTCCTCATCCTCCTCGATCTGAGCCTGGAGAGCATCGGTGGAGACCTTCTCGTCCTCGACGACCAGGTTGATCTGGAGCTTCTTGATACCGAAGCCGACGGCGACCAGCTTGGAGGCACCCCACACAAGACCGTCCATCTCGATGGCACGGACGTTCTCCTCCATCTGCTTGAGGTCGGTCTCATCATCTGTGAGGGCAAGTTAGTAAGATGAATCCACCTATCTCTTAAAAAGGACACATACCCCAGGGCTTGACCTCGAGGGTCACCAGAGACTTGGCGGCGGGCTTGGGGCCCTTAGCGGCCTTCTTGGCCTTGTACTCCTCGAGACGCCTGTTGCGCTCCTCGACAACGGCGGCATCCTCCTCCTCAGAGTCGGAACCGAAGAGGTCCTCCTCGTCGTCCTCCTCGGGCTTGTCCTTGGGGTTGACGGGGAGCTCGGTGGACTCGGGGCCGTAGGCAGTGAAAGCCTTGGAGGAGTCACCGGGGAGGGTAGAGAACTCGCTCTCGTAAGAGGCGATGTGCTTGTACCAGCGGGCAACGTGGGGGAACTTGGCAGCGTCGGGACCGGCGCTGAAGGCCTTGAAGGTCACAACATCGGCCTGGCTGGGGGCATCGCTGTCGAGAACTGTCAGTTTTTGATGTTCATCGAGAGCAACTTCATGAAAGAGCAGATTGTCAAGGTTGCAACAAAGATCAGAGACGCGATTGCTCGCATTGGATTTAGTCACACAGCGGGGTCTTAATCCGCCTCATAAACACGGACCAATTTTTTCTCATCATAAAAAGCAAGGGAAATCAAAACACGACATTCGGTGTATTTGGACACAAGGAAAACAGAAGCAAAATACCATCAAGGAACGACAGAGGGTGGGAATGGCTTACCCAACGATGTAGCTGCGGGTGGCCAGGTAGTTGTTGGCCACTGAGGCAACAGTCAGTCCATGAGCTCAGGAGAAAATGGCAAGGGAATGCCTACGAGTCAGGCCGGCATCAGAGACGAAGTCGGTGAAACCCATTGTGAATGTAGGATATGTGGTTGTTTGGGGGGTGAGGTGGTTGGTAGAAAGGAAAAAGGGGGAAAGGAAGAAAACACAAAGTGGGAGGAAGACCGAGGGGTAAAGGTTTTTTTCCTCCGTTTAAATTGGGCGCCATTAAGCCACGTGACTCGAGTGGTGACGGAGCTTGGTCCAGTCGCTGCGGAGCTTCCGCCGCTGGGGAGCCACTGAGAGTCTGGCTGGTGGAGCTTTCGAGAAGCATCGCGATGAGCCCGCCAGTGCAGCTATTAAAGCTGTGATCAGCGTCCTCCTCAGGATCTCTCCCGTTTGCACACACAATCACCATCATGGCGGCCCGACTCGCTCTAAACTCGCGCACTCGGCTGCTGCGCACACCTAACCTACCTACTTCCTCCCGACTACTCTCAACCACTACACGCTCCGCGCATCTCCCTCGGATCCTGGCACCGCTCCTAACATCTGCTGCAAGGACGACTTCGGTTACTTCGGTTCGCCACTATGCCAATGGTCGGCCGCACCCGCCTGGCGGTACCCACCGCATGAATATGAGCCCGGAGCCCGAGAAGCCTGCCTTGGAACAATTCGGTGTGGATTTGACGGAGAAGGCGAAAGCTGGAAAGCTAGACCCGGTTATTGGCAGAGACGCCGAGATTCATCGCACAATCCAGGTCCTGTCTCGGCGGACCAAGAACAACCCTGTCTTGATCGGCGCCGCTGGTACCGGTAAGACTGCCGTGCTGGAGGGTCTGGCCCAGCGTATCGTACAAGGAGATGTTCCGGAGAGCATCAAGAACAAGCGCGTGATTAGCTTGGACCTGGGATCCCTGATCGCGGGTGCTAAGTTCCGCGGTGACTTTGAGGAGCGTCTGAAATCCGTCCTGAAGGAGGTCGAAGACGCCGAAGGCAAAGTTATCCTCTTCATTGACGAGCTTCACACCCTACTAGGACTGGGCAAGGCCGAGGGCAGTATCGACGCTAGCAATCTACTCAAGCCTGCTCTGTCTCGCGGTGAACTTCAATGCTGTGGTGCTACAACACTCAACGAGTACCGCCTGATCGAGAAGGATGTCGCGCTGGCTCGGCGATTCCAGCCTATCCTGGTCGGTGAACCATCTGTTGCCTCCACCATCTCCATCCTCCGCGGCATCAAGAACAAATACGAAGTCCATCATGGTGTCCGAATCACCGACGGTGCTTTGGTTGCTGCTGCTACCTACAGTAATCGTTATATCACCGATCGTTTCCTACCTGATAAGGCCATTGACCTGGTCGACGAAGCTGCATCAGCTCTCCGTCTGCAGCAAGAATCTAAGCCCGATGCGATTCGCGAACTCGAGCGTGATATCACCACCATCCAAATTGAGCTCGAGTCCCTTCGCAAGGAAACTGACGTGAGCAGCCGCGAACGTCGCGACAAGCTTCAAGAAGACCTGAAGATTAAGCAGGATGAGGTTGGTAAATTGACGGAGGTTTGGGAGAAGGAGAAGGCAGAGATCGATACCATCAAGCGTACCAAGGAAGATCTGGAAAAGGCTCGGTTCGAGCTCGAGCAAGCTCAGCGTGAAGGAAACTTTGCAAAGGCTGGCGAGCTCAGATACTCGACCATACCTGGCCTTGAAGCCAAGTTGCCCAAAGAAGGCTCAGAGCAGGAAGCTGAAAAGCAAAGCTTGATCCATGACTCCGTGACCGCTGATGACATTGGCAATGTTGTATCGCGGACAACTGGCATTCCTGTCAACAAATTGATGGCAGGAGAGGTCGAGAAGCTAATTCACATGGAGGATACCCTCCGGCAATCAGTCCGTGGACAAGACGAAGCGCTCGCTGCCGTAGCCAATGCGGTTCGTATGCAGAGAGCCGGCCTCAGTGGCGAAAACCGCCCATTGGCTTCGTTCATGTTCCTTGGTCCTACGGGTGTGGGTAAGACCGAGCTCTGCAAGAAAATGGCCGAGTTCCTCTTCTCCACCGAGACCGCAGTTGTACGATTCGACATGAGCGAATTCCAGGAGAAACACACCATCAGTCGCCTGATCGGCTCCCCAGCTGGTTACGTCGGCTACGACGATGCTGGTCAGCTCACAGAAGCAGTGCGACGAAAACCGTACGCTGTGCTTCTGTTCGATGAGTTTGAAAAGGCTCATCGGGATATCTCGGCTCTCTTGCTGCAGGTACTCGATGAAGGCTTCCTTACCGATGCTCAGGGCCACAAGGTTGATTTCAGGAATACTCTGATCGTCCTGACCTCGAACCTGGGCGCCGAGATTCTGGTCGGAGCCGACCCCTTGCATGCCTACAAGGACACCGGCGGCGCTGAGGTCCCATCAGATATCAAAAAGGCCGTGATGGATGTTGTTCAGAATGCTTACCCACCCGAATTCCTGAACCGCATGGACGAGTTTATCATCTTCAAGCGCCTCTCCAAGGAAGCGCTGCGGGATATCGTGGATATCCGACTGAAGGAACTCCAAGGACGCCTGGATAGCCGCCGGATGACCTTGCAGGTAGACAACGAGATCAAAGACTGGCTGTGCGAGAAGGGCTACGATCCCAAGTTCGGTGCTCGCCCTCTCAACCGGTTGATCGCCAAGGAGATTGGAAACCGGCTGGCCGACAAGATCATCCGTGGCGAGGTCACCTCTGGCCAGACTGTTCGGGTATCCCTCAATGAGGACAAGTCTACACTCGTTGTTTCGGCTGAAGGGAAGGTGGAGGAGGAGGCATAATTTGGAAAGATTCAATGGTGTTAATAAGGGCATATGAGGTTGGTGTTCAGGTTTGATTTTCTGTTGCATTTGAATGGTCTCTCACGCAGTCATGATATTTTGTATAATATTGCACTCCAATCCACTGTACATTAACGCAATGCAAGTCATGTATATCATGTTTGTCATGGTCTCTCTACTGTAGTTCGTAGTCATCTTGCTCTAGGCTGGACAACGTGACCTGCTCGCCGTCGCCGCCGGTCTTCCTGGTTTCATCCCACTTCGTCCTTCTGATACTAAGCATTATCTCCGCGCTTGACAAAATGCGTTCATCTCAGAGAAAATACCGCTCACCAGCTGTCTCTCGACATCCTCCTATCACACCAGGGGCTTCAGGATCGAAAACCCGCAATGCAGCTCGGGAGCCCAGCCGCTCATCAGCAGCCCCAAGGAGCTCGTTTCCACGGCCATCATCGTCGTCATCGCGACAAATGCGTACAACTTATCAGACAACAGATACTCCAAATGAGGCAGAGCAATATGATTGTGATGAGGATGACTTGGGTCATGTCATTGCTGCCATTGACATGAAGGATTACGGGACAGTGGGATGCGCTTACTACTCTGCAGAAGATGAGAAGCTTTACCTGCTTGGAGATAGTCGCTCCGGAGGAATGGAAGCGATTGATGCTTGTAAATCATATCTTCTTGTTGCTTATGTTGGCAATTACTGACTCTTCGACTAGTGATCCTTCAAATCAAACCTACAATCATCCTGACACCTTCCCGAGTCGAGATCCCCATTGCGCGAGGCCGAGAGCAGAGTTTGGCACAAGACAGTGGTATCGTCTACTAGCCCAATGTGAAAAATGACGATTGGATCTAAGTTTTGTCTATAGACACTTTGTCCTATCTGCCCTATCAGGTAGACGTTCGACCAACGCAAGAATTCAGCTTCTCGAACGCCCAAAACAGTTTGGTCGCCCTAGACATGTCATCTTCTCACGAAGAACGCATCCGTTTTTTCGTCCCCAGTACTGGCATTGACGGCCCAGAGGAGATTAGTGCTGAAGATATGGGGTTCTCACTCAGCGAGGGAAGACTTCTACACATATCGAGCTCCGTTGACATGGAGAACCCAGTGTCCATCGGTTGTGCGGGGGCTGTTCTTACCCACTTGCAAAGGCGTCGAGCCACGGAAACAAGTATAGGACCGATGGATGACTGTCCATTCAAAGTTCGATACTTGGAGATGTTCAGTTTACGGGATTCAATGTGAGCTGGGATCTCAATGGCACTTCCACCGGGATCCCTCGCTAACCTTGCGTCCCATGATCAGGTGGATCAGTACCAATACCTTCATGTCACTTCAGATCATACAATCCGAGTCCCATCCAAACATGTTCAACCAGGGTCCCGGCACAAAATCTGCTTCGGGCAAAGAGGGCCTCTCGGTATATGGCCTGTTCAACCGGTTCGCATACACCCCTCAAGGCAAAGCGAAGCTCAAACAAATCTTCTTCCGCCCAAGTCTGGACATCGCGTCCATCCGACAACGACATGACTTTATCGGGGTCTTCTCACGGCCAGATAATATGGCTGCTCTGGAGAAAATTACGAAGGGCTTGAAACACATCAAGAATCTTCGGCCAGTGATGATCAACTTGCGAAAGGGAATCAGTACTGGGAGTGCGAAGATGACTGGTTTCAAAGCTACCGTGTGGGCAAGCTTGCTAGCTGTACGTATTCTCATATGCACAACTATTATCCGCTGACACCGCGTGTTCAGTTTGCATTCTACTCGATTGACATCCACGATGCTCTGCGGGAGGTCTCGGGTGCGAACATCCTGCCATTGCGGGCAAAGGTGAGGACCTTATGCTGGACAACAAAGCTGGACAAGCTAACCGAGTGTAGGCCCTCCGAGTATTCGAGGCAGCACAACTTTATCGTGTGGGGCGGATGATCCAAGAGATAGTAAGAACCTTTTTACCTAATACCCTGGAACTAATACTAATTTGTGTAGGTGGACATTGACAACTCAGAAGAACAAGGCAGAACAGTTGTCAAGCAGGGTCTTGACCGCGAGCTTGATAGAATGAAAGATCGATATGACGGTCTGAACAGTCTTCTCAAACACGTCGCCATCGATATTGCAACCACAATTCCAGAACAGCTGGACATCGATGTGAATGTTATCTACTTCCCGCAACTAGGATTCAACATCGCCATCCCACTTAATGACCGGGGTCAAGCAGCCTACTCTGGTTCTGGTGAGGACTGGGAGTTGGTTTTCATCACGGAGACCCGAGCTTATTTCAAAGACTTTCGCATGCGGGAATTGGATGAAAATCTGGGCGATATTTATGGGCTTATATGCGGTAAGGAGCCTGCCTGATGAACAAACTGAAGCCTTTCGGGTAACATGTTATGTACAGAGAAGGAAATCGAGGTTGTATACGACATGGCTCAGAGGATTCTGCAATATGAGGCCGTGCTCGTGGAGGCGTCCGATATCTGCGGAGAACTCGACAGGTATTTTTTCTTCATCAGGACCTATGAGCCAATTCTGACCTTTGAATAGCCTCCTTGCCTTAACACAAGCAGCCAGCTTTTACAAGCTGAGCCGACCACGGATGGTATCCGAGAAGGCCATCAGAATCAAAGGAGGCCGGTAAGAAAGCTCCGCCTGTTGAGATTTTCTTGGTTCTAACACATACTAGTCACATACTACAAGAGTTGACTGTATCTTCTTATGTTCCAAACAATGCTTTGCTCATGGGTGGGCGTCAAGACCCGGTGGACACTTCAACTTTATCGCCACAGGCCCCCAGCATGCTGTTACTGACCGGTCCAAATTACTCCGGCAAAAGTGTCTACATGAAGCAGGTGAGATCAATTAGGATGAAATTCTTGAGTCTCTCTAACGGCTATCTAGGTCGCCCTCATTGTCTATCTGGCGCAAATCGGGAGGTATGTCAGGTTCAAGTTCGCCCCTTAGCAACGGATTCAACTAAGCGGCCACAGCTTTGTCCCTGCAGAGAGTGCAGAGTTGGGGATTACTGACAAGATCTTGACAAAAATCAACACCCAGGAAAGTGTGTCAAAAGTATGTTGACTGGAAGCTTACGGTACAGCTTCTGAGGATCAGAAACTAATCGCATGATTAGATACAAAGCACCTTCATGAGCGATCTGCAGCAAATTTCTCTTTGCTTGAAACAAGTGACAGACCGGAGCTTGGTGCTTATCGATGAGTTTGGGAAAGGAACGAATGAGAGTGGTATGTTTTTTCTTGATGACACTCAGTGTAGAAGCTACCCGGCTAATGTATGCAGACGGCATTGGACTTGCTTGCGGGGTCCTCGAGCATCTGTTGAATCTCGAAGACCCTCCAAAGGTGATCGCAGCCACACATTTCCACGAGATTTTCGAAAACGATTTTCTCCCACCCCGGCCTGGACTTCAACTGGGTCATATGGAGGTGAAAGTCTGCGAGGAATCACAACAGGTGGAAGATCAAGTCACGTATCTCTACAAGTATGTTCCTCCGCTGAATCCGTCATATGCCAGTAACTAATACGAATGTCGCAGCTTTCGCCTTGGCCGAAGCAATAAGAGTTACGGCACTATGTACGAGCCGCTCGCTTACCACCTAAATCATGATGTTTTTAGCTGACAGGGGCTCAGTTGTGCTGCAATCAATGGCATTGATGCGGCTATCGTTGCCCGTGCAAACGAGATTGCATTGCTTGCAGCCCGTGGTGAGAACGTGATTGCTGCATGCGCGGTATTGTCTCCCGAAGAGACTCAGAACCTCCAAGAAGCGGTATGTTTCTAACCCTATGACCGCGACGTGATAATGTAATTATTAATTTTGGATGATAGGATCTTCTAGCGAGGAATTTCCTGAAACTCGACCTCCCGAAAGATGACGATGACTCGGGACAGGATATTAAGGCAGCTCTCGCGGCGGTAGTTACGACACCGGCGTGACGGATTGCACTCACAGGGAGGTCGAGATGGCATCAAGCATTTAGAAGCATGTATTATCAAGGCACTTCGTTCATTGCTGGCACGCTAACCTTAACATATCCTCCTGGGCGAAGATCCGTCTGTTTGGTTCTATGCATTTACAGACACTTTATTCCCATACCGCTCCATCTTTCAGAATGCAATGGACACTAAGCGGGGTTCAACTTGAACGACTGTGTCACTATATGACTGCCGCCCATCCGTGTTTCACCTTCTTTATCCATCTTCGTGCATCTTACCACCCTCATTGCGAATTACATGGATAGCTAGTCAACCTTAGTTGAGATTCAATCCATATACGAGGTTCTTTTCTCTGATGCCCCCAAGCACTTACCTTAATAAACGCGGAGTACCTTCGTGGCCTAGATGGCCCAACTCTCGGAGCTGGTGAAAAGACTTAACCAAGTTGAGCTGGACATAGATTGCAAGGTATTGCGGTATGTGCTGAGGGCCCCTCTGTGGATAAGATGGAAGAAAGAAAGGGGAACCTACGATTGCGATTAAAGGAAGGAGCGTTCTTTTGAAAGCGTAAAATTTGACTTATATACACATCAAATGCCTGTATCTCTGCCATGGACAGTAAACGCCGTGGTAACAATAAGAAGATTTTATCCGTAAAACAAACATCTGTTCCCAATCCCAGCCTCAAAGCCCCAACTTTAGAACTTAACACTCTTAACCAGGTTCTTCTTGATACCTGTAAGCTCACCACCATACCCACCACGGGCCTCGCCACCCTTATAAACCTGGCGAATACTGCCGAGCTTCTTCTTCTTCTCCTCGTACTTCTTGCGCTTCTTGACACGCGGGTTGCGCGAATCCTTACTGCGCTTCGGCGTAAGGCCCTTGTTCTTCTCGATCTGGTATGTGATGGCACGCTTGCCGTCGGCTCCGACCTCTTCCTGGATATGGACTTGGCCGCCTTCGCGGGCTGCAGCGGCGTACGCGTCGGCACGGGCCTTCTTATCGTCCTTGCGTTGCTTGGAGCGTGCAGCAACCATGTCGTAGTATTCGTCCTCGTCGGTACCGGACTGGTTGCCTCCGCTGCGAAGTTCCTTGCGAACACGGTGGTCCTCTTCGTCACTATCGCCGCCCAGCTCTTCGCCGATGTCTGGTCGTTGGCGACCACGCTTCTCGGCTTCGGCATTAAGACGGGCTTGACGGTCCTTGAGACGTTCGCGGTAAGGAATATCGGCGTCACCACCGGCATTTTGACCCGCACTTTGGCGCTTGTTGGCCTTCTGGGCCAGTTGGGAGGTGTAGAAGCGGAGCGAGCGTTTCTGCTTGGCCTTTTCTTCGGCCTCACGAGCCGTCAAAGCATTCTCATCACCAAAGTCTGACTCGTCATCCTCCTTGGAGGACTTCTTAGACTTTTTGGTGTTGCGCTTCTGACCGGGCGCTGTAACCAGATCGTCGAGATCGGCCAGGCCAGCCTCAGTCTGGCGGAGGCGCTCAGCACGACGGGCCTCGGCTTCAGCTCGCGCAGTTTCGGCTGCCCGCTCTGCCCTGCTCAGCTTCTTCTTCTGTGGCACTTCCTTGACTTCCTTGGTCTTCTTCGGCTGCTTCTCGGCCTTGGTAGGTTCGGATGAAGCGGCCTTCACAGGCTTCTGGATGACCTCAACCACCTCTGAGATCTCGAGGTCCTTGACCGTCTCCCACAGCTTTCGGAACTTGACCAGGGAGCCCATCACAGGGTGTTGACGGAGTTGGGCGGGAGACAATGGGACGTCTGCGTCGGAGCCTTCGGGGAGAGGAAGCGAGAAGCATAAAGTACAAGCTGATGGTACCAAGGTACGTTGATAGGGCGCGGAGCTTGACCACTGCCACGGGTGCTGGTTGGGGTTCGTCGGAATCTTCGTCGGGTGTCGAAGTGGCTTTCGAGGCTGCCTTCTGCAGATCCTTGTAGATGGGTTGGAGACTGGCGAATTCCTTGGCCAAGGGCTCGAACTCGGGGTATCTTGAGCTCAGAATTCTCCGCTTCTCATCATCGTCCATGTCCTCGGTGATCTCCAACTGGGGAAGAACCTCGGTGACAACACCGGTGTCCTCTGCATCGTCCTGCCCATCGTTGCCGGACTCCGCCCACTCAGACTCGTCAAAACCAAAGTCAGCCTCATCCATGGCCTGCAGCTGCTTCTGCTGCAGTCTCTTGGCTTCTTGCTCTTCCTCCAAAGCATCTGCCTCGGTCTCGATCTGGTCGGCGTTGTAGAGGTCCTTCCTGGACGAACCCCAGGCGGCGATACCCTCTTCCTCTTCCTCCGACTCGGCACCCCGGGCCTTCTTTGACAGACCCATATCGTCGTCGTCCTCATCGTAGTCATCTTCGGATTCCAGATCATCTTCATCCTCGTCCACCGACTCGTAGCCTAGGATCTCCTCATCGGAGGGCTGAAGAATTTCCTCTGTGTAAATAGTCAGCAATATGTATCAACGGATACAAATTTCAACAATTATCGTACCATCCTCTGCGACTCTGCGGCGACGCTTGGCCTCTGGGGCTTCCTCCAACAGAATCTGGTCACGGTTGGCCTGAAACTCATCTTCTGAGTCCTCAAACCGCTCTTCAATGCTGTACTTTGTGCGCATAGGAGCATCATCTTTCTGCGCCGGGCGACCGCCGGCCTTTCTTTTCTTGCCCATGGTGAATTGTGGTGTCTTGTCACTGCTTCGAGTCGATTTGATCACCGACAAAATAATTTTTTGGACCGACGCTCACCGCCCGCGCAGAAGCTGCTGATGTTTGTCTGGTTTGCAGCGATAAGGCAGTGGGGAGTAACGGCCATACAAAACTTTCATCAATTGGGATAGGTTATTCTGTGGTCTTGTATGGTAACTCCGTCCTACACGGTAACAGGTACCACGAGGCTACGAGTATCAACGCTCCTGCCAGCTTCGGAATCAGCTACATTGAGGGACAGCAACTTCCCCAGTCAGTCCCAATCACACGCCCCAGTCTTGTTTTTGTGTTGTTCTCCTCTTCTTTCCCTTTCCTCATGCCTCATCTACCCTCATTCACTCCCCCATATAATATCTCCACCCCTTTACTCGGAGTATCAATACTGGTCTGCACCGCCATTGCCTATTCGATAGCCAAAATGTTCGGATTCGGTCGCAAGAACGAGTTCCCCGTCGAGGGTCGAGTAAGTTACATGTCCAGTTGGCTTCTTCTCATACAAGGACTGAGTTGCTGACCATCTCCCTTCCAGACTGTCGTGATTACTGGTGGATCTGATGGCATGGGTCGTGCTCTCGCCATCCAGCTCGCCGCCAAGGGCGCTCATGTCGTTGTGGTTGCTCGAACTGTCTCCAAGCTTCAGGGCACTGTTGAAGCGCTCAAGGTAAGTCCACATGATTCCATCCCATTCATTCTGTCTATCCATCCGCCAATCATTCTTCATAGAGCTGTGCCCGGAACCCCGTGAAGCAGCGGTTCCTTTACATCAGCGCGGATCTGATTGATAGCGCTGAATGTGAGCGTGTGGTCGCCGAAGTCACTGCTTGGAACGACGGATGCGCCCCTGATGTCGTCTTTTGCTGTGCCGGCTTCTGCCACCCTGGTTTCTTCACCGATGTGCCCCTTTCGGTCCAGCGCCAGCAGATGGACACTGTCTACTGGACTGCCGCCAACATGGCTCATGCCACTCTCCGCAACTGGTTGACGCCCGTTTCCCCCAGTGAGCAGATCAAGAACCCTCGTCGGCATTTCATCTTTACTTGCTCTACCCTGGCATTCGTTCCAATCGCTGGTTATGGTCCTTACTCGCCGGCCAAGGCCGCCATTCGCTCTCTGTCTGATACCCTCAGCCAGGAGATTGAGATGTACAACGGAGCCTACAACCAGCGACACCGCAACGCGGCTCCTGCTGCCGATATCAAGATTCACACTGTCTTCCCCATGGGTATTCTCAGCCCCGGATTCGACAACGAGCAGAAGATTAAGCCTGATTTGACCAAGAAGCTCGAGGAGGCCGACAAGCCCCAGAGTCCCGAGGAGGTCGCCCGGATTACCATCAACGCCCTGGAGCGTGGCGAGTACCTTATCACCACCATGTTTGTGGGTAACATCATGAAAGGAACTGCTCTTGGAGCCAGTCCTCGCAATGCAATTGTTGGCGATACCCTTCTCAGCTGGCTTAGCAACCTGGTCTTCCTTCAGGTTATCCCTGACCTTCGCAACAAAGCATTCAACTGGGGCAAGTCCAACGGACTTCCCAAGCCTTCGGCCCAAGACCAGGCCTCGTCCTAATTGTCACGAACGGAATGTTTTTGTTCCCGACTCGCTAATCGGTGCTTGTACTATACCCTGCATGTTGCCTACAAGGCTCTTTTCCCTCGTTCGGTCTGATTGAGACGTTACGCTCTCTTTGTCCGAGTGCGATCGGGCACTTCTATTATTAGTTTTAGTGTATGAATCTGTCTTCTAATTCTTTCAATTCATTTTGGCTTGTAAAAGTTTATTTTAGTCCTCCTCTTTCTTGAATTGCCTTTTCCGTTCTACTGTAGACTCGAATTTCAAATCCTCTGCATTTCATTGTGAGTGGCTGCTGTGGAATGCGGGTGGGGATGACGTAGTGGGTTTTTTTGGAACCCCCTCCACCAGCCTCCCCAGTTTTCATTGTTCCTCATTGCGCCAAACCGAGTTTCTCCAGGTTTGAGAGAATGACTTGAAAGAAACTGATCGGTTCCCAGATACACTCGGCCTAACAATGAATCTCTGACTATACAAATCTCGAGTTTCCGCCAGGTTTTCCAACACTATTGCTCGTCGCAAAAATTAACTACTCCGCACGAAGCAACTCTCGCGAACTTGAAGCTGCGACAATTGTACACACATCTCTTACCTACCTCCGAACTGACAACTGAAACCTCCTCAGTACTTGCTACGAAGCACTCGATATCATGGGCGGATTTCTTTCAGTCCCGTTGCTGTCCTTCGTCCTCCTGCCTACGATAGCCTCCTACACCACCACCCTCAATATCCTCTTCTTCTACATGACATGGAGCACACTGGTGTGGTCGCATACCCCCCCTCCGAGTGGAAATCTGGGGCACAGCCGCATTCCGATTAGCATTCTTTGTGGTACCATCCATCATATTCTTCCTCTTTGACGTCTTGACGCCGTCGGCCGCGGTGGTCATCAAGGCGCATGGCGAGGCCGGGCTGCCTGGAGGCAAGAAACGGTTCAAGCTCCGGTTGAAGGAGTTTAAGATTGCAGGATACGCGCTCGGAAATCTTCTCTTGTCTATTTGTACGCAGACGGCCATTGAATGGTTCTTCACTCGAGTCCTGCGTGTGCGCAGTGCGATTAAGGTGGCCGTCAGCCTTCCCACGCCGTGGACTATAGGGTCTGATGTATTCTTCGCCTTTGTCCTTCGCGAGGTAAGTTATTTCTTTGTTGCTTTTATTGCCAGTTTGACGTTCACCTGGCTAATATTTTGTTCGATTAGGGCTTGACATACGTTATGCACCGCTACGCCCTCCACCATCCGAGGTCATACCTCACAAAGCTCCATAACGAATGGTATCACGATCTGAGCTTACCGTTCCCTCTCACCGCGCACTACGACCACCCGCTCGTCTACCTAGTGCACAAGTTTGTTCCAACTTATCTTCCCGCCATGCTTCTCCGCTTCCACATGCTCACCTACCTCGTCTACATCGCCATGGTCTCGCTTGAGGAGACCTTCGCATACTCCGGATACACCGTCATGCCGACTAGTTTCTTCCTGGGCGGCGTTGCTCGCCGTAACGAAGACCATTTGGTTTACTCGGGCGAAGGTAACTTCGGACCGTGGGGTGTCTTGGACTGGGTCGTCGGTACTAGTATTGGTGAGACTGATATCGAGGACGACGTGCGGAATGAGGCCCATGATCATCAGATTGGGCAGAGAGTGAGACAGGCGATGGATGCGAATAATCGCAAGGTGCATGTCGATTCTCTGCGCAGGAATGGTCGGAAGAAGTAGATCTGTTGATGGAATGGATCATTTTGGCAAGGGTGACAATGATTGAATTTTTTGGGTTTCGAGGCGAATGGATTAAATAGGTAGTATAGATTCGGGTTTTGGGGGGGGAGTTTCCTTTATGTACACGATAGTCTCGTTTTGTTGCATTTTCTGTGATTAAAGGTGTTTTTCGAGTTTGGGTCGGGCGTCAATAGGAAGGGGAGTTGTGGAGATATATTTTGGAAGGAGATCTTGCCCCGGATATATGGAGATCGTTCATAGTACAGTTTTACTTGGTAAATGGAGCCAATTACGTCGTCATCGCACAAATAACCTAATATCCACAAAATTATTGACCAAGTAGTATGTAAACCCGAATTCAAGGCGAAGTATGAGGACTAATAATTTATATGATATACTGGAAAAAGAATCTATGAATAAGACCCAATTTTTGGATTTGCCGCCTGAACCTGGAAATGGGAGGTGTGTGTGTGTGTATGTCATACTGAACATGAAAGAGAAATCCCAGCCGGACAGGCTGGAAGCGAGGTATTTTTTAATCTTTTTTTGTTTGGAAGTCTTTCTTCACATCACGGCTGATCCCCCCAAACTCCCGAAGCCCGAGGCGTCGAGACATCGAGACATCGAGAGAAGGGAGTCATGCAGGACCGGCCACGCGCGAAAAGGGGGAAAGAAAGGCAAAACAGAGGCATCTTGAAAAAGAACAACAGCCGGATATTCCGTATTAAACCGCAGATCCCTAGAAAAAGCGAAAAAGCATGTGTAGACGGAATCCGTTTGTGGATTTACATGATTCATGAAACCTTTTCCCCCTCCCGACACGCGAAAAAGGGTTGCCGACGTGCAATCGAGCCGCCCCTCGTCTGAAAGATGAGTCCTCCCCAACTATCTACCGAACCCGCGGCCGCCGCATCGCACTTTTTTACCACTTCATCTCGTGGGGCTTGTCACCGTTCCGGAGGCTGAAGGTAGTGGCGAGGTAGCTGCTCAAGAACTCCTCCTTCTTGACGATGCTGAGGATGGACTGGTCGACGGCCTTCTGGTCAGCGGCACGGGCGGAGGCAACAACCTTCTTCTGTTGAGCGAGAAAAATGGATGTTAGTGTTCAGATGTTCAACATTTTGGGCTTAAGACCCGTAGATCCCGTAGTAGACGGGAGAAAAAGGGACGAAAAACGCACCTCGGGCTTCTCGCCCTGCTTGAAGAAAGCCTCCTCAGACTTCTGGTTGGCCTTCTTCTCCTTGGTGAAGTAGTCGGGAGTAGAGACCTTCTCGATGGTCTTGGCGTCAACACCGGCAATGTCGATACGCTTGGAGGTGGCGATCACGTAGCGAGCGTTGACACGGCGGAGGGGAACGCCGTTGATCTTGAAGGGGCCGGTGACGAGGAGAACACCCTGGTCGAGGTGCTTGAGGAGGACGACACGCTTGCCACGGAAGCGGCCAGCGAGGAGGATCAGGATGGTACCGGGCTGGAGAGCCTCGCGGACCTTGGCGGGGCGGATGGTCTTGCGAACCTGTAATGTACGAAAAGAGCGAATGTTAGTCACTGTTGTAGGTTGTGTGTATTCGGAGAAGTTGGTTCCCAGCAATTCGATCCCCATTATTCTCGTTGGAGTTTCGAGGCGTGGTCGGTTCGCTCAGATGCGATGCGATTCAATCTTTTCTTTGGTGCTGGCGAATGCGTTTCGATTGTGAAAAGATCTCGTCGTAAATTGTGATCACCAATTGCCACCGGGCTCGTTTGGAATGAATTGTCGCTGGTGGTGAAGCATCTCCCCCACGAATTGCATTCCAAAACGAAATCCGGCGCAAATTGTTGTCGCATCTATCCGAGCGAACCTCGCGTGCCTCGTATTCCTCCTCGAGATTGTAGGTGTATCTGATTGCAGGTTGCCCGGGGTCCTTCAACTGACCTTCTTAGGCTGCGACTCGTCGTCCACGGGGTACCACTTCTGAGCCTTCTGGGCGGGCACGAGCCGCTGGCCCTTTCCAAACTGCTTCGTCTGGCCGTCCGACATGGTGACGAAGATGGTGTAGGTGGTTGTCGGGTTGGGGGGTTGGTGTTGAAGGTTGATGTGCGGACTTGCCAGTGGAGTCCAGTTAGAGGGTTTGTGGGAAGGGAAAGCCCTATCTCACGTGATACGGGTTAGCCGAACCGACGGGTCACGGGGCTGACTCATCGCGCGTTATCGGGGCGGCTTTTTTGTGTTGGGTGGGTCCAGCCGGGCCTGGAGTATGTAAGTATACCACACGACACTCGTTAGGTACGTACTGGAACCAATTAGTTAGACATTAGCATGTATTGGTCGATTATGTGCAGACTACTGTAGTCATAGACAAGTTAAGAAAATATAAAATTATGGCATTATACAGACAACGGTCAGATTGCTTCATTGTGTAGCGAGCACGACAGCACTACTATCTACATGTTCGATATGAGGTCATAAGAGCCGAGTAGTACATTGCTGAATCTATCTCCTCCGTATATGATACACGCAGAAAACTTCTTATATCTCACTGACTCCTCCGAAGCTCTGCAAAATCAGGAAGCTGCCAACCACCGTCCCTTTCGGTCGAGAATCTCGACATCAACTCGGGCAGACGAAGAAAGCATGACGCCCGAAAGACGAACCGGAGAATAGCAACTCCCCACCAAGATTTCGGCATGGCCAGCTTGATCAACGAAGTATGAACTTCTTGACACTCATTCACATATGGTCGTAGAACTTTGTCATAGGCCACAAAGGCTTGAGCGAGATCATCTGGGTGCCGATTGATCTCTCCAGCCAAGACGTATGCCCCGACAAGAGCACTCGAGGTGCCCATTCCACTCCAGGGCGATGGGCAGTGTGCAGCATCCCCAAGAAGCACTACTCGACCCTGATGCCATGTATTTGTGCGCACTTGTACGACTTCCTGGCAGTACCAGTTATCTGTGGCTTCCATACCTGCAAGAAATCTGTCGGTCTGCCATCGGGCATCGCGAAATCGCTGAGCCCAGAAGGCCTTCTGCTGTTCAACCGAGGCCTTGGAAAGGCTTGATATCTCAGGAGAGTCGTCCTTTAGAAAGAGCAAGACCTGTGTTTCGGTCGGGCTATGGCTTCGACGCATAATCATGCGTCCCCCGGTGCAATTGTACACTGTCTTCATGTTGGTATCTGACTTGATGCGCGGAATAAAATAGTAGGCCACATGGGTCCCTAACCGATAGTAAGGGTCAGGACTATCTAGAGACAACATCGCTCTTCGAATGTGTGAACCCTGACCGTCAGCACCGACGAGAATATCATATGTGCCCGAGGAGCCATCTGAGAAACGAGCAATGACTTGCTTTTCATCTTGGTAAAAGCTCTCAACTGTTTTGCCGAACATGTAGTGTACATTGTCCTTGGTCGCTTCATTGAGTATGCGCACCAAGTCGCCTCGCATAATCTCATACTCAGACGTCAAAGTCTGGGCGCCCTGGCCAGATTTGTTGGCCATGATGGTAGCTTTGACATTGCCATTGGAGTCCACTATAGCTGTACCTCGTTCGTCGACAAGCTTGCCCTGGATGGCCTCAAGGAGCCCCATGCGCTTGACGGCTTCAATTCCTGCACCGCGCAGGTCGATCTGTGCACCTCCAGATCTGAGAGCTGGAAAGCGCTCGACAATAGTCACTTGGTGGCCGGTTTGGGCTAGCCAGAAAGCTAGTGCTGGGCCAGCGCAGCCTCCGCCGCAGATGAGGACTTTCAAAGGAGCCATAAAGATGACTTTGGCTTATCGTTGCGTTTCTTAATGTTTGTCGCGTGTGAGCAATAACCTGTCGGGAAAGAGCAATGAAGAAATGTCATAAATACTGAGAATGGCCTGAGCGAAAGAAGGTCTAATATACCTTGTCATCTCCTTCAATTATGGATAGCTTCCTGAGTGGACTCGGTCTATTTCGGCTTATACGGACAATTCAACATACCCCGAAGCATGAGAAAATAGTCAGTTGCTTCTTTCGCTGTGGCCCCCACTGCAAGATTGATAACCGGGGTGCTCAGACCCTTGAGCCCATGCCAGAAAAGCCATGGTGTATAATTTGTTGATCAATGCTAATCTCACTGATATAGCTGGAGAAATACTCCAAGTACCGAAGGGCCCACTAGTAGTCCTGCGGCTTGCGATTCAGGCCACAAGGCCGCAATAATGCCTAGATATCCAGGCTGAAAATCACGGTCGCCCGGAGACACCTCCGATGCAAGTCAGCTGCTCAGGACAAACACCAAGCAACTGACGTATCCGCAAGCTTCTCTCCGCAGTTCTTCTTCCTTCCACCAATATTTGAACCCTCTTCACTTACCAGGTGTGGACCGACGAAAGTAAATCAATCCCCAATCATTGTCGGCTTCTGCATTATCCAGATTCGCCATGTCGATAGCTCCAATCATCACCTTCAAAGCAGGTATCTGCGATTTTGATGTAAGTCGAGTGCTTGGACCCTACCTCAACAGCTCCAATATTTCCTCTCCATTGCTCCATCTGGTGGTCATTGATTAGCATAACGGAGATGAGAGATAGCTAACCCTGATGCTCTTCTGTTCTAGGGTTCTTCATCCCCCGCCACCGTGAAGCCTAAGCCGACCCCCGGTTACATTTACCTTTATTCCGAAGATGAGCTGATGCACTTCTGCTGGCGCACTCGTGACGCCCCTCTTGATGAGCCTAATCTTGATCTCGTCATGATTCCCTCAGATGGAAGCTTCACCCCCTACAAACCGTCTGGCAAGGACGCTACAAATGGACGTGTGTTTGTGTTGAAATTCTCTTCCAGCTCCCAGCGGTATCTCTTCTGGCTGCAGTCTCAATCTCAACATGAGAGTGGCGACCCCAGCTGGTTCAGTCCCCGGGATTTGAAGCTTGGCGAGATTGTTGATGTCCTGCTACAGGGTGAGGATGTGGATGTTGAGCACGAGATCGCCAACCTCCCCGGCGGCCATCTGGAGGCGACGATGACGAGACCATGGAGGATGTGGAGGGAACAGACCACGACCCCAACCACAACCACGGCGGGAGCAGTGGTGGAGCTGGCCCCGATGCCACAGGAGGTGATATCCGCGAGGAAGGCCAGGAGGCACGAGAGGGCGGTGCCGACGGTGGACGAGCGTAGGTACATATCTCTGTCAACCTCAATATCTCGTTTTGGGGCATGTCTTGGACCAATTCTGATCATTCCTCTTCTATCTCAGTGCCTCGGGCGACCCATCATCGGTAGTTCAAGACTTCTTGCGGTCTCTGGGTGGTCGGCAACAAAGCCAAGGCCAATCCCAGGACCCCGAACGACCATCTACGACCCTTCAAGACCTGCTTACTCCCCCTACTACTCTCCCTTTCATCGAGACTGCCGACGATACTACCGTTGATCACCTTCTGAGCTTCCTCCCACCGGCACTACTTCTGCTGGCCCAGGGCAATGCCGAGGCTGCGGAAGCCGATACCGACCCCGAACTCGCCCAGGCGGCACTTCTATCTCTCGATCTCTCCCAAAAGAAAGACATCCTTCGTCGTGTGCTCCGATCTCCCCAATTTATGCAAAGTTTAGCTAGTCTTACCGTGGCTCTCCGAGATGGCGGGCTTCCCAGCATTAGCGAGGCCCTGCAGATTCCCGTAGCCAATGGCGGGTTTATGCGGCATGGCGGCGTGCCCCTTGGTGGGGGTGATGCGGTGGAAGCGTTCCTGGATGGCGTTCGGCAACAAGTCAAGAAGACCGATCAGTCGGGTCAAATGGAAACGGATTGATTAGCGTTATTATTATTATTTGGAAGTCTTTTGAAATACACACCCCATACATCATGGACCTTGCTTTGTAGGGAACGGAGTTTTTACCATGGTGATGTGATACACGACTTATCTTGAAGAACGTTTCCTTGCAGCTTGCAAGCCCTATGGCTTGGCCTATTTTTGGTAACTGGGGACCCCACCAGGCAACACTGTTTTGCCCATGGCCTCGTCAGCGACTACGATAGTTAGCGCAGACCGTTTAGTGTCTAGAGTAGAAGGTAATTTCCCGTCGGATTACTCGGATCAGCAGAAATAAAGCCTCGTAGAGGATGTACAATGTAGGGAGACAGGTCCAGGTCAAAATCTGTAAAATTGTATTAGATACACTTCTGGGGTAAAACTGTACGGAGTCCTGAAACAGGCTGTGCACTCCTCAGCCACAGAGGCTAATCTTTGCTGACACTGATAGCGGAGTAGTGTACGGAGTAACAAAGAAGTATACAGAGTGTAGCAGTAGCTTACTACCAGCTTGCTGTGCTACAGTATTACATCGCGTATTCCTGATACTGTAGTAGGAGTAACAAAGGTCTAAGACAAAATTGTTTCAGACCTTAGGGATGTCAAGTCCAACCTTCCGTGGTACCAGACCAATAAAAACCCGCCGAACCAGCCCAGCACTTCCCGTGGCTCTGTCCATCTTGCGACCGGCGGGTCTCTTACTCTCTGTCTTTTTTTGAACTAAACATCTTTCAGCTGCTAAACTCGGCCCCATTGCGCTGCGCGACTCTTGGCGACATGACCCCCTCTCACTTCTAATCTTGCCCTTGTCTCTCGCTTTCTATACCTACGCGATTACCTGGACGCCTGCGGTCTCCTGAGTAACTGAGCCACTGGTCTTCCCGCTCTCCTCACTCGTTCACTCCACCTGTCGCGCTCCTGGTGATCTCCAAAGCCCCTCCCGCCTTTCCGAGCGAATGTGAACAGCACAGCACGACCTGCGATGTCTCCGATCCGGTAATCCTTGACCCTGCCTGACGATGGCGCCAAATAGCCAGACGCCTGGCGACTATGATGGCCTGTCCTCGAACCAAATTCCCCTCCAAGACCTCTCCAGATTCGAAGGCCCCGCCGAGGAACGCGGTAGAGGTCGCGCCAACAGCGCGGGGAACAGTCTTTTCTCTCGACGGTCATTGTTAAGAGGAGGGTCGCGGAGGCATTACCAGAGCGTAGCCGAGGATTCACCGGTTGAACTAGTCGGCGCGATCAGGAATCCGTTCCGACCAGTTCGTTATGGCGGCCGCGACTCCGATGAGATCCCTCCTGAAGCCCTGGCGCAAGCAATGTCATTTGGTGCTACGTTCGACAACTCGCACCCAACAGCGGCTACGGCCGGGCCTTCTTCGATGCATGACTTTAATGATTCCACTTCCGATCTCGATAATGTGCCGCTGGACGCCTATACTTCTCACGATCACGATGGCTATATGGCCCCACACGTCGAAGATGAAGACGACACCGCGCGATTGACGGATCCACGATATTTGCAACCTATTAGCGGCGCCTGTGGCGAAGAGGGCCGACAGAGCAGTGACACGGGTGTTCACTCTGTACACTTTGGACATGGAGCGCGACTGGGCGATGACCTGCCGCATCTCGAGGAAGGATTGTCGCGAAGTCGTGGCAGTAGTGCCCGGTCTCGCTCTCTGTCTCCATCAGCGTCTGGTGGAGCTCTGCAAAGAGCCAGCTCTATGGTGAAATCCATGTCGCAACGTGTGGTCAACTTGAGTAATGAGCCGGAAGTTATTGAACAGTCCATTGAGAGAGAAGAGTCTCACAAAAATTCGCGACTTGAAGGTCCTCCAATGCTCCCAGCAATGCCAGAATATGCACATGACCCGTCACCTAATGCAACTGGACGGGAAAAGCGGTCATCAGCAAAGTTGTGGCGATATCGAAACAACCCATTCCGAGGCAGGTCACTTGGTATATTGGGTCCGGATCACCCTCTCCGACTATGGCTGTGCGATATTCTCGTCCATCCAATCATGGAACCCTTCATTCTCGTCATTATCATCATCCAGACCATCCTACTCATTGTGGAATCATCAAAATCCGTTTTCAATCGACCATTAGCGGTGCGATGGGGCGGCACCCCACTAGACTACGTTTTTTTCGTCATTTTCGCCATTTATACCCTTGAAATCACTGCCAAAATCCTCGTTTCCGGCTTTATATTCAACCCAGCAGAGTATAGTACTCTCAATCGATCTTTAGGCATTCGCAAAGCGATTGCGGAGAAGAGCAGGAACCTGATCACGCCTCATCGACAAGCGACAGTTAAAAAAGTCTCGTTTCTCCCGCAAGAACCGCAGGGTTCTATTCTTCGGTCGTTTACTGGAATGAATGCATTAGATCCTAGCGCGGGTAATTACGACGATCCTCTTCATAAACGCCGGGTTAGACTTGCCCATCGGGCTTTTCTTCGGCACTCATTCAACCGGTTAGATTTTGTTGCCGTCGTGGCTTTTTGGGTTTCCTTCTTTCTCTCCCTGATGGGCGTGGAGTCAACGCATCAGCTGTACATTTTCCGAATGCTCAGCTGCCTTCGAATTTTGCGTCTCCTCGCCCTCACGAATGGTACATCTGTATGGCATTTCCCTATCTGCAGAAGCAAAGTCTTCTCTTTCATCCGCCATGACAATACACTGACTAATAACTTTTTAGGTAATTCTTCGAAGTTTGAAACGGGCTGCTCCTTTGCTGGTTCATGTTGCATTTCTCATTGGATTCTTTTGGCTTCTTTTCGCCATCGTCGGAATTCAAAGTTTCAAGTCCAGTTTCCGACGTACTTGTGTCTGGGTCGATCCAGAGGGCAAAAACAACTATTCATCCGGCGAGCAATTCTGTGGTGGATATCTTGACAGCGTCACTGGAGCGGAAATGCCTTGGCTGGATCATTTTGGTAACCCTTCCACTTCTTCCAAGGCGAAAGGGTATCTTTGCCCACAGGGCTCGCTATGCATGGAAGGGCAAAATCCCTACAATGGAACCCAGAGCTTCGACAATATCGTGCAATCTCTCGAGTTGGTGTTTGTTCTTATGAGCTCCAATACCTTCTCCGACCTGCTCTACAAGACCACCGATAGTGACTACCTCGCGGCGGCACTATACTTTGCTTTCGGCTTGGTTATCCTGAGTTTGTGGCTGGTCAACTTGCTTGTTGCCGTCATCACGCACTCCTTCCAGGTTATTCGCGAAGAAAGTAAGCGCAGTGCATTTGCCGTCCAACAAATCGATGCACTCGACAGCGATGAAAACCTGAATCGGAAAATCAGCCCCCTCAAACGCATTTATGACAAGACCGAGTGGCTGTGGGTGTGCCTCATCTTCTTTGATCTGGTTGTCCAGGCTTTGAGAAGCGCCTCCATGTCGCGCGAAAGAGCCCAGTTCATTGATAATACCGAGACTGTGGTGACTCTTGTCTTCCTGATCGAGATTGTCTTGCGGTTTGCATCAGATTGGCGTGTCTTCCATCGAAAACGCCGCAATTGGTTTGACCTCTTCCTCGTGGTAGTGACCTGCGTCATTCAGGTTCCTCCGATCCATAATTCAGGTCGCGCGTACACTGTTCTCACGCTCTTTCAGATTCTTCGAGTGTACAGATTTGTCTTGGCATTCTCTGTCACTAGGAAGCTGATTATGGTTGTCTTCCGAAATGTTGTTGGTTTGCTTAACCTGATCTTCTTCCTGTTCTTGATGACATTCCTCGCATCTATCTTCGCAACCCAACTTTTCCGAAGCCAGATCCCGCCTGAAGACTCTAGTGGTAATGCAATCAGCATCACCTTTGCTGATATCTATAACTCATTCTTGGGAATGTACCAAATTCTCTCGAGTGAGAACTGGACAGACATCCTGTACAATGCCCAGACATATACTGTGAGTTTCAATACGGCCTGGATCTCTGCTGCATTTATTATTCTATGGTTCATCGTGGCCAACTTTATCATTCTGAATATGTTCATTGCTGTTATCCAAGAGAGCTTTGACGTGTCAGAAGATGAGAAGCGAATGCAGCAAGTGCGGGCGTTCTTGGAGCAGAAGCATCTTGGTGGAAATGCGCGAGGCAACCTTGCTCTATCCAAGATTCTCCGTCTAGGCAGAGACTCGGATCGCTACAAGGATCCTTTGGACCATGGTCCTGCCGCGATGGAAATGCTTCTCAAGGATGCTGTTGTCCGCGACTTCCTTGACGAGGAGCAAGAGAATGCAGAAGCTGAACATGAAAACCGACGTCGAGAAAATACCATGGTCCCGGACAGTGCGAATCAAGAAGCCATCGAGCCTGGCGTACTGTCTCGACTATGGACAAAGGCCACCTCGCTCATTCTCGGCCGTGAACCAAACCCGTTCTACTCCAAGCTGCAATTTTCACGAGCTTACGAAGAACTGGACCCGCGGACAATGGCGAAAGAAGTCGCGTCTGCGGCCGAGGCCAGGAAGCGTGCGCAACGAGAATATCTCGTCAAGCATCCTAATTACAACAAGTCCTTGTTCCTTTTCTCGCCACACAATCCCATTCGCAAAGTCTGCCAAAAGATTGTCGGCCCTGGACGGGGCAATCAGCGAGTTGAAGGTGTGGATCCATACAAGCCGGTGTGGTATGCATTCTCGGCATTCATCTACGCAGCAATTGTGGCCATGGTGCTCCTTGCCTGTATCACTACACCCCTGTACCAACGACAATACTTCCGCACCACCCGCAATTGGTTCGTGTACACTGATATGAGCTTCGCTGTTATCTTCACAGTCGAGGCACTGATCAAAGTCGTCGCTGATGGATTCTTCTGGACACCCAACGCGTTCTTCCGCAGTTCTTGGGGTTTCATCGACGGTATCGTGTTGTTGACTCTATGGATCAGTGTTGGCAGTTCACTAAGGAAAGACTGGAACATTTCTCGTGCCATTGGTGCATTCAAAGCGCTCAGGGCTTTGCGTTTGCTGAATGTCTCGGACAGTGCTAAGGACACTTTCCATTCGGTCATCATTGTTGGAGGATGGAAGGTCGTTGCCGCGGCGGCCGTTTCGATGAGTTTCCTCATTCCATTTGCCATTTATGGTGTCAACCTGTTTAATGGACAGATGATCTCATGCAATGACGGCAATTTCGCGGGCAATCTGACAGCTTGTGTTGGCGAGTATGCCAGTTCCCCGTACAATTGGGATGTGCTGGCTCCGCGAGTCGCAGCCAATCCATACTACGACTTTGACGACTTTGGCGATTCTCTCTTCATCCTCTTCCAGATTGTTTCCCAGGAAGGCTGGATCGACGTTCAGGATAGTGCGATGCAAATCACTGGAAAGGGGCTGCAACCGCAGGACGGGAGCGCGCCGGAGAATGGGCTGTTCTTCGTCGTCTTCAATCTGTTGGGTGCAGTGTTCGTCTTGACGCTGTTTGTATCTGTGTTCATGCGTAATTATACAGAACAGACTGGCGTAGCGTTCTTGACTGCCGAACAACGATCTTGGTTGGAATTGCGGAAGCTTCTTCGACAAATTTCGCCATCCAAGCGGTCGTTCAATGAGCGAAGCAACAAATGGCGCTTATGGTGCTATCGAATTGCTGTCAAGAAACATGGGCGATGGGCGCGGTTCGTCACTGGTGTTCTCATCGTGCACTTGCTTCTTCTGGTACTCGAGTATTATCCCGAGCCTAATTGGTGGGCGACAACTCGCACCATCTTGTTTTTTGTGTTCATGTTCGTCTACATTGCCAACGTGCTCATTCGGTTGATTGGTCTTGGGTGGCATCGTTTCAGTCGAAGTTCTTGGGACCTTTACTCGCTTGCTGCTGTCCCTGGCGCATTCATCACCATCATTCTCGACTTCTCATATCCAACTCAGGTCGTGCTGGAGTTGAACAAACTGTTCCTTGTCTCAATCGCGCTGTTACTTATCCCACGGAACAACCAGCTTGACCAGCTCTTCAAGACTGCCGCGGCTAGTCTGCCGGTAATCGGTAACCTCCTGGCTACCTGGTTCGTATTATTCCTGGTGTTCGGCATCGCCATGAACCAGGCCTTCGGCCTCACCAAATTCGGCTCCCAAGAAAACCACAACATGAACTTCCGTGACGTACCAAAGTCTCTGATCCTCCTATTCCGCGCTAGTTGCGGTGAAGGATGGAATGAGATCATGGAAGATTTTGCGACGATGGTACCTCCACTTTGCACATATGATTCCAACTTCCTTGACGACGACTGCGGCAGTGCCGCCTGGGCTCGGACCCTGTTCATCATGTGGAATATCATCAGCATGTACATTTTTGTTTCGCTGTTTGTCTCGCTTATTTTCGAGAGCTTCTCGTACGTCTATCAACGCAGCAGTGGACTGTATGCGGTTAGTCGTGAAGAGATTCGCCGCTTCAAGCAGGCGTGGGCGACATACGACCCGAATGGAACGGGCTACATCACCAAAGAGCAGTTCCCCCGGCTACTTGGGGTGAGTTTCGACCTTTTGTCACGTTCAAGCTCTTCTTTTCTTTGCTGTAGTCACTAACTTCTGATTTAGGAACTCTCTGGTGTCTTCGCCATGCGGATCTACGACAATGAGTTCACTGTTGGAAGGATTTTAGACCAATGTCGAGAAACTCCTCGCGAATCAGTGCACTCATTGAGTTCGATGCACAACGCGTTGCCTCTTCGCTCTCGAGAATCCGTCCAGTCATTGCGGCCCAATGGCGAAAATACTCTCGCGACAGGTGTTGATCTCAAGAAACTCTCCCGTATCATCGACCGTATCCCAGTCAATACCATTCGTGAACGACGTCAACGCCTGAATACCTTCTACGAAGAGATCCTCGTTTCAGCGGACCCAGAACGAGGAATTTCATTCCACCAGTGTTTGATGATTCTCGCGCATTACAACGTCATCAGCGACAGCAAGAGTCTCCGACTGGAAGAATTCCTCCGCCGCCGATCCCGACTCCAACGTGTCGAGGAAGCCGTCCGCCGTAACACGGTCATCGGCTTCTTCGATACACTCTACTGGTCTCGCGAATTCCGTCGGGCCTGCGACCGCAAGAAATCCAGTCGCATGACCGCCGTTCCGCAGTTCACTGTGCCGGAGATTTACGTCGACGATCCCGTTGAAGAGGACCCGGAAGAGCACGCACCTGGAGTCATGACGCCGCGAACCCAACCAGACCCCGATTCACCATTTGCGCCCATGCTCTCGCCTACGTCGACTTCTCATCGGCGCGCTGAGTCAAGCCCGACTGGACGCCGGAATGATCTTCCCCGGTTGGATACTACCTTTAGTGGCCGTGCCTCTGGTGCTAGTACCCCTACAGAATGGTCCAGTATCAGTCCGTCGCGCACCCCGCGTCGGATGTATGGTGATCGGGTTTCCTTTGAGTCTGGTGAGCGCGACGAGTCGAATCCTAGAGCCGACCATTCCCGGCAGAATAGTGCGATTAGTGTGCAGGATGTGATGCACTCGCTGGACAACTCTGCTTGGGGCGAGAGTATCCGACGGAGTTTCACGCAGCGGCGACCGGGTGATCGATCAAGCGATCACTAGACCAGTCGTCTTGAGTACGGAGTGCATGTGTTGACTTGTGCCTCCCGATGAGAGACGAAAAAGCCAGCCTATGGAGGTATGGTCATATGATTGAAGAGCCTTCGGTTCTGTCACGCAATTTCTTTTCCTCTCTTCCTTTCTCTTTCTTCCACCTTTCCCTGGACATTCCTTTTTTTTGTATCCCTGAATGATTAGACTTCCGAGGGGTCCCTTTTCTTTTCCTTGCTGTATTTCCAGTTCGTGTGTTTGGTCGGATGATTTCCATTTCGCTGTATATTACCCTCTATGATCCCGGTATCCCTGGGAGCATTTCTTTGCATAGCAACGGCGTGGACTTCTTGGCCATTTTGTCATGGATTTCATTTTCCCCGGCTTTTTGTCATTTCGCCTCCTTACTCGGTCGGATAGACAGAGAATTAGTAGAATTCATACCCCGGGGTTAATAGTCAATAGGTTCAATAGAAAGGGCTGTGTACATTGGACTAGTTCTAGTTCTAGTAGTTACTATGGGCCTATGGGGCCTACGGCTGATAGAAACGGGTTTCCTACCTAGCAGGCTGAATCAGTGTGGGTCTGACTCGTTCACTAAGTACTTTATTAGGTGGTTATTGTTAGTTACTATTGGCTAGGGAACCGAAATAGGTAATCGGTCGTACTTTTTTAGGTGCATCTACAGTCCTGTACTCATACATACTGTAGATCGGCACTTTGACTTCACCCTTTAGTAGGAGGGCAGAGAATAGTAGGGGTGCGTCACATAACTTAATGCGGTCAATTAATGACTTCTCTTTTTGAGCTCTTATCATCTGATTTACCTCCCTTCATTTCTTCTAACACCTTAATTATTTCCCTTAACTGCTTGCGGGTCTAGCAAGACAATGGGGTTTGTGGGCGCCACGCCCCAATTCCCCCAATTCCCGCATGCGGCAGCGCAACACCGCATTCGATGATTCCGTTCGTGTCTCAAACTCTCCCTGCAGCTGGTCCTTGCAGTTGGCCTTTGCCTCATAATGGACAATCTCCTAGCTCAAGTTAATTTTCTTCTTCTATTTCAACTTTACTTTTCACTTCTACCTTCTTCACTACACTACACTGCAAGTCAACAATTCATGGAGAGAAATCTTTCTTTTGTTCTCATCTCCTACTAAACACAATACCCGCATTCCACACTATCACCACCACCAACCAGAACAAACACCAGACAATTCCAAAAAAAAAAACACAACTCCAAAGCACAAAATGCATCAATTCCCTTCACCATTCCCTCCTCTCAACACTACCACCACTCACTCCCAGCGACACCCAGCCAGCGACACCTCCAGTCCCCCCAGTTCACGCACAACTTCGCCGCCATCATCACCCACCTCCACACTCCGCCGACGTCACCAGCCAACGCAATTGTCTCCGCACCACCTCTTCAATCTCTCCTTCCACCCCACCACCACCACCACTCATCCCAAGGTCTACTCCGACATAGGGTCTAGACCAGACAATGAACACCACGTCCATTTCCACAATCACACCCAGGGACATGGTCTTGGCCACAACATCCACAATGCCTCGACCCAATGCGGTGTAAGCATTCTACCCTGCGCGGTCCTGCGAGGCCGCTCCTCTCTGATGATCGTGCGACGACGCCCCTCGGCTGTGGATATGGCATTGAGTGAGGAGCGGTGTCGGTGTGATGAGAATGCCATTGAGAGACAGGGATTGGATCTTATGGAGCCAAGGCCTGTGGATATGAATCTGCATTCGAACTTGAATATGCATATGGGTCTGAATATGGGCCTGGGCCAGCGCAATTCGGGTTCTAGAGCGAGTATCGGCTCTGATACTCGGTCTGTCGTGGTGCAACAGCCGCGGTTTGTGATGGGGGGGATCTTTGAGGTCATGGAGGGTCAGGCATAGCCGCATAGGCTTAATTTCTGGTTATTGGTTCCTTTTTCCCTTGTTTCTTCTCGACTACCATTCAAAAGCATCCGGGCAGAGGTGTTTTAGGAGTTTTATCGGTATTGCTTGGGTTTTCTGTCTTCTTGAATGGGCAAGATTGATTGTATAGGGTATGAGGCCGGGGCGCCGGCATAGGTGTATCGCATCCAAATAGCAGATTGTCCGATGTACAGATCTACTTATTTTTGAACAATGTGTGATTTTTCTGAACAAAGAGTTTCGTCTTGAGTCCTGACTGGCCTTAGATGAAAGCAATGCTTTATCTCCATTCGAGTATGTATAATGTCTAAATTTTTCATTTCATATATAATTTATTTCCTCTGTTTCTTAGGTCTTTGTAATTTATCAGGCTTTCATCTAACCCGTATGTACAATTACCGTAATGCAGGACGGTTTTATAGGTATAGGTCACCATCACCATCGTCCAAAATTAAAACCCGGGTATAAGCCTTATAATGAAGAGAAAAGAAAAACAGGAATATGCATTAATACTCCGTCATTATTATCGTGAGAATCGATCAAAGGTAATGCTAGAATCATAGCGCCTCTCGCTAATGTATGCAATGGTCTAAGCCAGATGCGTCAAATGACAAGAAACCTCATCGCTGATTCGTTGCGCTTGTATGTGTATGATGGATGAAAAGGGTGGAGGTCTTAGCCCTAAGGCTCAGCCTCGAAGTGAATCAAGGATCGAAAGACATTCACTACTGCCTTTTTTTCTTTCGGGAATTAGGCCACAGTTGGCCGCGGCAGTTCTCCTCGCCGCAGAGACACTTGACTGCGTTGGGATCGACTTTCTTTGATCCGTCCCAATTAGGGTGGTAGTCGAAGGTGAGTTCTGTGTTGGCAGGGATATCACGGATGGCGAAAAACGCCAGATAGTAAAGACGGTCATCGGATAGGTTGTTGACCGAGACAGGAATAATCTTGCAATTGGGATTGCAAGAATGATTGATAAAGCGTGTTGCCGCGCCGAACTTCTGTCCATCAATGACGTACCCGTCCTCATAGGCGTGTGGACCGTTGCCAATCAACCAGTCAAGGTTGAATAGGTATGAGGGTTTACCCTCGTTCGCGGATTCGCGAGCATCGGCATCGTTCTGTGTGATGACCTCTCCGAAATAGCAGTCAATGAATTGCCCCGTGATCAATGGCTGAGGACACCGTAGGCCGAGTCCTCGCTCGCCCGTGTCGAAGACTTCTAGGCATATCTGACGGCCGCGCTGGACGACGTGATTCCAGCAGTCGTTCCTAGCGCACTGACATCGGCCACTGCACTCTGAGATCATCGCCTTGCGATTGAGAAAGTCCTGTCGTACAACAACTTTTCCAGACGGCAATCTTTCATATGCCACGATGAATCTATCCGATTCCTCTTCCTGGATGAGACAATGGCAGGAATTGGGATCACAAACGCTGCCGCAGTCGCAGCCGGTCAGAAAAGCGTTATCGACTGGCGTCACACCGGGTCCTAGTCGATAATCACCCACAAAGGAAAAGTTGGCGGACAAGGCGGCCAACTTCTCATCATCAATATCGAACTCCATCTCAGGACCGCCAGGGATGCGCTTCAGCTTCTTGCGAAGCTTCTTCCTCAGAAACTTCGCGGTAGAAGCTTGAGTTGCCGTCTCAGCAGTGACTGAATTAGATAAAGATGCGTTTGAGAAGACGCTCCTTCGCAGAGAAAGAGAAGCACTGGGCTTCTTAAGCCCAGGCTCCTTCGCAGTAGGCTTTGCAACAGCGAATGAAACCACCTTCTTATTGACAGCGGGAGTGGTCGTCTTCGCCATTGGGTACGCACGCCGCTTAGCTTTGGCTTTCTCTTCCTGTCCAACCGGAAAATACCGTTCGTCAAGGCCAAGGAACTCCGGCTTCAAGGCTGCTTTTATCTTCTCTTTTTGAGCAGCAGAAGGAGAAGGAATCACCACGCTCACAGAATTCTGAGGCGGCAATTGAGGCTGCAGGCTGGGAGTTCGGGGAACAACCATAGGCCTTTTGCCGAGCGCCTTCTCGGACGGCCTAGATGGGCCCTCGCCCGAAGAGCCGACGCCATTTGGTTGAAGCAGTCGAAAGGATGAATTTTTATTGGTGATGTTGCCCAAGTCTGATGCCTCAGTGCTTTGGCTTTTGCGTTTCTGGGGGATCGTCGTAGACACGACACGATAGGAGCGCTCGTTGTCTCCGCTATCGTAGGGACTGTGATGATAGACCACCGAGGATGAATCCAAATTTTTAGAGACATTGAATCCTGCTTGCTCAAGAGCATTCCGTTTCTGCTTTTGAGGACTCAAAGATTGCGCGCGGTGCGCCAAGGTCGAGACGAATGTACGGCGATCACTTTGGGGTTCTTTCTTCACGAGAGGCGATAGCCCGTTCTGTTCTTGTTTTGAACGTTCAGGCTGCGAACATAGCCGTATATTAGCGATAAGCTCCATGATGGATCCAAATGATGTTTTTTTTGTCCAGTAACAGCTCTATGCACCCTTGGTTACACGATCCATCGTGCGCCAGGAGTCGCGCATAGAAGGCATAAACAGAGTGTAAATCAAGTTTCAAAGAGATGGCGGGTGATCATCACAAAGAAAAGGATAATCCACAAGAATGTTCGAAAGATAACAGCCGCACAAGCGACCGAAGCTTTTTTCAATTTTGTCGGAAAGCGTGAAACAAAGGGAAAAGGTGAAAAATGAAAATCAAAGGAAGGCAGGGACCGAAAGACACGACTCCCTTAGATAGAAGAGCGCGACCGGGCCAAGATAAAAACAAAAGGAAATCAATTAAAAACTTACCGTTGGGTCAGGAAATGGAATCACTTCATCCAGATCCATGACATCCGTATCGTCCAAGGTCAGATCGATAACCTCCCGTGTGGGAGGGTACCCGGATGTCGGGGGCCCAGCGAGCCCCTGCATCGCGATCTTGGGGGCACCGTACCGTTATGTCAGAATAACGGTAAGGAAGTCCTCTAACACGCGTTGTGACGCGCATAAATGTGTTCCAGAGATCACAGCGGGCGAGAAAAGATGGATATCCCACTCGATATGGGATAGTCGGGTAGGGAAAAAGGCAGAAACGTGAATAACGGCCTTAGCGGTAGGAGATTTAGGAGTCGAGATAGGTAAAACCTCCCCTAGGAGATCCGAGTGAGAGAAAATGCTGGTCAAGGGGGAAAAGAGCTTGAGAGACTTCTGGGGGGATAGCCTCAAGTAATTTTGTTCAGGATATGTGATGGTGACGGGATAGATCAGGGGAGGCAGGGCCCGAATCTGCGGATAGGAAACGAAAAGAGAATCGTATAGCGTGGGGAGGTGAAGCTGTAAATGAAAGAAAGACAAGACATTGGGCCACAGGACGGGTGCGAGGAATTAATTATGTAAGCGTTGGTAGCTTAGTCATGTATCAAACTCTAATATGCCATGGTATCTTAGTTTCTAGAGATCAGAAATTGCGAGAAAATGGGGTTAAAACATATGAAACGGACATTCTGATGTTCTCGGCAGTATTCTGGAACCCATTATATAAAATATCAGATGTTGATGAATTACATGGGTCGAGTCTCGTATGGAGGGTTGAGGGGAGGGACTTCTGGATAGTAGCTGTTGATTGGCCAAAAAAGATCCGAGAAAGTGGAAGAGTTGTGACGAGCATTTGCTTTCTTTTCTGCCGAGCAGGCCGCCAGTGCACGGGGCGGAAACCAGAACTATGTACAGTACTTTTGATGGTCCGTCTTGCAATCTTCCACACAAACAAAGTGAGCTATCAAATTAATCCCTGGCGAGGCAGATTATTCTACACGTTCTATTTCCCTTTTAATAATTTTGAGACAAATTCGATGTTGTGGTGGCGTCCTTTCGTTCAGACAACCTTGACAGGTCTTCTTTGAAAGAGGTCTTGGCGTCATGGTCCATCCGCGGGGTTGCCTCGTAGCCTCACCGCTCCTTCAGCTCCCCTTCTACACCAATCAGATTGCTGCATGACTCGCTAGTTTGCTGATTAATCAATCCTATATATGGAGGTCCTAGAAAGATATATATAATAAATTATGATGATACTATCTAAGGATCTAGAGACATCAAAACGTTGTAGATGATGGAGAAATGGACCGTATGGGGCAGGTTGGACTTGGGGTGCTGGCCAGCGATGTATCTCACGGGAGTCCGGGACCTGGCAATCTGGCTTCACGTTCTTAGCGATGTAAAATATTTAGCTATATCCAGCGCCAACAGAAGAGCTTCTAAAGGATTTAATTTCATATAGACTGTTTCTTATCGCCGCTCAAATTACATCTAGCCAATAATTTAATCAATTTTCCATAGCATCGATTATCCTAGAAGCACTGGCTATCTACGTTGAGGTGTACACTATAATCAGTCAACTGGCTAGTCTTGCCCCAAGGCTTCGGGGCAGGAGGCCGCTGTAGGGGGCCACTACGTCGACCCGCGGCGGGAGTGTCGCCGGTGAGTCTCGCCAGTGCATCCCGCCGATGCCATCCACCGGTCAGGCCCATCAACCAGAGCACCATCTTTTTGCTATATACGATCTCACCAGCGTCTAGAACCATAGGATCTATAAGGATCTATAACTGAAGCAAAAAGCCTCCAACATGAGAATTTTCGAGCGCAAATTACCTAAGAGCCCTCTACGCGATCGTATATCACAATTTAATAAGGAAAATTGAATATTTACCCGGTCGCATATCTTTGAACTGTTCATAAATGTATTTTCGAGGCCAGGAGACAGGAGATAGGAGGCCTATAAACCAGTGGCGGCGTAAGCATGATGGTAGTTAACTAAACCCGACATCTGACATACATATTGTCGGATTTACGGGGTCAGCATAAATCCTTCGGCGTGCACAAGCAAGCGAGTGTGCACGATTGGTCAAATCAGTATACGATTGGCGAAGAATCGTATAGGTCAGGTCAGGTCGTACGATTCGGCTCAGAATCGGAAGTTAACTTATGATAGAAGAATGCTCCAACTTCATCACAATCATTAAACTTGATTCAACTAGCTATGGAAAACAGGCAATATTTATAACTTCATGAAATCAAGGCAATACGTCAGACTAGAATCTCATAGAAATCAGAAGAAATAGAGTGTTGAAGCTCTTTCGTCATGTGTGCAATCTGTTGATGTCAATCGTTGAAGATCGTCGTCACGTGGACGTTCCGTCGTATTCTGTCAAGTTCGATAGCTCTCATGGGCTTATGCACCCACTTATGTCGACACACCCCCTCAGCTCTCAATGTGAGGTCAAAGTGAGAGCTGAATGAGAGATATCAGAAGGAAGGGGATTTCTCTGCAGGTAAGATCTCCATGCCTAGCTGTTGAACAAAGGCAGCATGTTTTTCTGCAGATAAGCGCTTCGTGAGGCCGTCGGCTATTATTTCGGCCGATTTGACCTATTTAATTCGCAATCGTCTAGCTTGGACTTCCTGGCGAATCCAAAGCTGGTGGATATCAACATGACGAAGTTTGGTCTGAAATGTTGATTTCTTGCGCGTGAGCAAATCAACTGTCTGCTGATTATCGCATTCGATTATATCTAATTGGTCAGTTTCGAATTGGATGAAGGAAAAGAGGCGTTTGATCTAGTATAGCTGCTTAGCCGCGTGGCTAATAGCTAGCAATTCGGCTTCTGTGGTTGATGTGGTGATAGTCTTCTGCTTGCGCGATTTCCATTCAATTGGGCTACCAAATAAGCAGAAGATAAATCCTTCAGAGCTCTTTCGGTCAGGATTGTTAGCAAAGCTTGTATCTGAGGCGGCAGTGAAGATAGAAGCTCTTATTTCGCTGTCAAAGCAGAGCGAAAGGTATCTCGTCGCATAGAGATACAATATCAGATAGTCGACAGCTGCTAAATGCTTCTTATTGCAGCGAGTAAGCGATTTAGCTAGCAATTGGTTGGCGAATGCAGTATCTGGTCGGGTCCAAACAGCAGGGAAAAGGGTAGATCTATACTTTTGTTGATATAGCTTGACGATTTTCGGGTTAATTGGTTCTGTCAGAATTGGATCAAGCTTTTGTGTGGCTGGAAGTGGTAGTATCGGGGCTTTCTGGCTGTTTAGCAGGTTGAATCTAGCAGTTATCTTTTCAATGTAGGCTGCTTGATTTAGCCAGGTCTTTCGTTTTGATCGATCACGTACGATTCGAATACCAATAAACTGTGTCAGTTCGCCGCAATCCTTTATTTCGAATCGTTCTGAGAGTAGTCTTTTGATTTGCTGAGCGTGCGAACTCTCACTTTTGTGATAGGCAGCAAGGAAATCGTCGACGAATACTATAATAATTATACGATTATCGGTATAAAGGGCAGGGTCATCAGGGCAAGGTTTGAATCCAAGTGAGAGCAGTATCTCTTTAATATCATCTTCCCATCGCTTACCAGCGATTCGTAGGCTATATACTGCTTTATGCAAGCGTAAAACCATCGATTTCCTGCCTAATCCTGGGGGATATCGGCAGTAAACTTCTTCCTTTAGCGAGCTGTTTAGGAAGGCGTTGACAGCATCTATCTGAAAGGTCTCAAGGTCAAATCGTGTGATAATCGCGATAAGCGTGCGAAACGTTCTAGCCGCGAGTGTGCTAGTGCGAGCGTCTTGGTCGTCAGGAACTTGTGTGTCTCCACGTATATATAAACGGGCTTTGAAGCGTGTGAGATAGCCTGATTCGTCTGATTTATAAGCGAATACCTATCGCATTGGAATAAACTGGTGGCGGGGGCAGTCTGATTGGTCAATTCCTTTGTAATTCGTCTGATGTGCGTGGGTGACTAGATGTGCGCTTATTGGTTCAAATGCACGTATATCTATAAGCTTGTTGAATTCAATCTGCATAGCTTGACGAAATTGGCTCTCAAAAGGGTGGCTAGTTAGCTGATTGTAGCCGGATGGTGCAGGTGGAATGGAGGATATCAGAATTTTTGGCTGCTTTTGTATGCTTTAGTCTAGCAGGAAGGCCTGCATAAACGCTGTGAGGTTGATATGAGGGCGCTTAGCTTCACTATGGTCTTGGCTAGTATCTGAATCAGAACGTGGGCGTTTAGTCGATATCAGTGGTTCGTAACCGGAAGGGTCGAAATTGGTGTTATCAATAAGCACGAAAGGCTGTATCTGGCTAGATTGGCTAGTATCTTTAGTATCAGAAGGGTCTGATTGGTCAGATTGGTCAAATTCGTCTGCTTTTGGATCTAGTGGAGGGGTAGGCGGTTGGTCTCTAAGGATTTCGTCATGATCGTCAGGATCAGAAGTGAGCTGAAAGTGAGGCGAAAATGAAGTTTCGGAAGGCTGAGAGGGTGCAGCAGGATCTAAATTAGCCGTTGTACTAGGGCTTCTACCCCCTAGATTATACTGCATCGTCTGTTGGGAGGCAATTGGTATATCGATATCGTTAAGGATCTTGAGCGTTTCTTTATCATCAAGAGTGGTAATCGGCTGCGATAGATTGCTATCTTTATAGATGCGAATCTTCTGATTAGGCAATAAGGAATCGTAGAATTCGTCTTCGTTGAATTGTACGTCCCGTGCACGAATCACTCGGCGATTAGAGGGTATCCAAATTCGCCAAATATTGTGTGCTTTATAGCCTACTAGGTAGCCGATAGCCGCGCGTGGCGCTAGCTTAGCTAGTCTAGGAAGCTTGTTGATGCGCACGTACGCTTTGTATCCGAAGATTCGTATATTCGAAAGGTCAGGTTTGGCTTGTAGCCAATGTGGTGCATTATCGCCTAGATAGGCTGCGAGTGCTTTATGTGGCGATTGCTAGTTGATTGATCGGTGTGGTATGCGATTTTGAATATAAACAGCTGTCTTAGCTGCTTCAGGCTATAGATAGCTTGGTAGATTTGCATCAATCGTCATCTGCCTAGCTATCTTTGATATCAATGCACCATATCGTTCGGCGTAGCCATTTTGGTCAGGCTGATAGGGCGGAGTAGTCTCTAGCTTGATTCCGCGAGCGGTTGCTTGCTGGTTGAAGAAGTCGGATAGTGTCTTTTCGTTATCTGAATGCACTGTAAGGACGCTTAGGTTGAATTGGTTTCGTACGAAGTCGATTTGGTCAGACAGCGATTGTGTTGAATCGGTTTTCGAAGGAAGGTCTTGCGCTAGCTGATATTTAGTCACTGGATCGACCGAATGTGATAGGTAGGAAGTTTTCGTGAGCGATTGCTCGAAGTGAATAAGGTCCCAGTGCAGCGATTCGAACGGTCGATTATATCGCATCGGTAATCGAGAGATTTGACGTGGTGAATTAGCCAGTTTGTATGCTTCGCAATGGCTGATAGGCGAGGATATATCTTTGACAGTGATATTTGATGAGTGCTCTGGTAGTCGTGCTATAACGTCGTGGCTGATATGGCCTAATCGTCGGTGCCATTGGTCGATGGTTCTATCTAGCGGCTTCTTCGTGTGTGAAGATAGGGCAATCTTGTCGAATTGGCTAGCAATATCATCATCAAGTGAATCGGAAGTGAGAGATAGCTGAGAGATAGGTGAAGGAAGGGAAACGTGATTGGCAGAGTGTCCGGTAGTAGACATTTCGTCCTATTTGATCAAATAAATGCCTGATTTCGCATTCAATCGGTATATTGGCGTGCTATCCTTCTCCTCTAGCGTGTAGTCTTTGCTATTCAGATAGATTCCAGCGCTTGCAGCTCTTTCTGCAGAGATTAGGTTGATATAGAATCCAGGGCAATATGCGACGTGCTTCAAGGGAAAACTGGTTCCATCAAGAGATTGTGTTGGCTTCAAGATAAGCTCTCCATATCCGAGGATAGTGGTCTCAGTATTTCCTACTATGACGGAGGAAACGACTGGCCTATAGTTTGATAGTAGATCTCTGTTGTTCGTGACATAGATAGATGCTCCAGTATCATAGCACCAGGTGTCATTTTTCTTAGCTGGGATCCAAATCGTGCTCATGGCTTTCCCATCATCGGCTCGGAAGAGGTCTTCAGCTTGCTGTTTCGGGATATAGGCAGAGAAAGCATCCCTAGTCGTCGTTTCTTCATCTGGTGGAGCTTGCTCTAGCTCGCGCTTGTGTGTATGCTTCTGGTTGCCCGATTTAGCTGGCTTTTGGTGTCTTTTGACCGCAAGGTCGTACGCAGTCTTAAATGCAGGTGATGATTCGCAAATCCTTTGGAAGGTCTGTTGAATTTCTTCGTCTGGCTGCCAGCCCTTAGGCCTAGCGCGTGGATTGATGTATGGGCATCTGTTGAAATCGTGGTTGCCGTCATTAGGTGGACCCTGGCAAGGGCAGGTGCCCTTTCGGCGTGGTTTCGGTGGCTTTTCGTTACTATCATCGTCGTCATCAGGATTTCGGCCCTGATAGGTCGTGTGAGCAATCTGCCGTTTGCTTCCGCTAGTAGACAGCGGGGCTGATCGATATTGGTCGATAAATTGATTGACTAGCTCTGTCAAAGTAGGCTGCTTTATCCCCTGAAGGATAGTGTTATGCTAGAACGTGTAGAAGCTTTGATCGCAAGGTTGAATAGCCTCTAGGAAGTCATAAATTGGTGATAAGGGATCTTGGAACTGGGCAATATTGGCCTGTTCGCCGTCGGCTTGGCAAATCACCTATTTCTGGCACTATATGGCTAGGTTGGAAGGCTTGGTAGGCGGCGTTTGGCGCTTCAATGTATCCTAATCGCGTAGGATTTGGCGGTTCTTCGATTGGCTTGATAGAGCGAACGTAGCACGAAGCTTTATGATGGCTTCACGTAGGGATAGGCCGTTGACGATTTGCCTTCCCTCAGGCGTAAGTGATGAGCGAATGCCTTGCTTTAGCAATTCGATTGCGCGTATATAGCGAAGGTAGTCTGATTTCGACGACTTATACTCGCTTAGCAGAATCTTGTAGATTGATAGCTGATCAGGTGTAAGATCAATCAGGCGCGTAGGTTGTTCGTCTGAAGTGAACGTATTCGATGGTCGTTTAACCACATCAGATATCTGTGGCTTTATCGGCTCCTGCGGAGGTGTAGCAGGCTGTTCGTTAGGATTGGTGTATTTCCACACACCATTCGATAGTGCATAGTCTTGCACAGCAGTATACCAAGGGATCCAGTGCGCGTGGCACTTCAAAGGGTAGTTAAGCCAGGTGGCTTGAATATTGGTCGAATCTATCACTTATAAAGCGAAAGTGATAGACAGGTGAGACGAAAGTAAGAGATAGATAAGGCGAAAGTAGTCGAAAGATCAGAGAAGAGTGAATCCGAAAGCTTTAGCAACAGGCTGCAGCGATCGGGCTCATAACTGTCGGATTTACGGGGTCAGCATAAATCCTTCGGCGTGCACAAGCAAGCGAGTGTGCACGATTGGTCAAATCAGTATACGATTGGCGAAGAATCGTATAGGTCAGGTCAGGTCGTACGATTCGGCTCAGAATCGGAAGTTAACTTATGATAGAAGAATGCTCCAACTTCATCACAATCATTAAACTTGATTCAACTAGCTATGGAAAACAGGCAATATTTATAACTTCATGAAATCAAGGCAATACGTCAGACTAGAATCTCATAGAAATCAGAAGAAATAGAGTGTTGAAGCTCTTTCGTCATGTGTGCAATCTGTTGATGTCAATCGTTGAAGATCGTCGTCACGTGGACGTTCCGTCGCATTCTGTCAAGTTCGATAGCTCTCATGGGCTTATGCACCCACTTATGTCGACAGTTATTTATCCGACCGATGATACTTACGTTTGATATGAGTCGACTCATATTCACTAGGTTATAATTTACAAAATAATCACATAAAGCTAGCGCAGGATGATGGATAGCAGACTCCTATTTGACCGGCAGAATCCTTCACCATTATCAAAGGTTCAACCATCGAACACACAACCACGGAACACCCATACGCCCACGATACGCCCTTGTGAAAAATATCGTATTTCCCGCATTGTTACGATATTACAATATAACAGTGCGCTACTATATATTGGCTCCTGGGTCATATCCGCTGATCGCGGATAGAGTGGACTTTTTGGCCTAAGTGTATGAACATGTGACCCAGGCATGTGTCGTAACACGCATAAACAATATAAACCTCTTACCAAATATCGACACGAAAACCACACGACGCCATTCCAGTCCTCGATAATCGATAGCATAGAAATGAAAACCAGCCTTAAAGACCTAAATAAATATGACATAAGAAAATAAAAGGGAAGATACTGCCATCCACAACGCCTAAAGGCATCTTCGCTTGACTCTAAGGTACATCATAAGACCGAACAGAAGAGGGGGAGCTTATCTAGTCCAACAATACATGCTAAACAGACGGGGCGTGCTGCGTGATAGAGGAAGATGCATATTGCAGACCGGAAACGATGGGGCTAATAGATGAGGAAAATAGGATTGGAACAAATAAGGGGGGGGGGACATGAATGATGTATGCAAGGTAACATAGATATGATAGGATGCTCGTGCAATACGTCGTTGATGAATGTACCGGAAAAGTCAATGCAAAATCACGGGTAAAAGGAGAAATAAAGAAGACATAACGGGGTCATTCCCAAATAGGGTACTCTATGTTCGTCTTGTAAGTTCGCGTTGATTGATGCATATCGGCATTGGTGAAGACCACTCCCCCAAATCACAGCCGCAAAGCATCGAGAATCTTTTTCGCCATCTCGCGGTACTGCCACATACCGCCGGAAACCTTCTTGAACTGAATGCCATGAAGAGAGAAGAGAGGAACCTTGACAATGAGAATCTCAAACCGCAAAATCAAGTTCTCACCAGTGTCGCTCTGCACTCGTGTGGTGGTCTCACCGACCACCCGCTCGCCAACAGCAGTACTGGTTGGTGGTTCTCGTGCAACATACTCCTCCGAAGCATCAGAGTTGGTGGTGAAGCTGCGGTCGGGTGGGCCTTGGGTACGGCGTTGCAACTTGGAGTGTGAAGGACGGCTGTCATCTCGGCTATCGTCGTGCCCGAGAAGTCCTCCAAAGCTGATTCGGCGACGGTGGGATACTTGGCCCTGGCGGTCAGGGCTGGGTGGGCTGATATCGACCACCTTTTCGAGGTCGATGCTTGGGGCGTGTCGGCAGCGGAAACCGCCCTTGATCTCTTCGTAGTCCACAGCCAGTTGCTTCAGCACGCGAATAATATCCGCCCGAATGACAGACAGGGGTTTGCTGCTGGTGGTCGAGACACTGAAGAGGCCCTTGAGAAAGACGGGCTTTGACAAGTCCTCTCCTTCATTGGCGCTTTCCAAAGCAGTCCCTGCGCCAGAGATATCCGCATCGGTCTCCTCTGGCACGTTGGCCTCTCGAGTAGCTTCACGTCGAGCCCGACGTGCCTGGATGCTTTCACGACGGGCATGACCAAGCGACATGGTTCGTGCCGTATGTGTGCGTCCACCATTCTTGACACCCAGTTGGTCGCGCTGGCTCTCAGGTCCAAGCTGATCCGAGCCACTCGTCGAAGGAGGCTGGCGGTCGACATCCAAGGTATCGGCATCTGTCCTCCTAGCAGCCCGTCGAGACCGATAATCGGCAGAGTTGACACTGGTAGACCGGCCAAGGAACTTGTTGGACTGCGAAGACTGCTCACCAGAACTTGGGGCAGTCAGCAGATCTTGCTGGGGTTGACTACCACCGTGGGGGATAGGGCCCGGTGACGGCTCGGCCCGTCGGGTGCGCCGCACACTGAAGCCACGATGCATAGGCGAGGCTGAATCGGCAGGGGGCTGGACATTGAGAGTCGGGGTGTTGGGGGTGCTGACACGTTCCCTTTCGACATCGCGACTGCGGTCTTTGGCTCGGCGAGTACTGAAGCGCCGGAGAATACCAGCAGCGGTACTTTCCTTCTTGGAAGGAGTATCGAGCTGAGATGTAATTGGGACCGCATGAGCAGATGGGGAAGCAGCGTGGTGGCTCTTCAGTGTCTCTGTCACGTCGTCCTCGCCATGAGTTCTGGCACGAGGGCGAGAACGACGACCGGTGTCCCTCTCTCCCGGCAACTGGTACTGATTTGTGTGAGCAGCTTCCGGAGGTGTCAGCTCGGGAACTTGTACATCACCAGGGGTTTGACGGAGGCCAAGAGCCCCAGGCCGGGCTTCGGCACGTTCACGATCGAGTTTCTCCTTCACAAGATGGTAAACAGAAATCAAGGGGCTATAAGCGTTCAACGGGTCATTGCCCAACTGAATAGCCTCAGCTGAAGGAGCAGACAAGGTGTCCCGGCTTGCGGCAGAGTTGCGTCGCTTATAGAAGTCGAACACACCACGCTTCTTCTCTGCCTGGTTGGAGATGGGCTGTTCGCGGAAGTTGAGGCGCAACGCATGTTGGTACTCCTCGGACTCCAGCGTCTTCGTCAACTGGGCTGTGATGTAGTCTGGGGGACCGAAATCGAAACCAGTCATTTTCTCAATCACCTCCTGATCCAATGGAAGTTGCAGAGGTTCGCGAACGGGAAGGTAGTTCTCCGGTGGAGCGTTGAAGCCCTTGTTCATCCAGGGATGGGCCATGATTTCGGCTAAGCTGGCACGCTGCTTCGGGTCTGTGACAAGCATGCGGGAAATAATGTGACGACATTCTGTTGTTGTAAAGATGCTAGTTAGCTAAATGAAGTCGCAAGAAGTTGGAAGAAAATGACACATACCAGTTGTAAGGCCAGGAGGATATTCCACGACACCCTTCTTGATCTTCGCATGAAGCTGAGGCATGCTCTGATCGTCGAATGGCACCTTTCCGCAGACCAACACATACAGGACAATGCCGAAACTCCACACATCCACCTCTGGCCCGGTGTACTGTCTTGCTTGGAGCAACTCCGGGGCCGCAAAGTAAAGACTTCCACAGAATGTTTTGAGAAGGCTTCGAGGCGAAAAGAGGTTGCTAAGACCGAAATCGATGATTTTGATATCGCCGGTCTTGCTGATGAGAATGTTCTCGATCTTCAAATCGCGGTGGACAATGCTGTTGCGATGGCAATAATCCAACGCGCTGGCGATTTGTCGGGCGAACTTGCGCGCCTGCTTCTCCTTCAATTTTCCGTGGGAGATGATGTAGTCCAGCATTTGACCACCGTTCACATATTCGAAAAGCATGTACCAGTGATACGTGGTCCGGACCACATCCCTCATGCCACAGATGTATGGGTGGTTCACAAGCGACACAATGGCAGCTTCTCTGGCGGTCCGAATCTCCTTTGACCGATCGGCTCGCTCTGTTTCGCGCGATGACTTGTGCTCTTCGGTCGACAAACGAGGAACGATCTTGACAGCGACCTGTGATATAAAGATGGATCAGTTAGCGAGCCGCGCGATACTCAAGCGCTGGAAAAGAGGAGCAAAAAAAGGCATAAGAGAAGGGAGATAATGACCTGTTCGCCGGTTTCAATGTTCTTCGCCAGCTTCACTTTACCCATACTGCCCGCACCAATGGTCTTTCCCAACGCCCAATTCCCCGTGGGGGTGGTAATTGTGGTTCGCCGCTTGGGCTGAGTGGGCGCGGCGGACTGTCCATTACTTCCACTCGCAGGCGCTTGCACCGTATCTGCTGGCGCCAGCTCAGTCTCACGCGGCTGCATAGAGGAGGTTCTTTGGTGGTGCCTCCGGGTAGACTCGGTCCGTGCAGTGGCCGGACGCTCAGCGGAGGCATCACGGTCGCGGCGAGATTTGGCCTCGGCCTCCTGGCGGGCTATGCTGTCCAGAGCGGCATAATTGGACGGCGGACGATTATCATGAGAGGGGGTTTTCGAATGCGCATAGTGAGTCTGTGGAGGGGGCTGGGAGGAGTTGGACGATCGGACTGCCACGCTTCTCGTGCGATGCGGGAGTTCCGATTGAGCGGCGGGTCGCGAGGGCCTTGAAGTGGTCGACACAGTGCGCCTGGGAGCTGACGACATTGTGGCAACTCCGGTCGCTGGTTGGAAACAAGGTCAGAATGGGGGTGGATGGAGTGTAATGAGCGAGCGGGGAGAGGAGCGCTGCTGCTGACGACACGGTAGGTACTTGGGAGGGCCACTGGGACCGCGAGGGATCGGGCCCCACGGGCTCACTCTCAAAAGGGAGGGGAAGATGGATGAGTAATGCAAATGCGAGGCAAAAGATGCAACGGGCCAAGGAGAGGAGGAAGAGAAATGGGAGTGGTGGATGAGATGAGCAGGATGGAGAGAGATGAAAGACAAGACGCAAGTTGCGATGGGGGGGCGGGACTAGCCAACACTAACAACCCGCACGGCCGAACTAACAAGTCGACAACTTCACGAGCACCGGCCCCCAGCACCTGCCAACATCTCTGCCTGTCCACTGTGTCCAGTATATGTGCCCGAGCCACTGCCCGAGCCAGAGACAAAGGAGGGGGATATTATGTATTTATTTCCCCTTGACCGAGTTCTCACTGCCACTTCTACCATAGTAGTCCTCTACTGTTAACAAGATACTCCTAGGACTGACTCTCGACTCTCGTCTCATATCTTCTGATCTCAGCCTGTGATACCCGAGTTTCTAAGATGAGTCCCCCTTTCTCTGATCTCAGATATAGCCTATAGGCGATATGCTCTAACCTTTTACCCTTACATTATATAGGTCACAGGCTATAGGTCATTTTCTAGCGACCAATGTGATATGGTCTCGAATCTTGAGTCCCGACTCGGTCAGTTAAGTTTCAGCGTCTGTTTTCCCCAGGTCCTTTCCTCGGTTCCTACAAGGTGACTGGAACCTAATTCTCTCTGCTAAACCTCGATGGGACTCGAGAGGAACGCCCATGACATAATCTATCCTCGCCCGTATCCACCATGTTCCAGGCACCGGATGGTGGGGGGAATACCTCCTTACTTCTTGCACCTATAAAAACTCTGGCTCTCTATAGTAATTGTACCTTGGATGAACTTCGCTATATAAAGATCCTAGCTTCATTATTTTGCTCTACTCAATTTCTCCGGAATATTCAGACATGATTACATTCATCTTTCCTCTTGAGACCGACTCAAATATGAATGATTGTGGATCATCCCGAGCGGCCCAGCCACGACAAAAGAAACGATCCGCCTCCGCCATGTCAGGGTCACGTGACTGTAACTATAAATAGTGCTAACCGATGCTTAATCTTAGATTCTTAGACTCTGATATAAAGATGTTCAGTAGACTGAACTCTCGAAAACAAGAGGCTAAGACTATATGATGTGATAGCCATGACTCATGAGAATATCCTCCCTCTCGTACCGAAGGACTATTAACGTACGACGATACGAGACATCCCTCTAGCAGATCAATTTACGCTTTTATATCGCGAAAATATCACATCGCCCGGTCGCGGCCTAGGACTGACAGGAGACTACTCGTTCGAGAACTTATAGACCAAATCACCCCGCGAGCAGGGAAAACCAGAGCGCTTAAGCTGGCCGCCGACCACGACGTCTCGATTCACCGTTGCGGGAGGATCCCATACAACCTCAGCGACGGTACCACATGGACGAGCCACGCGACACCCAGTAAGATCCTGACGATGAAACAGCAGGAAATCAGGAGAATCGCCCTCTTTCAATCCGATACTCGAACGCGACGACGAGAGTCCAATCGCCGCTCGAGCCCGAGTAGACACACACTCATACAATAGTCTCGCATCATCCTGCGTCCCGGCTTGATAAATGCCTACGCCTAGGCAAGCCAGAAACAATGGATCCGGCGGACCCCACGGCGTGAACGCATTACCGACATTGTTAACGCCCATCACGGCGTCGAGGTCATGTTTGCGAATCATCTCGGGGACTCGTAGGGTGCCTCTAGGCCGGTCGTGTGAGGTTTTTTGATCGGGCGATGCGGCCATGTAGAGGTCGCTGGTGGGTAATCCGACGAAGCTGACGGGGAGATCATTTTCGTGAATGATGTGGGAGATTCTACACCACTCTTCGTCGGTGAAAAGTGTGTGTCGAGTACAATGCCCTAGCATCACGCGTTTCGTCGTGGAGGATGAGGTCCAGCCTCGGTGTTGGAGACTCTGTAACACGTACCATACTAGAGCTTCCTTGCCCGAGTCGAGATTATAGTCAAGGTGGAAATCAAGGTGTTTATTTAGCTCTAGGGCACGATCGACGGCCCAGTCGATGTTTCGTTTAGCGGCTTCGATAGTTGATTCCACATAGGGGGTTGTTCCTATCACGTCGATCTGCGGGTATCGCGCGAGCGCCTGCTCTAGCAATTCCATATTTTCCTCGCCGTGTTGGGTAGAGAAGATAGGATCTTGCGCAAAGCAGACAATCTGTATCTCACAGGCATCTTTCCATTGATCTTGGAGTTTGGTGGCTGCTTCTAAGCAGACTAGTTTCACGGTATGGTCAACCTCGACGAATGCTCTCATCGCCGTGACTCCGGCCGAGACAGACTCGGCTAGCAGCCACTCCCCTCTTTGGAGTACATCAGGCACGGTGAATTGCTGTTTCGCCTCCGTGGTGAAAGATAAAGCCTCCTGGAAGGTACCCGTAGACGGCAGAAGATGTGCGTACTGCGAGGCACTATGGACGAATGCTTTATCCAGATGAATATGCGGATGTGTCAAGGCTGGTAGAACCAGTGGCGTGGGAACCGAGTCATCTCCAGGGGTTGTCGCTTCGTGCGGGGTGATAGACTGGATGATGCCGCGCGGGGAATCGGCTGGATAGTGGATGTCGATGTTCCAGGCCGACGCGGATCCCGCTAAGCGTATGCCTTGGATTGATGTGAGCTTACTGCTCAGCGTTGGTGGCGGCATTTATTCAGTAGGCGAAAGTTGGTTGTGACTTGTCTATGTCTAAAGGGTCGGTTGGATTTGGCAATGTCATTGCGGATGGTTCTCCACTCGGATGGCTTCCCGCGGACAACCTTTTCCCATAGTGTGGGACCTTGACGATCTTCATGATTGACAGAAAGCTACTTCGATATAAGATAGTTGATGACCTTGAAGGCTGAATTTGGAAGGCCATTGACTACCTAACTACACGGGAATGGGATATTAATCGCACGTGTACGGTATACCTCTGGTTCCAAGCCACCACGGCTTATGGCTATACTCGTTAGAAGGTCAGTACTTCTGTTAGCGGGGGCCGCAACGAGGCTACAATGATATGGCTACGGAAGATATGCTATGAGAAGATAGACAAATTCAACTAAACCGCACCGCGTGGTAAGTTATACCTATGCGACTGGAGGAAATAATAAGCGGGGTGCATGAAACCGGCTCTAGGCCCTGGTGGTCCCATGTCATACAATAAATACCAAAGAGGCGACTCGCAGGATTCAAGCCGACACCCCGAGTCGGTATAAAGCGATCTTGCAGATTGCATCTATTGCCCAATCCACTAGTGTATGATTGTACTCCTAATAAAACTTAATCTAATTTCTGATAATGGCATGGTCTAAAACACATTATCCTGGTGGCTGAGGCTATTCGGATGACGGCGGAGATGCTCGGAGCGGAAACAAGAAAGTAAGAACGTCGACTAGGAACCGGATAATTGACCCGATCGCGTTTTCGAATAGAATCACGGTATGGATAATATCCATGAGTCCATCTTGCTTACTATTCTATGTCATGATTCATGGCGATGGGCGCATGCACATGGCTCCATTGCACAAGGAGTGGTGTTATCTACTGAACTACACGTCATTGACTGCTCACCCCGTTGCCAAATGCAACCGCCGCGTCCCATAACAGGGATCAGGCCACTCCACAATTTATTTGCTTCCTTTCATAAAAGCTGCCATTCTGGAGACGCCCTTCTGAAGGGTTTATCTCAGTCAAGCGTAATTGTCGCAAACACTCAGTGGGCGCCTTCCTCTTTAAATTGCCCTGCATCCAAGCTGCATCAGCAGTAACAACCCCTCAACCTCACCACAACCACATTTCCTCCGACTTAGATTCTACCAAACTCTCTTCTACCCAACTCTGCGAGCTGGGGTTTACTCACACATAATCCACATCATCCACCATGGGTTTGCTCTCAAATTCAAATGAGGGCAAGAGCATCTCCGCCTATGGAGAAGCTCGCTCGACCATCCAAGGTGAATGCCTCACCTCGGAGGAGGTTCGCAAGATGAACTCCTACTTCCGGGCAAGTCTCTACCTCTGCCTCGGCATGTTGTATCTTCGCGACAACCCTCTGCTTCAAGAGCCGCTCAAGCGTGAACACTTGAAGCAACGTCTCCTCGGTCACTGGGGTTCGGACGCTGGCCAGTCTTTCACCTGGATTCATATGAACCGCCTCATCAAGAAGTATGATCTGGATGCTCTCTTCGTTTCAGGCCCCGGCCATGGCGCTCCTGGAATTCTCTCGCAGTCATACCTGGAGGGTGTCTACTCGGAGGTTTATCCCGACAAGACTGAAGATGCAGAGGGTATGCAGAAGTTCTTCAAACAGTTTAGCTTCCCGGGAGGTATTGGTTCGCACGCGACACCCGAGGTATGACAGATTTCCACTTCTACGCTGACTGAAGAGATGCTAACAAAGATTGTTTGTTCAGACTCCTGGAAGTATCCACGAAGGTGGTGAATTGGGATATTCTATCTCCCACGCCTTCGGAACCGTCTTCGACAACCCCAACCTCATCACACTGACAATGGTTGGCGATGGAGAATCCGAGACAGGCCCACTTGCGACCAGCTGGCACAGTACCAAGTTCCTGAACCCAATCACTGACGGCGCTGTTCTGCCTGTCCTGCATCTCAATGGATACAAGATCAACAACCCCACTATCCTGGCCCGAATCAGCCACGAAGAACTGACCTCCCTGTTTATTGGCTACGGTTGGAAGCCATACTTTGTGGAAGGAAGCGACTTGCAGAGTATGCACCAGGCTATGGCAGTCACCATGGAACAGTGCGTCAAGGAAATCAGAGAGTACCAGCAGCAAGCTCGCTCATCGAACAAGCCATTCCGCCCACGCTGGCCGATGATTGTCCTGCGTACTCCCAAGGGATGGACCGCCCCTAGGGAAATCGATGGAAAGCTACTCGAGGGCTTTTGGCGAGCTCACCAGATTCCAATCACCGATGTTCTCACCAACCCCGATCACCTCAAGGTTCTGGAGTCTTGGATGAAGGGCTACAAGCCAGAGGAGCTGTTTGATGCCAACGGCAAACTGATTCCCGAGCTGCGTGCTCTTGCACCTGCTGGCAACTCGCGCATGTCCGCCAACCCAGTCGGCAATGGTGGTGTCCTACGCAAGCCTCTGAACTTGAACGACTTCACCAAGTATGCTCTCCAGGATATCGTTCCTGGCAAGACCATCAAGGGCGGCATGGCAAACATGGCCAATTTTCTCCGTGACGTCGTCAGCAAGAATATGACGAACTTCCGACTCTTCGGTCCTGATGAGACTGAGTCCAACAAGCTTGCTGAGGTTTACAAGGCAGGCAAGAAGGTCTGGATGGCCGACTATTTTGAGGAGGATAAGGATGGCGGCAATCTTTCCCCTTCGGGTCGTGTGATGGAAATTCTCAGCGAGCATACTTGCGAAGGATGGCTTGAGGGCTATATTCTTTCCGGACGCCATGGTCTCATCAACAGCTACGAGCCTTTCGTGCACGTCATTGACTCCATGGTCAACCAACATTGCAAGTGGATTGAGAAGTGTCTCGAGGTTGAGTGGAGAGCCAAGGTCGCTTCGCTGAACATCTTGATCACGGCAACTGTCTGGCGCCAGGACCACAATGGTTTCACCCACCAAGATCCCGGCTTCCTGGATGTCGTCGCGAACAAGTCTCCTGAGGTCGTTCGCATCTATCTCCCCCAGACGGCAACACCCTCCTTTCCGTCATGGACCACTGCCTGCGCAGTGTCAATTATGTTAACGTTGTCGTGGCCGACAAGCAGGAGCACATTCAGTTCCTGAGCATGGAGGATGCGGTCGAGCACTGCACCAAGGGACTTGGAATCTGGGACTGGGCTAGTAACGACCAGGGCCAAGAGCCCGATATCGTCATAGCATCTTGCGGTGATGTCTCCACCCATGAAGCCTTGGCTGCCACCGCTCTTCTCCGCGAGCACTTGCCCACCCTTAAGGTCCGGTTTGTGAATGTCGTGGATCTCTTCCGGTTGATCTCCGACACCCAGCACCCCCACGGCATGCCCGACCAGCAATGGAGAGCCATCTTCACCGACAACAAGCCCATCCTCTTCAACTTCCATTCCTACCCGTGGTTGATCCACCGATTGACCTACAAACGCCCTGGACAGCACCACCTGCACGTGCGCGGATACAAAGAGAAGGGTAACATCGATACTCCCTTCGAGCTTGCTCTGCGCAATGGAACCGATCGATACAGTCTTGCCATTGATGCGATCGATTTGATCCAGTCTCTCGGCAATACTGGATCTAGTGCGCGTGAGAAGTTCACCAAGTTCCAGCTTCAGGGGAAGAAGGAGGCGTTTACTAATGGTGTTGATCCTGAGCATATCCGCAACTGGACTTGGCCTTACTCGAAGCAGGCTTAAGCTTAATGTGGCTGATGATTTTCCTGGAGAAATCCAGGTATCTGTTTGAGTGAAAGAAATACATGTTTTAATAGAGACAGATTGCGGTACATGATTTGCAATATGAATTAATTCTTGGAAACAAGGGAATCATATAGTAAGAGAGATAGTCGCCGGCCTGACCCTGTGAGAAGTTCTCATCACTCTAGAAGTTGCCGTGCACGAAGTTCTTATACCGTAAAATGAAATCATGTTACTGTATAAGAAGTTCTTACAGTCTTACAGCCTTATTGGAAGTTCTCATTCCCCGCCTATACTATAGCTATGCGCCCTACGAATCCTTATCGCTATCTTCGGCTCCCTGCCGGGCTATCGTCTGCTTCTCAATCTCGAGAGCTATAACCGAAATGGTCTTATACCGTGCAAAAGTAATTGAATAAACTTATACTCTTAGATTCCCAGGATTCCCAGTACAGTATGCCTAATGATTGCAACCGTCGAACAACCATAAAATAGATCAACCAACCAGCCGGATAATTTTCACCTTAGTAGGTAACGTCCACATGTTTGCTCTCTCGGCTTGTTTTTCGAAACGCGCTTATGCGACCCACCAATTGTCTCCAGAAGCCGTGGTCCGACAAGGCTGCCAAGGAGATCTTCATCTCACTAAAGGCAGTTGGTGCCGCCCACAGTACCTAAAATCAAACAAATGGGTCAATACGGCCCCCAGTGGGCCAGCTCGCATTAGCCTCAAGCACGGGCGGAGTTGATCTTCTAGTGCGAACGCGGGGCATGACTGACCCATAAAGGCTCGAGAAATAACGCAAGTATACGTGTTCTGGGAAATTTCTTAAGATTCTTTGGGAACTGCAGGACAGCCAGTAACCGTCCTCAATGTTGATTTTAAACTTTACCAGGCGAGGGTTCCTTTTGGGCCTCGTGGCCATCATACTCCCAGTTGGAACTTCTCAGAGCTCCTCTTGCCGATGTTTCCCGGGCGATGACTGCTGGCCATCGACATCTACCTGGGATGCTTTCAATCAGTCAGTCGATGGTCGACTGATGGCTACTGTGCCTATGGGCACTCCATGCCATGCCCCGAACTATAGCGAGGACAAATGCAAAGCCATCCAAGATGAATGGCTTCTCCCAGATGGACAGTGAGTAACTGACACGCTCCCCCGCATTTCGAGTACTGAAAAAATCAGCTATAAAACCTCAAGCTCGATAATGGCGCCCCTTTTCGGGAGCTGCGATCCCTTCTATCCTAGTTCCGAGCCTTGCACCATCGGGAATCTTGTGCAGTTTGCGGTCAATGTGTCCAAGCTGGAACATGTTACCGAGACACTGAAGTTTGCGAAGCAGCACAACATCCGGTTCATTGTTCGTAATACCGGGCATGATTACCTAGGAAAATCTACCGGCGCGGGCGCTCTTGCTATATGGATGCATAATCTCAAGGATATTGAGTTTGAGGACTGGGAAGATACACATTACAAGGGAAAGGCCGCTAAGCTTGGAGCTGGTGTTCAGGGCATGGAGGCCTACCAAGCTGCTCATAAAGAAGGACTCAGGGTAGTCGGAGGCGAGTGCCCTAGCGTTGGTCTGGCCGGGGGATACAGCCAAGGTGGCGGTCATTCTGCCCTATCTTCAAAGTATGGCTTGGGCGCGGATCAAGTCCTTGAGTGGGAAGTTATCGACGGCACTGGAAGATTTCTAGTTGCCAACCGTGAACAGAATACCGATCTCTACTGGGCACTCGCCGGTGGAGGAGGCGGAACTTATGGTATTGTCTGGTCGATGACTTCGAAGGTATATCCAGATGGCATTGTCTCTGGCTTGAACCTTACGTTCTCGGCTACCAATATCTCTATGGATACGTTTTTCAAGGCTGTAGAGCTATACAATACTCACCTTCCCTCGATAGTGGACGAGGGTGTTATGAGCCTCAATTTTTTGACCAACACTTCTTTTACTATCGGTCCAATGACTGCACCAGACATGCCCCTTGAGAAGCTTGAGACTCTATTCCAACCGATTCGCGATGGACTCGATAAGCTTGGGATCAAGTACAAGTACCAGTCAGAGGAGTTTGATTCCTCTCTGGCTCAGTTCCAAGCCCAGATGCCGCTAGTTGAGGTCGCGATTGCTCAGTACGGCGGCTGGCTTATTCCCAGGTCGTTGATCCACGAGAATAACCATGGCCTAACGGAATCAATTCGAAGTGTTGTGGGTAATGGCGGGGTCTTCACTACTGTGGCTATCAACGTCTCCAAAAAGGTGAGCGGGGATGTCTTTAACGCTGTCCTCCCTGCCTGGTGCGAGGCTATTGCACATGTCGTCTTGAGTACCGCCTGGGAATGGAATGATTCGAAGCATACTCATGCAGCCCAGGAGAAGATGACCAATGACTTTGTGCCAAGTCTAATGAAATTGGCCCCCAACTCGGGAGCGTACCTTAACGAGGTATGTTATCACTGTTTCTTTCATTCAAAGATAATATACTGACCAACATCTACTAGGCCGACTTCCGCCAGCCTGACTTCAAGGCTGCGTTCTATGGCACAAACTACAAGGCTCTACGTGAAGTCAAAGCTAAGTACGACCCTCACGATATCTTCTACGGCCTTACTGCTGTTGGCTCGGATGAGTGGACAGTCTCGTCTAGTGGGCGTATGTGTCAAGTGGTTTCTCACGACGAACTTTAAGCAAGATTACCCATACCGGGTACCTTCGATGTCATCTTGGGAGCAAATGGCTCTTAGGCTCTTAGCATGGTTGTTCCGCACTGAAATCAATATAATCTAGACAATGCTGCATTTCCGTCTACGCTCCGAAGCATATAAAGCTAAGTCTCTTTTGCACGTAAGGCTTTTTGCCCAATTCGGACTAAATCCGCACTGGAAAGTATCTCGCCACTGAATCCATGTAAAACCTGGCTTAGGATGGCCGCCGCAAGCTTGGTCCCACGTTCGGAATGAACCGCGAGAAATGATTGGTCAATTGCTACATAGAAGCCAGAGCAGCTCTTCCCCAGGTTGTGGAGTTTGCGACCACACCTGGACGAGCGGTACAGATCTCTAAATTTGTGTGCTTGTCGGAAAGCTCTTGTACTTGCAGTTCTGTGTTGTGCTAATGATGGCAACGTGAGTACATCATGGATGAGAAAAACCCCGAATATTTGAGATAACAGTCAAATTCTTATTTACTTACCCGCATAATCTGATAACCTCCCATAAACATGGGTTTCTTCATGGGATCATCAGGTGTCCCTTCGGCGCTCAGGTACAGGAATCGAAATGGTCGACCTTCTTGGGCCTCATACATCGCTCGTAGACCACTCAACGTGCAAATTTGGCATACTCGCTCCACTTCGTCAAATTCAAAGTTCCCGAACCTAAAAGGAGTTATGGCCACCGTCCTGTGATACTGTTTTAGTCTGTGGTCAGTCTGGATGTTGACTTTTCGATACACCATATACAAGCATCCGCACCTGCAAATGCAGCCTTGGCATGATCGGAAAAGTATCCGTAGTCTTCAATGAGCACAATTTTAAGTTTTGAGGAATTTGTACTTTCGTTGATTTGAATAGGTCTTCGCGCTAATGCAATCACCTCTGTGACTGAACCGATGTCGAGACATTGGCGAATTATTTCGGATCAACCAAGCCCGTGGCTCCTGCGACTATAATCTTCATTGCGAATTTGTGATGCGTCACTGAATTTTTCCAAGTATGTTATACATTTAAACTCGTTTTCATTCGGGCGTAGGCCTGTGTTAACTTTATTCCGCTACATGGTAAGAGAAGGCGGCGGTCGGCATGCCGAACTCCGAACCCGTATCCGGAGTTCACTTCCACAAACCCGCCTGTTCTGTTCCAGGCCTCACTACCTTTTGGTTCTTTCCACCTTTTGCTTCGGCATCGGACAATGAAAGCCGTGATTAGGCCAATTCGTCACTCGGAAAACTGACAACGCGATTGTCAATAGATATGGCTCCAGCCATGCAGCTATATGGAAAAGTTCGTTTACCTTTGGGCCTTTGGGACATCCGACTGCTTCCGGGATATGCTGATCGACTGACCGTCAATTTAGGCATGCTCAGAATGCGCAAGATCAAAATGCAAATGCATTTCGAGACCTAGTGGCGCCTGCGAACGATGTGATCGTTTGAAAAAGCTTTGTGTGCCTGGACAGTCGTCAAGGGCACGACAAGCCCAGCGCAATAATCCCATCGCTCGCCTGGATCAGCTTGAGGGTAAATTAGATAACCTCGTCACGATAATAGGATCTGGAGGAGGCTTGAGCACTCCGTCTCCTGGCATTAACCATCTATCACCACCTATCTCTACCTGCAGTACATCGAACTCATTGGGTGTTTCGACCGTTTCAACCTCATTGCCCTCCACAGCGGGTCCGCCGGGTCTTGAGCCTTCACCCGAACAGCACCTAAGTTATTTCCGGAATCATCTTCTGAAATACTTTCCTTTTCTTCACCTTCCTCCAGATGCAGACGCGCATCAACTAAGCCGAGACCGGCCTTTCTTGTGGCTTTGCCTAGTAGCTGCAGCTTCTCAATCAACACAGACGAAGCTCGCGCTCGGTGACAGGATCAAGCAAGAAGTGGTACGGCGTATATTCCTTGACAATGAACCAACTATCAACATTGACCTACTCCTCGGTCTTCTGATATTTCTGGCCTGGGGACACAATCAGCTTCTCAACTCCAACCCTGCTCAATTAGCCAGATTTACGCAGCTGGCGACAACATTGGTGTTTGATCTTCGTCTGAATAAGCCTCCATCTGAAGAGTCCAACATGTTCCCCATCAGCCAATGCGCTTTCACACCCAAAGGCCAATCGCGATCGCTCGAAGAGAAACGAGCTGTTCTCGGGTGCTTTGTCTTGAGTTCAATGTAGGTTCTTAACCACCGGAATGTACAGCCCAAATTCTTACCTTATCAGTGTTTCTGTATACTTTGGCCACATTGACCCGATGCAATGGACGCCTTACATGGATGACTGCATCAACGATTTAATGCAGAGCAAGGAATCTCCATACGACGAGATTTTTGTCCACCAAGTCAGGCTGCAGCGTATCGTTGGAGAGGTCGAGAGTGTGAGGGAGGCAACAAAGGCTCCAGCAGACTTCTATTTAAAGTTCCTTCAACAAAAGGTGGACGAGGTCAAGGCTAGTATGCCATCACGACTGCAGCACGATCGTATGTTCATCCCTTTCAGATCACTCAGTGTCATATCGTTGCCATAACTATACTAACCCTTCTTCGCCTCGACAGGAGTACTCTCCGCCTCGGTGTTCTACACCGAGCTATCAGTATTCGGCCTGGTTCTCTCCCGAAAAAGTCCACCAGGGTTCCAACGACTCGAGTATCTCTACTCATGCCTCAACACAGTTAAATCAGCAACAGAGAACTTCCTCACAATCCCAATCCCCGATTATCCCGGGATCTCGTTTCCAGTTTTCACACAACTCGTTCGGTACATCATCGTTCTTTATAAGCTCTCCACCCTTAATGATCCTGTCTGGGACCTCGGCTTGGTGAAAGCGAATATCGATGTGATCCAAGTAATCGACCAAGTGATCCGCAATATTGAGCAAGCCATGTCAGAGATTGGCGAGCAATGCTGCGGCGGAACCATGGAACGCGCTATAGGGATATTTTTGAGGTTTAAGTCATGGTGTCTGCCAAATATTCCCGCTGGTACAGGGCCGGTTGCTGAGGAAGCCGAGAATGTTAATTTTCCTGAGATGGGAGGAGGTAACACACAGCTTGACGCTCTGTTCTTGGAAGACTGGTGGTTGAAAGATAATTTGTTCTATGGTTTGGAGGAAATTCCCTGATTATTGAAACAGCTTATGGGTCTATAGAAATATCATTTTGATCGAAACTATCTCCAGGTCATCTTGCACGGAATGGTGACACGGCAGGGGACAGTAAATTAATCAAAGGAAAGACTAATAGAATTCAAAATTTTGAACATGAACCATGCTTATGGAGATCATCGGAATCAGGGTACGTCTAGAGCTCAGGACGCTCTTGGATTTCCAACCTAGTTCCCAAATGCAGGATTTCCTTTCCCACCTTGCCTGCGGCAGCCCATTTGAAATCCGAAGCAGCGTCACTCTTGGCTCGCAGCCGAGATGTTGACTTTCCGTCCTTCTCCATGGGATGGGAGGGGCGGTTAGGGTAGTGAGGGGGCTTCAGGATGTAAGCGACCGGAACCCAGTTGACCATCAACGTCAAGTAGCAGATGTGCACCAAAGGTGGGAAGGCGATGCCAGTCATCAAGCTGGTAATTGTGCGCCCCTCCTCTCCTACCATCACGGATGTTATCGCGTGAGAAACAGCCCAGACGGTAGCTACCAGTAACACCAAATTGTAAAAGACACCATTCTTCCAGAGATCCAGATACAATTTTTTGCAGGCTGATAGGGCGTGCTGGTTCCAAGAATTGAGGACGCTTCCAGTCACGAAGGAAGACCCTTTGGGCTTGGCGGAGACAAGGTAAAATCGCAAGATTGCGAGGATGTTCGCTGCAGTAATTAGTCAGATATGAAATTTTTCTTAGAAAGACATGGAAAACGGAACTTACGGCCGGCCAACCATTTGTTTTCCAGATGGGCAAATGGTGCACTCTGGAAATCATTAATCGCAGCCTGAAGGTATTCATATATCCACATGACTGCGACTTGACAGATGGACATGAGAATCTGAGCCTTTACTAGAGAAGGGTGGGCTGTCGGGATGAGTTGCCCTGACAAAAAGAGCAACGGGACTGCAAGAAAGCCGAAGAAACATTCAGCTTCTCCAGCTACAATTCCGAACCCATCACAGATGATACTCCATCGTAAAGACTTCGTATAGTGTTTGTATGCCGATGAAAGCATAGCAGGAATTTGCTGGGCGTGTCCAATATTCCATCGGTTTCGCTGAGCGCAGTGGCCTGTCAGCGAATCGGGAACCAAACCGAACTGCAGAGGCTCCTGAACTTGAAACGTGCGCCAGCCCATGCCATGCAAGATCTGGGACAGCTGCCAGTCCTCAGAGAAGGAGAATGTTGGGTACAGGCCAACATGCACGATTGCGCTCCGTCTGAAGACTGCCCCTGAGCCCGCGTCAATTGCGAGACCGAGGACATCCAATGCAGCGTTCTGGCAAGTGTAGAAGTGACTCCTAGTCTGGGAAAGAGGATCACCATTTGGTAGATTAGAGAAATATTGACGAGTAGAAACCAGAGCGGCGTCTGGGCTTTGCAGTAGGTGAGGCAAGGTTGCCCGAAGGAAGTCCGGAGATGGAACAGAGTCCGCATCGAGGATCGCACAAAACTCAGGCGGGTCTTCTTTTTGCAGCGTGGTCAAGGCGTAATTCATATTGCCTGATTTGGCAAATACCATACCGGACTGTCTGCCGCGGGAATGATATGAGACATGAATGCATTGAGATTGAAGATCTGACACTGCTTGCTTCAAGGCTGCTGATCCACCATCGTCCAGCACCAGGACGCGGAAGCAGGAGGTTGGATAGTCAAGGGCGCAGGCAGCGCGTACTGTGGCCATGATAACGTCCACGTCTTCACCACAGCAAGGTAAAAGCACATCCACGCGGGGAAGGTCTTTAGTCCCATGCACGCGTAGTCTCTTGCGCGGGCCATTCTCTTTGACTTTGGACGCCACGATGACTAGGAGCTGATCCTTTCGTGATAGATCTGGACATTCGATTAGACCTTCCCTCCTTTCACACCCGGATGCCCGTGGCACTCACGAATAAAAATAGCCTCGATGAGGAACATTGCCCACATCTGCCATGTTTGCGGAGAAAGCAAGATTGACAAAATGCGTAGGACAACATAGGCATTGCCGATCCAAATGGCAGATTGCGCTACATAGTAAAGATAATTTCGGTATTTCTGTCGCGAAAGAATCCGGGGGTCCTGAGGAAGCTCTCGGATATCGTAGATCTGATCGGCAGCCATTTGCCGGGGATTGTCCGCTCCACAGATGCGGGTGTCTTGTTGGTGATGTGCAGTAGGCTGCAGTAGCGGTAGATCCAGGCAACTTAGACTCAATCAATCTCTGCCAGCACCTCCACGGCTAAATCCAAAAATATTTCAAAACCCCCTAGCCACGAGATTGGAATATCACGGCACTAAAAGGCGGACAGAAAGGAGACAAGCCACTTCAAAAAGGGGGAAGGCGTTTGTGCGCTTGTACAAGAGGCGGCCTCGAGCCATTCAGATGCCCGCTATACCGCCACGAGTGGAGTCCTGGGTCGGATCGTGCCCAAACCTTCTTCCGCTCGTCCCGGCTGCCGACTGTAAAGCTGAGGGGGATGGGCATGGTGCATGATGTCCACCTTGTTTGTCTGAGGAGTGATCTGGTCGCTCAATGCGAGAGCCTAGTTTGACAGAAGGTGGGTACTGAAATGGTGGAAGTTGAGCAATTGAGGTCCAGTTTCGGATTGAAGAGTTTGGCATCAGTCAGCGGAAGACCGGCTCCAACTAATTCCGGGGTTCCTTGACCGCTTGTCTTGCCAATAGCTCACGGCTCTGGGAGTCTAGACAAGTGGGCATGGGTTTATAAATTTAGGGGTGTCAAGCCTTTTTGATTGGCCCTATTTCATTTGAGCAATTCGGTGCATTTGTGCTTACGGCATACTCCGATCATACGGGTGTTCATCAGCCTCTAGATTCAACCCAGCTTCCGATTTGTGGGGAACATTTAGCGATAGCGATTTTGTTTGATATCTGTAGCCGTTTACACTATAGAATCCGATTTGAAGGATCAGAATAAGAGCTTTGAGTAAAGCATAAAGTGATGGGATGAAGTGTTCTTGAATTGACCCCGATCTATCAATCTGATCAATCATCACTACATATTCAAATTGGTATATGGTGCGTAAAACGCACGGACGAAGGGTAAATCTAAATATAGACACAAAATTACTCAGACCTAGCCTCTTAAGCTCTTAGCTCAAGTCATATCCTTCCCCCTTAACTCTTCTTGCCCAGTAGCTAGGCATCCCCCTCAATCAACATCTCAACATTTCTCGAGACTTCTATTCATCTCCTTGGTCACCACCACCCAACTTCGCTTTCTTGTGTGCGTTAGAGGAATCCACCAAGTTGAAGAGGTTGCCATTGGTAGCGTTTGTGTCGTTACGGCCGAGCGAGCCCAGGCCGAAGTTCTGAATGGCACCTCGCAACATACCGTACAGAGTGATGTAGCTGTCATCGGTAGTGTTGGGTGTAACTCCGGCACCGAACAGGATGGTAGCAATGTGGTTGTCATTGTTGGGGTCAGAGTCATCGTCATTCCACCAGGTAGCCTCGTCGAAGGTAGCAACAACCAGGGTGCCTTGAGCCTCGAGATGAGGCAGGTACAGATCCAAGAATGAGTTGAGCCATTGGCCACCAGTGTTTGGCTGGTTGAAGTAGTTGCTGTCGGAGGTAGGGTCGTGGGCATTGTGAAGCATATCCGGAACGTAGAAGGAGTACTCGGGCAGAGTATGTGACATGACATCATCGGCAAAGGTGTTGTTGGCACCGTAGATCTTGCTGCAGCGCTCATATTTGCTGGTGTAGGAGCTGAAAAGCAGAGCTGGGACGTCGAGGCGACGGTACACCTGAGACCACCAGTCAGGGTTGGTGTTGTCGATGGGACCATTTGTCACGTAGTTGTTGCAGTCGTTCGGGCCACGGTGAGTCGCGATAGGATTGTACCACTCCGCGTAGGTACCATAGGAGACATTTTTGGCCTCGAGGAGATCATAGATGCTGGTGGCATTCACATTGTAGAAATCCTCATGGGCCATACCGAAGAAGTCACCGGCGACGAGAGCAGCGTAGTTGGGCAGGGATGGGTGGGTGATTGCATAGCTGCGAGTCAGCAGCTTGCCACGGGTAGCCAGTAGCTTCCAATAAGCCTGGCCCACTGTCCACTGGTAGACCTCATTCTCGAAGACAATGTGGAGGATCTTCTGGAACTTGCCTTCGCACTGGCCCGCTGATGGAGCGCAAGTTGCGAAGAGCTTGGAGCTGTTGATGGCCTTGGGGTGACCCTCGCTGACCTGGAAGAAAGGGTATTTGCCAGTCGCGCCGGAAGGAAGCAGATAACCCTCCTTGGCGCCGTAGCCAGTAAAGTTGCTACCACTGACGGTCTCGTTGTTCACCGACCAGTAGTAGTAGCCACCATACTGCTCCGGCTCGAAGGGAGGAGTATAGGAGAAAGGATAGCTGGCCACTGCCGGGTCGTTGTGCCTGAAGACATTGCCACCAATGTAGGGCACATCCTTTGCGGGAAGAGCATACTGAGCAGTAGCCGCGGATGAGAGCGCCAAAGCTGAAACGGCGTTGGTGAAGGCGTTCATCTTTAGACGACCTCGAGTCCACAACTGTCAGAACTTCAAGGGAGATTGTTTTCTGCGAGGAGCAGTTATGAGGCCCCGGCCATGAAGACCGCCTTTATACTATCGGGCATTAGGCATCACTCATAAAACAAGAAACTGATCTACTACCCTTCCAAGACACGTGGGCACGACAGGCTTCGTCGAGTATCGAAGTCGTGGAAGGGTCCAAGCGGATCGTGGGCGTGCATGGCTGAAGGCAGGTGTAATTGTACTAGACTCGATATGTTCATAGGGCCTGAAGATCAATTCTAGAAGACCAATCAAGGAGAGTTTTCCACGGGAAGTGGCATAGAGAAGCCTTTTCGGAACCATCATTTTGTTGGCTAAGCTTCCAGCCAAGCTTCGCGGGTCTAAGGGTCCGAGCCATGGCGGACCGGCCACAATGCGGCCCACGTGCTAAGAGCAGAGCCTCTCGTTTGAGGAATATCCCGCATCATTTGAAATGAAGCAATCTCTTCTCGAGTGCCAAGGTCCACTGGTAGAACTCATCCTCGAAGACGATGTGAAGGATCCTCTTGGACTTGCCTACCATACCTAGCAACAGTTACAAATATGTTTGTTTTGTTGAAGCAGAAAATTACTTAGACCTATAAATGCAACTGTCAATGCCGTTGAGGCTCTCACAATACACAGTCCGATTCCCATATTTCCTAAACTAATCTCCGGTCTCGCTTGTGGACACTTTAAGGTCAATCCAAGGCCTGCATTTCCGGAGGACGAGCATAATACATATCCCAGTCGTGCGTGTTGCACATTTCCGTGGCTCCAATCGCCTGCACCTCATCGTAAGGCACTTTCATCCAACTAACATCTTCCTGCGTGCATCCCTCTAGGGGCTCAAACTCCTTATCCGAATCGACTGACTCATTGCTATCTTCATTTACCTCCGGTTTCCATTCCCTATAAACCAAACGAACAAATCCGGTTTGCGTTATAGCATCCGGGTCCGAGCTCAAGACAGACTCTAGCGCCTCCTGCTCGACTATGACAAAAAATCTGTAGCGACCCGAATACCCGATAGTATCGACACCCTGTTCCTGCAGCGGTGCAATCGTAGCCCACTTCCTGAAATAGGTGCGAAGCAGAGCGGTGGTCGCCTTATCAAATGAGGGGTCTTCAAAGACTGTTAGGGTAAACCCTTCTAACATGTCTAGACCCTTGCTGTCCTCAAGATATTCTGTGACGGGCTGGAGGAAGCGAGCTATGAATCTTTCCCAGTCTTTTTGGCTTTGGTATGTGCAACGATAGATAACGAAGCCCTACTTTATGAATCTATCTTTTTGGAGAAGCCGTTCTAGGTTGTCTGCGCCGTTGCAGTATGCTTCTATGGTGGGATCCCGTTTTGATGGTTCCTCTATTTCATCATCGGGGATGCGTGAGGAACTCGCTGCTTTTGAGAATTATTTGGTGAGCTGTGAAAGGCCAGTTCTGGTAGGAAAACGGATGGGATGAGTTGAAAGGCTGGAGCACCTGAATGATTGCTTCCGAAAAATTGTTCGGAATATTTAGTGGAAAGGGAATAAAGAAGTCTTGGAGAAAGTCAAGTTGGGTCCAAGACAATGTTAGCTGATGTACGGAGGATAAAGAGTTACTGCCCTCAGGCACCGCCTCTTTAGTGCGGAGCCTCTTGTTTTGGAAACATCCTGTATCAAGTGAAATGAAGCATCCACTTTCAAATGCCAGAAGATTCCCTTTCGACATTTTTGAACATTATTTAGCCGTGGATTGCATGTCTGTATGTCATCGCTCATAGACCTGCACCGCAGTCTCCGCAGAGAACCCCTTTCGGAAGACTCGGAAGACATACTTTCGTACTAAATCTATATGTCTGCCTAGAGAAACTCACTTGGGTCCTTCCTTTATCATCCACGACTAGGGGTTAAGTGCTTCAACAAGTGACTAAATTTAAATTAGAGTATATGCGGAGTTGCTCTATGTGAGGGATGCTCTTTACTTTGTCTGGGTTTTTACAGTCTAATAATATCACTCTTGTTCAAGATAGATCTTTATCTTATGCGAGAGAATGCTCCAAGTGAAATATGTACCAAGGATCCATGAAAGTATAGTTTATCAAACCCTCATGTCCAGATCAGCTCAGTTGAATTGTGACAATAGTGGCCCCACCCTGCAGCGAAACACTATTCCCTGAAGGGCTCTTGTGACCGTTGACCTTGATACTCTTAATCTGGAGACTGGAAGGAAGACTCAAACTGCCCGAAGTCCCTTGCGGTGCGGCGACATTCACAGTCAGCAGCTTATTACCAAGCTCCCACTTCACTGACAGCTGTCCATACTGAGTTTTGACAGATGCAGCAGCCCAATCAAGATCAAATCCTGAGATTGCGGGTTGAATGATCCACGTCTTGTGTCCTGGCATGACAGCGCGAATACCGGTAATATATTCGGTCAGAACATAGGTTGGTGCTCCACCCCATGGATGGCTTTGAGACGTGAACAAGCTAAGCCCAGGGCTCAAGTCCTGAGCAACATATTCCCAAGAAGCACCAGTGCCGTATTTATCATTCATCATTGCTGCCCAAAGGTTGTCCAGGAGATATTTGGCGACAGCAGTGTCATTTGCCTCCATAGCTGCTACCATCAGGAAGCCATTGGTGTTCGGAGAAATATTGGCAGAAGAGGAATCGGTAGTAGAGATATCTTTGTAGCCGGGAGCAAGTTTCAAATCGGCGAGTCTAGCCAGACATGATGCGGCTCGTTCCTCACTGGCAACACCGGAGCTGATGGCGAAAGCAATATCTGCCACTCCAAAAGTGGTGTTGGATGAGGTACTGCGCACATACACGCCCAGCTCACCATTCCAAAGTAGTTCATTGATGGCTTTGGATACTTGTGCCGCCTTGTCACGGTATAATTTTGCGCTCGTTGCGTCGTTCAAAGCGTCGGCAACCAGGGCAGCCTCACTCAGTGCCTGCACAAGCGCGGCGCTGATCGCGGTACCCTTTGCATCGCCGAGGAATCCACCAAAGTTGACCAGTTGAGTAGCGCTGTCAATCTGACCGAGTATCCACGAAATTTGATTTTGGATAGAAGGCCAGACACCTCGAGCCCAGCTCAGATCTCCACTTCTGTGGAGATACCCGGTGAAGGAGAGAACTCCCAGAATTTGGTAGTCATTCAGGCCATAGTAGGAGTACAGAACCTCTTTCAAGCACGAATTGTTGTATCCCATTTGTGGAGCAATGTTGACAAGTCCATTTGGCAACTGAGTGTCAAGCAGGTAGTTCAAAGTTCCTCGGGCGTAGTCCCAGCGAGATGTGCTCGAAGTCAGAATTCTCGAGGTGTGGAAGAAATCTCCTAGCCAGACCAAACGATCTCGCTTCGCTCCATCCATGCACAAGGCCTCCGTATTTTGTCGCACACCATACTCGGACAAGATAGAGGATGATAGCATGTCATTCTCGTAAAGAAGTGTGCCATTGCTGGCGTGGACAGTCACGTCTTTCACTAACGCGATTTGATCTTGGTAGGGTCCAAATCCCCAACCACCGGCACTGACGGCAGGAACGCCATAATCAGCTAGTGAGATGTTCAAGACTTGGGTCCCATCGATATCAACAGAAAGCTGAGAGCGAGAGAGCAGAGTGGTCGAGATTTTGTACCATTCACCTTCCTTGATGTCGATAGAGACCGGGAAGCTTCCAACGAGCTTGCTGTCGAGTGTGGTCTGATTCACAAATCCGTAACCAGAGGCAACAACAATGGAGTTTGGCGGAGTAAGAGTCCTGTTAGTATTGACAAATGTCGTCTCATCCGGTAGATCAGAGACCAGGAGGAGCAGCAGCCCAGTTCCTGAAATAGGTTGAGAAACAGACCAGCCAGTTCCTCCACGAACGATCTTAGATGAGAAAGTCATGGTGTAGTCAGTCCAATCGATTCCATTCACGCCAGGACCGGGCTTCTGACCGCGGATGTATGCGCCCTCTTTGGTGATATCCCAAGTGGAGGGTTGAGAGCCAGCGTCAAAGCAGGCGGCTGAGACGGCACTAGCTCCAAGCTTCCAGATCTCATTGTATGTTGGATTGGAGCAGGTGAAAGTAGAAGGAAGGTTGTCAAGATCGACATGGTCGATGGTAGGTACAAATCCAACCTCAGACAGCGTGATGTGCCCTTTGGTCAAGACCTTGATGGACTGCCATCTTTGTCCTCCTTGGATAAAGTAAGACTCGATCTTTCCAGGTTCTGTAATGTTGAAAGTCTCGACTCTGAATGAATTGGAAAGTCCATTTGTAAAGTAATATGGCCCGTCGGCCCAGACATGGTTCAACCCATCAAATTGCTCTGTGTACTTAACTTCGATCTGCACTGGGCCCTTTACATCTGAGATTTGGAAGTATGGAAAACCCGCAACTTCGCGTGCATAGTCCAAGGTAAGGATAGGGTTCTTGTCGAAATCTAGAGTAACGGAATGGCTGGCATGAAGGGGTTTGGTGTTTATGCTCGGTCCAGTACCCAGTTGGTACTTTTGAGGTAGAAAGTTGCTGTATAAAGAATGCAGGTTAGTTCTGTTTGATCAAAAAATGTCATAAAGGGCACAAACTCGGTCGATGCATTGCAGACTGCAAGCAATGCGCCTACGACAAAGAATTTCCCCCTGCTAGGGCCCTCATCTTTGTTCTGGGTGGTGGTGTTTCCAACAAGAAGACCAATTGCAATCACGGCAGCGTGTGGTATTTGTTCCCCTCGTCTCTCACTCCCCCTCCCCTTTCTTTCCTCCATGAGGGTCTCGGTGGGATTGTACCCGAGCTCATCTCTGTCGTGCGGGGAATTAATTGGATGAGAGGCCATTCGGCACACCCGCAACCCCCCCCCCCCCGGCAACCCCACATCGTCAGGGTCGGGTTTTCCGGGGTACCACATATTCCGCTTAATGTTCGGCGAAATAACGATGCTATTCGCTCAATCAAGTTTACAGTGGCTCGCTGCCGCCATAGAAACTTAAAAGAAGTCATCTGCCAACAGTCGTGAAGTTTTGGAAGCCTGGACTGTGGGCATGAAGCTTCCAGTTCCCCGTCAATAGAAAGACAAAATTTTGAGACTCGTGAGCCTAGGACAAAATTAGAAGCCTTGGTTTACCGCTCAAGGAGGCCGAAGTGCCGCCACGCTTTGCCGACGTATAGGGAAGTTGGTAACTGCATTTTCCGACAGGATATTATTCCGTGGATTTTCGACAGATTCATGGCTCGGAGGGGTTAGTACTAGGTTAAATTCAAAGGGGCAATTTCTGCGCCTGGCAGCAGTCCAATTTTGTCGCTCAATATTGAGCATAGAAATCAGGTCAATAACGGACAATGAAGATAGGCTATGAGCCATACATACATCAGTGCGGCAGCCGAGAAAGGACAAATCACACAAGTTCTGTCGACTTAACAGAGAAAGACTCTGTAAGATTCTGTAATTTTGAAACCCAACTAGACTTTCATGACCTTGATAATTGTACTTTGAAAAATGATTCGAAAGATGTAATCGAGGTAAACATGTATGTACCGCAACAAGGGGTGACATATACAGAAAAGCAAGCAACTAGTACTAAGGCTACGATGGGTGAGGATATGGATAGACAGGCAACGATTTCAATTTCAATGTAGATATCAAGGAAAACAGCTATTGTTAAGAGCTCCGGCGCTTAGTGCACTGGATGCAGCTGCAGTTAGGAAACGGCTGATTCAACATGTTGAAAGTCTTCTCAATCTCCTTAAGCCTATCCTCATCGACAATATGTCCCAAAGGCTGACGATTCACAGATTGAGCTACCCGTGAGGCCGCAGAGTTCTCCATCAACTCGGCATAACTATCGTCACCTGAGATCGAAGAGTCAGTCTACCAACTTGAATTCGAAGACAGTCCAGCGCGGTACGGGTGTGGCCGACAAGGTGGGAGCGACCACCAAGCAATGAGCCCTGCCAGTCGATAGCATCTCGAAGTAAATCACAGCGAGTTTCGAACCGAGCCGGCACGTCGCTATCTTCTCGGGAGGCCTCGAACTTACCGTTGCCCTTGACATTGGTTTCGAGTATTTTTGCGGCAAGTTGCATGCCGGCGGCAACCTCGTCGAACCGCTTGGGGAATTCTTCGAGCTTGTGGACGCAATCCACAAGCCGGTTGATGATGTTCTCCCGGCTGTCGTTGAAGGCTTCTTCGTAACTCTATATTGTTGGGGATTGGATTGTTGTACTTACTGAAGGTGGGTTTGTAATGGTGAAGGATTTGGGAGGTTGGACTTGTGGTTGCCAAAGAGGAGGATGATGATGATGTGGGAAGTGGAACCCAGTGTGGTGGATGAAGATCGTTGCGGAGGTGAGATTGGGGCCTTTTTTTTAGTTGCATCTACGCGCTTGAGGTGGAATGACAAGGCTATTCTAAATGAATTAGACAATATAGCGGCTTTATCGGACTATGCGTTGTTATGTTCAACGGCTTTGTTCTCTTCATCCCAAAGCAGGTCTTATTGTTCTCTTTGACTTCATTATGTACCGAATAGTCTATAATTGCATACTGAATGATGTATATATACATACATATATATATATATATACCGAATAGGCTATTATTATGAACTGAATCATCTATAGTTGGTCAGAAATGTCTAAATTTATCAAAGCTCAAGAAGCGACCGCCAGGGATACTGGCAGAGTACAATATGGCTCGTCCACAGGACTGGTGCGGCTTAGAGGGTTGTGAGACATCAACCAGTCTTTCAAGTACATGGGGAAAAAAGTCCAATCAGCAGCTATCCCCTGGGATAAACCTGCTCAATGGTGCGTTTCTTGACGATTATATGTTAGGCATGGCGACAGAAAGTAAATGGGGAAGGTGGTCAGACAGTCGCTTAGAAGGAAGGTGCAGCTACCGAGGTTGGCGAAAGACCGAATGCTTCATATAATCAAAAGCTGAGTCTTCGAATATTGAGGTCAGTTTGGCCGAGTGGTCTAAGGCGCTTGACTTGAACTTTACTGGGGGTAACCCTGCCATGTTTGGGCATCAAGTATCTTCGGATGCACAGGTTCGAACCCTGTAGCTGACGTCTCAATTTCTCTTTTTGCTCCCTTCTCCCTCACCATACCCAAGAGTTTTGGGGACAATGTTTTGCAAATAAAATAAATTATCGCCATATCTTATTCTGTTTGGTACGATCGCTATACATATTTTAACAATTCTCTCACCTCATCGTTGAGGTTGAAGCTGAAGCACATTCATGATATGGACTACACCCCACTTCCGATGTACATAATTCAAGGGATGACTCCACCACTAGAGGGCTGTCGAAGTAGTAATTTCACGAGAGATCTGTGTGTATCTCATTTTCTGGCTACTATGTTTTTAGTGCAGGTTACTAAAAAGAGTTTATGGGGTGAGTTCGCTAATAAGCGTATTTGCTCCGAAGGAGGCGTGATCTTAGTAGCGTCGTAATTTTGGCATGCAAATCTGTCTCTGATCTGGAAATAGAAAGAATGATATTTATACCAAGCCAGCCTATGAACAGGGAAGAAAGCCGAATGGGAGCAGCGCCATTCTCAGAAAAACCAAGGCTGTTTGTTATATGGTCTACAGTAAGACTCGGCCGTTGATAAGCGCCCTCCAAATCGTAAACACAAAGACATTCTGAGATGAAGAATCTATGAACAGCATACAAGGAGGGAATTCACGTAACAGTTTAGCCCTCCCACTCACAAACCCCTAGGTAAGAAGGGCAATCACCAAAACCCAGTTTCCTCATCCCCAAAATCTAAATCTAAATCTTCGCCCTCGGCCTAATATACAACGCCTCCGCCTGCGCAAGAACAACCCCGTCCCCATCCCTTATCACCCCCTCAACCCTCCACTTCCGATCCTCCTTAACCTCAATCATTCTCGCCTGCACCAAAATGGCGCCCGGCGTGGGCACAGGACGCAGAAACTTCGTATTCAAATACGCAGTCACAGGGCCCGGTTGCGCATGCTTAGCTTCCCGGATCGAAGCATCGCCTACATGGCCATTTAGTGATAATAGTAGGCCGGTTGCTTCGTCTAGGAGGGTGGCGACGATGCCGCCGTGAAGCATTCCCGGGTAGCCGTTTAGATCGGAGCCGAGGATGAAGAAGAGGCGGAGTTCTTCGGCGAGGGTACTTGTGGTTGTGGTTGGACTTTGTGGGCTAGAAGGTGTGGACTTGGACTTGGTGGTGGTGGTGGTTTGTAGGGGACGGTACTGGCTTAAACAAGCGGATAGTGTTGTTTCTGAATTGAGGGTTTTGGAGAAGAGGTTGTCTTCTGTGGAGGGTTTTTTTGTCCTTGATGGGATGGTGAGCGTCACGAAGGAGGTGTCTTTGAGGAGAGTTGATATCCAGGGGATGGATTGGAAGGGGATTGGGTCGTTGGTTGCCATGTTGGTGTTGCGTGAATTAAGGAAGGTGAGATGCTCCAGCGAAAATGAAGAGTGAATGAAAGGTATATAGTTAGTCTACTCTGTAGATTGAAGTGAAATATTTTGGCGATGCTGAGGCTGTGTCATTTGTGCCTAGGCTTCTTTCGGGGCGCGGGGAAATTCGCCATCTGGCCGCGGGAAGCTAATAAGCTAATAACCTACTTTTGTCTTGGCGCCTAGATCATCTATATGATCTACCGAGATCTTTTATCCCTTCAAATGTCGAGAGAATTAAATGAACTCTTCTATGATGAAGATTTTGGCTGCCAAAGATCAATAATTGACTGGCTGGTATGTTCGTCTGGAATGATTAGAGACTGGTCCCCTCCAAGATCGCATGCATTTCTTAGTCCCATTCGAGATTGCACTTCTGAGTATCGGATTGATAAAGTACATATTCAACATCCTAACGAGAGGCATGTCATCCTTAATGTAGCCCGATTATAACTATTATCAACAACTCCCAAATAATGCCCCAGTCATCTAATAAAGACTCCACCAAATCCAATCCACTTTCCACTTCTGGCCGGCACGCGACGGAAGGGCAATTTACCCCGCAAAACCCAAGCTCCAAGCTCCAAGCTCCAACGGTTTCTTGTTTCTTATCCTTGTTCCTTGTTCCTTGTTCCAACACTCACGTCACATCGCTGGATTAATAAGATGCCTTCATCGGACTCGCGTTCGCTCACTAGAACCTGTCCTACCTCTCTCCTCTCTCTCTCTCTCTCTCTCTCTCTCTTTGACCTTGCGCAACAACACATCCTATCCCATACTGATCACTAACAGCCTCGACCAATACACTCCACCTGCCTGTCCCTGATCGATGGATTATCGGAGGCCTTAGAAGAGCTAGTCTGCATTGAACGCTGGCTGCTCGAGGAGAAGATCCCGGATGCCTCACCTGTAGCGCAGGTCTGGCCATTGAAGGCGCAGACTATTCTACTGATAAACTGCGTTTCCACTAAAGCCAGTTGGATGCTAACGATCTTGATCAATGTTTTGAGAATACGAAGACTTGAGGTGCGATTAAAAAGTGATGACCAAGCAGGCAAACAAATCCGAGAGACGAGTCTTTATCACCAATAACCACCAAGACTTGAAGCGATATCCACCGGATTCTCATCGTTTTCTGCCTCCCACTCGACCACCTCGAGTTTCGAGGCAAGCACCAACACAGTCAAATCTAGTCAAGTCTGTTACGACCAGCGCATACACCACCACCGAAAAAGAACTTATCAAATAAAGATTGATTATAAAAGGGTTGAAAGTGGAACGAAAGGAAGAAAAAAAAACTCCTTTTACAGCATCATCTTTCTCTCATCTATATTCTCAGCAAGACAAAAAAGCCATCTCAACATCAGAGAAACAGAAAGTCAAGAAAAAGAACAAAGACTGTGTATGCGCACGCAACATGTATACAAAAAAAGAAATGAAGAAAAGAGAAGAGATCAAGAAAAAGAATTAAATCAGCAAAGGACCACAAAACCACAACATATGCGAAGCAGGTGGGTGGGGCATTGGTCTCGTCTCGTTTTCATCTATTTAGCGACAATCTTGGTAGGGGGAACACCGATGCCGTTGGTGTTACGGAAGAACAAGACACCCTTGCTCTCGCCCTTGGCGCCCTCGGTGGGCTCAACCCACTGGCAAGCGCGGGCAGAGGTCCACATGGCCTTGAAGAAGCCAGTCCAGCCGGTGTGGGCCTCGGTGCGGTAGTGGTTGCCCATGACGGTCTTGATGGCCTCGCTGGCCTCGTCGGCGTTGTAGAAGGGGATGTTGCTGACATAGTGGTGCAGGACGTGGGTTTCGATGATGCCGTGGAAGATGTGACGGCCGACGAAGCCGAAATCACGGTCGATGGTGGCGGCAGCGCCGCGGGCAAAGTTCCACACCTCGGGCTCGTAGTGGGGGAGGGTGGGGTCGGTGTGCTGCAGGAAGGTAATAGCCACTGCAAAAAAGATGTTAGTGATACGTTTGCATTTAGAAACTCGACTTGAGCTGATTTCCATTCAGATCGGAGTTATAACTTACCGAGCCAGTGGTTGACCCAGAGGTACGGGATGCCGTACCACACCAGAAGGTTCAACCATCCATAGGTGGAGCCGATATAGTACAGAGCAGAGCCGGTGAGGAGAAGACCGAGGTCACTCAGAACAATCAGCTTGGCATCCTTGGCCTCGTACAGAGGGCTAGAGGGGTCGAAGTGGTTGACACCTCCACCCCAGCCGTTCTTCTTGCCCTTGCCACGGCCCTCGGGCTGCTTCTCGTGGTTGTTGTGGCCAGTCACGTTGGTGATCAGGTACAGCAGCCAGCCGAACAGCTGCTGACCGATCAGGTGAGTGGCAGTCGCAATGGGGGTCTCCTCAACGAGCTCGCTGAGCTCGTAGATGGTCTTGCCAACGCGGGAAGCATAGTGCTCGCGGGTCTTGGGGACGAAGACCATATCACGGGCAAGGTTACCAGTGGCCTTGTGGTGCTTGCCGTGGGAGATCTTCCAGGAGAAGTAGGGGACCAGCAGAAGGGAGTGGCAGATCCAGCCGACAGTGTCGTTCAGGACCTTGGAGGGGGAGAAGGCCTGGTGACCACACTCGTGGGCCAAGACCCAAACACCGGTACCGACAAGACCCTGGATGACGGTGTACAGGGTCCACAGAGCCACGCGAGCAGGCATGAAGGGAACAGTCTCCGGGGTGACATAGTTGTGGAAGAGGTAGAAGACGGTGGCCAGGATAGCCATGTCACGGAAGACATAGTACAAGCTGGTCACGGCGGAGCGGTGGAAGCAGTGAGCGGGGATGGCATCGCGAATCTCCTTGATGGTGAAGTCGGGAATCTTGAACTCGTTACCATAGGTGTCCAGCATCTTGGTCCGGGGCTCCTGGTCCGAGGCCATGGAGGACAGCGAGGTCGACGAAGGCGATTGACGCGGGCTGTCGAAGGGCGAGGCCGAGACCGACGACGGCATCGAAGAGTCGGTGGTGGGGTTGCGGTGCAGCGCAACGCGCTTGGGGAGAGCAGTCGACGACATGGCGAAGACGACAGACAGAAATGGTCAATCCCAGGAAGAACGCAACCAAGAAAGAATTATATGGAGGGGGATGGCGAGGTCTTCAAAAAGCTTCCCTCGGCCGTACTATAATGCGTCCACCGAACCAACGGAAACGAATCACACCGAGGATGTTGGGAAGAATGAAAGCGAAGGGAGAAGAGAGAAAAGGAACGGCAATTAGCTGCAAAAAAAGCAAAGCCCGGACAGAAAAGAGAAAAAAACCACAGCTGGTATCAAAGCCTGTGGGGATTGGGGGAGACGCCAGTCAGTTTCCAATTGATCGACGGTCACGAAGTGGATGTTCAGTGGTTCAACTCACAGTCAATGGTCTCTGTCTTTTCCTCTTTGGTCCCTCTTAAGTGGGCACCTTTGGGGGGTTTGTTTCCTGGTGGTTACACAACGCAGGGAGTGGTGGGGGGGGAGAGAAGGTAAGATCCCAGGAGAGGAGCTGAAGGGATTGATAAAGCAAGACCGAAAGACGATCACCTCAGTGGAAAGAGTGGCAGGCTGAGAAAGAATCATAATAATAGGGATGGCAAAAAAGACGAAAATGAAAAAAAAAAAAAAAAAAAAAAAAAAAAAAAGGGACCACCATGTTACTGTTGTGTATGTTTTGTTTCCATCTTTCCATGGTTTCATCGACCCGGGAGGGTAAATTTGCATTTAGAGCCAGGTCTCAGTCCCTGCCAATCGGCCTGAATGTGCCCCTGGCGGTATTATTGGGGGTATTGCCATTTTCTACAAAATTACACCACTAGCAACAATCTAAAGAATTAAAGATTTGGGTCTCCACTCGCCTCTGGGCCCATCCATCCATCACATCGAATTTTTTCTTCTTCTGCTTTTCCCGCCACTTGACTCGTTCGCCTTTCATGGAGACACACTTCCTCTTGCATGAACTCCTCTTTCAGCCGATCTCACGTCTTGCATGACAAGGGCCACGGCCCTCCCCGATAAGAGTCCAAGCGATTGGATAGATCTGGTTGCGCCACCGTAGCGGACACATCTGATTTTGAATTTGATTCTGATCCTGATTCTGGGCCGAGGATTACTCTTATTCTTTATAACTTATATCTACTCTTGATTGTTATTTCTACTTCCCTGTCCATCTCCCTATGTACTCCATAGTATCATTCTAGATCTATATACGGAGTAGTTTAAGTACTACTGAAAATTACCAGATCCCCCGGTCGTTCTTCAGCTCCCAAAAAAATACGCCACCGCCTAAACCACGCTAGTCCCCTTTGAGCGGCCCAACACTTTATTTCTTATCCATTTCAATTTGTCCGGAGGCGGTGAGGGATTAATCTAACGACTGCCTTTAAGGTGACTACAATTGTACTGTACATTGTGGTAGATACTTGAATTAAAAAAAGTCAATTGACAACAATAAGCATCAAGTAACAAAACCAACGTCATGAATCATCCGTCTAAACTCACACCAAAAAGCAAGCTTGTATACTCCGTCTCCCCTTAGACCTACAGTAATACTAGGATATCCTATCTCGCCCATCATCCATGGACGGCACTTTCACATGCGGGCCCCGGAACCTACGGGCCTACGGGACGGGGGAAAGCATGTGGATGGGCTGGGCGATCGACCGGCCTCGGCGGGCCATTTTCGTGGGTTGCTGCGCAGGTGTGCGAGCTTTGGACGGTGGATTGGTGGGATTGGTTCACGGCCCGCTTGGGTGTATTGATCAATTTGATCGAGGGTCAAGGGTGGCAATTTGGCGATTGGCATGGCATGGCATTCAGAAGGGGGAAAGAAATACACTACAGTACAGCATAGAATAAGTATGTTATGGTAGTGTGTTCTAAAGCGAGGGGAAGGGGGCCGGGATGTCTGGCATGTGAATGGGAAATGCGAAATGTTTGGTCAGGGAGAAGTACTCTACTGCTTGTTGGGCGGCCCCAGTATTGGCAATAATAGTACATGTCAATTGTACAATACATTTGTACCCTTCAACTATGAAGGAATACATATGGCATGATAGCACAGTACCAAAGACTTTGAACAAACCACTGACCTCGGCAGCAAGATAGTATAACTACATTTGACATACAACCATCAATACTCTTCGGGATACGCTCGGCCTACGGATGGACGGAGTACACTCGCGTACAAAATGTACTCTTACATACCATGAATGCTTGTATCCATACTGTACATCGTGGGGGAAAAGTCCCTCTTGTTGGGCGAGCGGGTCCCGCTTGAGTTTTGTTGAGGAGCACCCCCACCAATCAAATAGCCCCACTGAACACCTGTCATTGTCCCTCGTTGGGTTTTTGCAAAACGCGTGACCAGCCAGTGTAAGAAGGGCCGAGGATGAATATCTTTAGGCTATACTACAGCAGTAGCTATACTCAATAGTGAGCTCGTAATATCTGCCTGTGACTTGCAAAGTATTAGCATAGACTAGGAAAACACAGTAGTTGTCCTCAGCATGTGGATTTGAATATGATCTTGCTATCTATACGCAATCGTCTGTGTATAGAAGGGTGTCAACAACTTGAACCCTGTGAGGTTCAAAGATTCAATAACACAAGCTATACTTACAGAGATCAAAACCAAACAAAAAAGAGTTTCATGACTCGTAGATCTATATACATACACTTCAATTCCAGCCATCCTATCAATCCTCTATACCACACTAATTACCGACTCATACAACACATACAGAAAACAGATCATCCAATCCATCTTCCTCCCAATCAATGAACCTCCGCACGTCGTTCAGAGTCCACCAACCACGAAGATCCACCCGGACTACCCGACACACTCAGACTAACCGTAGTCTTACGCAGATCCGGCAGCACAAGCACCGTCTCGCCATGATTCCGATAATCCACCTCGCAAGCAATCGCCTGGCGCTGGACGGGGACTGCGGGACTGCCCGCCGCAACATCCGTCGCCGGAGGGGAGGTCGGAGGCTGTGGCAGCGTTGGGGCAAAAGTGCGCACCTCCAGGCCTGGGAGGAGCAGATGGCCGGGTTTCTGGGGTAGAAGCAACACCGTGAAACGGATGATCTCGCCATCGCGAGCTAGGAAGTTGCCGCGTCGTCGGCCGCCCAGGAGCCATAGCTCTGGGTTGGCGTGTAACTCGTACGAGCATTCGAGGGGCTGGTCTGCGTGGGCCTGATTTGCTGGGGAACACCATCGTCGTGTGTGGCGGATGGATAGTTCCGCGGCGATCATCTGGCCCACGGCTGCGTGGGAGGATGATGCGTCTGTGTCGGTGTTTTGCTGGAGCTGCAGCTCGGCCGTGTGCACTACTTGGATCTCGGGGATATCGACGGGGATGATGATACTACGGGTGGGGATGGAGGCCTGCTCGGGGAGACGAATGATTGGGTTGCTCTAATCGGGGTGAAAACCTGGTTAGCACATAGTCAAACACACAGGGAGTGCACCAGCGACTGATGGTCGTGTGATGGTTGTGATGTGATGTATTGAAGGGAAAACTCACCTCGTGCCATGACGTGAGCCACTGTCGCACATCTTCCGTGCGTTCCTTTAGCGCGCCCAACAATTCCTCCCACTGGACGCTCTGATATGGGAGCATCTCGACCTCTCGTACAAGACCAATGACTTCCATATCAGAGGTAGATAGTTGAGTGCGGAAGCTACTAACAATGTGCGATGTAAGCAGTGTCGCATACTGACTGAATGGGCTAGACTCGATGGCTGAAAGGAAGAGTTTCTCAACCACATCCAGGCACTCATCATCCACGCAAGTAAAGTCCACACGGAGACGTAGACTGCGAGGTGCCCCCGGGCCAGTGGTGGCACTGACGAGCCCAGACGGACGAATCTTGTAGAGCAAAGATGCGGGCTGCTTGGGGAAGACGTCCATAGCCACGGGGCCTTTGATGCTGGTTTGTACAGAATACGAATCGGAGCTGGGCAGGCTGCAATTCGTAATGCGCAGCGGGATCAGCATTGCGGGGCTGATCGTGAAACGTGAAAACAGCAACTCGTCCTTGAAAATGTCCTGCACATTGACTGATATGGGCAGCGTGGCCACAATGCTGTGTGCCGTTGAAAAGGCAAATTTGCCTTTATCAGTCTCATAACTGACCTCGGCTCGCGCAGACAGATTTGTGAAGGTTTCTTCCACCGTGTAAGGGATGCGCAGCCGTATGAAGGTTTGTGCTGGGAGCTGGGTGAATTCGATTGTACCGGCGTCAATGTTGGGGGTAACATCGATCTCGCCATCCACAACCTCAACTTCGGAGATTCGAAGTCGGAGCCCGGCCGTGGCTGGCCGCACACGAATTATGCCGGCATTGATGTCATTCCGTCCGCTGTTGAGTTCCAGCTCCAGCGTGCGCATGGCCTCCAGGTTGATCAAATGCGGTGAAACAACCTTTGCCTGTAATCCCTCCGCAGGAGGGTAACAGTAGATGTATGGCCGACGATCGGTTTCTTCGTCCTCGTCCGTTTCACGGAAGCCAACCGGCAGAGCCGAATTATTTCCGCTGTTGAAAGAGAAGATGATGTTGCCAGACTTCATTTCTATGCGGTCAACAAAATATTTGCCATGTAGGGTAGTCTTGAGAGGACCGTTAGCAAGAGAATAGCAAAACCAGTCGCTTATACAAAGAGTCAGCACTTACCGAAGAGTCAATGAGAATCGTAGTCATCGATGACTTGACCACGAAATTGGTCGATGCCTCGATCCAATGCTCCGCGTTCTGGGAGTTGGTATCGCTGACCAACCGCACTTTGATAGAGTCGATATTGATCTGGGGGCCCAAGAGGAATCGAAGAGAGAGCCTGATTTGAAATCCATCTTTATCCTCGTAGAGTTGAATAGCAGGATCAACGCGGAGGTCCGCAAAGAATTCAACCAATAAAGCCGTGACATCTTTCTGCATGGCTGACGCTCCACTGAACAGATCGGTGACATAACCAGCCAGCTGTTCCAATTGCAAGATGGATGGGGGGTAGACAGTGCTCGTTCTCTGACTGACAGCTTTGCCTGCGCGTATGCGGCGAACTTGGCCAGCAGCCGAAGCATCACGCGGACAAAATCCTCGTTCCGCTTCAGCTCCTTGAGGCAGCGGGCATACAGTTCCAGCATGCTTCCTTCCAGGACCACCCAAAGCTTGCTCCCATAGAATGGAGCCATCTGGTGGAAATATGAAGCAGCAGCTTCGTAGTCAGCCTGCCGGTATCGCAGGATAGCGATATCTGCGAGAGCCGTCTCCGCGGAGTTGGCACGGTTAGCCACCATGTAATGACGGATGATATGGTCGGTAAGATCTTCATAAAGCGACAAATACGCCTCCCTTGATCTAAGTCCAGCCTTTAGAGGAGCTAGCTCAATACCCACTAGGGAAGTGTGTTCCTCCTTAGAGGAAGGCTCCTGGTTTGAAGCATCATTATCGTCCAGGGAGACTTCCGTAAGGCCGCCTGCTCCGGCGCGGTGACTGTCATCAAATAGCAGACCGAGGTCATTCCATTTCTCAGACCAGCCCCGTCGTCGAGCCAGTTCTTCAAGAGATCGCCGAGCTAGCAGGAACAGCTCTCCTCGCGCTGATGCCAATTGTTCGGATCCAGTCTTTTGCATCGAGCCGGGTGCTGGTTGAGGGTGGTCCAAAGTCGAACGCCGCTGAAGTGTTCCAGCGGGAGTATCAGAGAGATCCTGCGTCATCGGACGAGCGGGGCGAGTCGCAGTTGCAGCTATCAATGAGCTTGACCGGCGTGGTATCTCTGAGCGGTTTTCGTTGATCGACACAGTGGACTTTGCAGCAGTGCTGACTTGCGCTCCGGCATGGAACGAGGACTCGGGAAGAGCCAGGTGGGGAGTAAAGGTCTGGCTAAGGATCTGCAGGGCTGCCGAATATGCCCAGGAAGACACGAGATTATTGATGACCTCTGCCTTGGCGTGGTTTTCCACATCCTCAAGACCGCATTCAAGACCATACCGAAGGTTACGAGCGGCAAGGCTGATGAACTCCAAAGATCTTGCGCATATTTCAGAGAGTAAGATCAGATCTTCTGGTTTCCTGCCACGTTTTGCGGACTCATTTCCAACGACTGAAGGAGCTCTGGCCGCTCGAAGGAGGAGGATAAGTTGTCGGGAGAAGACATAGGTGCGGAAGTCAAAGATGGAAATATCGCTGGCCAAAATCATTTCTCGGTAAGGAAGCTTGGTTGCACTGAGTGGAAAATCCTCTTGCTGGATCTCTAGACTTGGTCCCTCGCCATCCTGGTCGCTGTCGTTGGCTGATGAGCCCGATTCGAGTATTTTCCGTGCATTTTCCACCCAGATTTTGCTGGAATTAAGAAGTGTAGTACCATGCTGCTCGCTGTTTCCATGTAGCTGATCTCGAATTGCTGCATCAAGTCCAAAAGATAGTTCGTCATAGCCAAGCAATGCATCTTCAAAGAGACCAACATTCTCAAATCCTCGAGCAAGACCTTCCTTCAGAATGAAGAACGTACAAAAGTTCCACCCAGGGAGGCTTCGCTGCGAGTCTTTTTCCTTGATATCTTCCTCATACTGAGCCACGCGCAGATCAAATGAAGCCAGAATACCGTTCTTGACCTTATCAATCAGGTCTTCCAGCTGCTCGGCCAGCTCAGGAGACTTGGCCGTAGAGCCCTCCTTTGGGATCCGTAGTTGTGCCACACGATCAATAGCCGTCTTCGACGTCCCATTGAAGTCAGCCTTGACCTTCTCCAAAACTGTGGTGCTGCTTCGGCCCCATTTCGAGGTCGACGTTGGTGTCTTCTCTGCGCCATCACCATCCTGAACCACATGCAGAATAAGCCATTCAAACGCATCATGCTTCTCCTGACTACTGCCAGTCGGCTGCGAGGTGCTTGTTGATCCCTGAGCCTTGATCCATTCCCGGAGGGTCTTCCGTGCTGTTGCCTTGTATGTATCGTTGTCGTCGCAGCGGAGGAGGTAGATTTTCAGGTACGGTGTTTGGCGCAAACCTGGAATCTGGTGTCTTCGGTGTGGCACGGCACCAGCGCCATCGCTAGAGGACTTTCGCTCGGTAGGATCGTTCGGCGCGGGGGAGAAGCCAATGCGGAGGGACTCGATCGATCGAACGGGGCGAGTGGGCGACTTCCAATGTAGGTTCTTCAGAGGAAGCTTTGACTCGATGATGGGTTGGACCAAAGGAAACAGCCCAGAGGGATCCGTATATTCAACTTTTTTATCGCGGCTGGTTAGCACGAGTTGCGGACAAGCATTCCGGACAATGGGGTCTTGTTACCGGTCACATTGCTCGAGGCCGCCTTTGAAGGGTCCATGATTTTCCCGGGCGCAGGTTCGCAGAGTCAATGGCAATTAGAACATGCCGAATCGAGCACCACGAGCTGCTGCTGACCTCTTCAGGGGGTAGTTTTGGCAGCAAGTGTTTGCGGGGAGGAACGTGTTTGGGAAACGAGACCAGCTCGGAGGTGGATCCGCATCAGCCTTGGCACTCTGTCCGCCGATGGAAAGGAGACCCAGGATGAGATCAACAGCAACAGTTGCTATTTCCGAAAGGATAAAGACATTGGACTTCGTTTACACGATGAAATGCCAGATCATGACTTAGCAATATCGAGAGGCTAATATTATTTTCTAGAATGCTGTTGAGTCATCTCTAACGTGATTGAACAGATTGACCCTAAGGGATATAGTTTAGAACGTCTTCATTCACCCACAATAATCACTCTTGCCGATACTAGCATGCTTATATACTTCTCATACGACAATGCACTTGTTTACAAGCGCGGACAAATGCCTGCCTTGCATCCAGCCCCATCATCAACCAAAACACTCTCATTCTTCTCCTGCGTCGATACCGCAACATCCAAACCAGGATTGCCTGTGAAAAAATTGACTGGTTTCAGGCCCACCACCATCTTCTCCGAAGGCATGACGGGCCAATCTTCAATGCGTGGGTTATGAGTCGATCCAAACGTGTGCCAGATCACAATATCTTCATTACGGACACTCGACGCAGCAGGGTCGCTTTTGCGCTGCTCAATCACCGAACTAATACCTTCCCCACCAAGGGACTGCATCGTGTGCCGGCCTGATGGGAAGAGCTCATCATCTTGATACCGAGTCACCCAGACTGCATGGCTTCCAAACTCGGAGCGTCGTGCGTGGTAGGATTGTGGATGGGCTAGCAGCATCTGGCTATAGCACGGGAGTAACTTGAAGCCCACAGGTGTTCCAGTGATTGGATTAATCTGTTTCTCATTGATGATTTTGAAAGTTCGATTGCTTACAAAGTCGAGGTCGTGTCCGCCTTCTTCGGTGATGATCTGCGACTTTGTCGTATAGCCCACGCCGAGGGGGTTGTGCACATTTGGATCGTTGATAGGCATGGGGTGCGACTCCTCAACTTGCAGCGAGTTGGCGTATCCGTCGATTGCTGGGTCGATGCGGAGAGAAAAGAGGTGCTGGTGGTAAGGAGCGAGTACGCCGGGTGCCACGACCGTGCCATAGCCTACTTTGTCGCCGTTGTTGATCGGGCAGGTTGACAGGATTCCGGTTGCACGCACTTCATAGTGGATTGATGCGTCCTGGCCAAAGTGGAAGGCGAAGATGTACTCGTAGTTGCTGACAGTGATGATTGTCTGCAGTACCAAGATCCGTGAGCGAGTTACGACGGCATTTTGTGTTCGGTGGTTGGTATGCTTCCAAAGGATGCCATCATCCTGCTCATGGCAGCACACCACATTGGGAAGCTTGAGAGGCTCACCCGAGGCAGTGTTATGCCAGCCGTCAAAGTATTTGATCGTACCTAGGCAGTCACAGCCAAGGCGCAGGTTATTCGCGTTGATTCCAGCACCGTCATTTCCAAGGTCAAAAGCTCCTTTGCGGGGATACGGCGTTCGGGGATCGCCATATGGAACGAACATCTCCGACAGCGACAGACGATAGAAGAGGCTTCGGCCATCGTACCTGATATCATGCAAGGTAAGGCCTTCGCGATAATTGAACCCCACGCGCATGGTCCACTTCTCCCAGCTAAGCAGGTTACCATCCACTTGGAACGAAGGCCCTTCCGGCTGAACCACTTGATATGGCTTCGTGGTTGTGCGCGGTGGAGGCCGCAAATCAGGATGGTACTCGCTGAGCTCAGGCGAGTGTGCCTTGCTGTGGTCATACAGCCGTGCATCTTCACGGATACGCTCGTCTTCAGACGAAGGTAGATGATAAATCTTGGTGACTTGCAGTTGTTCAGATACCTCGGCACATAGATCGAGTGGGTATGCGTAGTAATTAGCATCCGCATGGTCGAGGAGGCGCAAATAGAACCAGCACTAGACAAATTTCGTTGTAAATCAGTTGGGTTGCGGTCCACGAGGATGACAAGCCTTACCATTGTGGTACGTTCAGACACATTATTCATGCCATCAGTCGCATAAGCCCATGGTTCGACCACAACCTGGGCACCCTTTGGAAGCTTCAAGTTCTGAATCTCCGTTTCAATTCTCGGATCCGCCCTGCATGCTTTCTCGGCAGCTTGCATATACGCAGAGTCGATATATGGGTGCTTCCCAACAAGATGCTCTTTCTTGATGACAGACCCAGTAGTTAGATCAATGGTGAGCTCTACCATCTCATTTGGCTTTGAATTGCCTCGAATGGTAACTTGGACGCGCGCAGCTCGAGCTGGTCTTTTATGACTCTGTCCACGAAGTTCTCCCTCAAGAAACGAGATCATTTCCTGCTTGGGCGGCTCCTGGAGGGTGATTACGCGAAAATTGGGATCTTTCCCATCAAGCTCCTTGCGCACTATGACCGCGGCCTATGGTTTTTAGATCAAGAATCAGCTCTTATAATTCTGCTGCTGTGTTAACGAGGACGCCTCACCTTGGCGATCTCCCCCAGAGTGAGGGGATCAAATGGATGCGGAGGTGCCATTTTGAGAATCACTTGTTCCAAAGTCTCAGTATCTTGAGTGTGTAGAGACAACCCACGGGCTAAATAGCGAGCCTCTTTGATTACTGCAAGTTGTGCAAAGAAGGAAAGATGAAAACGAATTCGAACCACTGCGGGGAAGTCGACATACACGTCTGTGAAGATAAGATACGCCGGGTAGCTTTCGAATGGCTCGAAGTACGAGGTGACGGACAATTGTCCGACAAGTAACAAGGTTCTTCGGGGTCCTACGCCAGCCTCACAAGCTTACGGGGCTGGAATTCGATAAGGCCAAGAATATCCAGGTAAAAATGAACTTGAGTCAGGACGATCACTGAATTAAATTGAACAATGCGCGATATTCGCTAAGGTATAAGAGTAGCCGGCACATAACTTGGCATCGACTCACCATGGAAAGGCTTGCATCCGCTAAGGTTAGGAATAGCCGGACACTAGGTATTGCCTCCAACTTCCTAAACTACTTTCCTGAATCGACTAATGCGCGATATTCGCTAAGGTATAAGAATAGCCGGTGCATGACTCGATCTCCGCTTACCACGTGGAGAGGGGAATCCGCTAAGGTTAGGAATAGCCGGGTATGAACTATCTTGGTTTAGTGGGCGGTTAACATCAACCACAAGGGTAAGGCGTGCCAAGTGGACATGATTTTGTTCTCCACTTGAATGTTTGTATATTTGCTAGAAGGAACTTCCAAGCTAATAAGAAAAAGAAATTCAGGCATTGGTAATTGTGGGTGTTATGGTGGGTTAGGTACTTGCTTCACTTGATCATTCAAGCCCTCTGTATAACAGGGGCTCGGAGGAATTCTTATTTCGCATGAATCATTCAGCATTTCTATAGATTGCTAGCTACTTTAGACTTTTCTTGGCTAGCATTCATTTATCTTGCTTCGCTTTCCACTCCTTGGCACAGTTCTCGAAAGTAACAAACTCCACCTCGTCGCCCTTCTGCTTCAACCATGTGATCATCCGGTCGATCATACCAATAACATGGGCCATACCACTCGTATCGGGATGCAAGACCAGAGGGAAAACAAAGTCCTCAGTCTCGTTATAGAGGAATTCAAAACGAGATTTCCAGTTCTCCTCAATGGCGGTTGGGCTAACAAATCCATGGGAGTTGTTTGCCGCAGGAATGAATTGCATTGGCGTCATGTCCTCCATGTACCAGTTGCAAGGAATCTCCACGAGCGTCTTGTCTGTTCTGGGACCTGGCTGTGCGAGGGGCTTCATCCATGTGGTGGCCGATTGCGAAGGAGAAAAGTCAATCGGCTTAATAGGTGGAAGTTCAGGGAGGAAGTATAGTGCGGAATCGTGGTGTGTAAGGGAGGTATCTGAACTTGATTAGCAATTGGCATAGCTTTCGTACATTATAGGACATACCGTATAGGAATCCAAACTCCTCCAACACCTTCACAGTATGCTCTCTCAGCAAGTAGAGTGGTGCTCTCCAGCCGCGAGGCTTCTGCCCAGTCAACTCCGTTGCAAGCTGAACACACTTGATAATAACTTCTCTTTCCTGCTCCTCGGTCATCTGGGCAGCGCCTTCGTGCGCGTATCCGTGGCATCCGACCTCGGCACCAGATTCCACGATCGCCTTAGTCTCGTTAGGGAAAGACTCCATCGAATGACCCGGCACAAACCAAGTGACCGATGAAGAAATTCCATGTTTCTTGAAAAGTCGTAGCAAACGCGGTACTCCAACCTGAGCTGCAAAATACCCACTGCTGTAATCAGAAAGACTGTTGGTCTCCGAGGCACCAGTTCCAAGGAAACCGGACACCGCGTCGAAATCGACAGAGAGAAGGATCTGAATGCGACGCTTCTTGGTCACAATAGGCTGAGGGACGTTCACATTCACAGACTTGGCCTGCACAACAGTGTTCTCTTTGCCTAGCACTTCATCCGCCCTCCAAATCACACGACCCTCCATGCCTCCGTCGACGGAAAGACATTGTCCAGTGATATGACCAGCCGCCCGATGACTGGCCAGGAAGGCCATAGTGCGCGCGACATCTTCGGGCTGAGCGATCTTTTTGAGTGGAACCGTAGCCTGGGCCTCGTTCCACATCTCCTTAGGGTCATCGAGTCTCCCGGCAATCAGAGGGGTATCAACCCAACCAGGTGCGACAGCATTAATACGCGCTTTTGAGTTGATCTTGACAATCTCATTCTTGACGCCGCGAACAAGACCGTACTGCAGACCAGCTTTGCCAGAGGCATACTCGGTATGACCAGCTTGGCCAAACTTGCCAGTCTCGGATCCAGTGACGACGATAGCCAGATTCTCCAGCTCCGTGTTGCCTGCCGCAGTCTGGGCCTCCTTTGCACTTTGCAGGAAATGTTTGATGGTTAGGAATGTGCCCCGGATATTCGTGTTGTATGTCTTTTCCCAAATATCCAATGGGATCTCCCAGATGTTATATTCGGAAGATTCGTCGGTGATTCCTGCGTTGGCGATCAGAATGTTGATAGGTCCGAAATGGTCCACAGCCGATTTAATGCATGATGCAACCGACTCCTCGCACGAGATATCTCCAGTCACAGAGTAGAAATTCGAGTTGTTTGCAGAAGCAGGTGTAGGGACATGGCGAAGGTCATGCCCTGTAACCTTGCATCCTTGGCCTAAAAGCAGCTTATCAGCATTGGTTCGCGGTTATGCTAGCAGGGCGATAAGAGGAGCGCGTACCAAGGAATTCTTTGACGGCTTCTTGGCCGATGCCACCGGCTGCTCCGGTGATGAAAACATGATATCCTTCGATGCCGAGGAAGCTCATTGTGGACTCAATTGACCTGGTCCCAGGGGGAATTAATGGGATGTGAGGTATGGCAACTGCTCTCCGAAAGGCGCGGGCGGGGTATGCCCGCTTTTATAGTGGTCGGGGTTTGGGTGGATCATCTCGGTCGACCGTGAAAAAAACATCGTGCACGATTGGCTCCGGATAATTGACGAGATTGGAGTAAGCTAGCTTCTTCAGTACTATTGTTCTTATTCGGGGTATAGACGAGAGAAAAAATTCATCATAGGCCCTCTTGGCTTAACGTGGCCGTCTTACAAGTCAAGCACAAGAGCTTATCACGTCCATACATCTCAATTCTCAGGATGTATGCTCCGTAGTCCTCCTTTCCATAACTCGAATTCCACCTCGTTAGTCGTTCTAACTGTTGCCTGTCCTCGGTCTTCGCTCTCGTCTGCACCAGGCTCTCTCGCACCCGCCGTCCAAGGGGCAAAGACGAGTTTCATAGTCCGTCTTGTGCTATATGCAATTGCAGGGGGTTCCATGGGCCATTGTGAAGGAGCTTCTTTCTTGAACAAACTAGAGGGCTGATCCTTCTCGTTGGCTAACTTGGAATCTTCGTCAGCTTTCCCCGCATGAGCGTCACGAGCCGAGGAAATCACAGTTTTGTGCTGGTGCATTGGTCCTGTCGCACTATTCTTTTGAGAATCTTCTTTCTCAGTAGGGGTTGAGACCGGATAGTAGGTGCCATTCCTATCCCAAGGCGCAGCCATCGAGCGCCGTTCCTCCTTCTTCAATGCGATACGGCAAGCAATCTGTGTTGACCAGAAATATCCCAACGCCGGAGTTTTGAGATTCTTTTCATAATGTGACCCATCGCCCCATCCGGTGAAGAACCGCTCTTGATGTACCAGGCTCAGAATACTATTCCGAGCGGGGTTTTCAATGATATATGAGCCGTCAAATTTCTCATCGTCAGAGGCATGATACGGCGATGATAGAATAGCCTGGGACGAAGAGGGCCCTTGACTATACTGGGATAGTTGGTCGGTATTGTCTGATCTGGTCCTCTGCAATGGCGACGCAGCGCCAGCTTCGCGCGCCACTGCACCTTGGCTCAGGATCGATGGAAAACCGGATGGCTGAGCTGGGTCAGCACCGATACCTTCGGTAGGCTCAAATCGATCGGAGACTTGATTCGCGAGTACAACGGCAATGTGTTCCTTTGCAGCAAGATTGCGCAGCATTTGTCCTAGCTTTGCAAGCTCAGTGGAACGTGTCGAGATGGCAAGGATATTATTGGAGGAGAGTTCGGCACGATAATTCGATGTGACGGAGTCAATGATGACTAGGCCAACGTTGTAATTTGCTAGAGCGACGGGAAGCTGATAGCTGATGATGTGGTCTTGGGCCTCCAAATCCATCGCGTTGATAGCTAGAATGTTCTCAAGGGACGGTGCCTTCTCGGCAGGGAGGCTGGATAGGTGTGGATGGCATTCGAGCATTTGAGACAGGCGACTCGTTGCGAGAGGGTGTTCGGTCGAGATGTATACGGCCTGTGACGGTAGGCCGTTTCGTTCAACCAACTGGACCGCCAGAAGGAGACTGAGGAGCAATTGGGTCTTGCCGCTGCCACTGTAGAGAGAGATTGACCGAAAGTTAGAGCCGCGTCTTGGATCTCAAGCTCGAGTTTTCTGGCACGTACCTCTCTCCTGTTATTTCCGTCACATATCCCATTGGTATCCCACCTCCTAGGAGTTCATCCATTGCGGGGTCTAGCGTGCTGATCGTATCCCATCGCGACGTTTGGAGCTTCGTGGCTGGCCCTGGGGCGACAGTAACCGTGTCTGGATTGATGCTGGAGCTGAGCTCAGAATCTGGCGACGCCTCTATGTCTGCTCGGCTCTTCTCGAATCCAAGGTCGGCGTGAAGGGCCTCGATGACCTGGGCGGAGAGCCGCCGCACGTCTGTGGGGGGCACATGGGCGCGTTTCGCGATCTCGAGCGTGTCGAGGGTGATGAGATCGACGGTGGTGATCTTACTTCGCTCGAGCGGAGGTAGAATATGTGCATATGATTTCGTCGAGAAGTCTGGAAGAACAGATAGAAGATCCATAAGAATGCAAGGCAACGGGCAGGTTGGCGAGCTGCTGGCGCGTCGCGATTATTCAAGCTTCTGTCGCGTGGGGCCAATCACGGCCAACCTCCACACCTGCGACGGATGAACGATGAACCTCGGGTCAAACTCGCTTTGATCTGGAATTCCATTGGGAACATTAAATGGGTGAAGAAATTTATAGGTTCAATTGGCATGGCCTACATCTCATGATTGAAATGCATCAACTCTTCGTTTGACATGGAGAAGAGTAAATGGAGAGGAGAGTGGCTCTAATATATATCTCTGTTGGCCTTCTATCGGTGTCAACACCTAGGTCATGCCAGAGCAAATTTTAGCCCAATCTGCCATAACATCGAAGAAACACCTAGAGATGAATATACAGCCACCATTATATTATTCCGGAGAAGCGATGATATTCTATATAGCAAGCTGAATTTGAGAGATCTAATTAAACATGAAGTCATAGTCACCGAGAGAATGATCACAAGAGCATGCCCGATAAGCCGGCAAGCTTCATTTAATGTCAATAAAGACTGGGAGCTATCTACGAGAACAGGTCAGGAGAACAGTAATGGCTAAGGTGGCACTCCAGTGACTACAACAATCTGCGCTCCTGATAGGTATCATCACCAGCTAGTCATTACCCATGAGTGCACCTGGGAACCTGTGTCCAAAACTAACATCAGCGCCACGATATCTTGAACAAGGGTAAAGGTTCAGACTTCTCATCATTCCATCTTTTTACTGTCGTATGTTTCGATGTAACATGCCCAACAGAAGCCTCTTCCAAACAGGCAGGAGCTTAGCCTGGAAAACTCCCCAGATCCCAAGCTGGGAGTGACCACACAGCCTTCACTCACAAAAGACATTGCTAAGAATTGGTTCTCTACACGTAAGGCGACACGACAAAGAGTAGGCTGATGCGTTCTGAACAATAACGAGTCCGTAGTCTGAAGGTTGAGGGTGGAATGTTATGTCGAAGTTAATTAGAGTTTTCTAAAAGGGGCGTATAGATCTACCCTCAAACGGCCTTCGTTTCAAGTACGGACTATGTAGTATAAACACAATTTAGGTCTCATCCTCCCCACTTCTTGGAAGTGAAGCAAGCGATGTGACCTCAACATAAGGGGTTTCTACTTGGAAGACCGGTGCATCAACAGTATGAGATCGTAATATCGGCATGCTGTTCAGTTGTTCGGTCGAAACTTCGGTTGAACTGCTAGCCCGCGAAATGTCTTATTTCAGTGAGCGAAAGATGATTATACAGTGAGATAAATATTAAACTTTCAATCATACTCCACCATAAACATAAAGGGTTCTCTTTACGCTTCGTTTGGTTGTCATGCCGCAGCCATGACAGTGCCATGTGGCTCTGCGATATTAATTTGACGGATGAGGCTGGGCACGCGGCTTACGACCATCCCGGATAGGAAGGTCAGTACGATGTAGCATTGAGACCCCTAAGCATTATTGGCGATGACAGCTAGGCTACCTTTCAAATTCAACGTCCAAAAGTCCTCAGTACAAGAGAATGTGTGAGTATTTTCAGTTGTTGGTTACCATCGCGACTTGCGGTCGGTCCATACATCACTGGCCTCTATCAATTTCCCAGTTAACCTACCGGGACTGCTCGCAGGGAAATGCTAAGTGCGGATCAAGCGATCATTAGACGTACTAAGTCCAGACATTTGTACATACAAATTGTAGATACGGGCCATACGATTACCACGAGTACAGCCTAGAAATTTGTACTGTATCCAATTTTGTACTGGAAATAACGACGATCAGCCGGCTAGTCATTCTAGCTTATCCGATGGGGGCCATGCATTGGGCAGATGAGTAAAGTGGGTGCCTTGATGTGGGCAATGAGAAACATGATGCCCGATCATGGAGGGGGCTGCGCATGGCATGGCATCGGGGATTCGGGATCATCCACTCTCAGAGACTTGGTAGATACAGTACTAAAAGCACGTCTGTAATAATGTGCCGTGTTCATTAGTTTGTGGCTCGGTATGTGAGTATTATTCTTGAAAAGATGGAGGGGGAGAGAGAGGGGTTGATGAACACGTATCCCACACTGCAGGGCTTTCCTGAGATACCGACACTGTCCTTGCTCCGTACTAATTCTACCACAAAGTCCGTCTAATAATATAGTAATCATTTGGTGCTTCTCCGTCAGGTAGTGTCATCTTAGATGCTAATTTTCCAGGGTGGGTACCGTGAGCTCTGTCGCTTAAGGATACTAGCCACGTGGTATTGGCGGATCGCCCGAGCCCCCCGGAGTCCGGTGGCGGGCAATTCATGAAACCACACGAACATGAGATTATTAGGAGCATAGGATGAGATTAGTTACTGGTCGATTTGATCAGTACACCAAAACCGAAAAGACTTGAGATATATGCATGTAGATAAATCTGGCAAGGATGAAGAATAAGATACTTCGTACATGCAGCTTGCTTACTATGAAACAGCCATGGAATGGCCACAAGCTGCATCATCATACAGCACAGGCACCGATCGCTGGCCAACTACAAGCCTGGCCCTCGTGCACCATGTCAGGCCTTGCATTATGGACTTTAGCGACAATTACCAAAAATGTTGAGATGCACTCGAGCAATCGTACGAAACCATGCAGTTTGCAGGGAAGGCAAGCGAGGCAAACGATTGCCTTGTAAGTCAAGTGCAACTCAAAACCCGCAATTTACAAGTTTCGAACATTTTCAATAGGAACGAAAAGCAGTAGACTGCAACCGTTGGTCTAATCAAATACTTCGTGTGTAGCCGTTATGTGGCTGGCTGGAAGACCTAACTTTCCAACACGAGGTACTTGTACAATATACTTCGTATGCACACACCAAAAGCACATTACATTCTAATCGCGCAACAGCCCGAAGCCTCCCGTCAAGTGCGAGTAGCTTGTTCACATGACTGATTAGCCCTGTAGACAAATGCAAGGACCTCGACAGAAAAGGGGGCTTGTTTGGTCTCGTCCATTAGTCGTGGCTATATCGACAGGGGTGAGCTCGGAGCCAACGCTTACCCTCCGGTCACTTTACATGCCCCCAAATCCGATGGATGGTCGGCTCAGCCACTGATAGGACGAATTAAATTTGGTTGTAGTGAATCGTCGTCACCGTTGTTGCTTGTCTAACCACGTGTGTCAGGATTTGAAAATTACAGTCTATCAAGATGTCGCAAAGAGGTGTGTGTGGTCTGATTCTTTGGCGAATCCTTCTAGAAAGATAATATTGCGAAGATGGGGCCATGTTTAATCACTGAGTGAGCAGGTACTCATATGCACTTGCGTTGCATTTTATATTTGAATTCGGCCTCGAGCCTCGATGTACATCCGATATATAGGTCGTGTTCGGCATCGCCGTGTCCAAGGTTGCTATGTATATGAAGTAGTTCTTGTCGAATCAGCAGTAGAACATGCTTTAGGAGTTTACTCTCGAAATTAATCCCTGATCATCTGAGTACCCTTGGTGCACATGTCTCCATAGGCTCAGCTCCACGAGATCCCTGAAAGGCCCCTATCCTATCCTCACTTATAGACTCGGAGGCTCCTATGGTGTCTCCAGTGTCTCATAGGCCTTTAGAGAGGCAGCCGGCAACAAGTATCCAGCCGTAGAGAGCAACTTGCATGAACCACATCGGCTGAAACAGATCTTTTGATCTCCATGACTCCCTTCTTGCGGGTGATCTCCAACGCCACTAACGGGTTCCGCGGCAGACGGCACGAGGTTCATAAGAGCGCCGGCCTATGATGACAGACTAGTTTTAAAAATTTTTGGGCTACTGTACAGTATGCCCTTCAGTCCGACTTCTGTACAGAGTATTTTATTTAATTCCTCTAAGTATGTAGTCCAAGACGTCGTCTGGGGGACGGAGTATAGAACACGGGTGTCGCTGGACGGGTATCGGTGGTATCAGGATCAAATGAACAAAGGAATGAACCCAATCAAATGGAAGTCTCCCTAGTCCTCCGTCTCTTCTCCGACTACCCCGGTACCAAATAGAAGCTCGGGGAAAGCCGTCGTCCTACAGTAGTTTTCTTTCTCTTCCCCTATGTTTCCAGGGAGATATCTCCTCTTCCATGGAGAAACTGTTGAAACATTTGTATGAACTACTGTAAGTTGAATGACTCCACTCCTTTCTCTTGCACCACGCTAGACCGTTAGACGTCGCCTTGGCTGGCGCAAGATCCCTGTCGCCGTATGGTACGGTATGACTGGGATGCGCAAGGCTAAAATCTGCAGGTCGCAGTCGCTCTTTTTCCCGTTTCCGCTTAGCCCTTTGTCTTTTATATTATTACAGCCCGACTAAGCGTGCCGAGCCTTTGAAAGGCCGCTGTATCATGACAGGCAAGCCCTGTCCCGAACTAGAGCAGAGGGTAGTTCGGTGCGGACCGTCGTTGAGGTGGGGGGTGGACGCGATCCCGACGTTTCCCCATGTCAACCGGACTGGACAGAGAGTATCGTATGTATGTTGACATTTACAGCAGTTTATGATACACGGTCGGACCAACCGATCTTCCCCCTTGATTGACATTATCTTGCGACTGGGAATCTGTTTTGCTTTTGCGGCGGAAACGTCTAGCGGCTACATCGCAGCAAACAAGAGTGTCGATAGACTCGTTACAGTTGGTGAGGTGCGACTACGGAGAATAGAATCTCGATAGCTCATATTTGAAGGTTCTCTCGATAGCTTCCCCGGCACAAGCGGCGTTGAGCCATCAGCGAATCATACCTGCGGGCCACCCGAAATTGTCGCCTGCGCCAATGATGACCGTTTCCTTAGCGACGATCAGAGTTGAAAAGGGATGTGTAGATCAGGACTGACCGCACGAAAGACCCGCTCGAGACGGGCTGGATTGGATAACCAACTGAAAGCAGGACACTCTCATCGTAGCCTGACGCAGTCATTGGTGGCGTCCTCCTGCGGCCAAGAAGTGCCCATTGAGGATCAGTGGTTCGGTGATCCTCAGAGTGGGCTCGGGCTTGTCGTCGACGGAGAGAGAGGGGGAAATGAATCAAATCTGCCTAGAACTGCTCCGTTCATACTCCGTCCACAGTACAGAGTAGTTGGGCCCGGTTAGTTAGTTTGTCAAAATTAATAATTATTTATGTACATACATCTCAAGCTGGGTACAAAACACTCGGTCGCGGGTAGACGGACGGAATACAGTCCGATGTTTCTCGAATGCCTATTTAATGTGCTCTCGGCAAAATCCATTCCACTGCCTGACCGTCAAGTTATAGTTAATATTGATCGAGCAAGCAAGGACCTGTGTGACCTGATTAGATTAAGACCATCTCGTTCCAATGAGAAAATGCCGATCTGGCCGAGGCTTGGGTGGGCTAGACTCACCATGGCGTACTCAACGGGAAATCATGAAGACGGCGATACAAGCGACTGGTCTCTAAGCTGCCGTCGCCTCGGATTACAATCTGTAGTATACGGAGTGAGCGGTATGTGACCAGCAGTACCCAGTATAGTCACCGTACGGGGTGTTACTCTTCAGTTAGGGACTACATAATACCTCCACCACGTCAGCAGGGAGGAATGTAATTGCTGGCATTGCGTCGCCCCTCGTTGCCCATTCGGCAAGAAAGAGAATTATTATCTCTCACTCTGGGTGAAAGCAAGATGGTTTTACATGCATATCTACAGTTTTATAGATGCTTGTCCCCTCATCATGGTTGACGTTGAAAATAAACAATAGGGGGATCTCTCCGGTCCGTTGGGCTGGGATTTGTGGCAGCCACCCAGCACCCTCGACAGGCGCGGAACGTGGAGTCGGTGACAGTCCCATGGGCTGCGATCGTGAGCAATGCTCGGGTAACACAACGAAGCAATCGGAGCGATACGCACGGGCTGTGTGATCGCATTTGCAGAAATGTAGGGAGGACACTGTTAGAATGGAATGAGCCAACAGGAAGGCAGAAACATCACACATCGCCAACCAAGTTCGTATCAAGCAGCAAGCACACACTCGTACAGTAGGAGGGAAAAAGAAAAAAGACAGCAAATCATAGGAATGGACTGTAAAAGACCATGATGGAATGGACGCTCCGGATCACCCAGGATCTACGGGTCCAGGGGCCCAAAGACCAGAGGCTGGGGAATCGACCATACTTCTTTTCGACGATGACGGGCTTCTTGGGTGGGAATAGGGGGATAGACTAAAGATTAAATTGGAATTCAATGGTTACGGGGACTATAAAATACAATACAGAGTAGGATATCCGAGAAGACTCACTACGTAGTACTATCAAATCATTTCCATGATCCAGCCGTGATTCCGTGAATCCAGAGCTGTTTTACACCTAGGACATAGAATACAGCTGCCCTGCGTATCTTCTATAATCTTTCTCCATCCATTATTCCTCCAATCCCTCTTTAGCCACCTGCTTGAGTACTTTTGGTTGGCATCGCACGAAGGAGCCCTAACAGACGGCGCTAGCACCAACTTGGCCAAGTTCGAGGAAGCTTGCCTGAGACTGCAGATCAGACCCAGTCGATAGCCCCGAAATCCGCATGAAATAATGCGAAAGAGAACGAGACCGAGAATGTGAAGGGCCAGCCATGATCCGATCAGTGATTCAGGGCATTCACGAAAGGCCCCCCATGTGGTATACATCCATGGATACAGTTGGCCGATAGATAAGATGGACCTTGGCTATTCGTTAGCGGTCTCCTCATGAATCGCAACCAGGGAAGTATAGAATACATTGCGCCCGGTTTTAGGATCAAAGTTGAGGGCCTGGCAACAAACCAGGAAAATCACCAGCCAAGGCGTGGGACGACCATCTTGATTGTATGAGACTTGTGGGGGGGGGGCCTCCATAAAATAGGTACTGTCATCGTATGTATGGATACCGTATACATGCCAAATCAGGCCCTCCCATAGTGCTGTCCAGTGACTCGTCTCTGCTTTTCGATACCGTACACAATTACCAAACACGTAATTTGACGATTCCTCGATTTCGCCCAGCAAGTCACGGCTGAAAGTCTGAGCCTGAGCCTGAGCCTGCCTTAGTGTCACTGTCTCTCCCCCTCTTGATTTCCCCTTCCCACTCCCTCACAATCTCCCACTCTTCACTCCCCTCGCCATATCCTATTCGATTCATCGCCCAGAGCCCATTCTGCGATCGAGTAGTAACCCTGTTTACATTTCTCGAAATTCGTCCAGTTCCCAGGTCCCAGCCATCCACCCCGACCGCCGCCCATTGACCGCCCTGCGATCGTGATCGAACAAGGGTTGAATCCCCGACCGAGGCGAATCGCCAAACAAAGAAAATTAGACCTCTGGAGAATTGAACAGGGCCGACAATAACTTGGGCCCGACTCGACTTGGATCGAGTCGTGCACCAGATAATTATAGAAGAGAGGAGAATACGTCGATGTACTGTACGTCGCACTGGATATTTCGACCTTATCGACGGTGTTGCCGCAGTTCTCGTCCGGTTTACTGATATCACTGCGACCGATAGAACCTTTCCCTGGGGAACGATAATTATTTCATGACACACTTAAAATGGCAGCCCGACCACCCATGATGCCGCCTCATAATGAGACGGCACACTCCGTCAGCCGAATCACTCGCGAAGGCAAAAAGCTCACATACAATCTGAGTGTCATGCAACAACCCGAGCGTGCAAGAGCCTGTGGTGCTGGCGCTAAGTGTGAGTAGCCTCGTGCTGTTGGCCCCCGAGTCCAGACTGGCCCTGGGGTGTTGGCTAATCATCATCGTCACGAATAGCATCGGCCGACCGTCGCCCTGTTGACCCTCCACCCGTCGTCGAATTGCGCATTTACGAATCAGATCCCGCAAACGATGCGCAGAAGACTGATATTACCTTCGCTTATAATGCCAATTTCTTTCTCTACGCCACTTTGGACACAGCGCGCCCTATCGCTCATGGTCGAGTGGCTGGACCGCCGTCGTGTCCGGTATTAACAGGTGTGCCTGTCGCGGGGGTAGCATATCTCGACCGTCCTTCCCAAGCTGGCTACTTTATCTTCCCTGATCTATCGGTGCGCCATGAGGGCCGATATCGTCTGAGCTTCCATCTCTACGAAGAGATCAAGGACGCCAAGGATGCCGACCAAGACTCGAACACACCACTAGCCAACCAGATAGGCCGCTCGAATTCGGCAAAGCCAGCGTCACCGCAAACATACCTGCATTTCCGCCTCGAGGTGAAGTCGGTTCCATTCACCGTCTACAGCGCGAAGAAGTTCCCTGGTCTGGCCACCAGCACATCTCTCAGTCGCATCATCGCAGAGCAGGGATGTCGTGTTCGCATTCGTCGTGATGTTCGCATGAGGCGTCGGGGTGACAAGCGCGAGGAGGACTATGAATACGACGAAGGAAGTACGGCGTACCCACGGTCCGATCGGTACTCGACGCCAGATCGTTACGTTGCACAGACGGTGGAACGCCCTCGGTCAAACAGCAACGGCAGTACGATGGAGTCGCCATATGGATTCGGACCCGATATTCAACGGCGGCCATCAGGTCCCGACTATGGCTTCCAATGTCCACCACAACCCTACCAACGACCCATGCCACCCGCGCCCATGCCTCACGCCCAAACCCCATCTTACCAATCACATCTTTCCTTCGGCTCTACACCTACTCACTATCCTAATCATCACATGCCGCCCACACCTCCACCAGTGGCACCGCCAGGCACGTACTCTCCTCATACCACCTATGCCAACATCAGACATGCCTCAGCAACAACCGAATACGAAGCGTCTCCAGCAGGATATCCCATGACACCTCAGATTACCGAACCCAGCGGTTATCCAAAGAATACCATGACTTCCTACCGCGTGGAACCACCCAAGGTACAACAATATATGGTGCCTGATCCGTCGCAATATCAGTCTATGCCTCAGGGCATGATGCCCGTTGTAGCGACACCGACACCAGGTCACATTTCCTACCCTGCGCCGAAGAACATGGCCAGTGAATATGTGAACCTAGATACGACAATCGAGGTCGGGTCACCGAGTCCAGGATATGATAATGTTTCAGGGAAGCGAATGCTATATCACACCGGCCCTGTTGGTAGCAAACGATCACACGAGGATTCGTTCGGCCTTGATGACCGGTCCATGCAGAACGGCATGCGTCCGGATGTGGATCCATATCCTACTGCCTACCGTGATTTCTCTGCTGAGAGTCGCGCTGCTCTGATGGCCGAGTTGGGTGCTGATATGGCATACAAGCGTGCGAACGGGAGAATGGTATCGAAGATCCCACCAAATGCGATATAAAACTGGATTTTCCGGCTCATTTGATCACTTGATCTCGGAGCTCGTCTTTCTCCTGCTGGGTTGGAGCAAAAGGGGGCTTGTTCATCCCTGGGTTGGGTTTGCCCTCCCGGGAATGGCGCCCTTTTGCATTTTCTCTTCCTGTACATGAATTCCTTCCCCCTCTGTGGATCTTCCTTGCCTGGTGCCTAGATATCTCTCGATGCATGACTTCCTTTGGTCTCGTTCAACCAGGAAGTCTTTTAATTATGTTGCTCTGTTCATGTTCCATTGGTCTGCGCGGAATTCGGTTGGTCAATACCTGGGGTTATGGTTGCTTGGATCTTTTTATCTCTATTCCCCGATCCGTTTGTTGATCTTTCTCTGTGTGCCTTATCCCTGCACATTCATTATTGTGGGGCTTAACTGCATTTATATCTTTTTTTTATCTTCTCTCTTTTCTCTATGACGAGGAGCTTGTCGTGACTTGGCCTTGATTGTCTGTTCCCCGGAGGGAAGTCCCTTCCTGTGATAAACACCAGGGTAGGGACTTCCCCCTTCCGTATCGCTCCATGTTGATGGTCTTGGGGGGACAAAAACCAGCCATCCAATCTCCTTTTTCAGCCGTCTCGCCCTTGTTTCATGAGGGTTACGTTTTTTCTCTTTCCTACGGGCGGTTAAAAAGGTCGGTTCCTTTCATCTCACTCTCTGTTTAGTGATGGATGTTTTTTACTGCAAATTTTGGAATCTTCCTTATGGGGAGAAAGGATGGAAATGGGTATATTTATGAAAGTGCATCTTGAAGAGAGGTTGTGATGGGAATCGTTTTGTTTGCCGTGTTTCTGCACCACAACGAAGCCAACGTTTTCCACTATCGAAGACTTCTTTTGCTGAATGTTTTTCCTGTTTGGTTTTGGATCTGTTTGGCGTTGGGGCATCTCTTGATACCTATTCTAGCATTATTTGGCCGAATCAAAATTAAAAATCTTGATGACTCGCGATGAATTCATGTAGATTGTAGATTGTACTGCACTTGGTGTGTGGAGTAAACGAGGAGAATGAGGTCATTACTTGAACCACCACCAGGCACCTCAACAACACTGCCTATCTTCTAGTCCTTCAGTATCATAACATTCCATTTTATTCATCACATGTCCCATGTGAGACACGCGGAATCCCAACAAAGAACCCGATCGATCTGCCCCGCAAGGTCGAAATCCCTTTATACCTGGACGTGCCTACATTATTGCACCTTCGAGAAGAAAGGAGCATAGCATGTCAATAGTCGATGGGGAATTATCTAATAACATTCTATACCTAGCGTGCCCTCGTGCCCTTTTCATTTGTAACAAAGTCGAATGTACTAGGGCCATTGGTGGGTGGATAGTAGTGTTGCGTGGTAGTGAATACTTCCAAACTTGGCCGGTTCCCCTTTCCCCACATCAAAACAAACTTCCTCCCTGGGAAAGCGTGCAGTATGTGACAACACTGCCTGACCGCTACGGCCCTGGCTGGACTTTTAATATCTTTTGACACCTCCTACCCTTGAGAAATAAACAGATATTTCCTCGTCAGTTTGCTTGTTTTTGTTCACTGTTTTGGATAGTTGTTCCCATGCGGCACTGGCACTACCTGCTTGGCTCAGCGCAGTACTGAATCTATCCCTCTCTGCCGGACGCGGGGAGCAAGCAGGGATAATGAAGGACGCCCCCGGCGCGACGGTGAGTTTCCTGTGCCCTTGCCCTGCACTTTACACTATGGCGTATTTTGCTTGAAGGCCTTATCTCCTAAATGCCTACCAACAGCAAATCTGACTCGTTCCACGCCACCTCTAGGTACCATCCGATCCCGTCGAAATGGACATCGACTACAACCCCGCGCAGCAGCACCAACGCACCTCGCGAAAACACATGCGCAGCAGCGACGAGGATGATGACGTGTCAGACTGGAGTTCGGATATCTCCGGTCGCTTCGACGATGCCGCCGAGGAGCCCGAGTTGGAGGATTACAAGTCACCTTCAGCCAAGTCGGTGAAACGGCGCCGTTCCAATGATTGGCCTCTACCCGAAGAGGCAGCAGATTATGGAAACCATGATCGTCGAAATGTTCGGAATGGCCATGCAACCGGAGGCTTCGCATCCGCATATCGATCGTCACCTCGGGCATCGCCTCGCACGTCACTGGCGTCGCTGCGTGGTCGGCATGGAGGCGCTTCGACGAATAGCCCCCGTACACGGCTGGGTCGACGGTCGCGGTTCGTTGAGGCGACTATGTCTGATAGTATCAGCGAGAGGCCGCCCAGTATTTTCACGCACGATGCTAAGCCGATGGGACCGCGGCAACGGCAATCTGGGATATTCAGATTTGGCAAGGCAATCGCCTCGGCATTCAATCCGTTTGGGGGTTGGGGTAAGAGTGGTGCCGAGAGTGCCAATCCACAGCCACCTAAAGATGCTCTCAGCCAAGCGGAGGAGGCTTATGCTGAACTCAAGAAGGCGGGCTACAAGGGTACCAATAAAGGTGCTTACCTACAAAGTCAACACGATTCCAACACTCGCTGTGCGGTGGATCCAACCCATGCAGATCAGACATGGCAAGCAATCCAAGCGAAGATGAATTATGACACAACCGCGACTGGTACTACTTCTTACTGTGGCGATCGAGTTGATATTCCCACGCCGTCTCGATCTGCATCCAAATCTTCGAAACGTTCGTCTTTCCAAGACTTGCGGTCGTTAGGACTTCCGTTCATACGGCATCATGACCAGTCGTCCTCAACCTCCATCTATCAAGAACGGACATCAGAGGACTCAATTGAAAATACTGGGCTCCGCAAGCAAAAGTCTCGGAAAGAACTGTCACGTCAGACGAAGCTACTCAAGAAAGTGAGCAACCTTGAGGACAAGCTGGAACGAGCCCGGCGAGAGCTTCGTCAACTATCCGGCAACGAGGAACGCCTACCTTCAACGACACCAGACCGAAAGTCTATGAGTATCGACATGGACCCGGGCAGCTATCCTCGCAAATTTGTTCCTGGTGCTCTTCCCACTCTTCCTTCTGAACGCCTTCTAGATCAACACGCTGTCATCGCCGAATCGCCCGAAGCCATCACTACCGAACTAACCGCCTTGCCTTCCGTGGAAGGTCGAGGAAGTATCTCCCTCGAGGAATCCCAACCAGCCTACAGCACTTCTGCATCTCGGTCACCGAGCAGACGGCCACAAGAGGCACGATCATCGTCTATCAGTAAGGAAAGCTCTTCCCGCAAACGGAAGTCCCCCGTTCCTGAACAACTCGATAGTCGGCACCCGAAGCCCCATGAGTCCAGTCTGGCGAACTACATCGACCACGAAATCGACCGCAACGACGACCGCCCGCCCGAGCACACTGACGACCTGATCGACTTTGGCCTCCTCAGCCCACCACGCCAGGCGAAGTGGCAGAAATTCGAGGCCGGCGATAGCCCCGGCTCTGTCGAGCGCAAACGAAACATGAACCTCACCGCACGAGAAAGGCCAGGTTCACTGCACAAAAGGTCCCCATCCGTCAACCCCCGGAAATTCTCTCCGGCCATCACCCGCTCACCAAAATCCAAGGCCGTACGAACCCCGCCTCCACTACGCATTAAACGTGGTAATTCGAACATGCGCTCGGTGTCGCCTAATTTTGCAACTACCATCCCTGAATCGCCTGGTGCGGCGGCTGATGGTGATGTTTTCTCGTCGTCTCCTGCGCGCACGCAAACCTTGCATGCGTTTTATCTACAGTCGGACTGTCAGCTCGATCCAGACCGTAGCCCGCGCTCTTCGCCGACAAAGTCTAGTTCGGGTCGGAAGAGAAGATGGCGAGGCAGTGATATTCCCCCTGTACCACCTCTGCCCAAGGAACTTCTGGAGAATGCTGCAAAGGTGACTACGTCGCCTACGAAGAATTCGGGTTCTGCGAAGGAACGGGATGGGGCACTTGAGCCGCAGACGTCTTCTGTGTTGAACCTGCAGCCTTCTGCTCTGGAGAAGTATCCATGGCCTGACGATATTTTTTGAACGGGCTGAAAGCGGGAATGGTTTTTCTGAGCCTTGTTAGTGTAGACTTACGTGATGTCATGATGTTACGACTTCTTATACCCTAGAGTTTGGCTTGGGGTTTTGCGTTTGGGAGATTTTGCAGGAATTCATGATGTGCAGTTTCTGATCTCATAGCCACGTTCTCATTGTAGAGCACTATCAACGGTATAAAACCTGACCTTCTAGTCCCGGTGAAGCTCAATGTCCTTTGGGAGAAGTAACCAACTGACCGCCGTAGCACTGAATAGTCCTACCAACATCGGCTGTAAGACCTTGACACCGACCCGTGCGGCAATGACACCTGTAATGGCGGGAAAGATGGATCCACCGATTTGACCGAGGACGAAGACAAATGCTGGAGGAGTCAGAGCTTGCAGTAGGTAATGAATGTTTGAATTTGGTGAATGCTTACCGATTGCAGGGGAGACCATTTCCGGAGGAAAGAGTTTGGATCCGACGGATATTCCCTGTATAAGTATCATGGTTAGCGGATGATATTTTAAAATAGATGAGATATGAATACATACAGTCGCGAAGAAAGGACCAGAGAAAAACCCCATTAGACTGACAGCAACGGCTTCAGTGATGATATTTGGAACCCTGGTACATATTCACGATCAGCATTTAGTCAAAGTTCAAGTTGAAAGCAACTTAAACTTTGATATCACGTTCAAGAAAGGCAAAACTCACAACCAGAAAACAAGTTGCAATCCAACACACAAAACAGCATATATGAATATCATCCGCCGTTCACCAAGTCGATGCGTCGGTTCTGCAAGAAGAAGACGACCCAAAAACCCACCACCCGATAAACCAGCAGGGACATAACCCATATCCTTCAGATCTCCATTCCGCACCTGGACGAGGTACTCGACAATCCATCCGCCGGCTGTAATAGCCGCACCGAGGAAGAAAAAGAAGAATAGACTTAATAGCCATACACTTCGCATAGAAAGAATAGTTTTGATTTCTTTCCAAGCTGCGCGTCCCGTAGACTCTGACTCTGACTCTGCTTCAGCACCAGCAATCGTTGGGGTTTTCCTTTTCCTCTTCGGTGACAACTTCATACGATCGTGGAACGATACACGCACAATCACCATATTAACAACTCCAATCCCTAACGGAAAAGTATAAAATAAATTCCACTTCGAGTCTTCATTCGCAGAAGCAACGGCCGTAGCAACAAAAGGTCCAACTAGACATCCGGCCATGTACATAGCATGAATGAATCCGAGCCAGCGGTGTGCTTTGCGGACAGAAGTCACAAATGTATTGGCGTGGGTGTCGTTATATGCTTGGCCGAGACTGGCGAGAAGGAATGTTACTGCGTACAGCGGGAAAGGTGGGAGCCAGGTACGCAAGACGTGGGCGAGGATTTGGAGGGCGGCGCCGAGGAGTAGTATGAGGCCGAGGTCGAGGTTCTGGCAGATGATGCTGTTGGAGAGGGCGGCGATGAGCCAGCCGAAGAATGTTACGCCGTACCTGGGGAGTATTTATTAAGACGATTCTCTTGATTTATAGAGTAAAATGTAGTAAACATGTACTTACAACACGGAGATCATGTTCGTATCAAGTGAATAGCTGCGTATCACATATGGAATGAGTGAGCCCAGACTACCATCGTTTACTCCGGCCATGAAAAATGATAGTCCTGCGCTGATGATCTTGGGATATAGCCATTTTGGCTGTGGAGGGTCTTCAACCTCTGGTTCTTGTAGGATAGTCGGTTGCTCTGAAGTTGGCTCGACTGGAGCTTTAGTTTGGAGGATAATGGTCTCTGTCTGGGTTTGTGTCCGGGTTGACATCTTGGTAGCAAGGGAAAGTCAAGCAACTGGGTCAGAAGTGTTGAGCGGCGGGGAGACTATTCAATAAAGCTATCGAGACCATCAAGTAGAGACTCCTAAGGACGGCAGTTCGGGCCGGCTTTGCGACTGTCAACTCCACAGTAGTCCACCAGAGCTTGTGTCAATGCTTGGGATTTTCATATGCTTGGGTCGTTTCACAACGTGGAGACAACGTGGAGAACGTGGACTTGCGGTGTCAACGGATTGACATCGGGGGAAGCTCCGAGCTGCAACCAATCGGCCATTCTACGGGTGAACCATTATTACTATTAGCGGGGGTTTTGCTGGTTGAACTGCCGAATTGGGGTACTTAGACCACTCGGGGTCTCCACTTACGGAATCTCATGCTATTGCTCTTGTTACTTGAAGAAAAATATGGACAATTGATGCAACTCTATCACAAGTCTAACTATAGTGTATATATGCACCTATATACACAGGATTTTGTCCGCCGGGTGGGGCTTTCCTCTCAGGGCTGCCGCCGCTTTTATGAGGGCGATCAGGCTACGGCTCACTAAATGCCAGCACGGGCTTAGACTCAGTTATCAGGTCAGTTCAGTCATGTGATCACTCAGTGATCACTCAGTCACTGCTTACTCACCACCACTCATTGTCCAGTCAGCCAGCCTTACTCCGTACTTCTTTTCCTCCAGCGCGTGTTAGCCTGTGCCCCAAAAGGGCATACCCCACAGGGTCATCTATTCTGTGGAACTAGCGCGTAGTGGTACGTGTGAGGTCCTCCCATACTGGAGGTCTCCGTTTAGTAAAAAAAAACTACGCCATTAACCCCCAACCAACACAAAAGTGAGGTGGACCGTCCTCTTCAAGGTTATGCTGTTCAAAGAGGCCTTTGCAGTGTCATGTATTATGTCCTGTGATCTAAAGTATAAAAGGAGACTATAAAAGGAGAGAATGTCTCCTCCACGGTCCCAATAAAGGCAATATATATTCTTTTCTTGCATCTACAATCAACTCCTCCTCAAAGACTGCCGCTGAGCTCACAATCCATATCCGATTATGGGTCGAAAAGCCTTTTCCTCAAAGGGTGATGAGAAGGCCAAAGAAGGCGCCGTCTCTTACGGCAGAGGAACGGCTATATGTCGTCATTCCAAACATCTTGCTGCCTGATCTGCTCGTCCATCGCCCTGGACACCAGTAGTTAGAACAACATCCAAGTCTTTTGTCTCAGAATAGTTTAGAGAAATGACCCGCTGCACTTGGCTGTCTAATTTGCTTGACTGTGAGTGAGGGACAAATTGGGACCAGGATGATTTTACTGTCAGATAAACGTACCCACCGGTGCTATGGACACCTCAGGAGAATGTTACTGCGGGCTATCTAAGTTGGGCAAAGCCAAGCTTAAAGGCCCCCCGGCCTAGTTGTCGCTTTCAGTATGTTGACGATCAACCTCATTTCGCGTCACATTATCGGCGTTATTATTCAGTGGTTGGTGGTCGTATTCAAAGGGACAATCATTAACGGGAAGACTGTAAATGGAGGAAACCTGCCGTGGTTGTGACCTGAACTTCTCACGCCAGCCTGCCGCAAATGTAGCTGGAGCTATGCTAGGCTCATAATCGGGTGGAGGTGCCATGGAACCGATAATACGATAGTATACAGTGCTGTTTGTTTTAAGAGTGACTTTAATCATCCCCTATATATACAGTAACTAGTGCAGCACAGGTTGTCTCGACAGAAGCGCAGTAGGCACAGATCTTCACCCGTGGCGTGATCAATCGAAGCACATGACGGTCTTAAGCTATCCATATCGATTTCTCATGGAGTTGAAGTTTGGAAAAGGACGGTCTTGCTACCGAATCCTTCGCAGAGAAAAATGATACATTTCATATACACATGTACATAGCTTGACTTGATACAGAAACATAATATGTCGCACGTTATCATTTCATAGATAACAGCCGTTCTGAACAGCAAGACCATTGCACAACAATTATGGACAGTTTCGCTTGCGACCAGCCATCTCCACCATCAGATCTTCTCGACAAAATCCTCACATCTCTTCTCGTCGCCCGCATATCCGCCGTTCTCAATCTCCATCTTTTGGATTTCAGCATTGAAGTGAGCCATGCGCTTGGCAAACTCCTTTTCCTCATCCCACACGAAAAGGCTTTTGCTAGCGAACAGGAAGTCGATCTGCTCGAGCGTGCGGCCGGCAGTCTCGGGGAAGAAACAATAGATGATGGGGATGTAGGCGAGCATGGCGGCACCAAAGACGTAGAAGGTCTGAGAAAAAGGAAGTCAGAAATGAAAATATGGGAAAGGAAAGAAAGAACTAACCTTCTCGTGAATACCGGCAAACATGACCGGGACGAGCATCGACCCAGCGCCGTAGCCGACCGCCCAACCCGCAACACCAAAGGCGTTACCCTTGGCGCGCAGCCATGTCGGGAAAATCTCGGTCGGATAAATGAAAGGAATCATCAACCATGAGGAGCTGAAGACAACCACGTAGAGGAAGACCATGGCGGCGGCTCCGGTTCCGTACTGTTTAGCCTTGTCGGGGTTGTTGACGGCTCCACGGTTCAGACCACCACTTGAGGAAAGTCAGCAGGAGCAACGTCAGGACGAAATGGGATTGTACTCACAGGGCAAAGAGAATAATACTCAAAACGACCGCTCCCCAGTAGAGGGTCCGGCGACGACCCACCCGGTCCAAGGTCAAAGCAGCGATACCAGTTCCCAGAATACCGCAGGTCATGCACAAAGCAGACAGCCAGTTGGACTTGAAATCATCAAAGCCAGCAGTGCGATAGATGTTTCCCGAGTAGATGACAACTGCCGCGATACCCGTGCCGTATTGCATCAGAACCTGGAGCCAGAAGGCCAGCTGGATACGGCGTCCAATGTGAATATCCCCCGATCCAATGCCCAAGAACATTTTGATATAGCTGGAGCTCTGCGACTCCTGTTCCATCTGCACGACGGCGACGATCTCGCGAATTTCTTTCTGAACATTCGGGTGGTCGCGGTCGCCATCTCCGCGGAGCTTGGTGATAATCTCGAATGCCTCCTCGTTGCGTCCGACCTTGACGAGCCATCGAGGCGATTCAGGAATGAGCAGGGTACCGATGACGAGGAAGACAATTGGGATCACTTGGCAGGCAAAGCAGAAGCGCCATCGAAAGGCACCGCCGGCGTAGTCGGTGAAGGAAGTAGCGAAGCCAATCCAGGAAGACAAGGCAATGCCTCCAAAGTTGGCGAGGAAAGTCAGGGCGATCATTTGACCTCGATGGTCCGCTGGAGCCAGCTCTGCGGTCCACGAGGGAGCAATAACGATAATGAAAGAGACCCCAACACCCGCGACAACACGGGCGCAGAGCATATGAGTGAGATTCACGGCACTAGCCTGCAGGATGGCTCCGACAAAGCACCAGACGCAGGCCATCCAAATACCCTTAATACGTCCGTAGGCGTCTGAGAAACTACCGGCCCAGAAGGCTCCGAAGAGAGCACCGAAATAATACATGGCAGCGATGCCACCCTGCAGAGAGGGCTTGATAACTTTTCCATGCTCATCGGCGAAGCCCATACGATACTGCAGTTGTGATATTCGATTAGTTCACGATTCCAACTCTTTGGGGGTAATGATTCAGGAGGACTGCGATACACACTCCATATTCTGGGGCGACGTTGACAGCGCCCATGACACCCTGACTCATGCCCTCATAGGAAATGGCCACGGCAGAGACTGCGGTAATCAACCTGAGCAGTCTAGGTCCAGGGACCGTCTTCCAGAAACCTTTCTGGATCATGGTGAACAAACTTGAATGAGGAACAGAAAAAAGTAGACAAAGACAAATTTGGAATGAATATATAATATGGAGAAACCAAGACTCTGAGAGTCAACCCCAGATAATTGATAGAGAAAAGAGTGGATCAGAGTCGTATCAGGAAGACATGGGGATATTTATAGATGATGAGTGGTTTCCTTCCATTGTATGTAAGATAGGTGTGAGATAGAGAGAGAGAGAGGGAGGCAAACCCCGTGGGGTGAAGATCACGATAAATTGGGGCTATATGGTTTTCTTGCTTCTAGTGCTGTCATTCACGGGGATCACTCCAAACTCAAAAACCTCGGGGTCTCTTTCCTTCTCCTTCTCCGCCTCCGCCACCATAAATCCCGAGTTTTCTTCCCACTTTCCATCTCTCCACCCCTCCTCGATCTTGTCTCCTGTCTGTTCTCGTCTCGATTTCCTTCTTCGAGACAGACTTACCTCGCCACTACCGTTCCACTTCTACAGACCTCTTCAGATTTCGACACGAATTTCAACATGGGAAAGCTTCGCTCAAAAGATGGATGGTCAGTCATTCCCATTAATTTCCCTACACTACACTAGCTGCACACTTCGCCTGTCGATAAACGGAAGGAAGGGTGGCTGTTCCATATCTGTATCTCATGCCTTGGAACGGTTGCGGGGAAAGTTGCCAAGCAGAACTAATGACTGTGTGACCGCTGACGGAGAAGTGTCCAGGCTCTGTCCTTGCCGTGATTTTTGCTAAGTTTTATCGCAGCCTAACTTGCCGGAAGAGGCATGTCAAATGTATACCATTGAACAGTTCAATATAAGCTGAATGCAACGGCTTACCCGAGATCAGGTGACCAAGTCAAGCCAATCTGTTCGCAGTGCCAGAAAAAGAACCGGCCATGTCTTCGAGAAGATCCATCCAAGAGCATCAGGATCAAACCTTATCAACTACGAAAGACTAGGAAAGACCCCAAGGATGCTCCTGGCCATGACCATGATGAAATATCTCCCCTTCCGGAACAAGGAACTGCAGACGTAGTGATTGCTAATGCAACCAGCCCTGAACGTATCACTAATCCAATCTATACGGAATTCTGTACCAATGCCTCGGTGATATCACCATACAACACACAAGGATCTACTATCCTCCCGAAACTCACCACCGACTCTGTTCCTGCGCCTCCGATGGCCTCTCCAGTCAACAGTACCACTACCTCACCATACTTCAGCGTGATTGGAATCCCGATCTCCCACCAGGTCCGACGGGAGTCTTTAAGTCCATGGTCTCCGGCTTCGCCCCCAGGTGCAGTACATGCAGGGTCTCCACTGACCTACAGAGAAGCTTACCTTGTGCATCACTTTGCAACGCACCTCGGGTATTGGCTAGACTGCACCGATGCTTCCCGCCAGTTTACCCGGAAAATCCCCGTTCTGGTCAAGCAATCGCCGATCCTGCTTCATGCCGTACTTTCCTATTCGGCTCGGCACGTCGGGGATGCCGAAATGGCCGAGCAGGCGCATGAGCGTTGCGTAGAATTATTGATTCCCTCCCTGAGCTCGGAAACGGTGGCCAACGATGATATTCTGCTGTGTGCAATTGTCATCCTGCGGGTGTTTGAACAGTTAAATGGTATGTGAGAAAGTTTTCGAGCCGATGCCCAGGCTAACTTCCTTGGGACTGAAACAGTCATGGTAACCGGGAGCGACCAGGAGCGTCATTTAGCAGGCTCCTTGGCTCTGCTCCGGGCGTCGCAAGGGCCGGAGGTGGATCCATCAACCCCGGGGTTGCGGCAGGCGGCTTTCTGGGTGTACATGCGTCAGTGCCTCTACAATGCCTGTGTACATCAGCAGGCTCCTAATGTGGATTTGAACATGGTTCTCATCCCTCCACCGGGCGGAGGTGACCCTCTGAGCGATCTGAGGTCTGAAACAGCCTGGGCCAACACTATGACTTGGATCTGTGCCACGGTGGTACACTTTTGCTTTGGATCAAGCTACCCTGAGCCCTCAACCAGAATACGCCGATGGCAAGAGCTATCTGAGGCCGTCGAGAATTGGTTGATCACCAGACCGGATACATTTGACCCAATCTGGTATAGCGAAGCTGTCCAGGGGAGTGGAAACCCATTCCCAGAGATATGGTTCACAGCGGACTGGCATAGTATGTCTGCAAAAAGTCTTCTACTTTGCGCTGTCTAATGTTTTTTGTAGTTATGGCATTTGGATTTTATCATCTTGCCCGTATGCTCTTGGCCATCTACAAGCCATCGCCTAAATTTGCAGTCAGGGGGCCACATAGCACAGCTCGTGAGTCTGATGTGAGTTCTGGTTTTGCTGACATGCGGATGAGTTCTCGTTGACACCAGCAGATCCGAGTCATGATGCACGCTCGTGCAATCTGTGGGGCATGCAACAGTTCCCCTTCGACGGTGCCATCGTTGATCACGCTCTGTCATTCCACCTTTATTTGTAAGACATGTCTAGGGTCTGTGTGGGGTATAGTTACTGACATCGACAGGGGGTCCCTTGATGACAGACTCAGCAGAAAGGGCTGGAGTAATTAGACTGCTGCGAGATATGGAAGTGACGCATGCATGGCCGACGACTTGGATAATCAATTCTCTAAAAGAAGAATGGACGATGACGTAACCCGTTCACGTCAAAAGTGAAAGGGCATTTATCTATGCGACAAAGGAAATCATCGACCCTCATTAAACGATACCACGGCATACTTTCCGTTCTTGATCCACGCACCACCGGGCGCCTCCTCATTTAATGCGTCAACCTTGCTCTGGGTCGGGACGCCAACGCAAACGTCGGACTTGTTCGTACGAAGGGACAAGATTCTGACGCCGCTCTGCTTGCCTAGGGGACCAAGAGCCTCCTCATATGTGGTGGTGTGAGGCCACATCCCATCCCTGGTCAGTTTGCGGTAGTTGAGGTCACCCTTGAAGATGACCAGGTAGCTGTTCTGGAGCTCCTTGAAGAGGGCAGGTGCTTTGGATGGCATCTCGTGGAATGAGAACGGCGTTGTCCAGAAGGGGTCGCTAGTGGTCGTGATGGCGCCCGACTGGAAGAACTTGCGGAGTCTGGGGATGAGTTGGTCGAGATACTCGCGACCTGGGAAGCATTCGGAGGAATCGAGATGCTCGAACAGCGATTCGACATCCGGGGAAATGACATCGCTGACGAACCACGGGAACTCCTTGGTATGCAGTCTGACAGAGGTGGAAATGCCGGCGTCCAAAAGATAAGCGGCATAGAGCACATCGGTGAAGAACTCGAAGCCAGCGTTGTCGAGGATAATGTCAATCTGGCGACTAGTCTGACTGGCAGTGCGCTGAAGATAGGCCCAGACGTCGTCAGTGTCGTTGTCGACGATGTTCCGCTGGCTCTTCTGGATGGCCTCACGGCCCTGCAGGTTTTGCAAGTCCTCCAGGGTCAGGTTAGCGAGGAGTGACAGGTCTGTGGCGTTTCCCCACAAGGCAATCTCTGTCATCTCGATAAAAAGCAACCTCTTGGCCTCTTCCTTGCATCCATTTTGGGCGAGTCGGGTATCGGCAACGATCTGCATATAACGGCTGGCGAGCTCTTCGACTGCGGCTCTCGACTTGACGAAGGTAGAGTCTTTCTGGCGTTTGAAAACATCGTAGTTCTGCCAGTGTTTTGAAGAGTTCAGGATCCTCTGGATGCTTCTGGAGGGATTTTCAGCACAATTCCTTGATTTGATCTTTGCAGCAACAGTCGTACCTGTACATGTAGCACTCTCCAAAGAGCCAAGGGCAGTTGTTCCAACTGCACTGGCCAATCGCAGCCAGCTGCTTGTTCCACTCTTGAATATCGAGCTTGCCGTCATCTTGTAGGGGTCTGAAGCGCTGTGAGTCCCTGCATTTTCGGTTCTTGGAGAATGAAGTACGTACGTGAGGGGCTTGTTCCGTTCAATTCCTTTCTTGATGTCCTTCAGGGCAATCTGAATGGCAATGCTCTCCACTCTCTTCTGGCCGTCAAAATCCTCCGCGGCGGCTGTTTCGCCAATGTCGTCGATGGTGCCCTGAATAATTTTGGCCCATCGGTTCTCGGCCGTCTGTTTAGCCATTGACCCCTTCTCTGACGTCCAAACTGCACGAACTTCTTGGGCGTTCATGGTGGCGGAAGGCATGACTATGTGACTCAGACAGATCCGACTGGACAAGCTCAAGGTCTCAAAAGCTATAAGGAAGCAGTGACAGCAGAGCCTGGGGACTCTTTATGTATTCTTATTCAAAGACACAATGCAAGGATTATCCCCACCTAGTTACCAGAAAAAGTAGCAGAGCTCGGGATCCGCTGACCACCATCTATGAAACCCCCCTCGACACGAATATGGGAGGTGGATCTCGGCTGCCTCTCCCGAGCTATGGAGGTGTGGCGTCGCATAAACGGCCCGAAACTGACGGCTTAAATGGCTCTCCAAGTTTTCGCAATCCCTGGGATTGGACGGTCTGTGCACCTCGTCTCGACCTCGTCTCGAAGATACCCAATTAGGCAATTCTCGCTTGCATGTCGGCCTGATGGAGCTAGCAAGTGCATCCCGAATCCTCGCTTCTCAACGCTTTCTCGTGAGCATAACCGCACGCTTTTGGATTATGACGGGGGTAGTGGAGTATTCTTGATTGTCCAGCAGCAATGGGGGCTAGATTTCAAAAGGTATATGAAGCGGTTCTTCGCTCCTCTGGATTACTGTTGGAATGAATCCAAATCATTGAGTTTCAATCTTGTATATACACATTACAAAAATGGTCACTTCAGTTGAATTTTCTGAGCCCAATGACTCTGCTCACGTCAACAGTCCTCACCGTTGTGTCGCAGATGGTACCCTCGACATCACAGTCATTGGAATGAACAGCGGTACGGCCATGGACGGCATTGACTGCGCCCTTGTTCGTTATCGACAGAGTTCTCCTGAAGCTCCTTTGCACATGGAGATCCTCAAGGTACGACAGCTCTCTAGTGGTCTAATATGATTTAACTTCAGTGGAACTGACAAATCGCCTTTGTACAGTACGACGAAATCCCCATCCCTCGGTATATCAAGGAGCCCGTCCTCACCATGCTCCGTGAAACGAAAACCACTCCCTCCCTCATGTCCCAGCTGAACGTCCAGCTCGGCAACATGTTCGGCGAGACCGTGAAGCTCTTCTGTGAGAAGCACAACGTCCCCATTAGCAGCATCGACCTCATCGGCTCCCACGGTCAAACTATCTGGCTTCTCTCCATGCCCGAGGAAGGCGAGACCCGTTCCGCCTTCTGCCTTGGCGAGGGAACTGTCATAAGCGGCTTGACCGGCATCACTACAGTCACCGACTTCCGCATGGCTGAACAGGCGGTCGGCCGCCAGGGTGCACCTCTTGTCGCTTTGATCGATGGTCTCCTCCTTCACCACCCCACCGAATGGCGCATCTGCCAGAATATCGGCGGTATCGCTAACCTCTGCGTCATTCCACCCGACAGCGAGGGTGGCGTCAACTCCATGGTCGACTGGGACTGCGGCCCTGGCAACATGTTCATCGACGCCACGATGCGCTACTTCACCAACGGCGAGATGGAGTATGACCGCGATGGTGAGTGGGGTGCTCAGGGTACTGTCAACCAGGCAGTCGTCGACAAGTTCCTCGACAACAATAAGTACTGCAACCACCTGCCTCCCAAGACGACAGGTCGTGAGACCTTCGGTGATAACGAGGCCCAGGCGATCATCGACGAGTGTTTGGCTCTGGGCATGAGTAAATACGACACCGTCGCCACCATCACTCGCATTACCGCACAGAACATCGTCAAGCAGTACCGCACGTTCTTCCCCCACTTCAACATCGATATCGACAAGATAGCCGGTGTCTACATGTGCGGTGGTGGTGCCCGCAACCCCAACATCATCAACTACCTCAAGGGGCAGCTGCCCAACTTGGAGATTCTCAAGCTCGATGAGACGGGTGTTCCTTCTGATGCCAAGGAGGCTGTCTCGTTCGCTCAGCAGGCTCTTGAGGCTATTCTCGGCCGTGCCGCTCTTGTTCCCATTAACAGTGACACATTGACGCCCAACACCATCTCAGGTAAGATTGCGCCGGGATTGCGATGGAGAGAGGTTATGGCGATGGCAGTGGAATTCGGAAAGGGTCAAGCTCGGTTGCCGACGGTCAAGGATATGGTTATTGACCGGCCCTACACCTACGGGAAGCCTTAGAAGGGTATGGCGGTGCACCTGTCTATTCGTATGATTAATTACTTGCATATAAGGGTTTAGCTAGTTCTTCGTTCCAATCTAGCATTTTAGCGACTGTGGAGTGTCTTTTTGGTTGAATCCCCTCATGGCGCTGTTAAGTGAAGATGTAGTGTACCGCCGTTTAGTGGGCGATGGACTGATTTTATGTCTCAGGGCTGTGCAGAACAAGCTGCACTGTTCATGAATTAGCCTCAATTGATGCAGGCCTTATCCTTATCCAAACTTATCTTAAATTTTTATTGTAGCTTATCCGGGCTCATCGTGAGCGTCCCCCGAGCAGACTATTTCGCGCGTCATCGTGCCGCACACACATAAAAGCGGCAACATCTCACACTGTGTCCTTTGGAACCAAACTCGGAAATAAGAAACTGAAAACAACATCATGTTATCGAGGGAGTGTCGGTGATGGCCGTCGCGGAGTTGACAGCTCTGAGCAAACTACATGTATATTGTTTCGGTCGTCGGATTGAGATGGAGAGACATTTTTGAGCTCAACGCCGGATTCAAGCCCACTTTGGTGCCATTTTTCAACATATTCCAGTTCAATGAATGGTATACTATACGAAAACAAGGTTGATATCTATAAAAAAGATGAAATACGCATAAAGCAGTCCCTCCTAGTCCTCGCCAGGACCCGCGGGTCTACCCAAACGGGTAATGGGTTGGGAATCCCTACCTGCGTGCGTTAAGCTGCTTTACCTATGGGTTAAACAACTCGGCCTGAGCTGCTCGTTGAGTTGGCAGGGTCGCTTAGTCTATTTTCCGTGGCTGGTGAGACATCCGAGAAGCTAAGTGCTTGGCGTTGCTTCTGGTTCCTGTCGGGGCCCCAGGTGGTTGCATTTGATGGAGAGAGCAAATGAGGGGGGATAATTCATGGTTCAGGCATGGACTCTGGAATAGGTGAAAGTAACAACATTACGGATCAAGACCATTTCGGATTTCCCTGCATCTGCATCTTTTCTTTATCTTTTGCCCCAGTGAAATATTGACAGCCCTACAGCGACCAAGTATGCGCCGAAGAGCAGAAGAGCCGAAGAATTGAAGGTGCCTTGTCAAGCAGCCCATGATGACGACCGTCACAAAGAGCGTCATGGCCATGGCACTAACAACTCTATACGTGCAGCTCAGCGGGTGTACTTCGGCCTTCCAGCTCACTACCATCACGACCAGCTTCTTGAACAAGCTAACAACAATCACTGTCCTCGCATCTGATGCTGCAGCCCCAGACTTCTCGGCCTGTCAGCCGCTAGGATGGGACAGTTAGAGCATGACGGATCTTTTTACCTTCAGTCCAGCCGTCTGCCCCCAGGATTGGACGTATTACGAAATGTCATCGACTAGGCAATACTCAGCTGCGTACTGCTGTGCTAGGCATGTCTATAGGCCTCTTTAATTTTTGCTATTTTACAAATTTACATGAGGCTTAGTGGTTTCTATTTTCGAGCACCGGGGTATGCTCTGCCTACGCCTGTGCTGAGCCCGGCATGTTCGCGTATATTCAAATACGGCGAGACCACCATCACCCCGCCGCTGGCGTCTGATACAGACATAATAGGCACCTTCACCGAGGGAATGATCGTACATCGCGCATGGCACGTCTCGTGGGCCGCATCCGACACAGCGAGCATGTCCCTATCGCTCCCACCGCTGACCTCGGGGAAATACCTGGCTACTTGGGGGCCGGGACAACTCATCGCGGAAGGGGTGCATGACCACCACAACGGCAATAATAGCAGAGTGGGTGGGTGGTCTTCTCTGAGTAATTATTTAAGGGTTCGGAGGAAATAGAACCTCGGTTCGATTGGGAGCTTTCTTCGGGAAAAATTCTTTTTCTTCGTATAGTGTGGTTTTTCGTAAGTCTTCGTCTACCCTCGCTCTACCGCCTAGTCCTCTGCTTATAGTCTGCACTGTACTGGTCTCTAGTCGGCCACAAAGGAAAATTCAGGTTATTTTAACATAACGCCCGTTCTATTCTTAACATTTAAACGTATCTACTGGCTTGAAAACATAAATCTCGAGGGTTTAAGATGGGAAACAGAGAGGCTGTTTAGCTGGCAGAATATTACGTCGTCACCAGGTGGACGAAGACTTATGGAACACTACTGTAGAAGTGGTGGGCCTCAAGAAAGACACTTGAGTTGCGTAATATATCTACCGCAGGGTAAAGGGCACTACAAAAAAAGGTCCTAACACATCTATCGCCCTCTTCTATAAATCCTCTTTTAATACGGAGTATAGTCTCTTACAAAATGTAGCCTTGACTCTCGCTATCGTCGCCACGAAATATTAGCACGAATTAGGGTTCTATACGGCCCAAAATATGGGGAAACCGGGGGTGCCGAAAAGGGTGGAAAGAACCTAGACCTAGGTGCATTAAACCGGGGGCCGGTTGAAATACCCCATAGATGGCTATGTAAAATACACGGCGCCACGATAACCGTAATGCCGAGGCTACCAAATTACTATACAAAGTAAAGAGGAAGGTGGGCCAGTCAGTACAACCCCTGTCTAGACGGTATGTTACCGCTCCATGTTTCGACAATTCCTTTCTTGAATACCCAATATGTGTCCAAAACGCAACAAATCCCTGAGGATTTCTCCAGGTTAGGAGGGTGGGAATATTTTAGCAGCCATTGGACTTGGTACTCGTCCAGCCCCTCGAGCGCTGTTGGTCAAATTTGGCACTTAGTCACATCCCTGCAACCACAACAAGTTCTCAATGGACGCATCCCAATCGAGATGCATTAGATCATCAAAATTCAAAAGCTCCATGGATTCCGGGCCAGGAGACAGGAAGCTGAGCCATTTTTGATGCAATGGTCCCTGGATATGTTCCGAGATTTGAAGGACATCTTCTGCGCTCAGGGAGCCCGAGATCTTGTTTGTGAACGTAATGCAGCAGTCTGTATGAATAATGTAAGAACCATAGAACAAAAATTTTATACTCTAAGCTGCCAAGTATCCCAGTGCAATTGCTTACCAAGAAGGAATCGAGGCAGTCTCCAGTACGAGGCGTAGTTCTCAAGAAAAAGGCGGACCACCTCTTTCCGGCGTTTGAGCTGAGCAAGCAATACCGCATTCGAGTTTGCGCTTGATACGCTATGAAGATGCAGCGTTATGAGCAAAGATGAAGCGATGAAACAGATAGCAGGGTCGACGGTAAGACTGGACTGCGAATCCCAGTGCTGGATCACCTCGAACATGCGATAGCAAATATCCAAGTTCTCCTGCCACTGGGATAGCCAAGGCTTCGTATCCATTCTGAGCTCAGAAAAATTGAGCAGAAGTCGAATGCTATGGAATTTGAGTTGGGTTTGAAGGCGTGAATTGAACCCAGGGAGTAGTTCGCCGCCGATTGCATCTGGTGTCGGTTGCATGTAGTAGGGGGGAAGTGTTAATTGCAAGGCAGCCAGGTGATCCCTCAACGCAGAGATGCGTCCAGAGATATAATCGCCTGAGCTTTGCTTGCTTAACCGATGAATGGCTACTGCTGCCTTCAGTAGCGTGTTCACAGCCATATGGAAACCAAAGCCCCTATCAACAAGTCCTCTCCCAATATCTTGAGTAACAGCCGGCAGGGCTTCCAGCTCAGCGGGAAGAAAGATCTTCGCTGATTGAGAGATCCTGCTACTTGTCACTGCAGGATCAAGGGGAAGCGCTGCCCGGATACTCTCGGTCTCCACTTGCGTCGGAGTTGCTGTTGAAAAGCTAGAATATGAATCCAGAACGTAGATGCACCACCACACACGGCGCCAGTCTTCCAGCACGGGTTCTTCTAGAAGATCCCATCCATAGCATCTTTGATTGCTTGGGTTATCAATTTGATGCAGACCAAGATGGTACGCTTTTCTTGTCAAAGTAGTGATGGCCATGTGCATGTCGTCGTCCGTGCCAAGCCGCTGATGGAATCCATACCATGTAAGCAAACAAGCAGCTTGCCATTCGTGAAGCGCTGTTAGATCGATGATATTGTCAGCCTTTATTTGCTGAGTGTGGACCAACTGCCGCAACTCGCTATCCACGTCGGCTTCCGCCTCTATATTAGGTTTCCCGATCAGTCTCGCAGAGATGCCATACACGACAAATAGCAAAGGGTGAATACTATCAACATCCAGCGACTTCAACAAGGTATCCCGTTGAAATAGCGGATAGCATACGTTAACAGTAGAAGTGAAGAACTGGGCCCTGGTATTACATCAGACATGGTCCATCTGTGCATCGGCGATAACTTACAGTTCACTCCGGGACCTTGAATGGAATAGCGAGTAATGGAAATTTAGAGACTGCGTACTGCCTCCGGACTCTGGTGGAGTTACTTGCACTGGTGGATCTGGAAGACTCGATGAAAAGATTCCATCAGGGAATGGATGCGATATAGGAACAATGTTGGAGGTATCGCAAGCTGTAGACGGCCACTCTAAGTCCCCAATCAGCGTTAGGTCGTAGGTTTAGGCAGAGAGTAGCTAACCATTGAAGCACTCTGATTCTGTCACATTATTGGGTTGCCTTTGGGGCCTTCTAGGCGGACCAGGTCTTTTGCGAATGCGATTAAAGGTACAGTTCTGCTTGGATCGGGCACAGGCCGAACAGATCGGTTGATTCATATCGCCTATCGACCTAAGTTAGAGGCAATTCAATGTACTGTCTGTATTGGCGTCGATACATTTGATTTTTTTCCTAGTTCATGTTAGCATATCCCCATGACGGTTGCCCCGCTGTTTGTCTACTCACTCAGTGCACCGATCACAAACTCTCGCTCTTGAGCCTTTTTCCTGCACCCACCTAACCGACTTCTGTCCACACATCGCCTTACCACAATCGGTCATTTTGGGAGTTTTGGGAATAGCTTCAGGCTTATGGAAGGTCCAGTGAAACCTCGAAGAGATAAAGGTAGGTTAAGATAACTACCAACGAAGCAGCCATTGATCTATTAATCAGATAGGGGTTCGTGTGGGCGGTCGCCACCGTACGTCTCATTGGACCGGAAAATTTCCTTATCCGGACTAGCGGTAATAGAGCCCTCTCTAACTTTATTTCGAGCGAGATGTACGGTGACGTCGCTGACATTGATCGATGCGATATACATGAGTCACTAGATGATTTGCAGCTATTAATGAATGCTGTTGAGGGATTCAAAAAAACTTTTAAGGTTTAATAAACCAGATGAAGCATTTGTAAGTCAGTTGATCTGCAAATCTCTCTGCGAGGCAGCGTTGTCTCGTCAACTCGCGTCAAGATTTTCGAACAGCTGCTCCCAGCATATGCTTATTGATACACTGAGAGAGATGGAGCAACGAAGACAGAAAAAAGAACGTGAGATTCACAGAGGTGTTGAATCCATGTTTGACTAGAAGTCTGGACGACCCCGATAGTAGCGGGCTATGTGATCTGAAACGCAAACAGGTACATATAACTATGTTTGCTCCAAGTAACAGCCTGCTAGATTATACATCCAGGGTAGTCCTCGCTGCGTGGCACAACTGGGCACATGATAAAATTTGTTCGAGTACCACCCACATGGATGGTATCATGAGCATCCTGGCCATGAGTCTCACCGTACCAGAGCCTCATTGAGGGGCCATTGTATCCTGGGATATTCGGCTGATCTTCGGAAGGGCATATGTCCACGCGTAGGCTCCAGCCCTTGCGGAGACGCGCAGCAGCAGGCAATATTTCCACGTTGATTTCCACCACATCATCTGGTCCCTGAAACGGCAGCAGGTCATTCTGTAGGTGGGTATGCCATGGTCTCCAGGGCAAAGTTCGTTGCGGGTCAGTCTTCCGATGACTGACGCGCAAAAAGCCTTTGGCCAGCGGCTCTGGCTCACTGCTGTTTGCTCCATAAGCAACAGCATGGCCTTGTTCATCAATGGCCCAGGTAAGGACGACAACATCTGCATCCGAAGCCGTCGATGAAACGCTCAGCGTTGCTGCAAAGTGACCTGCCATCTCGATGTCTTCTTCGAAGGGTAAGGATTGGAAAGTGACTCCGTTTCCGCCTGCAAGAGGCTTCTGAGCTGGGTAGGAGAAGCCCTTTTCTGGGGACCCCGAGGCTGGTGGGGTAGTTGCGAGAAATTGGTCGGGATGGAGATACCATTTGATGTATTCCGTGCCCGGGACTGGCCACGTTTGTTCCTTGCGCCAATACCACCTTTGGTTTCCGAGGCGCATCTGTATCCCTACCCGCTCGGGAGCCGGACAGTCTTCAGTCTTGAGATGATGGTTCAAAATCTCCAAAATTTTGCCAGCCGCTTCCCGACTCGGCCACGAGTAGTAGTTCGAATCGACTAACTGAAGATGGGTATTGTCGGGTCGCCGCGCCATCCAAGCTTCATATGCGCCGCGCCCATGAATCATGAAGATTTGAGATGCAGCAAGGAAGCAAGGAATTTCGACCGAGGTCTCCGGTTTGGACTCCATCATGGCCCAGATTGTGTTGAATGTAGAATTCGTTTTCATCAGATGCTCCACATCCAAATAATCCACCCATTTGGGAGACACGCCTCGGACACGAGCAAACCAGTTTTCAAGGTAGCATGTTGAGGGCACGCCCCCAGTATAGGCGGCATCCCGATACGAGTCAACGTCGGCTGCCCGTCTTTCTTTTAGCTCATGCTTTCCCTTATACCTGGACTGGGATGGAGCGGAGACTTACTGGCATAAGGAACGAAACATTTCAACCCTTTCGGCTGGAGGCCGGCTACGGCCCATTGTGTGTTGGCCCCATACGAGCTGCCAATGAGGGCGACATTTCCATTGCTCCATGGTTGATCCGCACACCATTCGCACACAGTGCAAAAGTCACCAGTAGTTGACCAGGCTCCCATCTTTTACCAGGCGTTTCTGATACTCCCTTGGGATCCATCTTCACCATAGCATAGCCTTTGGGGACATAGGAGAACGTGTTGAAGGACGCGATACTTTCAAACCCTCGCTGTGTCCTGAAAGATGTTGACCAAGGGCCTCTATCAGGTAGTTGCAAGTCTGTACCCGCTTCCGTAGAATGCCATTGGTCTTCTGCACGCTCAAAAGCGAGTATATCCTGGTCGTCATTCAAATCTGGACCTCCCCAAGGTACTCTTCGCCCGTATATAGTGCAGCTGAGAAGGACCGGGAATTGTCCCTTTGGGTGCAGGGGGAGGTAGACGTCGGCTAAAACATATCCACCATCGGGGGATGGTATTTGCAAGTCTCTCAGGACCTTGAATCCTGCTTTCTCACGGCGAAGATGGTTTCGCGTGTGGTGGACAGATTTGGGACGTAGACACAGTATATCGCAGATCTTATGGAGAGGCCCATCCAGGTCATCGTAATTCTCAGAATCCAGGTTGATCTCATCCTTGTGCTGATTTATCGCAGCTTCAATCTGACCTGGACGTGTTAAAAGGCGACTATCACTCAAGTGAAAAATAAAATTTATGTAAATTTGAGACTTACGTGATGGTCAATGCGAATCGGTGTTTCGAACCCCTCCCCAACGGACAGACTGAACAGCAGCCGCGCTCGGTTCACCGACCTTGGATGAAAAGTCGAGACGCCATTTGGAATTAGATCAGAAATGGTCGTAACGGGCCGGCCCTCACAGTGACCCAGGACAAGCTCGCCAATAGAGAAAGTCACTTGTGCCCCTGGGATATAAGTGTATTCGAATTCATCAGATGTAGTGCCTTTGATATTCTCACTCGAATAAGACAGGCCCACGACATCGACAAAAACTCCAGTATTGGCCATGGTCATTGATGAGCAAGTAATGGAAAAGATATGATGGAGAGTGTAAATAGATCATCAGAATTTTTCTGGACGCACTTGTCTAGAATGCCATATATATGAAATCTGTCATCAGAGTGGTTCAGATGTTCACTGGCCGGTGAATTTCCTAGTATAGATAATACACCTAACGAGCACCATACATTCCGCGAATTCCAAAGCCGATCAGTGCCCCGCCGTGCCCGAGGCCCTGTACAAAAATTTCCGGGATATCTACAAATACGGATTAGTTCGTCGTAATCACCATTGCACCCAGCGAGGGCCGGAATTCCTACAGTGGCTTCGGATGATCTACATCTCTTTCCCCGAGACCTTCATTCGTATCTTGGGGGACCCGCTTTCTCCCCAGAGAACCATAACCACTGCCGAACGCTGGAAACTCAATGCGGAGCACCCATCCGATTAGCACGTGCCCAAATCAACTGGACTAGTTTTTTTCAACCTGAATCGAGCATGGTCCGTCGGTATAGTAGTGTACAGATTTTGGGAAGTCTGCATTCTCTACACTCTGGATTCAAGGATGGAACCACCAAAGGGACGTAAATTGACCTTCTGAGGCCACTGTTGGCAGAGTCCATAGAAATGGCAGTTATAGGAGCCCAAAGGGAGCTAGATATCAACTGTTTTGCATGCAACATAGTGATATGCAGCAGAAACCGAACTAAAATATCAGCTGTTGATATGCTTCGCAGTGGGTACGCATTGAGAACCGCAAAGTCAGCGCTATATGAGTCAATTTGTTTTAGGTTGCTTGATCAAGAAAGTCACGAAGGACGCCGGGCACACAGAAATCCTGATTAAAAACAGCCTGCGAATGCAGTATCTAAGTAACAAAGGTGGAAGAGCGAGTGAACAAATAGGTCTGATATAGGCGGAAGAAAATGAAGAAAAAAGCAAACTTCCTAGAAGGGGCCCGATTAAACATCAAAGGGGAAACATCCATCACATATTGCTCGCCAAATCAGATTCCATGATTGGATGCGCAACCTTACAGCAAACCAAATCTCATGTTGTTCTGTTTGCGTGCATCATTGCTTCCAAAAATGACCTTATCAGACCATTCCGTGCCGAGTCCTCATCACAAATCGTAGTTTTGACTGCCTCCAATCTCAAGCGGCTGTCTCTCAGAAGTTTTGCAACATCTTTCCACTCAAAGAGCTTCTGTCCACTAGAGCTGTTCCTAGCATTTTCTGTGATATCAGCAGGGATGTCAATTTTGCAGAGATAGCCATTCTCTTTGCGAATGACACCGTCGACAATGACTGTTCGGACATCCCGCACCGAGCTGTGGAGTATAATAGCTGCGATAGGATCAACGTCACTGGCGGGAGTCATTGTCGGCGTTTGACCTTGGAAGATCACAATGTCCGCCTTCTTTCCCACCGTAAGACTCCCAATCTCGTCTCCAAGGCTGATAGCCCGCGCTCCAAGTATCGTGCCAAGATTGAACGCATCCTCGGCTTTAGGACCTATGGTGCCGTCCCAGGTGCCATTCTTCATATTTTCTGCCATCTGCCGCGCGCGCGTAGTCTGCAGGGCCGTGCTTGCCTGCGCAGGTATGGATGAAGTACAGATGCTATTAGAATCGGTGCCAATGGATGAGAGTGGTAAAAAGTCTGGTTCGAGGCAGATCGGATAACCGTGGCCCATCTGTACTTCTGACAAGGGGGTACTCGAAAGATGGACACCTGCAGTTTCAATCCACTGCAGCTCCTCTCGTGTAATGTTATTACCATGAGACAGCAAGACATCAGGCCCGAGAAGTCCGTTGTCGTTCAGTATTGCCACAGCGGATGGCATGTCTTTAGTAACAACAGGTTAGTGGTATGTACAACCAGTAACGATGCGGGAAAACGAGAAATAGAAGCAGGAATAAACTCACTGTCCATCATGCTTACTCGAGTTATATGAGATGTGATCAAGTGCACTCCATGTTCACGGGCTTCGTTGAAAGCGTCTTTTAGCACTTTCGGTTGAACAAACATCGTATCGATCGCGAAACCGAGTCTGGCCCTTCCATTAGGACCAAATGGTTGTTCATGAGCTAGTTTCCGGAAATTGTTCATTTCTGTGTCGAGACAGATATCATGATCGAGTTTGAGTTCTGGCTGCCAAGTGGAGACGCGTGGGTGCACACAGTAACAGTACACAGATCGAATGCCTGAGGCAATTTGCCCGCGGATTGCCTCTTCGTCTAAGGCGGGTCAGTAAAACATGGAATGCATACGCATATAGTAGAATCATGAGGAGTAAGGCCTTACTATGCTGGGAAGAGTAATTGACATGTGCATGATCAACAACAGTAGTTGTTCCGGAATCGATTGCCTCCATACAGCTCGCCAGAACACCGCAGAAGACATCATGTGGCCTATAGTGAGAGCTAGCGAGATTTCCTTTCGTTTGTTAGTCTTCGGAAACCATAGTCAAGGGCGTTTGACACTTGACTGTACCGGAATGGTAGTAATCTAGTAATATTTGATCACAATGGAGACCTTTCTGTTGAGATTGCCACAAATGTCTGTGGGTATCAATGAATCCAGGGGAGACCAGGCTGTCTGCACAGTCAATTATCTGGGTTCCTGGCGGAGGCTGAATATCATCATCAATTCGAGAGATACGGTCATTTTGAATCAACAGATCGGATTTCTTCGGAATGACATGGTCATGTTCGTCATGTATGAGTAGTGTCCCTCCCCTTAAGAGGATATACGATAGCTTGTTGTCCATTTGCATTTTCGTATTAGATCGTAAAGATTCAATCAAAATGCGTGGGTTTGAGACGATGTGCAGCTTACATACCATCAAAAATGCTACCAGCTATAAATACCCTTTCCATTCAACGTAGAATGCAGAGAAATAATTTTTGGTGCATGATCGTTGGACTAGTGTTCCGGATCACCAATTCGGTTATACTCCGTAATGGGAAATAACCCGTAAATCAGTCGGGTGAAGTTTTCTTTACAATGCTAGCGTCGCGAAGGCACTATTCTATTGTGCGGCAAATATTCCGTTTCTCGAATCATTACTACATCGAGTATCTCTGTCTGGAGAACGATTTTCCCATTCAATCAAATAACTATGCTATAGATGATGTATAAATTTGATAGTTCGAACCCACTGCTGGCGAAAGTCAGTGTTTTTAAAACAAAGCTACTGCGCCCGCAACCTTAATCTTCCAACATTGTTGACATCCCGAATTCTTCGATTTCAACGAAACCTTATCGACATGGCTGCTCCAAGTGACATTAAGATTGAAAATCTAACCGGAACATGGATGCTGGTGGGTGGCTCCAGCTATATCTTACTTATCTACTAAGTTTCACTTGGCTGTTAGATACTTATACTGACCTTTACGGTACATTCAGGACAAACAACTCTCCACCGATTCCGATCCGCTTCTTGCTCTGGTATATTCAGCAACACAATATCTTCCTCTGCTTACTGACTTTTTACAGCAAGGAGTGAATTGGGTCGTGCGAAAGGCCATTGGTATGACTGAAGTCACCATGAAAATGAAACAATTCGAAGGCTCCAGTCCTGGCACTGGCAGTGCGGTTACCCAAATTGCGATCAGCCAGACAGCCAACGTGAACTTGGGCGGGACCTCCGAAAGTCGCTATCTGGACTGGCAGGAATATCCTCAAGAAGACCACATCTTTGGGAAAACGGTAGTTCAATCTCGATTTATCGGCAACTCAAACCAGGCGGCGAAATCTGTACCGTGTGTACATATCCGGACGGAGATTAATGACCCAGAAGTTTTGAAATTTCTGCGAGGAGAAATTGATGAGAGCTACGCGCCTTGCGATGGCTTTCTTGTTGAGAAATCCCAAGCCACTGAACCTCTTGAAGGTGGAGAAGACGGCTTATGGATCCATGTGGTGATTCGTAGCCATGAACCGAAGTGGATCGCAGAACAGGCAAGTGATGGAATCTATCCTAGCTGCCGGAGCTAAATTCAACAGTACCAAAAATCATTGAGTCTAATTGTTATGAATAGGTCTGGGGTTTTGAAAGGATTGACGGGCAGCGTCGCTACGTTCGTCGCACTTTGATGTCGGGCATTAAGGACGATTATCGGATGGGACGACTGGTATACCGTTTTGTGGACGGAAAGTGTGACTGAGTTATAATGTATGTGGAAGGAGAACATAGTATCAATCTATGAAGCTCTAGCTCGAGGTAAAACCCTGGAGAAACCGCCCAGGAATGGAACTAGATAGGCTCCGTTCGCAGGCCTCCCATCACTTCTAGTATTTATTTTTCAGTGTTTTGTGGCCACCTATGCAATTGATCCCTTTTCGGGGCAACAATAACACTTGAAGTGGTGGGAACGTCCGAGAAGCACTCGAAATAAGTGTATACTTGTACCGGACTGGTACAGCAGGTCACCACCAATTGTAAATCTAACGAAAGAAGGCCCAGAATGACTTTTAGAAATAGAGATCTTCCAAGGTATCCCTAATGGTGACATAGGCAATATTGGTCCGAAAACGCCATCATCTAATCTTCATTACTTTTATCTGTGAAATTCGAATTGATTAAGGATTTGTATGGTAAGGATTCTTGGCAAAATTGATTATGTCATGAGGATACTTACATAATTTGTGGTGCGGCTAGTAAACCTTGTGGTGTCGGTAACAATTCCCGCCAGTAGTTAGTTAACGTAATCAACGGCCGATCTGGACACACGGCCGAGCTGGACACCCCAAAACACCATATTAAACGCGATAAATTACAACTTCATATCTTAACAACCAGATAATTTTATGATGAAATATCAAGGTTTCATAATTTAAATAGTATTTCTAGGTCACTGGCATATTTCAAGGAAATCAATTAAAGTATTGATAGAGATATATGGATTCAAGTTTGAAAGGGCAAAAATACGGTGTATTTTAAGGTAACGTATCTAAATTATAGTCTAAATGGCTTAAAAATCTATGTAGGTTGTTCCGGCAGCTTAATAAATGTATAACCTTTAATTTCAATCGAAATGAACCCCTGGTTGTTGAAATATCGATGAATCAAAATGTAGTATTTAGTATGGTGTTTTGGGGTGTCCAGCTCGGCCGTGTGTCCAGATCGGCCGTGGAGTACGTTAGTAAAAGCTGCGGTGTCCCTAGTGATTCCCTGAGCAGCTCCGTCTGATCAGGGGCGTGCTCAATTCTACCCAGTGAGCAAAAGCGGCGAGGGGGTGAGCACTAGAACGGAAGAAGGGCGCCAAGCGTTGCCAGACATTTTCCGGTATATATGTACTCCCATTCAAACAGCCCGACCTAGCTGCTTAGGCACAGTAATCTTAACTCCAAGAGTCCTTGCCGCGTGATACACCCAGTCAGCCTGACGGAGGAACTGGCGTGCCAACAGAACAGCATCAGCTTGAGCATTCGAGCCTGCCACCATTGACTCCGCCGTATGCGCTTCCACATCCAAATCAGACCCCTGCACAAGTTGACTCGCGGCCTTAGCCTCCGTGATCAATCCCACAGCCCCGACCAAAGTCTTCTGACCAGCCTGTCGAATTTCTTTCCGGATCCGACCAGCAAGATCAATCTGGTAGTTGGTGTGAGGCTCAATAGTCTGATTTTTATGATTTCCCCCGGAGCTAACATCAAGGAAATCAATTCCCAGATCGGGAAGGATCTTAGCAAGTTTGATCGACTCCTCCATATCCCAGAATCCCTCGAATTTGCCATCAAGCCACTCCGTCGCGCTGATGCGGAGGAATAGAGGCATATCCGCTGGAATAATAGCACGGATGGCAGCTGCAACCTCACGCAGGAGACGCGTTCGGTTCTCGAATGACCCGCCATATTTGTCGGTGCGCTTGTTGGTCACGGGGCTTAAGAATTGACTGAGAAGATACCCATGTGCGCCGTGGATTTCAATCGTGTCAATGCCAGCCTTGACAGCCAACTCGGCACTTTGCGCAAACGCCTTGACTACATCTTCCACCTCGGCGGTACTCAGTTCGCGAGGAGCCCAGAACGCATCACCAGGAGCCCAAATCTGTTCCTCACCACCAGACGGTCCGACAACATCATGCGGCCATCCGCCTGCAGCCTCCTCTGCCCGAAGACTGCGCTTACCAGCCTCGGCAGCAACCCAGGGTGGCATCGTACTCGCCTTACGACCCGCATGAGCCAGCTGAATCGCAATCTTAGCACCCTGGCTATGAACAAAGTCCACAACGCGCTTCAGACCCTTGAATTGCTCCGACTCTGTGCCCTGCTGCCAAAGGCCTGAATCATGGGGTGAAATACGACCATTGGCTTGCACGGATGTTGCCTCGATGATAACCAGGCCTACGCCCTTGAGAGCGAGGTGGCCGAGGTGAGCGATGTGGTAGTCTGTTAATGCGCCGACAGAGGGCGAGGAGGGGTCGGATTCGCAGGAGTACATGCACATGGGTGCGACCATGATTCGGTTTTTCAGTGTTAATTGCCGAATCTGGAGGGGTCGGAATAGAGTGGGTGTTTCTGGGCTTGTTGGCGATGTTGATGCCCCGCCGTTATTGGCCGGTGTGAAATATGGTAGGCCTTCTCGAGGGAGGACCCCATTATTACCGAGAGAGCCCATGGTTGGATGTAAGGATAAAGTGGGTGGTAATTGAAATAGGCGATAGGAAGAAAGGCACCCGCGGCTCAAAGATCAAAAGGAAGATGTGGTAACTCAACAATTGGCAATGTCGACGTTGACGTTGTTCATAGGGTCTTTATAGATCTTTCTCAAAAATCCATGGTCACCTTTCATGCTTGGTAAGCAATTAGCTTAGAGATGACCCTACAGGAATGTCTTTCGCGTGCGACTCGCCTATTGGATGGACGTGGTTATCAGAGAGACAATTGGTCAGATTTCAGGCCCACTCGGCAACTTCTCCGAACTGAACCCCTCTAAGGATAGGGGATTTGTCTTTCTCCGAATTGGGGCACCGGGTAATCGGCTACGGCTACTTTTTGGGACCTACGAATTGGGGTATATGATAAATACACTATGTGTAAGCACGAAGAGATAGAAATTTCAAATAAGTGGCAGCATTGGAAGAATTACCAAATCACGAAAGAAGGAAACGAGGTAGCCAAGACGGCACGCAAATACCCGTGATAGCGAGCCTGGATACCCCAAGCAGGCAGCAGGTACCACGAAGCCATGACGGCTTCAACTAAACCCTCGAGAGTATAAGAGTCCATGCCCAGAAAACATCCGATTATCCAATTTCCTCCGATTAAATCCTCCAAGATTATTATATGTCCACACAAGCGAGCTCAGTTGGTCTCCTTTCCCTCCGCCTCGTCGGCAGTCGCGATGATCGCCGGCGGCTTGGGGATGTTCTGGCGGAAGATATGACGCTTGATGAAGTATGGGAGCCAGACGGTCAGCTCGTGGCTGATGAATTTGCTGGTGGGGACGGAGAAGACCTCTGTGGGAGATGTAGATGTTAGTGGGGGATTCGACCAGGGGAGTTTGAATGCCGGGTTCGGGTTTTTGGTTCACTTACGGTCCAATTCTTCCAGGGTAAGCTGCTTGGTTTCTCTGACGAAGCAGAAGATCATGAACCACGCGACAAGATTGAGTCCGGCGTAGAAGCCGACTATAACTGGGTTAGTAATGTATCGCGGGAGTAGGCAGTGGGGGTGTACTTACAGGCCCCGGTGGGAGTCATCACGGTCTTCATGCGGGGGAAGGTCAAGCTGAGAATACCAGCTGCCAGAATCTGTTAGCAAGATCACTGTATCATTCGAGGCTTCATAATCTTACCAAAGGTGTTGTTAATGCACACGGCCCAGGCCATGCCCTGCTCACGCTGGATGGTGGGGAAAACTTCGGCGGAGTACTGGAAAGCCACGGGGCCTTCACCCAGCGAGTAACAGATGGTGAAGAGGTAGACAAAGCTGGGGGACAAGATTAGTCGGGGACCGGGCTGTATACTCCCCATGGAAAACTTACAGGACAACAGGTCCAATGTGCTCTCCTCGGCTGCGGTGATCGTCTGAATTCAGCAGAGACAGACCAGCAGCCAAAAGGAAGATACACATCAGAGGGAAGGTCTTTATAGGAGAAGTTGTTAGTCAAATCCAAGTTGTATTGCCAAGAATAACTTACAATCAATGTCAGAGTTCGTCGACCCTTGGTGTCGATGAGGAACAGTGTGGGAATGGTTGACACGACCTGGATGGCACCATAGCCAAGGGAGGCGTACAAGGCCTGGACTGGGGTATAACCAACATTCTCGAAGATAGTTGAACTGTAGAACGAGATGACTGCAAGATGTTAGATAGGACCATGGGCTGAGAACGACAGACCACATACTGTTAATACCGCACATCTGCTGTGCAATCATGACAGTCGAAGCACCGTAGTTGGCTCGGCGGATTCTAGGCACGGTGAACAAGTCCCGCATACGGGAGAAGTAGCCTGCACCTCGGGCCTCCTTCAATTCCTCCTCATAAATGACCCACGAGTAGTAAAAGTCTCGTGCACCAATGATTGGATGAGCTCGGAGCTTGCACATAGATCGGAAGGCTTTGGCGTGCTTGCCGTGCTTCATGAGCCAACGAGGAGACTCGGGGCAAAAGAAGATGCCAATCATCAGGACAAAAGACGGAATGAAAGCCGAGCCGAGTTGCAGACGCCAAGAGATATCACCAGTGTCCTTGACAATCACGTTGGCACAGAAACCCAAGAAGATACCGGCCACAACCCAAAGCTGCCAGAACATGACCAAGGCACCACGAATTCGGTGTGGAGCCATCTCCGCCGAGTAGATCGGGACTGTAGCATTCTTTGCACCGATGCCAATACCCATGATGAAACGCGCGGCAAATAGTCCTTGCCATGTCTTTGCGAATCCGGAACCAATCGGGGTAGCAGTGAGACAGGCAGCGGTCAGGAAAATTTCACCTCTACGACCCAAGTAGTGATTAAGTGGATCAACAATGAAAGCACCACTGCGAGCAATATTAGTTTTGTTTCCGCTGGAACCAAAAGAATGAAAGCCACAAAGATACTCACATGAGACCAGCAGTCAAGAAGATGATAGAGTTGACAAGACCAACGATCCACTCATCACGTCCCTTGCCATTGATACCCAGCGCCACGGGGAACGACAGGTTAGCGCCGTTAGAACCGGTCTGATCCCAACCTTGTGTAGCAGCGCCAACGGCACACAGCGCGATCGAGTACCACAGCATCCACGGTCCGTGCCACTTATGGTCCCGCTCGTAGATCAGGGCATCGCGCTCATCCTCCTGCAGCTCGACGAGGTCCTCGAACTCCTTGGGGCTGCGAGCAACCAGGGCAGCACGGCCAAACAGGTCGGCGTGCTCGGACATACCGTGCAGTTCAGCGAATCCACGAGCATCCTCGTAGACTTGCTCCTTGGGGTAGCGCTGTAGAGAAAGAAACGGTCAGTATGAATTTTGAGGCCTATCTGATGGAGCGCGACAAGCTCGTCTTGGAGTGAAATCTTGGCAAAGCTTACCTTCAGAGGGTTGACGACGATGTTGAGAGCAGTCGCGTGTCCAGACTGAGGGCGCTCATCGGTCTTGGTGGTCACAGGAGCCTGAGCCACGAACTCATCGTGGGCCAAAGGATCCTTGCCAGTAAGTTCTTTTTCCTTCGCGTCCATGATGGGCGAGGAGTTATCTGGCAATTGTTGAAAATGTGCAGTCAAAAAATGATGCTGGGAATGGGAAGATGATGGTGAGGGGAAAGTTGAGGAGGAGAGGTGTGGAAGAGGAAAGGTGATGCAGCTCTGAGAAAAAAAGCAAAGCAAACACGACCAGGCTTCTCTTCTGTTCTTAATCTTCCAATTGACCACGAGTGATTCAGTCGGCACACAAAAACCCCGTGGGGGAAGAACAAATAATCGGCGACTCCACCGCATTTAAAGCTTCGGCCTTGACCAACGCCCCGTGGGGTAAAAGGCACAAACAGTCGTCAATCACTACTGCTTAGTCTTCCACACTCCTCCACTCTCCTGATCCGGCCCAAACGAAAGCAAAAAAAAAAGAGTCACACCTGGCGCCATCCTTAGTGCATACTCCTACTGGATAGGTTCACTTTTGCCCCAGTTTCCCGCACGGGCTGGAATTGGGGTCAGCGATGGCCTATTGGGAAACTTTGGAAGAGGATCACCGCACGACCCGGTCAGCCCAAGTCAGCCAAGGTCAGCCACCGGCCGCCCCCCATCCTTGTATAATTGCGCCAGTTTTTTAGGGTTTGGATTGTTTACGAGGGGGCTCTAAGAGTCTATTGATATCGTCGAAAGCCAAAAAAAAGCTGATCTGGAATTACAGAATTGGGAAACTTCCCCCCATCTCGATACCACATTCCATCCATCTAAAGTCTATCCACATTCCTGATCGATCAGCGCCCCGAGAAACGTGGGCTGCATGGCTGTCTGCACCTGGCCATGTGGTGTCGGATTGGACGGAATCCTCCTCGGCAGCCCCACTGACTTGCGCTCAAAGCGTATGCGGGGGGGTTAAGAATTCAACAGGATGAGCTCAGGTGCAGGTCAAGTCCGAGGCCAAGAGCTTGGGATGGGCAAATCTCTGGAACCTTCCATTGGTCATTAAGAGACTTGCCTGGGGGGCCTATTCCGGCGTGGAGCAACACTGGGACACTGTGACTCCATCGAATCCTACGACAAACGCCCGGTCTTTGCTACACTGCACATTCACGGGGCGTTTGAATGCTCCTGCACCTGCGTCTAAAAGAAAAGAGCTATCGATTGACTCTGATCATGGATGTGATCACGATTTCACAGCATGGACCACCCCCGACCGGCCCCGGCACGGCAACTTCAGCCCCATGGGCTTTGAGTCTGGTGATTTCGGTTGGATCGCTGGTCCCGGCAGATAGGCGTTTCAACGTGGCTTGGTGGCTGAACTTAGGTTACATTTGAAATCAAGTATACATCAACAGCAAGGGATAAATCCGATGTCCCACTGACGTCTTTGGCCATGCACCTTTTCCTTAGCTGGGACTATTAATGCCCCTCAATTGGTGGGTAACAGGTGACTGGTCATGCCATGTGCTTTGCTGGTTATGGTTTAGGGAGGACAGTTCAGTACATACATCATCAGAAATTGTCCTCGGTTTACCCGGGAGAAATACAGGACCGGCTTCGGGGGTCTGGCTCTTCTTCTTTATTAATCCGGGCGCATCCCACCTACCAAATCCGGATACCTTTCTATCAACTGCTCTAGTCCTTGAGAAGGTTCAGGGTATCTCCGCAGTTCCCCCAGCGGGGAAATTCCGGAGAAGGAAGCGTTTTAGAGAAACCACGATCGAAAGAATCAGGACCAGGAAGGGATCTACACTCATCTATGCCTCAGGCACCAACATCAAGTCCTCGCCAATATTCTTAGCTGGGAATAAGCATCAGTCAATAATCCTAAGTGACTGGAAGGTTCAAGAAAAACTAATAAAACATCGTCTTAGGCGTCTGTTTGAAATGGATAGCTCTTGAATCGTATGAGTCAAGCAGCCCAATGAGAAAGTACTGTATTGTCAGTATCTCCAAGTACTGATTGATGGACTGATCTCATTCGGCTTCTGTTATCATCAATTTGTCAGGGGTTTCTCGGTTCTTATAAGTGGTTGTCTCTCTACCAAACCCGAAATCATGTATCATTTTAAAACTAATTGGAAACCTTTAAAATCTGTCGCGAGGATTCTAATCAGGCCAGAAACTTGTGACGCGTCGGTGTGGGAGGCCTAGTTTTTAGTCCGTCTCCACATTTCGAAGTTGACCGACTCCTAATCTCTTTCGCATGCGTCGCCTTCATGCTCCATTATTCTTAACTAGCCTGGCTTCATGCGGTCGCATATATCACTCTAACAGTTGCCCCGCTTATAGTATGAAATGGACTCGGTGTAGCCGAGTGGCTCAAAGCCGAAAATCGGAGAATCACGGTTTACTTTTCGGTCGGTGGTCGGGAAAGATAGAAGGCCGAACAATTGAAGGCAGCATAGTAGACAGTACCCTACATACGATTTCATAGAAGCCAATGAGTTACCATGGACCTCGGTATACCGACTTGAGCACTAATAATAACACTGATGCCCTATTGAGTTAGACCGCTTCAACTATCCTTGTAAATCAAGCAATTAGGCCCTTTGATCTGATATCCAGCATCCTGCATTGAATACTGGGTATCGTTACTAGATATTATCATCGAACATACCCTTAGTTGCCTGCTCATGTATAATTGAAGCAGCAGAGCAATATTAGAGCTATCCAGACGCTCATGTGGAAGTCACACAACAAGAAACTTGATGTACATACAGTAGGACTCGACCACCGGCCATACACCTACCACAGCAATGATTCCCTAGCAGTCTAATTAAAGATGCAGCTATCCGCCCCCAAGCTTAGCTCCAGTCCAGGACTGGGATCCGCCAAGCAGGGGCCGATTCAAGAAATACCGGGCCCAAGAGCTAACCCTGCCAATCACGTTTTCAGATCCGCTTGACGTTGCCGCAAGTCGTTCCCTGCAAGCTATGTTTCGCCTCGGCTGATCGCCGTAGTGTTGTCACGATGCTCCGGCTAATATCGATCTACAAAAGCTAAGCTAAGCCATGCGGCTAATATTGAGATCTACGGGAGTAGGCCGGCCGCCAAGCGAGTCGTTCAGGTGTTTTGGGTCTTGGGGTTACGGTTATTGGTTCTAGAAATAGTATTCTAGTATTATCTTGTTAGACGACACTTCATTTATTCATTTTGGGTATACGATATTGTCTTGTCGATGGAACCTGACCTCATCGTTGTCTAATTCTCCCTAGCTGAGAGGTACTTAGCATTTTTGGTATGTATAAAATAGAGATAGATAGGAAGGTTTAGGATGTAAACTTTATAGATTGATCGAGGATTAGCATATTTTCCTACTGGAAATATCATTCAAGTGACTGCGAAGGTAAAGAATGGCCAGGCTACAGTGGTTGTGCCAGACAGCGAGGTTGTTGTTGTGACATTCAATTAATGTGGTTGGCATTTTTGCAAAGCATCTAAAAGACTTGGCACTTTGAATTAGATTGACTTCATACATTGATTTCAAATCCAGTTTCATTGATACAAATCCGATACTATCTACAAAATAGCAGTAGCATTTGCATGGCTGCCAACCCCTCCTGTCAGACCACTCATGATTAGCATCCTACCAAACAAAGATCAAGATTCAAGTTCTTACCAGGCATATTCGCAGGCGCACTCGTCATGAAAAAAGTCCACTTCCCCCGCTCCCGACACTTCTCAGCCAATCTCTCCAAATCCCACATCTCACCAATCGGACAACCCCAAAGCGCCAACAGACTCTGATGCAAAAAGTCCATCTGAGGAACAGGCCAAACCTCAAACGTCGGCGAATCACCCGCCACACCCGCAAAGTAACAATCATGCAGCCAGTCCCGAACAGCCTGGTCACGGGAGACGCCTGCAAAGGCCAGATCATCGTGAGTACGTGTCGCCGCTGTGTAGCGCTCCTCTGGGCTAATCTGGTGGTACTTCTCGACGAAGCCGGAGCGGATTAGTAGGAAATCACCGACGCGGATGTCGCCTCCCTCGGATTCGGGGCGGATGTCGAGGCCTTGGGAGGCGGCGCAGGCTTTTAGGTCATCTAGTGTGATGGCGTGGGATGTGTATGGGTCGTAGGGCTTGTTGTGGGTTAGGGCGTAGTGGCGGTAGTCGAGGAGGATGCCTCGGCCGGCGATGCCGTGGTCTGCCCAGTGGTGGATGCTGCAACGGAGGTTTGGGTTTTCGCCGAAGAAGTCTTTGCTTGTGGCCTATAAGAAGGGATTAGCTTTTTGAAAGTAGGAAGAGGCGCACTGAGGTATTACCTTGTTATAGAACAGCTTGGTTGGAATGTGGGAGAACTAGATTGTAATCAGTGTTTGAGCGAGTAATTCCTGCTTGCCAATGACTTACATGGCGGAAGCCGTCCCATTGAGTGCCACTCTGAGTATTGAGAGAGTAGCAGTCATCATATGAGATATCTTCAGCGATGGTCTTGTAGCTATGCTGGAAGGTTTCGCGATTGAACGCAGGCTTCTCGGGCACATTAAGAGGAAGACTATTGAACAGTCAGTCCAATCCCACCGATGTATCTCCAGGCTTTCTCGTGACATACTCGAGTCGCACCATCTCTCCTGTGAGGATCTCTTGCGCGGACGCCTTGACCCGCTGCGGTGTCAAAAGGTTCAATCGTCCCAGCTGTTCCACTTTCGTTAGCGGTTGCCTTCAACTGCAACTGTCCATTGTCGGCTATACCTGATCATCTTCTCCCCACACCCAAGCCGCACCCTCAGGCGCACCCGGCAGCTGAGGCAAATCCTTCCGCGACGGAAACCTGGTACAATTGGGGTTCCAGGGTAGCTGGTCTGGAGCTTGAGCAGTCTCAGTCATTGTATCGGATAATATCCTCTGATCTATATGAGCAGATATCGCAGAGAGTCTCTTGGAAGAAGTTCCAGACGCCATCGTGGTAAAATATCTGAACGGATCAAGGGAAGCATGAACTCAAATTCAGTTGGTCCAGGAGACTGGGAAGCTACAACCGACTCGTTTATATGGGACGAGTGGATCGATCGGCTATGGAGTGCGGGGAGAAGAGGGCTGGTTCTTCGCTCAGAGCTTCCTGCCGAGGATGTAGATAGGTCGGGGTTATTCCATAGTATACTTGCAAAGTCTGTATTTGTCAAGGTTCTAGAGGAGTCGAAATGGTGATATACTCATAAGTTCATATTCTATCTTCTCAACAGGTCTGGTGGTTATCATCCATGTCCCTGGGACTACGAACATCATCTTACGTGTTGCTTGCAGACGACTTGAATCAACCTGAGTGGATGCGTGGCCTGGAAGCTTCTCCGCATTTTCTCTCCACTAGGATGACGTCCCACATTTGGCAGACAAATCCGCACCTTGTCTGACCGGAGATAACAGGCATGTTAAGAAGAACAGGTAACACTAGCTTCATGTAACCTTGCAGCTAAAAAGCTTGATCAATTTTACAAGACACCATGTACATACAGATTTACAGGTACATTGGTGAATAGACCAAAGCGGTCCTCTTTTTCTTTGTTTTGCTGGAGCTATCCTCCAAAAGTATGGTTATGATACATTTGCATTGAAAACGGACTGGCCCTTAGACCAATAGCCGACCTTAACCGAAGAACCATGCGCTTGTGTCCCAGATTGGCATTGAGCACATTCGAGTCTCCTCACATCGTATCACTTGCTTGAAAAGCCATCACACAAAAAGTGTGAGATATCCACCCAGAAATATTGGATATCAGGAGTCGACGCTGAAGAGGGGGGTATGCTTGACAGAAAAAAAGAGATCGGAAAGGCAGAAAACAAAGGACGTGGACGTAAAACACCAGTTGCCTGTCGCAGAAGAAAAAAAAAAGATATTGTCGTATTGCCATCCCAGAATGCCCAGTTCCATGATTTCATTCCCATTGCGCCGAAGAGACGAAAAAGATTCAAGCATGATCAATCGTTTCGCTCATAGGTTTGGATAACCCACAAGGTGAAGAGACAGAAAAAAAAAAAAAAAGGAAAAAGACATAGCAATCATTTAGGAAAATGCGAAATGGGAGAGATGGCCTGATTTAAACCTGCGAGGGCACGCCGGTGGATTGCGAAGGAGGACGACCGCCGCGAGAACCACCACGGCCACCATAGCCACGGTTGTTGTTGAAGCCGCGACCGCGACCTCCATAGCCACGGCCACCGCGTCCACCACGACCATAGCCGCCACGTCCACGGCCACGATAGCCGTCAACGCTACCTTGGCCAAAGGTTTCAATGTTGCGCTTCTCCTCCTCACCGCGCCATTCACGGCCGCCAACGCGGTTGGTGTTCTCCTCGCGGTCACGAGCCTCACTGGAGATGTTGTCGAAGAAAGAGGCAGAGCGATTGTAAAGGTTGTGGGAAGTTGCGGCTGCAGGATCATTGACCTCAGCCTCGGGCTGGTGGGCAACATCGTGGGACTCGGCGTCAGCGGCAGGGGACCCGGTGGCAATAGCCTCCTTGATCAGATCCTGCTTGTTGAACTTGGCATTGGCAGTCGCAAAGTCATAGTCGGACTCGGGAACTTCGATCTTCTTGGATGGAGCGCGAACGCCGCCACGACCGCCACGAGGGTGCTGCTGATGCTGATGCTGGGGGTGGTGAGGGTGATGCGGGTGCTGCTGGTGCTGTTGGTGACCACCGCGAGGAGCACGAGGACCACCGTAGGGTTGCATATCGTTCATCTTGCGAGAAAGAGCGTCAACCGAGGCATCCTGGCCGGGCTTCTTCTGAGCACCGGGCTGAGGCAGCTTGGCCATCGCTGCCGCAACGGCCTGAGAGGCTGCAGCGGTGGCATCGACTGGAGCAACACTGTGGGGAGGAGCGACAGGTCGTGGCGCAGCCATTGGGATAGCTGGCATAACGCGGCCGCTCTTCTGAGCTGCGGCAGCAGGTCCGGATCCGTGCACGGCCTCCGCTACAGTAGGCTTAGACTCAACGGGTGGAGTGGGCGCATTTTGAGCGGCGGGGGTCGCATTGCGGCTGGTGGGCTTCTGGTCTCCACCGGGCAGCTCGGACGTAGTCTGAGGAGTGGGCACACCGGGAGGACCTGGGCGCTGCTGAGGTGGTTGTCCAGGTGTACCATGGGGCATCTGGGGAGGGAACTGGCCAGGTCCTCCGGGAGGGAAGCCATGGCCAGGAGGAGGGAACCAGCCTGGAGGAGGAGCGCCATAAGGCATGTTGCCGGGAAAGCCGCCAGGACCACCAGGGCCAGGAGGGAACGGAGGTGGGGGCCCATTGAAGCGTTGTCCATAGGGTGGGTAGAATCCTTGCTGCGGGAAAGGCTGCTGTGGGGGGTATCCGGGAGGCGTCTGCTGAGCTCCCTGCGGGGGTTGTGAGGATGGTTGAGGAGGGAGGCCTGGGGCGGAAGATCCCATCGGAGGATTCGGCACAGGACCAGGTCGCGACATGTTCTATAATTGTCTCCGAGTCAGTAGGCCGAAAAAAAAGCACGAGCAGCAATGAACATGAGAGGAGATTGATCAATCAGAAGGAAGGCAACGGAAATATCGACACGGTTTTGCGCATTCCGAACAGGTCTGTGAGTTTACATCCGAATATATTTCATCATATGATCAATTGACCGACCGCGATGGAGCGGACAGGCTGATGATGGGCGCGAGGTGCAGGTGCGAAAAGAATCAGAGAACCAAAGGACATAGCAACTTACACCAAGGATAGCAGGGTCATCAGGAACCCGAGGAGGCTCTTGCTGTGTGTTCTCCTTAGTCTCCTCGTCGGCGATGCTGATGTCGCTCACATCGCTGCCACGGAAAACAATGTATTCGTAGACAGTGGAAGAGGGAGGAACCTCCTCCGCTGGGTTCTTGCGGCGGCCCTCAGTGCCGAAGGACTGCACATTCTCGAGTGCTATCGTGGACGCCTCGGGGTTGATCTCATGAAGGGTACCGACATAGCTGGGAGATAGTAAGCAACGAGCTCGTGGCATTGACAGTAATGCGGAGGACTCACCGAATCTCACTCTTGGAGATCAAGTTGAAACGCTGACTGCGAAATGTTAACTCCAGCCCAGCCACATAAACCCTGGTTCCGCCCGGGAGCTGCAGGTGACTGACCCTATCAAATGGTTCATATCCATCTTGGCGGGGGGCGCGGAATCGCGCAACGAGTGTGAAGAGTGAAGGAAAATCGAGGCGAAGGGAAAGCGCGGACGCAGGACGAAGGAGGGGTGGAGGAAATCGAGTGACGTGGAGGAAAGTGGGTAAGATGGGAAGGGAAGAGAAGAGAGAAGAAGCAAACTCTGGTGGTTTTGGTGGATTCGGGCTACGGCAGGCGGCAGAAGCTCGGTGAGCAGTTCTCCGGGTGGTGAATCGGAAGCTGTTTTTTGTGAGAGATTCAACCTTCCTTTAACCCCGTGGATAGTGAAGAGAAAGAGACAATCAAGAGAGAGCTTTGGTTTCTAAGATGACGACCTCTTCAAACCGTGATCACTTCTTCCAGACCTCGTGAGAACAATTACTACTCTAGTACCTCTCGATATATCACATTCCGTACTGACTCCCCCTCCTTACTTGCAGTGCTGCCTTAGATGACCAGGAGCGGAAAGAAGCCAAGTCCAAAAATGACAATGGCAATCCCATCAAGACACAGAGCAAGATTCTAGCTGTCTACCCAGACCCTTGGAATCAAGGATCCGTTTATGTTGCGCAAAGTAGTGGCGTGGTGAGGAGGGTCGTGTTGGCGGTATGTACTCAACTTCAGCTTCAGAGTACAGAGAAACCGGTGACTAATACTATTTACAGACAGGTGAGACTGCAGCCCTCTACAAGGGCCCCGAAGCTCCATTGACAAGCCTATGTCTCAGCCCTGACGGAAAGCTGCTGTTTGCCGGCTGCTGGGATAAGACCATCTGGAGCTGGGACGTGGTCTCCCGACAGCCTCGGCAGAGGTACGAAGGACACAGTGACTTTGTCAAGTCTGTGATTAGTGCGAGGCTTCAGGGCCAGGATGTGCTGATCTCCGGGGGTGCGGACGCCAAAATGTTTGTCTTCGACATTGCCAGCGGCGAGCGGACCGAGACATTCAAGGGCCACCTCCGCGGTATCTTGGACCTTCACATTGACCCCGAGACGGAGGAAGATCAGACGACTGTCTTCAGTGCTGGAAGTGATCGAGAAATCCGTCAATTCAAGCTCGTTGGTGGAGGCGACGAGGCCGAGCCCCTTCTTCCACACGAAACCAGTGTGAACAAGCTCTTCTTTGATGCAGATGGTGATATGTGGACCGCGTCCGCTGATAAGACGGCAAAGTGCTTGGTACGAGCTGATAGCTGGAAGGCTAACCTCACCTTGGAGCATCCTGATTTTGTGCGAGATATCCTTGTCTATGAGGCTGGAGGCTGGGTGGTAACTGCCTGTCGCGACGAGGAAGTTCGAGTATGGAATCGATCGGTAAGTCGTTCGATCCTGTCCTTGCAATTAGTGATGAACGCATATTAATATCATGCTAGACTGGTCAACTTCATCACACCTTCTCGGGCCATTTTGAAGAAGTTACTGGCCTGGCACTGGTTGGGTCAACTGTTGTTAGTGTGGCCATTGATGGCACCATTCGGCAATGGTCTCTTCGGCCCGAAGAACTGCAGCAGGCCGTGGACTTGGCTAAAAATGGCCCCACGGAAGAGGAAGAACCGAATGCTGAACCCATGCTCACAGAAGAGGAGGAGCGGGAGTTGGCTGAGTTGATGGGTGATGATTAGACATTGCGTTATGATACCCCAGACTAAGATATGAAGACGTGCATGATATAGTGTGTTAAAAAACATTGACAGAGTCCTAAGCTCACAGAGATGCCTTGCTATTTTCCCTTCTGGGTCAGATCCTTGCTACACTCTAGAGCATAGACTTCCACTCTAGTAAACACAAAATCTGACCAGATGAGTATAGACACGTGACCAGCTCGACACATGGTGACGTATGGGGCCGATCTCCCGTACTTTCCCCCTCCAAATCGACCAAATCGACCAAATCACCCCCAAAGCACCTCCAACCCACTCCCCAAGCTGAGCCCCGACCTCCCTGGCTGCATTTACCCCCACTTCCGGCCCTTGGACACCCGCCTAACCCCTGTGAGACCTTCCTCACATCTCGCCATTCATCCTCGAATTGCCCTTGGTAATTAGACTCGGACGCGGGGTAGTATCTGGTCCGTCTTAGCTCGGACCCAATCTTGCCGGATTCCGTTAGCACCTCCGACTTGGGCCGAGAGATAACGTGGTGGAAATTCACCCCGCAGACTTTCGAAATCTCGCCTCAAAAGCTTCGCCGAGCATGCAGTCGCAGCACGATATATCGGAAGCGGGACCGAAGATGGTCAACCGCCTGCAACAGAGCAGATCGCCATACGTGAGATTCGCCGACTATGCCTGCCCTGCCCTTGCAAGGAGCCGCGGGACGCTAACGGTCAACTAGGTGCGGGCGCACATGAACAACCCCGTCGCATGGCAGCTCTGGGACGCAGAGGCCATCGAGCTTGCTCAGAAGCATAATCGGATGATATTTCTCAGCATTGGGTATTCGGCTTGCCATTGTATGTGACCGATCGGGTCTAAGATTCTCGGCAGATAGCTGGCCAAGTGTATTAACGATTTGTAGGGTGCCATGTCATGGAGAAAGAGTCGTTCATGTCCCCCGAAGTCGCGACAATTCTCAACGAGTCATTTGTCCCAATTAAGGTCGATCGGGAGGAGCGCCCGGATATTGACGACATCTATATGAACTACGTCCAAGCGACTACCGGCTCAGGCGGCTGGCCGTTGAACGTCTTCCTTACCCCGGAGCTTGAGCCTGTCTTTGGTGGAACATACTGGCCAGGTCCAAGTTCCAGCACATCTCAAGGCCCAGGCACAACAGGTTTTGTGGAAATTTTGGAAAAATTGAGCGATGTCTGGCAGACACAGCAACAGCGCTGCTTGGAGAGCGCCAAGGATATCACGAAACAGTTGAGGGAGTTTGCCGAAGAAGGAACCCACTCTCAGCCCACTGGCCGTGAGGATGATGAAGATCTGGACATTGAACTTTTGGAAGAGGCTTATCAGCACTTTGTATCGCGATATGACTCCATCAACGGTGGCTTTGGTCGAGCGCCCAAATTTCCCACCCCTTCTAATCTTAGCTTTTTGCTGCGACTGGGCGCATACCCGAAGCAGATCCGGGATATCGTTGGACAAGAAGAGTGCGAGAAAGCGACCACCATGGCCGTCACAACTCTGGTGAACATGGCTCGGGGTGGCATTCGGGACCATATTGGGCATGGATTTTCCCGATATAGTGTCACGGCAGACTGGAGCCTGCCGCATTTTGAAAAGATGTTATATGATCAAGCACAGCTGTTGGATGTATATGTGGATGCGTTCCGATTCACCCATGACCCTGAACTGCTGGGTGCCGTCTATGACTTGGCTGCTTACTTGACGACCACCCCGCTGCAGTCGCCGACCGGAGGATTCCATTCCTCGGAGGATGCAGATAGCTACCCTAGTTCCAACGATACCGAAAAGCGAGAAGGTGCTTTCTACGTCTGGTCGCTCAAGGAGCTCACACAGGTTCTGGGTCCGCGAGACGGTCCAGTGTGTGCACGTCACTGGGGTGTGCTTCCAGATGGGAACGTTGCTGCCGAACATGATCCGCATGACGAGTTCATGAACCAAAACGTTTTATCTATCCAAGCCACGCCAAGCAAGCTCGCCAAGGAATTTGGGCTAAGCGAAGAAGAGGTGGTCAAGATAATTAAGGGTGGCAAGCAAAAGCTCCGTGACCACCGTGAGAAAACAAGAGGCTGGCCTGATCTAGACGATAAAATCATTGTTGCGTGGAATGGACTGGCGATCGGCGCGCTGGCCAAGTGCAGCGTCTTATTTGGAGAGATTGAGAGTTCCAAGGCGTTGCAGTGCCGCGAGGCCGCTTCTCGTGCTATCAGCTTTATCAAGGATCATCTGTTTGACAAGGCCACAGGAAAGCTGTGGCGCATCTGGCGGGATGGCAGCCGCGGTGACACTCCTGGCTTTGCCGATGACTATGCATACCTGACGAGCGGCCTACTCGATATGTACGAGGCGACCTTTGACGACAGCTATCTTCAATTTGCTGAGCGTCTTCAAAGTAAGGCCACCTGTTTCTCGTTGATGATGCTACAATAACTGACTGTTTTGCACAGAATATCTTAATGAGTACTTCCTGTCCAAGACAGACGTCACGTCTTCTGGATATTATAATACCTCGTCCGAGATGACTCCTGGCATGCCCGGTCCTCTCTTCCGATTGAAGACCGGCACCGAGTCAGCTACACCATCCGTTAATGCCGTTATTGCCCGCAACTTGCTGCGCCTGGCAGCCCTGGTCGAAGAGGATAGCTACCGTACCCTCGCACGACAGACCTGCAACTCCTTTGCAGTTGAAATCATGCAGCACCCGTTCCTTTTCGTCGGACTGCTTGACGTTATTGTGGGACTACAGATTGGCACTCGCACCGTGACTGGCGTATTCAGCACCGCTGAAATCTCCCCATCAACTGCCAGCCGCGGTGAAAGCCTCCTCAGTCGAAATGACGAGCCCATGGTAGCGCGTGACCTCATCGTGCAGCGAGTCCGGGCCGAGGCTGGTGCCGGCCTATGCCCAACTCTCGCCGTTGCCTCACTGGTCGATATCCGACCTTCACATCTGAAGGACTTTGTGGGTAACCAGTCCTTCTGGCTCAAGTCTCGGAACTCTCTGTTCAAGGACTTGAAAGCTGGTGATCCCGCTAAGAACCAGCTGTTGATCTGTGAGGCGGGGCGATGTAGAATCGTGGATATTTAGAGTGATCATCTATCTTTTTTCTTGTTACTTTTGATTGTTTGGATTTGGTGGGTATACTCTTGATTCATTTGGAGTACTTTTTTTTGGTCATTGTTTGTGATACTTGCGCTGGACAACGGGGTCCTCGTGTTTCTTGGGTGAATGCCGGGGTCACTCTTGGGCGGACCAAATTGAATGCTCTTGGTAGAGGTTGGTAGATGGAATAGAAATGTAACTAGCCTGACATGGCATCTCCTTCAATATGTTAAGTTGTGCCTATGATATGGAGAACGTCCTGTAGTCCATGATAAGAATTGGAGAGAACGCAAATTCAAATATTATCACTAGACCAGAAACCTACTCAATATGACTTCTCTGTCGTCTAGCTAACAATGTAGAATAAAACGGAGTACAGTAACGTCTTCATAGTCACAGGAGTACCTACGATTGTATGCCTCGTGCATACCATAAGCTACAGTTTAAGCGAGCAGCATCTTTGATCACAGCCCCGATCAATGTGGCTTTTTCTTCTCATTATCTGATTCGACATTTTCCATTACCAAGACTAGCTACTCATCAAATTCAACACGGCCAGTTTGTGGCGCTCTTGGGAAGTTCTTGGAGACTTGGCGAGGGCCCTTTCTGGAGATTAGATGGTAAGAGCGGGAGAAGTACAGACTTCAGAGTACTCTACATTATACGGTAGTGGAGTCACAGTAGTATTCTTTACCTTATTTCTGCTGCCTTAAATTCTTAATACTCTTCATGGTGATCGGAACTTCGGAAGATCAGACGTATCGATTTTTATGGTTTCAAACTACGGAGTATGGAGTCGATCCGTGATGTACTGTGTTCTGGAACCTCGGGACGGAGATGAGATGAGCCAAGGGTGTTGTTTATGGCCCCATTTCTTTCATTTCCATGCCGAGGAGTGGCTCACGCAATCCTTGTCCACTCCGAAACTACTGCTCCGTAGAGTAGACCGATCGTATTGGCATTGTGCCTTACTCTACAGACTATGTACTGCGGCCCGAAATAATGATTTGAGATTATGCGAATATGCATTGAATATCGCAAAGATGTTTATGCGCTCGAGCCTAAGTCGTTCATACTGTACCACGGGTAATAAAAGTGGAGCTAGATCGAATTGGACCGTCGAGGAGTTCCTTGATTCTATGCAGGTTAGAAGAAAGACCCTCAAAGGGCTTTCAAGGCTTTCAAGCCTTATTGACAGTTTGTGATAGATTGTGCCTGAGTCAAAGGTACTCTATTCTCATACTGTTGTAACTACGGAGTACAGTATAATGACAGGCAGGGGTCTCGAGTCTCGACTTCTTCCCCCTGGGCGGCACCACGATGACTGAAACACGAAATGATGAAGCGGCGCGATTTAATCAATTCTCTTAAATGACGGACTGGACCAGACCCGAAGCCAAGTTTCTTAGTTTTTCTCTAGTGGTCCCCGCCGTTGCAGTGGGTAATTTCCCGAATGATAAAAGGACGGTGATTGGTGAGAAGCCACTCACTCTGAAACTCACTCATGTCTGGGTATTTACCCTCCTTGTTACAGATCTCGATCGAGCTTGTCTGGGAATGGAGATGAGCGACGCGATTGTTGATGATCCAATTGATCATGAGTCCAGGCCGTACACAACAGGGTCTTTTTTCTTTTCGGTTTCGTGTCTTCATGAGTTAGAGTAACGGCTTTTGTTGCTTCAAGACTGGGGAAGTCCCTTAGTGACGGTCCCTGACTGCTTTTCCCTGTACGCGCGGCCGCTAATGCAGCCTCTAAATGGCGGACGGGCGCTAGTCTGGAGCACAGTGGGAATTGAGGATCCGCCCAGGGGTAACTGTATGTACATTGAATATGATAGTATCACCACCTGGTAGAAGCCCAGACTGCCCGGTACTAAGAACCGATGGATTTCTGGGCCAGACAGCCCCGGAGAATAATTGACCTAAAATTTTGATCTCTGCAATTTCCATTCTGCCAGCCTCTTTTGCGACCGCGATGAACCAATCAAACCCTCTTGGACAGACGCGTTGGAATGTAGAATGTCCCACGCCAGTCAGTGGCGGGATGCTGTCTGGAATGTGTCGCGGATATCGAGAGGTTGGAGAAGCGTCTAGTTGGAACACGCAGTCAGAAACAATAAAAAGGGACGGGAAGGTAGCCAGTTTCTATGAGAAAAGCCAATTTAACGAAGACAAGAAGTCACGATAAATTATCCCAAGTCCTGAGTTCATCTCCCCTAATTAAACCATCACACGGCCCCACTTGACTCTACTCTCCTCTCCTCCCGTCCTCCTTTCTACTTGATCTCGTCTCCTTCCATCCCGCTTCCTTTCCTTCTCTCTTCTCCTCTTCCCACGCTTCCCTCTTCTTATCTTCCCGCCTCGTGGCACTTGAACAGTGTACAGGCCTGTCATTCCTTTAACCCCCAAGCGTACATACACACTCCTTTGTCAATTCATACTGCAGTCGATCTGCAGTTGTTGACCTTCCACGCTCTCTCTACATCGAACTTCCTGGGGAAGTTCTCAAATCAACCTCCAACACCCCCAATCTCAAATCTCAAATTTACATCTTGGACCTGATCTGTGATCGCCAATCAAATACACAATGCGCTCTACTCTGCTCCTCGCTGCCCTCGCCGCTGGCTGCGTCAACGCCTTCGAGAAGCGTATCTATGTGACCGACTGGACTACCGTCACCGTCACCAAGACTGTCACTGCCCCCGCCGTTACCGAGACTGTCCAGCCTGCCCAACAGGCCCAGATCCAGAACACTGTGACGACCACCACCCAGCCCGCCGTCGCTGCGGCTGCCGAGACCGATTCTTCCGAGCTGGCCAAGAAGTCCACTGTTGTCGTTCCTATCTCGTCCACTACTCAGGCTGCTGCCGTCGCCGCTGATACTGCCGCCGCTGCTACTTCCTACTTCTCCACTGCCTGGACTTCCACCGTCGAGGCTGCCTCTTCTACCCTGGCTGTCGCCACCTCCAGCGCTTCCTCCGCCGCGTCTACCGCCAGTGCCACCAACTCCTACCAGTCTGCTGTCCTGTACAACCACAACATCCACCGTAGCAACCACTCCGTCTCTTCTGTTGAGTGGTCTGCCGATCTCGAGGCCAGTGCCCAGGTTCTGGCTTCTCGTTGCGTGTACCAGCACGATACGTAAGTACAATTCCCATTCAATTGCAATGCAATTGATACTTTGAACCCTTCATCAAATTCTAACATGCTTTATAGCTCCATCAATGGCGGTGGTTATGGTCAGAACATTGGCTACGGTGTTGAGGCTGGCGAGGTCGGTGTCATGATTACCAACTTGATGTACAACGATGAGATCGAATTCTTCCCTACCCCCTACGGTGCTTCCGCTCCTAGCATGACCGACTTCGACAAGTGGGGCCACTTCTCCCAGATCGTCTGGAAGGCCACTACCCACGTTGGCTGCGCTACCGTGACCTGCAACAGCCTGGGCAACGTCGACTCCAGCTCCGCCCTGCCCTTCACTGTCTGCAACTACTCGCCCGTCGGTAACGTTGACGGACAGTATGGCGAGAACGTCCTCGCTCCCGGCACTGCAGGCACGTACACTGCCTAAACATGATTTTTCCTTTTCTATAAGGGAATGTCCTGCCTGGACGCCGCCCACCCTTTCTTGCGGGCTATCTGTAGGGATAGTTCTGATGCATGTTACATCTCGATGTCTAGCGAAGCCCGCATTCGTTATCTAACACTGTGTTACTTTTTTTTATCATACTATCTTCGCTTCTCTCAGCGCTTTGCATGTTCCAACCCGATCGGCGATTTCGGGTACTTTTTCCGAGGTGGGGATTGGCATTTGGTACTGTCATTATTCCCCCTGGCAGGACTCGACTTTCTTCATGTTGGAGAAAAACTCGATCCTATTCAGGGGGATTATCTTGTATGTACGCGGAGGGTGCCTATGCTTATCCCTTTCTCTTATTGTTTGACCTCGGAAGAAGGGGACGTACAAAGTTGCGACCCCGTTACAATTGTGAATACTCCTTTTTTTGACTTGGTGTCTCCCTAGCGATTTTCTGCCCCCGTTCCTGTGGATAAAAAGAAGAACATGGTCCCAATGTGATGTACTGCAAATCTGAATGCGAGATGAACCTTGCCTACTACAAACCTGGGCCTTCGTAGTCTACTATACTCTATTGTAGATCTATCACAGAATCCTGTTTGTGTTTTGAGCTTCACACGTAAAGTGGATCCCTTGTTATCATTCCCCCCTGAAACGTCATGGCTGACCAATCAGGTCGCTTCCTTGTCCCGTAAACTTTGTTTGGTGTTTGGTCGTGCTGCGAGGGATTTATGGTTAGACGGGGTTATTGGGGCTTCAGTAGCCGCCGTGATAAACCCCGGGACGAGATTGAAAGTGTATTTGAAATCGCAAAATTGACATATTGTAGAAAGACTTGCTTTAGAACTCGAATTTTGAACATACAGTACAGTAGCTAGTCTACTGTATGTTCTATGTGGAGATGTTGGTCGATGCGCTCATCCCAATTTTGCAAATTCGCTAGTTGGGTTACTAACGAGTTAGTCGTTGCTTGGTGTGGTGATCTTGTGTTGATCTGCACACAATATCTGGCTCGGGTCCGAGCTGGGAACGAAGAATCAGGCAAAGTAATTGGCTAGTAGCTACTACAGGACAGTGCTTGGTTTATCTTGCTTTGAGATGGAGTGTGTTATAGATGGTTAGGTAGTAACGTAGTAGATATCGGGATTTATTCTTTCGGGGTTGAGAGGTGTCAAACCAGATGTTGTTTCAAGATACGAGTTGCTTGGAATTTATTAGATAGCATCCCGCTTAGTAGGTCTGGTACTACGTGGCTGTCTAGACGCGGCAGTACATGTGGAATACTTTTTGTATGGTCGGTTCTAGCGAGAATGGTGAAACTTCGATTGGTGTACCTGGGTTGGATAGTATATCATCGTTAGTTTTTGCTGAGCTTTAGTACAGATCTCATATTTCATATTTCATGCACCTGGACACTGACACTTTAGATTGAGAATATCTGCGCGGAATCCTAGTCTAAGCCAGATCATGAATGGGCTTGTTAAACGTTGGAACGAAGTTTGAGCCACGGGTCTCTTTCTTTGTATGCACTCGACATTGCTTTATCTCTTTTCTTTCAACACCTTGAGGACCAGGAGCAATTCTGTTTTGAGAATGAACAAAGACTTCATAAAGCAAGCAGTCCTGCCACGGTCCAAGAACTATTAATGGAAATTGCTCAAGGACATAGTAGACTATTTAGATCCCAAATGCCTCGTCCTCACCTCTCTCTCGACCACAACAACGACCGTCTTCCAAGAACTAGTGAGTATTCCCTCAAAATCATGGCTTATCAAAATACCTCCCTAACCAATTCAACCCTAGACAAAAACGACACTAAGCCTATTCCCAACACCCAAGCAAAACAAACCAAAACCCAAGAAACGAACACTTCTACACCCACCGCAAAACCCTCGTTCAATCCCTCGAAAACCACAACCTAACAATCCAAACCAACCCACGCCTCCACCCCCAAATCCAAATCTCCCTCCACCACCACGCAAATTCCCTAGAATCCCTCCGTTCCACCCACGCATCCAACCTAACACGCTGCGCACCGCGCCGAATCCGACGAATCCTCTTTTCTACAAGAAAAGTGAGACGGATGTTAGAAGAGGGTTTGTTTTGGGAAGCTTCGGGTGCGTTGGCGCTTATAAGTACGCATGTGGGACGGTTGAGGTTGGTGGGTAATAAAGATTATTTTGCGGATGAGATGGATGGTCAGGCGAGGGAGCTTCATGGGAGGTATGCGTGGAAGAGGGATTGGGATCCTGCCCTTTGTATAGATTGCATTCTATGTCGGTTTTGATGGGGTTTGGGGATTCGTGTGGTTGTGAGTGTGATTATTGTCGTTGGTGATTTTGTGCGTGGTTTTCATGATTAAGTTCTATATGATTGGAGACTATTGAGATTGAAGTGAGTGTTACTTACTAAATGGACTAGCATGATTCGAATCCATTTGCTATCCTATTGTGCATCTATTAATTTGGTTGGCTCCGATCTGGTTTGTCACGAAATGTCGCTGCAAAATGAATACCACTATGAATGACAAGTTCCTTTGTGTCTTGTGTCTATTCTTACTAATTAGAAGAGCCGCAGTAGCGTAGAATATTATGAACGGGGTTATCCTGGACAGCGGCTCTTTCGTCAGCCACCTATCTTACCGGAGTACTCTTTCGAGTATGTACGGCACCTGAAACTCCTAAGACTGACTCGAATAGACACATACTGGTTTCTTTTAAGATTCTTCTTCTTTGTTCTTGTGCTGTCCACCCACATGGTCTTTGATAGATCCTATTCCCTTTGTTATCTTGCAACATCCATTAACATGGTCTTTCATTGATCCTATGGCAAAATTGTTTCAAAAAGACCCCGCGTAGCCCAGATTGGCCAACTCAATCAAAACTACGTTTTCCTCCCACGGCCGAGTCCATAGAAGCCTTGAGTGGGCTGACTTCGAAACTGGATCCATCTTAATGAGCCTTTGATGGTGTAGGCGCCGTTCCTTGCCTTCATCACCTATTTTTGGTGAGTCTAGATAATGGAACCTTGACTAACAAAGTCTTCTTCAATTGTTCGAGCCTTTCCGCTTTGAGTTCTCGTGGGAGGGCTGCAGGAACCTGGTACAGGAACTAATCAAGATAAATAGCAAGTAACTGTCCCAAGGTCTCAGTTCCATATCCACAGCATTCATCCAATCTTCATCTTCATCAAATTCTTAATCTTCAAAACATGGACAACCTCCCTCGCTCCGAAGAGGACCTCGCGGTCGATGCCATACTCTTCCTCGAGTTGCGCAAGCGCATCATCCAAGACCTGGACCAACACAGGGCCAATTTCCGACTAATTTGGCCTCATTGCGATCCCAAGCAGGAGGCAATTAACCAAATCCGACTGAATCTACACACACAGATTGAAAACCTGGGAGAAATGCTTCGTGTTTCCCCGCTCCCCTTTGGAGAGAGATTGTACAAGTGCACTGGGAAGCGACACAACGCAATCGTCAAGTGTCTCAACGCTGTGATGAACCTTACTGGACTGGATGGGTCGGCTCGGGAGTGCGAAATGGCGTTGAACTTTATTAGCCAGCGCATTGGAGGCTTCCGCATCATTGGTGTCTGCGACGAGACTGCTGATGAAATGGATCGCCAGGCACGGGAGCTCTGGAATCAGTATGGTGCTGGTAAAAAGTATGGTTCTATGATGCCCATGACATACTTTAAGATTGATGAGTTCAATCATATCATTCCAGGCATGTACTTCACTGACATCTTCTGTACCTGTCCGTGGTGCCGGGGTTGATGTTGCTGCTTTGGTTGTGCCTGCTTTGGAGAGTTTTTTTTTCTTCTTTTGTTCCTGTTTCATGTGCTATGTTTGGGAGTAAATAGAGTGTCTTTATTATGTTCTTTCCAATCGAGTCTATTTTGAAGTTATATGTCGGACTATAGTATAAAAATGTAGTACCCCCGGACAGGGCCAGTATACTACATCACGTGACCCGCGAGGTTCTCGACGCCGCTCCCTTCGCCCGAAACGTCATCGCAAGTCTAATCCCCACGCCCAATTCCCACACGCTGATTTGCAGTGTAACGGGCTCGGAAAAATCACACGTTACCATCACTTTGCTTCAGTTTCTTCAAGAGGTTTCATATACCTTGCATTTTTTGAGTCTCCTCTCAGCTGATCAACCGAGGATATCTGATCAGATTGCTCAGCTGTTCGCACACACGGACCCTCGAGGCTCGTCTGGTTAAGGTCGGGTGAGTTCTCCTTCAACAAATACCCTTCGTATCACGCATAACACAGCCGATATTTCTCCCCCTTCTACATATTTTCTGTCCCACTTGACTCTTATCTCGTCATTTTACCAGGCCAGTCGAGTCAAAATCACTAAACCTCTTTAGTTTTGCAAGCTGCACGTTGCTTGGCTGAAATCATCTGACGGTGACAGCACAGTTTCCCAGAGAGGCTCATCCGTTCCTCCGGCGCTATTCACCTCAGCACGGCCAGCCCCAGAACCACCCAACCCACATAGTCGCCCGTGTTTCTGCTTGTCATTCCCCGTAAGTCCTTTCCTCCGTTGGCCCCTTCAACCCGAGTCGGCTCCACAATTCCACGGCTACCGTGGGGTTTCGGAGCTGGAGGGGGTTATATAGTTCCTGCCCGTGTAAAGCATCTACGGTCTTGTGCCCGACTTCCCTTTAGTCTTCATTTTTCCCTGTTCGACTTCTATTATCCCTTTATACTCTTATGAGGTAGTCTCCATGCCACCATATTGCCTGCAAGATTGTCACTACTTCTACCGCACTGCCTTGCGTCTCCTGTCTCTCCCCACCTGCCTCGCCTCGTCCTACGCTTGATCAGAAAGAGAAATTTAATAGTCACTAATCATCATGTCCTACTCACCAACGGCAGTCCGTTTCTTTACCGCACCAAAGCCTCTTGGGAATGCCATGGATTCCGTCACTACCAAAATCACCGCGGCTGAGTCTCAGGGCAATACGGTCGTGAGGCCAAATGTATCACCCGAGCAGCCTTCATCGGAGGCTGTAAAGGTTCATACACCCAAGGAAAAGGGTCTGACCTTTGCGAATCAAGACTCACTTCCGAAACTTCCCATTCCTGATCTCGAAGACACATGCCGGAGACATCTCGAGGCTCTCTCGCCCTTGCAGACGATCCGAGAACATGAGGAGACCAAGGCAGCGGTGAAGGACTTTTTGAAGACCGATGGACCTATCCTTCAAGAGAAATTGAGGACATATGCATCCTCCAAGACAAGTTACATCGAGCAATTTTGTAAGTGCAAGACCCGCTGACATACGACGAACCATCAGACGCTAATCTTCACTAGGGTATGATTCTTACCTGAACTTCGACAACCGTAAGTGTAGTCTATTCGTCTTGCGTTCATATATGGCTGACATCAAAAAGCTGTCGTCCTCAATCTCAACCCATTCTTCCTGTTGGAGGATGACCCAACCCCTGCTCGGAACCATCAGGTCACCCGTGCGGCCTCGTTAGTCGTCTCGGCCCTGTCCTTCGTTCGAGCCGTTCGGAGGGAGGAGCTTCCACCGGATACCGTTCGGGGCACTCCTCTTTGCATGTATCAGTACTCACGCATGTTTGGAACCGCCCGTCTCCCGACCGATAATGGTTGTGTTATCAGTCAAGACCCTTCGGCCAGGCACATGGTGGTGATGTGCCGTGGCCAGTTCTATTGGTTTGATGTTTTGGATGACAACAGTGACTTGATCATGACGGAGAAAGATATCTCGCTCAACCTGCATGTCATTATTGAGGATGCCGCGCAGACTCCAATCCAAGAAGCCGCCAAGGGAGCATTGGGTGTTCTCAGCACGGAGAACCGTAAGGTATGGTCGGGTCTGCGTGATATCATGACCAAGGACGCCGCCTCGAACAATGCCGAGTGTCTGAACATAGTCGATACCGCGCTGTTCGTACTGTGTCTCGATGACACCGAACCCTCGAGCACGGCTGAGCTTTGTGCTAACATGCTCTGCGGCACGAGCGAAGTGATCAAGGGTGTTCAGGTCGGCACATGCACCAACCGATGGTACGACAAACTTCAAATCATAGTTTGCAAGAATGGTAGTGCGGGTATCAATTTCGAGCACACGGGTGTGGATGGCCATACAGTTCTACGCTTCGCCAGTGATGTTTACACCGATACGATTCTTCGCTTCGCAAAGACCATCAACGGCCAGGCCCCAAGCCTATGGGCTACTACGAGCCCCGACCCTGCTAAACGTGACCCTCGCAGCTTTGGAAATGTCAGCACAACGCCTCGTAGGCTGGAGTGGGACATGACTCCGGAACTGAACATTGCCTTACGATTTGCTGAGTCTCACCTGTCAGACCTTCTATACCAGCATGAATTCCAGGTCCTGGACTTTGAAGGCTTTGGCAAGAACTTTATTACCTCCATGGGATTCTCACCGGATGCGTTCGTGCAGATGGCTTTCCAGGCGGCATACTACGGACTCTACGGTCGTGTTGAGAACACCTACGAACCAGCCATGACGAAAATGTTCTTGCATGGTCGGACCGAGGCTGTCCGCACCGTGACACCAGAGGCCGTTGAATTCGTCAAGACATTCTGGGGTGAGAATCCGGCAGAGCACAAGATTGACGCTCTACGCACTGCAACCCAGAAACACACTGCCATGACTAAAGATTGCTCAAAGGGACAGGGCCAAGACCGCCACCTGTACGCTCTGTACTGCCTGTGGCAACGGTCATTTGACGAGGGCCTGTTCCAAGACAGCAGCTCTGCGGGGGGTTACTCGAGCCCCAGTGATGGCATGCTCTCCGAGACATCTGAAGATAATTTCTCCTCATCCCCCGGCAGCGGCAGCATCCGCGGTCTGCGCACTCCTACTCCTCCCACCCCCGCCATCTTCAGCGACCCCGGCTGGGACAAGATCAACACCACCGTCCTATCAACTTCAAACTGTGGAAACCCCTGCCTACGACACTTTGGATTCGGTCCAACATCCGCCGATGGCTTCGGTATTGGATACATTATCAAAGACGATTCCATCTCATTCTGCGCCTCGTCTAAGCACCGCCAAACAGCACGGTTGATGCACACGCTTGAGTCGTACCTATTCGAAATTAGGAAATTGCTGCGCGCGACCAATCGCAAGGCCACCAGCCCACGGACCAGTCGTGCCCGAGAGACTGAAATGCTGGCGGAGGGGTTGCAGGCTGATACCAATCGACGGGGTAGGGTTGTTCGCGGTGATAACCGTGGAGCGGACACACCGACCACTACGACGGATAGTGGGGAGATCGAGGATGATGGCATGGGTGGCTGTGAGTATTACCTATTTTCCCGAGACATTCCTGGAGAAACAGAAGCTGACATTGTTTTCAGATGGATTCTTCGACGCTGGTATGCTTCTACATGCACTCAAAGGTGTCAGCGCCGAGCGCGAACGGGGTGATAAGCCAGCGAAGCGGAAATTTGTTGGAAAGAAACTTCATCTCAATGAATATTGATGAGGGGGACTGAATATATTGGGACTTGTATTTAGTGGATAGTTCTACCTTCTACCGAACACATAAACATGGGAAAAGTGTCTGTGCTACTCTGTAAGACCTTCGCTATAGATAGTAGCTGTCACAGTAAACCCCATGCCACACTCACCAGCCACGTGAAAAGAGACCATGAATCATACAAGACCTTCAAGTCTCGACCGATTCCGGGCAACCCGAATGGGTCCTGATAGCTCTGCTCCACAAAACTACAGTACAATGATCATCACACTGATCATCTGTGGAACCCTGAGACATGCAGCCCACCTGGTCTGGTCCCGATCTGCCATCCCCGCTCAGCCACCCGCGGGTGGCCTCGTACAAGCAACAACAACGCGACGTAGCATTTTTATCAATCTTCTCGTCTACCCTGAATTCCTTGTGGCTTGTTGCTGCTGAGAATGTAGATCATTGTCTTAGAATGGTTCATGTTACATCTGCATGGTTTATCAAGTTGCTGGTGCTTGATTTGCCCCTCGTTCAAGACATGCGGGGTCAAGAGTTGTAGCTGCCTTGATGTGTACTGTAGCTGATGTAAACGATGCATGGATAAAAATAGTGTCTTATACGTCAATGATCAACGGAAAGTTGATGTCCCCGCAATTATCTAGAATCTAGATGGTGGGCTTGCTATGATCTACCTTTGGATGGAAAACAATACTAGTGATGTTCAGTTTAGACGCGAAAAAATTCCACCTGTAGAGGAGTCGGTAGATGAAGGTGTGCAATTTTTAGTACAGAGTATATGATAGCTAATAGTAAAGATTTTACTAAATCAAATGTCGGTTTACCGAGATTCCGATCTGTTAACAATCTACTGAGACAAGGCTGAGGTATCGTATCAGGCAAGATGTCACTGCACGCAGCATCACGCCTGATTCTAGAACAAATTTACGTACAATGTTTTGACTCCACATGCAGTAAGCTCATGGCTCGGTAAAGCCTAACAACGTCAGCAAGCGATACAGGCGTAGGTATGATCAACATCCAGAAAACTATATAAGAGCCACCAACATCCTCGAATACTCAACATCAACAAGCATCATCACTAAACAATCAATCCTCACTCTACACCCACAACCAACCAATCTTCCCAAAGACCTACTCACCCACAAAAATGTACTTCCCCACCATCCTCGCCTCCGCCATCGCCCTTGCAGGTGCTGCCTCCGCAGCAGTCGTGCCTACACACCGCTACGTCCAACTCCGTCTCTGGGGCGAACCCTCGTGTGCGAATCTCAACCTCGGAGAAGAGGGTATCTACGGTGACCAGGTTGGCCAGTGCAACCCATTGGATGAGGTTGACGTCGTTCGATCTGTGAGCGTTGAGCGTGTCGATGCCGGATGCACTCGTGAGTTTTTCTACTCTAGTTGCTACTGTGATTATGGGATCTAAGATTCTTCTAGTGTACATCTACAGTGATTTGCAGTGCCATCTTGATAAGCACGAGGTTCCTACCGAGACTTGCTTGAGTGGTGATAAGTACTACCGCAGCTACCAGTTGTTCTGCGATGTCTAAGCGTGGGTTAGGTTTTCTGGGGTATATAATGTTCAAAGAACGAAGAGCTTCTGGGACAAAGAGGTTCTGGAGGGATATTTAATTGCGGGATATTAATTTGTTAGCATCGATTTGGTTGAACAAACGCGTCTGGTATGGGTTGTTGATACGTTCAAGTATAGAATGAATTGCATTATGTGTTGTTTCGCTTTCAAATTTGGAAAAAGTGTAATCAAAGCTTCTGCCTCGGGGGTAATCCGACCACTAGCATCATGAAACACGTGGTAATTCCGCACTCTTATTCATATAAGAACCCCAGCTAAGCCTGTTGCAGCCCAGCCAAGAACTTTTCGGGTTTCCAATGCCTATAAATTCCATGAATGGTAATTAAAGCCGGCCGGGCGGGCCTACGAGACCGATTACTCAGCCGGGGGCCCACGACCCTGAGCGTGGAATGGACAGCCCCTAAGCTGTCTGGCAATCTAACTAACTAGTTAACTAAGTTGACTAACTAGTTAGTTATGTGGGCATAATAATGACTAATACATACGGTCTGTTAACTTAACGTTAACTAGTTAACTACTAACTAACTAACTATCTCCGTTCTCCGGGATCCACTGCTGCTTCTGTTCCGTCGATCTTCCTCTGCGGAAAAACGGTTATTCCGCGCCGAGTTTCTATCTACGGTCAATACACTTTGAATTGTCCCAGTTTCCTGGCTGTCCTCACACCGCAGCTCTTCATCATTGCTGGAAATAAGTTAGTAGGCGGCGGATTACCAAAATTCACCGCCTTTTGCGGGGGCGGCGAAGGGAACAGTGGTAACTTCTGAGTGACATTACCCCTCTACTAATTATAATTCCGCCCCCCAACGATTTGAAGTTTTCTTCATGATTGCTTGTCCATTCCTCACTCTTCTTTCGAAGCATGTCATTACTGTCCGTACCAACTGAACTGTTGGAGTTGATTTTAGAACATTTGGACCGCCAAAGTGATATTAATGCGCTTGTTCAAACCTGTCACCACTTTTATGACAATTTTAATGGAGCCTTGTATCGCCTGAATGTAAAACTTTTCAGCCGTTCAGCATTACTATGGGCTGCACGATTTGGACATGAAGGCACTGCTGCAAAGTCACTCAAGGAAAGGCCATTTGTTGAAATCTATGATGAGAACGGGTTAACTCCGCTGCTCCTGGCTATAAACTCTAACTGCGAGAGTATTTTCCGCCGGCTACTCATGCTGACGGGGCTTGATCTCGAGGCTAAAGGTTGGGTTCGCCGGACACCCTTGGCTACTGCAGCTTCGCTCGGACGTCAAGAAATGGTTAAGCTGCTCCTTGAGAAGGGTGCCGACCTTGAAAGCCGGGACCAAGATTGCCAAACCCCCTTAATCTTGGCAGCAGTGGATGGCCATGAAGAAATTGTGAAACTATTACTTGATAATGGCGCCTCTCTCGAGTGCAAGGATATACTCGGTCAAACGGCAGTTTCATGGGCTGCTGAGCGTGGCCATGCAAAGACTGTTGAACTGTTGCTGGTAAAGGGCGCGGTTCCAGATTCTTCAGATAATTATGGCCGGACTCCGTTATCATTTGCTGCAAAAAATGGGCATGATACAGTGGCAAAGCTGTTACTCGAAGCGGGGGCTGACCCTAATTCCAAGACTATGGATGGGAACACTCCACTGATTTACGCAGCTATGTATTCAAGAGAAGCTGTGGCTGTGATTAGGCTACTGCTTGAGGCAGGAAGCGATCCAACAATCATGAACAATGGCGGCCTTACTGCAGTCCTTTTGGCCAGTACAGATTGGGGAACTAAAGATCCGAACATTGTTGTGGTTAATCTATTACTTCAGGAGACCACTAGATGGATGCGTGCTCGGGCAGCCTACTACAACTGTAGCTGGTGAAGATGAACTTGTTACAAAACATTTGCGCCAATCCTGGGATTCTATTAATCTGACTGCTACGGGTGTAGCTCGTCACGCAGATCCGATATTACCCCGCACGCGCGGGTTTGTTGATGGAATAAATAGCTTTAGAGCCAGCGAATTCCGATCTCACCGGTAGTCTACCCGTTATTCGATACTCCGGTTAGCCAGTATCCTGGAAGGTTATTTGTCGAGAATATCCTTCTGTCAGAACAAGCTAGCAGCAACTTACTGCTAGCGACTGATACCTAGTACGCTGGCTGTACTGGGTGGAATAATCAGTTGAACTAGGACTTGGCCAATAATGGAACACTAGGGCGAAGTTCAGTAGCCGAATACGAGGTGTTGTCTCGGTGGCGGCCCTTTGCAGTAGCCCGCAGCTCTGGCCCACAAAAACGACAGCCAGCGGCGGACTTTAGCGGAGAAATGCGTGGGTAATATGTGATACCACCTTGTTTCACTTCTGTTACGATATACCCGACATGAGGTTATCCACAAATGCCGGTGCCTCAGGCCACCAGGACCCTGGTAAGCCGCTAAGCTTTCGGTGGAGGTTCACTGGGGCTTCGCCGCCGGTACGTGTACGGACTCCTGCAAGGAAGGCCCTTGTAGAGGTTACACAAGCCTCGTGTTTTCCCCCACTCCCATTCCCCTACTAAGAATACATCTCCTTCCTGTTTTGAGCGGTATGACTGTACATAAATTGATCCATGTTGGAGAGGTTTTACATTCCTCAAGAAACAGTCTTTGACCTTTCTGAACAATTGACTTGGTCCCTTTCTCCTACCTGATTGACAGGCCTCTATCCTGACTTATAGAGTATCTTTACAAATACAATTTTAGTGCACTAAAGTTTTAGAGGCCAATCTTTATCGCTAGTATAAAACATCAGATTTATATATACTCTTATTTAGAAAACAGTTACTCATAGATAGAAGATTATAGAGAATTGAATTAATCTCTAAGGCGGTACTAGCAGTGGATTCCGTAGGGATAAATATATCAGAATCGGAATCCTCGAATAGTGATAGTGAGAGTAAAGATGCTGATATCTTGTGAAATTCAATACATCGTAATGATCTTGAAAAGGGGTCAAAGAAGGTGTTAAAAAAATTTTCTGCATTAAAAAATATTATATAATCTAGAGGTTTGGGTACGTGTGAACTGGGTGCCCAGTCGAGGAGGCAGTCGAGACATCCACTCAGTAGAGATTAGTAATTCTTGCTTCACTTTGATTTCTAAGCCTTCCAGGCGGAAAATGGCTTGAGAGACGCCTGCTTCAGTTACAGATTTCCGAGATGTTTAGGTCCGAGTGAGTATATGATGTCTTCTTCCGTTCACTCCCAGATATGCATTCTACAGGCGATTCCTGGAAGCCGCATTGGTCCTGGGATTATTGCAAAGGATCTCAGCCACAATCCATTCCCTCCCAGAGACGCAATCTCAAATTGCCTTGCGGAGGAAGACCACACAGAACCAGACATTTCAATAGTGCAGCTATAAGAAGTCAGAAAAGTTCGAGGGCATGACAAGCTATGCTTAGGGTCGTAGAGAACGTGCGCGCCCGGTCAAGTCAGGCACTGGTTGACCCGCAAGCCACTGATGCGCAGAACAGCGTCCATGGCCAAGGGATGGACTGCAGCCGTTCGCCAGCAACTTCTTTACAACTTCCGCATTCCCCAGTCAAACAGCCATCATAAGAGGCGTATCTCTAACATTTGTTGCTTCCATATCTGCACCATTGTCGATCAGAAATTGGACTATTTCAAGATCGCCGCTCTCCACCGCAAAATGCAGAGTTGTCCACCCTTCATCCTCTGATTGATTAGGATCTGCACCGGCATCAATCAATAACTTTACCTTAGTCAACGACCTTCCGTGTCTCAGAGCGAAGTGAAGCGCGCCCCAGTAATTCTCTTTCTCGGTAATGTTCGGGTCGAGTCCTTTTTGTAGTAGCAGCGCTACGACCTCATTGTTGGTACGTTGCGCAGCAATATGAAGTAGATTTTCGCGGCCAACTCCCCTAGTTTGCCATGTTAAGGGATCAGCACCCCTATCCATCAATAACTGCATCACTTCAGATTGTCCTCCCTCAACTGCGGCGTATAGCCCAGTGCTCAAGTACGAGCTAAGATCGATCCCGCTATTCAACCACAGCTTGACAAGCTTCGCCGTTCCATGGTGAGCGGCGTGATGAAAGCCGCGAGAGACGCTGTTATGGGGAAGACTATCCCCTCTCCAGTTCCACCGAATTGGATAACACATCGTACAGTCCCTTTTAGGGTCACGATCACGGGTCATCAAAAAGTGCAGCCCCTCGCGGGGTTGTGCAACACACTCTAACTCTGAATTTCGTGCATATATCTTTCCCGCGGGGGACTTTTGCCGTAGCAATGCCTCATTCTCGAGATTTTCTTTGCACACAATCGAGCGCCAGAACGTTCCCTTAGCGATCTCGCCTGCATCATCGTAAGCGGTGACGAGAAACTTGAAGGCTTTATTCTCGCGACCTTCGTAATGTGCGGTCGCGGTGACTGTGCTTCCTGGGGGCAACGGGCACAGATTGTGCAGTGAGTGTTTTAAAAGGGACGGAAATGGCGCAGTTTGTCGATTCGAAGCTAGCTTCCATGCAGGCCGAGCTGGCGCGTTCCATGATATCGACTAGGTTTGGGGTGGATAAGACGCCGGGGGCTCTTTTGTGGCCCCTGGAGTTCCTGAGATTCTGGCTCGCGAGCTCATCCTTGGTCACGAATTCTGTTTCTGTAGCCTTGGGTTTGATGTCGCGGGCGAAAGCGTCGATATTAAAGTCTTTCATATCCGTAAACTCTGTTTCGATGGAGTTGGTATATTGCCCTCTGTTTTGACTTTTCTTCTTTCTCTCCCCTTTTTTGGGAAGTTAAGGGAAAACAGGCTGGGATGTGGCGAGGGAGTAGAAGCGGCTTATCTCTAACCGTCTATCATACCTTGAAGATTCACGTTGCTATAAATATCAAAGTGCCTCGTATTTTGAAACAAAAGTGCAAGAGATTGAGAGGCAGGAGTAATATTTTCCGCGTTATAGTGGGTAATGCAAGTGGTTGCGCCCACACTCACTGTGAAGGGCTCAGACCCGAATTGATTCAATTGGGTGTGGCCGACAATCTGTCTCTCGAAAGCTTGAAGAAAAGTAAACACATGGGGCCTCCTGAGAGGCTTGGTACAGCCTTCACGGTGACACACGTGATCAACATCCAGCTCTGGCCCGTTACATTACCCCACTCCTCCCGTTCGAGAAGAATTCGTCCAATGCGAGGATTTAACAGGTCCGGAGTGCGGCTAGATGGTTGATTTCGGGAAACGGAGCATCTTTCATTTGGGATTTTTGGGAAAAAGAATTATACTATCGTATAGAGCAGAGCCCGAGCTACTAGAAGGTATATTTCTCTTTTGAATTGAAGGTTTTTTGTGTAGATACCGACCGTTGAAGTTGGGCGACTTCACGTGGGCAGAATGCTGGCAGGCCGGAGCCTAAAGGTATTCCGGCCCCCCGGGGGGGGGGGGGAAGGTGTATTACTAATTGCTGTGCGGCTAACTAGTTAGTTAAGTAGTTCACTAGCAAAAGGTGCTCGTGTCCGTAGCAATTCCCACTTCAACGAGTCCTCGCCACGGTTTAGTCTCTTTTTTCCTTCAATCAATTCAGTCATCTCATTTGGATTGGTTCCCCTTGCTTCTCTTAGGCTCCATCAATGCGTACAAGCCCATACTGTAATTGTATAGCTTCACAGATACCCATACAAAGTTTATTTACGACGGACGAGCCTTATGACCCCAGTGTCCAATTCTTTTGAACAAACAGACACTCCACGTTTCCTTGCGACTTCATCGTCTTTCTCATCGAACCTGTCCAGCAGTTCTTATGCACAAGCACGCAACCGAATGGCTCTCGCGACTCCGGCAACTGGCCCGCGGCGATGCAAACCCACCACCGCCTACGCTCCCAAGACGACGCCGTGCACTCACCCTTCCTTCATCATCGCCACTGGCCACGGCAGAAAGCGCCTTCTTTCAACGATTGCCCGAGGAGATTCGACAGCTGATACTGAAGTATGCTTTCGGTATGGCCACACTTCACTTGCATTTGAGCCTCGAGCACCCTCCAGGAGACACCTACTTTGCTTCGAACGAGCTTCGACATGCGAATATTCCGCTCTCCTCGGAGCGCGACAGGGCTCGGTTCCGACGTTGGGAATGGACGGGGCATCGCTGCCATCGCACAAGGAGTGTCTGGCGTGGGCCACCAGCCAGCGATTCGGACTCGTTGAGGCCGGTAATGGACGTTTGCCAATCTCATCCTAATTGGGTGAGTGCTATGTGGTGTCGGGGCCCCGGGGTTGGTGAATGCTACGTTGGAGTCATGGGCTGGCTGGTGGCTTGTCGGCAAGCTTATCAAGAAGGAATTGGGATACTGTATGAGACAAATCGGTTTCATATTCAGGGCCAGCAAGTTTTTCATCGGCTTCCAAACGTTTTGAGGCCACAACGACTCGCAGCAATAAGAGAAGTTGAGCTGTTATGGGATATCCAGCCGTATGAGTCCTGGGATGCGGAATGGATGGCAGAGTTTCACCGCTCAATCCAGGAGCTACCAAAAGTCTTACCCAACCTTCAATTCCTCTATTTATCCCTGCAAACTGGCCTTGAGGCAAAAAACGACCCGGTATACAAGAATGACATAGAGACGAGGAGACACACTAATCCCGACAAAATACTCGAGCAGATCGATTACGCTATCAGGAGCATGAAATTTCTGAGGGACACTCGAATAGCCCTCCCTTCATGCATCTACCGTGGTCTGAAGTTCAAGGCAAATGGAAAGAGCATCTCGTGGACACATACTTATTCAGACAATGACGCGGTTTGGCGGAACGTCAGTTGCGATGGTGGCCGACTCACTGACAGTCCGAAAGGGTACTGGATTTGCCATGGCCAGATGGATACGGTCCATCCTTTGTTATATCCCGAAGCACCTCAAACGGGTTGAGGCCTTGTTATTAACTGGGTATATCGTCCTAACGAGCCCTGGAGCTACTTTAGGTAGAGGCTGCTCGCCAAGGGCCAGACGCAATCTAATTCGTCCTCGTCATTCAGGTTGTGGCAAGCAGGGGTGAGCGATCATATAGTGGAACATTATTTTGAGGAAACTAGTCCTATGAGAACGACCGGCGAACAGAGGGCAGACAATGACCTCAGACCGTACGGTCGGGATTCTCCTGCCGGCAAATCTAGCTCCGCCTGAAAGAGTATGACAAATCATCAATCTTGGCTTGTAGTTGGGTTAACTATCTAGTGAAGTGGGGGATAGGCTCGAAGGCAGCCTAGTCACGCTAGGCAGGTCGAGGCACAAGAGAGATAACCACCTAGTAGCTCCACACGAAGTAGCAGACAGCCAAACAATACAGCAGATATTATAGGGCGCCAAGCAACAGGCAGGACGGGCGATATAGGCAAAAAGCAACGAGCAATCCTTGGTCCTTAGCTGCTTCACTAAGGCGAACAAGACGACCAGGACGAACAATGCGATACTGAGCAATATGTGCGGATGATGGACGAATCCCCATACTATTTCTTGCCAGTAGGACGAGGCTATTTTATAGTAGTGAGATAGGCAAACATGCCAAACAGGTCCGCCGCTAAGACCGCCCGTCGCGCCTTCATAGACACGAATCTTTTAGTAGATACGCCTATCGGAGGGAAACCTTTCTTTGTGGAAATTTTCTCGAAGCGTACGAATAAGCTCCTCGTCAAGAGATTCGGGGTATTCTTAATCTATGTCAGCAGCTAGGTCTAGTAGGATTTACGTTGCGGTCAACAGACCTAAGGGAGTTACGTATATATCCACTATCCACCACAGATTTTCTTCTCCTAGCTCCTGAAATCTCGCTTAGGCGGCTATGATAAGGCTCTCTTGATCCAGAGCTAGAAGTGTATAGTGTAGGCTTTTGTTTAGTTAGCGAAGGTGAAGTGACTAGGCCGGACCTAATATTGAGGGCTGGAGCCAGAATCGTCTGGCATCCCAATCCGCCACGTCGATCACAACGGGCATATAGAAAGCTTTGCTTAGACGGTAATATCCTTATGATCTCAAAGTCCGTTTCAGACAGACTACATTCTGCTGACCGTCAATAAGTCGGCTCGTATAACACCCAACGGAGAGATCGGAGAGTTGGATAAGCGCGACGCCCTTTAAAACAGGAATTCTGATACGTAAAGAGCTTATACTCATCGCTCTCAATCTCGCATTGTTTGCTTTGTGTGATAGTTGCACCTCGGGGTCGCTGATATCGGTGCGTCCTCGCTCCTCGAGGCATTCTGGCTTAGGCCCCGTGCTACGCTTTGAAGCCAGAGCTGTGTAATCTTAGGGGCCCCATATGCGGGCCTTCCAGTCTATTTAATAAACGGCAATTGTCGTGAGCAGTTTGAAAGTAGAAATGCCGTCATGGTCCATTTCACCCCAGATTCGGGAATTACAGCCTCAACAAATGTGTCAACAAGTGTGCTTTATGTGCCGCTGCAGTGAATTGCCGCCCAATTTACACTCTGCTTGTGCTGTCATTGCCCAAACTGGAAGATGTACTCTGCACTCGATATCGAGGCAATACCTTTTGCTAAGCAAAAACGACGCCAATGATTAAAAATACCCCTTCAAATTTGTACCACACATGATTTATGCTGCATAGATATCCGATTTCCAAGTACGCGACCATGTCGCAGGAAGATCGTGGACAACTAGATGGTCATCGGTCTGAGCCCGAACCTCAGCACACTTGTCCGCTTTCTCGAACAGATACCAGCGGCCGGGTATAACACGGGGTGTTGCCAGTGTTCCCAGTGATAGGCTCGAGATCGGCGGCCGCGGCAGCGTATACAACGCAAAACTTCGGTTGTTTGTGGGACCGTATTGGGCAATATGTTCTGGTCACGGCCTTCACTCGCGACATCTTCGTGGGGGATAGATATATAACGCGACTTCCTGTATCTAGTAGAACTCGATTTGTCAAAATATCTATCCCTATGTACTTTCTGCGGGTGCATACCGGGCGCGAAGCCACAGCCTGGTTCCAGAAAGCCAGTTCATAACTATTCCACTATTCCAAGAATTATGAGAGCAGATAAGCAGATGGCCATTTGTACTTGACGATAACTTCAGATGCGTCTACGATGTTTGCCTTTCTCCATTAAGAGTCGGGCTTTATCTTGTGCTGAGCTTAGCCCGGTGAGTGGATGGTCCAACCCGAGGGGATAAAGGTGTAATTGAACCCACATAGCAAATGCTGTACAACCATACCGTTAGTTGATACTGTACCAAAGAATATCAAACATCCTAGAAACTTATCTAAATGGCGGTAGTTGGCGAAGATACATAGGCCAGCGTAGAGTACTGCAGGTATGTGAAAACAGTTTAAACATCAGGAGCTAGTATCCGTACGCTCGAATTTGTACAAGTTGGGGGAATCATAACGAACGGTAAAGAACAAGAAAACGTGCAAAATTCTTAGGCAACAAGAGCGGGATCCTCAGGTATGATATTGTCTATTGTTGAGGAAGGATTGGGAAGTTGCGATATACAGCTTAATATGGTACGGTACATACATATCGTAGCAACATGTTAAGGTTGATTCATATTCTAGAAATTACTGATGATGTTGTGAACAAAGAACCCTGGATCAAGGAGACCGGTCTCTAGAAAATTCCCTTCCTTGTGCTCGATTCCGGCTCCCTGCTTCCAGTCTCGCCACGGCCATATCGCTAATTGCGGCACAAACTGATCGATACTTGCGCCTTGGCACCAGTGTGAAACCCAGTGTAATAGAACCTCGTAAACACGGAGCTGAAAACTGCTTAACGAGTCGGCGCACCATTCACTTGGTGAAATTGTGAATGGGAGATCGACTGCTGTCTGACCCGAAAGCCGACTTGTGATAGACAGTCTTGAGCCAACTCACTTCGCCGGGCAGTGTGGAGTGAAGGAAAGCAAACACATCCTCACCGCAGGTACAGTGATTCTCGAAATCGGATTGACCAATACCCACTGAATATCTCTTTTCTGGCCCCACCGCTAAGGGCTTATCACATAATATTACCAATTGCATCCCGCATGCCACGGGATTCCATAGAATCCCAAAGTGCAAATCTGACAAGGCGACCAAACGGCTTGTTTCTTGAGGGTCCAGTGTCAGCCCTCAACAACCCCCTAAAAAACGGCACTATTTGACGACGAAAAGACCCTCGGTTCCGATCATACGCCCGATCTCAATAAGTCAATAATTTTGGTCTTCTCTATACAGGTCAGGGGAAGCTGAAGGAGGCAAAGGATATGTGATGGCCACTCTTGATACCGTCAACAACCTTGGTCTTCTCTACAAGGATCAGAGAAAGCTAGTGGAGGCAGAGGAGATGTTCCAGCGCGCACTAGCGGGCTATGAGAAGGCCCTGGGTGCGGATCATACGTCCACTGTCACTATAGTCAACAATCTTGGTCATGTCTACTCTGATCAGGGGAAGCTAAAGGAGGCAGAGGAGATGTTCCATCGCGCACTGGTAGGCTTTAAGAAGGCCCGAGGTGCAGATCATACTTTTACTCTTGAAACGGTCAATAACCTTGGTCTTCTCTATAAGGATCAAGGAAAGCTGAAAGAGTCAGAGGAGATGTTCCTGCGCGCACTAGTAGGCAAGGAGGAGGCCCTCGGTCCTGATCATACGTCCACTCTCAATACAGTCAACAACCTTGGGGGTCTGTACTCCGATCAAGGAAGGCTGAAAGAGGCAGAGGAGATGTTCCTGCGCGCACTGGTAGGCAAGCAGGAGGCCCTCGGTCCCGATCATACGTCCACTCTCACTACGGTTAACAACCTCGGTGTTCTCTCTAAGGATCAGGGGAAGCTAGAAGAGGCGGAGGAGATGTATCAGCGAGCACTGGCAGGCTATGAGAAGGCCCTGGGTGCGGATCATACGTCCACTCTCACTACGGTCAACAACCTTGGTCTGGTCTACAAAAAACAGAGGAAGCTAAAGGCGGCCAAGGAGATGTACCAGCGAGCACTAGAGGGTTATGAGAAGGCCCTAGGTTCACGTCACAATAGGACCCGGCAGGTTATAGAGAGATTAAATAGGCTAGGAACCGTGGATGCAAAATAGTGCAGAAACACTGCCCGCCATAGAAAATATTTCCTTTAATTTGACGTGCTTGTGGTCGTGGCTTCGACGTATCTAAGTTCGAGGCAAAACGCCACCTTGCTACCGAGTCCTGACCATGCAGTAAGCATCCCAACAACTCACAGCTCATGTTTTCCAATCTTCTTCGATAACAATGGCCTTTGACGGTCGCTTTGTGTCACCAGTGAAAAAGATTCATTTCGTGTAAGCTCGTGAGGAGAGCTGCTGCCACGTGGCAGATCGTCTCGGTTCAAACCATTTGGTTTGGTCGCCTTGTCAGATTTGCACTTTGGGATTCCACGGAATCCCGTGGCATGCGGGATGCAATGGTAATAAAGTATTATGTGATGAGGCTAGCTCAATAATTTATTCGCGCTAAGCCCTTGGCGGCGGGGCCAGACAAGAGATAGTTATTCAGTGTGTATTGGTCAAGCCGATTTTGAGAAGCACTGTAAGCGGGGAAAATAGATTGGGTCCCTTCCATTCAACAAAGCAGCAATCTTCACAGCTAGGGAAGAGAAGACAATATATAGTCAATGGGAAACTGGTTGGCCCGCAATAGATTTGTGATGGTGGAAATGGTTGCCATGGCAGGGATCGGTCTTGCTCCTCGCAACAACCATCCCAAGCATCCACAGCGTGAGAAGGAATAGGTATCTCCGGAAGACCTGGAAAAAGATCTTCTGGTTTGATTGGTGGTGTCGTCTGAAAGTTTTGCAACCCCGGTTCATTCCCTGAGGTGGGTTAGTTGAGTATTGTTGGCACTGCACGATGAACCATTTTTACCCACAGTTCTGCATATTCCTCGGCAAAAAGCTACAAGGCGCGGATGTGCGGTGCCAGGCTTGGCTGATCTTCCGGAGTTCGTACAGCCCTTCCTTTATTTTACAGTTTCACGGGGCGGATTCAAATAAGGCAATTCATCTTTTGTAGGCTTTCACAGTCCCGAAGGAATAATGTTGTTAGTGGGAGCGACTATCACCACGGCCATGACTCTCTACTCCACATATACTGGATGGGTCTTTTTTTCGTCCGTTTACTCGAATAGGCTCCGAATCGATGCGCAGTCAACCGATATCTTCACCAGAATTCAACAGGTGATGATAGTTACACTTGCCGAGTAAGTCTGGACTTTTTTTCCCTTATCCGAGTCCTCAAGGGCGTTCGAGTTTCCTGGCGTCTTCGACCCAGCTCGCCATTCATGCCGTGCTCGTTTCAACATGTTCTGTGCAATGTCGTGTTTTTATGCTTATTCTGTCCTTCTTTAACGGAAGTTTCGTGTTCTTCTTCGTAGCCATTTTGCTTACCTGCAATTGACTTGTTGGGATGTGTAGTACAAAGGAGTCGGGGCTCCCTTTCGGTGAACGAGAAACAGGAAATCGCAAATAACATGCTTGAGGATCTCCCAAACGAGCTCCTGGAAAATATTGCGGAGTGGGTGCGTATATGCTTGCGAAACTTGGGCACTTTGCTCACACCCTTAGTCACCACCCCCTGCTCTTCAGTCCCTGAGCCGCGCCTCCTCGACGCTCTACCATGCTCTGCTCCCTCGGATTTACCGGGTGGTCGTGTTTTGTGCTGCGAGTGAATGGGCCTTACTGCCGGAGCAACGAAAGAGCAGATATGAGTGAGAACGGAAGGAACGGAGTGAAAGGGGTTACAAACCGTGGCTCTGCGTGAGGCTGACTTGAAGGCTGAGTTGATGCTGCGAAAAACACAGCCAAATTGCGCGCCAAGTCTCGCTCTCATTAACGCGAATATATGGTCATACAAGTGATGTGTGCGGTTTTCATCATAGGTGGGGGAATTTCCTTCTATCTGTCCAATTATATTATTGATCCCCAGGTCTCATACTGTATGAAGTGGAGAAGAGGTTGGATCTAGTTTGATTCTTCAGGAATCAGTTCGTGTATCAACCTGAACTACTGATTCGGTCTCGTACATTTCCTGATCAACAGACGCTCTACACCTATATAAGTAGATCCGTAACATACGAGGAGTATAGCTAAGCGTTAAAGCGATGTTACTGATCACATCTTAATGGTTAATTTCGGTTTAGGTCCTGTCACTGGTTTCTTTTCAGTTGGCCTTACTTTCTTTGCCTTTGACAGGAGAGAGCCAATATCTTCGAAGCCCAACAAACTGGCAAACATAAGCGCCGAGCGTCCGTACTTGTTTCTCGAATAGATATCAGCTCCAGCACTTAGCAAAACCTCCACAGCAGGACAATTGCCGACAAGAACAGCAAGGAGCAGTGGAGTTACTGATTCAAGTTCTTGAAAAACATTGGCACCTGATGTAACAAGGAGACGTATCATTTCAGCCCATGATTCTTTTTCCCCTCCCTTCCAAGTCGGAACTGGAAAACGGCATATTTCTCTGATACTCTGTTCGCAGGCCATGTCAATAGCTTGTAAGAAGTGAGGCCCTCCAACAGCCAGATGCAGTAGAGACCAGCCCAAGGCAGGGCGATGAGGCTCGGTTTCAGCTGCTCCTGCCTCTAGAAGAATTCTGACACAATCAAGATGGCCATTCGCCACGGCAAGCCATAGGGCTGTTGCTCCTCTGCGTAACGGTGCTAATTTCGCGCCATATGCTATCAGTCGGTGTACCACATCTGCGTGTCCGTTGCTGGCGGCGAGGTGAAGAGGAGTCCCAAAATCGTGGTCCTGCTTTTGCGTGGCCCCTAATTCCAGAAGAAGTTGGACTATGCTTGTGTGTCCGTTTTCAGAAGCATAATGAAGTGGATATACCCCGCTATAGTTCCACTCATCGACACTTGCGCCACTGTTCACGAGTATCTTAACGATACTCAAGTTCCCTTGCCCTGAAGCGAGTACTAATGGAGTGGCTGCGTGGTCTTGTGGCATTTCGCTTTTTGCACTGATTTGTGCACCAGCAGAAACTAGGAACTCTGTTGTCCTTTCATAATTCTGCTTGACCGCGATATGCAAAAGGGTATTGCCATCTTCATCGTAGTCGCTTAAATGACTTGTTCCAACAACTATTTCTGGTGCCAATACTGTGCTTTCAATCAGTACAATTTTGTCCCAGAAGTCTAAATAGTGCACGATCATGAGTTGAAGTTCAGGCAGAAGATTGTGAAGTGAATGCTGTTTAGGTCTTAATTTGTGTGACATCTCTTGGAAAAGCCACTGAACCTAGAACGATTTATTTGGTGAAAGGCTGGGATGAAATTATGAGGACGAGGTTGAGGGACTACTGAGTGGGAGATCTTTCAAAACGGCGGGTTCCTGTGTTGAGTCGGACCCAAAAAAAAAAAAAAAAAAAAAAAAAAAAAAAAAAAAAAAAAAAAAAAAACTTGCTTTGGACCCGCCGGCTTCGAAGCGTGCTTCAGTGTCATTGGAGAAAGCATTACAGGAGACAGCCCTAGTTCCAATTCTCGCGCCGAGCCTTGCTCTCATTGCTCGTCTTCGATTCGATGGTCCCTCACTTGCCGCATACCACCACGTGTTTGCTTTTCGCTTCCTTGATCGTTTCAGGGCCACAGTGTGCGAAGCGCGTGTCACCAGCCCAAGTCACCAACGGCGGTTCAAGCCCTCTGATGATTGGTTGATCTCAGCCAAAGTCTTAGCTGGTACGCCCAATCGGATTGCCGCAGTCCAAATTACCCAAGCAATTCCGGCCGTGATCTGCTGGGATCTGTGCCTCATTTGTGATTGGAGCGCCCGTTGCCGAGATTCAACAAGTAGGGCATTCAATTGAGCACCGATGTTACGTACGAAGTAATTTCGACTAATCCAGAAAAGCTAGCCCAAAATTGTCTCCTTTTTTCCTAATAATATAAAGCTCAGATGATACCATCCCATAGGTTCTCCCCGCCGTTCTGGTGCACTGATCGATGTCTCCGACCCATTGATTTTAATAGTGTGCTGCTAAGATTATCTCCTTTAATTTGCGTTTAGGCAGCCCGCATCCTGCTAATATAGCCCTACGCCCCGCAAGAATTAAATCGGCTGAGTCTGTCGACTTTTTCCTGCCTTAAGTATCCAGTCCGCTGCCACAAATTGGGTTAATGCGCGATAATTTACAACCGATTTTGAAGTTGTTAAATTCGTACAGGGAAATTCTTGATCAAAACGGGAGCGTCGCGAAGCATCTCTATATACCTCTCTTTAGCAGCAAGATTGAGGACAGGATAAATAGGTTGTTCAGCACCCCTCGTCCACAGATCACGGGGCTAGCCAGTGATAATCACTGTGACGGAATTTGTCCTAGTTAGGTGAATCTCATCCAAGAGTCAATCTCCAAAGATCAGTTTAAGTTATCGGACGGGTACCGATACCGCTTGTTTTTTCGGGGCAGGGCTTTAGAAATATGCGAAAGCGATCGTGATACACTTTTATCCGACGTACTCTGAAAGCTGCGTTAGGTACCCCCCGAACCCGAAGCTATATGATGACTCGATCCCTTTGACCTCGATAGGGTTTGCAGGATTTGTCGTCTTCTTTGGCCCTGCATGAAGCAGGCCGGGGATTTCCTGCCAGGACTAGGCCTGTTCTTTTCCTTTGTGCTTCAGGGCCTTATAGACCCTGTTCTGTTCCCTTCTGCTTCTTCTTCCTTTTCCTAGTCGTCTTCGTCTTCCTGTTCTAGATAGACCAAATTTACTCAGTCTCCTTCTTCTCTCTTCGCTTCCTGTGCTAGCAGTGCCGTGGGCACTGTCAATATATAAACAGAGTGTTATGATATATCCCGGCATGAGGTTATTCCCAAGTGTTGGTGCCTCAGGCTTCCCGGACCTGATAAGCCGGCAGGCTTTCTGTGGAGGCTCGCTGGGGCTTCGGCATCAGTACGTGTACGAACTCCTGCAGGGAACACCCTTAACAGAGGTTATATAAGCCTCGTGTTTCACCCCGCTCCCATTTCCCTACCAAGGATACATCTCCTTCCTGTTTGAGCGATGAGACTGTATATAAATTGACCCATGTTGAAGAGGTTTTACAATCCTCAAGAAACAGTCTTTGAATACCTGACACTATTGACCTGGCTCCATTTCTCCTACCTGATTGACAGGCCTCTATCCTGACTTATAGAGTATATTATTACAGGACGGCGGCAAGCGGTCTCCTCCTTTCTGCCACTTCCGTGCACGTGACATGCCACTTCCGCGCACGTGATCCTACCCTCGGCAAAGTGGGTCCCATACTTAAGAAACCAACCCCAAGTACAGTAGGATACGCCCGTATCCCGGATACCCCTATAGGTTAGGGCGAGGGTGATAGGTGAGGGACTGTTGTCTATAACTACCGTTGATTCTTAATAGACAGCGTTTATTATTGCTTCAATTAGATTAAATAAATTGGATAAATAACAGCCTGATTGTAAGTTCAAAATAGGTGAGAGGAACACAGTTGGTGTTGAAAGGTAAGAATGTGTAAGTTTCAACAGGGTTCCTGTCGAAAAGTAGGATTGAATTGGATTGGTTAAATAAAAAATATTTGCTCCACCGAGGCTTGAGTCCGTGCTTTCCTAATGGTTTCCGGACCCCTAGGTCTCTCTGGCTTAAAATTATTTCAGCCTGCTTGCAAAACACTGTGCTTAACTCCGCTCCATCCCCGGCCCTCGGGCGAGACCGGAGTCTGATAAGTAGTTCGCCTTTGGAATGGAGCTATAACAGTGGCTGCACAGGCTCCCCTACAGTAATGGACTAGACCTAGCAATCTTAATACAGTATAACGCCTATCACCATCTCACACTGTTTGTCAAGGCTCTAGTTACAATCGCCAATATACCTAAATCGGCCTAGCGTCACTATTGGCAACATTAAGAGAGACAGTACGGGGTACTTCGTTATCGCCTCGGCAGTTGAAGATGTTTAAAGTATATTCTGGAGGAAGCATTTTCCAACTTGAAAGGACTAATAGAATTCATTCGATGAAAGTAAATGTGGAGCTGGGATGGGATCCTAGACCACCAAGGTTGAAATTACCCCGTCTTTGTCTGGAATGGGAAGGACCCTTGCCCTAAGAATTTTGGTCCTCAATCTTCTCTTTTTCGGGGAGAGAATCTCCCAATCTTCGTAGAAATAAACGTTCTCTAGCAAATGTGGGGTCAGGTGGAGCTTTTTGGCGTGTTTCTTGAGGGCAGGAACTTCTTCAGCAACTGCATCCTCGGGTTCCGGATATTCCTCAGCAGGAGCGGCAGTATCTTTGGGATAAGCTTCGATTGGAACCTTATCAGGCACAGGTTGGTGTCTAGCAGGCAGATCTTCTGTCTGTAATTCTTTATTCCTTTCCACCGTCACTAACAGTTCTTTCGCCGAACTATTCTGCCTATGGCGGTTATTCTGGTCCTCGATGGTTTCGCGAAAACATAGGCGGCTAGATAGTATTTCAAGCATCATCTTCGTCACAACATTATTAAAGGAGTGATCTTGACCTAGAACTTGATAGAGTGAATCGAAATTTGATGTTGATTCTCGGGGGCCAATCATTTCTCGAAGCTTGATCTAATATGGTTCGAAAACCAAGTCTCATCTTCAGGGAGCTTTAAAAAGACCTCCTTGTTATTTAAAGGATCTTAGGCGTAGCCATTGCTTCGCTGAAAAGTTCCATATACCGCTTAGTAAAGGCTTCGAGAGCCGGAAGCTTGTACGCCCTAGATGCCTAATAGGCAAGGACAGCTCATCGATATTCTCTAGTAATTCCAGGCTCGCCTTCCTCGAGTGTGGAATTTATCGTTTCGTAGCTTCCTAAGTACAAGAAGTGCACTAATGTATAACCAGCACCCTCATAAATATTAGTAAGCTCGATAGTTGTGGTCCCAAAAAGTTAGTGGTCAAAATGCGGATGTTGCTGAAGAAAATAACTAGGGAGACCGTACTTCTGACACCGGATGCTGACTATGACAATTAGAAGTTCGTAAGGTCCACTACAGGTCAGAAGATATCCAGTGCAGGTGGGTTGGAATCCTCACGATGACAATGGCTGGTCGTAAGGGATCTTTGAAGCTACCCGAGCAGGCGTTGGATGCTTGTTCACAGAACTGAAGCTTATTAGCCTGATACAAAAATTGTGGTCCCAGCATAAGCACGGTGACTCCCAAGAAGAGGTTTGAAGCTCTCAGGATTGCGGGTTAGCTTGCCTGGGAGTTTAAAATCTGTCTCTAGGAACATGAACACCCATCCTGGGAGGTATATTGATCCCATAAGCACGTCCGTCGACCCTGGGATATGGACAAGGTGTGTTTTGAAAGTGCGCAAGAAAGAGGAAGGAGTTCAGGGCAAAGAGTGAGCTTTGCGGCGAAACAAGAGAACAAATGACTCGTACGACAAGGCCGTAATGTGTAGTGTGCTTTCATTAGTTAGAGCATCTCCAACAATCAGAACACCTCCCCCAGTCAGAGCACTTCCCCGATGAGCAAATTTCCTCGGTTTAAACCCCGAATGGGCCATTTGATCCTCCTTTCTACTTTTAGATAACCACCCAAGGAATAATATAGCGAATCATGCCTGGTATTTATTCTCCGAAAGCAAGAATTGAAGGTCGCATGCGATCAAGAAGTTAAGCTACTAGTTCGATACTAATTTGTTCACCCGAGACCAAATTGAAGTGCTTCAAGGTAGTGAGGCTCCATGCTCCAAACCCCCTCGGGGGTTGCCCTGAGAAGAGTTTGCGGCTCAGTATGTGTTTGGGCACGGGGCACAAGCTTTGGCTTTGGGGTAACCAGTCAAAACGGATTAGGAGTCGGGTGTGTGGGGGGTGGAGGCGATCTCCAACTAATGTTACTGTGTACAGAGACCTAGCGAGGGCGAACCTTGACTGGCTAACATAGTACTAGTGGTAGGAATCAGTATACATGGGTCTTTTTCTAGCTGCATATTGGTTAAGCCACCGGGCACGTCCGCGCTGGAAGTGGTGGGCCCCTCTGCCTGACTCTCCAGACGAAGTGGTAGCTTGGAGTAGTAACATGGAGTAACATGATCCTGGCGCGCTTCTCGTTCCTTTCTGCCTAGGAGAAAAAAAGAACTAGCGCGACAGCTACGACGGCGCCCCCGAGAAAGTCGACGCCAGGGGAGGGGGGGAGGGGGCCAAGCTAACCGATGGATCTGCACCCGGACGGCATGGCGTACAAAACTTTCGTGACGACGACTTAGTTTGCCTTAGTTGCGCCATGAGTTCCCACGTACCCCTGTCCTGCCATCCCCATCCGCCCATCGACAGAGCGCTTGTCCACTAGGACGTTGTCAGTAGTGGTCGGTGGTGGTTCTGGAGACGACGACCAACGGCGCAGGGACCCATTGATAGCGCCCCCTCCCCTCCTCCACACACTCTCCACAAAGATTCTGCAGCCAATGGATGCCCAAGGACGGTCGTGTTGATTGATTGTCCCCAGAACCGCTCACAGCCGACGCGATGATCAAGCAGCCAGGGACTCATTGGTATCTCGAGTATCTGGCCGGTGCACAGGATGGTATCCCAAGCCGAGGACATGTCGAGGGCCAGGCTGCCAGAGGACGGCTTCTTATCAGGCAGGGCCAAGTGGCCCACCAAATCATGCGACGCGCAGAGTCCTCCAACGGCCTCTTTCGGCGGCACCTATCCTCTAACTGCATCTGACGGTCGCCTGGCCCTCCGAGACGATGCAGACAGGGCAATCTAAATGAGGCATGCCTCCTGCAAGCCACCCCAAGGTACAGCCGTATTCTGGCATGGGGGGGAGGGGATCGCAGTAAGCGGGTAGACGAATGCTGTCCCCGCCGCCAGTAGGACGGCAGATATCCAGCAGTCGCCCGGCGCGTCATGGTATTAAAGGGTGGCACAACCCGGCCCCAGTGATGGCGGGGAAGGTTGGGGCCGAATCACAATTGGTCGATCAACGTACACGGGGTTGTTGATCATGCAGACGCAGCGAAAGCGCACAGTATCCTCATGCATTCCGTGCTACACCAGGAAGCAAAAAGTATCGTGCCTTTGCGGATACGCATGCCCGGACATGTAGTGTCAAGCGAAATAGCGACAGCTGACGTGCACATAGTGTAGCCGCGAATGCCCCTGCAACCATTGCAACCGCCGTGGTCGGCCGGAAGAATGCGCCTATTTCAGCTCCCACTCAATTCGAGATCCCAAGACGACCCCCCTCCAGACGCCAAGGTGGGACGAGGAAGACAAACAGATTGGGTTGATGCCGCAGAAGGAGAGGGTCGAATCGAAAGCCTTAGAGGTTCCACCCCGTGCGGCAGGGTCGAAACATTCGCCGGCCCACGCATGCCCTTCATCGCTGACAGATGTTTTTGGATATTCTGGGGACAGCAGGTACAATATCGTGGTCCTGCTGCGGAGGGTAAGCCGGCTCCATCAGAGAGAACGCGCGGGTGACAGTTGCTGATAGGGCGGGGTGGAAATCTATAGTTAGGGCTACAAGATGAGGGCCGACAAAGGAGTCACGGCCAGCTGGTGCCCCAGGAGATGGCGGCGGAGGTTCAACACGCCCTCGAAAGGGTCCCAGACCGTCCGATCCTCGATTTCCTGGTCCGGTACTTTGTCGCAGAGGTTGAGTGGTCTCTGCCCATGATGGCCCAGCTGTAATTCCTTCCGGGCATGTCGCTGACCATGGGCTCTTCTCATTCAGGATTGACCAGCTCCTTCACATTCCCTCGTTTCTGGATCAGTATCGACGATGGTGGACCCTCAAAACACCCTTTTCGGTCAGGGACGTTGAGTTTATGGTTCTTGTGCTTCGCATCTGCTCCTATGCATCTCTCTTCCTCCCCTCGCCCTCCTACACGATCGAAAAGATCCGGGGAATGTTTTTGACCGATATTAGGAGTACTTGTCATGAGGGGGGCAATGACCTTGCGATGATATGCCTGCGTCTGGATGCCGGAGGTTCCTTGCTGCGCGTGACGCATCTCTGCTTCATGGGCTTGAAGTCCCAGTGCGAAGGACGGACGAGTGCCTTCTGGACCTCACTCGCCTGTGCAATTCAGATTGCTCGACGGATAGAAATGGACAGTGAGGCGAGCAAATTCGCATCCGGGGGCGGCATAGATCACATTGAAAGGGAAACGTGGTGGAGGGTATTTTGCAACCTCTTTATATGGGACAGGTACGGCACGACATGACTCCCCCTTCCACTGTGTTTATCGCCTACCTTCCGGACGGCTAACCCGCGAGCGGGGACACACCCGTATATAGTCTTCCCTCCAGACAGCTCGACCGCACTGATGTGCTTCCAGTTCAGTTGAACGACAGCAACCCAGTGTTCCCTGGTCCAAACATTCCGACCCCCAAGGGGTTCGTGGCGCGCGTTCTCCAGGCGCGCCTGGCTCATTTCTGGAAGAGCGCCGTCACGGCCAAGGGCCATCAGCAGTATGATATCCTGGTCGCTGAAGCAAGATATGAGAAATTCTGCACCGACTTCCTACCCAGTCTGCCGCCCGAGTTTGCGATCGATCAGCAACAGGCGGCTCCAGACCGACCGGTGGACGAGCACCCACAAGATCCAAAGCTCCCCTTGCAAAGGCAGATACTTCATATAGCCATCTTCAGCTCCATCTACTACAACTTCCAGCCAGCGCTCCTGCAGGACCCAGTCCAAATTCGGTCCCTGCCCAAGTACAAGCAGGTCTTGCTGTCGTCTCAGGAAAAGGCCATCGCCGTGGCGGCACTGAGGGTCCTCAACTGCGTTTCCTCCCTCCACGCGATGATGGGCCGGTCTCAGAGCCGATTTCCTGGTATCATCCAGCCCGCATTTGAGGCGGCTGTACTCCTTGCAGTCCTGTGCATCAGCCGCGAGGATCTCTGGGCGGAGACCGGCAATATTTGCAGCCACGCCGATCTACCAAACACACATGATACCCCGAACCCACTCGGGGCCCAAATCGAGGCCCTGAAGCGGGAGGACTGCATGCGCGCCGTACAAGATACACTCTGCCATTTACAAATGCTGGCCGAAGTGAGTACGTTGGCCGAGGTGGGCGCGCAAACACTAGCACGACTGGTAACTAAGGCTGCAATACCCAATGCCGTTCTCGCTACAGGGACGCCGGAACAAACTCATATTCAGGCGAAAGCGGGACACATGATAACAACAAATATAACTCCCGGGTTCAGCGGCGGGGAGGATTGGAGTGATACCAATTTGAGTACGGATATAAACATGCATCTGCTGGATTATTCTGATTCCCACTCCCTTCCAGCGTTTGACTCAACCATGGCATTTTCTGCTGACATCAATTGGGAAGTGTTGGAGCCGTCCGGTCTATAGGGAAAACTGGGTGTTCAAAACATCCATGCGCATGTAAATGCGGCTCCTTCATAATACTCTAGAGTAAGTATATTGGCCAAATACAGGAGGACCTCATGTCAAATTAACGAGTAAGAGAAAACATGAAGCTGGAAAAAGCAAAGTAACAATATAAAGCGCGATTTGGAATGAAGGGAAGATAAACTGATAAAGTAGAGACCCCCTACTCCCTAATCCCAATTCTAGTGAGGCGTAATTCCATCCTGCCCCCTTCTTTAAGGTGTTTCATCGTGGATATTGACTTTTGTAGTTGACGGAAGTTATAAGGCGTATTAGGATCGGAAGTAGACGAGCACGTAGAAGGGGGAGTAGGCGTACAAAGCTTAATAGTAAGCTTGCTAAGCACTCGTTCCGGGCTCAGAGGGACTAATCCGACTACTGAAAAGCCGCTTTGAATATTTTTTTGAAGTATAAATGCCTCCGTAGGTGCAGTTGAAAACAACTCAAGAAACTCGATCTTCAGGATATGATTAGACCCGAGCCGGGCCTTGCCTTCAATCAAGCACCCATACGCCCCGCTTCCAAGGCGAAAAACATCAACGCCGAGCGGCTACAAGAGACGAGGTGAATGTGAATGGCATGCAGATAGGAATTATGTTGCTTTTGCTGCAAAGCTCGTCAAATTGAGGCGTTGAACGACTGCCGTTTCTATCCAGGATTAAAAGACGATATCTGCCCTTCGTACCGGCCTTGGTAATAGGAATAAAGAGCTTCTCAAGCCATCGAAAAGTGATCTCGTCCGTCGTCCATCCATTATCGCTAACTTCAAAGGGAGAACCCGGTGGGAAAGAGATGTTTTCGTACTATCCCATTATATGGACTTTCCCTTTAGAGATAATATACGGCGGGGAGCCCAACCCGCACAATTAACGCATTCAATCGACGTAACCCATTCCCGATTGGTAATTCAGACGGAAGATTGATTATTATTTAACTTCAAGAGAATTACATGACTTTATATATACAACGAGAAGATCAACTTGACTAGCAATCAACTTGTTATTTCGTGTAGATACCGGGAAATTTGTTCCGTTGCTGCGGCTTAGTTCCTGATTTGCACCAGCCTCTTATCACAACTCTTTTAATAACCATAGGTTACTGTCTCATATACTATCGTAATCATAAGATTATTGAAGGCCCCAGAAAATAAAGCGTGTGTCCTAAACTTCATCAGCGTGCTCTCAGATATCTTTCACAGCCGCGCCGTGCGTTCCATCCTTTTGTCCGGCAAGAACGAGCGTACATTCTTGGGCTTCCCTCATGAGCTCTCTTAATCTATCTATAAAAACTCAATTGTGCTGAAGAAATGCAAAGTAGATATTTCACTTTGCGAGCGTGCATTTAATATCTTCGAACGCAAGTTGCTGCTCCTGAATTGGTCAGAATCCTATATACTTTCCCCTTTTTTTTTTAATAAGGTAGACTACTATAAGTTGCGAGCGGTTCGGCCCGATCAACATCAATTTCATATTGATCAAGCGGCCGAGACTGATCTAAATAAGCCCTAGCAGTTGGAAGATCCGGATTTTAAGCATCCATGATTGCAATTAGAATATTTTCACGATTAATATTTAAAGCTAGTATAATTAGATGCGATAGGCGCTCTTCTATAGATGTTGAACAAATGGATGATTTCGGGATCATGCCTAGGGCGTTCAGTGGCCTCTTAATAAAAAGTGAATCTCCTTCCTGAAGCGGAAGGTAGATCCTGAAAGTGAAGGGGAATAAAAGTGAATTGAATTGATTCATATCCTTAATCTTCTTGCTAGCTAGGTGAATTCAGCGTTCTTCTGTACCTGAATTTAAGATATTGCGTCATTTCAGTGAGTGAATTTTTCTTTCAATAGGAACAATGAATGGTTGAGTAGAAAGGAATAAATGATGATATCATGAGTGAATGCCTAAGTTTGCTGGTTGAATACCCAAGGCGTTTTAGTGAGGCTTCTTTGCCTTTTTAAGAGTGAATATTCCAATAATGATGATGATGATGATGATGATGATGATGAATTCATTCGCCCTATGTAGCGCGCTCTAATACATGCTGCTATGCGGGAGTGCTGTCGGGCCAGCCAACAGCTGTAAAGTGGGTGCCAGCCGACTGAACAGTCGCGTTGTGGGGTATGGCCGTTTAAGAAGAGAAATATGTTACATAAGAATAAAACAAAGGAAACTTAAACGAATCTCTGCCCCATTTCCTTAACGATTCGGGGGCACTACTTGACTGTAGCTACTGTAGCCGTTGACTGCCGCTCACGTGTTCGTTTAGATCAAGTAAATACAGTGGACCTGGCACTGCACTCCTTACGGGCACTATCCTACTCCTTCTATCACACTGTCTTACGAGGGATTATTTTCGTCGGCGCCTTTCTTAACCCCTCGAGCTATTGGGTGGGTTTCTTGGAAGTGGCCTAATAGATTCGCCCGTATTATGAACTCGGCCACAATTGTGCGGGCCTCTGGGCGCGTTAAGACGTCTTCGAATCGCAGGGTAATGCCACGACCCGAGAGAGCGTTTCTTATCTAGCTGTGCTCGTCCTGGAGCAGCGGACATTCGAGCAAGATGTGACGGACAGTCTGGTTCCCTAGATTGCAATCATATCTGGCCGAGTCACGCCGACTGATTCGATGTAGTTACGCTGTAAGGCCTATTCAGCCGGTGCGAAGCTGTATTAAAATTGATGGAGATCCGATAGGGATCTCCCTCGAGGGAATCCCCGGTCGGGATTCTCCTGGAGGTTGGTTCCAGGGCCAGGTTGATTGTTCTGCTTCGGCCTATTTAGGCCTTCCCTTCCTTTGTTTCCTTTCTTCTGCAGAGATAGTTCTCCAAGTATTCGAACTAGATTGTTCCTCTCTTCCCTGCTTCCTTGCGTAGTGGCGATAGATCGCCATCAAAAATCTGATAACGATGCTCCCTAGTTCGAACTCGCCAGGCCTCGGAGAGCTTGGAGGGAGACGTCCGCCTTTTTAAGTATCTTTTTGCGGTGGTGATTAAACTCTAGTCCCGAGTCTAACTAATAACCTAGGTATTGTTCCGCTGTCCGGTTGTAACCACGGTATGGCCTCGAAGGGACAGCGGTGTGTATTGGGGGTCAAATTCTTGAGTGTTCACAAAATGAATCAGCGCATACTTCTTAGGATCGAACACCGATGCGTATCCTGGCCCATCGATCTGCCTTTTGGTAGGCCGAGCGGAGTTTTCTGATGGTTTCACACTCGCTGTCTCCTTTGGCCATGAAGCAGGCATCATCTACTCCGCCATTGCGGGTCACGCCTCCCCCACTGATTTCGATTAGATCTACGTTGTAGATCAAATAGAGGATGGACGGCATGGGCGATCTTTGGGGGATCCCTGTTGGTGTGAGGAAGGGCTCCGACATCATTCCGGCATACGGATCGTCGTATTTCGGTTGGATAGGAATGCCTTCACCCAGGGCACGAGGTTGCCTGGTCGGCGTTTCCTCAGGTTGTGGAGTAACCGTTGGTGAGACACGTTATCGTATGTTCCTGATACATCCAGCATCAGCAGGGACACTATAGGGTGCTCCTTTCCCTATGCCATCTTGATTCGGTCAATAATGATGTGTATAGCGTGGTCCCTAGAGATGCCTCGCCGGCCACCTAGGTGGCCCTTAGGAAGGAGTCCTTTAGTCTCTATGGCGTAGCTGATTCTTCTTGCAATCGATGACTGCTTCTAGGACTTTGCCTAGCGTATTAAGAAGCGCTACTAGCCTATAGGACTTTGCTAGTTAGTAGTCGCTCTTTGCTTGTGACAATGCCCACGGCACTGCTGGCACAGGAAGCGAAGAGAGAAGGGAGACTGAGTCAATTGGTCTATCTAGAACAGGAAGACGAAGACGACTAGGAGAAGAAGAAGAAGCAGAAGGGAACAGAACAGGGTCTATAAAGCCCTGAAGCACAAAGGAAAGGAACAAGGCCTGGCCCTGACAGAAAAACCCCGGCCTGCTTCATGCAGGGCCAAAGAAGACGACAAACCCTGCAATCCCTATCGAGGTCAAAGGGATCGAGTCATCAGCTTGCTTTCGGAGAACCACCGTGATAGACCTTTGGAAATGCGTGGGGTTGTAGCCCGTATGCATGTATTGAAAAGCTAAGTAAGTACTAGTAGGACCGTAGGTATTTCGATTAGCTTGCGCTAGAGGGAGTTAGGGATACCGTCTTCCCTAGGCGCCTTCCCTATCTTCGCTCCTCTGACCGCCTCCTGTATTTCAGCAGTGGTGATGGATAGGAATTCAATCTGTTCGGGGTACTCGAAGGAAGCAGTGTCTGCGAGGTCCGTAGGCTGGGGCTACGGAAAGAACGTCGCCGGGAATGCTTCTGCTTCTAGCCGACTATCTCCGTAAGTACCTCTAGTCTTTCCGGGCCCTAGATTTTCAATGAAGGCGTGAGACCCTTCTCGTAAGCACCGCTTCGATTTCTTGCCCATTTAACGAGACGCCATATTCACCGGGGACCCTCTTCGATAACTTGTTGGACTCGACGTCGGTGTGCCCTGGACAATATTTTCTAGACGAGACGCGTTTTCCTGTTGCGCGCCACCGTGTACTCCGTCCAGTCGTACGGGTCTTGCATCTTTGTGTGTATACAGCGCAGCCGACAGGCTTCCTTAACAGCAGACTTGCATTCGTCATCGAAATCTAGGTTCGACTATGTTGAGGGATTCGCCCACGGTGTTGAGATAGCGATCGCCGATTGTATAACATCAATAAGCAACTAGCATTAACGTTCGATCTCTGTATAATATGCCTGGCAAAGATTCTCGGCTGTCAGTTCACGCTCGAACTCCTAAATAAGCTTATTGAAGTCCATAGCACCCCAATTCCTCCGTTTCTCCTAGGGGCGGAGTGGTCTTTCAATATCGAGCACCGTTCGGACAGGGAGGTAATCTAACGAATTCCCAACATCGTCAGCCTGCTCGCGGCGGATTAGCCTACTAGAAAAACTAGAACTGATGAAGGTGAGGTCGATCATTGATGATTGATCGTTCCGAGTCCAGGTGGGCTTTCCCTCTTTGGTGATCAACTTGAGATCGTGTAGATCTGCGATCTCCAGTAATTGTTCGGCTTCCTCGTCGACCCTTGTCCCAATACCGCCCCATGCGGGATGGTGTGCATTAGTATCGCCCAAAACCACATGTTCCGCCAACGGCCGTTTGGCAAGCTCTTCCTTCAGCTGCGCCAGGTATCGCCACCAGGTCTGTTGTACACGTTATGTATAAACAGGTTTGTCCAGTCTTTGCCCAGGTGGGCCTGTCTGATTCCCAGGAGCTGGTAGTCTCCTGACATAAGCTGGTACGACCATGTGGCCGGGTCGACTTTTTTCGATACAAAGAGGCATACACCGGGTTGAGGCGGCGTCGATGTGTCTTCATGATCCTGGACTGGACGCGGTTCTGTGGGATTTACTATCATGGGATACAGCAATTTGAACGTTGCCGTTGCCGGCTGGTGGGTGGTTTGTTGGTTTTCGTTCTTCCATGGCTCCTGTACTGCAACGATGTCTGCTTGTAGGACTTTCTTGTCCCTGCGAAACGTGGCCATCACGGGCCACGCTTTGTGTACGTTATATTGAAGAGTCTCTGCCTCGGTCGTGACCATCGGAGGGGAGGACCTCGCCACCACTGCACGCTGTTGATTGTACCTCAGAGTGATGAGCTTTCGATACTCAGGGCTCGCGGGATCTAGATCCTCCAGACTGGGAGCTGGTGTGCTGTCCACGTCGACGTCGTTGATTGTAGTTACTTCGTTAGTGAATCGTGTGAGTTCCTCGTCAAAAATATTCCGTGGCAGACTGTTCTGTGTGCCGACATCCGGTGCAAATGAGGCGTCCAGCCAGTTGTTGTCATCCGGTTGTTCGTCTATGGTGTCTTCTGGTTCTCCTATGCGGCGCTTTTTGCCCGCGGTGCTGTCTCGACGGTGGTGCTTGTTCCTTGGCTCTGGTCCTCGACCGCTTCGGGCGACCTCGACCTCTCCTCGGCCTCGCTGGCTCCTCCGCCGCATGCTCTGCTGGTTCGAGCTTCAAGTCGATTATGGTTGGTGGAGGCAGCTGGAAAGGTTCAGGCTCTCGAGGTCCTTCCGATGTATGTATAGATGCATCTAGGTCGTCCCTCTCCTCGGGATCTTCTCTAGTCTGTGGCGCAGCCTTGTGTCCGTTGTTACTCTTACGAAAGTGCAATAGGATGCGGTGATATGCAGGGCAATCGGCTAACGCGTGTTTTGCCTCTTTCATCGCAGCTGCTTTCACTGCGCACTCCCGGCTGACTAGATGATGTCCGCCACCGTAGTTGTTGTATTTAATTGGTATCGCCTGGCCCTATGTCGAGAGGCACTCCTAGGTCAGGTCCCCCTCGGCACAGTGGCCGCATTTGAAGACGTTGGAACAGTGTGATTAGATATGCCCCGGCTTTTGGCATTTCCTGCATAGTTTTATCCTCCCCTCTCGACAGAAACGCACGGCATTGTGGATCTGCTTTTAATTCTACTTTCAGAGTCAAAATTGTGGGCTTCATTGCCATCTACTGTATGAGGGGTGTTGTTCGACACAATTGCCCCTGTTTTAATTCTGCTTTTGATTTGACGACCTGCTAACCCTTACAAAACTGAGATGAGGGTTACCAATGAGGAAGACCTGAATCTGCTCGTCGAGACGGAGTTTTTTTTGTTCAAAGGACTCATCTCCGAACGCACCTCCGACTTGTTGAGCAAGTCATATCGCAAGCTGACAACCAACGGCCGTCCCCGGGGCCCCCTGCCCGCCCATCCTCCGTGCATCGGATGGTCCAGGCTTAATTCGTCGTCTGTGTGTGCTCCCTTCCGGGGGGACTAAATTCTTACACCCGACGCCCGTCCATGTTCGTGGAGCGGCCGATGGGTGGCCCCTGATGGTCCTGCGCCAATGCTCCTGCGCACATGGAGGAGCGCCGGCCGAGCGTTGCAGATGAGGGCCATGGTGTCCCTATTTCTGCTCGCCTCGCCATGCCGGCACCACCGCCGCTGGCGAAAATATTAGCTGTCGCAAAGGAACCCTGTTCAGACTGGAGGTCGTTGTTGACAGTGAAATGATACCCATTCTAGACGTGACGCGTACAGCGTACGCCAGCCTGCCCCTCCCAGTATCCCTGCTCCTAGTTGCTACCGGCACCTGGATCGTATGCCAGTGGACCAAGATTGTGTACAACCTCTTCTTCCACCCGCTGAGACATATCCCTGGCCCTCGTCTCGCGGCGGCCACCTACCTCCCGGAGTTCTACTACGATGTCATCAAGTCCGGACGTTATACGAGGCGCATCCAGCAGATGCACCAGCAATACGGTCTGCCCTGTCCATTCGTTCCTGTGGTCTCGCCACCATCCCTCCCCCCTTCTTTCCCGGCCCCCCGCTGAGAAAACTTTGTCTTGGACTCTTGTGAATCAATGCCGACGCGACATCACAATCTAACAATGACATACACCCAGGCCCCATAGTTCGCATCAATCCATCAGAGGTTCACTGCAGCGATCGTCGCTTTATCGAGGAGATCTACGCGGGAGGGAACCGGAAACGGGACAAACCGGTCCACCAGGTCCTGGGGAGTGGAGTGTAAGCCTCCCGTCTGATCGGATCCTATGCGTCTGTTGAGTGCTCTGGGCCATGTGCTAAAAGGGGGACACTATCCTTTAGCGCCGAGCATGCCACCTTCTCGACCGTCAGCCACGATGTCCACCGCATGCGACGCGGTGCGCTGGCCAAATTCTTCTCTCGCGCCCAAGTGTCCCACCTCGAACCGACGGTTCGCGACCTGGCCAGTCGTCTCTGCGACAAGATTCTGAGGGTGGGCCAGGAGGCGCCATTCGACGTGACCACGGCATACAGCCTGTTCACCACCGATGTCATCTCGGGCTACTGCCTGGGCGAGAACCTCGGCTTGATCGCGCAGCAGGGCTGGGAGCCCAACTTTCGGGAACCGCTCTACGCACAGCTGCGACTCGTCTACTTGTTTCGCTTTATCCCGTTCCTCAAACATGCGGGCGTGGCGATGGCCATGTATGAGTGATATCCCATCTTCCTTCCCGCCCCCAAAGACCTTCCCCCTCCACGGGCTTCCGGGTAGAAACTTCTGGGCTAATGACAGAGGATGCTAGGTTCACGCGGCGTCTGTCGCAGGACATGGAAACCCTGTTCAACGCACTGATTGTATGTATGACCCTGTGACCCATATCGATCCGGAAACCACCCCCACCTCTTCCCAATCAGCCGGTATGCGAGTTCTTATTCGAGATGGCCAGGTCGATATGCCAAATTATGTGCGGAAAGCCCAAGCCGACCATGAAAAGGGCCTGGACAGCGGCTCCACCACAGTCTTTGGCTCCCTTTTGCGATCCAACTTACCACCGTCGGAGAAGGGGCTGCAGCGCATGACGGAGGAAGGGTTTTCACTCTTTGCCGCCGGGACGGAGACCGTTAGCTGGGCGCTGACCGTCATCACCTACCATCTTCTGTCCAAACCCGTGATGCTGAAGCGGCTGTCCGAAGAGATTCATCAGGTTGTCGACGAGACAGGGCAGGTGCCATCCTGGACGGCGCTGGAGAAGCTCCCGTACCTGGGTGCGGTGATCCACGAGGGATTACGTCTGTCGTACGGCCTGGCGAGTCGGACGTCGCGCGTCCCTACGGGGGAAGATCTGGTGTACCAGGGCGAGTGGACGCCCCCGGGAACCCCCAGCAGCCGTGCGGACCCCATTCCAGTCTCCTATGTCATCCCACGAGGTTCCGCCATTGGCATGTCCGCCGTGATCGTTCACCACGACGAGAGCATCTTCCCCGACTCAAATGCCTTCCGCCCAGAGCGGTGGCTGGACGAGCAGAACCGGCATCGAAAGGAGCTCGACCGGGCCCTCCTGGCTTTTTCCAAGGGCAGCCGTGGCTGCATCGGGATCAAGTAGGTTTTGTTGCACCCCTCCCCTCGGCCATACGATTCCGGCTTGCTAACTGTAGTCTTTTCCCCCATGTGGGTAGTCTCGCCTACTGTGAACTCTATCTCCTGCTAGCAATGTTGGTGGTGCGAGTCTTTCCTCGAATGCAGTTGTATGAGACGACCGAGAGCGACATCACGTACGACCACGACTTTTTCAATCCGTTCCCCGTGTGGACCAGCAAAGGCGTGCGTGCGGTGGTGGTCTGACGTCCATGGCCCTGGATTGGAGAGTCGAGGCATGGTGTCATTGCCATCCATATCTTCATAGAAGAAAGAGTACTGGAATCATTCGGGATCCCGGGGGGAGAGGTTGAGGTTGCTTGACTAGTGTCTGCATAGGATTAAAGGATTAAACAGATAAGCCTTTGCATGGCAACAGGTTAGCAGGATAACATGTGTTACACTCCATCTTCAACGTAGGATTACCCGCATTCAGTCCGAATTATATGATACTGGGAGCACGGGTGAAAAGTCCACATTTATTAACTACCTCCTCTCCATCCCCGACTAAGAGCAGTGGTACATATCGGCTCTCCTGCACCGCATGTTGCCGGTCCCTGACCTCAACCCTAGCCATGAAGTAACCCAGTTCAACCTGAAGTTGAATTATTAGCACCACAAAGACCAACTACACCTTCCCCCTCGCCCCCCTCAGAGCCATCAACCCGTCCAGCATCGATCACCCTGAGGCATGTCAGCCACCGCTCGAGATTGGCCACCACGGCCTCCGCCACAGCGACATCTACGGCCGCGTCCTGCCAGCTGCACGAGAGGACCAGGTCGCCGCCCCGGACAGCCGCCAGTGCCACACAAATGGCGGACGAGACGGCATTGGCGCCCATAACAAACTCGGTGTCCGTGATAGACCAGGTGGAGCGGTCCAAGGGATTTGACGGCCCCGGCAGCGCAGACGGCCGGCCCTTCCCGTGCGGAAGCCCATCGATCTCGCCGAGATTGGTAATGACCCAAGAGGTCCGCCGTGGGCGCTGTACTTCTTCGCCCAGGTGTGCCCGCCAGTCCTGCACGGCCAGCGAGAATCCAATCATGTCATTCGTGGTTCCCTGAGCGAGCTTGCCCTCGAGGTCTTTTCGCACCTGGGCGGCGGTGGTCCATATCAGATCGACCAAGGACGGGGATGCCTTGAAAGGGGAATCCTTGCCCGGTCCCACGAGCTGGTCGCCGGCCAGTGATTCACGGATCTGGGCCAGGATGTGCTCGTCAAAGGTATGGGTCGCAAGCGTCACGTAGTTGGACATGCCCTCCTCCGGGCGGAACCATGGATGGGAGGCAGGGCGCGACGGCAGAAAACGGCGCAGGTCCATCGCGGTAAGAGAGGACAAGGCCGGTGCGTCCCGGAAGTCCAAGAGGGGGGCCAGCGAGACGGCGATGAGGGCATGGAGCAGGCCGGTGAGGGTAGTTTGGTGTGAGCGGCAGGCGTGGATCAGCCGGCTGAGGTGATGGCGAGGCACGGTGATCCGACGCGATTGGGTTTGGAACGGGGTAGCCCGGATCGGGGCCCAGTGTGCCTGTGTTGGCACTCGGGGATATTGCGCCGTGGGCGTGTGGACTTCGCGGTTGAGGAACTGGCGCATGGCGTTGGGATGCACGGGGAATTGGACGATGAGCTCTGGGGGTGGAGCCAGCATCGCGCTGGATTCGGGTGGCAGCGTCAGGATGTGGTCCTGGAGCAACATCTCGCCAGCGAGGTCAGGCCGGTCATCTTGCAAGCTCTGTAGCAGGTTCGTATGGAAGATCATGGCGCTGCGGCCGTCCAAGTTGGTATGGTTGAAGACCAGGATCACCTCGATGGACCCCGCCGACCCCGAGCGGACGACGGTGACTTTCCATCCAGGCGTCGTCTGGTAATCGGTGAATCTGGCGTCCAGCAGTTGCGTCTGGCGCACAGGTTCGGTGTGCCACTCGATATGCTTGCCAAGGTCGAGCTGGTCCAGCCGGATCCAACAGGGCTTGTCCGTGTCCTCGCCCACCAGGCCAACATGCAAGGTGGGATGTTTCAGCACCACGCGGGCCACGGCTCTCTCAAACACGCTGATTAACTCAGATTGCCGGCATCGTAGGACCAGCGGAGCAGGTAGTGTGTACCGGCAGGCGAGAATGATCCCTCGCATCAAGTCCAGGCGCTGCAGGGCGATCTGGTAAGACTCGCTGTGTGCGTGGTCAGTCCCGTGAGCCGGAAGCCCTAGCTGGAGCCGTGGCCAACTTACACACACCCCAGCGAGCGGACGACGGCCATCGCTCACTTGTCACCTCGCTCTCGTTCAAAGACAAACCGTAGCATTCTCGGAGCTACAGATCCAGCCAGACTGTATCTCTTAGCGAGGATGCATTATCATCTTCTACTAGTGCCCACTCACGACTGGGTGCTCTCCATCCACGACACTCGCTGGGAGACAGCGAACAGCCACGTCGGCCGGTCGTTGCTTTGCCATCGCCATTGCTTCTTCGCGAGACAGAACAGAGCTGACAAGCTTTGAGGAAGGATTCTGATCTCTCTGCATCGGTCGAGCCGTGTCATTTCGGCCGAGCGGCTTTGATTCGTCGGCTGAAAATGGTGATGGTGGCGCCACGACCCTGGTCCATTCCACCCCCCTGGCGCCGACTGCTGGCCAGCGGCAGCCACCTGCAGTCAAGGCCACATCGCGCGCCGCTGGCTGGCAGCAGGCTGAAGATGAAAAATTGACCGATGACAAATCAAAGACGATGCCAGAGTTGATGGTCAGGAGAGCCTCCGTGGCGGTCGCGGGATAAAGACGATGGATCGATGGCCGACACCCGGGAGGGTCATCGCCGTCTCACCATCCACAGGCACCATGCAATCCAGTGAGATTGGGTATGGCGACGAGCGGCCAGAGCCCCAGCCCTTCGCCTCTCAGGGTTCGCCAACCAAGGGCGACGACGCCGCGGATGAGCCCCAGTACCCGACCGGCGCCCACCTCTGGCTGATCATTCTGTCCCTGTGCCTGTCGGTGTTTCTCGTCGCGCTTGACCAGACGATCATCGCGCCGGCCCTGGGGACCATCACGACGCAGTTCAATTCCCTGACGGATGTCGGCTGGTATGGCTCTGCCTACCTCCTGACGACCACGGCCCTGCAGCCGCTGTACGGCAATATCTACAGCCGCTTTGACGTCAAATACACCTTCCTCGCCGGCGTCTTCTTGTTCGAGCTCGGCAGTCTGGTGTCTGCCGTGGCACCCACGTCCAATGCCATGATCGTTGGGCGCGCCGTGTCCGGGCTGGGCACGGCGGGCATCTTCTCGGGCTCCATGGTCATCCTCAGCTATACGATGCCGCTGCGGAAACGGCCGGTCATGTTTGGCGTGTTTGGCGGATTGTGGGGGATCTCGTCGGTGGTGGGACCGTTGTTGGGCGGCGCCTTCACCGACCACGTTTCCTGGCGGTGGTGTTTCTACATCAATCTCCCCATCGGGGGCGTCGCCATGGTCGTCATCTTCTTCTTCCTGCGCATCACCCGTGCGGACAACCCGGCCGGCGAGTCGCTGGTGACGCGAATCAAGCAGTTGGACCTGCTGGGGGCGCTGGTCCTGATACCCGCGGTGACGATGCTCCTGCTGGCCGTGCAGTGGGGGGGAGCCAAGTATCCCTGGGGCGACTCGCGCATCATTGGGCTGCTGGTGGGCGCCGCCGTCACGACCCTCGTGTTCGCCGGGGTGGAGATCTGGCAGCAGGACCAGGGCCTCCTGCCACCACGCTTCTTTCGGCAGCGGGACGTGCTGGCGGCGATGATGTTTGCCCTGTTTGTCGGTGCCTACTTCTATCCGATTGTGTACTATATCAGTAAGTTGCCCTCGCCCCGATGACATGGAGGGCGTGCTGATGGCGTCCACCTCTACGCAGCCATCTACTTTGAAGCGGTGCAAAACGACAGCGCTATGACGGCGGGCATCAAGCTCCTGCCCTTTCTCATTTCGGTCGTTATCACGTCCATCCTGAGCGGCGTGGTGATCTCGACGTCGGGCTGGTACAACCCGGTCATCCTGGTCGAGACGGCCCTGCTGACGGCCGGCGCCGGGCTCGTCACCACCTTTGGCGTCCACACGCCGCTGCGCCAGTGGTTTGGGTACCAGGTGGTCGCCGGTCTCGGCACGGGCGTCCTCTTCCAGGCGGCGATCCTCGTCGTGCAGAACGTGCTGCCGCCGGCGCTGATCCCGCAGGCGACGGCTTGCGTCCAGTTCTTCCAGGCGCTGGGCGGCACCATCTTCCTCGCCGTGGCGCAGACGGTCTTCCAGAACGGCATCATCGACACGGTGCGCCGGGACGCGCCGGGGGTCAACCCGCACAGCATTATCGACGGCGGGGCCTCGGACGTCCGGCAAATTCTGGCGCGCATGGGGCGAGCGGACGCGGTCGACGCGGTGATTGGGGCCTACACGGTGGGCTTGCGTGATACCTTCTATCTGACGGCCGCGGCCGCCGGGTGCACGTTTCTGGTGACATGGGTGTTTTCCTGGAAGCGGATCCAAAAGGCCGTGGGGACGAGTGAGGCCGACGAGGCTGCGGTGAAAGGCGACGGCCTCGTTCCCGAAACTAAGGGTTAGTGTGTTGGTGTATGTTGTGCAAAATCAATATACATGGGTATTTGGAGAGTGGTGAATGTAACCTGGCGGGGCGGAGCTGTGGGGGACGAAACAAAGCAACAGAACCCAGATGTTGATGTGACAAGACCGACCTTGTGAGTTATAGAAGCTCGCTTGGTTGTTGTATATACTCTTTCGGCAATATTCTAGCGAGATAGTTAAACAGGTATGTCTTTATAAAAATAAAAAATGATAATAGGGCTGGTTGGACACAAGTGCTCTAAAGTCTGGCATCTCCCACCCAATTCAGAAGATATATTCTTGACTTGTCGACGCTTTTACTGTGCAGTTAACGCATACTCGCTGAGTTGATCAGCATATTGATGGTACCCGGGGGTTTTTTTTTTTTTTTTTTTTTGGATGCGGGCAGAGTGATATGTACTCCGTAGAGTCAGAGTTTATTAGTCTTAAGGTTGTACTGTTGTACCTTGGCATGCCAAGAGACCCACTATTATTTTGCCGTCAGAATTTCAGTTCCTGTAACTGCTATCTCGTGTCGACCTTCATATCTCAGAACCTGCAGTAGGATTTAAGGCAGTACCAGACAAATAATAGAACAAGAGCGGGACAAGTGTAGTGTAATCTTGATAATAACGCGTTAGCGCGTAAGTGTTTATGCTACAAAGTAAGGTAGTAAGCAGACAATAAAAGCAGGCGGTAAAGGAAGACGGTGTAGGACAGAAGAGTACCACAGTCCAAACCCTAATGAACGGCCACTGTATACTGTAGGGTCAGAACTCACCACCTATAATCTGCCTTGTCCACAACCGATCCCAGGAGTTATCTTCTAGAAATTGGGCAGGCTGGGTTGATTCTGAATCTATTCAGCTTCTCAGGTTTTACTAGATCTCTCCGGTCCCCGGCACCAGTAATGTACAATTTGATAAAAAGGGTGTGAAGCTTTGACCCCCGCCTGATTTTATTTCCTTGTATTGTGCTATAGAATGTGCATGCGACACGTCCCCCCTACTGGACCTTGAATGCCACTGTCCATCTGACACTGCCATGGGAATCCATCCTACCAGGGGACATTGGTGCCGTCGTAGACGTTGGGCCCCTTGGCCTTCTCCCATCCGGGGATCAACACCTTGGGGAACTGCCCGTTGATCTCAGCGTTGGGGCGGAACAGGATGTCCAGCGAGGCCTTGGCCCCCTGCTCGGGGGTCAGATCGGCCATGTCACCGCCGCCAAGATCGGTCTTCAGCCACTAGATAACAACCAACCGCATGTTAGAGCCAAACGGGGTACTTTAAATTGACCCCGGGGAGGAGGGAGAGGCATGGGCGTGGGCATGGGGTTGGGAATCACTTACGCCGGGAGCAATCGCCACAAAGGCAAAGCCCTCTTTCTCATAGTCCAGGGCGTACTGGACAGTGAGCGCGTTCAGGGTTGCCTTGGAGATCTTGTAGGCCGGGGCCGGCAGGTAGTGGGCCGCAGCCGCCAGCGTGATGGAGCCGAGTGAGGTAGTACTATCGCCAGTCAGCGAGGAAGCCCCACAGATTGACCGACATCACTTACATGTTGGCAACCTTTTTGAGAGAGCCCCGTTGCAAGAGGGGGAGGAACGCCTGAGTCACCCTGTGGACACCAAAGACGTTGATGGCCAAGCTCTCTTCGAGGTTATCCCTAGGGCGAAGAAAAAGAGTCAGCCTTGTCCATACCCGCACGACCACCGGCACCTACATGGACTTCACCCCGTCGCCGGCGTATTGGCAGACGCCGGCATTGTTGATCAGGACGTCCAGCCCCTTGCCCCCGAGCTGGGCCTCGACCTCGGCAGCGGCGCTCTTGATGGACGGCTCGTCGGTCACGTCGAGCCGCACGACCGAAACCCGTCCGGACGAGGCAGCAGCCACCTCCTTCAAGGCCGGGGAGTCGCCCCGCGCGGCGGCAAAGACCTTGCTGACCTGGGCGGCGGGGCGGGAGGAGAGTTCGCGCACGAGGGCGAGGCCGAAGCCCCTGGAGGCGCCAGTGATGAGAATCGAAGCCATTGCGGAGTCCCGAGTCTGTGCGGACGAGGATGTACGTTGGAATGGCAGATGGACACGGACACTGGGCCAGATTTTAAACCCCGTTGTTGGCCAGCGCCAGGGTCGAACGTTCCGATAAGGCTGGGGATGAGGACAAAGAAATGTCTGGTTGGTAAGCAACCACCCCATCCAGGAACAAAGGCAGTGAGGCAGTGGCCCGAATGACCACGGCGATTGATAATCCGTCGTCATCCATGACTATCTGCGATTGTCCATGACAATCCATCTGCGCGGAGGCGCTGGCCCCATCTGTGGACCGACGCCCGATGGATGATGGCTGACGCCCCTCCCGTGGGTCTCCCCTCACCCCGGGCCTATCGGCCGGAGCTCAGGGGTATACACCCCGCCCCCCCCGCCCTTCCCCAAACACCAAACAACCCTAGTCCTACCTGGACCCTAGACAAATTGCGTGCGGAGACAGACTGGAGCAAAATGGGAGACGGAGCCCTCACGATCGACTGGCGGCTCACCGATGGCCACGGCTACGTCCTCAACCGTCATCGCAGGCACGCGGCCGCCTGCCGTTTAAACCTGCAATACTACCTGTGGAAAGATGCGCTGACGTTCGACATCCATCCCGCCATCTATGCGTCGCTCTCGCCGACGGCCATCATCGCTGACGTGGCCGCCGGCAGTGGTATCTGGCTGACGAGCGTCTCGCGAGACCTCCCCGATGCGCAGCTCGAGGGGTTGGACTATGACCTGAACCAGACTCCGCCTCGCGACTGGCTGCCCAAGAACGTCCGCATGCGACACTGGAACGTCTTCGACGAGGTGCCTGCCGACCTCGTGGGCAAATACGACTACATCCACACCCGACTCCTCCTCCTGGTGGTGCAGGCACAGGACCCACGACCTATCATTCGGAACCTGCGGCGACTCCTCAAGCCCGGAGGGTATCTCCAGTGGGACGAGCTCGATACGGTCCATATGTCCATCAAGAAGGTGGAGGCGGGCCTGCCCACGCCGGCGCTGGAGCAGCTGCGCGACTGGTCCTGGGCCGAGGGTCGTCATGACTGGACGGTGCGCCTGGCCGACTTTCTGGCCGAGGAGGGCTTCGAGGAGACGGCCACTGACTTTGTGGGGGATGGGCTCGAGCTGGCGAGAGCGTTCAACGAGCAGCATCTGCTGACGGCGGAGGAGTTTGCAGAGGGGCTGATGAAGCTGGGCGAGTCCGAGGCGGCCGCCAAGTATTTCGGTATAGTGGAGGAGGCGTATACTGAGTCGCTGGCCGGTGCGGCCCTCTGCGTGCCCCGGGTGGTGTGTCGGGCCCGAAAGCCTCGGTGACGGGGCTTGCCTGTTGCAAGACATGCCATGAGCAGGGGGCAGGCACTGACGGAGAGAGAATTACACTCTGTGCTAGTAGCTTTTCATCAGAACTCCGACTTGCAGGCGAAGCAAATGTAGCCCGGCGTGTAGTCAGTAAGCCCGCGAATGAACATAGAGACTTATGTCGAAATACTTAGACCCATCATCTGATGACCTCGGATAATATCCCGGAGGTACGCTATGGGTGAGCATCAAGGGTTTAACCCGAATAATGTCCATGTCATTAAACGATAATGATAGCTTCTCCCGGATACATGGGAACCAGCCGCGATTGGTGATCGGATCATTTGCTTTGGGGTGGATAGTTGCACACTTTTAGTTCTATATCAGCTCGTTTCTTGAAGTGATATCGCGTCTGATACAATACATTATACATAAAAGATTCAAAGAATATAAAAGAAAAAAAAAAAGCATGCGACAATAGAAAACAGAGATCAATCTAATGAGAACTGTGGTTGTCCGAATCAGTGGACCATGAGTGGCCAACAAACAGCCTGCGGCAGGATACAACAAACATTGGAGCAATCCAGTCCATGCACAAGAAAGCACCAAACGAGGGAAGGCCATTGCCTATGTAGATGATGACAGAGCGGCGTCGGTGATGCCAGTGGCTCTGCCGCTGATACTCAGAGTCGGCTCCAGCAGGTCCAGCATGCTGATATTGACCCCCAGCGCCTGCAGGAACCAGTTGCGCAACTCGGCGGCAATCAGACTGTCGACCCCCAGATCCGCCAGCGACTTGGCCGGGTCGATGCTCTCGACATCGACAAACAGCATCTCCGCGACGGCGCGCGTGATGGCGCCGAGGACAAACGCCACCGTCTCCCCGCGGGCCTCCCCGCCGCGCGCAATCGCCGTGTCAAACGTACTGCGCAGGTGTGCCGTCGTCTCCTTGGCGCCTGGGTCCAGCGACGACCCCTGGAGGTCGGCGGCGTGTTGCTGGGCGTCGAGAAAGGCGCGCATCATGATGGCCACGCGCCCGTCGCTGTACCAACGGGGCTGGGCGACCCCGGTCGAGGCACGATCAATCTCCTGGCGCTTCCTGGCCAGCATACCGGCGGGATCGAGGTAAGTGTGCAGGTTGGCCGCCGACAGCGGATCCCCCCGTTGGCCTGCCCACTGGGTCGCCGCGAGGGCGTCCCCATTCGGATCGGCCGTCTGGTTGTTGAGGAAGACCGGCTCCGCGAGCGCCAGGAACTCGGACTCGCCGACGGCGAGGGCCTTGTTGCGTTCGAAGAGGTCGATGGTCATCGTGTCTGTCCCCACATCGGTCACCTCGTGGATCAGGCTGAATGAGACGGTCGAGGCCGGGAGACCCTGCCGGCGCCGGAAGCGCGCAAAGGCGTCCTGGAAGTTGTTGGCGGCCGTGTAGGCGCCCTGGGTGGCAAAGGCATAGACTGACAGCGCCGAGGTGGGCATGACGAAGAAGTCCAGCGGCATCGCGAGGGTGGCCTCGTGCAGATGCCGGGTCCCGGCCACCTTGGCGGCGATGCTGTCCTTCCACCGCGCAAGCGAGACCTTGTCAAAGGTCAGGTCGAGATAGGACCCGGCGGCGTGGACGATGCCGCGGATGGGACGGGCCGACGATAGCTGGTCAACGACCTGCATCACCTCGTCCCGGCTACTGACGTTGCACGAGATGCACTGGACGTCGATGCCACGCCCCCGAAGTGATTCCACGAGACTGTCGGCCCCGGGTACCTGCGCCAACTGGCGGCGAGACAACAAGGCCAGATGCATTGCACCGTGATCGGCCATCCACCGAGTCAATGACTGCCCCAGGCCGCCCAAGGCGCCGGTGATCACGTACAGCGCGTCCGCCTTGAAAGTCACCTGGGGTGGCGACGGAGCCATCCGGACGAGACTGTGGGGATTCTCAAAGCTGACGACCAGCTTGCCTGACAGCGTCGAGAAAGTGGCCAGTGCTGCCGCCGACTGACCCACATCCACGACCTCGATCTTGGCGAGAGGACCGATGGTACCTGTACGATAATAGCGGTCGACCGCATGCAGCAGGTCAGCACCAAGACCGGGATCCGACTCGAGGATGCTGGCCGTGTCCACGGAGCAGTACGTGGCGTTGGTCCGAAGTATATCCAGGGCCATCGTCGAGGGCGTATGCACCTCTACCTGCGCCACGTCAACGAGATGGCCCTGCGGCGCCAGTACCTGCATCAGGGCAGATAGACGCTCGCCTCGCGCGGTCCCGGTAATCACGTCGAAGGCGCCCTTGGCCGTGAGGGCCGCCGCCTGCTGGAGATCCCTCACCCGGCACGACGAGAGGACATGCGACCTGGGCAGCACCACGAGATCCCGAACGAGCACATTGGCCTCCTCGTCGGTGTCGACCAGCGCAAAGACGTTGGCCCCCTTGGCCTTGGCGAGCCGAATGCAGGCCTGGGCGACATCCTTGGCGCCGCAATGCACCAGGACCGCCTCGCCGCCCAGGAGCCGGGCGACGTGGTCGAAGATATAGACGGCCGTGGCATACGCCATGGGGATCGTGGCCATCTGTACGAGATCATCACCGGGTCTCACCGGGCGTGCAAAGGCCGCCGGCACCCGCGCAGAGCTGCCCAGTTGGCCCGGCCCCAGCCCGTAGACACGATCGCCGACCTCGACACCCGTCACCTGGGGTCCAACAGCAGTGACGGTGCCACTGTACTCGGACGACAGGTGGTTGCGGTCGATGCTGCCCGTCCAGGTATGGAGGTCGGCCCAGTTGACCCCCACGGCTGCCACAGCCACGTCGATCCACCCCGGCGCCAGGGGCTGCAGCAGCTCCGTGTACGGGGTAAAGTACAGCGAGTTGAGCACTCCGGGGGCCTCGAAGGCCGCTCGCACCGGGCCAGGACTGGCGGCCAAGGCTCGCTGTTCCATCTTGCGGTCGTGACTGCGGAGGCCGTAGTGCGCGTGGAAGCCGGCGTCGGGGACATGTCGACTCACCCACAGGCAGCCCTCCTGCCAGGAATACTCGCGGTCCAGGGGTTCCCCTTCGGCCTCTTCCACGACAGGTTCTCGATCGAGACGGAGCTGGAGATCCGCAATGCTGCGAGCGAGCTCGGTGGCCTCCGCGTCGCCCAGGGCAAAGTGGTCGGCATCGATGTCGACGGACAGGTACTGGCTGGCCGGGTTTTCATTCTGGAGGACACGCAGGAGGCCCGGAATCAAGGCGCCGTCGGGGCTATGTCCCGAGACGGTGCCGCAGCTCGTGATGGTGATGAGACTGGCGGCATGGCGGGCGACATGCTGGAAGGCCTGGAGATCGTCCTCGGCCGGATCCAGCAACAGGTGCTCGTCGTCGAGCAGGGCCACCACCCGACTTCCAGTGGTGACGGTCGTCGCATCCTCGGGGAACCGGCTAGGTTGAACGACTATCTGACGCTGGGCGAACTCCTCGGATATTTGCTTCACGAGGGACGGGTTCACCTTGTCCGTATGGAGCATCTGGACGGTTGGCTGGGGAGGAGACTCACCGGGCGACGGCAGCATGGCCGTCGACACCATCACTGAGGTGGTGTTGTTAGGCGCCGGAAAGTCGTCCAGCACCAGGTCCAGCCCGGAGAAGCCCGCCTGGCGCAGGGAAGCGTCCCAGCCCTCGACGCTCTGGAAGGGGGCGTCGACGCGGCCGTCGGGAATGCCTGCCCAGTAGCCGGTAAAGGTGCCCACGACGACGCCAGGGACGGTGAAGTGGCGATTGGTTTCCACCAGCACCAGACGGCCTCCCGGACGGAGCAGCTGCTGGCAGTGGGTCAGGGTGCGGTGCATGTTGGACGTGGCATGCAGGACCTGACAGGCAATGATGAGGTCGTAGGTCGCCAGCTCGTATCCCTGCTCCTGGGGGTCCGTCTCCATGTCGTACACGGAGAACTCGACGTCGTGCAGGTCCGCCATGGCATCCCGCGCCGCCGAGAGGAAGCCCGGGGAGTAATCGGTGAACATGTAGTCGCGGTACGCCTTGATGCCGTTGGGGCCCTGGCCAAAAGCGTCCATGGCGACGCGGGTGGCGCCCCCGTCCCGCCGCCAATCTCGAGGATGCGCAGGTTGGGGTTGGCGTGGGCCAGCCCCTCGAGAACGTGGTGAAGCTGGGGATAGATGCCCGTCATCAGCAGACCCGATTGATACAGCGGCGTCAGGAGCTCCTCGCCCAGGATGACGTCGATCCCAGTGCGGCGCTCGTGCAGGATGTCAGCCATGTTGTCGTGCAGGAGTTTGGCGATTCGGACTTCAATCACGTCGGTGGCCTGCTCGACGAGGTCGTCGATGGTCGACCGCAGGCGGCCATGGCGGGCGAGCCCTCGCGCCTCCTCCATCAGCTGCGATGCGTCGGTCTCGGTCTTGCGCACGATCCAGTCGAAGAAGTGGCCCACGTCTCCGGAGGGCTGCGGACGATCGGGACCCGTTGCAAACGCCTCGTAGATGCTGACGACGATGAAATGGGCCACCTTGTCGGTGATCCCCCAGAGTGGCGACTTGCCCACGTTGGCCTTGGGGGGTGGGTACATGCGCCGTGCCTGCTCGTTGCTCAGCAGGCGTAGATCTGGCTTCCAGACGAGTCGCGTAAAGGGGCTGCTAAAGGCCCGGTCCATGGCCTTGGTCTCGCTGGAGTAGCCGAGGCAGCGCAGGCCCTCCATCTGTAGCCACAGCTCACCGTTTGGACCCCGCATGCGCACATTCAAATGGGCGCTGCGGACGCCCTGCCGCGACCCCCGGGCAATGGCCATGGCCGAGGGGGCCGCCGTCTCGTGGTAGGCCAGATACAGGTGGGAGAACCGAACGGGCACAAAGGCCGTGTGTGCCTCGCTGGGTCGGCCGCCATGACAGGCAATCAGACCCAGCTGGATCGCGCCGTCCAGAGATGCCGGATGCAGTGCGTACCGCGACTCCCCGCCCGCCATGGAGGTTGAGTGCAGGTCGATGGTGGCAACGGCGCGTCTGGAAGCAGGGTCGACGCCAATCTGGGACAGGGGCTGGAACGCCGGCCCGTAGTCCAGCCCAATGGCCCGGAACTGCTGATACCAGGCACGGGTGTCCACCGAGCGGACGACTGGAGGGATCGTGTCCTCCGCATCAAGGCTGATTTCGGGGGCCTGGAGTTCGACCTTGACCTGGCCGGTGCTGTGCTCGGTCCATTCGTTGGACTCTCGCCCCATGGAGCTGATGGAAAAGGTCACCCAGGCGGGCGACGCGGCCGTGGCCACGTCGACCAGTTCCAGGCTCGTCATGACCTCGACCCCATAGTCATTCTCCGGGATGACGAGGGCCGTCTTGATGGCGACGTCGCGGAGGGACACGCCGGTGATCCTTGGGGAATCGGGAAACGTGTGATGGATGCGGGTCGCGGCCTCGACGGCCATGGCGAGGTAGGCTGCACCCGGTAGGACGGCATCTGGTGGGGGGAGAATAGGGTTAGCTGGGGGAGGAAGAGCCCGAGGATATTCGAAGAGATCACGTACCTGGAGCGAGACGATGATCTGCCAACCACGGCACATCCTTGATGCGCAGGATGTTGCACCACTGGGGCCGTAGTTTGGTGGTGCCGACGACCTGGGACCCGAGCAGATCGTGTCGGAGGATGGGGCGCAACCGGTATTCCTTGCTGGCTCGACTCTCGTGGTAGTTGAGGCCCGCGTAGGTGTACTGGTAGGGGGGCAGCTCGAGGCACGTACAGCCATGTTCGAGCCCAGCCCCAGCGACGGCATCGACGGCGTTGACAGCAGCTAAATCCACCGCGGCATTCCAGGTGAACAGGGTGCCCGCCAGCTGCAGGACAGAGCGGCGGCTGTCTTCTTGTCGCCGGAGGGTGGACGCATACGCGACCTTCTTTCCGGCCGCCTTCACGATCTGCTCGAGGGGGCTCTTCAGCGCCGGATGAGGCCCAATCTCCACGAGGCCATCAATCGAAAGGTCGTCCATGCTCACTAGACGTGTAATGGCCTCGGAGAACCGCACAGGGGACTCGAGGTTGGCTCGCCAGTACGAGCTGAGATTATCACCCACCTGACCGGGGGCTTTGCCCGGCGTGACGGAGGAAATCCAGGGCACCGGCTGATATCGACCTTCCGGATCAGAGACGAGGCCCAGCTGCTGGAGATGGGCCATGCCGTCCACCAGGTTATCCATGTATTCCCGGCCGATGGGACGCATATGGTGGGAGTGGTAGGCGTTGCCGCCGGTGTTCAGCTTCCGGTTGAAGAACCCCGCCGTCGTCAGCATGTCGGAAATGGCGTCGATGGCCGTCTCGTCGCCCGCGAGCGTCACGCTTCCGGGCGAGTTGATGGCGGCAATCTGGACCTCGTGGTCCCTGGTGTCGAGATACGGGGCCACGTCGTCTATTCCCAGGCCCACGGCCAGCATGGCGCCCTTCTTCTGGTTTCCAGAGACCGCTTGACCCCGGAGATACGCCGCCACGATGGCCTCGGCGGCGGTGATGTGGCCCGAGGCATAGGCGGCCGCGATCTCCCCCGAGGAATGGCCCGCCACCGCCGCGGGCCAGATCGACCAGGAGGCCAGCAGGTCCACCAGGCCAATCTGCACGGCAGTACAGATGGTTTGCGAGATACCCGCCATGTGGATGGAGGCGGCCTCCCCGGTACCCGTGAGGAGATCCGCGAGGGACCAGGACGGCGGATGCCGCAGGGTGCCGAGTACTTCATCGAGGTGGCGCATGGCCGTTTGAAAGACGCGATAGTGCAGCAGTTCCGCTCCCATACCAGGCCACTGGGCCCCCTGGCCTGTGAAGATGAAGGCCACGTTGGCAGGTTGCAGAGGGGCTCGTGTGATCCGGCCCTCCAGCTCGAGACTGGACCCCACGTTGTCTTGGTCGACGATGCAAAAGGCTCGTTGGGCCAGCTTGGAGCGCCGTGTGCCGAGGGTATAGGCCAGGTCGGCCAAAGACAGCTGGGGGAGTATCGGCCCCAACACATCTAGGTTGGATCGAAGGGAGTCTTCCTTATGGGCGGAGAGCGGCAGGAGAACGTACTGTCGGGTGGTTGCGTTGCGTACTGCGGTTCTCCTGAGTTTTTTCACGATGGGGCGGTGATGGCTGGAGGTTCCATTCTGATGCCCATTCGTATCGCCGTTTGTATGGCCGTTTATATGCCCATTCGTAAGTCCATATACATGATCGTCTGCATGGCCGTTCGTCTTGCCATTCAGGCCACCATTCGCATCGCCATTAGCGGCGGCCTTGTACACGCCCGGGGCCACGTAGTTGGGCAGCACGTTGTTTACATGGTCGATGATGCAGTGACCATTGGCCCCCCCATATCCAAAGGAGTTGATGCTGGCCCGTCGAAGCCGATCTGCGGGCCATGGCCGGACCTCCGTCACCGGCTCGATGCGGCCGTCGAGGAAATTGATGTTGGGGTTTCTGGTTTCCAGGCTGAACACCGGGGGAATTTCGCCCTTCTCCAGGGCCAAAACCACCTTCATCACCGATGCCAGGGCGCTGGATCCCTCGCCGTGGCCGATGTTGCTCTTGACCGAGCCCACCAGCAGCGGATCCTCGGCCGTCCGCTCGCCTGCAAAGACTCGTCCTACCGCGGCCACCTCGATGGGATCCCCGACGTAGGTGCCCGTCCCGTGGCATTCAAAGTAGCTCGTCTCGTGGAAGGGAAGATCCCCGGCGTTGCGGTAGGCGTCGCGGATGACGGTCTCCTGGCCCTGGGCACTGGGCCGCGTGATGCCCCCCGTCCGGCCGTTCGAGTTGATGGCCGTGCCCCGGATCATGGCGCGGATGGGCGACTGATCTGCCACGGCGAGGTCCGCCTTCTTGAGGTAGATGGCCCCGTATCCTTCGCCGCGGGCGTACCCCTCGGCGCGCGCATCAAACGTGTGGCAGCGGGATGAGGCGGACAATGCCCCGAGCTTGTCGAGGGCAATCTGGACTCCGGGGTCGGCAATCCAGTTGGCGGCGCCGACGATGGCGGCGTCGCAGTCTCCTGCACGGATGGCGTTGACGGCAAGATGCAGGGCATACATGGACGAAGAGCAGGCCGTGTCGACGGTTAAACTGGATTGTAGTTTGGCAATGAGCAAGCTGTGACTGCGACTTTCTCCCAGGGTATGAAGGGACCAACGTAGGAAGCGACATACCTTGGTCCATGAAAATTGAAGATGTAGCTAATCCGGTTGGCCAGAATACTGGTCCCGGCGCCGGTAAAGGCATAAGGTCTAGGGTTGTCCCAGTCACGACTCTGGATCATCCAGTGATCGAGGCAGAAATTGCCCACAAAGACACCCGTTCGCGAGCCCGAGACACTCTCCCAGGTCTCGCCGGCATTCTCAATGGCTTCGTAGGCCACTTCCAAGAGCTTCCGCTGGGAGGGATCCATCGTCTCCACCTCCATTGGGGTCATACCAAAGAAGGCATGGTCAAAGAGCCGGGCATCCTCGCTGGCGAGGAAGGCGCCCTTCATGGAGAAGGACCCGGGACGATCGGCATTAGGATGGTGAAAGCCGGCCGTCGAGAAGCGCGGGCTGTTGAATTCCTTCCAGCCATCGACGCGATCTCGCAGGAACTTCCAGAACTGCGGGGTGCTGTGGGCGCCCCCGGGCCATCGGCAGCCTGTGGACGATCAGCCCTAACTCAGCGATAGGGTCCATCCACTCCCGTGGGGGACGACTTACCCATGCCCACAATTGCTACGGGCTCATGTTGAGAGTTGGTCATGTTGAATCGATACCAAGCAAGATGCCTGAGCAGGAGGACCTAGGGATCCAATGTCATGCACACGGTGATCTTGCCTGCGTTTATGGAAGTCGTCACGCACCTCCTCCACGGATGCCCTCTTCTAGGGCAGAGATTCTACGGTGTCTCTACCCAGGCTGACATTCTCTCTGCAATCCTTCACGTCCGGACTAGGGGTTACGACCGACCCCGATGCTAGGTAGCGCTGACGCTCATCGGCCGAGCAGGATGACCGCCGTCATGCCCGACATCGGCTCAACGGCACCGATCCGATGAGGAACCTTGGCCGCCGCCATGTTGCTCTCACCCCCTCAAGACGATGGATGATGCTCCTCCATGACTTCTAAATGGCATCTACGCTCGTTCCCGAACCTGGCCTGATCCTCTCCCAGTACCAACGCAGACCCAGTGCCTCCCACCTGCTCACTATGGCCAATCAGACTGCAACCCCCTCCCTCCTGGGCCTCGCCCAGGACATCCTCCAGCAGACCGAGGCCATCACCAAGTACCTCCAGGCCAGCAACCGAGTGGCCCCAACCTTTACCCTCGACTCGCCAGATCCGCCCCATCAGGCGCCGGAATACCGTCGTCTCCATGCCTCCCTCAAGGATTCGCTCGAGGACCTGCTGCGGCTCATCGATGGCCCCCGCAAGTGGCTCCGGGCCTTTTGCTGCACGGGCTACGACCTGGGGGCGCTGCAGATTGCCCTCGACTTTGACTTCTTCCAGCTGGTGCCGGCGGACGGGGGCATCGCCCTGGACGAGCTGGCCGGCCTGGCCGGCCTCGATGTGGACCGCACCGCCCGCGTCGTGCGCCAGCTCATGACCTACCGCATCTTTGATGAGCATCAACCACGCATCATCTCTCACAGCCGCACCTCTCTGGCCTTGCGGCAGGACGAGCAGCTGCGGGCAGTCGTGCACTACTCCCTCGACGAGATGCTCAAAGCGGCAGCCGACTGCAACGTTGCACTTAAGGCCCACCCCTACAAGGCGCACCAGGACCTCAACCCGTTCGTGACGCGGCATGGGGTCGGCATCTTCGAGTTTTACCAGAAAAACCCGGCCAAGGCGCGGCGGTTTGCCAAGGCGATGGCTGGGCTGCGGAAGATGGATGGCCATCTAGACGATTTGTTGACGGAGAGCTTCGACTGGTCTGCGCGCCAGGGCACCGTGGTGGACTGCGGCGGGGGGAATGGTCATATCTCGCGAAGCCTAGCACAGGTCGGTCCCGTGTCTATGTGACTGAAAGCGTCTTTTGAGGTTTTGCTAACAGGATCCAACACACAACAGCTGTATCCCCGGCTAAACTTTGTCGTCCAGGATTCCAACGTCGACATGCTCGCCGAGGGCCGTGAATCTCTTCCAGAAGCTCTCCAGGACCGCGTGGTTTACACGCATCACAGCTTCTTTGACCCCCAGCCCGTCAGAAATGCCGCGGTCTTCCTGATCCGCCAATGCACGCACAACTGGGCGGACCAGGACGTCGTGCGGATTTTCCGGGCGTTCGTCCCAGCGCTGGAACGGTCGAGTGAGGAGACGCCGCTGCTGATCAACGACATCATCATCCCCGAGCCCGGCGTCTGGCCCCGGCACGAGGAGCGCACAGTGCGGCAGGTGGATATGGTAATGCTGGTCAACTGTGGCGCCAAGCAGCGTACTCGAGCCGAGTTTGCGGCGTTGCTCCACGAGGCCGATGCGCGGTATGAGATCCGCAACGTGTTTGACAACGGGCCCCTGGGTCTGATCGAGGTGTACCTGAAGCGATCTTGATAGAGCCCTGCATAAATCGATGATGCATAAATTATCTTTTACTTCCTGTCAGTAGGGCCAGTGTGTGGCTGCATAACATTCGTCCTTCCTGGACCCTCCATGTACGGCCGATTGTCCCAGGCCGATGGAAATCTCGGCCGACGTCCTACATCCCGGCATTGTAGCCCCCCCCCCCATATAATGTTCCGATCCCTGGCCTTCCTCTCTCCCTTGCCCTAAGGTTCATTTTCCCATTCCACTGTCATCGTCAGAAGATATGTCCGAACGAATCAGGACGATCCTCATCCTGGGCGCCGCCAAAGGCATCGGCGAGGCCATGGCCCGGCGGTTCCACCATCTGGGCAAGACGGTCATCGTTACGGGCCGCCAGGTGGAAGAGGATCAATTAGCCCAACTTGCAGAGGACTTGCCTGGTTTGGAATACCGCGTGGTAGGCTCATCCCAATTCAATCTACTCTCCGATGAGGTAATGGGCTGAGTGCCTGGTTGACAACCAGTGGGATTTGACCCATCTCGAGACGCTGGGTACCCAAGTCCAGCGCATCTTGACCGACTTTCCCACCCTCGACACCGTCTTTGTCAACGCCGGCATCCAGTCCCACTACCAGCTCTTCCAGGACCCCCCGCCGGACCATGCCGACGTCCTCGCCGAGTTGATGACGAACCTGGCAGCCCCAATTCTCGTCGCCCACGCCTTTGCCCACCACCTGCTCGCGCAGGCCCGTGCCGGCACGCCCACGACGCTCTTCCTCACCAGCTCCTCCCTCGCCTACTTCCCCGTTGCCTTCTATCCCGTCTACTGCGCCACCAAGGCGGGTATCGCGGCGTTCACCAAGAGCCTTCGGGCCCAGCTACAGGAGACGGGCTGTGCGGCGATGAACATCGTCGAGGTGGTGCCGCCCTACGTGGATACGGAGTTGAACGCGGCGCATCGGTGGCAGACCGATCGACTCCAAGGGGGCCCGGACAAGGCGGTCCAACCAATGCCGCTGGAGCAGTATATCGACCAGTTCTTTAGGGCCTTGCAAGCGGGGAAGGGGCCGGATGGGTCGCTACGGGAGGAGATTGGGGTGGGCTTTGGGGCTCGGGGGGCAGAGGTGTGGCGGGATGGGTGGCAGCGGCTGCTCCGTGCGTCGGGCATGGCGGAGTAATCCATTTTGTGTCTTCATTCGTATCAATATCATCATCCAGACTACGTGATTTGAACCAAAACACCAAAAATAAAAAAAAAAAATAAAAAAAAAGGCTTCCCACTAGATCTTCTCCAGCCGCAGGTAGCACTGCTGCGGCACACGCGCAATCCCCTCCAGCCCTGCATAACCCGACACCGCCGGCGGAGTGGCCAGCAGGCGAAAGCTCCACACCAGCATCGCAATAATTATCCGCATCTCGAGATAGGCCAGGCGTCGGCCCCAGCAACTGCGAGGGCCGAGGCCAAAGACCAACTGCGGTCCTGCCGCACCGTCGAAATCCACGTCCTCCGCCAGCCATCCGGACCCCTCCTTCTTGCGGACGAGCCACCGTTCAGGCTCGAATTGGGCCAGATCCCGACTCTCGTCCCAGGTGGCGTGAAGCTTGGCCGTACGCGAGGTCTCAGTGCGCTGGGCCTCGTCCACCGTCAGGGAGGGTGAGAGGAAGCCCGGCCCGTTGGACATGAAGAACACCTGGGTGCCCTTTTTGATGGGCACCCCCAGGACGGTGGTGTCGCACATGGCCTCGCGGGTGACGGGAACAGCATTGATGCGCAACATCTCCTCGATGACAGCATCGAGATAGGGAAGCCGGGCCAGACGGATTTCCTCGCACGTGAAGAGCCGGTCTTCGGCCCGGGCCGTCGCAAAGGTCGCGTAGAGGACCTCACGCAGGCGACTCTGGATCTCTGGCCGGTCGGTCAGGTACTTGGCTACCCACATCATGGCGCCGCTGGTGGTGTGATGGCCTCCGACCATGTCGCCGAAGATCTACGGGGTTAGTGGGAATCCTCCTTCAAGTTTTCTCGACAGGGGTCGGGCTGCAGACTCACCTCGTCGCGGATGATGCTGCTGTCAAAGTCAGGCTGGCGACCCTCCTTCTCCGTTCGAGCCGCCTCGCGCGCCACCATGTGCTCCAGTCCGGTCCGGACGTGGCCGGCGTGATAGTTGCGCACAGCGATGACCACCTGGGCCTTGAGCACGCGTTCTTTCTCGTCAAAGATCCTACGATACCAGCTCTGTTTGGACCACCACCAGGTCTGGAGTCGGGGCATAAGGGCATTGATCGTCTTCTCGACGACCTCGGGGGCCTCGTAGACCGAGTTCAAGAACTCGGCCAACGGCACGGCGGGAAACAGACATGACCCCTCGACGCCCTCTTCCTCGGCTTTCTGGAGTCCCTTCAGCAGCTCAATCTGCGGGCCCAGCGCAGTCACCTGCCAGTTGTCCCCCATGGCAAACTCGACCATGACGTCCAACGAGACGTACTCAAAGTCCCGCTTGACGCTGAACGCGCGTCCCTCGGCCAGCTCGCTCTTCATCCGCCACAACGTCAACGCCTCGAGCCCCTTGCGATACACGGCGGGGGCAACGTGGCCATGTAAGAAGCCCGTTGTCATTAGATCCTGGATGAGCTGGCGGTTGGACCGGAACTTGGGCCCCGTGGGGTAGATGCCGTGAAAGGCGCCCATGCAGGCCATCCCGTCGGACAGGAACGAGGACTTGTCAAACTCCTCCCGCCGCCGCGTCAGGATGTCGCGCGCCTCGCGGAAGTCGGCGAGCAGGATCCAGGGAGCGCCAAAGGGGCGGATAAAGACCTGACAGAGGGGGGCGTTGAGCTTGCGGACCTGCTTGGCGCACCAGACGCGAAACTCGCCCGTTGCGCGCACCTCGCGGAGCATGCTGCCAGCGTCGCCAAACAGGGAACGAGTCGCCTCTGGGTTGTAGGCGATGCCCGGGATGGGCTTCGGCAGCAGCCATGTATAGAGGCCGTACAGCAGGGTCAGGAGGAGGGCAGGAATGGCGACGAGCGCGGGGAGAGGGTAGTCCATTCTGGGGGCTGAGAAAGAGACGTTCATGGGGCAATACGGACACTGCTGATGCTGTCGATGACTGGATTCACGGGACAACGATGGAGCCACGCTGCGAACATCAAGAAGAATCAAGTCCCGTTGGAGCCGAAGCGAGTGATGGTCCGCCGTATCCCAATGGCCGTCGTGGTTCAGCCGACGCCCGACGCCCGGCCGGACGCCCGTCGGCGCCACCTTTCTGGATGATGGCAGCTTGGGCATCAGCACCGCAGCGAGACACGATCTGACGGTCCAGGAACCTGGCCTTCATGAACCAACCGGTGCACCTCATCCCTGCCATCAACGTGGCTCTTCTCAGCCGCTAATGTTGGCGGGCGCCTTCGACGAAGGTTCGGGAAGAATACGATCAAGGCTGTCGACCACATCGTCAAAACCGCCAGGAACGGACTAACAAGATGGAGAGCGACGAGAGAGCTGGGAATAATCAATGCTGAGGGATTTCTTTCATCTGTGCCGAAGACCTACGGCCCCCAAATGTCAGAAATGTCCGAAAAGCCGGACGTCAGAGCTATATCTAGGTCGTGGAACGGGATGGGAGCCCCAACTCCACGGCACGATCAGCTTGCAGATTTCGCCTGTTTTCGTCCAGGTTCATTCACCTCCCCCGGCAGCCACCATGGGCCGCTTCGGGATCCTTGCAACCCTCCTTCCCCTAATAGCGTCCCTAGCAGGGACGTCCAGCATCCCCCGAGACTTGCAGCCGGCCCCCGTCACCCGCGCCCGACTGAGTGCCGCCCAGGTGCAGCGGGAGCTGGGACGGCATCTCTCCGCCACGACGTCCATCTTTGGCCCTAGCGATGATCGGTATACCAATGCCACGGAGCGGTGGAACACCTTTGCCGTGCCCCATATCCAGGTCGTCATTGAACCCGGCCAGGAACGCGACGTTTCCATCATCGTGAGTCGTGTCTCCGGACCCCGGGGCAGGTTCGGGAAGTGGACCAGGGCTAGAACTGATGAGAACCCTAGGTCCGATATTGCAACGACAACAGCATCGAGTTCTTAGCTATCAACGGCGGTCATGGCGACACCCAGAGCCTCGGCTCCTTCAACGGCATCCAGATCAACATGGCCAATTTCCGCGACATTGCCATCCAGCCGGACGGTAAATCAGCCTGGTTCGGTGGCGGTGCCAAAGACGGGGACGTTCAGAGCTACCTCTGGGACCATGGCTACGTGACCACGACGGGTTCCTGCGATTGCGTCGGTCTCCTGGGCGCCGGGCTCGGGGCGGCCACGGCCGCCACGAGGGCCTATACGGCATGGTGAGTGACAACTTTCGGCAGCTCAACGTCGTGCTCGGCGACGGAAGGCTCGTCCGGGTCAACGCCACCAGCCACAGTGACCTCCTCTGGGCGATGCGAGGCGCTGGCCACAATTTTGGGATCGTCACGAGCTTTGAGATGAACATCTTCCCCCGGGGACCGGACACCTGGCACTACCACAACTACCTGTGGCGCGGGGAGCATCTCGAGGCCATCTTCGCCGCGCTCAACGAGCTGCAGGGCAACGGGACGACGCCAGTAGACATGACGATCAACTTTGGCAACTTCCTGATGAACACCACCGTTGCCACCGACGAACCAGTCATTTTCTGGACATTCGCCTACCGGGGGTCTGCCGAGGTGGCGGAGAAGTACCTGGCCCCCTTTAACGCGATCGAGGCCGTCTACGACGAGTCGGGCGATGTGCCCTACCCCGAGATCTCCGTCGCCCAGCAGACTGACGTGGATGCGTTTATCTGCGGCGACAACAACGTCCGCATCACGGCCACCGCCGGTCTCCAGGTCTACAACCTGACCGCTGAGCGCCTCATCTTCGACGGTTTCACCCGACGCGTCCAAGAGCACCCGGAGCTCGTCCCCGGCGCCGTGATTTTGCATGAAGGGTACTCGACCGAGGCCGTCGACGCCCAGAATCCCAACGACTCAGCCTACCCCTTCCGCGCGGATCACCACCTCATGCTCTTCCAGACCATCATCCCCCCCAATAATGCGTCCATTGAGCGCGCCGTCTGGGAGTGGGCGGGCGAAGTGCGCGACCAGTGGAATGAGGGCCAGCCGGGCCGATTGCCCAACGCGTACGTCAACTATGCCAATGGGTTTGAGCCGCTGCAGCAAATGTATGGCCACGAGCCGTGGCGACTCCAGCGGCTCAAGGCCCTCAAGCGCAAGTATGACCCGGCGAACCGCTTCCGCTACTACAACCCCATCGTTCCCAGCGAGGCGCATTAATTAGGGTTGGCTGGTGGGGGCGCCAGACGGTGGATCCGGCGCGTACGGTGTGGACGACAGGACGACGGGAGCTGTCGGGCATCGGGATGCAGCACTTCATGACGCTGTCAGACAACTTCCGTTCCCACTTTCTCCTCTCCCAGCCACCCTGGTGATATGTGCTGGTTCTTATTGTGAGTTGGTCTCAACGTACCTCGATATACTAGATAGTGGTTTCTCGTCTTCATCAGAACGGTTATTGGGGTCAATAGCTTTTATCAACAAGGTGACAGCTACGGAGTACTTGGAGGGCTATCGGAGTAACGGAATCAAAAGGGGGGATTAGATTGAATTGAAAGAAAGTGACTGATTGATTGATATGCAATAGGGGCGCTTAGGGGGGTTGAAATACCCCTAAGCTCCTCGTATAACTAAGGTCCTTCGGATATTGAAAATCCTAGTGCTTAATCTTAATAGAAATAGCTAGTGATCGCTATACAAAAGTGTTGCTTTAGATAAGCGTAGTGTAAAGGGCTGTGATACAGGACAGGGGGTCTGTCAACTAGGTAAGGAAAAGAAGATGCAAAGGAAGCAGTGGTATTGGAACGAGACTGGATCTTGGAGATCTCTAGAACGATCTCCTACGATTATATATAGAGAGGAGTTGTCACGGGCCAGTGCCCGATGTTGGTCACGTGTATCACGGGACCTCAGTATGTTGACGGGGAGAACGCGCGGGATTAACTTCCCCTCCTTAAGCTTTTTGTAAACAGCATGTTGGCCTAGTTAGATTGAATCAAGTCTTGCTTCAGCCCTTCACAGGAGTAGCCTATTAGGGTTAATATACCCCCTTAGTAAGGGGAGATCACGAAGCTTAGTTAACTAGTTAGTTACTAGTAGACCTTACTAATTATTACCTGAATCCTTTAGTAGGTAGCTAATGTCGTCTATACCTAGTATTCGTACGAATTGTAGTAGGGGAACCGTTGCCAGAATATCCTTTGAGTGCATACTATCGGTAACACTCTTTTCCATTTAGTTTAGTCGATTCCTTTTGTTGGAACTCTCCCTCTCTGTTATGATATGTCGGATTTACAGGGTCAGCATAAATCCTTCGGCGTGCACAAGCAAGCGAGTGTGCACGGTTGGTCAAATCAGTATACGATTGGCGAAGAATCGTATAGGTCAGATCAGGTCGTCGTACGATTCGGCTCAGAATCGGAAGTTAACTTATGATAGAAGAATGCTCCAACTTCATCACAATCATTAAACTTGATTCAACTAGCTATGGAAAACAGGCAATATTTATAACTTCATGAAATCAAGGCAATACGTCAGACTAGAATCTCATAGAAATCAGAAGAAATAGAGTGTTGAAGCTCTTTCGTCATGTGTGCAAGTTGTTGATGTCAATCGTTGAAGATCATCGTCACGTGGACGTTCCGTCGCATTCTGTCAAGTTCGATAGCATGGGCTTATGCACCCACTCATGTCGACATGATATACCCTAGCATGAGGTTATTCCCAAGTATTGGTGCCTCGGGCTTCCCGGACCTGATAAGCCGGCAGGCTTTCTGTGGAGGTTCGGTGGGGCTTCGTCATCAGTACGGATACGAACTCCTGTAGGGAACATCCTTGACAGAGGTTACACAAGACCCCGCTCCCATCCTTCTACCAAGGATACATCTCCTTCCTGTTTGAGCGATGAGACTGTATATAAATTGACCCATGTTGAAGAGGGTTTACGATCCTCAAGAAACAGTCTTTGACTATCTCACACTATTGACTTGGCCCCGTTTCTCCTACCTGATTGACAGGCCTCTATCCTGACTTATAGAGTATATCCTTACACTGACCTCAATATGCCATTGATTATTAGCAAGCTTTTTGCTATATAGACGAAATGGACATCCGATTCGCTTTGTACTAGTTTTCCGTCGTTTTGCCCCATCCGGAGCCTTGATTCGATCGTGGTAGACACCACCTCTATCACAACCAAAAGTGATATTTTTATCCTTGGTAGAGCGGATTGCTGTGATGGCATAGCCATGAGATAGGGCATACTGCTGTATAGAAGCAAGTAGCTGCTCTCTGGTCTCAAAGACTTGTTCAATTGGTAGCTCCATAATCAGATGAGGAATCAGATGAGGAATCAGATGAGGAATCAGATGAGGAATCAGATGAAGAATCAGATGAAGAACGAAGTGAAAGAGAAGCTCTTATATAGTAGTAGTTGATAGAATGCAGTTGCTATAGTGGTAAGTAATGCAGTTGCTGCGGTAATGTATGGTAATGATTCTTGGCAAAATTGATTATGTGATGCCATTATTACATAATTCGTGGTGCGGCTAGCAAAACGCATGGTGTCCCTAGCAATTTCCCCAAAATTAGTCAAGAATCTTTTGGGCCACGCTAAACTTTTTTGGACCACGCTGAGCTGGTACCCGATGGACAGCCTCCGTCGACTGGCTAAGACTTCTTGCGGTACCCCCCTAAGCCTAAGCCGAAGCCGATGGAATATCGCCCCAATGAGTGGCACAGACGCCCCCAAGAGCGCCTGTAACCTGTGCCGGCATCGAAAGGTCGGGCCCCCGCCTATCTGGGGGACAGGACGCTGACCGATCGTGGATAGATCCGCTGCGATAGGGCGAAGCCTGCCTGTGAAAATTGTCGGTTGGCTGGCGTGGCTTGCGTATTCTCTCCATTGCCTCAACGCAAAAGCCCCCGCGAGTTAGTTTATCATACTATATACCTTATTGTTCAATCTGCTAATCATTAAAATAGACAGCTAGAAGAAGCCAAGGCTCAAATCAAACAATTAAAAGAAGCTCTGCGCCTGGAACGGGACGGGCAGCATCGCTCTCAATATTCCACGCCTGCACCGACTCCAATCAGTCTCTTCGATCCATGTGGGTTTGAGACCACGATAGATGCATTTCGATGGCATCTTCAATTTTGCACACCAGGGGTTGACCCCGATAAGCGGTTGGATTCGCTCTTTGATTTTGACGCCTTTTCTTGCGGACTGAAACAGTCGCTCGATTCACCACAGACGCCGGCTAAAGTGATCACGCCGAAATGGCCTTCTCGCCTGATGATGCAGCAGTCGCTCGAATATTTTGAAAACAATAAGCTCTATGCAATCTTTCCGATGGTGGATACAGTGGCGTTGAAACGCATACTGGATACAGAGCTCGATTCTGCGTCCCAGGCATGTTTAACTGCTCTCACGGCATTTATCACTCGACTCCGTCGTCATGAGCCTGCGTTTTCTGAGGCAGACTCTTGTGCTTACATGCAAGCTGTACTTTCAATGCTGCCTCAGCTGGTCATGGAGCATACCAACATCCGGGTATTAGAAGCCCTGATGATTCTTGTAGGTTAACCATACTACTAAGCGTACTGTAACATGATGGACTCTCTGACTGATTCTAGGCGTTAGATCTAGCTCCTCAAGGCCAGCCACAGACTGCAGAGCTTTTAATGTCCCTGGCCGTACGAATCCTTTATAATCTCAAAGGCAACCTCACCAATCCAATGCACCTTAATAGCCAGGCGTCCCTTGACCCCGAGCAAGTCCGACTTCATCATCATCTCCGCGCTCTATTCTGGGTCGTTTATGCGATCGACAAGGAAATGTCTCTCCGAAGATGCCAGCCACCAATCATCAACGACGCCGACTGCGATCTAGATCTGCCGGCCACCTACGTCTCCATCAAATCCGATCACCAATTCTTTCACTCCCCACTATCCCTACAAGAACTCCTATACCCCACAGATCTCCGTCTCGCCGTGCTCAAATCCAAAATCTACCGTCTATTATATTCGTCTTCAAGTCTAAGGCTGCCCGAAAGCACACGCCTCCATTTAATCCGCCAACTGGACGAGGAACTAGGCGAGTTAAAGTCTCAATTTCCAGCCGTCTGCCAGCCAGACATATACGCAAAGGGCGATGTGCCGGACTCGTTACTTCACGATCTGAGTCTACGGGGTGTAAACACACACTTGGAATATTATCATTGTCTATCCAAGATTCATGGAGCGTGTATCAGCGGCAGCGGCTCAGCTATGAGGAACTTGTCACCACCCTCTTCCAGTATAGAGCTTTGTTATCAAGCTTGTCGATCGACACTCTTATACATATGCCGAATCTATCATCTTGTTATGAAAGAAACATTTTGGTTTGTTCCTCGATTACAAGTTATACCAGAACTTCTTGCTAACACGTCACTACTGTTTTATCTTATAGGATCTACGCGCAGTTTATTTTCACTGCCGTCTTTGCATTATACCAGCGCATCACTATGAATAATTTCGGATATCCGGTTCATGAGGATCTTCGGCTTTTGGAAAAAGTTCATGGGATATTTGTTAACCTTCGAGATGCCGACGGGGGTGGCTTTCCACCGTTTGCCGTCTCTGAGGCACTTATACGAAGCTTGGTTACCTCTGTCAATGGTGGACATGAAGAAAATAGATAATTTGTACAAGATTTCAATGTCAAATTCTTGTGACCGAGATACCTCAAACTAAGTGCAAGATTACGCTGTCTCTGCTATCATCGTATGCTTATCTGAACTTCGTACTTGATTTTGGACCTTCTTCGCAAGACTGCCCCCAACACTGCAAGAGACCAATTTACCCTACTTTAAGGTGAAAAGAAATTGTAGATGATTGAAGACCTGTATCATTTTACTGGAAAGAATGATAGTCAAGGAAGAAAGTGTAGTTCTATGTAGAAGCCCATGTAGCTCCAACTCCATCAAAGTCACCAGCCAGAAACCCGAAAATGCCAAAGTCCAAATCAATGCTGACACGATGCTCCCTCTCTCCTTCATTCTTTTTCTTTGTTGTTGTTCTGATGTTTGATTGTTTCTTGTGTTGTTGTTTTTTTTTGTGGTTGTTGTTGTTTTGTAGTTGCGACAGGCTGGTGCTTCCTCGCGACGTTGTCACCCGAGTTTGCTCGGTGCTTCTTCACCCTGAGCGTTCTCACCAGCGGCTTGTCCCTCCACACCGCTTTGGTTCGGGGGGTCGAGGGTCGAGGAAGGTTGCGAGACTTCTAGGCAATCTTCAATCTTCCGAGTGGATGAGTTGTGAAGAACAGGATGGAAGAAGTATGTAGTGATCGAATGAGAATGAAGTCTGTTCCAGTGATCTGATGTGGAAGGAAGATGTTTTGGCTGATGTGGATCAAGTTTGTTGTGATCAGATATGGATGTTTGTTCTGATCAGATATGAATGTTTGTTGTGATCAGATATGATGGATGTTTGTTTTGATCAGATGTAGTGAAGTATATTGTGATCTGTTATGAATGTCAGTGATGGATATCAAAGAGTAGTATCAGCGATCCACATACTTGGCCTCGAAGTCATCGCAGTTAGGATGTGTGATAAGGTGTCAGAGTGGGAGGTAAGTGTGAAGACCCAAGTGAATAAAGGTCTTTCAGGTATTGAATGGGCTTGATGTAGAGTGATGACCCAGTGTGGGAAAGAACTGATATGATGGAAATATGTATGCTGATTGATGTGTGATGGAAGGATGTATGATGCAAAGATGGTTCGATGGAAAGATGGTTTGATGAAAAGATGTGAGATGGAAAGATGTGAGATGGAAAGATGTGAGATGGAAAGATGTGAGATGGAAAGATGTGAGATGGAAAGATGTGAGATGGAAAGATGTGAGATGGAAAGATGTGAGATGGAAAGATGTGAGATGGAAAGATGTGAGATGGAAAGATGTGAGATGGAAAGATGTGAGATGGAAAGATGTGAGATGGAAAGATGTGAGATGGAAAGATGTGAGATGGAAAGATGTGAGATGATGTATACTAAGGATATGTCAAGGATGTTAGATGTTGATATCATATGATGGGATAAGTGAAGATGTATCATACCTTGATGAAGCAAGTCCATGTTGGGATGGAAGGTCAAGTCATGTTGTGTTATGATAAGGTCAAGGTCTCCAAGGTCATTTTGATAGACGCGTCATGTCAACAATGATATGTTTTGTACGTGTCAGGTGTGGTAGAGTAGATAAGATGTGATGACCTGATGTAGGAAGACCAAAGTTGGATAACATGATGATGGAAGAGAAGTCCCAATGGATGAAGGTAGATAGGATGAGATGATTGAGGATGGGATGGAAGATAAAATTCCCAAGGATAGATGGAGGTAGATGGGATGAAAGGTGGAGGAGGAGAGAAGTTGGAGAGTTGGAAGAAGGAAGAAGGCGAAATCTGGGGTAGGAGAGGAAGTATTTATATTTTTCCCCATGGGTGGAAAGCGAGCTACTAAGCCTATTCGGGAACTTGCCAATGCTAGTGCGGATTTCCCTAGGAAAGTGCGTTCTTTCCCAGGTTTATTGTGACTTGCTCCTTCCCTTTTGTCTGCATCCCCAGACCAGCAATTCGACTCCCCCATCCAGACTTTAGAACAATATTATCGAGTTTCCTCTACAACTGCAAGCTTTTCTGTAAATTTGGCTATAATGAGAAGCAGAAGATCTATTTTTAAATCCATGGTTGATACATGAGGATGAAGTTAAAACAAGCAATGTCTATAGATCCTATTTTTATATTGGTGCCTGACTTTTCAGGCGCGATGCCCTGAATGCCTTGGCGACTGTGGGGAAGCGCCGAGACCGGATAGCCGACTTGCAGGAAGTAGCCGTCTTAAATGGAGTCGTCCGAACATCTTGAGTAGGCATCATTTCTCGTACGAGTAGTAGGGTGGCATATAAGAGGCTCTTCAGACACAAAATTGGTCGTCCCAGTTGTATAGCCATTCATGTCTCGCTCAAATTGTTGCCGGTTATCCCCCATGGCTCTGCACACTTTGCCAAGACGCGCCCCCAACATGGGGGTGCGCTGGACCAGACGCTTCTCCAGCTCGCCATTCGCTGCGAGCTATGCAGATACTCTACAAAATCTGAAGATTGGAGCTCATACGCGTGTCTTGTTCCAAGGATTTACTGGTACGTTTATGTGGTGTCGTTCGGGTCGGAACCATGGCTAAAGCTTCTCTACAGGACGACAGGCGACTGCCAACGTCAAGGAATCTTTGGAATGGGGTACCAAGATTGTGGGCGGCGTCAAGCCTGGCGTGGAGGGAGAGCACCTGGGACTCCCGGTGTTCCCTTCGGTTAGAGTGGTACGCGGGAGATCAGCCAGACTCGGTCTGAAGTCTTGCATACTAATCTGAATTTCGGGTGTATCAGGCCCAGGAAAAGGCAAAACCTGATGCTTCTGCTATCTACGTGCCAGGAAACCAGACTGCCCAGGCTATTGAAGAGGCTATCGAGGCGGAGATTCCTCTCGTGGTGGCTGTGGCCGAACACGTTCCCATCCATGACATTCTCCGGGTAAGCACATCTACTACGTCCTGTTAACAAACGCGAGTTCTAACTGTCCATCTAGATTCACTCTTTGCTCCAAACCCAATCCAAAACCCGACTTGTCGGTGCCAACTGCCCCGGTATTATCTCCGCCATCGGTAAGTGTCGTATCGGCTTCCAGCCCCTGCCGTGCTTTGCGCCCGGTAATGTCGGCATTGTGGCCAAGTCGGGGACCCTGAGCTACGAGACTGTTGCGTCGACAACACGAGCTGGTCTCGGGCAGAGTCTGTGCATCAGCATGGGTGGTGATGTGTTGGCTGGTACCAACTTTGTTGACGCGCTGAAGATCTTTGAGCACGATGCAGATACTGAGGGTATCATTCTTGTTGGTGAGATTGGAGGTTCAGCGGAGATGGATGCGGCTGAGTGGATCAAGGATTATAGACGGAGAACTGCGGATCCCAAGTATTTCTGTTTCTTGCCACGGTGTGGGTTGTGGGTATTGTACTAACTTTAAACAGGCCCATCATGGCTCTTGTTGGTGGCCTGGAGGCACCACCGGGACGGATCATGGGACACGCGGGGGCTTGGGCTGCACCTGGTGAACCTGATGCTCAGACCAAATACCAGGCCTTAGAACGGGCAGGAGCTGTCATGGTCAACCATCCTGAGAAGTTTGGTGAGGGCATGAAGTCCCTGCTGGGCAACAGAGTCACTCGACCAGGCACGAGCGTGAGTTCAAACAGCAAGCACCTTCCCCTAGCTTTAGCTGACATCATGCAGCCTATCTCTGGTGCAGGCTCGCAGAAGCGTGGGTTCCATACAATCAGACGTGTTACTCCAATCTCACGGCCGGCTGTCCAGCAGAAGCGCAGCCTCCATATCAAGCAGTTCCAGGCACTCGAAATCCTGAAGCAGAAGTCGATTGCCGTCAACGAAACGGCCTCAAGCTCGGACGGATCCGTCTCCATCTCCGTGGATAGAACCGCTTTGTCCCCCTGCATCGTGGCATCTCCAGGTACCGAGTTTGAACCAGCTCAGTCTCGCAGGTTCCCATTCAGCTACGATCTGGCCCATTTTGGAAACGACTCGGTTATTCCCGAAGTGGCGTCACACTTGGGTCTTCCCGCTTCAGCCCAAGACAATCTGGCTAGTCTGGTTCAGGCGTTGTGGGAGATCTTCAAGGAGAAAGAGGCCTTTGTCTTGGAGACTCGCCTCGGACTATCTACTGAGGGCAATCTGGAAGTCCACGGTGCCCACTTTGGATTCGATGATGCCGCATACCGCAGCTCCGAGCGTCAGGAAGAAATCCACAGTTTGCGAAACAAGGCGGAGGAGGTTCCCGAGGAGGTCGAGGCTGAGAAGGACGGAATTGTCTACATCACGTACGATCATACTACCTACGGCATCTGAGAAACATGCTGATAATCAACAGACTACAAGGTGAAGGCAGCATCGGCACACTAGGTATGTACCATTTACCTCCAGCTTCCCTTCTGAACCACTGACCCTTCCTACCAGTGAACGGCGCCGGACTTGCCATGAACACAGTCGATGCTCTCACCATCCACGGCGGACACTGCGCCAACTTCCTTGATACCGGTGGTAAAGCCACATCCGAGACCGTCAAGTCATCCTTCCGGATTATCTGCTCTGATCCACGCGTCAAGGCTGTCTTTGTCAATATCTTCGGCGGCTTGACACGCTGCGACATGATCGCGGAGGGTATCATCATGGCATTCCGGGATCTGGACATGCAAGTGCCTGTTGTGGTGCGGTTGCGCGGGACTAACGAGGAACTTGGTCAGAAAATGGTGAGTCCATCTACGTGTTTGTGGTTTCGTTGTCGTACTGGCGAACTAATGAGGATTACCTGGTAGATTGCCGAAAGTGGGCTCCCTCTACATGCATTTGACGGATTTGAAGATGCGGCCAAAAAGGTGATTTCTCTGGCTGAGAGCGGATAGACAGCACTGTATAGAGGCATGGATTGTACCTAAATCTCAGCTCCATGATGAAGAAATGATGTATATATATCTGGCTATATCCCACTTGCAAGACGATCTACAGTATATTCTGACACGGTTTCTACGTCATTCGGCTACTAATTCAATCCCAGTTGGTCAAGCTCATGCCTATACATCTTGAATCATGCGATCTTGCAAATCTCAACCTATATTTAATGGGAATACAACGCATAAGCAGTGCCATGTGAACGTCCCCCCGCCCGAGGCCGCCGCCCTTGATTCCCGGGTTGGTCTAGCCCCGTCCGCTTCTCCACGATCGACCAAGGATACGCTAAACCCCCTCCATCTCTGACGCCATTGCTTCCGGTCTTTGACTTTAAGACTCTCGCCTCCGCAGAGTTTCCATACTCAACCCTATTTAACAACCTCCTTATCTTATACATATACACCTACCTGCTATATACGCCCCCTCCGGGTCTCCCCCTCGAAGCTCAACCAACCCGACCCAAACGCCGCCCCCCTCACGTGCCATGTCTGATCCAAGCGCCGAGCTCCAATCCACACTCCGCGATCTGGCCATTGGCAAGAAAGGACCAGTCCAGGATATACCACGACCAATCCCCAGCAAAACCTCCGCCCCGAAAACATCCAAGCCCTCCAAAAAGCCCGTCGCAGACTCCTGGGAAGACGAAGCCAACCTATCCAGCGACGACGAGGCAGCCACCAAGTCAAACCTGGCCTCCCCATCCGTCCTCTCGCCTACAATCAGCGCAGAAGGACCGCTAGATCCTCCGCCCACGCCTATCTCCCCACAGACGTCGTACCCGTGGCCTGGCTGTGCGGGCTCTGCGTCCCCCGCTGCGGGGCAGAAGGATCCGGCCCGGAGGCCTGAGAAGCAGACTGCCGTGGCGGAGAGGTTGATTGCGGGCGCGTTGGGGATTCGGGCGCCGAAGCGGACGGAGGAGCAGAGGGCTTATGATCGGTCTGTGAAGGAGCAGGAGATTCGGCGGAGGAATCGGGAGCGGGAGGAGTTGGCTAAGACGAGGGAGGAGGAGGAGCGGGCTAAGGCTTCGGTTTGGACTGATTAGAGGCTATTCTTTCTTGCTTTGGCTGGGGTATCTGGTCGCTACCTTTTCGCTGAGCTTGTCTCTATATATTCACTTGTATAAATGTGTGCTTGTGCGTTGTTCTTACATGGCGACTGAGCCGGTAGTCTCAGTGGGCTTTGTGGATCGTTGGTCCTTTGCAGTTCTTTGTTTCATGGCTCAGCTTCGTTGAAGCTAGTTGATCGAGCCTTTTGGTGCTGCTCTTTCCATTCGATATATCCAAGTATAATGGAAACGGTTGGAAATGGTTGAATCAAGTTACCGTTGCGGATGGAGTGGAAGCCTCCTTCCAGGCAAATCGATCTATACCAATTATACCATTCAAATTCAAGATTTGGTAGTAGTAGGGGAGATATGTAAAACACCGGTCAAGCGGTGGTTTTTGTAAAATTCGTATCCTCGTAAACAAAACAAGTGCAAACTCGACGCGACGACTGTTCTGCCTCGCCACACATTTCAGTTCCAGTGGCCTGTCTAGATGCGACACGCTTCTTCTTCCGTCCATCGCGCAAGGCTGCCTTTGGGGGTGCAAAATGTCGAAATTCTAGTGTGCTTAACCACCGATCTGCTCCTGGTGAACCTCGAGGGTGTCACCGTCGGCCATGTCGAGCTGTAAGGTGTATGGGTATATTAGTTATCTTGATCATCAAATGACTATTTTGTCAAGAAATGAAGGTCAAATACATACCGTGTCCGGGGTATCCTCTGGGCGCACTCGGGTGCCGTCGAACAAAAAGCGGACGGTAGACATCTGCTTTCCCTGGCGGTCGCAGAAGGCGTCCATAAGCTTCTTAAGCTGTGTTGATCGCTTGATCTTAAAGAAGACCTCGTTGTTGTTATCCGTGACCTTAATGTTCAAGTGCTCGCTGGGAGCGGCACCGGCTTCCTGCTCAGCCGACATGATTGATGGATTTGTAGAAAAGTCTGCGCTTGAGTCAGAGGGTGGTCGCGCGCTAAGAGGTAGAGGAACGCGGGGCACGAACACGGTGGGAGATGATGAAAACGGTTTACAAAGATAGCTTTGACTCTGGTGGAAATAGTCAGCGAGGCCGAAACAAGGCTTGAGATGACCAGATCAACTTACCCACTGGAGTTGACGGTATAAGAGTAGAAAGGTCAAGAGATGGTGGGAAAGAGAGGAAGAAGAGAGAGATATCAACGGCAGAATGGCGACTCGCCCCACAGAAAGCGGAGAATCTATTATTGCGAGCAGGTAAATCTGCGGGCGGAACGGATTGCTTAGCTAAGAGACAAAGCGTCACTCCATGGATTCCTTGGAAAGGTGATGCTTCTATGAGCTTCTTTACTGCGCGTTTACCTTGCTAATAATCATGGTATGGAAATTACCCAAAGGATGGATGTGAACTGGAAATTGGAAACAAATAGGAACATCCCAAAGACTGACTTATTTGTGACAGGGCAATCTCAAGCAAGATCTATCTCACGACCCTCCTTGTCATCCACGAGCCGTATGTCTTTCCCCAAACCTTGGAATATCCGTCCATGATAATATGGCTTGGAGGCTCACTCACACATCCTAGTGCGCCATTCAAGGTATCGAGCCTGCAACCATATTCGCACATCCCCCTTGTTCATATGTGGAGACTAACCCATCCTAGATTGCTTGACCAAGAATTCCTACAAAGAGGAAAAATGTCAGGCCCAAGTTGATGCTCTTTATGAGTGTTGCAATGCCTTCTACCAGCAGCAAGGTGACCGGGCCTCAACTGTGAGCTGTCCCAAGGCACATTTACTGCGGTTGAAGATGAAGCAACGAGCACAAGCGGCAGAAAGCCAGAGCTAGATAGATGGCGCACAGAGATTACGATAAATTCTACAGGCGACTTGCATATCGCATGTTGTAATGGACCGCAAGGGCATGTAACAGGCCCCTATAAGCTGAACCTCCATGTAGAGAGAATCAGACTGTTTAAAAGGACTGCTAGATTGCTCTAAGACAATCTTGAGCACGCTGAGAGGCCGCGATGGACCTGAACGACCATTGAAAACTTTCGTTCCGAGACTCTAATGACTGCCTATATGACATTTGTTGAAGAAAAAAAAAAGAAGAAGAGGAAGAGTGAAAATTGCTGGCCGATTAAATAAGAAAAAATCCCGTGCCGACAACGCTAAACCCATTTGGGCGAAGGACCTAACGCGCCTAAAACCAAAAGAGACAAACACGATTTCCCGTTCTCTTCCCCCATCACAACCCCAAACATCTCGGCCTGGAAGCTTGCTCAAATCACCGCAAGCCATGGCTCCCCTCACTAGGTCTGCTAGATCAGCAGCGTCGGGCGCCCCCACGCTACGGTCGCAGGTAAGCGTGCCACTTGCCTTGCTAGGTATCACTTGAGCTAAACAATTCCTCATCTTTCAGACTCAACCCAAGCAACCGGAAATCATCAGCATTGACGAGGATGACGAGGGGGACCAGCTCATGGACGACGAGGAATCTTACGAGGATCAACCAGCGTTCGAAGACGAGGATGAGGCTATGGACGAAACCGATGACCAGCTCAATGATCTCAATGGCGATGCTGTGGAGAATGGCTCTGGCGTTCCTGTGTTGGAACCCAACTTGAAATCCGTCAAGGGCTATAGAAACAGGGCGCAAGGTTTGTTGTCATACTATTCTCTGACTTCTGATGTGATCGCCATGGCTTATTGATTCTTCTCCAGCCTCCCCCAAGCTCTTTACCGAATCGACCTCCAGCGCCCATGAAATGTTGCGCCCCCTTCGCAAAACTGCGGATCGTGTCACTCGCCAGATCGAGGCCTTCGCCGAGAAGCTCGATCAATTCAAACGGAAGAACACCACCGATGAATTCCAGAACGTCCAGGCCGCCTACAAGCTTGTGGAGAGCTACCGGGACTTGACGCAACATGCAATGAGCGAGCTCAACCGACAGCAAACCATCAAGAAAGCCAAGGCCGGCTTTCGGACAAGTACTGGGGCAGATGACACACAGTCCGACAACGAAGCGCGTCGCTTGCAGCTGCAGGTCGACACCTGGCGCCTGCTCCTCAACCTGATCAGCATTGACGACCCTGCCAGTCGCGCCAGCTTCAAAGAAGGCCAACGTGAGGCTTTCCAGAACCTTCACCGGTATTCGTCGGATCGTGAGATCTGGGAGGAATTCCTGAATGCGGATCAGTATGCGCTTGAGTGTGTGGTCTCCATGCGATGGCTCGAGGAGACTGCGAAGGCGGCACCCCAGGAGATTGACAAAATGATCAAGGAACTGGAGGATCAGGCCGAGCGAGGCTCAGGCCTGTGGGCGCATGGTTGGCTGTTCACCAAGGAAGCGATCAAGGGCCACAAGCGACTCCGCGTTTGGCCGCAACCTCTAGAGCCGAATGATCCTGCCATTTCCCGCGCTCTTCTGAACAAGGACACGCAAACCCCCTTGATTACACAGTTGGACCCCGATGCTCTGACTCGCCAGAAGCACAGCTTGGAGAAGCAGGATGGATTTTACGAGCGCGCTACGTGGATGGCTTGCTGGAAAATGCTCCGCGGGGGTGAGAACTGGACCACCATTCGCGAATGGGCTCAGAGCCGTCTCGAGAGCTGGAGGGCCGTCAGTCTCTGCGGTTCCAGCGTGGATGTGGCTACTGCCACCACACGGACACCGGCGGATGATGGAATGACCCGCTTGAAGAATAGTCGCGCCCAGGACTCGTGGCGTGCTGCCTGCCATGCTTTGACCAAGGATCCCAACACGTGCGACTACGAGAAAGCAGTCTACGCGCTTCTCTGTGGAGAATCAGAGCCCGCAACCAAGATTTGCAAGACCTGGGACGATTATCTCTACGTCTATTTCAACCGCATCGTTCTCTCCCGGTACCAAGGATTCTGCAGGCAGTTCCAGCGCAAATTGAGTCAGTCGCCTGGTACTCCTGTTGCGTTCAAGCCGGAGCCAGCTGGACATGCGGATCTTCAAAAATTCGTCCAATACCTGCGTGGTAACGAAACGCTAAGCGCCGAGGCACGAGAGCCATTCCGTCATATTCAAGCTGCTATCTTAAGCAAGAGCTACGGTTCTTTCTTCAGCCAGCTTTCCCAAGCCGTCTCCCAGGTCGCCATCAAGAAATCTGGAAGATCCTCCTATATTCCGGACTTGGCCGCTTCTCACGTGGATAACGCAATGGTCATCACGGCTGAAGACCTGGACGCCGTCCAGATGGCGACTCATATTTACGTGATTGTCAATTCGATCGGTCACGCAAGTGGAGATAGTCAATTCACAGAGTCAGCTTCCGTCATTGTGGCCGGTTACATTGCCTGTCTGCAGGAAAAGTGCCTGCTCGATCTGATCCCTTCATATGCTGCTCTTCTACCAGCGGAGATGTGCCACAGCGTTCTCTCCAAGATCATCATCGAAATTTCAGAGCAGGAGGATAGGAAGTACCACATCCGGGTCATCCAGAAGCATGGCATTGATATTAATGCTGTGCTCGACGCACAATGGTCCTGGCTCAGGGGTAATGTTTCCTCGATCGAGCACTCCGCTGGCCTCACTGGATACTCCCGAGTCAGGCGCTTGCCAGATGGCACTCGTGTCTTGATGCCGCCGAAGAAGGACCTCATCGGCACTAGTGTTGCCGTTGAGGATGAGAGGATGATTCGCCATCTGGAGTGGCTCCGGTGCGTGGGTGACCAGTGGTCAAAGATTTGTACCCGCGGAACCTGGTTGTACCGCAAGTTCTTTGGTATGTTTGGAAATCTACAGTCTTTTCATTATCCTCCACGATTTCTAACGCATATCTAGTCTCTGGCAAGCTCGCCGCTGCTCGTGAGCTCGGCCATCGCCTTCAAATGGCGGACGTTTCTTATGAAATTTTCAATGTGGATGTCTTTGAGTTCCCGGACCTGGCTCCGTCACTGGAGGACGCACCCTTGAGTCCGAGCAAGTCCAAGCGGAGCCATGCTCACCGACGCAGCCTGTCTAGTAGCAACGGCATCCTCACCAAGTCCCACCAGAATGCGTATCAACAAGCCGTTCACATGTGGAATCTTGAAACAATGGCTTTGGCCTTTGATTCTTTGGAGCAGTTCGCCATTGTATACGACCAGTCTTCGAAGTAAGTACTCCTGTCTGGAGAGCGATCAGAGCTTGAATCCTAATTCACTTAGAACCAAACGCCGACGGGATTCTGGTTCTGTCAGGGACTTCCATGCCGAACTCGCGTCTCTTCTGCAGGAGATAGAAGACTCTGTGGGACTGATCGTTGATGAGTGGCTTGGAAAATCCGAGATTGGTAAGTCAATATTCTTTCTTCTCATTTTTGCAATACGCTTTAACGACATTCATACTAATTTTTGCCACAGAGGAGGAAGAACGAGACTTCGAACACATTCGCCGCACCTACCTCCCCGAAATGATCCTTGATTACCACAATGCCTTGTACTACGCCAGCCACTCTCTCGACAAGCCCAATCTGCTCACGCAATGCATGACCGTGTCGATCTGGGTCGCCAACAACGCCCACTTGACGCGTAGCTTCACGGAGGCGCAGCGCATGTCAGAGCTCGTGGACTGCATTGCCTTGGCAGGCAAGGCGATGGTTCTAGCCGACCCGAAGAACGATCAAACCTTCACCAATGGGCAGACATTGGGCCTCTGGCGGATCAACGTCTCCGAGGACGATGAGGCTGCGCTGCTCCAGAACCGGGAGTAGTGGGTCCCCCGGGGTGGTGATTGAATCTGTACGGTGAGCAGGTGAGGCTGTGTAGGCTTATGGGAATGTACATTAGCATTGATGGTGGGTTAGGGAGTGGAGAGAAGTGGATGCAACTACTGAACCCATCCTGAGACCATACTGGACATGGCTGGAGCGAGGTTTAATCGGGCCAATGGGAATTGTTAGGTTAGGTATTAGGTAGAAACGGGGTTTCTAAGTTTCTATATGGGTACCTGGAAATGCAAATGCAACGGATGGCCCCATTCTTTTGTTTCTGGCCCCATGTTTCTCTATCACAGATCATAAGTGATACGTGATAACATTCTCATGTAGTTCATTCCTCTCGTATGATCTCAATTCTGGTCATTTCAATCTTTCCGAATCAAAGCCACACACAACGAGCTCAGTAACTACTCATACGGCTCCATAAGCTTATTCCCCAACACTTTCGCCGGAAACTCCTCCTCGCCCAAAGCCGTAGTATGCGCCCAAGGCTTCAGCCCATTTTCGCGATGAATCGTAGCCGCAAAACAATCGCTCCAGTGGAGACGGGGGAAATGTGCTGAAACATCTTTGATAGTCTCCGGGTGGACCAAATCCGCGTATGCACCGGTGTTATCTGTCACATCGGATCAGTTAAAATATGTATCAATCAGGATGTAGATCCCATCCGATCCGTCATTGAGAAGGGGAGGAGGGAAATAAAGTTTGAATTGTGTTTTGGGTTGGGTTGGAATTTGGAGCGGTAATGTATCCACTGCCCGTCATCGGTGTAGATCCCAGTGTGAAGAGATCGGTGTAGATCCCAGTGTGAAGAGGTAAAGCGGTCTGATAAATGAGAGCGGATGGATGGGGACAGGAACGGTGTTATGCTATCCCTGGAGGGGTGAAATGAATGGAGAATGAGGGAGTGAGACAAGTGAGGCAGTGCAGGGAGTGTGTAATAACTCGATAACTTTGATACCAAGTCCACTCTCGCTCGTGCCTCATTCTTCAGTCTAGATGTATGTGTATATGCTTGAAAACATGGAATTAGCCTACCAAAGATCGTCGCCAATTGCAACAACTGTCCCACTGCAGTAATTTTGCCCACAGTACACAAATCCTGATGCCGAATAATCGCCTCCGCAACACTTTCCGCTTGATCTCGCGGCGCAACATCCTCCTCTCCCCCATCCATCCGGTCCTCAGTCTCGTTCTGGTTGTTGTGATTTTTCTTCTGCAACACCTCCAAAGCCAAAAACCCCCCAAAAACTCAAAACTCAACCTCGTAGCCACCAAATTCTCCTCCGTAGTCCCAATATCATGCAACACACAAGCCAAAAAGTACGTTTCATCCGAAAAGTCCCAGTCCGGGAACGGGAACCGATACCGTTTGATCGCCAGACCGTAGTGGTACACGCGCAGGGAGTGGTGGTACGTTGGCGGGGGCAGGTGGGCCTGGGCGTAGGCGTTGATGCGTGTTGCGAGTCGGGTGTTAGGGATTGGAGTGTCCGAGACGAGGATTGGGATTGGGGCGGTGTTTGGGGGTGGGTAGGCGGGGGTGGAGGTTAGGAGGGTTTGGGATGAGGCGGGGACTGGTGTGAGGCCGTAGAGGGTGAGGGGGTTGGGCATTTTGGAGGTTTGGAGAGATGGGGGTACTGGTGGCTAGTGTTGATGAGGGCTGATGCAAGTTTTGAGGAGGGAAGTGGCGGTTATTCTATTGTTGGGTCGGTCCTATACTGCTGACTGTTGATGCCGAGAGTACTGTAAGACGGAGGTAGATTAGTTGATTACTACCAGGCTATACGACATTACTACTCTATGTTACCCCGCTTGGTGATGCTTGAATGGTTTCACATTGATCAACTACCATAGCTATACAACTTCCATCCACTTATAACCAGCGAAAGCAGGGTGCAACTAAAAAATGTATAAGTAGAAGTATTCTAAAATTTTGAGTAGGTCGGGGATCCCAAGACCGATAAGTTACCAAGGTTCTGACTGCAGTGTTGGCAAACGTTGGCAAACTACAGTTTTTTAGGCTCTTTGTTATTGTGTGGTCTTACGATATCATATGCCAGATTGGTTTGTTTGCCAGATTGAACCTCTCTGGACCAGGATGCCCAAAATACGAAGTATATCATCCGAATACGAAGTCTCCGAAATTCTCCGCGGTGCACACTTTTCGTACTACGGAAACGCGGGGACATTTAAGACTGGGCTGGGGTAGGTAGAATCAATTATTGAATATGGGAATAGGGACTACACTCAATAAATGTACCTAGACACATTGTTTGACTGTGTATTCTGGCTATCTGAATATATATCTGTGCCCGACACCGGCCCGTAGGATCCTACACCGTATGTTCCACTGCATCTTCTAAAGTATTCCAGAAAACAGACACCCAAGGTTTTAGCTCAATTGGCAGGATAGCTAGAGGGATATAATATAATAGACTATCGGATTCCACGTCGGACTTGCCCCATATTCAGGGTATGTGAGTATGGGTTGGGCCCCCATGTCGAATTAGGTATGGGATTCCGCGAATTAAAGTGTTTTAGGCTCGGATGTACGGGTCCTGCATTTGTATCCTAGGAGTGTAGAACACTGATTGGATAGACCAAATTGAATTATTGATTGTGGTGCATGGAGACCGAGGCTGGGATGAGTTAACTTAACTCAAGGGTGGAAGACGGAGGTGGCGTATATTGGAGACGTCATCTCCAGGCGGCTAGGAGAGATCGCTTAATCTCCTGTATACGAAGTACGGGAGGAGATACTGTAGTGCAAGGAGGAGGATATTCATTTAATGAATAGAGTTGTGGTGCATAAAGTCTGGCAGTACCCCGGGCAATGATCGAAATCAAGAATTACAGGAAGTAACTACGGAGTACATAAGTTACTGTAATACAACCCAGTTAATCAAGGTTCCTCCCTTGTTGTTTCCATAGTATGACATGACACGCTTATGATGATTTGACTCTGTGACTTGAGCGTACTAAGCTAGGGCCCCTATTCGCCCAGACATTGGTCTATCCGCCCATTGATTGATTCGCCTCCCTTTGCCTCTGGACGGGCACGGGTCTTGGCAGTGAGGCAGTGCAAATTGCAAGAAAAGGGGGACCGTTCCGGGTGCGGGAGAAATAATGCCACAATGAAAATAACCGGGGAGATGGGAAATATAAACTATGGTTATGCAAATGGACAAAAATGTGGTAGCTGGACAGTAAGTATGTATCGCACAGTAGTTACTCCGTAGTCGGTGTAGGATTATTCGAACAGTCCAATGTCTGGTTGACAGGTAACCCGGCCAGCGCAGAGAAGAACGAATCGATCTCTTTGGTCCACTCCTGGGGCTGTGCTGGGCCAGTTGAGCCAAGTGGAGAACCTGCAGGTGCGGGTACGTGATGGGCTTGGGAAAACAATCGCCGGCACTATTGGCTCTTGTCATTGGGGGAATACCCCCAGTCGAGACCATAGTGGATCGACAAAGGGGTCAACGCCAACATGATGCGAAAGATTGACGATGGGAAAAGACGAAGAGCGTATTGAAAGTGGGAAAGAAGAAAACGGCCGAGAGAGAGAGAAGAGAGAGAGGGAGAGGAAATAGAGGAGACTCGTGACTTTGGACTGCATCCGGGTAGAGCTCCTTTTACTTTAGATACACTTTTCCGCAATCAAGTACTCACGTACTCCGGAACTCTTTGGCCACCACCTTTACACACTACGACTCTGCACGGAATACTTGTTCCAATCTACTCCGTACACACTTCACACCATACATACGCCTCCTGCGCCTCTTGTCCACTCCTCCCCTTCCTCATCCCACAGCCTCCCAGTGTGCTGCTGCCCATGGAAGCGTTGTTTGCCCAATAGCCCAGGCCTTGAATCTAGGAGGTCCTGTCCTCTCCTCGCAACCTGGGTTTTTCGACTTTCGGTTACTCTCTTTTCGTCCACCCAAAGACTCCTCTTTGGCCCACTCATGCGAAACTCGACCGGCTCGTGAATGTGCTCGCGTGAATCGCGCTCGATTCAACCCCATCCTTCATCATGTCCGACCCGCGTCGAGGGGCCGATGAGCCGGCTCAGAGTCCCACGACACCGCTACGGAGGGAGCGCGCACCCACCATCACTATCGATACCTCCGCAGTGAGCTCGTCGAATACGAATGAGCCCCCGATGCAGATTCTCTCGGATCCTCAACAGCCCTCGCTCCGGCTAAACACCGACACGGAGTCCCACGACGCTGGCGCACACCACAATGGCTCCGGTTCCCCTACGGACATGCGATCCCCGGCATCCCTGCGCTCCAATGCCTCTTCCGAAGCTCGAGATCGCGATCAAAGCCGGCCAACCTCGCCCCATAACATCTCGTCCCCGAAGACCAAGGCCCCCGAGGCGCATTCCCATTTCTTGTCGGTGCCCGGCACCCGGTCCCGCGGGAATTCGTTGGAATCGGAAGACACTAGTCAAACCTCCAGCACCTATGGCGGCGACACCTATGTGCCTACTGCCTCGCATGAATCCCACTCCGATGTGACCAAGAACACCAACATCGACGACGAGGACGCTCTTACTCCGGACCCGGGCCGCGAAGATGAATTCGAGGTGGAGAATAACAAGTTCGCCTTTTCCCCCGGCCAGCTCAACAAGCTCCTCAACCCTAAGAGCTTCGGCGCATTCCGAGCACTCGGAGGACTACGAGGACTGGAAAAGGGACTGCGGACCGATGTTCGGAGCGGATTGAGCGTGGACGAGACTACGTTGGATGGTGTTGTCGAGTTCAGTGATGTAACATCATCAGAGTCGATGGCCAAGGCCGCCTCGCCAACGGGACCTCCTCCCTCGGCCCCAGAAGGTGGAGCTTCTGCACCAGCAGCGGATGGGTCATTCGGGGACCGAAAGCGAGTATATGGCCAGAACGTGCTGCCAGAACGGAAACTCAAGACCATTTGGGAACTGGCTTGGATTGCATACAATGACAAAGTCTTGATTTTGCTGACAATTGCTGCGGTCGTCTCTCTGGCAGTGGGTATCCCACAGTCACTCCATCCAGCGAAACCTGGTGAGCCAGGTGTGGAATGGGTGGAGGGTCTTGCCATTCTTGTTGCTATCATCATTGTGGTCACGGTTGGTGCTGCAAACGATTGGCAGAAGGAACGACAATTCGCCAAATTGAATAAGAAGAAGGAAAACAGACTGGTCCAGGTTATTCGATCAGGCAAGACCATCGAGATTTCAATTCACGATGTGCTTGTCGGCGATGTGATGCACCTCGAACCAGGTGACCTAGTCCCCGTTGATGGTATCCTGATCGCAGGTCACGACGTGAAATGCGATGAATCTTCGGCCACTGGTGAATCTGATCTCCTTCGAAAGACCCCCGGCGATGAAGTCTACCGCGCACTCGAAAAGCACGAAGATCTCCGCAAAATGGACCCCTTTATCATCTCTGGCGCCAAGGTTTCCGAGGGTATGGGAACCTTCCTGGTTACTGCTGTCGGTGTCCATGCAACCCATGGACGGACAATGATGTCTCTCCAGGAGGAAGGCGAAACAACACCCCTGCAAACCAAGTTGAATAAGCTGGCCGAGTACATTGCTAAGCTTGGTCTGGCCTCTGGTCTTCTCCTGTTCGTCGTGCTGTTCATCAAGTTCCTCGTCCGCCTCAAGAACATTGAGGGTGGCGCCGACGCCAAAGGACAGGCTTTCCTGCAGATTTTCATCGTCGCCGTTACTATTGTCGTTGTCGCTGTACCCGAGGGTCTACCGCTGGCAGTAACCCTTGCACTCGCTTTTGCAACGACACGAATGATTAAAGATAATAACCTGGTGCGTTTCCTCAAAGCCTGCGAGACCATGGGTAATGCGACAACCATCTGCTCCGACAAGACTGGTACTCTCACTGTGAACAAAATGAGTGTCGTCTCTGCGACCCTGGGAACGACCTCGCGCTTTGGCGACAAATCTGGCTCCAACCCGTCCGACCAATCCGGTGATGTTTCTGCTGCTGAATTTGTGAAAACGCTGTCACCCTCCGTCAAGGATGTCCTGATGCAGTCGATCGTCCTCAACTCTACCGCATTCGAGGGAGAGCAAGAAGGCGTCAAGACTTTCATTGGCTCCAAGACAGAGACCGCGCTTTTGACATTTGCACGCGATTACATGGGCATGGGACCCCCAGCCGAAGCCCGAGCAAGTGCCAAAATCCCCCAGATGTTCCCCTTCGACTCCGCTCGCAAGTGCATGGCTGTGGTCGTTCAGATGGAGAACGGAAAGTATCGCATGTTGGTCAAGGGTGCTGCCGAGATCTTGATGTCCAAGTCCACTCGAATCATTCGTGATCCCACCGACGCCATCAACGAGGCGCCCTTGACAGACGAGAACCGGTCTACGCTGGACAATATTCTGACAACCTACGCCAACCGATCGCTGCGATGCATTGCTCTTGTCTACCGTGACTTCGAGCAGTGGCCCCCGCGTGGAGCACCCACTTCCGAATCCGATCGCACCCAGGCAGCCTTCGAGCCCATCTTCAAGGATATGACGATAATTGGTCTTTTTGGTATTCAGGATCCTCTTCGGCCCGGTGTTGCAGAGGCGGTGCACACGTGTCAGCGTGCTGGTGTCTTCGTTCGCATGGTCACTGGTGACAACATCATGACTGCCAAGGCTATTGCTCAGGAGTGTGGTATCTACACGCCGGGTGGTATTGCTATCGAAGGCCCCAAGTTCCGCAAGCTGAGCACGCGTCAAATGAACCAGATTCTTCCTAGACTGCAAGTTATCGGCCGATCCAGCCCTGATGACAAGAAGATTCTCGTGAACGCTCTGAAGAAGCTTGGCGAGACTGTTGCCGTTACTGGTGACGGTACCAACGATGCCCAGGCTTTGAAGAACGCCGATGTTGGTTTCGCCATGGGTGTGACTGGTACCGAGGTAGCCAAGGAAGCATCGGACATCATCTTGATGGACGATAACTTTGCATCCATCGTCAAGGCCATGTCCTGGGGCCGCACTGTCAGTGATGCAGTGAAGAAGTTCCTTCAATTCCAAATCACGGTCAACATCACCGCTGTGTTCCTTACTTTTGTCTCGGCAGTTGCTAGTAGCTCGGAGGACTCTGTCCTCAGTGCTGTGCAGCTACTTTGGGTTAACCTGATCATGGATACCTTCGCTGCCCTTGCACTTGCAACAGACCCGCCATCGCCTTACGTTCTTGACCGCCGACCGGAATCCAAAGCTGCTCCGCTGATCACTCTTACCATGTGGAAGATGATTATTGGACAGTCTATCTACCAGCTGGTTGTTACATTCGTGCTGAACTTTGCTGGCAAGTCGATCTTCCCTTGGGACGATGAGCACATGCAAACCGTGGTCTTCAACACTTTCGTCTTCATGCAAATCTTCAACCAGTACAACTCCCGTCGTATTGATAACAAACTCAACATTTTGGAAGGAATCTGGCGCAATAAATGGTTCATTGGCATTCAGATCCTTATCATTGGAGGTCAAGTTCTGATCATCTTTGTCGGTGGTGCTGCCTTCTCGGTCAAGCGTCTTGATCAGGGCTCCCAGTGGGCCGTCAGTCTTGTTCTGGGTGCTCTCTCGTTGCCCATCGCTGTGGTCATTCGCCTTATCCCCGATGAATTCGTCAGCAAGCTTGTCCCACACGCCTGGCACGGCCGTCACCAGAAGAAGGGCCCTGAGCTGGTCATCTCGGACGAGAATCGCCGCTACGATTGGAACCCGGCCTTGGAAGAAATCCGCGACCAGCTGCAGTTCATCAAGACCGTTCGTGGTGGGCGTCTGCGACATATCCGCCACAAGCTGCAGCACCCGCAAGAGCTCTTGCCTCGATCTCGCAGTGGTTCCCGCTCTCGTGAATCCTCTATTCCGCCTACACCGAACGGTGACAATGGAAGCCCACCCCCGGTCTCTCATCACCCGAGCCTCGCTCCCGTCGCAATACCCGGTCCCGCTCCAATTCTACCTTTGGACCAGCTGCTGCCATGGCGGGTGTCGTGGCTGGTAGTATTGCCGGCTGGTCTCCCATTGAGCGGAACCATGATGAAGCCGACTCAATTACCTTCCCCACCAACGCTGCGCACGGCGGTCTGGATGGACAGCAGGGTATCGAGATTCACCCGGATACTGCGGCCGATGACCGCGTCGTCAGCGAATACTCCACCAACTCCAAGAATCCTCCTAGTCAAAATCCGGACCTGATTCCGTTCTTTGAACATGCTCCCCCGGCGACTGCAGAGCGAGCGCCGTCGAGTCGAGGTCGCCGATCTTTCTCCCAGCGATCTCACACGAGTCAAAGCCAGTCGCAGGTGTAATATACAAACTCACCAACATCGCTCATGATCTCATATCTTTAAACCTCCTCTACTAAAAAAAGCATTCCCGAGAAACGGCGTTGTCGGATTTCCTTCCTTGTTCTGATATCCCGGGCTCTCCACACTTTATTCTTATTGCCCTCATGTTTTCGTTTTTATCATTGCCCTATGTCTATCTCGGGTATTCTTTTTTTAATTCCTTTTGTTAATGCTCGCCTCGATCTTGTATGTTCTCTCCCGTCGCTGTGTTTCTGGTTTGTTTGGTGGAATCGGAACCGGCGTACTGTACTACACTACTGTTGGGGACTAAAAAAACTCCTTCATAGACTAACACTTTCTCTTTTTTGCCTGTGTTTCTCATTTGCATCCTTGTCATGGGGATGGTTGTGGCTTTTGTGTTTCTTTTGGTTCGTTGTTGGCGTTACCCAGGCTGGGCGTAGTCAACATCTTTTGTCTTGGTCTCGAGGAATTCCTTATCACTGAATAGTGTATAAATCCTTAATGCCATTTATAATACTTTTTTTTTTCCTCCCAAAACCACTATTTTCTACCCCCAGCTCCCTTAGCAATAGTTTGATGTGACATACCTAGCAAAGATTACTGTAGAGTGTAGGGAGAACGTTCAGCCTCAACTGTGAGCCTGTGCCCCACCAAGTCCCCGCCATCGAGTTATTCACACTCCAACTACCCCAACTCATCATCTCCCAAGGAATGTTATATTACTCCAACATCAACTTCCAACACAGTCACTCCCAGATCTGATCAACTAGATTGCAAACTTCTACTTCCACCATGGACTCGCTCATGCTCCCCTCGGAGGGGGAATTGTTCCAGCGTTGGATCGGCAAGGACATCGCGGACGTTCCCAAGCCCGCCGTGGTGCTCGACAGAGCCATCATTCGCCGGCATTGCCAGCGGATGAAGAAGACAGTGCAAGCTCTGGGCGTTGGGTTCAGGGCACATGTCAAAACACACAAGGTAAGTTGATCAGGCATACATATACATGTGCGAGTATCAATGAGACTATAGCCAACACAATCGGCAGACCTTCCAAATCGCCAAAATGCAAATGGACAACGGCGACCCAGAAACCAAATTCATCGCCTCAACACTCCTAGAAATCGAAATGCTCCATCACCTACTAAAAGGCGTCAAAGCCCTAAACCGTCCAGCCAACGTTCTCTACGGCATCCCCCTCGTACCCTCGCACGTCCCACGACTCGCAAAGCTAGCCGCCGACATCGGGGAAGATAGTATCTCAGTGATGATCGACCACCCGGATCAAATCCCCTACCTACGTCAATTCTTCGAAGTAACCAACTTCCCCGCCTGCGTCTTCGTCAAAGTAGACACCGGCTACCACCGCGCAGGCCTACCACCTATCTCTCTAAACAAGAACGGGCTCCTCGAGAAACTTGCCGACGCAGAGAGAAGGAGGATGGGTCCGTCTACTGGGTTTATACTCGCACAGCAGTCTGAGCTATAACGCAAAGACACCCGCGGAAGCCATGACGCATCTCATCGCGGAGATCCAGGGTTGCAAAGTCGCGCTGAATCGGTGGTTACCTCTTCTCCCCAGGGATAGGGAACTTATTATCAGCGTCGGCGCAACGCCACAAGTATCTTCCTCGCATAACCTAGTCGAGGAAACCACTTCTTCCCCAGAGGCCGAAGAACTAAAATCCCTCCTCCGCACCCCGTGTCCCGAAAACGCCGACGTAAAGGTGAAAATCGAACTTCACGCCGGCAACTACCCCATCCTAGACATGCAACAAATATCGACCAACGCCCGCGAAAACGCAGGCAAATTCGAAGACGAAATCGCCATGACTGTCCTCGCAGAAGTATGCAGCGTCTACAACGACAACGAGCGCGAGAAACCCGAAGCTCTCATCGCGGCCGGAACACTCGCTCTGGGCCGTGAGCCCTGCGCGAATTATCCCGGGTGGGGTGTGCTTTCTTCGTGGAGACGGAGGGAAGATCCTGGTGCGCCGAGGATGATTGTTGATCGGATTAGCCAGGAACATGGGATTGTGGCGTGGGAGACTGGTGGGCAGAGGGGTATTCCGCTGAATGTGGGAGATGTGGTGAGGGTGTTTCCGAATCATGCTTGTGTTGCGGCTGCTTTCTTTGGGTGGTATTTTGTTGTTGATTCGGAGAGGGATGGGGATGGGTCGCAGGTTGTTGATGTTTGGGTGAGAGGACGGGGGTCGGATGTTAGTGATCCGTTTTTGATGACGAGATTTCAGTAGAGAGTCTTGTGGGTGCAAAGTCAGGCTCGGTTTTTGGGAGGTTTTGAGACGTTTGGTGCTGTATATGCTATAACGGGAACTACTGCTGGATTGCTGAGATTGAGTGGCCTAACGCAAGATATCGAAGTCGACTTGATTCAGTCAACGGCCACGTTATACTGCTATTTTCTAAGCAGTACCTCCTTAGCACAACCGAAATCTACATAACAACAGAGCTGATATCAGGTAGAAATACTCTAGAGACTCTCTCGCTATGATAACAAGTTGTAAGCTTCTGCTGCCTAACCTAAGTATCAAATTAGAGCGATATACAGAGGAACCCAAAATTATATTATGCAGTCACTTTAATGCAGGAAGGGTTTAGAAGGAAATGGAAACATAAGGATCGCAAGGTACTGTCTGTAGACTAGAGAAAGAATATGTGTGGGTAGCATGTCAGATAAGCATACTATAAGAAAATGAAGAAGGAACTGCTTGCAGGTTTAATCCATAATTGTAGTAGCCATTTATGAGATCTAGTGGTCGATCATCCAACAGATCACGATGGCATCTTGTAGGGCTTTTATCATAACGAGCAACTGCCGCGTGTGGTCAAGCATGCAGGAGAAAAGCCGATGTTGTTTCGGCGCAGATTATGCGCATAACAGATCAGCCTGTGGGGCGGAAAGGAGAGCTCAAAGCTTTTAGTTCGCGACAGGATGTTACCAGAGTGAGCTAGTTCGTACGTAATTTGACATAATTCGGGATTCTTGTCTAAACCTTCACAGTAGTTAGATGACTTGGTTGACTCAGTGCTTGCTAACTAACTGACTGACTATCAACCGCTGGCAATGATATTCCCAACCAGGATCAGTCACCAGGAACGAAAATTCCATAAAAAAAAGTAGCTTAAGCTTTTCAATCGATCGTGCATGACCTCTACATAGAAAGTATAATCGGATCTTTGATTCCGAGCAAAACTCCGAGGCCGATGGGAACCGACCATGTAAAAACCCTTCTTGCTCACGCGAGCTAAGCTATGAAGTTATGAATAGTAATAAGCTACCAAAAGACAAAAGAGCCGCCTCAAAGTCCCTCCCTTCATTGGTATCTTTGTAAAAGTTACCCACAAGAACCAATAATAGACATAGAATGGTTACCAGGATCCATAGAAAGGCTGAACATTCTAGCGGATCCCCTATTGACAACGGAGAAGCAAAAACCTTCAAGCAAAAGCAATAATCCCTATTCCCCGGAAAGCTCCTTCACTGTGACCACCGTATAGGAAGTTAGGAACAGCGAAGAAGGTCCCCTCTCCTTGCAGGGCTCACATTCCAACAAAAATATTCCCGGAGCTTTAGAGTATGCTGACTTCCCCAAATGGGAAATACGTCGGCGGATCCCAGAAGCTCTTGTCGCGCAGCGTATCCTTCACTCACGCAGTAGTCAATAATAGACCGTAAAAACATGTCTGTCATCATCCCTACCTCGATGGCATCATCGAAACAAATAGGCATAAACAGATGGAAACGTGCACATTAGTTTGGAGCCAATTTGAAGTTGAATGTTTTCCCACATGCGTCAAGCTTGATAACGGCTGCTTTTTTTTCTCCACATCCCAGCATCATACATGATACAGTGCGTCGTTGATTCTCTTGTTTTTTTTTGCCCTTTTGAAATGGACATGCCTTCTAGCGAGGTCATTGGTTCCCGGTGCCCGGACCAGCTGGTCAAGTCCTTGATTGCTGAGGAATGCCTGTATCATAGTCGTGCGGGTGTTACACCAGTTTTTGTATGTAGCCTCCCTCCTTTCAGACAGGGTGATGTCAGGACTGGTTCCACGGTGGACGGGGTAAAACGGATGGACGTGGAGAGGGCCATTCTTCTTTTCCTGGATCTGATTATTAGAATTTTATTTCTTTGCACCTTATATCTATCATGCCGAAGCTCATGTCTTACCTATCATCTTGAGTATCGACCACCCAATTTTTTCGTTTCTCCCTTGTTGTGGCTGGATTGTGTTGGAGTACATCACCGACGTAAACACGAGCTTGAGTCTCGTCAATAGTTCGTCAAAGCGAACTGCACATACTACCACAAGCTAGACGGGGCCTTTTTGAGGCGAAGCTGGGCACTATTACCCTTCCAACGAGCACAATTGAACACGAACGACAATGAAGCACGACGACATCGAGAAAATCCATGGATCACCCTCCCTACACAGCATGAGCCAACATGAGCTCACTACCAGCTCCTCAAACGACCCTATCAAGGAAACCATCCTAGAGCCCAAACCACAAACAAGACTTCGACGATGGATCACCAATGTGAGCAACGTGGAAGCTAGAGGGATCGAGCCCGTACCCTTGGAAGAAAGAGAGCCGGTGACTTCTTCTACATCACTGCACATGATGCTGCTCTGGTTCAGCATGAGCTTGGCGACAAATAATATCATTGTTGGATCAATGGGAACGTTGGTGTTAGGGTTGAGTTTCAAGGATGCGGCTATTTGTGCGGTTTTGGGGAATTTGGTGGGGACTACGACGATTGGGTATATGAGTACTTGGGGACCAAGGAGTGGGAATCGAACTTTGGTAAGTTCATACCAATTCTAGGGCAGAACGCACTTTCTCTCCCCGTTGATATCCGTGCTCATATCACCGATGGCATTGATGGTAGATCGTTGCACGCTACTTTATGGGGTACTATCCCAGCAAAGTTTGCATCGCATTGAACATCCTCACCAATCTTGGCTATAGCATGGTCAATTCTGTGACTGGAGGTCAGATTCTCTCTAGAATCTCTGGTGGGCACATTTCAGTGCTGGTGGGTATCGTTGTGGTGGCCTTCTCGAGCTGGACAATGGCCATGTTTGGAATGCGCATCTTCCAGATCTATGAACGGTAACTCGCCTTCTTCCCCTACCTCCATCAATATCAATTGGCACAGCACGTCCTAACGATGATCTAGATTTGCATGGCTACCTCAATTGATGGTTCTCTGCGTGATGCTCGGCTCCGCAGGCCCTCATTTCGACTTTACAGTCCATACGCCCGTCTCCCAAGGCCGACTCAATGCGAAACGAGTCACCTTCTTCTCGCTAGCTCTATCCGTGGCTCTCGCATGGGCACCTCTAGCCGCAGACTACTACGTTTACTACCCGCCACACGTCAAGCGCTGGCGCACCTTCATCGTGACAGTACTAGGCAGCGCCCAAGCAATGGTAATCACCCTACTCCTCGGTATCGGACTAGGTACCATGATGGCCAGCTCACCCGCCTACCTCACCAAGTACGGCTCCACGCCGGGTGGTCTGCTGATGGCCGCATATGATGCCCTCGGAGGGTTCGGCAAATTCTGCGCCGTGATCAACGTCCTGGCGCTGGTCACCAATAACACTCCGGGAGCGTACTCGATGGGCATGAACTTCCAGATGCTGGGTGGATTCTTCTGGCGTGTTCCCCGACCTATCTTCACTACCCTGGCGACTGTGATTTATACCGCTTGTGCGATGGGGGGTCGGAATTCGTTGTACGAGGTGTTCAAGGGGTTTTTGCCGCTTATTGGGTATTGGGTGATGATTTGGTTGATTATTGTGATTGAGGAGGACGTGTTTTTCCGTCGTTTGAAGGGGTATGACTGGTCGGCGTGGAATTCGCCTCACCGATTGCCCGTGGGTATTGCTGCTGGTGTGTCCTTTTTAGTCGGATGGGCCGGAGCGATTATTGGTATGGTAAGTTACACACACTCTATCTTTTCTCATGAGTTTCTTACCTGTTGATTTACTAACTTACGTGCCCAGAACCAAGCCTACTATAGCGGCCTTCTTGCCCATGTTGCCTCCGGGGCAGACTTGGGCCTGTGGACTGGGGCAGCATTTACAGCCGTGGTCTTTCCACCACTCAGAGCGATGGAACTCTGGTATTTCAGGCGCTAAGCAGTTTGAAGTTCTGAGGTTCTTGAGATATTTAAACTTTGAACAGGAGGGGAAGGTGCATAGGGCCAATGAATCAATGATTCATGTTGTTCGGGCGCGTTTGCATATGAAACCGACCGGCCCGCGGCCCATGGAGATGAAGATGGATCCCCCCTCGGTCCGTGCCGATAGATTTGAGTACATAACATGCTTCTTTCAGTTAGGCTAGTTGCATGGGTCTGTAAAGATGATATTTCTTGGGCTTGTTGCGTTTCGGTGGTAGCTGCATATGGACTTATGTATTAAGGTTAAAAACCGAGGTGTTGATTGTGCAGTATGAACAAATATGAATAAAACACAGTTTTATAGAACCGCATGTTCAGAATACCTGCCGATCAAGACTTCAGTTTAACAAGCGAGCTCTGCATAGTTAGTCTCAGTTGTAAGCAGTAAGACTAACTAACTAGTTACCAAGGTAGTTGCAACATTAGCTAGGCAACTAACTCCCCTTCACTCCATAATCTGACGAGCTTCAACCAATCAGCTTCAATTGTGGCGGGTCCCCCGCAAGCCTCAAGCCAAATCACAAGACGCCCATTTCACCCACACGGCACGAACAACAACTATTATTAAGTGCTGATAAGTGCTGCTACTCGCCCTCCTGCAGGCCAGATTCTTAACAAGAAGAAAAACAGGGACTGTTCCTGACCCTTGCTAGTCCCTTCCCCCACCACCAACACGATGGACAACGGGACCGCCTCTCTGGCCTCGCAGTCGCTTTCTGACGCCGCAAGAGCTCTCCTCGATGCTGCCCCGCGACAATGGCTGCCTTACACTCTGGGTTTGCTGGTAGGCTATCCTCTTCTCACGACGGCCCTGCGATACCAGCGAGTACGGAGTATGTACAAAAAGTACCCGTATGCCACTCGGGAAGATATGGCCAAGATGACCGATGACCATGCATACGAGATCCAGAAAGCTGTAGCACAGCTCGAGTTCCCGTTTATGTTTATCAAGGCGCTACAATTTGCTTTGTTCAGGGTACGTAGAAGCTATACTCATATATCACTATGAAGCTTCATGCCCCGCTCCATACATTCAAACACCCCATATCGATAATCCCATATACTATTCATCTCTCTAACAACCATACAGACCTACGGCATCCCAACAATCTCCCACCTCCTAACCAAAACCAGCCAATTCTCCAGCCCAGAAACCTCTCTCAAGCGCTACACAGACACAAGCGCCCTCGTCCAAGAAATGGTCGGCAACAACCCCACCTCCCAGCGCGCCTTCATCTCCTTCGCCCGCACGCGCTTCCTGCACTCCGGATACCGGGCCTCAGGCAAAATCCTCGACGACGACATGCTCTACACACTCGCCCTCTTCGCCCTGCAACCAATCAACTTCATCAACCGCTTCGAATGGCGCCAGCTTAGTGATCTTGAGCGCTGCGCGATAGGCACCTTCTGGAAGAGCGCGGGTGATGCGCTGGGTATTACTTATGAGAAGTTACCGTCTGGTAGCTCGGGGTTTAAGGATGGGATTCAGTGGCTTGAGGAGATTGAGGCGTGGAGTGAGGAGTATGAGCGGAAGTGTATGGTGCCTGATAAGACGAATCGGGAGACGGCTGATCAGACTACGGCTATTTTGTTGTACATGTTGCCGAAGGCGTTGCATCCGGTTGGATTGCAGTTTGTTTCGTTTATGATGGATGATCGGTTGAGGAAGGCCATGCTGTATGTGTCAACCCATTTCCCCGTTACAAGGTCATCCTTTGGGGATGAGCAACTAACGAGTCTTCTTCCCAGCTACGACGCACCTTCTTCCATCGCGATTGTCGTCTTCACCAGTCTCCTCACCATCCGCAAGCTATTCCTGCGGTATCTCGCTCTCCCCAGGCCGTATTTCATGCGCTCTATTTCTCACACCGACAAGCCCGATGAGAATGATCGGTTCTTCCTTACCCAGTGGGAGGCGGCGCCTTACTATGTCAAGCCGACCTTCTGGAATCGCTGGGGTCCTACTGCATTGCTCACCCGGGTTCTCGGACGGCCGGTGCCTGGTGACGAGGGTGATAAATATTATCCTCATGGGTATAGTATTCAAGACGTTGGACCTAAGTATTTCGAGGGTAAGGGGCGGAAAGCAATTGATGAAGCTATGGAGGAGTTTAAGGGATATCGGACTGGGAAGTGCCCGTTCCATTGAGGCTTTTTGGGGCCTGTGAGATAATTCGACAATCTTGGGTGAGGTGAGATAGACGAGGACTTTGTTTAGCTCGTTGACTGGACTACTATATGGCGGAAACGACGTTAAATCTACAGTCTAGATAAAGATTCAGACACGCAAGGAACATGGAAATCTTCATAAGGGCAATGGATCCCAGACAAACAAAGTCATTTCGTCAATTGCTTTTCCAGTATGTATTCAAGGCCCGGCGGTCGAGGTAACCACCGTAAACCGACAGGAAAAAATAGAGACAGTTTAAAAAAGGGGTACATTAGGCGCTCAAACAAGATACTTGGGGTCGGGGTCGGAGCCAGACCCGTGGTGGAGCCAAGCCCCGTACACATAGAGAATGTAGGCTTATCGAAGGGTATTACTGCGAGCAAGTCTCAAAATGCTGAACGATCAGCAAATTTAGACCTCCTCCTCAAGACCGCCCTCCTCAGCGAGGCTGTAACAAGAAGCATGGTTAGTATGACTGGGTTCATCTAGAGCGATTATTGGGGGAACTGCTTACTACTCCTCCTCGCCCTCGGAGATGGAGGCCTCCTGGTACTGCTGGTACTCGGAGACAAGATCGTTCATGTTGCTCTCAGCCTCAGTGAACTCCATCTCGTCCATACCCTCACCAGTATACCAATGCAAGAAAGCCTTGCGACGGAACATGGCAGTGAACTGATCGCCAATACGCTTGAACAGCTCCTGGATGGAGGTGGAGTTACCGACGAAGGTGGAGGACATGCGGAGACCACGGGGGGGAACAGAGCACAGAGCGGTCTGGACGTTGTTGGGAATCCACTCAACGAAGTAGCTGGTGTTCTTGTTTTGGATGTTGCGCATCTGGTCCTCAACCTCCTTCATGGAGACCTTACCGCGGAACAGAGCAGAGCAGGTGAGGTAACGACCGTTACGGAAGTCAGAGGCAGCCATCATGTTCTTGGGGTCGAACATCTGCTGGGTCAGCTCGGGGACGCTGACCTGGCGGTACTGGTGGGCACCACGGCTGGTCAGGGGAGCGAAGCCGACCATGAAGAAGTGCAGACGAGGGAAGGGAACCATGTTGACAGCCAGCTTGCGGAGATCGGAGTTGAGCTGACCGGGGAAACGGAGGGAGGTGGTGACACCGGACATGACGGCAGAGACCAGGTGGTTCAGGTCACCGTAGGAGGGGGAGTTGAGCTTGAGGGTGCGCATGCAGATGTCGTACAGAGCCTATGAACGTAAGAGATGTGAGTTGGTGCTTCAGAGGCAGATCATTCACAATTGGCCCATCATACCTCGTTGTCAATACAGAAGGTCTCGTCAGAGTGCTCAACGAGCTGGTGGATGGACAGAGTGGCGTTGTAAGGCTCGACAACGGTGTCGGAGACCTTGGGAGAGGGGACGACGGAGAAGGTGGCCATCATACGGTCGGGGAACTCCTCACGGATCTTGGAGATCAGGAGTGTACCCATACCGGCACCGGTACCACCACCCAGGGAGTGGGTGATCTGGAAACCCTGGAGGCAGTCGCAAGCCTCGGCCTCACGGCGGACGACATCGATGACCTGGTCGACGAGCTCGGCACCCTCGGTGTAGTGACCCTTGGCCCAGTTGTTACCAGCACCAGACTGGCCGAAGACGAAGTTGTCGGGACGGAAGAGCTTGCCAAAGGGACCGGCACGGACAGCGTCCATGGTACCAGGCTCTAGATCGACCAGAACGGCACGGGGAACGTACTTGTCACCGCTGGCCTGGGGAACAGAACATTCATCGATTAGTTTTGAGGTTGATATTTCGGCATTGACTGGACACGCAACTTACGTGGGTGAAGTAGACGTTCAAGCGCTCGAGCTGGAGGTCGGAGGTACCATTGTACCTAGCCAAAAAATATCAGACCGCCATTCCGCGATCGTGTGGTATTGTCGACGGTAATCGAATAAACTTACTGGCCATCGCCGTCAAGGCCGTGCTCACCAGCAATGGTCTGCCTGTAGCTCGAGTCAGTACATCTTGCTCATTTCGACATGCAATTGAGGGGCTGCCGTGTTGTGTTGGGCAGTTTTTTGGTGGGCGTGGCACGTACCAGAAAGCGGCACCGATTTGGTTACCCTACAAATCCCCAAATTCCGTTTAGTCAAACCATCACATTCCTCATCTACCACATCCTCCACGTGTCTTTTGAGTGCCACTTACACACTGGCCGGTCTGGAGGTGGACCTAAATTGTCGTCGAAAAAGAGGAGGTTAGCACAAGCCTGAACAGGTGGGGTTTGTGGTCTTCAGGGGTAAAGAGAAAACACAGGACGCGTCGGATCGGGGTAGGACGTACAATCTCACGCATTGTGGATGGAAATTGGCGATATGGAGTAGGTGAAGGGTATTAAAAAAGTGGACGAGGAGAGTTGATGACCAGGAGTCCAGGAGATGGAGATGGAGAGGAGGAGAGGAGGAAAAGGTCGGTGTGTGGGCGTGGGGATCAACAACAAACCAGGCCAAAAGGAACGTTCAGGGGGGGGGGAATGACCCGATCAGGGTTAGCGTGATTGGGCCAGTCAAGTGGGGATCAGGTGATCTCACATTGGCGGGAACTGCGCGAACCACACTTTGAATGTTTGTTCTGTTTGTTTGCGGTTGGGTATCATCGTTAGAATAGTTGGGCCAGATCACAAGTTGGAGAGTGCATGATGGATTATTAGGTAGGAGCTACAGTATGAGCTCGGGGCTATGGGAAAGACCACACTATGATTACATTGGGAGGACACACGCTCTATCCTGTCCGCCTATCTAAAACATGTCCATAGCTCGTATCATGAGCATGTTCTCCTTGACACTCTTATTTCTCGCTCTCCAGCCAGTCTCCGAACCCTTGGAGTCGCTGGTTCTCTTCTTCGTTATCGGCGTCAAGACCCCGCTCCGCCATGTCCTCCAGAGCTGCCCGCCGCTCATTGGTCTTCTTGAACTTCTCACGTCCAACTTGGATGTAGGCCTTGATCTGAGTGCCACCGAAGAATCGACCATCCATGCGCTGAAAATAGTTTTAGCGTCAGAGAATGCCAGAAAGACAGACAAATAACAGAATTGTGAGAGAAGGGAATGCCATAGAAGATAAAGGACTGGGAAGGATGTTAAGGGAAAAATAGGGCAAACACAACATACCGTAACACATGCCTGTGCATCATCGGGTTGGGCAAATTTGACAGTCACCACTCCCTCTGGCTCCAGGTCGTAAAGCACTACATTAGTAACCTCGCCGATTTTGGAACACTCAGTTCGGACATCTTCTTTGATGTCCAGAATTGCCTCGACATCCTCCTTCATAGCCAGAGTCAGTCTCACTGGATTCGTATTCCCGTTAGGATCTGATAGGCAGGCTTACCTTGAGCTCCTCCAACGTAAACAAGCCCTTCAGGACCACAGTCCGTTCTTGGGGGACGATAAGGTTATTTCGAAGAAGCGGGTCATCGTCATCCCAATCAGTCAACAAGCTGTGCAGATAATGTTAGCACGAAGGAAAGATACGATGTTCAAGGGCCAGACAAACCGGTTCATTTCCTCCGTTCGCTCCAAGACCTTGCGTCTATCACGAGGGGCGGGCTTTGCGGGTGCCTCTGTTTGGCTCTTGAAAGACAATTCAGCTGCCTGAACTCTCATCGTTCCCTGGCCTCCGCGAAAATCGGTTTCATCGACCATCTGAATGGCTAGGTTGACTGATTCTGGTCGGAAATAGACCACTAGGGCTTCACCCTTGAAGGTGCCGTCCTCCTCGTAGTACATCTTGATGCGTGGACCGCCGCTGTCAATTTCCCTCGAGATCACACCCCAACGAGAGAACTTTTCTTCAATTTCATCCCGCTTGGTGTCCTGCGGAAGACCAGTGATCCAAATTGCAGAATTCACTCGTGGCTTCTTCGCCTTATTACCCTTGGCCTGAAAGATGATTGTTAGTGAGGGCAAAGTTCTTTAGCTGGTCTGGATTCTTATGCACTAACATCGCCAGCTGGCAGCTTCCGCTTTTTCATCTCACGAGGGTTGACCATCTCATCTTCATCAACACCTGCTACTTTGTACGCCTCTTGTTGTTGCTTGAGGAGCTCTTCATCAACCTGGGATATCATATTCGGGTTAATATTTGGCGGTCAATAGGTGACAATACCGATGGGGAAGTCACAGTGGAATCGCCGGACTGTCCTGAAGCGAGGAATGCATAAAGTCGCGAGTCTCCGGAACATACCTTGAAAACCCAGCGCTTAAGACCGGAATCATACTCAAACTCCTGTCCATCCTCCGTTTCCAAGATGAACTTTTCATCTAGCCTGGACCACGAGATACGTGGGTCGCTGTCAAACTCCGCCGGGTCCTGCGGGAACGCAGGTGCGTCCGTAGAGGCCCCTTGGGAGGCCATCTTCAGACAGTATGATCGTGATAAAGTAAGAAAGAATGTAAATCGGATTGTTACGCGCTTTGTCAGCGATCGCGGGGGTCCAGTGGGAGTGGGAAACAAAGCAAAAGAAGTCGCGGGGGCGCGCAAGTCGCGAGTCGCGGGGGTCGCGGGCGGGGCGGGAAGCTTTTGGAAGGAGCTTTCTAATGACTTGAGGCAGCCTTACCCGTGGATCGCTCCTTGGCTAATTCATGGCTATGCGATCTTTCTCAACTATGCGTACACAATTGCACCTTGGAAGAATACTGATAGCGATATCTTGGATTTAAATATTGTATTTGAAAGGGTATCTGGAACATGCTAGGAAATAAATATAGAAATAGAAGAAGAAAAAAGGCCAAGAGAAAAGAAACCGATACAGAGTATCCACAGCCCAGTATCCGTTTTGTTGGATGATCAAGATGGACAGAGAATGGACGTGTTGAAAACCGCACCGAGAGTTTAAAGAAAGAAAGAAAAAATTAAATTATTAAAGAAGGAATGACATGCAAGGCAAGATCAATCAAGCCTTGGTGTCAATGGTCGCAGGGTGCTCCTCAGTAGGAGTCATGGTACGCTTAGAGCCAGCATCGCTGTGCTCAACGCCGTTGATAATGTCACGAGTGACCTCGACATAGTCGTACTAGAGAAAGAAATTAGTATTGAATACATTGTATGCTGTTCTGAGGAATAACTTACGGCAAACTCGCCAATCTCGGCATCATCAATACCAAGGATCTCATCCTCCTCGGGAGCACGCAGGCTCAGACCGGGAATGAGGTTCATGATGAAGAGGATAATGCAAGTAACGACGAAGGAGTAAGCGAATCCAGTGACGGAATCGGCAAGCTGGTAACCAAGCTGAATGTAGTTGTGGTTGATCCAGCCACCGGGAATCTCGGTGACACCGTCGAGGTGCGCAATGTAGTCACTAAAAGCAGTTAGTTGATCATTCTTGAGATGAATTGACAGAGTCACAACTTACGCAGCAAAAAGACCGGTAAGGAGGTTGCCAACCAGACCACCGACAGCGTGGACAGCAAAAATATCCAGAGCATCATCGACGCGGAGCAGGAACTTCAGCTTGGTGGCATAGTTGCAAGCAACGGCACCGACAACACCGAAAATGAAGGCGGCCCAAGGAGTGACAAAGCCAGAGCCAGGAGTAATAGCAACCAGACCGGCAATGACACCAGAGCAGAAGCCGACAGTGGACCACTTGCGCTCCAGACGGTAGTCGAGCAAGCACCAGGTAACACCGCCAACCGAGGCAGCGAGGTTAGTCACAACGGCAGCCATGACAGCGCGCAGGTTAGCAGCCAGGGCAGAGCCAGCGTTGAAACCGAACCATCCGACCCAGAGGAAGACCGTTCCAATGACGACGTGGGTGACATTGTGAGGACGGTAGTTGAGCTCGTGGGTGCCGTGTCCACGACGCTTGCCCAGCATCAGGGAGTAAGCCAGCGCAGCAGAACCGGAGGCAATGTGGACGGGAGTACCACCAGCGAAATCCAGGCCGCCCAGCTGGAAGACCCAACCGGATGCGTTCCAGGTCCAGCAAGCAATGGGGTCGTAGACAATGGTGGTCCAGATGAACATGAAGATGATGCAAGGCAGCATGCGGCCACGCTCAGCAACGGCACCGACGGCGAGAGCAACACTATATCAAGTCAATCAACCATTCCAAGCAAGAACTCATTCCAATTGATTGTGTACTCACGTAATAGCAGCGAACATGCCCTGGAAAATGGCGAATAGGATATCCGGAACCTTGGAGCTGCCGACAGAGGGCGCAGCCAGGACATCCTTCATACCAAAGTTGGACAGATCCCCGATGAATTTTCCAGCCGTGTGGGAGAAGGCCAAAGAGTAACCCCAGAAGAACCATTGGAACGAGACCACACCGACCGACATGATGGATAGCCATATCAGAGAGAGGGCTGACTTGCGACGAGCGAGACCGGAGTAGAAGAAACTATGAGAGACGACGTGTTAGTGAGGCTTGAACCGCTATAGCTTGTATCTCAATGTAACTTACCCAACACCGGGAATCATCAGCAAGACAAGGGCGGATGAAGTAACTACCCAAGCGATATCGCCGGCCTAGATAGTATTGTCAGTCATAGTTCTTCTTGAGTTGGATACACTCAATGTCATCATTTCATACATTGTAATAGATGTTAAGGTCCTCCGTCAACGAGTCACCACCGGTGCCCGAGGCGGAACCGTTGTAGGCCACCGGGTATGCAGACATGGTGATACCAGATGTACTCAGATGTGTTCAAGTGTTTCACAATGGAGAGGGACAGTTGACACAGCAGCTAGACCCGACCAGCCAGATAGGTCGATGATAGGGTCAGGAATTCCGAAAGTCTACCGAGAATATACGACGACCCAAGGGGAGCAAAGTCGAAGAAGAGATAGATCGAACAGAGGATGAGGATTTCTTAAACCAACCGGCCTGCGGAGCTGGAAAGGGGAAGATGGATTGGGAAAAAGAAAAAGCTGATCTATCCAGCACCTGCAGGGACTAGGTCTGATAATTAAATAGCGACAGGCAATATGTCCACTGTCTAGGCCAGACACGCAGGGCTCCACCATCGGCCACGCTAGAAGAAGAGCATCGCATTCGATCTTAGGCTCCCTGATAGTGGACCATCAGCGTGTGGTCATGTTGATTGCTGGTATGAATCATCGGATCGAACTGATAGCCAAGGCCAAGCCCGCCCCATTTCAGCCATGTCCGGGACGAGGAGGACTGTGGGCGTGGTGGTATGGATCCAAACGGGGGATTACGGGATGGGGTATATGGATAGTGGAATTACGGGGTATAGAATAATGAGCACAGTCAGATGCCGCGAACAAGAAAAAAGGAAACCATCGTCTCTGCTTGTTTATAGAGACCATGATTGAATCTAAATGCAAAGCATCAGGTTATGCTGCTAATGTCTACAGAAATTCTCCGACTGCATCCAGGTACCGTTAGGACTCATCTGCTGTATGCTGCTGGCAAGCACCAGGGATTTGACGCATGAAACCTAAACTATTCGTCAGCATGTACTCCGTACTCGGTACGGAATAGAGTAGTGAAAGACGATAAGCAAGGTATCGGAACTCTTAGGGTGATAGCATGATTGGGTTTAATTGAGTGACAGATGAAGGGGAATAACTAATGGGAATTGACAGGGAAACCGCTCTAATCGCCAGTAATCATCCACCGTAATCAAGCATATCAATCCAAAAAAAAATAAAAATCAAAAACAATGGGAGAGAAATAGGGATTCCCGCCGGGGACGTCCATGACTGGCTGTAGATATGAAAGTCCACAGTGGGCCAATCAGCGCCGGTAGTGCTTATCTGCACCCTCATCCTTAAAAGTACCTCCTGCGACTGGTCCGCAAAGGTACGAAGCACTCAAAAACGCCAACAGCGTCGCCTGTCGCGGAATCTCAAGAGATATTTGTTTCAAACTCTGAGTATTATAGATTAATTTGCTAATCACATAAGACAATTTGAGAACGAAATCTTAGAAAGCGCTTGTCAGGCTACAGAATGTAATCTTAGAATTCTTCGAGGTACATCTCTACCAAAAAGCTCTTATCAGACGCCTTATGATCGTCCAATCAGCGCCCGATCGCTCGACCTGTCAGGGCGGCTTATCACTGCCTCGTCCAGACTATCACCTCGCGCCTCACATCCTTAGCATCACCCTGTCATATCTTCATGCTCTTCGTATTTTATTCGTTCCCTAACAAAACAGAGTCTAACTCTTCGATATTGCCCTTCTCTACTCCATGCCTCCTACGACACCACGGAATCTGGAAGTAATGGGATTGCCACCAGTAGTAAATCTACAATCATCTCGCTGGTCATGGCCCCCTGAGCCGGAGATTGAGGATCTGTCTCTGTAGACTCAGACGTTCAATGATTGTCCTCACCCCTCACATTTGATGCAAGTCTATTACTTCCAAATCTGGAGTAGTCGCACCCATGCTCCGGGATAATGGAATAATGCAGACCCCTACTACTCCACTTGCCAGGGACGTGACCTCCTCCGAGAACGCATGGGGCGCACTGCGACGGTTTTTCTCTCTGCCACGCGGTCCGCAGAGCGCCAAGCCATGATAAGCCTTGAGGTGCTCATTGGTTGTGGATGCATTGCAGCTTGCAGGTTGGTGTAGGGCTTGGAATCGGCATCCCGGCCTACAGCTTGGCATCGCTTCCAGAGGGCTTCGACTGGTCGCTCCCCAGAGAGTTCGTTCGACTGACGTCGAGATGCAGGCTCTATTTGTGCCGCTATTTACTTCTCCTCGCCTCTTCATTGATGGAAATGTCTTCTGAAGCCCAGACTTCGCTTCTGTGAAATGTGGGATTAGCTCATGTCGCCATGTCGCCTTAGGAACTGTCTCGTCCACCAGTCCCTGTCGTAGTTGTCGCATCAATGACCCCTTTGAGCATTGAAGCTATTGAGTCCCCTGTTCGCCTTAGTCCGCAGATGGCCATCTACAGCATATACATTGTAGTCTACATAATTCCATGATAGAAGATCGTCCGCTCCCTTCAGGGCCCACTGATCTACGTGGATGGAGAAATAGTCATGATCCACAGATCTAACGAGCATCGAGGTGGAGATGGAGAGCTCTACAACTGTATCGCACAGGCCATGCCGCCGCAATGCCAATAATAGCATTTGTTTTTTCGACGCTCAGTCGATCTCTCCTTGGCCGACCACACCACAGGAGTTCGTTGCTCACGGCCCATCTATGATCTGGGGTGCTACCCCTGCAGGATGATCCGCGTACCGGGAAAGAATGCGGAGTACATAGTTTCATTATGCCTGGAACATTCGCTGAAGATCAGGCATGGAACCCGGCAGTACATACACTTGTAGACGCTATCGAACACTTGCTTTTCTGATAGACTACGCCATCTCGGCTTGAAGAATTCTAAACTTTACGACCCCTGGAAGACTGTTGATGGACTGCAAATCTTGGTCAAACGATGTAATGTAGCAAGCCATTGTCGCGTTTTTGACGAGAAGCCAAGTGCAAGTCAAATCTTTGAAACCACTTTCTCTGTCAAAAATGGTAGAATTCCATGAGGCCGTCTCAGAGAAATAGTTGTGCCTATTGATCTAGACAGTGGCTAAAGTACTGAATACGAAGAAGTAATCTGTTTCCCTGCAGTCCCTTACATCCCGCCAGTACCATGTACCATAGGCGGTAGTTTAAAGGTGAAAATTCAATGACGGTGTAGGAATTGTCCAGCCAGATATGGTTCAGCTTCTTGTCCCCTGAGAGATCTTTCGAGTCCTATGCTGAATTGTCTTGCTTGATGGGTCGAGTATTGTTTATCGGGATATCTTTCAACGCAGGACTGAGAATATGGCCTGGAAGGCCTTCGGGCTTCACCAGTGCAGCGCCACGATACATATATTTGAGAATAAATACCTTTCTATTGGCTGCTCGGTGGTATTTGATACGGAGTACAAAACTTACCCCGGACATTTTGTGACCCATTCTTGTCCGGCTTTTCAGTAGTTATTTAAACCCCCTAATCTAGGCAGCATTCGGGATTGTTTTAATCTCCGATTGTGGCTTCAGGGCTTGTAAACAGCATGCGGCGTCCTGGGTCACGAGGGCTCCGTCGCTTTCCCGCAATTCTGATGTTCATATCTGATTTTTGCGACATCGGTTGACGCGCTAATTATTATGAGTTTTGTAGAAGCTAAAGGACCAGGCTTGAAGAGGAAATTATGGAATAAAGCTTTCCACTGAAGACGGCATTTGATCTTTCAAGGGTTGAATCAAGCCGAGAACTGATCCCACTCCTTTGAAGGCGGGTATACGGGTATACTCCGTGCATAGCCGCTTTTTATAGATGATGCGTTCAGAAATGAGATCAATGGAAATCACAGCAATTTCGACTATCAACTTCTCCTGTCTTATCTCTCCTCATTCCCTAGGCTTATGGACTCCGGTTAATAGCCCTTTCAAAACCAAAGGAGTGGAATCGATAAGTAGGTTCAATAATCCTTTCTATGGGAGTCAAGTATACGTCATCAGACAGATACCTAAAACATTTTATGAGGCCAAATCTTGTTGACAGCTATGAATATTGATCCCTGTATCTGACCTAACGGTCTCGGAACTTTGCCGATTTGTTAAAAACCATAGCACATCACAGAACACTGGTTTCATGTTCAACTCATTTCTTGATCTGGGCAGCTGACCGGGGGTCAGGGCACAGGGATGTGGTTTAATATCAAACAAGACATAGAATCACTGCCACGTACGTGAACGCTACTCATGCAAAAACTAAATGTGGTAGGACAAGCAGTCGATCCATGTCATTGCGAGCTGAAAGACGAAGATGGTGTAGGCAAAAAGCAGGGATCCCTCTGGGCGGAGAGGCCTGCTATTGGGTCCCCCGCCACCCGCACCGCCACAAGGCCCCTATCATTCGTATCATTCCTATCGTCCGTTTCCCTGAAGCTCCGTCCCTGCCCATCGCCAGAGCTTTCTTGCATCACGCGTTCCACCATGGAGCATCCCGACATTGTCAGCCATGACTCGGATGGCTCGGGGTCCTCAGATGACTTTCCCCCTCAATACCCTTTGAGGGCCAACTCATCCTTTGGTGAGCCCTTCATCGATGGGGCCCAGGTCCAGACTCCGGCCACGACCATCACCTCCTCCCCTCCCTCACACTCGTCAAGTCTGGGCTCCTCATGGTCCAGCACTCCAACCGCCCGGCCACGAGGGGCTAGTGTTGGAGCCTCTGCTGTCCTCGACAAAGTTGATCCTCATGCCATGGCCACTGATTTGCGCCTTCAACGCCCATCGGCTCCCGCGAGAACTCCCTCCAATACGTACGCTCCCCAGCGCCGTCCACCGCAGTATATCAGCCTTCAGAGCGACCGACAACGCTCCTCCTCCGCCAAAAGGGGCACCCGACGCGACCCAAACGCGCAATACCGTGCCCAGGAAAAGGCTTATGTCCAGCGCATTAGGGCCAACCCGCAGGCCTGGTACCACCATTTCGACGACGCGCAATCCGCCAACATGATGGTGGCAGATGCGGATCTCGAGGATCCCTCGCCCTCCTCAGAGGTTCCCTTCGACGACGATTCTTATGACCCCGATACCCAACTATTCCTCCCAGATGACAACATGCCGACGATAGAAGAGCTGAAGAACCCGAAGAACCAGGAACGGCTGGAATGGCATTCAATGTTGGCGTCCGTACTCAAGGGAGACGTGGTCAGACAAGAGAAACAACGGTTGATTGACTCGACGGAATCAAAGCGATCGGCTGCCTTGGGCCATGCGCTCTGGATGGGTGTGCGAGCGAGGGCTTGTGGACGTAGCATTGCTCTGCAGCGGAAGCTCATTGAGGATTCTCGAGCGCAGCTTGGCCCGTTGATTGAGGAGATCATCAACTTCCAGATCAAGGGTGAGACGGAGATTGGCAAGCCACCCAGACAACAGGTGGAGGACGTGGTGGCAAAGGTCGAGAAATGTGAAGTTCTCTATTCTACTTCCAAGGAAATGGAAGCCGCAAACCCTCGTACCGCGTCAGAAGAATTTTATTCGAGTCGCGCCGCCATTTTTGCCTGGCATAATATCACGGCTCTCATCAACACCGAGTTGGCCGTCTTGCAAAGCTGGGTGGGTAACGATGCTCTGGATTTCAGCCAGCCCAGAACAAAACATGAGAACAGCGAGTTATCCGAAGACTCTTCGTTTTTGGATCGCATCATGAAGGAAGATGGTTTGAAGACGCTTCAAGGCGACCACAGCATGCTGAATGGACTCGGGAGAGTCATTCAGAAGGCAAAGGGTACGCTAATTGAGAACGCGGAGGCCTTTGCTGCCCGGCATTTGCCGCCATATATTGAAGAGCTCTTGACTTTGATCAATTTCCCCTCACGATTGATTCAAGAGATTATTCGCGTTCGATTGTCTTACGCTAAGAATATGAAGGACCCTGCCCAGCAGTCTCCTATCTTGGTGGATCAGATGATTTCACAGTTCCAGATTTTGATGAGGGTGGCTACGCATATCAAGCAACGATACCTCGAAATTTCGAGACCCGAGCCTGGCTGGGACCTGCCGCCCTGTGTTGACGAGAATTTCGATTCTGTGGTCTTGGATGCAATGAAATACTATTTCCGCATCCTCAACTGGAAATTGAATGCCAACAAGAACACCTTCAAGGAAGCTGAAATTCTTGAACAAGAATGGGAGTTTTCATATGTCATTGGCCGACAATTTGAGAACGGTGACATTGAGGTGGCTGAACAGTTTAGGTATGTTCATCAGTTTCACATTCGCGGGATCTACTTGCAACTGACGCTTCGGCCTTTTTCTTTCACAGTGCATTGACTGCCAAGTCACTTCAACGACTCATGATCCATTTCGAACGCGAGCTTGTACCGAGACCTAATGAGAGCGTGGCGGATATGGACAAGCGTTACAAGAGTATCCTCGATTCAACGCGTATTCGCCAGCGCAAGCTGTATCGATTCTCGAAGTTCCTTTGTGAACTCTTTGAGAACGCCACCGAGTATAACTTGACGACCGATATTGCATACGAATTTTTCGAGGCGCTACTTGTCTCCGATCATTTCCTTGTCACATCCCCCACTTCAGTTGGTCAGAAAGGAGTTTATTTGATTGCACACCACTCATTGTGGAATCGCCCCGGCGATATTCAAGCTATCCTTGCCACCTCTTTCCGAGAAGACGAGTCCACGAAGGATGGCCCACATATTCCGTATGTGCTGGTCATTCGCCCGGAGAAGCCCCTGGCATGGGCTGGCAAAGAAATGAAGATTGATTTCTTAGAGCAACCGACCGATGTGCGACTTGGAAAGCTCCGTCTCGTCGTCGAGGGTATGCAGGAGCGACTGCAGAATGCCAGGATGGAGTTGGCTCAACTCACGGGCATCCAGCTAGACATGGCGATCGAGCAGCGCGCCAATCTGGGCCGTGTCAATGTGGAGTTGAACAAAATCAAGAAAATCTCTTTCAAGCTGTCCATGGCTATCATGGACAGTGTGGCTGTGATCAAGAATCAACTTCGGGAGAAGACATGGGAGAACAACGAACTGATTCAGGCTTGCTATGCGTTTGCAACTGAATTTGGTAAGCGTTCGTCTAATTATGTCGATTCCAACCGACGTGCCATGAACAGTGCCCGTCTAGTGGAGCTGTCTCTCGACTGGGTGTCCTTCATCTGTGATGAGTGCGACGCTGCGGACCGGAAGACTTTCAAGTGGGCGGTTGCGGCCCTGGAGTTCGCGATGGCCATCACTTCCAGCCGACATTTGCTGTCCATGGACGAGGAAGAGTTCAGTCGTCTGCGGTTGAAGGTAGCGGGTTGCATGTCCCTGCTGATCTCTCACTTTGACATCATGGGCGCTCGCTCCTCTCTTGCTGCTCAAGCTGAGAAACAGCGCATGGAGGAGCGTGCGGGCTACCGCAAAGTCGGCGCTGGTCGCATACTTAGCGATGAAGAAGCCTCAAAGCTGATCCGCGAGCAATGGCTCGCTCGGGTGATGGAGATCGAAGACCGCAGAGTGGAGGAAGACGCCAAACGCCAGGCGCTCGGCAGGGTCCTCGAGGGCTCCAACGAGGCCGACCGCTCTCTGACGGTACTCTCATCTTCTGCTACAAACGTCACTTTGCGTTGGCAGCAGGGCCAGTTCATTGGCGGAGGTACTTTCGGCTCCGTCTACGTGGCTATCAATCTGGACAGCAACTACCTGATGGCCGTCAAGGAAATTCGTCTGCAGGATCCTCAGCTCATCCCCAAAATCGCACAGCAAATTCGTGATGAAATGGGTGTCCTGGAAGTATTGGATCATCCCAACATTGTATCCTACCACGGCATTGAAGTGCATCGTGACAAGGTTTACATCTTCATGGAGTACTGCTCAGGCGGCTCACTTGCTAGCTTGTTGGAGCATGGCCGCATTGAAGATGAAACGGTCATCATGGTCTACGCACTTCAACTTCTGGAGGGTCTAGCCTATCTTCACCAAGCAGGCATTGTGCACCGCGACATCAAGCCCGAGAACATCCTCCTGGATCACAACGGAATCATCAAATACGTCGACTTCGGTGCCGCAAAGATCATCGCCCGGTCGGGTCGTACAGTCGCACCAATGGACGGACCCAACGGCGGCATTCTCGGAAAGGATGCCCAGATAGCCAACCAGCGGGGCAAGAACCAGAAGACCACCACGGGTACCCCGATGTACATGTCTCCTGAAGTCATCCGCGGCGACTCCCCCGACCTAGTCAACCGCCAAGGCGCCGTCGACATCTGGTCACTGGGATGTGTGGTCCTAGAAATGGCGACTGGACGCCGTCCCTGGTCCACCCTTGACAACGAATGGGCGATCATGTACAACATCGCCCAGGGTAACCAGCCCGCCTTGCCAACTCAGGATCAACTTAGCGACACAGGAATCGACTTTGTGCGCCGCTGCTTCGAATGCGACCCTCTGCGCCGACCTACTGCCGCCGAACTACTGCAACACGAGTGGATCGTCTCAATCCGTCAGCAAGTCGTCGTCGAACCTCCAACGCCCGGCAGTGAAAACGGCTACAGCAGTTCAAGCTCTATCAGTCGCCAGAGCTCGACCTACGCCTGATTTCTATCTCTTCAAAAACCTTTCTCTATATTTCATTTCTGCCTCTCGTGGCATTTTCACCATTTGCTAGCCTTCATGGCACTGGCTTCACATTTATTTGATGGAAAGATCTTTCAATCTTTCATTTTCACTACCCACTCGCTCGATTTCGGACTTCGACATCGTCCCCCCATCCTCAAACGGCATCGCATGTGATACCCCCTCCTGTGCCAATTTTTTTGTGATTACTATGATCATATGTTTTGATTTTGCAAGACCTATACTCTTTCTTTATTTTCACTCGCATATACGAAGCTGACTCTGCTGGTCATGTTATGGTTCCTGATCTTTTTTTGGCGCTGGGACTTTGTTGCGAGTTGATTGTGTATGATGCTCTGTGTGTATGAAAACGATTTCCCTGGTTTTGGTTTTAGCATTGGACTTTACTGCATACATGTTTTTGAGTAATTGTCGGAACTCTTCGTTTTTCTTTTGCTTGAGGTAATCTTGTATTGTAAACGAGGCATATTTCGACAAGTAAGATTTGTATCCCACGATGATTGTTAGCATTAGCGGACCCGAATCTAGTAATATTTCTTGAAGACATGTCTACAAGATCAGATCAAAGCACTTGTATGAGTTGAGTCCAAGAATAATCTGCATATTGATTTTCTCAAGCGGGCTGCAAGGCCTAGACTAGCCTTGTGATTGAATACATCTCACAAAAGAAATAAGACAGGAATAGATGTAGATGGCGTATGAGGTTAATAGAAAATGTCGTAAGGTGAAAACTCGGAAAAAAGAAAACAACCCATCTCGCCCAAGAGAGAAAAGAAGGAAAAGAAAACGCCATTTCCGAGATTGAGGGTTCGTGAGGCATGAGATACAGTTTGACAAGAGAGCTGGCGCCAGGAGTTGACCGATGTGGAGGGGTATATGTGGAGAGTATGATGTTCAGCCAGGCCGTGAAATCACGGAAGTCCAACAAGTAGAGAGATTGGAGATGTGTCGGGTAAGTAGATATTGCCAGGGCGAGGGAAGAAAGAAAGCTTGGCGGAGAATCAATCTGTGGAGGGTGGGACAAGCTTATTGGAAGGTCAAATGGTAGTGATGATGGCCATGATGTACCGTGAGGAGAGTAAAGGATGGAGAGAATGCGTTGGTGAGGCAAACCAATGCTTTGAAACAGCGTGTCTGAATCGTTCAAGCGCCAGCAGTCGAGCTCTAGAGAACTTAGCGGAACTCGACTGCTGGCGCACATCCACGATCTTCGACATGTTTCAGCTCAAGCTGTTGGAATCTAATACGAAAGTCAGCAAAATCTAATCTCATATTTTACAGTTGTGGAGACCTACCGCTCGCTCTTCGCATGGAAGTAGACACCGCTCACGGATCCCTCAATTTGATTGAAGCAAATGTAGTAGAATCCCTCGAAGCTGGCGCCAGAGATGGTTCGCACCCGGTGGTCGGGAACGAGGAAATATTCCTTCCATCTCATGAACACGTGCTCACGCTGAGCAAAGTTACGGTAGGTGAAATCAGTGCGCTTCGCCTGTTTGGCGAGTGGCTTCCAAGCGGGAAAACGGGACCAATGATGGATATCCGTCTTCTCATTGGCGCCCCATTCCTCATTGCGAGTTTGGAACGTGTGTTTAGTACCAATGATCTCTCCTTCAAAGAATGTGGTCAAAGTCGGGTGATCTTCTGTAAGGCCTATTTTGGATCGAATCAAAATGAGACACGACGGTTAGACTGGTATTCAAGACAAGGTTGAAATACAGGCGAGTCACTGACCTTGAATGCGAAGATAGCCACAAAGATAGGACTCGGCCATGTCCACGTGCTTTATTTCCACGTCAACATTATAGACCTGTTTGTCGGACATTTGTGTGCCGACAAATCTGCTCCCAGATCGGAGGTAGGATGAAGAATGATTTGGCAGCAACTGTGGCAATAGGTCAGTAGCTAACCTCGCTGAGCACGGAGTGGCGTAGCGCGTGGTATTGGGCCGTAAGACTTACGCGAACATTTGAAAATTCATACCGCAATAGCGAAGAGTTAGGCGGCATGACGGGCGATCGACTACGAGCACAAAGCTCCGTGGGCGAACTCGATCGCTCGCGTGTAGTCTCGTCGTCCGTCGCGCCGGGCATCCTGCTCTCCACTTTCAGCGGGTCGGACGCCAAGAGCGCGCTGCCATCGTCAGAGCGACTCAGCACGGACGGTGCCGTGGCGCTGGCCGGTGTGAGAGCATCTTCAATAGCCTCGCTGGCTGTGATGGTTGAATCTGGTGAATCTCTCCAAGCCGAGACGCGGTCTAGTTCCGGTGGGCAAGTACGGGTGGAGATCACCTCGGCGATCGAAGTTGGGCGGTTGTCACTCGGGGTCGGCATTGGGGGCGGGATCAAGGAAGGAAGAGAGCAGACATCGGATCGAGCCAGGCGCCAAGAACGAAAAGAGCAAACTCAGTAAATAAGATCAAGAAGGAAGAATAGGAAGAAGGGTGACGAATGGAAGATTGAAGGTTGGTTGGGGGGAATCTTGAAGGGGAGGAAGGATTGTCTTTTCGGTCCAGTCCTGACCGGGGACCCATCATGGGGTCATGCGAGCGCGGGGGAGGCGTTGGTGGCCTGAGGCCGCAATATATACGTCAGGTACAGCATCAGCACGCGGCAATCGCGGAGAAGGGTGCGACGATGAAATATGTAAATGGGATGTGATGGGAAGGGTAAAAGACCCTGAGGCTTTTATAATGAAGAGTCTACAAATATTCATCCGCAATGGGGATGTCCTGGAAAAGCACGTGTTTTGTATTATCTGCCTGTGGGTCCGCTTCATGATGAACCCATGCAAGAAAGCCTCGATCAAACGCCCGGTATCATAAAAATAACCAATTTCAAACTCTAATCACCTCTCATTTAGATGGGCTTGATCTGTAAGATGCAAGATTTGCAATTAGCGTTGTCCCAGAGTAACCCAAAACAGTAACTTAGCCGGGGCCATACCTTGAAGTGCAAGGAAATGAGCGAGAACACCAGCGCCTTGAGATCTTGCACCAGGTAGTAAAACACTCGAAGTCCTTCAGGGTCATCCGATTCAGTCACATCCACCAAGGAGCCGATTTTCGCGGTCTGTGAAGGAGTTAGAACATCGCAGCTTTTCGTGACAATCGCGCCACTTCTTGTCCACTTGTGCCATACCTCGAATGAGATGTGTTCATTGCCCAATCGAATCTCCAACTCCTGACGGCCATCCTTGTTCTTCTGCGGCCACTTGGAGTCGTCCTCCCTAAGGTCGAGGGTCAGCGTCTGCTTTTGTATCTCGTTTCCTCATGGAATTGGCTTCGTACTTCAAGATCTCACTCTGCTTGATGATGCGCTTGATTTCCTCAATCATTGCCGAGCTCACACACACTATTATTCGGTCAGATCGGTTGTGTTTGCGGTGGCGCGGGGATCCTCCCACTCACTCTCTTTGCGGATCAGGGAGTCATTTCGGTAGTTGGAGTTATTGGCATATCGCACAGCAGCGCTGCTGCCGTCGGCAATGGTTCGGAAGTCGAATTCTAGTACAGATGTCAGTGTATTGAATTAAGGCGATGAATAGGCATCATGAAGCATCACTCACCTAGGAACTCGTGCCCGAACCGCCCAGAGTGACCTGAGCTGTGAAAGAGGGAGTCAGCAGCCGAGGAGACTTGGGCTTGTCATCGCAATATCATCCTTACTAGTAACGGAGGTAAAATGTCTCGTTCGTCGACATTTTTGCAGTGGGGGAGTTGTTTAACCCTCACGATTGACCGCGATGAACATTGAAGGCGGAACTTCCAGAAAAGCGGCCGGCTTAGTCATCCACACAGAGGGACCGGACAGGGCAAAGGGACAGGTTGATGCTTCCACACCCCCCATTTGCGCATCTCAAACCAACACACCCATGATTTTCTGGCTGGCGAGGGGTGTTGGACTATTTTAATTGCGCGTTCTTGACATTGGTCTGAAAATCCTATTACTAGGAGACCTGTTTCTTTGGTACGTTCTACAGTCGGCGGTCCGCTGAGGTGTCCAAAACATTCCCCCGACCTGACAACTTGCAGCTCCCCTTCGACCCCGGCCGTCGCCTCAATCCCACCACCATGGCGTCCTTCCTTGAAAATGCGTACAGTCTGGTCCATTTGGACAATACAGCAGACCAGCCGACCCTGCAGGAGTTGAAACTCCAGCTGGAGAAGGGCAATGACGAGACTAAGATGGAGACGATGCGGACAATTATTACGATCATGCTCAACGGAGACCCTATGCCCCAGCTGCTGATGCATATCATTCGTTTCGTTATGCCTGCTAAGAGCAAGTCATTGAAGAAATTGTTGTATTTCTACTATGAGATCTGCCCAAAGCTCGATTCGAATGGTAAGCTGAAGCAGGAGATGATCTTGGTCTGGTAAGACAAACCCAATCCTGTCGGTGAGACTTGGTGGATTCAGTCAATTGATATCTCTTTCTTCCTGCTTTAGCAACGGCATCCGCAACGACTTGCAACACGCCAACGAATACATCCGTGGAAACACTCTCCGCTTCCTATGCAAGCTGCGCGAGCCCGAACTCATCGAACCCCTCCTTTCCTCGGCCCGCTCGTGTTTGGAACACCGCCACGCCTATGTGCGCAAGAATGCCGCGTGGGCAGTTGCGTCCATCTTCCAGCACTCCGAGGCCCTCATCCCAGATGCGCCCGAGCTCCTCCAGACCTTCCTCGAAACCGAGACAGATGGCACTTGCAAGCGCAATGCCTTCGCCGCCCTCATGTCCATTAGCCACGAGAAGGCTCTCGAGTACCTCGGTACAACTTTCGACACCATTCCTAATACCGATGAGCTTCTTCAGCTGGCTGAGCTTGAGTTCTTGCGAAAGGATGCCGTTCAGAACACCCAGAACAAGGTGTGTCTCCCATTAACCCATGGCCGCGGGGTTACTTTACCGCGTCATGCTAACGGATAATACTAGTCGCGATACTTGAAACTCATGCTTGAGCTCCTCGATGCTCCTACCAGCACTGTCGTTTACGAAGCCGCCACCTCTCTTACCGCCCTGACCAGCAACCCCGTCGCCGTGAAGGCCGCCGCCGGCAAGTTGATCGAGCTTGCGATCCGGGAGGCAGACAACAATGTCAAGCTTATTGTGTTGGACCGTGTTGATCAACTCCGCATGCGCAACGAGGGTGTCCTGGATGAACTAGCCATGGAGATTCTCCGGGTCCTCACCAGCCCCGACATCGATGTCCGCCGGAAGGCCCTCGGCATCGCCCTGGAGATGGTTTCCAGCAAGAACGTCGAGGAGATTGTTATGTTGCTGAAGAAGGAGCTCGCCAAGACAGTAAACGAGCAGTATGAGCAGAACAGCGAATACCGTCAACTTCTCGTGCAGTCAATACACAACTGTGCTATCAAGTTCTCCGAAATTGCCGCCAGTGTGGTCGATCTCTTGATGGACTTCATTGCCGACTTCAACAACAACTCCGCCGTGGATGTGATTTCGTTCGTCAAGGAAGTTGTTGAGAAGTTCCCCGACCTGCGTGGGTCGATTGTTGACCGTTTGGTCTCCACTTTGAGCGAGGTTCGCGCTGGTAAGGTGTACCGTGGTGTCCTTTGGGTTGTTGGAGAGTACTCTCTGGAGGAGAATGATATCCGGGAAGCTTGGAAGAAGATCCGCGCCAGTCTGGGTGAAATCCCCATCCTGGCCTCCGAGCAGCGACTCCTTGACGAGGTCCCCGAGGACAATGCGCTCCTCCAGGAGCAAGCAAATGGACACACCAAGGCCGCTCCTACCGGGTCTCGCAAGGTTCTGGCTGACGGCACATATGCTACTGAGAGCGCTCTCACCAGCCAGTCTGCTGCCGCTGCTCGTCTTGAGGCTGTCAAGGCCGCACAGAAGCCGCCTCTCCGTCAACTCATCCTTGATGGTGACTACTATTTGGCCACCGTCCTTTCTTCCACCCTGACCAAGCTGGTCATGCGCCACTCTGAGGTCTCCCAAGATGCCGCCCGCACCAATGCTCTCCGCGCCGAGGCTATGCTCATCATGATCTCCATCCTGCGCGTTGGCCAGTCACACTTTGTCAAGGCTCCCATCGACGAGGACTCTGTTGACCGTATCATGACCTGTGTCCGCTCCCTCGCCGAATTCTCTGAAAAGAAAGAACTTGAGACAACTTTCCTTGAGGACACCCGCAAGGCATTCCGTGCCATGGTTCAGGTTGAAGACAAGAAGCGGGCCGCAAAGGAGGCCGTGGAGAAGGCCAAGAGTGCTGTGCAGATCGACGACGCGATTCCCATCCGGCAGTTCACCAAGAAGAACAGTGTGGAAGGCGCTGAGGAGATTGAGATGGATCTGGCCAAGGCTACTGGTGGTGATGCTGTCACGGAGAACGTTGCTTCAAAGCTGAGCCGTGTTGTGCAATTGACCGGTTTCTCCGACTCCGTCTATGCCGAGGCCTACGTTACCGTCCACCAGTTCGATATCGTCCTGGACGTGCTGTTGGTAAACCAGACCGCCGAAACTCTGCAGAACCTGTCCGTTGAGTTTGCCACTCTGGGCGATCTCAAGGTCGTTGAACGCCCGTCCACACACAACCTGGGCCCCCGCGATTTCCTTAACGTTCAAGCCACTGTCAAGGTTTCGTCGACCGACACCGGTGTCATCTTTGGTAACATTGTCTACGACGGTGCCAGCTCCACCGAGACCCACGTGGTCATTCTTAACGATATCCATGCCGACATCATGGACTATATTCAGCCCGCCCACTGCACCGAGACTCAGTTCCGAACCATGTGGACCGAGTTTGAGTGGGAGAACAAGGTCAACATCAACTCCAAGGCCAAGACGCTGCGTGAGTTCCTCAAGCAGTTGATGGAGAGCACCAACATGGCCTGCTTGACTCCCGAGGCATCGCTCAAGGGTGATTGTCGCTTCCTGAGCGCCAATCTCTACGCCCGGAGTGTATTCGGTACGTCTTCTTACCCTGAACGAATCAACATTCATGATCAGATACTAACCTACTCTTCTTTAGGTGAGGATGCTTTGGCCAATCTGAGCATTGAAAAGGAGGGTGATGACGGGCCAATCACTGGGTTCGTTCGTATCCGCAGTCGCTCCCAGGGCCTAGCGTTGAGCCTAGGCTCTCTGAAGGGCCTCAAGGCGGCGGCGGCATGAGTAGATTTTGTTTCTTTTTTCCAGCGGGCTCTAGTCTATATGATGTCTCCTTTTTAACTCGTTTCTTTTCTCTCCCCAGACAAAGTTGTGTTTTTATTTTTTGGTTATCCTTTTCTATCATGTATTGAGACTGGGGAGGAGTAGTGGAATAGATAATGGTCTTGGCTATACAAGTCGCTGTACAGTATGATTTTGCTAGCTCTTTATGTGAGAGAGTACAGGGGAGAGAGATACAATAATAATGTATTATTGTACTCCGTCCTCCGTGTATCATAATTAATGTGAAACACTCGGAAATTTATCAGAAGTGAACATCGTTGCACCGCAGGCCCCCGTAGATCCGAGGCTGCGCATGGGCCACCTGCAGCCCCCCAGGAACCGGAACCCGCGGGTGTTGATCTTCGATCCAACCAGCGTCGTTATCTTTATCCTCCTCGTCTATCCCTACAGGTCCCCGTCGCGAATGGTTATTTCTGTCATGCGCTGGATTATTCTTTTCTCTTGATACCCCACAGAATGTCCTCCTCCGATCTAGCCACGGAGCATCCGGAAGCACAGTTGCAGCATGACTCGACCCTAGTCGTTGACAAGGCCGTCTCACTCACCCTGAGCAGCGACTCCCTGCTGATTGTCGGTAAGATACATATTGCGCCTTCAAGCTTCGGACGGGACTGTCAAAGTTGACCAATACCTAAGATGATCGCCCCAATCGCAAATCGGCGCGTAGCTGCTGCGGGTTATGCAAGTCGAGTAAGCTGGGACCCTCTTTCTTTTGCCCTTCCGGCGATCTGCCTTGAAACTTTATCATTGCTAATCATTATGTTGCGCTCGCTGCAGAAGCAAAGAACAAGACCACGCATGCGATATCTTTGTATAACATCCTTGACGCCGAAATCAACCCTTCGAGTCTAGTGATCACCTACGCCGAGCATTCGTCAAAGGATGATGTCTCTGTAACCGGTCTCCACTATCCCGTCGGCGAGAAAGAGAAGCCTGCCGTTGAGACTTGGATGAACAAATTGCTAGATCTAGCCTACGGCACGGCCCAGCGCAGAAAGCGACTCAAGATCTTGATCAATCCCTTCGGTGGCAAAGGTAATGCCGGGAGCCTTTACCAGAAATACGCTGCGCCTATATTTGCCGCTGCGCACTGCCAGGTGGATGTACAGAGCACGGAGTACCGTGGACATGCCATCGAGATTGCGGAACAACTCGATATCGACGCGTACGATGCGATTGTCTGTTGTTCTGGTGACGGTCTCCCATACGAGGTCTTCAATGGGCTTGGGAAACGGCCCAATGGCCGCGAAGCATTGGCTAAAATGGCCGTGGCACTGCTACCCTGTGGCTCTGGGAATGGTCTGACGTGGAACTGCTTCGGCACAGGCAGTAACTCGATTGCGGCGCTGTGCATCGTCAAGGGTCTAAGGACCCCTCTCGACTTGGTCTCCGTCACGCAGCAGAACGAACGTACTTTGTCCTTCCTTTCTCAATCCTTTGGTATTGTTGCCGAGTCAGATCTCGGTACCGAACATATCCGCTGGATGGGCGCTCAGAGATTCACATACGGGTTCCTGGTTCGTCTCTTGCAGCGCACGATCTGGCCATGCGACCTGGCCATCAAGGTTGAAATGGATGATAAGCAAGCCATCAAAGACCACTACGCGGCGTTCAAATCCAAACAGGAAGAAGACGGCCCCGTGGCCGACCAGAAACGTCTCGATGCTGCCAAGCAATCACCGGCTCTACCAGAACTCCAGTTTGGCACCGTTCAGGACGAGCTTCCCCAGGATTGGGAGGTCGTTCCAGGCGAGAGCATGGGCAACTTCTACGCCGGGAACATGGCAATCATGTCTAAGGATACCAATTTCTTCCCCGCCTCGCTTCCAAACGATGGTCTAATGGACGTTGTCACGATTGACGGAACCGTCAGTCGCGGTACATCGATCAAGATGATGACTGAGATTGAAACTGGCGGCTTCTTCGATATGCCCGACGTGAGGATCCGCAAGGCCATTGCGTATCGCCTTGTACCCCACCAAAAGGAGGGTTACATCAGTATCGACGGTGAACGTGTACCCTTTGAGGCGTTCCAGTGCGAGATCCACCAAGGACTGGGCACAGTGCTCGCGAAATCGAGGCGTACGTATGAAGCTGATGGGCCGAGGTGATTCGTGTGCAGGCCATGTCTAGACCGCGCTGGACAGATTTCCTTCCATTTTTGCTTTTGTGGATGTTTAATATACTTATACAGCCTGTCCTGGGGCCTTCTTGCTATCCCACACTCATGATACCCTTGCGCAAGAGGTCTGGCAGTTGAATATACTCCTTGTTTCTGTTATTTCCTTGCTTTGACCAGATTTTAGTATGCTTTCCTTCAGACAGGTTTTGTCTGCCAGCTGCTCTCGAGTCTACCTACCCGCTTGAGTGAAGCTGTGTACATAGTCATCCTATTGGAAATACATGACATCCACAAGTCTCGTCTCTTTCTCGTCACTCAAGTCAAGTTGCGTAGATATAATGGGTCATCAGCAAGTATTAAGAAGTATACCTTTGAATCAGATTCATGTTTCGCTATAAATAGGTATGCTGTACAGAAACTCGAGACCAGTGGGCTTTTTTTGCACCCACTAGTCATCGAAACCACCCCACTCTCCCTCACTATCTTCTTCCTCCTCTTCCACCTCCCTCGTACGGATTCCCCACTCCACCAACCGGTCATCATCAAGAGCATCAATTGCTCTTGTCCGGACAGGCTTGTATGGGCTCTCCGTACGCAACTTCTCCAAAGGCCGCAAAAGCAACTCCATAGGCACATCACCGTTGATCTTCCTATTCTTCGGCTCACCCTCCTCGTCAACCTCATCGCCATCAAACTCCAGAACTTTCTCCAACTCATCAACCCAGAGGTCAATCAGGTGATAGCGCAGTCCATCCGGTCCATGCGGCATAGGAACAAAGTTCGGATCTTTCTCATCAACAACAGGCTTGGATGATTGATCGGGGTCAAAGTTGACAGGGCAAAGAGGGCCTTCCTCGATGATGGAGATATAAGCCTCGAGATCGGCCCATTTGCCATCTCCTTCTTCAGTCTCAGTCTCTGCGGGAGCGGGCTCGCTCTCGGTTTGCTTCTTTTGCTTCTTGCCGCGGCCCTGCTTGCCGTTGTCCTGGCGCTTGCGCTTCTTGGCGTCTCCGTTGTCGGTCTTGTTGGGGCCCTTTACGAAGATCTCGAATGCGACGCCGACGTAGCAACGGATCAGGAAGAGGTACTTGTCCAGTCGTAGGCGGTCCAGGGAGTGGAAATCCCGACCGATGGTGATCCAGAAGGCGCGCAGGAAGCGGTGGAGGGTAGCATGAGGGAGAGAGGGGACGAGGGAGTAGGAGAGCGCGCGGGCGAGGGCTTGTTGCGTGAGAGGTCGGTCAGAATGGTAGAAGCCTGTGGTGGAAAGTTATTAGTTTTCTGGACTCGGATAAATCCAATTGAGAGAATAGCAGCGCTGACGTACAGAAGAAGAGACCCTTCCATAGCTTGACGAGGTCCACAAGAGAGAGATCGTTACGCGAGCGCAAGAATAATGTGAGGGACTCGAGGGCCTTGTCGCGGACTTTGCGGTCTGGGGATGAAAGATGTTAGTATGATAATTTTCTGAATATGAGTGTGATTCAAAGGGAAACATACCGCTTGAGGCAAGCTCCCTCACAAAGGGAGTCTTCTGAATGTCCGCCATTTTGCCAATATGAACAATATGACCGGTGGTTGTCTGGCTGAGCTTCGTCGATCTCGGCGATAAAATCATTTTTTTCTGTTCTGATAGCGGGTTTGCACTGTTTGCACATGGTGTTTAAGATTTGTAGCCTAAGGTGTCAATTATCTTAAACAGCACCACATCCAACGAGCCTCACGTTATTGGTTGTTAGTTTACTAGTGCTTGTGCAATATACTTTATCAATATGGAACTCGAATCTGATGAGCGAGTAATAATTCAATAACAAGCACAAAATTTCTGGTACCTGACTTGAAAAGCGTTTGGAGCTCACAACTACAGTAATCAGCGCATTCGAATGGCCGCATTTGGCTGCTCCATATCTCCCCACAGGCTCCCGTCCAATGCCAGTGCAGTATGAAGCTCCGCTAGGTCTTGACATCATGACTCTGCGACAGATCGAATGAAACCATTGCATATACGGGGCCGGGAGCTATAGAAGAGTGGCTCAGGGCAACGTTCTCAAGAATGGGCTGATCCATAGTGTTCACAGGTGCGACCCTGCAACCTGTAAGGAATATTACATATAAGCGGCATCGGGCCATGTACTTGGACTTTGTTAATTTCTCCTGCAGTCTGTTTCTATCATTTAACCTTACAATTGTGCTCAAATTTGAGTATTTATCAGCCTCCTTCCTCTCGAGTATAAACCCATCAACTCCGTGCAAGATGGTCGACAAAGATGAAGATCCTGAGATCACCCCAGCCAGTTCCTCTCCCCACACCCGGTCAAGCTCCGAGGCTGTCCCCGACAATGAAAGAGCAATGTTTGAGTACATTCGACCTGAGGACCGGGAGGAGCTGACCCGCATCGCCTCCAACTTCCCCCGGCACCGTGCAGCGGACTCTGGAGTTGCAGGCATGGGCGGCATTGAAAAGAAAGATACACTCGAAGATGTCGAGCTCGGTGATCCCGTCCTCGATCCCACGAGCAATCAATTCGACCATTACAAGTGGGCTAGGATGATGCTGAAGCTGATGGATAAACAAGGAGTACCTCTACGCAAGTCGACGGGAGTTGTCTGGGAGAATTTGAACATCGCTGGCTCTGGGTCTGCCCTCCAGTACCAGAACAATGTTGGCTCAGTACCCCTCGCTCCATTCCGGCTGCAGGAGTACGTCTCTTTTGGCAAGGGCCATTCGCAGAAGCAGATCCTTCGCAACTTCGACGGAGTGCTCAAGAGTGGCGAGCTGCTGATTGTCCTTGGACGGCCTGGTAGCGGTTGTTCTACCTTCCTCAAGTCTTTGTCTGGAGAATTGCATGGTCTCAAAGTGGAAAAGGGCTCGGATATCCAGTACAACGGCATTCCCATGGAAAGGATGCATCGCGAATTCAAAGGAGAGGTTCTCTACAATCAGGAGGTTGATAAGCATTTCCCCCACCTCACAGTCGGGGAAACGCTGGAGTTTGCTGCGGCAGCACGTACTCCTGAAAATCGACTCAATGGAGTCAGTCGTGTCAAATTCGCCAAGTATATTACGCAGGTTGCCATGGCTGTCTTTGGCCTCAGTCACACATACAATACCAAGGGTAGGTTTACTAATCCTCCATGGAGACAGATTTCCTCTGTCCGGACTGTTGGGCTAACAGATAATCCAGTTGGCGACGATTATATCAGAGGTGTTTCTGGTGGTGAGCGAAAACGAGTCAGGTATGTCTTAACTTCTGAAAATTCTCGAAACTAGTTGCTAATGACCATTCAGTATCGCCGAGATGGCATGTAAGTTGGCACCCTGGTGCACCATCCTGAACCAATCTAACCCTGATAGTGTCGGGAGCCCCAGTCGGAGCTTGGGATAATAGCACTCGTGGCTTAGATTCAGCGAGTGCCTTGGAATTTGCCAAGTCACTACGGGTTTCAGCAAACCTTACTGGCTCTTGCCATGCAGTTGCAATCTATCAAGCCTCCCAGGCAATTTACGATGTCTTCAACAAGGTCATCGTCCTCTATGAAGGGCGAGAAATCTTCTTCGGGCCATGCAGTGCAGCCAGAGACTACTTTATCGATATGGGCTGGGAATGCCCTCCTCGTCAAACAACCGGTGATTTTCTCACTTCGGTGACTAACCAGCAAGAACGAACAGCTCGGGAGGGTATGGCAAACAAAGTCCCGCGCACTCCGGACGAGTTTGCAGCGTACTGGAAGAAGAGCACCCAGTGTGTTGCCCTTCAAAGGGAAATTGCGCAGTATCGCGAGGAGTATCCCCTCGGCGGAGCTGCAGGGCACGACTTTGACGAAACCAAGCGACAGCGACAGGCAAAGCACGTTCGGCCGAAGAGTCCATATGTCATTTCAATTCCAATGCAAGTTCGGCTATGCGTGAAAAGAGCATATCAACGGTATATCAACATTCCCTTGTTGAATACTAGAGAACATTCGTCTGACTGACTGTGATAGCATCTGGAACGATAAGCCTTCTACTCTGACCACCGTCATTGGGCGAATCGTCATGTCCTTGATCATCGGTTCAATATATTTCGGGTATCAAGGACTCCTCCAGTCTTCCTCAACGGTGATACTGACTATATCCCTTCCAGGACGCCGAATGCATCTGTGGGTTTCCAGAGCAAAGGTGCTGCTCTGTTCTTCTCGGTTTTGTAAGTTCACATCACCCAAGAGATTGATGTACCAATTCTCATATTACCTCCAGAATGAACGCTCTTATCAGTATTACTGAGATCAACTCGCTATACGATCAACGGCCTGTCATTGAAAAACAAGCTTCCTATGCTTTTGTGCATCCCTTTGCGGAAGCCTTGGGGGGTATAGTCGCAGATATACCTGTCAAATTTGTGTCGGCAGTAGTATTCAACGTCATCTTCTACTTCCTCGCTAGTCTGGTACATTTTCCTGCTCTTAAATACCTCCAGCCCCTTCTATTCTAACCTTCCTTTTAGCGATATGAACCTTCTCAGTTCTTCATCTTCTTCCTGTTCACCTTCCTCAGTACACTAGCGATGTCAGGTGTCTTCCGAACTTTGGCAGCATCAACCAAGACCCTTGCACAGGCCATGTCCATGGCCGGAGTCATCGTTCTGGCTATCGTCATCTACACCGGCTTCGTCATCACCGCGCCTGAGATGAGCAAGATCCCTTGGTTCAGCTGGATTCGTTGGATTAATCCAATCTTCTACACCTTCGAGGCTCTGGTCGCTAACGAATTCCACGGACGTGTCTTTGAATGCTCTCAATTCATTCCCGCGTACCCAAATTTATCAGACGACTCTTTCATCTGTGCCGTTCGAGGCGCTGTAGCTGGAGAAAGGACTGTTTCTGGAGATGCTTACATAGAAACCCAGTACAAGTACACTTACGCGCATATATGGAGAAATCTAGGTATCCTTATTGGATTCTGGATTTTCTTCATGGCGTTGTACTTGATTGCTTCTGAGCTCAACTCTGCTACTTCTTCTACAGCCGAGTTCCTTGTCTTCCGAAGAGGTCATGTGCCTGCACATTTGCGACATCTCGAGAAGGGTGGAAAAGCTGGTAGCGCAGCTGAGGTTGCCCCGGCCACGAAGCATTCTGCAGAGAAAGGTGACACGGCTATTCCATCGCAGCATGACATTTTCACTTGGCGAAACGTGTGCTACGATATCCCGGTCCAGGGTGGCCAGCGACGGCTATTGGACCATGTCTCTGGATGGGTTAAACCTGGCACTCTCACAGCTTTGATGGGCGTTTCTGGTGCTGGAAAGACTACTCTGCTAGATGTTCTGGCCAAGCGTGTCTCGATTGGAGTTGTCACTGGCGATATGCTTGTCAACGGCAAGCCACTGGATACTAGCTTCCAAAGGAAGACTGGTTATGTCCAACAGCAAGATCTCCACCTTCCAACCACGACTGTTCGAGAGGCTCTACGATTTAGTGCTACGCTCCGTCAGCCGAAGAGCGTGTCACAGAAAGAGAAATATCATTACGTAGAAGATGTCATCGACATGCTCGGTATGCAAGACTTCGCAGATGCAATCGTGGGTATTCCAGGAGAGGGATTGAACGTGGAGCAGGCAAGTTCTCAGTTAATCAGGAACCCGCTAGTCAACTGCTAATATGTTGCCTCGCCGTATTCTAGCGCAAACTGTTGACTATTGGAGTTGAGCTTGCGGCTAAACCTGCACTCTTGATTTTCCTCGACGAACCGACGAGTGGGTTGGACTCTCAAAGTTCTTGGGCAATCTGTGCCTTTTTACGAAAGCTCGCAGAGCATGGTCAGGCCGTTTTGTCAACAATCCATCAACCGTCTGCACTACTCTTCCAACAATTTGATCGTCTACTCTTCTTGGCGAAGGGAGGAAAGACTGTTTATTTCGGTGAAATTGGTGACCAATCCCGGACCCTCTTGGAATACTTTGAAAGCAATGGAGCCAGGGTTTGTGGCTCCTCCGAGAATGTAAGTGGTTTTTTCCCCAGATTATACTCGTCCATGACTAACAGAAACAGCCTGCGGAGTACATGCTTGAGATCATCGGCGCCGGTGCTTCTGGTAAATCGTCAAAGGACTGGTCTGCTGTATGGAGTGAGAGCCAACAGGCAAAGGGTGTGCAAACAGAGATCGATCGGATCCATGATGAAAGAGCTTCAGCAGCCCCCAATGAGGATGAGTCTCAGCTTGGTGAATATGCTATGCCGTTCTTATCACAGTTGTGGTGTGTCACACATCGTTCGTTCCAGGGCTTCTGGCGCGAGCCGAGTTATGTGTGGGCCAAAATAATGCTTGCCACTTTGTCCTCCCTTTTCATCGGTTTCACGTTCTTCAAGCCAGATGCTTCGCTTCAAGGATTCCAGGATGTTATTTTCAGCGCCTTCATGCTGACTTCAATCTTCTCGACGCTGGTCCAACAGTAAGTTATATACTAGATGAAAGTTTCCCGTGGTTTATTATGATGCTTATTTCCTCACCAGGATCATGCCCAAGTTTGTCGTCCAGCGATCACTTTATGAAGTCCGCGAGCGCCCGTCCAAGGCTTACTCGTGGGCCGCATTCCTCATTTCCAACGTCATCGTCGAAATCCCATATCAAGTCTTCGTTGGTATAATTGCATGGGCTTGCTACTACTACCCGATCTATGGAGCGGAGCAAGCCTCTCAGAGACAGGGTTTGATGCTTCTGTTCGTCGTTCAGTTCTATATCTTCACATCTACCTTTGCGTCTCTCGTCATAGCCGCCCTTCCTGATGCGGAAACTGGTGGCACCATTGCGACTCTGATGTTCATCATGACCCTCACCTTCAACGGAGTCTTGCAGCCGCCGAGTGCCTTACCTGGTAAGAATTCTACAGACTTAGAAAATCCTATCGTCGACTATCTGACTCAGTTTCAATATAGGATTCTGGATCTTCATGTACAGGGTTTCCCCACTAACCTACTTGATCGCCGGTATCACCGCAACAGGTTTGCATGGTAGGAAGATTGAATGCTCTCCGGCTGAGCTGAGTGTGTTTAACCCTCCATCTGGCTTGACATGCGGTGCATATTTGAACCAGTATGTTACTGCCGCGGGAGGGCAACTGTACAATCCCACGGCTACTAGTAGCTGTGAGTACTGTCAACTCAGTAACGCAGATCAATACCTTGCTGCAAGCAATATCTGTAAGTCAATCTCCCCGAGGTTTTCCCCTGTCTATTTTTCTTTACTTGAACTCTTGTGGCTGACGAATCAATAGTCTACAGCGAACGTTGGCGCAATTTTGGAATTGGCTGGGCATATATTGGTTTCAATATCTTCGGCACCGTGCTCATGTACTACATGTTCCGTGTCAAGCACTATAACCCGACATCATTGGTGAGAGGAATTCGTAATGGCGCTTCGTTCTTCTGTCGCGTGCTCAAGCGGCGCTCTGGTACGACGCCCCAGGGTAAGGAGGCGGACAATGGCAGACTGGTTTAAATGGCCTATGATAAGACGGTGGTCATTTGGCCACTGCCGAGATTTCCTCCATCGGTGCTTTGTTTGCCACGATTGTTTTCCTTTCCTGCTTGGCAGGTCCCTCTCTATAAAAGCCTTCTTTCGCACCTGCCAGATCTTCCCTCTTCCCTCTCTCTCTCCATAGGGAGATATTTTTAATAGTACTATATACTACGTGTCTTTTGTTTACCCTTGCTTCCTCTGAATAGATACAAGGCCCAGGCCTATGCTCTCGTTTTCACCGTGGTCTTATCTCGGTTTGAAAATGGATCCTGATAGACGCCACGATCGAAGGCCTGGTCATTTACCATTTCTTTATCCATTTATGGTGAACGATATAATCATGCGTGCCTCTCGAGGACTAGCTGAAGGACTGCTGTTCGCGGATGTGATCAGTCTCTTGCGGAACAGCAGCAGGTTCGACACTGTATCTATGGATGTTTTACCTTTGAGCATATGTGAAGGTCTTGATCAACAACTTCGTTCCATCATGATCAATGTCGCACGTCTCACGCCAGCCCAGGTGAATGTCAGAGCAACTAGACATCTTGAGCGTGCAATTCATCGGCAACGCCTTCCACCCGTTTGATCCTCTGGAGAATTGTGGGGATCATTATCCATTGCCAGACATCCTGGAAAATGATCCGACGCTGCGACCGCCTCGCTCACTTCTCAACTGCCTGTGTGTCTTCAATTCGCTGCCTCGTCCACCTGGTACAGTTACGAGGTTGGGAATGCGAATGCTGTACGTACTGTCTGTGGCACTAGGAAGCCTCTCATCTCGTCGTTTCGATTCGGATGTGTATCTTGAACTCCTAAATCCCCCGGACCCAGGCGACCCTTATCGGGGCATGCGCAGCAGTTTTTCCTAAGCTTATTTGATGCGTTATGTTTTGCGTCCACCGGAACGTCTCCTTGCCATCGAGCGGCTGATGTTCACGGGCCTAGATGATTCTGAACGTGAGAAGTTGTCACGGAGTCTTTGCACACTGATGCAAGTACTGATGTTATCATGGGAATAGCAAGGCTAGCAGGAGGCTGAGTCAAAGGCAATTACGTCCAGTATGATGGCGCCAGCTGAGAGGGTTGAGTGAAGGGGCCATGGATATTATCAATCTGAAGCTTGCTTTGCCACTTGTGACAGCTACGTCTAAGGGCGTCCTTGCTTTGGCTATGACTTTGTGGCTCCTTGTGGGCCAGATAACCCCAACAGCTGGCACACATGGCACTGCAGTATGGGGTTGGCTTTTTGATTCCCTTGACGATAGGAACGATTCTTTCCGACCCCACAGAGAAAAAGAGAGGGCACGAAAAGAAGATCAGACTGCGGAGGAAGCGATGATGGTTTGCTTTGAACACTTATCATTCCATTGCGGAGCTGTTGACGAGGAAATTAAGATTCATGGCTCTTGAGAGCTTTCCGATCCTTGGAGCAGTGCACGTCTGAAATAAGGTGCCGGTCATGTTGCGGGGGTCGCGGTGATCCTTCTCTGCCACAGACACACCATGCCTCCCGTCCTCCAACTGGATATATATCCTACCAGATAGAGCGTACGGACTTCTCCTTTATTGCAATCACTACCTAACTTCCAATCAGGCCAGGTATCTATTTAGGAATAGTGAATAACCCTGACCGCAAGATCCTATTTATGGCATCGATACCTTTGCATCTATATCTTTGTAAAGCATGTGTACAACCCTAAGCTGTGTCCATCTACTCCGTATGGCTTGTACTACTGTGCAAGCTGAGCGCGCTAGGCCTGATTTGGACACTGCCAGTAGATTAATTCCTGTAGCCAAAAAATTTACTATCTTACATCAAGAAGCATCATTGGTCTAGTGGTAGAATTCGTCGTTGCCATCGACGAGGCCCGTGTTCGATTCACGGATGATGCACATCTCTTCTTTTTTGGAGTTTTTATATACTACCCGCCACTAGCAATAAAGTTTCTTTTCACTGGTGGTCGATTGAATATAGTCTTTTCAGAGGGTAACGATTACTTTTTTATTTATCAATTTTGTTTCATTAGCCATATACCAAGCATAATGCAATTCACTCACCCCCCACAAGGTAACTAGCAAATCCAATTTTCGTAGATGCACCACCAAGTATAGAGTAGAGTGTAGAGATCATATCCTGTATTGAAGGATATACTGGATCATAGACCAAAGAAGAATGGATGAGCATAAATTCAAAACAGGCAAGAGGAAAGAGATGAATTTGAATAAATCACAAGACAATGGGGTATTATGCAGAAAATCAGATGAGCTGAGTGACGCCGAACGCTGTATGGATAAGGAGGATGAAGCCAAAGAAGGACACAAGGGGGATTAAACGTCTCTTGGACGAAGCCTTCGACGGAGTGAAAGAGGGAGGTCAACTCCCGTTATTAGAAAGAGCCCCGGGAAGCAATTAGGGCATTGACAACATGACCATGCTGCCAACCCTGATCGAGTAAAGATTCATGCTCTTTAAGCATGCGTCCCAGATAGGCGATGCGCACCCGTTGATAATTCGAAATCTGAAGACAAAGTTAGAATAAAAACAGCCCTTCCAGACATACTCCAAGAAAAACATACCCCGGTCTCTTGCTGAATCTTCCGGGCCAGAAAGCCAACGCTCTGGCCCTTGCCTATGGATAGAACCAAATCGGGACCACCACGATCACTCAACCGGGCCTGGACGCGAATAAGATCTCGCTCGCTAGTTTTACCCTTTTCATCCCTGCGACGCTCAATATCCTCCCTAATCAATTCATCGCCCGAGGCATCGTCCGTAGCTAGTTTCCCATCCGACAATGCCTCCGTATCCTCTTCCTCCTGCGTCGCCCCACCGTCCCGAGTAATATCATTCGCAGAGGACAACGTTGTCTGAGCCATATTCTCCGGATCACTGACGATACACTGCGGCAGGCGATACAACACGCCCTGCTCATCATAGCAGCCCTCACAAAGATCGCCCGTGGGAATAGTTACGCCCGCCGCATCAACTATGCTCTGCGCCGTGGCTAGATCACCCCCACGCATGAGGGTGATCGCCGTCGATAGCGCGGCCCATACCTCGGGCCGGCCGGTGACTCGAGTTTCGAAGAACTCGCGTCGTTCACGGTCTAGATCGGTGCGGTTCCAGGTACGCCGCTTGCTATACCAGACGTGTAAGCGGACGGGTTCGTTGTAGTGCTCGCTCAGTGGGAGATTAGGGGCGCGCCGCACGCGGCGGCGGCTGGTCTGTGTGGTTGTGGAGGTGGAGGTGCTGGCAATACGAGTTGCTTGCGTAGTGCGATCGTCTGTTATGGTACTGTCTTCATGTGGATGAGGGTCGTCGTCATGCGACGGCACGGACGAGCAGCAACCCTGTCAATATGAAGGGAGGTAACAGTTAGCTGTAACTGCGCCAAGATGGAAGAAGATCCCTGGATTATGATCAAGGGTTGAGGATTTGCCTGGCAGATGCGGAGACACGAGGAGTAGCGAGTCGTGTGACAACGCAGACAACGGGCATCAGTCATTAGACATCTGCCAGGCGCTTAACTATTCGAACTGTAGAAAAAGACACTGGAGATATGATGGAAAGGTGACTTACCATCTTGCATGCGACTTGAACACTCCATAAGCCAAGGAGAGAAGAGGTGCGGGTTCAGCTTGCGAGGGTGGTGAGGGGAGAGGGGGCCAACTGGAAGCGAAAGAAGGGATCCAAGCTCCCGGACTTTTTTTGGAGAGGGGGCGAATAATACGCCCAGGGAAAATAACAAAGCCCACCAAAACTCAAGGACGAGTTCGTGAACGGGAGGGGGAAGAAGCAGAAAGGGAAAATGCTCATCAGGCGAACAAAGGGTCCCAGTCTGATACATTCCCCGGATCTTTGGGTGGCTTCAGACAAGCATTTATGATGATGTCAGTCAATTGGTGCCAGATGCGGCCGAGTTGACGATGCAGCCCATCGTACGATCGTTGCATAGAACCTTCATCTCGCTATTTTGAGTTATTCTCACACATTGACGGTAGGTACGAATATTCTATCTCTAGAACAGTTTCATAGTTTAATAATTCGTATACTATATGATACATAGAGAGGTCATATCTCCAAGCCAGGGTTGTTAATCTTCGTCTTCACCATCACTGCCAAAGATGGCTTTGAACACCGCATCGCCCGGTCGCTCACTCTCGAGAGCTTCATTTCGTTCAGGCTCAACGACTCGAACGGGCGCCTCCGCTGCAGGCTGCAAGCTGGACCCAACTGGAGGCTGTGGCTGACGACCAGATTCCATCAAGATCATGTTCATCACCTCCTGTGATACGAGCTCCTTGCGTGCGGCAGCAGCGTCGGTCTGGTAACCGCCTGATTGGAAGCGTGTTCCAGGCCCGCTGTCCGAGCCACCAGGGTGTTCTCCAGGATCAAGCTGGACATGACCTGGGGGTTTAACATTGAAGCGCTTGCATAGCAAACGAGAAGGATAGAACGAGATCGAGCTGCGGGTCATTTGCCCGAACATGCCAATCTTGGCAGCCGCCACAGCCGGCGAATCTGGTTTCCCAGTGGGTCGACTAAGAGGAGAATCGCTAGGATGATCAGGCGCATCGGAGGCAACCTTGGGCCCCGAGGAGGCCGAGGTGAATCGCGACGCCATGATCCCGCTCATAGGTTTAAAGACTTCGGCGGCCCGCGCAAACTCTTGCATCTCGTTTACCCATTCATCGGTACTGGAACCGGGAACACGGTCTGGAAGAGAGTCGCGCACTTCCGCTCTTACTTCGAGGAACGTCCGGTAGCGGGCCCGTTTCTTCTCGTCCTCTGCATAGGGCATCCATCCGCTGACGGCGCGAGTCAAGGCCTGGACGGCAGTCTGCTTGTCTAATTTAGGGACCAGGTCCCAAAGATCTTTTCGTTTTTGAGCATCAGAGGTCTCGAAGCCCTTTGGAGCCTTTTCACCTAGAGCCGGAGGGAGGTTGGTGTTTCCAGTGAGCTTCGCAATGCGCTCACGAGCTTCGGGGGTCATCCAATCAAAGACGGATTTCCCTGGAAGTTGGGCTTCTCCCAGAGCTGCTGCTCGCTTCGTAGGGTCCAGGGAGGATGCTTTGGCGGCATCCGCCGTGGAGGTGTAGGTCGATGCGTCTCGCTCCGTTGATGTAGCTTGTTTTGTGGACTTCCACCCCTCTGGGATTCGAGGAGGCTCGTACTTCTTGTCCGAGATTGACAGACCTGACAAGCTATCGGCCAAAACGAACCCGTCTAGCGGCAGTCGCCCGTCACGGCATTTCCTGAAACCTCCCGTCGTGCGGGCCGCCGCGACCTTTTTCGAGATGAAGACAGGCTTTGTGTCTAGTAGAGGGTTGGCAGATGCGATCGTCGGCATGCCGGCCTTTTTCTTCTTTTTCTTGTCGCCGCCGATGGTTTTGTTGTAGGCTATTTGTGGCCCGAGGGAGTAAGGGTCTTCATCATCTGATCCAGTATCATTGAGGATGCCGACTCCAAATCCGCCACGGCGCGGGTCCTTCGCCTTTGCCTTGGACTTGGATTTCTTGTCCATCGCCAGGCGATCCCCAAAGAAGGAGTCTGAGTCCTCCTGCTGTTCGTCGCGTGTGGTGTCTGGCGCTTCCAGACGGGTCTCGCCCTCAAACCCCAGTCCTTTAAAGTCTGTTTTGCGTATGAAAGAGACCATTGGCGGATTTTCAGGCGCGAACAGATATGTCTGCTCTGCACCATCACCTTTGGCAGCTGTCCTCTCGTCCAAATTGGCTGTGCGCCGGACTTTGGGACCAATGCCCTGGCCCTCGCGCCAGCCCATCCGCTTCAGCAATTTCACTCCCATGGTCTCTCCACTAGTCTTGAGCAGGTCAATGAGGCCTGCTCTCCGCGTCGCATCGGCATCTGTCAGTCCGAACCCGGCGAAGCCTTCCGTTGTTTGTAGTTGTCGCGATTCCTCCTGTTCCCGCAGGTCTTCCTCGTCCATGAAATCCTCCGGTCGTTGCTGTGTAGTCTGTTTCGCATCGCGGGCGCGGTTCTGGCGGGACGAGACAAAGGTCGCGGGAGTCCAACCTTCCTTGGAGCCGACGGTGTTGAAGTAGCTATAGAAAACATCATGGGTTAGCTGAATGTGCTTCTACAATCTTGTATGTATGGATGAGATAGCTTACCCAGCACTGAAGCCACCGGTAAAGGCGCCATGAAGCCGTTTTCGCCCCCGCTCATCCGTCACCTCTTGCTTCCATACTGGCATGTACGAGCCATCATCCCGTCCGCCGGCCTCCAGCGGGGGTAAGGGCGTCCCGTAGAAGGCATAGGGAGCTTGTCCAGCCTGTCCGGCCTGATCGGCCTCAAATGCAGCGCGTGGACGCTTCGCGGCCATGGTCGGTGACAACCTCTCAGCCGGACGAGAAGGGAAAGTCCTCGGCCATATCCAGAGAGGGTGTGATTCGTGGACTGCTCGGGGATAGCGGAGTCCACCCAGCTGAGTTTCTTGGCAGCGCGAGTCCAATCACCCTAGCAAGGACCAAGCCGAAAAAGGCCGCTAAGGTTGTTTTGGGAAAGGCACAGTGAACGGGGACTCCAGTTTAAGCCGCAAGGGAGAGTCCTCGAGGTTCGGAGTGATTTGAATTTGACAAAGTTAAGGTTAGGGTCAGCACGAGGGAGTTGATCTGGCAGGTGGCCAAGAAGATGTAGTTACAGAAACGGAGGAGTTGATAGTTGAAGAGTTAAGGAAGTTCGCATTTTGACTGGCCACGCCACACGAATATTCTCTCTTGTGCCTGTCCAAGTAACGTTACTTGCAGTTGGTCCCGTAGTTAGTTAACCGTGGCGGCGACTGGCCCCAAATAGCCCCAATGGCCTAAATGAACCCCCCTGATGGTTGGTCAATTCGTTATTTTCCTTGGTACTACTCTACTAATGTACTACTCCGTACTGTAGAATTTGAATGGCCCGAAAGGCTAAAAGTCCCAAGCCGAAAAAGGACTTTGGCGTGCCTCTCCACTTCTAATCTCTTGACTCCCCGACCTTTAGGGGCTCGTATTCTCTCCTCCTCTCTTCTCTTCTCTGTTCTCTCTCTCACTGCCATGTCTTCCTCATAGTCACCGTCCTCCTTTTGGTCCACCTCTTCTGTGTGCGATTCTGTGGCCCTCCCTCTTATCTTTGCATTCCAGGAGCCTCGTCATTTTCCCTTCCTCGGCGCCCGGATCCCGCCCCCGGTGTAGCCCTAGGAATTTCCCCCTCCCCCTTCGCCCTCAGAATGCTTGGCGCCAACAGCTTCGCGGGGCGGCGCAAGTCGCTCTACTTGAGTCTGGCTGTCGCTGCAGCGCTAATTTGCCTCGTCAACCTCATCTTTCTGACTCGCGCAGTCGATCACAGCATCATTCGCCTGCCAGGCCTGTCGCTATTCCGCCCCAAACCAAAGCAGCCCCAGGGCACTCTAGCGCATGATGAGCACCCGATTACCGGATTAATGAACGAAGCGAATGCCCGCTGGCAGGAATATGAGGATAGTCGCTCGACCAACTTCCGCCAAACCGTCGCCAAGTATCGCCAGACCTACGGACGACACCCGCCACCCGGCTTTAAGGAGTGGTACCAGTTCGCGCGCGAAAACAACGTCCACAATGTCGACGACTTCCAGCAGATCACCGGCGACCTGCGCCCGTTCTGGGCGCTTTCGCCCAAGGAAATCCGACAAATGGCCGCGCGCCTGCAGGAGAGCCCAGGAATCGCGGGTGTACGTATCCGTGACCACAAAGTGGTGTCGCACTCGGAGGGTTGGCGTGTGGAAACTCTGGCCGCAGCCGTGGAAAGGCTTGCCAAACACTTTCCGGATATGGATATCGCGATGAACACAATGGACCAGCCTCGTGTTATGGCGACCTATGAAGATATCCAGAAATACTTGCAAGTCGAGGAGAGCACAAGGGCCACCCCTCCTGGTGCAGCGGATGAGTTCACGCAGGGCCGGGATGATTTGTACAACGAAACGGTTGGCATCAACGAGGAATTGGACCCTGGATGGTTCTCTGTTGCTGGAAAGCCCTATATGGATTTCGCCAAGGAGTCTTGCCCCCCGGAATCGCCTGCCCGAAACGCCAACATGACTATAGAAGACGCGGATAAGCTGTTCAAATCCTCATATGGCGACTTGATTTCCAACTTCACCGGCTCTACGGATCTCTGCACGGTGGGTCCTGATCTTGGAGATAAGCATGGATTCCTCTTCTCTGCTTCGAGTAACACGATATCGAGAAAACTGCTTCCCGTCTTTGGCGAATGCAAGGTCAGCGTGAACAACGACATCCTCTTCCCTGCCAACATGTATTTCCTGAAGGATCCGCGCTATGTGTATAACCCAAAGCACGACTATGAGTGGGACGACAAGGCCGACTCCCTACTCTGGCGCGGTGTGACTTCCGGGGGCATCCAAGTGGAAGACAACTGGTTCCGTCTCCATCGTCAACGCTTTGTGCATGTGGCCAACGCCACCGAGATGGACTTGGAGAAGGTCTCCATCCTCGCCAAGGACAGCCAGGACCGCTACAAGAAGATCGACAACTTCCGCCCCTCCGACTTCGCCGAGACCTACTTCGATGTCGGTTTCACCGAGGCCTGGGGCTGTATCCCTGACTGCTCCTTCTACGAGGGCGTCTGGACCTATAAGGAGCCGAAGGCATTCTCCGAACAGTTCAAGGCCAAGTACCTGGTCGACATTGATGGCCACAGCTTCTCCGGTCGTTGGCGCGCCTTCCATCAGAGCAAGTCCCTCGGTCTCAAGGCCACCATCTTCCGCGAATGGCATGACTCTCGCCTGTTCGCTTGGCGTCATTTCGTCCCTATGGACAACCGTTATGGGGACCTGTATTCTCTCATGACCTACTTCATCGGGCTGAACCCTTCCGCCTCCACCCCCGAACATCCCTCCCTGAGCCACGGACCCTCTGTTCCGCGCCACGACTTTGAGGCCGAGGTGATTGCCTCCCAAAGTCGGGAATGGGCCCATCTTACCCTGCGCGACGAAGATTTGGAGATTTACCTCTACCTCCTCCTTCTCGAGTACGGACGTATCGTCGATGATAACCGCGATAACATCGGCTATAGCGGTGATGGAAGCGAGCTGGACCAGTTCGACGCAGCGCACCCATTCCCCCAAGCTGTCCAGCCTCTGGTCACTGGGTGATTTGTCACCATCGCGGGTTGTATTAAATATGCATATCGGTGGTATCATCTGCATTATCTCTTGTTTTTCTTTTCTTTTCTTTTTTACTTCCACTTTTTTTCGATTCCCCTTCATGCATGTATTCATCCCATGTCCTAATGACCGACGTTACATATTGTCACGATCTATTCACCTTTTTTGTACCTATCCATGTCATCTGCATAGAGTTGTGGCTTAGGTTATGTCAATGTATACTTAACATATTATCAATTTTCAAATACACTCCAACGAATTATTCTGTTTCCAACTCTTACAAATGCATCCTCGGGATTCTGCCCTCAAATCAAGGCTGGGGCTAATCGCACGAGAACTTGTGCTTTCGCACGACAGACTATGCCATTTTTGGATATAGCGGATGACAGGTACGTCGAGTAAAGTCTTTTATCACAGATACATTCAGGCACGACTTTAAACGATAGACCATAAAGGAACCTTAACCATCAAGAAAGACAAGTCAAAAGACATAGAAAGATCTTTCACAAAAGAGAGAGTGAAAGCACATATATTCTCATAGTAAACCCGTTTCTCTGGTCTGGATGTTGGGGATTCAGATGTACCTATTCACTACCCCATCCAAAGGAATGTCGTGTGTCGCGCGAAAGCACAAGTTCTCGTGCTATTAGCCTCAACCCAAAGGAAAGGTTGTCTGGACAAATTCTAGTAGGACTTTGTCAAGTCAACATTCAATGTAACATGGAAACCTTTTGAGTAGATTCTGAATTTATCTCAGTGCCCTTAGCATGCTTAATGTCCAGTTCATGCACTCTGAAGAGCCCGCAACAACCAGCCAGGCTGAAACAAAGATACAGGAGTGGCTCTACAAGAAGTTGATAGTGCAATCGTTGATAATATTTTGATATTCACTCTTTTCTGTCATCATCGTCATCATAATCAAGATTCTATTCACTAAATGAGCGCGCTCTTAAGCGTTCTCCTTCTGCTCGATAACCCCCTTCTCCTCTGCCCGCATCCACACATCCACCTCAGCAGCCTCACCCTGTGGTAGGTGGCGAGCCATATTGACAATCTGCCAAGGTGACGAGGCATCACGGAATACATGATTCAATGCCTCAAGGTTGCGGTTCATAGTCTCAGGGTAGAAGAAATAGACCGAGACAGGAATGCATGCTGAGATGACAGCATACACAATATAGTATCTATATCCGATAGTGTTGAGGGCAACAGGTGTGATCATGACAACTACAAAGTTCCACAGCCAGTGATTAGCAGTGGAGATGGCGGACATGGCGACACGAAGACGCATCGGAGCGACCTCTGTGCAATAGAGGAAGTTTCCACCGAGGAATCCGACAGGGTAGAAGCTGTTGAACAGGAACATGAAAAAGGCGGATGTGATCGATGCGGCACGGTTGTCTTTGAAGCTATTCGTAATAGCCAGGGCCATCATACACACGCTCATACCCGCCCCACTAATCATGAAGATCTTTCGGCGGCCGAGTCTGTCGATGGCGAAGAATGCGATGAAAGAGCATAGGAACTTCCAGGTCATGGCGCAGGAACTCAGGATACGAGCAAGATCACTGGTCATTCCTAGGTCCTCCTCGAAGATGGTGGAAATGTATGTCGAGATCAAGTTACCACCGCACATTTGCTGGAAGAACTGTAGCGCAACACACAGACAGAAACGGTACAACAAGCGTTCCTCGTCAGGCTTGTTGAAATTGAAGATGTCTTTCAAGGACGCACTATCAGCCGAAACCTCCAACGAAGTCTCAATACCAGAGATCTCAACACGGACAGACTCATCGTCATCCGGCACACCCTTATAAGCAGCAAGACTCTCCGTGGCCTCTTCAATACGGCCAACACTAACAAGCCATCGAGGAGACTCGGGAAGCAGGAAAACCGAAGCCAAAACAACCAACGAGAAGAAGAAAGAGACCACCAGCGGAACCCGCCATTGCAATGAGCCACTGACCTTGCTAAGGCCAAAGTCAATCCAATTGCACAACGTATAACCCAAGCAGATACAAATGCCGTCAACAATAACGTGCTGTCCACGATGTTTGGCCGATGTACACTCAGACTGCAAAACGGGAACCGCAACGCTGAATTGACCAATACCAAGACCAAGGATGACACGACCAACAATGAACTGTGGAAGACCGTAGGCGGCAGTCTGCAGTAATTGGCCAATGATTGTAAGGACACCACCAAGGAAGATAGTCTTGCGTCGACCGATTCGGTCACCGAATGCTGTACACGATAGAGCTCCCACAAGGGCACCGAGTTGCATAGACGCAATTACAACGCCTTTGCTCGTTGAGTTCTTTGAGCGTTGGGCACCCTCCGTGTTGATAGTGTCGATTTCAGGGAAGACCTTCACCCAGCTCTGCAAGGTTGCGAGGGGTCCGAGTCCAGATTGGTTATAACCGAAGACAATGAAAGCTATAGAACAAGAAACACACGTTAATATCTCAGCATACCCAGCAAGTAAAGGCAGACAACTTACCAGGAGCCACGATAAGAAGCGCCTGAGCCACCCGAAGGGCCTTGCCTCGAAATAGAGAGACCATTGTGACCAGGTCAGATGCACAAGAGGATGAAAGGTCACTCTGAGTCTGGACAGGGAAGAAAAAGAGCAGACTGTCTCGGTTTATATCCGTTCACCCTCGGCTTATAACCCTTATTGTTAGGGCCGTGGAGACCCCGCAAGATAATTTTGATTTGAATTATGTTTGTGGGCTTGATGATTACATACCGGTGGGTACGGAGCTATTCATCTGGGTCGCAGGATTTCAAACGCTTTCTGTGACTTGATAATTGTGCCGCTGGCCCCATCGGAGAGAACTCGCCTAGGGGCAATTGATCCCCGATCCCCCATGGGCAGGTACCCCGACCTCCTGTAGCATCCGATTATGTCCGAGTATGCACTCCATACTGTGCATGGGTTGGGTTGGGGGGTTAAGTGTCTTAGGAGGGGTCACGAAGGAAGTTCTCCGAAAAACATGCATACATCTTATTTCCAGTATTTGAATGCCGAAATATCTCCGGAATTTGTTACTATTATACTCAGCCTCTTACCGGTACTTCGAATTCGGTTTGCAGACGTTCACCGAGCACACATGTAGCAATTCAAATTTTCTTGACCGACGTCTTGAATCGTGGGGTTAGGCTCAGAGAAAAGCCCTTCTCTGGCTCTCTCCGATGTTGCCACGGGGTAAAACTCAAAGGGTTTTAGTTGGAGCCACCTGTTGGAGATCACTTACTCTCGGGCCGACCTCATTGGCTCTTCGGGCCGGAGATTGCCAGAGTCGGGATCGGGTCAGAGAAGAATTGTGGGCCCGACAGAGGTGTACTGTATTGGTTATTGTCAACTGTTTGGTGGAATTCGATTCTTGTACATAAATAACCAGATGGTAGCATCGGCATTCGTGAGACTTTAGCTCACGGATGTCACCGGAGATTTTCTTTATAAACAGCCTCATCCCCCCGGGTCCAAGAACCTATCAGAGATCTTCGTACGACTTGGCACGAAGCAAATATCAAAGGCTTATTCGGCCTTGTCTCGCATTTCCAACAGCCAAGAACGCTGCCAAGAGATGGGCCTCGTTCTCTCGCCCAATACAGGATACGAACCAAGGCAAGGAAGTGGGGGAGCGTGGGATAGAATGCTTCGCTGCACTCCACTGCCTCGGTCAGGTTCCGGCTGCACGCAACCTCGATGGGAAGCGGAGGGTCATGCACCCCGATGTACCGGTTTTGGTGGGATCGGGATGGTTGAGAACAGACCTCTTTAAATTTCGTAATTGGTCGCTTATTAGCCTGAAATGGTGAAAAATCGGTATATCGGAGGATTTGAATGCAGAGTTGTCGTCACCTACATCATACCATTGAAGTCGGATAGTCATGGACTAATACCTATAAAAGCCTTGGAGTTTGCTTACAGCTCCATGTAATAATAACAGAACTGTTCTTTATTCATTGTGTGTGTATTCAGAGAATGTACTGTAATAATCGAAGCCCTATTGCTATCGCTGTTAAGAGCAGTCCCGCTGTTACACAACGGATCCTCGAGAGTTGAGCGAGAACCTAATTCTTAACTCTAATCCAAGCCACCGATGCTTCATTCCATGATTCCGAAGAGGACCATCTCATTCGGGATATCTCGGTTCCTCGACGGGCTGAACGCACGTTGTGCCTTTCGCTTTTCTTTCCCAAACAATTCAGATCGCCAATTTCTTTCTTGATTGGTCGAGTTGTTTCATTGGAGTCATGTTGAAGCGAAACCGGTGGCAGAGCTCTATTTGAGCTATCGCGGTAGCCATCCAGGGTGTGTGATGATGCTCAAAGTCCTGCACGGCTTTTGATGAACCTACTCTATAGGCGATCTTTGTGTACTCTGATTGTGCCCTGCAGCGCCGAGGTTTCCCGGGGAAGGCAATGGCTTGGAACATCAGTGGAAGACTAATTATGTATTATCGATCATAATGCGCTCAGTGATTTATCGAATACCCCTTCTCATCTGTAATAGAAATTGAAGTCAGCACTCTGGTTCTCATCCACAAGCTCTCATAAATAGGCCAGTCCTACCTACTTGTTTCTTGAAATTCTTTCTTTCTATAGCTCTTCTCTTCCACCCTTTCATTCCCATGGTGATAAAGATGATACCATTCCAGAACCCACGCAAGGACCCCAATGCACTCACAGCCAACAGCAGTGGATATGAGTGATTATTCGGGGAAATGAACAAAGAAACACGGTTGATTGTTGGCGTAACCCATGTTGCCAGAAGGGCCAGGAAGAACAGTGACGGCATGAGGATATATTGTTTGAAAGACATGCGTCGTTGGGTTGGTGGGCTATGATCGGCGGGTGTGAAATGCCTAGCAGGTTGTCGCAAGGTGGAGGTTCGCTCCAAGGACGATTGGCTTATAATGTGGGCCTCAGGGACAAGTGCGGGTTTGTGATTCATGTCTGATTCAACAATAGTTGTCACAGAACTGTCGTTATTATCGAAAGGTCGGATGCTCGTCGATTGGGAGGTAAGAGCGATGTGATCGTCTTCGGTGAGTTTGAACTCGTCGCGCAGCCTTGAGATTTCGATACCGATCAAGAAATAAATGATCACCACAATAGATATGACGATCCTATAATATCACGAAGGTCAGCTTGAAGAATAGTGGAGCCAAGTGCCATCCTAGTACATACCACACAGGAACATAGTAAAGTACGATGCGAACTAGCATCCAACGAGGGGATATAGAACACCAAATCTGTCAGACTGATTAGCAAAGCATGTCATATGGGCACCTTGATGATACAAATGTGAGGCTTACAGTCTCGCCACCATAAATTGGGCCTCTAGCAGGAGTTCTGATGAAAAGAAAGACAATGGCGGGTATGCCGGTCAACGCGGAGATCACTCCGAGGTATTTGATTTCAAGCTTTTGTAAGGAATGTGCGTCGAAGTGATGGAAAACGACGAGGTATGTGTCAAGACTCATTGCCAATGTCCAGAGAACATCTGCAAGTGGAAACCTGTAAATGCGATAGTCAGCCCTGCTCAACTTCCAGGCTACCTGCTAATGGAGTGTTGATCGCGAAGATACATTTGAAGGGCAAATCCCTGGAATTGGCACAAGGACGAAGTATCACCTGCCGCAGGCCCCGATACTGATATCATCGTCCCAGCCGAGTCTATCAAGTTATAAAAGGCGTTGAAGAAGATGATCCGATGGATTGGACTTCGAAAGTATCGCGATAAACAAAATGCTCCGATGATAACGAATGACCCTAGAATAGATAGGACCGAGGTGACACGCCCCGCGATCCCGACCATATCTAACTGCTCATCGGTGAGCTTCATTTTGAAGATCGTCTCCCCTGGGAGGAATGGTGATGGTAGCAAGCAATGAACCACCGATCGACAGCGAGATCCATTCGCATATATACAAGGAACTAAGATCGAGGATTGATTGATATAAGACTTGGCTACATGCCCAGACACGCGACGGATTTTTCTTGTTCTTCTCGAATCACACCTGAAATTTGTCCGTGCATGATGACAACTGCTTGGCCCCAATGACGTGATAATGTGAAGGCTTGCGATTCGTGATGCGAACTGGACGAAGTACGGTGATCGCGCAATTTGTGGGTCCGATTAGCCGCGATTAAACCTCGTGTTTGACAACATCCATCCCGAGAACTTCAAGGTCTTACGATCTAATGCAGGAGACGGCCGAATGAGATGATAGCTTTGCACTTTGAACGTCTCAGAGTGGATCAGTAGCTCACAGAAAGAGTATAGCTTGAATCAATCACTGCTCTAATTGGAGTGATGGATCACATCACCACAAACGATTCCTCTGGCCGGACCCGGACACCCCAGACCCTCGGGTTCTTAATATACTGAAAAGGGGCTCCAGCTGATCAGTGCTGGAATCATTCGCGATTGGAGCGCTTGATCAGATCTTTGTTCGTCCATATTACGGGCCTAAACGTGTCTGCATAATTGATTCTAAGCCGCAGTTGCCGAGTCCTCGGAGATCACAACATCAAGATGATCATGTCTGTCGGCTTTTATAACCAGATAGTCTTGACAAGCTTGGAGTACGAGAAGCACGCGATGTATGGCTTGATTTGGCCATTCAAACTTGATGACAGTCTGTAGTCATTGTTATAATGAGTGATGAGAGGTCGGGCAGAAGTGGGGAAGATGAACACTTCGCCATCAAGTCAGTCTAGATGGCAATGGAATGTTCTGTAGAGCCAAGAAGGGATAAAGGTCGACACAGGTCGCCAGGTTTCTTTGATCACTCTCCGGCTCTTAGAGTGGCGGTGCTGTGTGGCTGATCGAAAGTGTAACTTTTTACGTTATGCTTTCCGGAACTGACCGTTTGTAGGACAACACCATGTGATTGTCCTTCGATCGATATGGGAATAGTATAGATAAATGGCCTTTGTAGTCAATGATTGAACGGAAAGTGCGCTTATGCGAAAAAAGTGTTAAACAATATCGCTGTCGACGGTGGAAGTTACCAGGAGAACTCACAATCAAGGTTTCTGGCGCTCGACCTCATATTAGCATCAAGCGTCTCTCTGATTACGGCACGCCTACTTTCACCTTGCCTAGAGGTGTCTGTCCCCTCGGATGTACATATGGCCCGGTACAATATCAGGGTCCTCGTTCGCAATATCTTCCATCTAGCTGGAGGCCCCAGCGAGTACCTCACATACCTACAGACAAATGTTTGCTAGCTTCACTTCTATCTTAATACTTGATATTATCCTTCCTAATCCCTATAGGTTCATTTTACCGGTATTCGAGGAGTGCTTAATGTGTGTGCGAGACTTGAATATACTACAAGTAATCAATCATTCTGAGAGGGGTCTCCGGGGTTGGAAGGCTAAAATCAGTTGAGTCGATGATATTCAAAGTCTGAGGCTAATCGCACGACAGTCTACACTACCTTGTGGGTACAGCGGGTACCTAGATAGTATCTACTAGGCCCTTTATTCCAGCTACCTTAGCTATTAAGAAAGACATTTCAAAAGACATTTGGAAAGAACTCCCACAGAAGGGAAAGTAAAGGATCAGATTGACATATTTGAAGGTGGATAGAAACGAGCAGCCTGCTGGTAGTGTCGTGTCAATTATGGACTTAGATTTGGAGGAAGCGATGGAAACACCCGACGGAAAACATAGGCAACTAGCGGTAGTGTTGGCTAAGATATCACAAATGGAAAAAAAGTATCCCATACCGTCCACCGGTTGTGAAGCTATTCTACTCTACAAGATGACATAGACCATGACGAAAATGGACTCAGTTATTACGTCTCAACGAACATTGGTATTTAGATGTTATCATTTGCCTAAACTATTTGCACGAAAGGACTTCAACGTCTAAAATCACCATCATCCACCTTACTATCAGTCCCCTCAATATCCACTACCATCTACCGCCATCTACCAAACTCGAGGTGCGGCTATCTGCGGCAGTAGAACAGACTCTTAGAAAGAACTTGAAATATCTACCTATGCAATCCCTATCTCAAAAAAGAAAAAAGACAAAGCATCGCCTTCGCAAGCTTGAATATATGTAAAGGTCGTATCCTCTCATTATGCGCAGAACCAAGAATAATGTAAGTGTAAAAAGCACAAGGAGCCAGCAACAAGAAATAAGTATAAGTAGTGCCGAATCGCGACAACTCGCTGAACAAAGAGAGTGAGGGAAACAAAAAACACCGGGATCCAAAAGTTACCTAGAGGCCAAAAAAACGGCACACGAAGCGATGAAAAAAAAGAAACAGTCCCTAAATGCCCAATCCCACAGCCCGCTGTGTGTAGCGAGCTTTCACAAAGTCATAGCTGTCCGTGACGCCTTGCCAGATCCCGGGCACGTAATTCCGAATCCAAGCACAAATAACTAGAAGCAGAAGAGGAATCTAGAGGAAGTTAGTAAGAAGATTACAAACTATGAGAGATGGAAATATGAGTTGACTTACCCAAATAAAGTAGAGGTTCCGGTCGCTGCCGAGGCCCTTCATTCGGCGGGCCTGGTGCTCTCGGAGATGCTTCTGTTGTTCTCGCGAAAGAAGCTTGCTTCCGATGGTAATATCCTTGAGATCATCCTTCACTACGTCAGTGCTGCGCTCGATGGTAGCAACCGCTGCTGACGTAGACGCAGAAGGAGGGCTGCTTTGTGTCTCAAAGTGTTGATCCACGGCGGCCTCCGTCGCAGCACGCAAGAGAGATGATTTCTTGAGCTCGGTCGCATCTGCATCGTCCTGCTGGTGCGGATACAATTCATCGTAGGAAGGCGGCTGGTTTTGATTTTGAACGGCGGTGTTGCCGTTCAGCAAATTCCACCATCCGTCCCGAGCTGCAGGTCGATGAGGTACGAGGTTTGTGATGCGACGCATCATTTGATTGGCCTGGTAGTCCGGCATAGCGGGCATAGCAGGCATGGTGGGCATAGTAGGCATAGTAGGCATAGCAGGCATGGGTGGCAACGCAGGAATGTTGGGGAAGGCATTAGCCACGCTCTGCTGGAACTGGTTGATCTGCCCTGCGAGGTGGTTACGCCAGGCAACGATTGCTGCCGTGGAGAACCCGCGAACATCAGGGGCAGCACGCTGCTCGCCAGCGTCCACAACGGGTGGGATTACATCTTGGTGCATGCTTGACCGCCGGGAGGCGCTGAGGAACAGGGGAGCCTCGGAATCATCGCTATCAATGTCTTCACTATCATCCAGCTCCTCCGAATCATCGACAGCATGGCCCAAGGAGCCAGATGCCGATGACGCCTCCCAAAGTGAATTGAGTGAAGCAGAGCTGCTGTGTCTCCGACGGGACGTGAGAGATCCAACGCTGCGGGAGCGGTAGTGGCGAGATGGAAGCAGAGCAGCCTGGTGGGCAGGGAGAGTTGTCGCTAAGTCGGCAGGGGTGAAACCACGCACACTGCGAGCATTGGCGTTGGCACCGGCCAGGCGGAGTCGGTTAACGATGTGAGCATGGCCGTGAAGGGCAGCTAGATGCATAGGCACGTTGCCAATGTTGTCCTGCACATCGGGATTGGCACCACGAGCCAGCAGCCCGGCGACGAATCGAGTCAGACCCAAGGAGGCCGCGAAATGAAGAAGGGACTGGCCGGTGGCGCTACGAGAGTTGTAGCGTGGAGGCCGGGGATTGTCATCCAGGTCAATGTACTCAAGATAGGTCAGCATCTTGGAGTCCAGATCGCTAAGCTTGCCTTGAGTCTCATGTCCGGGCACCTGGCGTTGGTGACTGCCAGACGAACCACCTCCTTGCATGTCCTTCTGCATATTGAAGATAGCATTCGGGTCGCTTCCCATAATCTGCTGAGCAGTTTGGAAAGCATCGGCTTGGCTACCCAGCTTCTGTCCAAGAATGTTGAGAGCCAAACGATACATCTGAAGCTCCCGATCATCGACATATCGGAAGAACAGTTGCTGCTTAGGCATGAGCGGTTGAGGCTGCTGCACTTGTCCAAAAGTAGGATGCTCGTGCTTAAAGACCACCGATACCAATCCTGGCTGGAGAGCAGGAGGAGTGAGACAGTTGAGGCACTTGTCACCCCAGAAGGTTGTAGTAGTTGCCAATGTATCGCCAAAGACCACCTCCATGCCGGGGTAGAAACCACTTCCCAACAACGTAACTTCTGTACCTCCAGTGATTGAACCCTCGGCAGGCACCAATTTGTGAATGACAGAAGGCAGTCTGTTAGGTGTAGTTGCAAGGGAAGGCCAGATCTGGTTGGCAGTTGTAGCACCGAGCGCAAGCGCAAGATTCTGATCCTGGAAGGCATTACGACCAGATGTGCCTGGAGTTCCCGGACGGCTGGGCTGAGCGGAGTTGGGTGCGGACACCATGTTCTGCTGTGCCAGACTATCCAAACTCTGTCGTTGAGCAGGCGTCGGGTTGAAGAAGGGGTTGTTGTTGTCATTGTTCTGGTTCGGCGTAGGGGGCCCGTTTCCGTACTGCCCAGACATCGACGAGGGGGTCACAAATGGCCGCTCAGTGGGCGAGGCAAAGCCACGAGCAGCTGCAAGCTGCGCAGCATTACTCATAGCCGAGTTAGATGATGGAGGAGTCTCCATTCGGGTCATCGTCAACTCCGAGGGAAGTCGGCCAGAGCTGCTGTGCTTCCGTCGCTTAGTCTGCGGGCCTTGGAAGTCCGTAGGCGACGCCTGGCGAGACAGGTTTCGCGGTGTTTGCGAGTTCGAGTGTACGCTATTAGTGACACCTTGACCACCAGCAAAAGAGCTGGGCGTAAGTTGATACTGGGAATTGAATCTTTGCTGCAGGCCTTGAAGGTCTGTAGGTGACTGGGGAGAGGCGAATGCACCATTTGCCTTGCCATTATCGCCCGAGGCGAAGACCCCGACACCCGGCATCTGAGTTCCATCCGGTAGAGAGGCTGAAGGGCCAGCTGGTGGCGGGGCGGAAGGTGCTTGTGTCTTGTGGTCATCCGTGATCATGATGGAGTTGGTGATCGCCTGCGCCACAACGTTGTCCAAATGATCTTTGACAGTAAAGATGACCTGGAATCCGAGCTTCTCGTTCTGGTGTCGACAGTAGCAAGCAATTCGCATTGGTAGTTCAACTTGCATTGATCCCGCAGGAGCCGGAGGCATTTCACCGTAACCAGCAGCAGCGGCCTTGGGTGGCTCAGTCCACTCTTTGATCTCGCTCGTGTTGAATACAATGACACGCTTCTCCTCATCTTTCTGGAAGAGCTCATCCTCCTCGGGCTTTCGTTGCTTCTTCCGAGAAGCACGCTTCCGCTCTCGTTGAATACAGCCGGTGCAAATCTTTACATCTCCGCCATCCAATGGTCGCTCTTCCTCCGTTCCGTTTGCGCCCGGGTTTCTTTCGCCTCGTGTCCGTGCAAATGCCCGTTTCAGCTTGTCTCGGTCTTGCATTGCACTTGTACACACCAAACTCGTGTATAATTGGAGGGTATCGGGGGTAGATTCGGTGGAGGGAGGGGCGAGGAATTTGAGTTTGGAGATGGTGTGAGAGGGGGAGGCGCAACTTCTTTACGCCGGCCGGCAGCGGAGAGAGCGTCAATCGAATCGGGATCTGAGTTTCGACACGCGATTTGAGGGAGGTTGGGTGGACGGTCAATACGGGCTGGGTCGAGCTAGCGGCATCCATCTGGGGCTGAGCCGGGGAAGACGCAAAATTGACCGAGAATGGGAACGCGCTGGGCGAGCCGAAGTTCATGTTGGGCGACATGGAAGCATTCATCGGGGACTGTCCGTTCATGTTGATGCCCCCGAAGCTTTCCTCCAACAGTGATGACGGAGATTGACCGGCCCATTGGGGTGCAGACAGTCTGTCGGTGCCATTGGTGAATTGACCTCCAAAAGGAGACTGTTCCTTGTATCCGAAGGGGTAGAACCGGGATCCGCCCTGAGAAGCCTATTGGTATATAATGTTAGGATTCAAATCAGAGTGCTTTGTCGACGCATGGCATTTGTGGACGTAATGACTCACCGAAGATGCGCTCCGTACATCATTTGATGGCGGCACAGCCGAAGTATTCGAGGGACTCCAGATTTGTTGTTTTGACTTCTTTCGCACGTTTAGTTGTGGCGGGTTCTCCGTCTTCAAAGGACTGGGGCTGCTTGCTGCACTCTCAAAGTCGAACGCGGCATCCATGGCCTTGTTGCTGAACTCCAGGTCTGGGTGATCCAAGGAAACACCACCATCCATGGGGTATGACGGATCTATCGTGAATGGCGACTCTTCCTTGACGGACGAAAGATCGGGGCGCATCCAGTCTTCGGATACAAATCCTGTAGATACCAGAGGGTTTTCGCTATGAGCGGCGGAGTTGGTAGATGCGATCGAGGCGTGGCGCAAGTGATTTCGCGGAGATTCCGACGACGAACTGCGACTCGAGTTATCGGGCGACTCTGCCGGGGAATCGGCCGTCAAGACCGGCTGTTGTCTCAGGGGGTGTTGGTCGCGATAGCGTTTCGAGGATTCTGGGGCCGCGTGAGAGCGGGAGTGGGTGACATGGGAGAACAAATCGTCAAAATCTCCTCCAGCGGACTCGGAAGGCATATCGAGTTTGGATGGGTCGAGAAAGTCCAAGTTGGCGTTGCGGAAGGTGGACTCCATCTCGTCGTCCATAATGATAGGGTCCAGGGTAGGGAAGGCGGGCGAAGAGGGAGTCTCTGCTGGTCCCATGCTTCGTAGACCCTTTCTGGCTGCAATATTTCCAAATATCACGACGGGGAGTTGAGAGCGACCGACCACTCTCGCGCTGTGCTCGACCTAAGACGGTGTTGTTGTCGCGTGTGGAAGGTTGGGGGAGGCGGGCGGCGGAGTTCGGAGGAACGACGTCGGTGGGAGAATTAGGGGCGTGGAAATCAGAGCCGATCAGAGTGTCAGAAAGTCGAGAGTGTTCACGCGATGTACCAGGACCGGTCTCCTGAGACCATGGCTCCTGGAACAAGAGTGAATGAGACTTGACTATGGAGACGAGGAAGTCGTAGTTGAAGTTGCTGGGGTAGGGGAAAGTGACTGCCTTGTGGAGTCGAGAAGGGAGAGCGGGAAAAGTGTGAGCGGCGATCCAGACCGGCAGAAACTCTCTCAACGGAACGTGGACTCGAAGTACTCAAATCGATCCTTCTTGAGTGGCTGGCAGATCCTAAGACTTTCGTGACAGGATGTTTTTCCCTACCGACGATAGCTATACCATGATAGAGTACGAGTAGATCTTTTCTTGCTACATAGATTATTTTCTTATGAAACCTCAGGCCATTTTTCTGTGTGCTGTTTTTCTTCGCTGCATCCTGCACGAATCAACCATTTTCCCACCACGATTAGCCGTCGACACCTCAGGCTGCAAACTCTAGCGGTGACGAGCCAATACGCTCGTTACCAATTTGGTCTTACGCAGTACTCGTTATTTACCGCTTGGCAGGTGATGCACAGCCAGCCTGGTGGCTGGTCAGTCGTCGTATTTTATTACACCGGATACACTATCCGCTCGAGTGGCGCTGTCTAGCATCTCTTCTGTACAGGTCGACCATGTTCGACGACGAAACCATTTCCGAATATTCAGCCACTAGCCTTACCGTGTAGTTAAAAGAATAAGCTCCTTCTATCCTCATGCATGCCTGTCCTACCCATCTCGGCTCCCCTAGCAGATCGACACGTCCCATGTGTGACTTCGGCAGAGCTTCACGATAGTTCATTGAGCCACAGATCGTGAATTCGCCATGCACTCAACTCTCCTAGGAATGATCCGCAATGCAAATGACCGATTATACTTACCCCCATCTTCGAATCGTCTTCCCCCACGCTATCTGTCTGGTAACGGCATTGCGGATTACCCATGGAGTACAACATACACGACACCGAGCCGCACTGATCTCGTAGGTACAGTAGGTTTGGCCCGACCTCCATGATTTAAATTCCCAGCCGCTCGGTGATGACGAACACGAGTCGGGTTTATCATGATTATCATTGTCTTAGGGCAACTCTCGTAGACGTTTCGTGTCACGCTATCGCGGCTTGTGCCACTATCTTGCCCTCCAGACCGGGGTTGCGATAAGTGATAAGTGGGAAACGCATAATTAACATGAGTCGCCTAGTCTTCTTCTGGGCTTCGGTCTATCCTAACTCACCATGTTAGGTGTTGTAAACTTTTATTTGCTATACTTTGAGGCCGGTAGACAGTGCTCCGTATTGATCGTGGGTATGGATATTATTAGATATACCGCTTGGAAGCTCCCTGCTGCACGTCACTCAAGACCAAGCAAGCCCTGCTTGAGTCAGTCTGCAAAGGCCAACGGCAGCAATTGGCCTGGACTTGTCTGCAGCCAGCCTTTCCACTACGTAAGAAGATTGTTGATGACAAGAGGCCAAGGCCAAGTCAGATCATTGTTCAATTGGAACATGAGCGATTTGAGGTCCCGCAAACGTCCGTCGGCTTTTCAATTGGTGCGTTTGATTCTCGTTCGATGAAAGCTAACAAGCATCCTTATCTTCTCAAGTGGAGACATATCCAAGGTAAAACAACCGGCTAGACCTGCAAACTTGGACGTCGTCTCTGACTTCGCCATGGATGCATTGAACAATCAGATGTTTTTCTCAAAGAGACAGTTGAATCCTGTCCTATGTAGACTAGGTAGCCATGAATTTTTCCTTTTCTCTTCGCCATCACAAGGTTGATCTGTGGTGATCTCCAAGCTTCCCGCCAGGAACGAGGGGCTATCACCTCGGTTGGCGGAACTACGGATAGAGTTGCATCCATCCACGCTGCCCATGCAGGCCATGTGCTTTGGATAAGAGTGGAGACAGATTCGTTGGTCGGAAATACAAGTCTGCTCGCCGCCGTCAAACCTCACGTTCTCGGGCTATTAAGGTAGTCCGCTGCCTGCCAGATCAGTTCATAAGAGAACACGGGACAGAAAAGAAACGACCCGGCATCTCTGAGAAATCTCCGAACAGCGACACAACGGGATTCTTTTTACCTGTGTCGTACCTCCGTCACCATGGTCTTTGCTAGTCAATTTAAGCTCGCAGCTTCAGTGGCAGCAATCGCCCAGCTAGCTTTTGCAGCGAACAACAACACCAGCGCTATTAATTCGCAAATCCGTCTCGCGTACCATGGCGACAACGGCATGATGGTATCGTGGAACACGTTCCACAAGCTCGGCAAGCCTACCGTTCACTTTGGCCTCTCGGCCAGCAACCTCAACGAGACGGCCTCATCTCCTGCTAGGCAGTGCGATCGTAAGAATTGTGCTGCACTTCCAATATCGCCCATCTTCTTGAACATTCCAATTGAGAGTCTGAAAAATAGGCTTCCAGAGAATGCATCTAACCGTCGCTTAACAAGACTAAAAGCATAACCAGCCCGGCCCCGAGAAGGTCAATGCTACCAGCCAGCAGGGCACAGTGCATAAAGCCTTAGTCCGGTAGCGATGAATTTTTTTTCTCCTTCAGAATGCACTGTGTAGAAGCTGATGAAGAATTCGCAATCAATCGAGTATGGAACCTAAATGTTTTGTCCGTAGTCCCTACGGATGCCCGAAGAATGTCTCGGGCTGCTCACCAAAGAAGGGATCAATGGAAGGGACATATTGCAGCTTAAATGAAGGAGGCCCGCAGCCAAGACCAGACGCCAACGTCCGCTGTCTTCGGTCTGGGCTTTCTTTTCCCCCCTCTCCCTCCCAGTCTCTGCCATGATCAATTCTTGAACCGGCCTCCCAGCCCAGTCCGGCGTGCCGAGCCCGCCGAAGGTTTCAGACATAATTCTCCGAATACGCGCCGAAGCTGCCACCACCCCTCCTGTCTTCATCCTCCGACGCACGGGAAATTACATCCTCACCGACGCGAGTCCCGGCGGTTCGAACGAATGTTGGCGACTACAAAGGGTGATCGCAATGTGGATCGGCATAGCTCACCTTGCTGCCAATATGGCGAAATCGAATGAGCTCGAGTTCCAAAACAGTGACAGCCCCCTCAACAGAGCGGGATTTTCGCAGTGGGCCACCATGACGGCCCTAATGCTCACTAACAGTCACTAACAGCACTAGCCCTGCGCCGGTCGCAACGACTTTGATTCACCTTAACTGCTTCTTCATGGCAGCCCTGATTGGACTGGAAGCTTTGAGATGACTAACCTGGTACAGCTTCAAGGTTCCAATGTCATGGTCGAGGTCAAGCTCATTGTGAACCCCGGTATTGTTTCACACTTTGATCCTACAGTTTTCATGATGGACAGGGACAAAACAACAATGCATGCTTGTCACACCCTTCGTCATGCTGAATCTGGATGAATCAACCGTCCCGATTTAGCCTTCACCTGGTGGTGCCGGGGCGCCCTTCCCCAACTCCAACCCAAGCTTTTCCCATCCTGGACCGAAATTAACCTCTTCAAACGTCAAACACCCCTGGGCAGAAGCTCGGACGAATGACTTGGTAAAGCGATGCCAGTGATTGATGATCTATCTCATCCACCGACGCAGGGACCAACTGCCAATCTGAGGGGGAGTGGCCGTCAAGGTGAAACCTAGACCGTCAGAGACTGCCGCCCAAGATCGACAGCCACCAACTAGCGGTTTGAAACTTGGGAGGAGCCCCAGACGCCCTCCATCATCGAACCCCCAAAATGGATGCTTTGAATGTACCGAGTATAGCCTAATTAACCGGTAGATAGCAGGCTGTCTAGCAAACTACCCACCAGACTGGACGAGGGAGGGGCTTCCAAGGCAGTTCATCTATCTGGGACCTCGGAGTGCTGCCCTTTTGAGGTCGTCAGAGATTCTCCACCTATGACCGACCTGCACTTCTGGTGGAAACCATCCATCATGACAGAGACAGACTTGAATTAAGGGGTCTCCAACCATGAAGGAACTGGCAGGCCCGGTGGAGTTGATGCTGCTAGTGTGGCTTGCATCTCGCATCCCAAAGGAGCTATGATACCGGCGAGCCTCGACCGACGGGCACCAACGAGCAGCATATAAAGCAACTCGATTAGGGTCATTCTCGATCCTTTCTTTTCTCTCCATCATCAGTCTCTACACTCCATTCTTTCTTTTCTCAAGGTCTAGTACCTTTCCATTCTCTTCCCTTGGGTTGACTTCATTGACTGAAGTCCCCATTTTCATTCTTTTTCGCCTTTTTTCATTCCCTCGCGGATCCAACCTAAAAAAACGCTGTGCGTTTTATTTCTCACCAACCGACTCAAACAATGTCTTTCTCAAAGATTGCCGGTGTTGTCCTCGGCTCGGCCGCTCTGGTCGCCGGTCATGGTTACGTGTCCGGTGCTGTGGTTGATGGCACCTATTACGGTGGATATCTCGTTACGCAGTACCCTTACACGAGCAGCCCTCCCGAGACCATTGGTTGGTCCGAAACTGCTACCGACTTGGGTTTCGTTGACGGCTCTTCGTACGCCTCTTCGGACATCATCTGTCATAAGGGTGCCAAGAATGCTGCCATCTCGGCTCCCGTCAAGGCAGGTGGCAGCGTCGAGCTGCAGTGGTCTGAGTGGCCCGAGTCTCACCACGGCCCTGTCATCACCTACCTGGCCAACTGCAATGGCGACTGCTCCTCCGTCGACAAGACCACTCTGAAGTTCTTCAAGATCGACGAGGCTGGTCTCATCGATGACAGCAGCGTCCCTGGTACCTGGGCTTCCGACAACCTGATCAGCAACAACAACAGCCGCACCATCACTATCCCCAGCACCATCGAGGCCGGCAACTACGTCCTCCGTCATGAGATTATCGCTCTGCACTCTGCCGGGAACACCGATGGCGCCCAAAACTACCCCCAGTGTTTCAACCTGAAGGTCACCGGTGGCGGCAGCGACTCTCCAGCCGGAACCCTTGGTACCGCTCTGTACAAGGACACCGACCCCGGCATCAAGGTCAACATCTACCAGTCCCTGAGCTCCTACACCATCCCCGGCCCGGCCCTGTACACCGGTGCCGCCTCTTCCTCAGGCTCAACCACCACCGCCGCCTCGGTTGCCGCTACCACGACTGCTGCTGCTAGCGAGACCACCACTGCCGCTTCATCCACAGTGGCCTCCGTCGGAGTGATCTCCAGCGCTTCCCCCGTTAGTGTCACCCCCAGTGCCACCCCCATCCGGAGCCCTTCATTCTCTATCCCGCACTCCAACTCCACCCGTGTGTGCCGTCCCTCGTCGACCGGTCGTCGTCCAGGCCATGGTCACAGCGCCGGTCCCACGGGCCGTCCCCAGCCCAGCGGCGGCGAGAACCAGGCCTCCACCGTCACCGACTATGCCACTGCCACTGCCACTGCCACTGCTACAGCTCAGCTTACTGACTCGCCTAATGTCCAGACTCCTAGCGCTGATGACACCGTGACCGTCACCGCCAGTGCTGGAGGCCAGTCCGCCGCCAGCTCCACCCCTGCCGCCGGTAGCTCGGACTCTTCCTCTTCCTCGGGCTCCTCTAGCTCCGGTTCCACCTCTACTGGCTCGAGCTCTGGCTCCTCGTCTTCGGGCTCCTCCACCTCCGCGTCTAGCTCTTACAACTCCAGCGACTGGTCTTCCTACCTGAGCTCCCTGAGCGCCGAGCAGTTCCTCAACATGCTCCGCCAGACCCTCAAGTGGCTCGTCAGCGACAAGAAGGTGCACGCGCGTGACCTGACCGTCTAAAAAGCGCCTTGCGCGGCCAGATATGAACACAACACTCAAGTCTAAACTCTTTTGACTGGTTGTTCTTGATTGTTTTTGCCCATGTCTGAAATGATCGACTTTTTCTTCCCTTTCTTGATCTTATTCTGCTCGACCTGGACCAGGTATCCTGTCGCTTGGTGAGAATTTGGGGTTTCCGGAGCGCTGTGTAACTATATGGTGTTGCCATTTTTTCTTTCTTCCCCTCCTCTTTAGGAGAGTAGAGACGTGGATTTCTTCTGAATCTCATTTCTATACTTTTTCTCATGAATGGATTTGTTTGACTGCTCTCAAATACTTAATTACTAGATGTGTAAGACTTGAGATTGTCCTCGTAGGCTAGGAAGTATTTGCAAACTTTGCTTCACATGCTATTGTTATTAATGGAAACCACTAGCAACAACCAAGTATGCAAAATGAGTCTATCGACAAGAATATTGAATGCTAAGACTAGCCAGGATATGCCACGGCTCATGATAACCAAAGATCAATCACGATAGATTCTTTCTCTCCATGACTATGCAACATGCAAAACATCCGACACCCTATTTCTTCTTCTTAGTCTTATCCACCACCTCCACCCACTGACTCTTCAACCCCCGACGCGCCAAAGCAGTATCAACAACCTTCCTCTGATCGCCCTGCACCAAAACCTCCATAACCCCCTTTGGCGCACCCACGGCCTGCGTCACACTCGTACTACTAGCACACTTCTTCTGCAACTCCTCAGCCAACAGAGCAGGCACAATCCCAAAGACCTCCAACCCCGTCACTTTCGTAACAGTCTTGGACCCCGTGCGTTTCTCAAGTGTGACAAGAGCTTTCGGCGTAGCGCCGGCCTTGGGCTTAACATCCGCCAGAGTCTGACCCGGTTTCAGGATGGCGTAATGCGGTTGTAAGAAGGTGTGATCCTCGACGATGCGCTTGAGGAGGCCGTCGCGGGTGACTTTGCCGCGTTTAAGGGTTCCTTGGTCTTCTGGGGACGGGGAGGTGAAAATGGTGTTTGCGAGGAAGGGGTTTAGGGTGATGATGCGTCGGTTTTCGGGGGAGATGAGGTTTTGGGATTGCAGGTATGTGTCTAGATAGGTGGAGACGTCGGTGTATTTGTAGTAGTTTTTGGGGTTGCTGGATGATGAGGCTGGGAAGATTTCTGGGGTGAGCTTTTGGGTTGGTCGGTAGAGGGTTTGGACGTTTAGGGTTTGGCCAACGGTGTGATCGGCGCCGTCTGTTGAAGCGGGCTTTTTGGCGTCGGATGGGGATGTTTTGTTGGAGGTTTCGAGGGCGGTTTTCGATGGGAGCTTGTATGGGACGAATTGCTCGATGCGGCGGTCGCCGAAATCGATGTCTAGGATGTATGTCTCCTGGCCGCTGCGGTCCTTGGACTTGACTAGATGCATTTTGTCGAGTTGCTTGATGAACTTCTTGACGTTCTTCCAGCTGGTTTTTTTGATGCTATAATATTGCACTTGCTGGGTAGAGTGGATGGGGAGGTAGGGGGTGACGAGGTTGGCAATCAGGATTGAAGGCGAAACAGGCAGTGTGAGGCCATGGTTGGGGGCTGATGGGTTGTCCTGCTTGAGCTTGTAGATAGCGTAGATGAAAGCATTGATAAAGGCATCATCGATCTCTGATTTTAAGTTAGGAATAGCCCATGAATTACCAAAGGAGTCACATACCCTTGGTTGTAGGCTCTTTCTCTTGCACGACCGGTTCTTCCTCCTCTGTCACGGGAGCCTCATCTGAAACTTCTTTGACTTCATCGCTCTTCTCTTCGAGGGTGAGACCACTAATAGCCTCATCAACCTCTTCCTCATCACCTGCTTCCTCATCCCAGCCCTTCAGATACTCTGGAGCAGGCCGACCAGGCCGAGACGATGAGCTCCAGGCCCACAGCTCATCTCCTTCCCAATGGAGACCCCGAACAGCATGGCCCTTCGTACCCTGAACCTCTCCCAACGCAGAGACATCAATCTCGCAAACACCTACAAACAGAGGTACCGTATGTCTATCCAGACCAGCCACAGCAACCACCGCTCCCTTGATTGCACGTTGGGGGAAGGGCGGCTCATTTGCCAAACCAGGTGTCATGAGGTCCGCACCGCCTTGTAGCTTCTTCATAACCATTTCCGGTGTATACAGCAAGGGCACCAAGTCCGGATTCTGCCATAGAGTATAGACCGTTGGGTACAGGCGCTTGTCTGACCCGGGCCCGTGTTCCACCTTGAACCAGAGTACTCGCTCATCTCCATCTGGATATGCGCCGACATACACGATGCCCTGAACCTCACGTAGGTCCGGACCTGCTGTGGTTGTGAAGCGCGCTGTCAAGGCGTTCTCAGGAAGGAGGGCATTTCGAATTGACGCGAGGGTTGGCGCAGTCGATCCGTCGGCGGGTGTTTCGGTCGGGGCTGCGGGGACAGTAATTTGGTAGTCTTTGATGATCTGGTCGGCGATCTTCCTCCGGTCTGAAGACCGTAGAGGGGAGAGGTTTTTGATCTATCTCATGTTTAGCAAAAGATATTCTTCCAAAGAGATTTTTTCAAGCCAAGCGGGCCTTGAGGGCTCCGAATGGAGGGGCAATGCGGGGAGAGAGGGGTGGCCGTACAGTGGGCTTCTTCTTGAACATTTTCAAAGATAATGGAGCTAGAGATTGAGTTTCAGGGACTAATAGCAGCTCCTGCACCCACTAAATATAGCAGGTAGTAAAGAGAGCGTCAAGATGGTTGAAGCTCTGATCGTAGCGGAGTCATCGTGAATCATGAACAGGCACAAAATTCCCCGCCGCCTTGCTCCACACCTCCGCCCGAAAGGGGAAAACGCCGCATTTCTATTTCTATGGCTTGAACAATGTACATTAAGGCTCATTGAGACTAAGATCGATTAGATGTCATTTAGTTTCTCAAGAGAGGTGTTCCGAACTAACCTGTCTTTTTGAAAAGAGAATTAATTTGTACTGTGACTAACGATTACCAATAGATCGTGTGGTAGGTGAGTAGTCCGAAGGTTGCCAAACTGCTGATATTGAGATCGGATGGATATTACAAGAAGCCTCAGAATGAGTCACAGCCTGTAGTCACCTCGTATAAACTGACAACTTGCGTCTCTCGCCTTAGAAGTGGCTATGTTCCTAGCTACACTGCTTGAGCTATGCAAGTACCCGCTTCTCCTCATCTGATGTATCATAGCAGAGAGAGATCACTATGAGATGCTTCTAATTAGAGCTCTGGGTTTAAATTATGAGAACCGAGCGTAAGGTCTATGAAGCTTGCAAATAAGGAACACTTAGGGCATAATTCTGATCATTACAAGGTCTACGAAGGAGAATAGGCAACCGGAATTCTCTATGGACAGTTACGCGTAGGAAGAAGGGTACTTACACAAGACCGATGAATGAGACGATGAGAACTGCAGCACTCATAATATTCACACTGAGCAATGTATATGTGCTTTCAATTGTATTTCATCTTTGTTATGTATTCACCCGTCGGCTGGTTGAGAATCGGAGCGTTTCCGACGTCTTCCCGGCCTCGGACATCGGACATCGCCACGATAAACAGCCTCATCACTCTGCCGAAACCTGGAACCCCCGACATATTAAACACTACTTATATCGATCTCATTTTCCAAATTTATAGCCCCTTGAAACCCCTAGCACTACCTATTTACCCCCAAAATGCCTGTCTACCACATCGGTAAGCCTCCCACCTAATCTACTTTCCCACTCCATGACCCCTCCAATCCGAAGAATGCGGGGGGATACACATTTACGTCAGTGCTTTTTGTCAAGTCCCTAACTGCAATAATCAGTCCTCTTCAAACTCAAGCAATGTGTGACACCAGCCCAACTGAGTGTCTGGACTCAGCTGGCCAAGGGCATGGTTGGAAAGATTCCAGGTTCGTCGAACACCCTTTAAAAAGCAATGTGGGCGCTACCTATAACAGACTAACACTCCTGGTATAGGATTGATCTCGATGGAATGCGGGCAGCCTCTACCTATCTGTCTTCCTCGTGCGCAGGGATTCGATATGGGTCTTGTGGCGGTCCTTGAGAAGCCGGAGCATGTTGCTACTTATGCCGTGCATCCGGCTCATTTGGAGTACGTTACTAGATCTGAATTTACCAGACTGAGAACCGTCTGCAATGCTACAATAGTAGGCTAACTTGACCTGCAGAGTTCATAAGATGAGAGAGGAGCTGTGTGATGATACTTTGGCCTATGATTTGGAGTTCTAGGAATGTATCATACAAGATGATATCAAATCTAGAGCTATTGTTGGACCAGACTATGGAAGCACACGCGAATACGATGCAAGATTAGAATTTGAAACTAGAACTTGAATCATGATGAAATCAGAATAATCGGAGAGACATAAACGCCTATTTAACTGTGTTCGTATCATCACACTTTTTGATTCCGCCCAGACCCATAAAAGAAACAATGCAAATTGAGGTGATGAGCCATCCCGTCTACTCCTTGGAATCCACCTTCTTGGCGGGGTGGTCACCGTTGGACTCATCCTCGCGCGCGCGCTTCTCACCAGTCGCCTGCACAACAGGGACACCCCGAGCGTCCTTCTTGAAGCCGCTCTTCTGGTCCTGGTCGCGGCGCTCCCGCCAGTCGCGCTTGTCCTCGCGGTCACGGTCACCGCGGTCACCACGGTCACCACGACCGCCACGACCCCGGCCGCCACGACCACGACCCCGACCGCCACGGCCACCACCGCGGCCGGTGCTGGCGAAGACCTTGCCGGCCTTGATGTCGGCTACCTTCTCATCGCAGTACTCCTTCTTGCTCTTGACAACGAGCTCTTGGCCCTTCCACTTGGGCTTCTCGGCGAGCTCCAGGAAGGCCTTCTGCTTCTCCTCATCGGCGAACTCGACGAAAACGCTGGCCTTGAAGGTCTTGTCCTGGGTGCGGCGCAGGCGGACGGCCTTGATGGGGCCGTAGGGCTCAAAGAAGGACTCGATGTCGAGCTGAGTGGTTGAGTCCTCATCACCGAAGTTGCCGAAGCCCTTGGCGTAGATGCTGCGGGCCATGGCCTTGTCCTCGAAGATCTTGACGGCCTCGGCGTTGTTGTCGGTGTTCACGGACTCGGGGAGAGGGACCTTGCGCTTAATGGCGGTGTCGTTTTCGGTCAACTCGAGGGTCTCCGAGTCCTTGAGGGCCTTCACGATGGCCTCGAATGGCTGGAAACGACGCATGCGCTTGAAGGAATGAAGGAGGCTCAGCGGCACGGCGTTGTTGGTGCTGCCGCCAACCTTGGACAGCAGGAACTTGTCCATGGGCAGGTTGGAATCGGAGAAGTAGAACTCAACCTAACCCAAGCGTATTAGAGAGCTTCTTCTTTCATACTTCACTCATGATCGGTTTAGATTCTTACCTGCTTGCGGATCTCCACGGGGTCATCGGTCTCTTTCTGGGAAGAGGGGTCGAACTTGGCGTTGTTGGTGCGAGTGAAACGACCACCACGGCCAGGACCACGCTGGGGGCGCGAGTCGCGCTGCTGCTGGGACTTTTCCTCAGACTGCTCTGACTTCTCACCCAGCTTGGCGGCTTCGGCGACAATGCGCGCCTCGTCGACGTCAGTCTTGTCGGTCTTCTCAGCCTCGGTGGAAGCACCGTTCTCCTTCAGCTCGGCAAGGACATTCTGGACGTCCTGCTCGGCGGCCACGTTAGCGGCGGGCTTCTGCTCCTCGGCCATTGAGGTGTTGTAGAAAGTGCGATTGAGAGGTGACTCAAATCGGAGTGATTGCGGCTCACAAAGTAAGCGCAGAGGATGACTCGGGTGCGACGAAAGACTCGGAGAAGGGATGGACGTGTGAGTTGGGATTTTCAGTTCACGAAGAAGAGAAGAAAGATGGGAGGAGGAGTTGAAGAGTCAATTCCACGAGGGCGCAGTCGAAACGTCTTAATTTAAGAGCTCGGCGGGGATGGGATTTTTTTTCGGGGCGCGGAAGCTGCGTCGTTGCCTGAGGCATGAAGCACTAGCCCGAAGGCGGCCTAGAAGGATCCACTTTGTACAATACATAAAAGGCCTCCATAATTGTATGGAAAGAATAGAGATCGAAGGGGGAGTAGAAAGAAGTAGATGCTTCGTAGCCTTGAGCAAATAAGTGGGCTGGATTGTTCTGTGTACGCAGGATAGCAAATATTAGATGAATGCCTACAGATCAAACAAAGCATCAGGCAGATACCCTAGGCACGGCCTGGCCTGGTCGTGCCTGCCTCTGCTGTTATTCGCCGCTGCCTCACACTCTCGTCCTAATGTCAAAACCGTTGCCTTTTCTAGCTCATCTGCCTTTTCAGATTGCAGCCTTCCTTGTAGATGTCAGAGCTGCCCTTGACTCGAATGCCTTCACGGCAACACCACCTGACTGTCGCCAATTGCACCACTGGGTAGCATTATCCGGCAAGTCTCGACTCTTACCAACCAAGGATCTTGCCAATCTCGAAGTCATCGTCTGTTATCCTTCCAGCTGATGTTATTTCCCGCTCTGCTCTGCCATAAACCACCGGGCTTGAGAGAATGCTGATCTCCCTTTGAAGTCCCTTCCCATCAAATACTCTCAGGTGACCAGCTACTGAAATGGCAGACAATGAGCAAATCGACCCAGGAGATGCCGCCTGGCCGGCCAGAGATGTATGTTGGCATTAGTAAAGTTGTGACCCGACTCTAACCTGGTCCCTTAGATTGCTTACTTGGCCATCGTCGGCCCGTTGATGCTGGCTGCCGCGTTCGAATGGATACTCTGGCTTGCTGCCTTTCTTTACTGTCTGATCAAGGTATATCTCAAGGCAGATCACTGGACCATAAGGGCTCTTGCAGCTGCGATGGTTGTACTTTTTACGGTGTTTCGGTACGCTTACCTCGATCAATACGAATTCCGTTTGTTGAAGGCGATGAGATGGCTGACAATATGAACACTCGGCAGGCTGGCATTTCTTCCGGTGATGATCGTGACGCTGCCACTACCACCTCAAGTCACCAAGTACTTCCCTGATCGCATGTCGAAGGTGTTCCAGTGGTTTGCTTTCTGGTTGTTCTCCATCTTGCTTAGCGGACCATTGCTCTTCTGTGTATACGGACTCGTCACAAATCACATCGGAAGAAAGAAGAGAATCAAAGAGTCCTTGGATGATCGGAATGCTCCAAAGACTGTGGTGGTGATGCCAGTCTACAAGGAAGACGCGGAGGTCCTCATCAAGGCCGTCGATTCCGTGGTGGATAGCGACTATCCCGCATCTTGCATCCATGTGTTTCTTTCCTGGGATGGCGGTGGAGTTGATGAGCCCTACCTCCGTGTCATCCATCATTTCGGGATTCCAATTTCTCTCAAGAGCCATCCTCAGAGTATCGATGTTGTCTACAAAGGCGCACGAATCACGGTCTCACGCTTCAAACACGGAGGAAAGAGACATTGTCAGAAGCTGACTTTCAAGCTCATCGACAAGGTCTATGCGGAATATCTGAAACGCCATGACGATCTGTTTGTATTGTTCATCGACTCGGACTGCATTCTTGATCAATACTGTCTGCAGAATTTCATGTACGATATGGAACTGAAACCTGGCAGCAAGCACAACATGTTGGCCATGACGGGGATTATTACCTCCACGACGGAGAAAAATTCACTTCTTACTATTCTTCAGGATATGGAATATATCCACGGGCAACTCTTTGAGCGATTAGTCGAGTCTGGATGTGGTGCGGTGACTTGTCTTCCGGGAGCACTCACAATTCTTCGATTCTCCGCTTTCCGGAAGATGGCCAAATACTATTTCGCGGACAAGGCAGAGCAGTGCGATGATCTCTTTGATTATGGAAAGTGCCATCTTGGAGAGGATCGGTGGCTCACGCACCTCTTCATGATCGGGGCAAAGAAGCCATATCAGATTCAAATGTGTACTGGCGCCTTTTGCAAAACCGAGGCGGTGCGAACCTTCAAGAGTCTCTTGAAGCAACGCCGTCGGTGGTTTCTGGGCTTTATCACAAATGAAGTTTGCATGCTCACGGATGTGCGACTATGGAAGCGATATCCAATGCTCTGCACAGTGCGCTTTATGCAGAACACTATCCGCACTACTGCCCTCCTGTTCTTCATCATGGTCATCGCTCTCATCGCAACATCGAAAAGAGTCGAAGATCTCCCCGTGGGGTTCATTGGGGTCTCGTTGGGACTGAACTACTTGCTGATGTTTTACTTCGGACTGCAGCTGAAACGCTTCAAGGCCTGGCTGTACCCACTAATGTTTGTCATCAACCCTTTTTTCAACTGGCTCTACATGGTGTATGGCATTTTCACAGCCGGACAACGCACTTGGGGTGGGCCACGGGCTGATGCGGCCGTGGCAGATACCTATACCACACCGGCAGAAGCAGTGGCATTGGCTCACGCCCAGGGGGATGAATTGAATGTCGACGTCGACACCTTTCGTGCTGGGCCTGTTCGCCGAAGATCAGTCCCTGTTCGCCCCTCGGAGAAAATCGAAGGGCGGTTTGCTCCCGCGGAGCAACTGCTCGATGGCTGCTATATCAACACTCGTGAGCCTCGTCCGGTTCGAGACCAGTTGGAGTCTCCGTTACCCGATGTTCCTCGAATCTATATTCCTGGCCAGTTCCGTTATTCATCAGACTCACTGTTAAGCGGGTCATCCGACTGTGGCTCTAACACCGTTTCCCTTCCACACAATGTAGAGAGCCCGATGAGTGAAGAGGACCAGCGAAAGCTCTATTATGCCCGCCAGGCTGGGGAGTCCATTGGCATGTCGACTATGGAAGACGAGCTCAGCAGTGATGGAATGTGGCCTGCTGTATATGAGTCTGTTGGGGTCGTCACCGAGCCCCTTGATATTGCCGAACCTGCATCCGCCCAACCTGGTCTCCGAGAGTCTATCTCCACCAATCGTCTCTCCTTGCAGTCTATGGACATGCATGAGCCACGAGGGAAGGCTGCAAGGACATCTCGGCGAGGGTCGCGGGTCTCCGATGTGTCTGGTGAGATTGTGTGAAAGATGTGATTCTCTCTCTGACGTCAAGTTGTTTCGTCCCACTTTTTCTTGTCTGTTTCTCGTGGTACCCAGTTCTGTTGACATGTTTCCACCATTCGTACTTATTCTTATGATATGTGGCCCCCTCTCTCCCTTGGCAATGCTGTTCTTCTTATGCCTCATAAAAGGTGTTATTTTTGTTCTTTGCCTCTGTCTCTCACTTGACTGTTCCAATCCATATGAAGCTGCAGGACAGATATCGAGATATCCTCCATTGAAATGAAGCGGTGCCTGATCAGCGGACATTCCCCCTCCATCCTATCCTGATTCTACCAACCAGCACCTCGGAAAAGTGACCCTGGTGGTGGCGGACCTCATTACATAATGCCCCACTGGAGGCGGTCAGACTGAACTTTTTTCGTTTTTGCCCCGCCCCCCTCCTGCAGGCGGTGAAGACCAAAGAAAAAGATCCAGCAGCCGCCAGAAGGTTCGATGGGCGCACATTTCGGATTCAAAAGAACAACACGTATTTAGGCCCAGAATTGTAAAACAGCGTAGACCAAAAAGATTCCTCGATTTAGCACTTTTCTTTCTACACCTTTTCCATATCATATACCCCTGTTTTTTCCCAACTTTCTTGCCTGGCCGAAGAAACTCCAGACCGCTCGAGTATCGCTGGTTATCAATCCCCTCCAATCATAATAGTGGAGTAGTGGCGTGCAAATTCTCCCCTCCAAACTTCTTTCCATCTCTGACTTCCTCCTCCTCATCATCCTACTCCTCCATTCTTTCCCCCGATATACCCCCCCCCACTTACCTCCCGCCTACAATGTCTGTTGTCGGTATTGATTTTGGTGCCCAGAGCACCAAGATTGGTGTTGCCCGGAACAAGGGTATTGACATTGTACGTTTGCCCCGCGGAGCCCAGCCTCGCTGGAGAACTCCCCCCCCCGTTGCTTGTTCATTTTGATGATATCTCTCTGGAAGAGAGAATACCAATGAATTGATGCTGACCAAAGTCCTATTGGAATATTTTAGATTGTCAACGAGGTTTCCAACCGTCAGACTCCGTAAGTGGTCATCCAACCAACCCCTCTCGATGCCCAATTTAGTTCGCATCAGACTCCGGATTCCAAAACAACCGCTAACCTTTTTTTTCTTCCATCTTACAGTTCCCTGGTCGGATTCAATTCCCGCAGCAGAGCCATCGGTGAGGCCGCCAAGACACAAGAGACTTCCAACCTGAAGAACACCATCGGCTCTCTTAAGCGCCTGATCGGCCGTACTGCCAACGACCCCGATGTTCAGATCGAGCAGCAGTTCAACTCCTCCAACATCTGCGATGTCAATGGATTGGCTGGTGTTGAGGTTAACTACCTCGGCAAGAAGGAGAAGTTCACTGCTACCCAGTTGGTGGCCATGTACTTGACCAAGATCAAGGATATCACCTCCAAAGAGCTCAAGCTCCCCGTCTCCGATGTCACTATTTCCGTTCCCGCCTGGTTCAGCGATGTTCAGCGCCGCGCTATGATTGACGCCGGTGAGATCGCCGGTCTCAACGTCCTCCGTCTTATTAACGACACCACCGCTACCGCTCTGGGTTACGGTATCACCAAGCTCGACCTGCCCGGTCCCGAGGAGAAGCCCCGCCGTGTTGTTTTCATCGACATCGGTTACAGCGACTACACTGCCACCATTGTCGAGTTCCGCAAGGGTGAGCTGAACGTCAAGTCTACCGCCTGCGACCGTCACTTCGGTGGCCGTAACTTCGACCAGGCTCTGACCGAGCGCTTCGCCGATGAGTTCAAGGAGAAGTTCAAGATTGATATTCGCACCAACCCCAAGGCCTGGTCCCGTACCCTGGCTGCTGCCGAGAAGCTGAAGAAGGTCCTGTCCGCCAACCCCCAGGCTCCCCTGAGCATCGAGTCCCTCATGGAGGACACCGATGTCCGCACCCTGGTCAAGCGTGAGGAGCTCGAGGAGATGGTCAGCCCCCTCCTGAACCGCCTCACCGTTCCCTTGGAACAGGCCCTCGCCGAGGCCAAGCTTACCGTCGAGGACATCGATCAAATCGAGATGGTTGGTGGCTGCACTCGTGTGCCCTCCATCAAGGAGACCATCAGCAAGTTCTTCGGCAAGACCCTGTCCTTCACCCTTAACCAGGACGAGGCCATTGCCCGTGGTGCCGCCTTCTGCTGTGCTACTCTCTCCCCCGTGTTCCGTGTCCGTGACTTTGCCATTCACGACATCGTGAACTACCCTATCGACTTCACCTGGGAGCAGTCCCCCGACATTCCCGATGAGGACACCAGCCTTACTGTCTTCAGCCGTGGTAATGTCATGCCCTCGACCAAGATCCTCACTTTCTACCGCAAGCAGCCCTTCGATCTCGAGGCTCGCTATGCTAAGCCCGAGCAGCTGCCCGGCAAGATCAACCCCTGGATTGGCCGCTTCTCCGTAAAGGGTGTCAAGGCTGATGCCAACGATGACTTCATGATCTGCAAGCTCAAGGCCCGCCTGAACCTGCACGGTATTCTGAACGTCGAGTCGGGTTACTACGTTGAGGATATGGAGGTTGAGGAGCCCGTTGAGGAGGAGAACGCTGATGTAAGTTATTTGTACCCTGTTCATTATTTCGTCTCGATATTTCAATACTAACAGCTCATTTGCCAGGCCATGGACACCAACGGCGAGGAGCAGCCCAAGAAGACCCGCAAGGTCAAGAAGCAGGTCCGCAAGGGCGACCTGCCCATTGCCTCTGGCACCGGCGGCGCTGACCAGGCCACCAAGGAGACCTGGACTGAGCGCGAGAACTCCATGTACATGGAGGACAAGCTCGTTGCCGAGACCGACGAGAAGAAGAACGAGCTTGAGGCTTCCATCTACGAGCTCCGTGACAAGATCGACGGTGTTTACTCCGAGTTTGCCAATGAGGAGGAGAAGGACAAGCTGCGGGCCAAGCTGACCGACACCGAGGTGAGTAACTCTAGTCAATGCTTTTTCGTCTGGTAATCAACAGAACACTAACTTTATACCTCTAGGACTGGCTGTACGAGGAGGGTGAGGACACCACCAAGTCCGTCTATGTCGCCAAGATGGATGAGATCCGCTTCATTGCCGGCCCCATCATCCAGCGCTACAAGGAGAAAGTCGAGGAGGAGCGTGCCGCCGTCCTCAAGGCCGAGGAGGAAGCCGCTGCCAAGAAGCGTGCCGAGCTCGAGGCTATGAAGAAGGCCGCCGAGGATCTGCGCAAGGCCGAGGAGGAGCACAAGAAGAAGCTCGCCGCCGAGTCCGGCGATGCCGAGATGCAGGACGCTCCCGAGGGTGAGGCTGCCCCCGCCGAGGGCGAGGACAAGCAGTAGATATAGTCACCCATTTTACCTAGACTATCTACGGGTTTGGCTTCGAGTTGTGTTTTATGTGAATGACGGGATGAAAGGATATGCTTCATCTTTTGGAGAAAAAAAGAAACTGATGAGCGTTCTTTCTACCCCCGCATGATGACGAAAAGGACTTTTTCACGGACCCCCCTCTAGACCCGACTGGTGATTTGTTGCTGGTTGGAGCGTTTGGTTTTTTTTCATGTTCTTTTTTTTAATGGCACGCCAGTTTATGATGTAGATCGTTTCTTTCTGGATGAATAGATATATTCAAATCATGTCTGAGCATTTGGTGACAAGTACGTAGTAACTTGTAGAATGGAAAGGGACAGAATCGATTAAGACTTGACGGTTCCCTCGACCCCTTCAGCCCTACAACGATTCGTAGATTATGCCCAACTCGTATTAGATGGGGTTATTAGTCTCTAGTCATTCGGGGTCTTGATTGGATGGGGAATTATGATAATGAGCGTGGATTGACGGGATTTATTGATCCTCCGTTATCATCAACCCCATACATAATTAATCTACGATCGCTAGATCAGATTGGTGATTCATTGTTCGCCAAGAGCTCGAGGGGGAAACAGTCTGGTCTATAACTACCTACGGTCATTGATTGTGACTTTCTAGGAATTTTAGGCTCTCCCGATTATGCCTCATTACATACTGCCTACCCTAAAGTCCTCTATGGGTGAAGTGGATCATTTCTTCGCAAACTAGTAGTCAATTTATAGAGTTAGGCAACTACTTTAACTAGAACTAATCATGTTGGAGTTGTGTCACCAAGTCATCACCACTCGTCGGTTTTTTACTGCCAGGGGTCTTGGCAGGTGCCAAGAAAATGCACTCGGTTTCGCTTGGGTTCCTTGTTTGTGTTCTCCTTGGGTTAAACAAAACATCTTTTGTTAAAGTACTATTCTGTTGCTTGGAATTAGCTGAAAATAATCTCTAGACGTATTCATTAATCCCCCCTATTTCTCAGTACAACAAGTGCATTAGTATGTACTCCGTACTTAGTACTTAGTAGTGCGCTCGGCGGCTCCTTGAGTGGAGCCCGCTCTTCTTCTCAACCGAGTAAACCGGCACGCGAGTGCCAAGTACTTAGGTCGTGTGTAACTAGTGTTGCAGTGTCGTCCTAAAGGGATACGTTACAGGGCTCCCGCATCCTACCCTGCCTTTGAATCCCCTGTCAAGGGTGACCAATGCCCCGGAGAAGTACTACAATTACTCGTTCTCTCCCCCTCATCGTACAGGTTTCCTCCTTTTCCTAGTCCGGGTTAGAGTACGAAGAATAAATTTCCTCCCCGGATCGCCGTATTCGCATTCCTCTTTCGACTTCCTACTTCTGCACGCTAGCGCCCATACAGTCTACAGTCACGGAAATACTGTGCTGTATGCTAGTCTCTTGAACAGATGAAATGCATAATTCCAATCCATCACACCCCCCAAGTGAATCCCTGCTGCTTCGAGACTACGTAATCTACGTTAGGCCCTTCTACAATCCCATCTCCTACTCTTTTCCTTCTTCCATCCCCTTTTGCCCTATCCCCTTAAGACTAGGTACCATTTGTACATCATCCACACCTGGATCCATCAGTGGAGTCTCCTATCCGGCTAATCCGCCCCGCTCGCACCTGTACGGTACTTGGCCTTGGGAGGGCTTTACACTTAAGGACTCCTTCTCGCAAGGCCAAGGCCCTGAATCTCCGGATTGGTCGGATCCAAGTCGGATGGGTTCTTGGTTCTGTGCTTGGTTCTTGCGGAGTCTACTTATCACCGACCCTTTTCCCTGATTTCCCACCCCTTCTTCTCTCCTCTTCTTTGCTTCTTGGATTTTTCTCGCTTCCTTGATTGCGCTCCTCCTTCGACCTTTGCTTTATTACCGAGGGTTCCGCCAACACCCTTACTTTCGCTATTGCTATTCCCATTGCTATTGTATAAACATAGTCGCAACGGTCCAGCGCGGAATCAGCATTAATCACTACTTCTTGTCGGCACATGCGAAACGAAACGAATTAATTGCGCTCCGGATTTGCTTCTATTGCTGATCTTGTCCGAATAACCGATAGCTCCACGATGAGCATTGGTTTATACATGCGCGCAAATTCCCCCATTCAATAGACCTTTTGCATTCCGCACGGCAACTCCATCCTCGGCCGGAGATGCATTGGCGAACGTGGACAACTCTCGCCTCTGCACTCTGGTCCACAGCAGTGACGGCATTGCCCAGCTCCGAGACACCTGATGGTAGCAGCAGCAGCTTTAACACACCTTACATCGACCCGACGCTCAAAGACCCACTGTGGCTGAAATACGGGCTTAATGCTTCCGCCGAATACAAATACTTCCATGAACCGGGCCGTGACGATATCCTCGGCCACTATGACATCCGATTCTTCACTACGCCCGTGAGCGACGCGGAGCGCGCAGAGACCTTGACACACATGATTCGCGCATATTTGAACTTTTTCGACGAGAATGACCTGGAAACCTGGATTGCGCATGGGACATTGTTAGGTTGGTGGTGGAACGGGAAGGTGAGCACGCGCCGGATGGCCTTTTTCGGAAACATACCTAGGTAGAAGGGAGCAAGTCAGCTGACATGAGGATTCATGTAGATTCTCCCTTGGGATTGGGATATGGATACGCAAGTCCCCGATACGACGCTCGCCTACCTCGCCGACCACTATAATCAAACTATCGTCGAATATGTGATCCCCGGCGGCAAGGAGAAACGCGATTATTTGCTGGATATCAACCCGTGGTCGCGGCAGCGTGAACGTGGACAGGGCCATAATATTATCGATGCGCGATTTATCGATGTCACGACGGGCCTGTATATCGATATCACGGGGCTGAGTAGGCTCGAGTTGGATGATCATCCTGATATTTGGCAGTGCAAGAACTTTCACAAGTACCGGCTGAAGGACATTTATCCTTTGCGCCGGACGACATTTGAGGGTGCCCCAGCCAAGGTGCCTTTTCAATATGATGCGCTGTTGATGGAGGAGTATACGGAGGATGCTTTGACCACGACCAATTTCCATAAGTAAGTCGGCTTTTGCTTACAAGTCTCATGTATCGTTTGACACTTCCTTCCGATTCGGTGCTAATTTGCCAATGATAGTCACACTTGGTTCCCGTCTTTGGCGGAGTGGATCTCAGACGAGACCGTCGCGGTCCTGACTCTTCCTGAAGATGGAGAGTATGAATGAGTGTTCAGTTTCATTTTTCTGCTCGATTGTGCAGAATAATTCTTTTCCTTTGGCATCACGGGCCTACTGCCGCCCTGATCTTTTTTTTTTCGAGGACGACTCTTCCCTCGAGGCTATCTTGGACAATCATCTCTGCACATTTTGCATATTTTCTTTCTTTTTGCATTGCATTTTGGAACTGGATGTCTGTTGTGCTTGGTCTATTCGGTGTTGACTAATATATGGCAGTTCACCTGTCATCTGGGGAAATGGAGTTTAATGGGCTACGGTTTCACCTGAATGTTCTGCGGCGTTATGATATGGAATGAATTGCTGCACTTGCGCCCCAAAAATTCAAGCATGAGGGGTTCCAACCCATCAGCCAGTCAGATTCACCGATGCAATGCTTGATTGATCCTCGAAATTAAGAAATCTTCCGAAAGCGGAGTAATGTCCTGAGCTGAAACATGATCTCCACGGATTCCGGGTAAATAGACCCTGAACTACCACCAATCTGATCCGCTCATTACATCACATGAGTGATAATCTTCCATCGAAAGCTATGTTTCATCTCCAAGTTTCCGGTATTGGTGGAATCCTGCGATATCGCATTCTGAGCAAAACGCTTTTCCCCGCACAGGTTCCAGACTGACACCATCGCCTATTCCATGCCGATGTATATGAATACAACACGGCTTCAAAGACAATTTGCGTCGATGGAACAGCCTGATGGTTATACAGCCACCGTGTTTTAATTACATTGAAATTACTTTTTGGTCGTGAAAACTTCCGATTCACTATGTACTTCTCCATAGCCGTTCTTGTTACAGCCCTGCTGTCACCGACTGTGTCAGCGCTGGCATTTGACGGCGCTGTGGGATTTGGCTCTATAGCAACGGGCGGTACTGGCGGAACCACCGTCACGGTCACGACCTTGGCAGACTCAGGAACAGGTTCTCTACGAGACGCTGTAAGCCAATCGAATCGAATCATCGAGTTCTCCGTCAGCGGCTACATCGTGCTTGACTCAGCCCTATCACTATCAAGCCACTTGACCATCAACGGGCAGACAGCTCCAGGCAATGGAATCGGGATCATGGGAGCCGAAGTATCAGCCAGCGGCAAAACGAATATCATCATCCGCAACTTGCGCATGCGACAAGGCACACTCGATTCCGACACGGGTCACAGTGCATTCAACATGGGAAAAGCATCCAACGTCATCCTGGACCATTGCTCGATTGAGTACGGCCAGTGGGATTCTATCGATGCGGTCGGAACAGTCAACATCACCGTCTCCAACTCGATTATCGCCTTGCCCATTGGACAGCAATTCGGCGCTCATGTCGAGACAGGCCCTTCAACATTCTATCGTAACCTCTGGGTTAGCGCGCATAACCGCCAGCCTCTATCCAAAGACGATACCCAATACATCAACAACGTGGTATACAATTACCAGGCAGCGTATACGTCGGGTAATACAGCTGGCTACTTCTCGCACGATATCATCGGCAATTATTTCATTACGGGGCCGAGTACTTCGACTGCGAAGGATGCTTTCTACCAGATGGACGCGCAACAAAGCGTATACGCTTCGGGCAATTATCTTGATGATAATGAAGACGGGGAGCTGAATGGAAGCAGCTACAATTCCGTTGGCTCTGCGACTGTGCTTTCTGAGCCCTGGTCATCGGACTCATCGAGTCTCGCGACCCTTTCGGCTGTGGAGGCTGTCGCATATGTCCTGGCAAATTCGGGCGCTTTGCCCCGGGATGAATTAGATACCTTCGTCGTCAGTCAGGTGAAGTCGTATGGAACGAATGGGACATTGTATAAGAGCCAGACATCTACTGGGGTCTCTAATGGAGGCTATGGGACTCTTTGACCTTGTTGATCTCCGCATTGTTTCGATTATATTTGAATGTTCTGCGTGTTATGATATGGAATGGATTTCACAATCCAATTGAGTTCTGATCCAACTATGGTACCTACATCATTGCTGTAGTCATGTATCACGTCATTGCCTCCTCTAGTTACCTGGTTCTCCAACTTTCTTCCCTGCCTCAGGCATCAAGAGATCTTATCTCCGCGCTGACAAAGCTATCGCCGTGGAACCCCGTCGAAATTCGCCTCAGCGCCTGCCGTTTTGGGATGACTCGGCCTGTTATTTAGTATCGCTGTTGGCTGCCTTCCCTCATCACGACCTTCCATACCACACATAGTCGACATACACCTTCTGGTCCTGCCATCTGAACACATTCGGACCTCCTATAGAATCAGCCATGGACCTCACCGTGCACCACCATGGCACCCCGCACAGCGTCCAGCTCTCCGACTCGGCGACATTACAAGATCTCTCCGCAGAGATAGAAATCATCCTCAACATCCCCACGGAAAACCAGAAGCTCCTCATCGCGCCTAAACCAGGCATGCAAAAGGCACCCTTCCCACCAACCCAACTCAGCACCATCCTGCCTCTCGACTCTCCCAAATTCAAGATCACCCTCCTCGGCCACCCAGCCAAAGCCATCGCCGATCTCCATGAACAATCCGACTCTATACGCAAACGCCAGGAAGCACGCGCCTCCGCACTCGCCGCTGCTCGACGCGCAAACCATAAGCCTTCTCCGTCCAACCGCGGTGGCATCCACACCCTCTCCGCCTCAACCACCAACTACACCTTCCACCGTCTCCTCCCACTCTCCTACCTCCCGCGCCCCGAACGCTCTCTCGAATTCCTCAAACGACTCCGCGACGACCCAGGCATCCGCGCAGCCATGACAAAACACAAATTCTCCGTCCCCCTCCTCACAGAAATGAACCCAGCCGAGCACACGACCAGTGAGTCGCGCACGCTAGGATTGAACCGCAACAAGGGCGAGGTCATTGAGTTGCGACTTCGCACGGATGCCTATGACGGGTACCGCGATTACAGGACTATTCGCAAGACCCTGTGTCATGAGCTGGCGCATTGCGTGTTCGGTCCGCATGATCGCGACTTTTGGGATTTGACGGCGCAGATTGAGAAGGAGGTTGAGCGGGCGGATTGGAAGATGGGTGGGAATCGGTTGACTGGACAGGACTTTTATGATCCTGGGGATTGGGAGAGGGTGCAGAGTGGGGAGGAGGTGATTGATGAGCAGGGGTGGACGGGTGGGGAGTTTGTGTTGGGGGGATTGGGGGTGGATGAGGCTGGACGGAGTGCTGGTGGAAATGGGTCTGGGGCTGCATCTGCGGCAGCGACGGGGTCGTTGTCTAGGAGAGAGATTCTGGCAAGGGCTGCGGAGGAGAGGATGCGGAAGGAGAGTCCGAAGGAGAAGCAGGATGATGCTTGATGATATGTTTGTATGAGCTTTGGCTCTAATGTTTATGACTTGTATATTTGCATTTTGTACTTGCATCTGCATTGTTGATTTGATAATTTGATACCCTCGTCCTCGTTTCGATATACAGACCATGCTTTTCCCCTCATATTATGCCGCTGCAAGTTGAAGATACTGCCGTGAAACTGATACCATAAGGTTGCGTAGATCTAATGAAAAAAAGTTTATTGCTCCGAGCTAATGTATATCAGACTTCTCCCTAACCATCAAGGTACTATTCCAAGTCTCCCGATGTCGCAAAGGAATCATTATTAGATGAAAGACGGACCACCAACACTCAGGTCCTCTGTGGAATAATTCTCGCTGCTGGAATAGCTTGCGATTCATGGGTTTCTGCCTATTGGGTTGAACGTTGAGAAACTGCCGGTGGCTGCGAGTAGACAAACACTGTAAGACCCGCCTTAGGGTGGCCATCGAGATAACATGGCAAACTAGTTAGCCACTTAACTCTTGCATCCATATGGTCAGTCAATCCTAATCATTCTTCTGCACTGATAGATATGTTGAAAGGTCCCATGTATTGCGTTATGCTGGTTGGTATTCCGGTACATCTTGGCCAAAGTAAAGTGATACATCTACGACTCACAACTTTATCGATTGAGTCATATTAGAATGTGGTGTATTGGGGAGCTTCGCCCCAGACAATAAAACACTACTCATGTATATGACCAGGGATCTTGCAGATGCCCACAAAGGCCAAGGTCTAGATTGAGGCCTCATTTAGAACGAGGCAAGACAGCCAGTATAATCCAACGCATCAATGAAGATTTGTGGGTTACAAGTTATTAACGTTGACAAGCACAAGTCTTGCTATACATAATTACGAATCCTTCCCCGAGGTAGTAGTAGCTACGCAGGTCGTCACTGATGTAGTGTGGACATGAACAAGAATGCAAATTAATAGCAGAAAATTAGAAAAAAAGTGTTATATAACATAAAAGATTGTCCTTTTGACTTCTTCACACATAAAAACTCCAAGGGTATATCATTTGTGGTTGATCACGTAGTGGCTCTGACAAGAGCATTCAGGGGGATGAAGTCCAAACCTCAAACCCGACGTCGAAATATCTGCATATCTCCTATCCATCACCGTGACCCAACTCCCCACCTCACCTCATTTCAGACGTTGAGTGTATACACACAGACCAAAGACTGGAAGCCTTTAGTTGCCGGTACCACACTGAGGGCAGAAACGGCTTGAAACAGCAGTACCGCACTGGCCACAGTATCTGAAGGCAGTGGCAGTAGCCTCCTTGTTAGGAGGGGGAGTGCCAACGCTGGCCGGGTAGGGGGCCGGGCTGGCAGGCGAGTGAGGGAACTGAGCAGCAGCAGGCTGAGCAGGGTAGGTAGGCTGAGGAGCAACGTAGCCATGCTGGGAGACAGGCTCCATGGGAGCAGTCGGGGCATTAACGTAAGTGATGTTTGTTTGGATGAAGCGACGGCGTTGCACGCAGAAGACGATGAGAAGAACCCAGGCGATGAACTTGCAGACACCGCCGAGAGCGATCATGGCAATACCGCCATACCATTCACCCATGTTGCCATCCAGGCAGGAGTAGTCGTAGCTGCTGTAGTAGGAGTAGGAGCTAGAGTAGCAGCTAGAGTAGCTCGAGTTGAGATAGGTGCCCATGAGAGCACCGCCGATGATGAAGAAGATGACGGCGGCGATGAAGAAGCTGATGCACCACCATTTGGATATCCCCTGACGGGGGGTTGTGCCGTATTGCTGCATGGTGATGGGAGATGTGAAGGAATGAAGAGTCGATGTAAAGAAAAGAAGTCAGTGAGAGAAAAGTGGATTGGTTTGTCGGTGGTTATGAGCCCAGTTGGGATGATGGATAAAAACGAAGGAAGAATCAAAATTCAGCCTCAAACACCAGAGCAAGGGAGAAATGAGCGAGTCTTAAAGGGAGAACAAACTCTTCAGCTTCTTCCCAAAGAAGCAAAAGCATAAATCAAACTGATCTCGCCTAAAAATAATTACGATGTGACTAGTCCGTAGTTCACCAAGTCATCGATCGACGAGAAGGCAGAGTCCACTCGAACACGAGATTTAGCTCATACTTCTTGGGCTCGGCCAGCTTCCATCTTCCAATGAGAATGCTGAAAAGGACCATATTTGTCTTGGCCTAGAGGCTAATTGACCCTAATTGACCCTAATTGACCCTAATTGACTGACTGAATGGGAGGACAGGGTTCGTGATCCTCGCCCCCACTGATTAGGGTCAAAAGGAAAGTTACACTAATGAGATGGAAACCAAGTTGATGGGTGACTTCGTCTTCCTAATTCCTCCGGATTTGATTAAGGACAGCTTTTCATCTCAACTATAAGAAATATTACTTATGATTTTCCACTGTCTCAATTGTTTGTCAAAATGTGTTTACAACTGTGTTGTGCTGTGCTGTTCCTCCCCAAACTCAGCCATATTGATCGACATAGCCCCTGCACTCTAAACACGAGGCTCAGTCTGGCTCCAAGTAAGGATCAGGGATCGTCCTATTTCTTTCCAAGAATAACCGCTTTACCTACAAGTTTGCCCAATGCCCATAGCCCCCCTCGTATTCATGAGGGTCCCTGCGCTAAATCTGCCCAGAATGACCCTTTTCTCTTCTCATGACTATCGTGACACACCAGAGAGCCGCATCGTCTTGGCAAGAAAACCCTGTTCCTAGCCAATCCCACTTCTCCTCCAGCCAGAAGTTTAATTGACCACCACCCGAACAACACAACAATTAAACACAGCCCCACTCTTACGAGATGTGGAGGACAACATAGAATCAGCACAGGAGCATCGCCAAAATGGCTTGACTTTTCTCCACTGGACCCTGAGTTCTTGTTTCTTGGCTTCGTTTTCAACTTTGCTCATGCTTGTGATCTTGTGCGATCATGGCAACTGTTTACCAGAGTCAGATTCCTCAAGGTCAGATACCGATACAGAGCCATGGACAGGTTCAACAACATGAACAGCAAAACAACCCCCCCCCCCCCCCCCCCCCAATTTCAAAACGGTGGTGAATCAGCTGCTTGGTCACATCACTCATTACCCTCGTCATCGCCGGCGCATTACTAGGCGTGTCTCTAGATAGCAGTTCAACAGACACAATCAGCATGCTACTGGCCTCTTATGGCCTCTTCGGCGCAGGAAGAATACTTCACATCGTCTTCTAGGTCTTGTGGGTGATTTGGCGAAGACGCTACAAGCGTATTCAAAGCCAGAACCATACAATCGTCTATCTCGATGCCGCGGGTCGGCCCTATGCGACAACCACTATATCGAGAACATATTCGCATGTCCCGCCAGTAACCACGAACAATCCTCCGACGCAGTATCTGGCAACGACGAAATATCCCTCTGAGCAACATCATCATCCTCCTCCCGTACAGTCACAAGCACATAATCATGCACAGACTGTGAGAAGCCAACCTGTAAGATATGCAGGGGCGGAACTGGGGACGGATGCGCCGCCGCCCACAGAACTTGCATTGCAGCAGCCATCACATATCACCACTGTCGAGTTGGCGGCCCAACACCTGGCGGAAATGGCTGCCAGTCCAGTTCCAGACTCTCATTATCGCCAAGTGTTGAACACGAGCCTACTATCACCAAATGGAATTGGTAAACGATGAGTGGTCTGTAGAATGGGACTGCCACCATATCTTTATATGGGCTTATGGGAATGCCGTTTTCAAATAATACTATTGAATAATATTAATTTTTATTCCAAAAAATGCCAGCCTTCCTAAAAAGGAAAGCATAAGCTTGTTAACTTATCTCCTACGAATCCACATTGCCTAAATACTGAATGAAGTAATCACCCGAATGACTCTTGGGAAAATACATCCAGTGTCGCAAATTTCATCCAGAGGGAAAGCGAAAGAAAAACAAACCCAAGCCTGAGTTAACCCTCAATTAAGCTTATCCTCTTTCGGCCCTCGCTAGCCCCCAGACAGCCCACCATTTTGAGTTCTTACCGCGTCCACAATAGCCCAAGCCATACCTGAAATTGACCCATGCCGCGAATACGGGCTCAATCTCGTCTCAAGCGCTCAGGTGCAAATTACAGGGGAATTGCATAGTTTCGTACAACATGGATGTTTTTTTGGTACAATTTAGTACTACTGTGTGCTAACGTTATTCTGGATATACATATTTACACCTGCTCATTGACAAACAATCCAGCCATACCCTGGCCAGTACCAATGCACATACTAGTAACCAAGATCTTCTTCTTTGTGCGGCGCGCCTCGCTCAGGATCGTGGCGATCTGGCGCGCGCCAGTGGCTCCGAGGGGGTGGCCCAGGGCGATGGCGCCACCACGAGGGTTAACCTTGGCGTGGTCGAGGCCCAGATTTTGGACACAGTACACAGCCATGGAGGCGAAGGCCTCGTTGATCTCGAAGATGTCAATGTCGTCCTTGGTCAGGTTGAACTTGCTAAGCAGCTTGGGGATAGCGGCGGTAGGGCCAATTCCCATGACGCGAGGGGGGACACCGGCGACGGTCGCGCCGCAGAACTTGGCCAGGATGGGCTGATTCAGTTCGATGGCCTTGGAGCGGCGCATCAGGAGGACAGAGGCGGCTATCGTAAAAGGTTAGTTTTGTCCATGTTAAGTTTGTTGTTGATTTTTCATCACGAGCAGAGAGAAGAAAGACATACCACCATCGGTGACCTGGCTGGAGTTTCCACCAGTCGACTTGTCGCCGAACTGAGGGAAAGCGGGGCGAATCTTGGACAGGGACTCAAAAGTGGTTCCAGGACGAATTCCATCATCACGAGTGAGAGTGACCTGGTGGACCTCACCAGTCTTGGGGTCCTTGACCTTGACAGAGATCGGGGCAATCTCATCATCGAACCAACCAGCCTTCTGAGCAGCCTCGGCACGACGGAACGACTCAGCAGCATAGCGATCTTGCTGCTCACGCGAGATGCCAAAGTCCTTACCAACGTTCTCGGAGGTCTGACCCATAGGCTGCATGCAGTCAGCAGCCTCCTGGTTACGGAGGACCTCCTCGTTGAAGGGGCGGTCAAGACGGTCGCCAGTAGCGGACATCAGCTCCGCACCCATAGCGATACCGATGTCAATGGCTCCCATCGAGATCTGGTTGGCAATGTCCTGCACGGCCTTCAGGCCAGACGAGCAGAAGCGGTTCACTGACGAGGCGCCAGCGGTGTGAGGGATGCCGGCGGCCAGGGACGCGGCGCGGACCATGTAGGCGGCCTTGGCCTCGTTGACCTATATCGAGGTTAGACGATTTATATCACTTAGACATGTCTTCGACTGGCAGGGTACACATACATTACCCAGGCAGACATCCTCAACCAAGGCAGGGTCAATCTTAGACTGGGCCAGGGTCTCCTTCAACAGAGCGTACACAATATAGTCCAACTCGGCATCCTTGAAGCCACCCTTGCGGGCCTTAGTCAAGGGAGTGCGCAGAGATAGTGTGATGACGACGTCGTCAGGGTTCTTCTGGGTACTGATTCCAATTGTCAGCTTTGCTGGGACTTGCTTTGCCGAGTTGCCGCGAATCTTACATAGCGCTCAGCCCACTGCTGGTGCCCTTGAGGTGGCTCAAGATGGAGCTTAGACGATCTGCGGCCATGATGAATTATAGAAAGAGAGTCTAGTTGCAAAAAAGGTAGTCAGTACTGCCTTCGTCGCGTTATGTAGTCGGCACGCCCTAGGGTGCGGAGAGAAGATTTCGGCTATTGCGGGGAAGCTTGTGGCGAAGGGATAGGCGCGGGGAGAGTTCAACTGGACATGCTGTGTAGGTATACACCTAGCAAGGAGAGATTCACTTACAAATTATACAATAACACACCAGTCTTTGAGAAGAGAAATGAGGGAGAGATGGATGAGGGAGGAGAAGGTAAGAAGTAGACTTGGAAAGGCGGAGACTCTTAAAGCTTCCCCCGAAAATGCCGAGGCACTTTGGCTGCCCGTAGAGTACCCGGCCGGGTATTGTGTACCTCCTTAAATATGAGTTTTTACTGCTATAGCTGAGTACCGAATACTTTGTGGCGTTAAGTGGACTTCTCTCCGCAATTTGCGAAGTTGATGTGCCTAGGCTTAGACTCGGGAATCAACAACTTCTTTCTAGCTGATAAACTTTACATGAATAATCTGGACGAAGTTGAATAACTGCCAATAGTTTCAGACATGACATCAGCCTAGTCACCGAGTCTCTACCAAGGCACAACACCATTTTCATCTGAGTATACCCCCGACTCCCCATCAGCCGACAAAGTCGCCAGTCTCACAATGTTAACCGCAGACTCCGAGGCAGGTCTGCCTTTAACCCATCCACGGGCAAAGTTGGTATCCGTCAAATTCGGGCATGATCCATTCACCTTCCATCCGTTATCATGAAACTTGGCTGCATAATGCAAAGTCAACATGTTCAACGCCGCCTTGCTAGTGCGGTAGACCGGGAAAGAGGGACAAGACCACTTTGCATATTCCGCATCCGAGGAATCAACCCGCAGACCCAAGGAGCCCGTGTGTGAAGAAACAAAGACAATCCGGGCTGGGAGAGCTGTTGATTTTTCCAGAAGAGGTGTAAATGCCTCGGTGACCATCGCAGCGCCGAAGAGATTGACTTCGTATACGTCGCGAAAAAGCTTGCGATGCTGAGCCAGATTAATTGTCTCTGGTTGAGCTGCACCTCCCTCCTGCTGCATTTTGTGTTGCTTGATCATGATGTCGATCTCATTGTTGATGCCTGCATTGTTGATCAGAACATCTAGTCGACGGTACTTGGATGCCACCAGATCCGCTGCTTGCTGGATGGATGTATCGTCTGCCACATCGATGGTGATCGACTTGACAAATTCACCAGTTGGATCGAGCCCCGTCGCCGCTTTGGCACCACGGGAGGCATCCCGGGAGCCAAGCAGAATGAAGTAATCCTTGTGAGCGAGAAGGCCTTGAGCCACTGCGTAGCCAATCCCTTGATTGGCCCCGGTGATGAGCACGATAGTACGAGATTCGGTATTCATATTGAGAGGTAGTCAAAACGGAATAATATTGATTGATTCAACAATTTCTGTCCTTGAATGGCACTTATCATGGACTGCTTATATTCATTTTTGATGCCTCTCATACCTTGCGATGTCCTCCGGAGATTGGCTGTTAAGTCCGATTTTCCTGCCTAAAGGAGAGTTGGTGATCCATTTTGGGAAATGTTGAGACCTGAATCGGAAATAGTGCTAGAGCAGACTAGGCAGACTGAGATCCTATAAAAGTCCATGCTTTACTCTAGATTAGGGCTAATCGCATGGTCAGTTGTACTTTCGCACCTAATTTCGGCTATGGTAAATACCTAATAGGTACATCGAGGGAAATAGCTACATACATTAGATTCCCGTTCTGAAATCCATTTCATATTTGCGATAGTCTGTGATCCACCACCCCCAGATATAAGGTTCTGTAAACCCCGGCTCCCTACGAATCCAGAGGTTGCTGGCGCCTACAATACAAATGTACTCCTTTCAACGCCGAGCATATATCAACGTCATCAGAATGGCTTGGAAGGCTATAGGCATCATAATCAAGCCACATTTGCCTTGTTCTCGGAGATTCAGCATCTACAAATGGTTTTCTGTGGAGTGCCATGGTTAAAAAGATTAGAGATTCCAGACAGTCGAACTTACTCATGGTTGTTGAAGACTGCAAAGCCGGTGGAAATAATAAGCACAGGCAGAGCAAGATCGGCGATAATCTGCTTGACTGGGGCGGCAGCAAAGGGTGATATTATGATCGAGTCCTTGTCGATTTCCGCGAATCCTCCTGCGCCGTGAGTTCCAACAATTTTGAATTCCTTCTTGGTCAGGATATCTTCTGCGACCTTTGTATACTCTGGGTCTTGAGCAAGTAATGGCAATGGTTCATTGCCACGACAAAGTTGAGCGATAGTAAGAGCCATCGAATGCTGGATCATGCAGCCCATCACATTCTTCACCTCCAAGTTCTCATCCCAAACATCGTGCTGATTTTTTAGCCATTCAGGCGCGGTGCGGCAAAAATCACCGAGCCCGAAGCAGAGAACTTTCTTCACGGTGTTTGTACCGAGTACATCTTGTACCAAGGCTACCAAGAGCTTGCAGGTCTTGCTATTCTGCCACGATAATTGTTTCTCGTCAAAGATTTGCATAGGCTGTGCTATAAGCTCTCGAAAGTTTCGTGCAGTCTGATTGCTCCAATCCACAATGTAAGAGCATAGGTAAGTTTCGATTGGGCCGTTGGGTTGAGCCTTCACAAGTTGCCAGTATTCTTGGTATTTGACATGGGGTTTCCTAAGAAAATCTTAGATTGCAGGCTGAAATTGGTCAAAATACCATACCCACTTACCAGATAGGATTCTGTACTTGGAACATGGGATTGGAAATTTGGATTATGGTTCCATCGATTCGACGGATTGAAAATCGCTCCATAGCATAAGACTGGCGCAATTGTTGTTCTATGTCTTCGAGATCCTCTTTCGTCCAAAGCCTGATACCAGAACTGTACAGATCTGCGGCTCTCTGGCTACTGATCCGCCAATGCGTGCACCCGTAGTCGAGCGGTCCTAGTGTTTCTGGCATGGTCTCGTAGCTGCTGGTCGAGCAAGGGTGAGAGACAAACCATGTGGTCAGTTGCCGGGAGGGGAAAGCCCAGGATTGTTTGAAAAGGGGAGAAGTTTATTCGTGTACAAGGTTCGGAGTATAAAAGGCTAGGACTGAGCTGTGATACTCGATAGTTATTGTCTGTTTTTGTGTATGGGTACCCAATGTCGGATACAGTGACAACGTTTGCTTGGAGGGATCAAGAAAAAGTCAACCACCTTGGAAGCTTTGCTGTTGACAGCTTAACTAAGTAGTCAGTTATTACTAGGTAAAAGCCAAGGTGCAGTGGTCGGTGGAGGTCAGAGTGAAAGAAACGGGGCGGCACTGGGTGCAAGATAGAGGATTGGAAGGGAAGGGAAGAAGAAGAAATGAGATTGAAAAGGCGAGGTGAAGTCTCTTTTATGTTAAGGCTACGGAGGGGGAGGTTACGTGGCAGCGTGTCGGGGCGCTAATCCAACCAACCAGATGTAGTGACTCACAGGTGCGTAGTTTGATTAGTAAAACCCTTTGTCTGGTCTGGATATCGAGAATCCAGATGTATCAGTTCTCCACTATATGTATATTGGTGTAGTGTGTTGTGCAAAAGCATAAGTTGTCGCGCGGTTAGCCTCAGACTTAATCCACTGTCTAGATCAGTCTGACAAGTAATAGCCTCGGCCAGTCGGGTTGAGCATACGAACGGTTACTTGTAGAAGCGAGATCGATGATTGAGCAGCACTAAGAGCGCTAAATTGACGGGATTTAAATCAGCATTTACTTGTGAATAGGTGTTGCGTGTACTATGAACGCTGAGAAGCCAGACTCCTTGCGCCGCTCTCTTTGAGCAATGAACCTTCCTAATCCCATACCGTATCCTTATCCTTATCCAAGCCTGCCAGCGCCGTAGTATCCATCCATCTTGCGAAAGTACCCTCAGACATATGTAGCCAACAAGATATTACAGAAGATGATGATGTTCAGCATCATCATTACTAACTACACTCCCAACCTCAGACCAGCTGGCGGGCGTTGCGATACCTACTGAGTGCCCACCCAGGTCACTCAGGGTTCCATCAGAGGACAAATCATTGATACCATCGATGTGTCCGTAGCTTCCAGCAATCGATGGTGCGGACGAAACAGGATGCTGGAACTGGTTGTCCTGTCTAAAGTCGTCAAGCTCAGTAAGCAAGTCTTGGGGCTGGCCAAAGTTGGATTGCAAATCGGGGTGAGCATAGTAAACCTGGTCGTTGCCCTCGGTGTGGCTGGATGCTGCGACAGACACGGGTGTCTGTGCTCGTACGGGGGAGTCAGCGAAAGGATCAAATAGTAATTCGGATGGCACCTCGGAGGTTGGTGTAAACTGTATGATAGACTCCGAGGGATGGTTGGATGTCGTCTCTGAACGTATATCGAGATGGAGTTGGCTTTGTCCGGTACGCGGGCTATCGGCCTCGTTGGACATCATTCCTCGGTGAACTGGCTGGGAAACACCGGTATCCACCCCGGTAGAGTGACCGGCGGGGTTAGCATCCGACTGATCAAGGTCGCCACTCGAACTGCGAAGGTTTCCATCCACGTCTACAAGAGTGTCGAAGCTGCCAAGGTGTTGTTGAGAGTCCTTGCTCTTTCGGCGGGACCCCAGGAGAGTGGCCCGCCGCATTATTTCCGCCTTGGCAATGCGTCTGCGTTCTTCCGCTGCCTCTCCAACCTCTTCCGTCATGGATATATCTTCTCGAAGGGGAGAGGTCGAGTCACGCGGTTGAATCTCATCGCCCAGGTTGTGCAAGGCCAAGGCGATTTTACGTCGAGATGTGGTCACCCACTGTTGGAACTGCGGAGACTGGTAGACAGCGACTCCAGCTGCCACCAGGACGGAGACCGTCACAATAATCCCTATTGAACCCGTCAGACATGCCAAACTCCAGCGGGTGGGCTGATAAGATCGAGTACACCGCCCGGTTGATCACGATGAGTGTAGGACGAGGAAAGGATAAAGACAGACTGACCCTTTGCGATAGGAGCGGGCATATTGCGTGTAAACCCACTTCTGATGATGCGGTTCTTCTTTCTTCCCCTTTGAATTGGCTGCTCCTCACAAAAGAGGAAGGAAACTTGGAAGCGATACGATGATGCCTGGATCTTTCTTACATAAACCCCGCAGCACATGACGCCCCTCTACCCTTATCTCCGACCCTAAAAACACACCGCTTTGGGACGTGTTCCCCGCGCGTCTCCCGACTCTTAAAGCTTCATAGCTTCTTTTTTATCGGCGATTAAGCAACATCTCCTGCTAGCGGGGGCAATTGTGAAAATGGCCCACCAATCTGCGCAGTCCCGCCGGCCGCTGACTCTCACCGAAGAGCTCGAAAAGCTGGAACAGTCTATCACCCTGACACTCCAAGGTAAGTCGGGCGCAATAAACAAACCGGGTCCTCAAAGCTAATCAGTCTATTTACCCGCAGAAATCGATCACAACTTCAGTCAAGCTCACCGAATTGTGACGACGAGTATTCTACCTCTGGTGGAGCAGTATACGGAGCATTCTCGCGATGTTTGGGAAGGTGCAAAGGTACGTTGGATCTACGTCCAGGAGCTGATGCCCAACACGATCAACCGCACGGGGATTGACAAGCTACTCAGTTCTGGAAACAATTCTTTGAAGCAAGCGCCAATGTATCTCTGTCTGGATATGAGGAAAGACCCGATGGCGATGAGACAGTGCAAGAGACCACTGCAACCGAAGAAGAGCTATCCGCCGACGTAACCCAAAGCACAGACGTCGACGAGACCGACCAGTCATACGAAACACCCTCTTCGCGGCGCCAGGGTACCCATGCTGGCCATGGTGATGACATTGACCTTACCGAGCTCGCGATCTCCTCGCACAGTACTCCTCGTGGACCAGGCCAAACTGCGGACGAAGACATGACGATCTCTTCCATTGAACGTTCCTCCTCATACGAGAATTTGAGAAAGCAGATCAACGAAGCAAAGGCACCTTTCGATATGCCCGACTCATCAACACTTCCGTCCACCCCAGGGCGCCAACCTTTTTTCCCACCTGATGCCTCCGTCACCCCAATGTCGTCACCGTTCATTCCACCTGCGTCCTCAACAAAATATGCATATGCATCTGCAACACGTGGAGATTCTCAATACCAGAAGCCATCCGATCCCGTGCTTCATCGCGTCCTTGACAAAACTTACCGGGTCCAGGCAACTCCACTTGGCAAAGGATACCGCAATATCGGCCATGGCACCAGCACGCATTCCAAGTTCGCAGTAACACCAAAGGCTGCTGCTTCTACTTCTCGTTATGCCTTAGATGATTCCCCAATCTCCAGTCCCGAGCCTGAAGCGCCGCGGCTGCACTCGGAGATTTTCTCATCTCCCATCAAGGGTGTCCCCGACACTCCAGGGACGAATCGCAAACGACGCACCAGCAGCAACCGCGCTCGTGTCACACCAAAGCCAGGAACTAGTGTATTGACACCTGCTAAGAAGTATGGAGGCCATCAACCCGTGTGGGATAGTGATGATGATTTCGACGACGAGGACTTTGGCCCCAGCCCTCCGAAGACCATGCAGTTCCATATTCCGCAAAGCCGGCTAATGAAGACACCTGGTAAGTGACTATCTGTTTTGTTCACCTTGTTGATCTTTCCAATCTTCTTTACTAATCATCTCCTATAGCCAAGGAAGCTTCCAAGCGCATTGTCACCGATCTGCTGGAAACTGCAGGAGCGGGCGATCTCACCGATGATATTGACAATGACCAAAGCCCAAGTGTTATCAGGCGGACAGAGCGACTTGAAGATGATACATTCTAGGCTGTTTGGCCCCAGAGCTGGTCGCTCTCTTCAGGTCGATACTTTCTCAGTGTGTACTTTCAAGTTGGATATAGTTACATCAAATACCCACTCATAGAGCCATGAAAAATGCCCATTTATTTCTAGACAACAATTCAACTTAGTATAGCGGACACGGCAAAGCCGTTTTAGCAGATATATCGACCCATTTGTTGCAATCAGCATGATTATGGCACGATTTGAGTTGGTCTCCAACAAGACCCCTGTGACTCAATATCCCCTGCTGGTATTCGGCCCCATGACTTCAACACGATGACTCAATCCCGGGGCTCACTAACCTCCGAGCATCGCCAATTAGTTCAGCCCGAGCCTCACTCACTAGCACCAGGGTGGACCCATAAAGTCAAGCTTAAAACCTCACCTTGCGGACTTTACTTTTCTTTTCCTGATTTGCTCAGTCATTGACACTCTGTCCCAATCACTTCACACGGGGAAGCTCGCTATAACATGACACTACCAGTGTTGATCATCGGAGCTGGCCTGGGAGGTGTCTGCCTAGCCCAAGCGCTGAAAAAGAATAACATCCCATTCAGACTATTTGAACAAGACGAGAAAAGTACCTTCCGTGCTCAGGGATACAGACTAAGGGTCACCAAGCACGGCGTCGACGCACTGAAAGAGGCCCTGACACCGGAACTTTTCACTCTTTTTGAGAAAACCTGCGCCGATACACCCACCATTGGGGTTCGAATCAAACCTGATGGAACACATCTACCCTCTACCGGCGGCTTTGGGCCCCCACCTGGCGTTCATTCCAAATCTTACACAGTGGACCGGTCGACCTTCCGTGAAGCACTTCTGACAGGACTTGAAGAGCACGTTTTCTTCGGGAAAAGTCTCAAGCAGTACACCATCCACTCTGAAAAGGTCACCGCATTCTTTGCAGACGGATCCACGGAGGACGGATCTCTCTTGATTGGCGCCGATGGTGTTCGGTCTATGGTTCGCAAGCAGTACCTACCCTCGTTCCAAGGCATCGATACTGGCACACGAATCATCTTCGGAAAGACTCCATCTACCCCGGACTTCCTCGCTAAGCTTAAAGAAGAGTATCGGCATGGAATGAGTCTCGTGCTCGACCCGGAGGATGCGTCCCAGCCATTCGTTCTATTCGAGTCCATCAACTTTCCATACGCAGAGGAAATCACTGAGCCACAACTCCCAGATCCATACATGTACTGGGTCCTCTGCACGCAAATCTCGCAACTCCCCATCACTCGAGAAAAATCATGGCACATAAGCTCGCAGGAATCAGCAAATCTCTCGCGCGAGCTCACCAGGTCCTGGAGTCCATCACTCCGAGCTATCTTCGAGATGCAAAACTCAAGTCAATCAGCAATTAGATCGATCTTGTCTGCCATGCCGGAAATTGCGCCCTGGGAGCCTTCTAGTCGAGTCACTCTGCTCGGCGACGCTATTCATGTCATGCCTCCTACGGGTGCGATGGGTGCCAACACGGCTTTACGGGATGCGGCTGATCTTGCACGTCGGATTTCGTTGGCTGGTAGTGTTGACGGGGTAGACAAGGCTGTCATTGGAGATTATGAGGCTAGCTTGCGAGACTTTGCTAACACGGCCATTGAGCAGAGTTGGCAGGGGGGCATGAAGAGCTTTGGGTTGAAACCGGTTGAGCAATGTGAAATGATTGCGCTGTGATCATTAGAATACAAACCCTTGTAACATATTCATGAACAGTGAATCCATTCTCAGTTACCTAACATCTCCAATCTAGCGACCCGAACATGAAGTCCTTCAGTTCCTTGTCCTCTAGTTTATTGTCGATTATGTCCCAAAAGGGTATTTTGCCGTCACTCAAGAATGGCTCAAGCGATGATATGCGATTGCTAATTCGACGACACACTCATAATTTTCAGGGGCTTTGATCTTAGTTTTTTGTTAACCTTTTGCGCCATACCGTACCCTACTAGATAATTAGGTGTTAAAGTAACACTTCCGCGCTAGAAATTTTACCATACACTAGAGTATTTATTCTACCAGGCCAGTCAGTGATAGTTCCAATAACTAGTCAAAGGAATCCTCCTGTTGCCTAATAAGCTTCGAAATCTTACACGCTGGTTAAGTAGGAGAAGAGGAGAAAAGGAGACATTGGTGGAAGACGATGCTTTACTACCCTCAGCCATTGTCCAAGAAGGATACTAAGAAGTCATTAAGCGAGAGTTTCCAATTGTCTTTGCAAACTACAGCAAACGTTGATTATGACACGTTCATTAACGACCTAGAGGCGTGATAACCAATGCCCTGACCTCGACGCTTTCTCTTGGGCACTCCTGGATCGAGGGTACGAATATATCGTCCACGATATCACACGACGTGTGAAAGCACCCTAGTTACAATTTAGCTATTGCTCAAATATGGTGCTTTGAGATTAGTCCGTAAATACCTGCGCAGTCTTCTGCCTTGCTGCTGTCGTAACTGATGAATAGGAGAGCCTCGTCCAGGTCCTGGTCCTTAAACCAGAACCACTGGTGCTGAGTGGAATACGTCAGGAAAACAGATTCGCCAGCATATGTACTAGTAATGACATCGCATGGAATTATGTTGTCAGTTGTAATAGATAGTGGGTCGCAGAGCAGCAAAGGGGCCCTTTGGATTTTCCGGCGAATAGGCTTCCAAAAGCTAATATAAGGTAAGCCAGACGAATCTGCGGGAAAACACAGTACTGGAGAAACTAGGAAGAGAAATGTACTTTACAATCCGAATCCTGCAACTGTCCTTGGAGTATTGCTTCCGCTCGTCGGGACTGAGGAAGGTTTCTACTCGTTTCCGGCCGCTGGCAGTGGACTGGTCTTATCTATGAGTTAATTCCAGGTCCTACTTGATAGGGACAGGGGATACATACCTGCGTGAGGATTTCGAACTATAATTGACTGAGTTGGGCGATTTGAGAATGTATACTTTGCCTCCTCATTCTTTTGTTCTTCCATTCTGTACTGCGAGAATTTTAGAATACATTCTAGCGTGCGTTCAAGAAACCACATCTGATCTTACTGCATGATCATACACAATCACTTTGTCCGTTTTGAATTTATTTGCCAAGATCGCGTGAACGCCTTCCATTTCAAGTCTCTTGTCGTTATGGTCAAAGTGACGGGCCATGACTTCAGGTGGCAGTGTCAACAGTTCGAATCCATGACATTCTACCGAGAGCCTATCCCGCACAATCCGAGCATCTGCAGCCTTCAAAGTTATGCTCTCAAACTCGAGGTTGGAACGACCTGACTCGTCCGCAAGAGGGATGTCAAGGCCCAGGAGATATGGCTTCTCCCTATTGTACTTAGCCAAAGGCTTTAGGTACTCAATACGTACAGAGTACTGCTGGAGACCCTGGCGAATATGAAGTAGAGATGCCATGGGCTGCCAATGGAGCGTTCAACCTTGCGATGCCTGCCTCCAAAGTCGGGAAGGCAGGATAAATATTAGCCATGCAGTGCGGGTGCTATCTGAATAGTGGCCAGTGGTTCCTCAGCGATTACGAGAAGAGACTTGAGCCTGATGTATTGAGCTAATGCAATACAGATAGCATGGATACGTGTGGTCTCATAATAGGTCGGACTATCTGTGCTGAACCCTGGGAATAGGTGAGCTGGGGTATCAGCAGATGTGACCTGACTCGCGGCATGGCAAACAAGATGGCTTGCCGTATGAGGCTCTGGTGTCTGTAGTTGTGATTTATTACGCCCCTCTTTCTCCCCCTCTCTCCATTGATTCCCTCTGACGGATATTATCCTTAGCCCGAGAAATCAAACTAAGAACCCATTTCAAACCACTTCGAGGTATTCTGAAGAAATCTCAGCGGAACCCACAATGAAGACTCAGTCCGATAACGAAATGAGTTGCAAGGTGAGAGAATGTGCACCAAATGATTATAGTGCTATAGGGTTATTGACTCGACTTCTCTGCTAGGCTGGGGCGAGGGAGGACACCACTGGCGCGACCAAGCGCCCAGCCAACCCTCTCGCTGACTCTCGGGCGCAGCCATGGAAGAAGTTTGTGGCCATCCCAACCGAAACAAACGTGGTCACGTTTGGGAAAGATGAGAGTATCCGAATGATCGAGTCCCGTGTCGATGGAAAGAACTTGGGAGGCTAGACAGAAACGGTTGAATGCCTGCGGCGGTCTTTGAGTGACCCGATTAACCATTACCAAGACTACTGCCCCTGTTGTCTTTTCTTTCGTTTCTTGGTTATTTGCTGGAATGTGAACTTGGCTTGTCGCTCTCTACTTCCAAACTACACGGAATGAAGGTCGATTCCTTACCATGCACTCCAGATGAGATAAATGCTCATCAAATAAATGCCAACGTGAACAGTTAGCCGTATAGTGCAGAAAGGCAATTGATTCCCAGTAAATGTAGTTCTTGCAGCATACTATGTATTACTCCCGGCTTTCCTAGTCTCTGGTCCAGATGATCGAGCGGACTTCAATACTCTCTCGGCTCTGACCCGATCTAGGACCAGGCAAATCAAAGGCCGCGTGAGGTGTGCTGGCTTTTCATAAATCTTAGTCCTCAGTTACTCATAGCAAATTCGCAGCTTGAATCGTACCTTGGTGCCCCTGTCTGAACTTGAACGAGTCCCAAACCACAAAGAGTGTTAGTTCGTCGCGCTGCTGTTCTGGTAGCCACCACCACTCGTGCTCTTGTCTGTTCTTCAAGTACATGGCCTCGTCAACCCGATCCTTCAGTACTTGGTCGCACAATTCCCAGTCGACAGACTTAACCGAGCTCCAGTCACACAAAGCGAGGGGTTTTTCTAGAACTACTGGAACCAACGGTCTCCAAATGCTACCGATTATCAGATCTTATTCGCCTACGGCGAGCAAAACATTTCCACACTTACTTAATGATACGAAATCGTCCTTCGCCTGAATCGAAATCTTCTCTCTCCTCAACGGCGAGATGCTCACGGACAATCTTTTGTCCACAGAGGCCTGACTCATCTGGAACGAAACGTTAAGCCTGGACCGAGAGATCTAATCGTGAAGCAGTGGGCTAGAAAAACCTGCATGAACCCAAGATGCTGGTGGCAGCTGGATGAACCTGTCTGCCGTTCGTGGCCATGTCGCATCGGGGAGTGTGCTTCGGATCTATAGAGCTCAAGTTAATACTGATAAGACAGCGGGCTTGGGACAAGTGAAGCTACCCTCCAGTCATATAGAATGACTTTGTCCGCCTTCAGATGCTGCTGCAGAAACACTTGGAGAGGCTTTAGATAGGATTGCAGAGCCGCATCTCCACCAGATTGCTTGATAGAGTTGATAGTAATCTGGTCATCAAACGAGTGATTCACGAATTCGAATCCATTCTTATCAAGACTAAATTGTTCGCGCCCATGAAACCTGACGTCCTTAACGGGAATACCATCGCACAGCGCAAATTTCATGTTTGTCTTCGGCCGACCAGGCTGAGTGTCAATAAAGATTTCGTATGGCTTCTCACCGACAAATTGCTTGGGGTTAGATAAGTGGCCAATGGCCGCATGGACGGATCGGTCTTGAAGATCCATACTTGAACTGTGTCAAATACTAGCAAAAATGAATATGGAGCAGTGGAATAGCAACTCTTATATTTGAATATTATAGACTGGAAATTTATATTATAGTATTCTACTAAGTTACCATTTTCTTGGCTTCTTACTAATAGATTATAAGTAAGTCTCTTATTACTCCGAGCGCTGCGTTCGAAGTGGGCTTCTTACCCAATCTCTGTGAGATACACATCAAAAACTTGTCTCTACTTTGATCATTCAGTATTTTAGGTAATAACATGTACGATAGTACTGATCATTTTGCCAACGTGGAACTGCTAATGTATTCCGGGTGGCCTGGTCGTATGCTGCACGAATCACAGCCCATCTGCATGTCGCCGGAATATGCGACCATCCACGTCACCCTTTGACCTTGAACTGGTGCCTCTGATTGGGTATAGACCAGGGTCCAATTGAGGTCATTTCAGGCGGCACAAGAGATAATACTAGTCGGTTTGCCAAGGTGGAACTGCTAAGGTATTCTGCAGATGTGTTCCAGGTGACCTAGCCGTATGCTGCACGAGTCACAGCCCATCTGCACGCCGGAATATGCGGCCCCCCACGCCACCCTTTGACCTTCAAAAACCGGAGCCTCTGGTTTGGTACTACATAGACCGGAATACGCCCGCGGTATCTTACTCCTAAGGAGAAGCGTACAATATCTGATGAGAGGGGATGAGGCTATGGCTAGTAATCTCCCTAAGGGTAACTGTGTAATGGTGGCTAGAATAATTGTTAGCCCACCTAACCGGTGTGGCCCCCAGCAGGTATATATTTCTCCCCTTATAAAATAATTATAAACGAATAAATGTGCCATACATAGACCGGAAGCAGGACGAGGTCGTCCCCCACGGCACGACCGACATGGGTAACCGATGTTGGGTTACTGTTTTATATAGCCCGAGCATTTACCCCGCCCACAAGATACCGGCATGACTCTTGCGTGTGTCACTGGCGGGGCACGGTTGAGGATATCAGCCATATCTCGAGTTCTAAATTCTAGATTGTGCCACGGAGCCGCAGCTCATTTTGTTCACAAAGACGCTCGCTGTGTATTCATGCAGGACAGCCCTCTGCGGATTCATTACACTAAACGAGGTCGTGTCCTCTCCAGCCATGCGATGATTTGTTTATTGCACACACTCTTTTCCTTCATCGAATGACTTATGTGATCCAATTGAAATTTAGATTTCCCTTCACCCTCCCCCAATACGCGAGTACCATGATGCGAGGGACTCAGGATTCCTCGGATGTCTCATCCAGCATCCAGTCGTTGAGCATTAGAGCCCCGGGGCCAGAAGCGACGGCAAGAGCCGAGATGTAGGATTAGCCGCAGTCGATAAGAGAATCAAGCAGCAACTCACTGACACCTATGATGTATCAAGGAAAGAAAGATGGGAGGACGCACTAAAGCACTGCGAGGCGGAGCTTTCCAAAGAGGACTTTCAGTTGATCGTCAAGTTCAAGTCGCCAGAGGAACTCATCAAAGCTGTGGACAATATGATTACCGAAACTCAGAATGCCAGTGTACCGCGGATCCTCCGACAATTCAAGCCTCATCTCAGCCAGATTCAGAATTTTGTTCTCGGTATTCTCGCGTCTGTCACACTTCCAGTGGTTGAGACAGTCTGCATCTGGGGACTCATATCCCTCGTGCTTCAGGTACGGGACCTCCGTCAAGCCAGACCTCATCTCTGCTGACAAGTCCATTTTAAGCTAGCCCAGAGGTCGCAGGAGGTCCTTGAGACTGTTACCGGTATGTGGGTTGAGATTGGAAACAGTCTTCAGATATTCGATGTCTATAAGGACCTCATAGTGGAGGACATGTCATTAGGCCTCGCGCTGGTTGAAACACACGAGGAACTTCTGAAGTTCGCAGTGGCTACAATAAAAACACTTCGACATGTCAGGTCTGGTCGATCTGGTTAGTTTATTTTTTTTTTCTGTGAAGCCTGTCCTGTCAAGCCACTAATTGCGAATAGATATCAGTCCGCTGGTTAGAGACTGCCAAAACAGCTTTGGCAAGACATCGCACTTCATCTCCCATCGAATACACATCATCAAGGAGAAGGCTCAGGCAAAAGCCATTACCAAGGGTCAGGAGCAAACACACCAATTTGAGATCCTGAACTACCTGGCCAGTCAGTCCGGGGCGCAGTTGGGCACAATGGAGGAAGCTGAACTTGCGAAGTTGCCTTCTTACTACATTCCATTTTCGAGGAACCCCAAGTTCTATGGTAGAAATGACATCCTTGGCAAGATGACAGCCGAGTTCTCCAAAGACCGAGCTAAGGGACAACCACTGTCCGTCGCCCTGTGGGCAACAGCGGGAGTCGGAAAGACCCAGATTGCTCTTGAATATGCGGCGCGGCAACGGCAACGCGGGATAAAAGCCATCTTTTGGATTGATGCCGAGAAGGAGTCTGAGCGTATCAAGGCATTCAATGATATTGCCCATTTATTGGAGCTTCCAGGTGCATCTACACCCAGGGACTCAGAACAAAACCGCCTCATTGTGCAACGCTGGCTGCAGGAAACGAGTAAGAGAAAACATTCCGTCTTCTAGATATTTGCTTGTTACTCCATGTTGACTGGCTTCTCTCAGAAACACCATGGCTCTTCATAATCGATAATCTTGAAGATCAAGAAAGCATTCAGGCCCATGAGATCATGGAGTCTATTTGTCCCACCTACGGTTGTGGCGAAATACTTGTAACGTGCCGCAGCGAGCTGGTAGCGGCTTCTGCTGCCGTCAGCAGCATCGAAGTTCCTGCGTTCACGAATGAGGAAGGGGCCGAACTTATGCTGAAGCTGCTGGATCGTGGAACCTATTCCGACGCCGATAGGTCCTCCTCTGTAGAGCTAGCAGATCTCCTGGGTGGCCATGCGTTGACCCTGGATGTCATGGCGAGGAATATTGTTGCCAGAAAGAAGCAGTTGCCTGAGTTTGTCCGTGTCTACAAGGAAAAACCGCGGTCACTACACATGAAGCCGAGGAAAAAAATTGTCAATCGATATTACAAACGTGAAGATGACCCTGAGTCTCTTTGGGCTATCCCGTTCAGCCAGCTGCGCTCAGACGAGGCTGAAGTTTTAGGAATTCTATCCATGTGCGGACCAAACAAATTCCCGTCTTCAGTCCTTGTCCCAGAGACTAGTGCTCCCGAAGCATTCAATATAGATCAAGATGAGTGAGTTCAAAATTATGCCTGTTTATAAAAAAGACACGCACAAAAGCTGATCAAATGTGCAACAGAATGGAAGAACTTATTCTTGCCTTGCGGGGACTGTCCCTCGTCAATATCGACAGCACTGGGGAATTGATATCCGTCCACAGAATGATCCAAGGTGAATATCGGTATCACCTCGGCGCTGAGAAAAGAGCCGAGAGATGGCATCATGCCGGGATGCTCCTCCGGGCCGCGTTTCCGCGGCAAACGAATGGCTCGGCGTTGTTCAACCAATGGCCCCTCTGCGAAAGCCTTATTGAGCACGTCCTGGTTTTTGCAGCAAGATACAGAGAGCTCGATGATGAAGCTAAGATACCATTCTGGGAAGATTTCGTTTACCTCCTAGCCGACGCGGCCAAGTAAAGTCACCGCAATCCTTCTTCCAGCACCCCTTCTCACCTCTTCTTAAATCCAGATACCTTGTTGAATGCGGCCGGTACAACGCTTGTCAGGAAGTCATAAACCATGGGTTCCACCATTGCGCCGGCAGACAACCCATCCCGTATACCAATCTCTGCGTGAACATGGGCCACGTCCTCTGCGAGCGTGGCCGGGACAAGTCGGCACGCAGTTACAACGACATCGTCCTTAGCGTGCGGGAGAAGGCATTTGACCCGATGCACCCCGAGGTTGCCAACAGCTTAAGCAATGCGGCTCTCTCAATGGTGGGCTGCGGCGTGGACCTGGAAAAGGCGCTGGAGATGCTCGAGCGTAGTCTACGGATCGATCTCGCCCAGCCTCGAGAAATTCACCGCAAGGTTCTCCATCTGCGTCATTTCAACCTCGGGTTTGCCTTGCGGGCGCTGGGGCGGTATGAAGACTCGAAAATTCACGTCGACGAGGCTTCTGCCTACGTGCGAGCTGAATTCGGGGAGAATTCACGTTACCTTACAATGTGGGTCATTCATTCCGGCTTTTATAACGTGAAGCAAGTCATCTGACTGACGGCGGGCAAGCAATAGATCTTATCGCATGTATGCAGACTTTGCACTACGGGAGAACAAACTTAATGAAGCCTTTATCAATGCAACAAAGGCTCTCGACATTGCGAAGTTGGAAGGCGCCACAACGGTATGGGTAGCCGCGGCGCTGTTCTACCTCGGCGATATAAAATGCAGTCAGGGGAAAGGGAGCGAAGCCATGTAAGCCAGTCTTCATATTTCCCATTCTTGGGTGTTGTGCTGGTTCTAATTATTGGGGCCCCCCAAAAAAAGAGAGTTTCTTGATCAGGCAAGAGTGATTACCCAACTCAATAGGCGAGAAAAGAGCGACGCAGGAGAATATGCTCGAGTGATCCACAAACTGGCCCAGGCGTATGGACTCACCGGGGATGTCGATAAAGCGAGCGCCTTGAGCCAGGAGGCCGACGGCATTTACCAGACTCTGATCGAAACTGGTGAGTATACAAAGTCGGACGACGAGAGGGAGAAGTGGGATTACCTCATTTGTCTCAAGTTTCGATAATTGCAATCAAAACGGGCCTAGGACAAATTGGCTAGCTGTGGAGGTGGCTTCCGTTGGGGGAATGTGGCTTCCCAGGCACTCATAACTTTCACCAAGAGATCGTCCTGGTTTTTTCTTGCAATGGCTGAAACTGAAAAAGGTCGACCGTTGTATTCCAGATATCCTAGTGGCATCGCGCAGAGTGGGTATCCTTTCAGTTGCAGTCAGGTTAGCAAGTAGGAAAAAGTTGTTTCCTTTCGTTCCCACCTGGACTATCCGGATCTTACTTACCTCCACCTGTTGCCATAGATGTGAGACCACTGTCCGTAGGTCCGATGATGACATCGACGCCGTAGGTCGTGAGTACTCGTTCCACTCCTTCCTCTCTTGCTACTCGTCTGAGATGTGCCAGGTGGCGTTCGTACTCCTCTGGTGATGTGTTCTGATTCTGTGACTTGATGAAGGTGTCTTGCCTTGGATGGTCTGAGCGCATTGTAAGCCAAACATATGACTGCGTGAGAGGAGTTGTCAGAAGTCAGGATATGCATACGTGGTGGCATTTCTACGTCGGCATGTTGGATATTGTATTCAATCAGGTCCGCGAGGGACCGCACTTCACTCTCTTCAAGGCCTTCAAGATAGGCTGTGAGACTTCGTTTCATATCGGCCACTGGAAAAAGAATCAGTTTCACAGGTCGTGTCAAGCATTCCCAAGAAAGACGCACGCGTGATCACCTCTTCGCTGTTCTCGCCATCAACAGTGAACTCGTCAGGCGAGATCAAGTCAACGTTGTCGACAAACTTCTTTGCCTTGGACTTAATGATGTCGTATGCTTCACGGATCTCCCGAATCTGTTGGTGTATCGTATCAGCCGTCACCTGCTATCAACTAAACAAACAGAGACGTGAGTGGTTCACGTACTATCTGAGCCTCAGCTCCGTCAACGGGTTTGACCCATGCTGCAGGAAACCTCCATTGTTCAGGGTCGAGGACTGCCACTGAAATGTCAGACCATGACCCAGTAAGATTAGCTGTGAAAGACTCCGAGGGATCCCTCGAGGCAAGAACATCCAGAAGAGCGGCCAGGTCGTAAGTAGACTTGGTCATGGGTCCAGCCGAGTCGAAGTGGCTGGAAATAGGCACAATGCCCTCTTGGGGAACGAGGCCGATTGTCGGTTTGATGGTGTACAGAGCCGCTCGACCAGCAGGACAAACAAGCGACCCGTCTGTCTCAGTGCCAATTGCAAGCGGCGCGTATCCAGCTGAAACGCCTACAGCGGAACCCGAAGAAGAGCCGGAGGGGCTCTTGGGAATTGTTAGCATTTTTAGTTGCCCCGTATTGTACTAGATGAGCAGAAAAGCTTACAGAGTGGCCATCCTTAGAGTCATCCGGGTCAACTCCTCCACGGACATAAGCGGATTGAGTCTGGTCGCCGACAGCGGACCAGCCACTTGGCATATTGGAGCCTCTGTTTCATTTTTAGAACCATGCAATTCCTGGTGAGGTTAAGGCAAGGATAGAGAGAGTAAGGTGGCCATTTACCGGGAATTGGCAAATTCCTAAACCAAGATTAGGAGATAGACGAGACAAATACCAATGCTCGGGATATAGATACTCACGCTCAAATTGGACTTCCCCAAGATTATGAGGCCCGCAGCGATCAACTGGGCAGTTGTTAGCATCTGCCTCAGTTCTATTCGTTTCCCTGCCCCTGGGCAACCATCAAACATACTTGATCAATAATCTTCGCGTTGTTTCGAGGCTTGGAGCTCAACAGCGCAAAGCTTCCGGCACTGGTCGGGAGTCCGAAGTTTGGGTGAGTGGCAACGTTATCCTAGTGATATAAGACAGGCAGTGGAGGAGGATACGTCAGGGAGCCTGCTCACCTTGATAATAATGGGAATTCCGTGCAGTGGCCCGCGTGTCTTGCCAGCGGCTCGCTCCTGGTCAAGCAGTTTGGCTCTGGCCTCAAGCAGGTCGTTCGGTGTCATCTGAATCATGGCGTGAAGCTTGCTATCATGTCGCTGGATTTGGGCCAGATATTGTTTGACGAGGTCAAGGCTCGTTACGTCGCCACGTTCGAAAGACCTCTGTAAGCCTTTGGCATCAATTGTAAGAACATCTACGACCTTCCCACTATTTGCCCCCAAGGTGCGCATGAGACCCTCAGAGGAGGACTGTTCCATCCATCGTCTCATGATTACCTTGTAGGTAACAACAAACGCTAATGCAAAGGGGATGAGCTTCAGAAGAAAAACAAAAAAGGGTCGGAAGGCCATCGGAAGGATGCTAAAATTCGAGGTCAGCGCGACCGGTGATAGCAAATCGATATCAGCTAGACTAACGTCAGACAGTAAATAGCCAGAGAAGCAAACCAAGAAAGGCACATGCCGCTTCGAGCTTCCACCGAGTATTACCAAACCTTCTTAGAGTGACAGAAGTGAGAGGGGAAGCGGCTGAAGTTCTTCGGGAGGGGGTAACGATCGGGGGACAGGGATATGGTCGCATGTAATCACCAGGTCACTGTAATGTACCCAGTTTATGCACAATGGTCTGCCCGAGAGGTGTGATGGGCATACTGTCTCTGCATGCAGATCAATATTAGTGAGTTATATATGCATGCCGAGCGACACGCTGCTTTTTCCACACCCGGGTGAAACGAGGCTGAGCAGCACCACTGTGAACCCGCCAGTTTGTTGGGTTCCCGGGGCGCAAGAGCACAGACACGACCTATGACAAGTTGCAGCCCTTCGGCGGCTGAAATTAATTCACCCAGGGAGTGGCCGCTCGTATGTCTCTCCTTGACTGTCGACGAGGCTTCCAATAATAGGAGGCTATCCTATCTTCAACAGCGTCATTTTTTTCCTTTGCCCTCGTGGTAGTTACAGCCTGCTCTGCTAGGTCCTTAATAATCCCTACCTTTGGGACCGCGTTTGGTTCCCTCGTCGCTGTAAAGAGCTTTTATGTGTCTAACCAAGAGCAGAGGCCCCTTGTGAAGTAGCCCCTGATCAGCTTCTTGCCAGTACGTATAGACTTGGCCAAACAAAGAACGAGGTACCGCCCGCAACAGATCGACCTTACCCGGTTTAGCCCATAACTGCGGTTGCTTAATATATTTCGCTTCTCCTACGTAAACTAACGCCCTCAAGTAGGCCATTGCTAATACACCTAGTCTCTGCAGCGATGAAGGTCGAAGCACCCAATAACGATAATTTCACGAGCGTCAGCGCGGTCAAGGAGTTGCCTGCTGTCTCTCCGGACTGGGTAGGGCTAACAAGAGCCATCTCCGGATGCCCTTTCGGTCATGAAAAAGACTCAGCATTAGTTCTGTCACACTTGATCTCAAGAGCTGCGACTGGCGACGTTCAGGGGAGATTCTTGCAACACTTGAATCCGGACTTCTTTCCGAGCCAGAACATCATTTCCAGAATTGTACAAGCACTCGTGTCAATTGCCAACATCCTTAGAACAGATGCCGACGTCTCTATCATTTTTATCGACAACCAGCTGGTTCGAGAAAATGTGTTTTTGGGAGATACCGAAGAGGATGCCGGCCAACGCTTGAGCCGTGCGGGTTTGATATTCATGGCAATTGGATGGATAACGAATCTGTTCGATCCCGTAACATCCTCTTCATCCTCACCTGACGGTACTCTTGCCATCAAAACCGAACTTGCGACCTGTTTCGAGACATCCACTGTCAGTTCGACTCTCACTAGCAGACCAATTGTTGAGATGATTCGTCATTTTGGAGACCTTCTTCCTACACGGCGACCGGACCAGCTCGAGAGCAACCAAAGGGGCTTTGGCAATCGAGAAGCTAAAGGGGCCATTTCCGAGACACTCCAAGTCGCGAGTATCAATGTCTCTAGCCTAGAGCGAATCGGCGGGATCAAGATTGAATGGACCAGCTCCCTAAGTAGCCATCTCGACTTCGACCCGGCGCGCTTTGATACAATTTCCGGAAATGTTGTTCCCGTTCTCAAAATATTTCGGTATCCGAGTCTATGCTATCAACATGCGCCCGACTCTTCAGTCCTACAGAAGTAAGAACTCGTAACACTCTAAGCCTAGAGCCTCCTGCTAACAGTCACAGGCTATTGGCGAACTGGTATGACGAGCACACAAAGCCACCTGGGTTCTCGGCAAATGGGCTGATACAAGAGATATTGATCTCTTACAAAGCCCTCGTGCTCTTTGACCGCAACGCACGCAAGCTCTACCGTAACACCCTTCGAAGAAGCTTGCTGGGAGACCTGTTCGATCGTGAGCTTGATGCACTCTGCCTAGCGCAGGTGCGATACTGGTATCAGGAATACTCTAAGAACCCTCCATTTCCCATCCGTGAAACCTTTTATGCGACCTCTGATTTTCCAATATTTTCGGCCCGCCTCTTGCATCTCGAAAATTTCATCGATAGCATCCAGCCTAACCGGATCTCGTCCCTTTGGAAGGACAAAAGGGATATTCTTCGATGGTACACATTTTGGGCCGTTGTGATCCTAGGAGCCTTGAACCTTGTCATAGCCCTGGCCCAGGTTGGGCTAGCAGCGGCCCAGGTTGAGCTATCAAGACAGGCGCTGAAACCTGGTGGGTAGGGACAGATAGTACTCTTTAACTTCAACTCACGCATTGCTCTTCTAAGCCATTCGTACTGTTGTATACAGACAACATAGTACCTTGATTCGCCTTAAACACTTCTAAAAGTCCATTACTTGACACCCCCCCCCCCCCCCCCCCCTTTCACTTCCTCATTACTCGACCGTCTGGCTGTATCTTAGACAGTACAATGATGCGGAGCTCGAGGCTCTCTCGATTAAGTCCGACCCCATCCCAATTTGGGTGCTGGAACGCGGCATGAAATGTGAGACCTAAGAGATCAGAATGTGAGTAAGAGACCCCAAAATGCCATCATGGGAGGTTTAGAAGTCCAGTATAATTCCCGGCTTACCTCGGAAGTTCTGATCAGAAGAATCCCAACTCTGGAACAAGCTAAGTTCATCCGATGTCTGTTTTGAAACCCACTGCCATTCGTGCTTGTCACTTCGCTTTAGAAAGGTCCCTTCTCCGCCAGTGCTACCATCAACTCTGTCGTAAAGGATACAGTCCTCTGCAAGAACAGTGCTCGGCCGGCAGTAAGCAAGTGGACAGTCATTGACCACTGGCACCAACGGGCGCCAGCAACTAGGCATAGCAAATATTCTCAGAATTGTGTCGGGCAGAAGACTCTCGTCAATGGACTTACTTGATCACCCTAGCTCTCCATTCTTTACTTTCGACCATGGCAAGCTCAGATGCCGACAGGTACGCTCTTAGCGTCATCCAGCCGCCCTGGGGAGACAAATCTGCGAAAAGAGGGCGTCAGGCATGCTTGCGTGTGGGAGGCCCAAAGTCATGCTCATACATACCTGAGTGAGCTTTGTAGGCCGGTTCAATGGGTAGGTCTCTGGCATAACTCTTGTCCTCACATAGGTCGATAGAATCCTCTGGGGATGCTTTTCGGAACTATAATAAGGGTTACAAAATAGACCAAACCGTCAACTGACATAACGGTAGAAGACTAGAAGACGATTGACCAACAGAGGCTACGGGTCCACATACTCTCCAGTCAATACAAATCGCCTTCTCGGCGCCCAGAAGAGTCTTTGTAATATCAGTGACCTCTTGAACGTAGGTAAGAAGATCCTTCGGGGGTGTTTTTTTCCTATTGCTGTTGTAATGAGGTTAGGGAATCGAAGCGGGTGGGGCAGGATGAAGAATCCGTGATCGTCTAGCGACAGGAGAGGCAAATTCGGACGCATGTCAATGATAGGGACCGTGTGGCTAGATGAAAAGGTACAATTTGTCGTTGGGAATGTTCCATCGCTTGGCAATAAGGACATGTAGGGCTTCTCGTTGATGAAGTCTTTGTCGTTGTCAATGAATGAAATTCTGGCTGCGACTACGTCCTGAGCTGGGGAATACCGTTCAGCGGTCATAGTGGCACTTCAGTGAAACTTGCTTTGCCCAGAAAAAATTGAACAAGCTGGGCAGTCGGTACCCGTCTATACGTGGGAAAATGGCCTTTTGGTCAACTTGATTCAGATCCGATGAGGTCTACTTATATTCAGGGTGGGTTAGGCCAAAGCGGAGAAATGCATTTCACCCGGGTCGCGCACCTTAAGTCTGACTATATGTTCACCCTTCTCAGCCCCAGTGGAAATCAGGTAAGCTAGCCCCACGTTCCAACACACGGGAATGGTCACGAGGATATCTACTTGTAGAGTACTCAAGGATTTATAACTGCCCTGGTGTCAAAGAATAGCGGTTAAAGCAGGGGCAGAAATAATCAAGGACCGCATCCCGTTTCTACTTTGTTATTAGCTCTAGTCTGCCGGTTCCTTCAATTTTAACGGATATTGAAATACCATTTCTTTACTCAGGTCAGGCTTAGTGTGCAGTTTTGCTCAAATCAGGTCCAATGAGTGCCCAATCAACTTGATCACGTAACGATCACTGAGCAGTCTATCGTACTTAATTCTAGATATTCAACGAGCAAAAGCGGCGACGGGATGAGAACCAAAACGGAAGGAAACAAGGATTGCCAAATGTTAGCCAAGCGAAACGGGGCGCCGACTGCGAGATTAGCCAGCCAAGGGGAGGGCCCCCGCCGGGCACCCCGGTGGGATGACAGTATGAGGTCACGTGATCGCCAAGTGGGCGGGGCGGGACCCACTCTTAGTATTTAGACTCTGTTCGCCCTGTAGGTATTCTAGCTTCTTCGCATGTCAATCTTTTCAGTGTACCCATACTATCGTACCTCTACCCTCCCAACATTATTATTTTTATTTTTTGATTTATTTTCAACCTTGAGCGCTAAGCTAGGGTGTCATGTCTGAAAATATGAATGTCTTCTATGACGACTCGTGGGCTGCTGAGCCGTGGCGCTCATCAGAATTTCCACCCGATGAAACCCCGCGAATGAGAAGCAGTCGAGTCAAGCAAAAGCTAGGATAGGATAACGCCTGGAAAGACTAGGTTCCTTGATTCTTCCTGTTTCAGTCTACTAAAACTAGAGGTTAGCTGTAGGGGTATATTATACATCGCGCGAGCTTTATAGGTACTTATGATTAAGACTAGGCGGCTGCGATTGAGAAGCTTGATCGGTACTGCTACGCTAATATAGATTGGCCTATTGACTAGTAGCGGGGACAGTTTTAGTGTCGGCCTAATATCCACGACTTATTCACGAGGGCTATCGAAATATAGTTGTTCAGGGTCCGAACTTAGAAGGCGCCTCAGTAGCCTTTATTCGCAAACGATATATCCAGTGGGTTAAAGAGCGGGGGTTCGATCTTCTTCTCGGAATACCTCGGTTTGACTACTGCCTGTTTTTAGATAGCCGTGCGATCCGGTCAATTTTAGCGAGCTCGGAGCCAGGAATCGGCCTAGTTAGGTATGTTAACGTGATCGACTGTGATTTTAATCCAAATAACCCGGAAAATGAGTGTTCTGAGCACTATGATGGTTCGCTTAGGATTTGCCTAGAAGATTTCTTCCGATTTACTTTATCTTGTAAGGATCTCACTACTAGAGAACAACAATAGGGAGACTAGGGCTGGGAACGCCTAGGGAGGGTCATTTATACTGACGGGTATTGTTCGATAGTTGAGGAGCAAGACGTCTTCCTTTGCCCGTCCAACTACAATTTTTACTCCCGCTTTTGCTATCCCGAACTTCCGAGAGAAAAACCTGTTACGGAGTCTGAATATATTGAGCTTCAGAAATCTACCGCCTAAGATAGTCGATCTAATTAAATCCTGCTGAATATTGAACAAAATAACAAGTCCGATCCTGAATCTTAAATTTGCAGATGTGTCATCCGTGGATTCAGTCTAACATTCCCTAAGCCATTATAAAATATGCTGTAGAAGGTCCCTATCTGCAGACTAAGTGAGTCTCTCGGGCTTGAGATCATTCATGTAAATTTCCCCCACGTGGTTCTCCAGCTCTTTCAGTGCATTGCGGAGCTCCAAATCGTGCGCCCATCTAGTACGCATCTCCGTCATCGCCATATTGACAACAAAATTATGACCAGTCGCTATCATTGACTTTTTTGTCTGCTTCAAAAACCGATCCCAACAGTCCACAAGATCGACATCTATGCCTTTCTGATATTTATATGCCTTTGTAGCGCGGTTGTCTCGGTGCGAATACCATCATTGACCATTGTGAACCGTTTCAAGACGTTCGGTTCGGCATGTGAAAATATCCCCCGCGTGAAGGGAGGGTGGGAAGAGGGGGAACATTTACGAGGATATACGTCGCTAAAGGGTTGAGATATAAGAGATATCTTTTTTTAAGTAGGTTATGAAAAATGATCTATAAAAGCAACTCGACCTTTCTTTCAAGAGCATTGGAAAGGGCAAATATAGCAGGACCCGGGCAGGACCCGGTTGTGCGAATTGTATTGAACATCCCCTGGTATGTGGTGTAGAACGTGAAATATTCTCTATTGGGCAAATTCGCTCTATCTACGCTCAATGAACATGTCACTGTTTGGTATCAAAATCCTGGACCAGGCATCCGCCTAAACCTTGACGCCTCGTTCCAGGTATGCTCTTTGATCAGATTCCGACGGTGTTGTGCCGCCTCCTCCATTCACATCGGCCAGTCATCTGTTCTACGGAAGATCTCATCCACGAGTTCACGAGGCAGTCCCGCCGTAGCAAGAGCCTTACCCGCTTCCTGCGTCCACCAGTGATGCTGCTGTGGCGGCACATTTCGAGTCGAACATATGCGGTAGTGTGGATCAATCAGATACATCTTGATTGAGCGATAATGCCCGGGGAGAGTCGCATCCATCAGCTGAAACGGTTCGACCCGGTACTCCAACACGCTTGGAAACGTGATTAATCGACCTTGTGGAGTTACGACGGACCCGATGTCCTGGTATGATAACATCCCGTGATAATCGCTGGGGAGGTGAAAAGCGTTCTCGAATCCCAGAATACTTCCTACTGCCCAGAGCTCTTCCGCGTAATTTTTGCCACATCGGTGGGCTCGTAAAGTGCGGGGATCATAGTCCCTTGTGGTATATAGTTCCTCGGCGATTTGGTAGAAGTCTCCAAAGAGGGTCGTGTTCTGTCGGAATGAGATCTTGGGGAAGGTGGTGTTTGAAACGTCGTAGGCGAAAACGGCGACGGCGGCGATGTGTTCGTTTAGTTGGCCGTCGAGCTGCCAAGAGTCGTTGGTGTATGTGGGATTCTGGGGGGTGAGTTCGACGTTCTCCATCTCCACCGTGATTTGCAGGCCTTGCTTGCGGAAGGTGTCTTGGAGAGAGATCGTGTAGGGGGTGTGTGGAGGAGTAAGAGGCTCGAAGGACCGCTGGTTCGGATGCCGGTCATTTCGGTGACGAACGATGTCGATGATGGCTTTATCGTTGGGTCGATTGGTCTTCCACTCCTCGTACGAAAAAGCGGTTCCCGGTTCTGGATGTTTGAAGCGTAGCAGACGCTTTAATTTCTGTTCAATGCTCCGCTACGGCTTGGAGTCATCCTCCATCCAGTCATCTAGGGCCGCGATAGGGCTTTTTGAGCCGTCCTCTGGGAGTTCTAGATACTCCTTGGCTCTTTTCCAGAGGTCCGAGTCCGGCGGAGGCAGCTTCTTGTCTAGGTTGTCTGGCACGTCTCATAGCCCATAGAGCTGCCCTTGCGCGTGGCGGTGCTTTCTTCTACCCTTCCTCGTTTGGTCATCCTTGTTGCTCTGTAGCGCTTCTTGGAATTCGTGGTACATTTTTCTCCTGTATTTGGTGGGTACTCTGAAGGCGAGCGCCTATTCGGGAAACTCATTCTCCTATTCGGCCCCGTAGGTGATGATTCGTAGGGGAACCGGCCACAACTGCCCCTGATTGTCTTCATTATCCCAGCCACTCTGTCCCTTCACCAAACAATCATTCTATGGCTTTATTGTTATGGAGATGAGTTTCTCAATGGTCTGGTATAGACCCTTAGGTGCCGGGTGCAGGTTGTTGATGTACGAGGTGATCTGCACCTCCGTCCCGAAGTCGTGGAGAAATTCCACCTCGCATGGAAGGTATTGGTAGTTGGAACTCCAGTGGTAGAACTTGGACTTGTCACCATGGGGAGGGCCGATACCCCAGCATGGACTGCCTAATCTCTCTATTTTCCCCTGCAAGTACTGGGAATTAGTCCGTCGATCGTAAGGCTTGGGCGTAACCTTCACATCTCGATAGGAGCCCAGCACGTTGTCGAGGTCCACTTGTCCTCCTTCCGTCAAGACCAGGCTTCGGCATAAACCAAGGGAAATAACAACGGGTCAACCACAATCAACACGGTTTCGGACAGCCAATCTAAGATCCGTCGTTCCTGCTGCTCCGCCAATACAGCCGGAACGGACCCTCTAAACGCAGCACTGAGAGAGTTGAGAGTCTCCGTATCTGCTTTGCACACGCAGGATCTAGTATTAAGTGACACGAATATGGATCTGGCGATTTTCGCAGAGATAAACCGCTTTATCGCGCAGCTCTTTAACGCACCATTTCCACGCCTTTTCGCTCATCAGTGGGGTTGTGTCAAAGGTCTCTTGTTTCCATTCCGCGACAACCTCCATCGTCGAAAATCTTCATATACCACGCAGGCCGATCAGTGAGATGGTTCATCACGGCGACCATGGTTAGCTCGCGGGCCGTGACTGCGGGGGCCTGTCGCCACTTCACCACTCCGTGCGCAAAACGGGCGTTGGAAGGGAGTTCATAGTGGACCGGGATGTCTGCGAACCCTAGGACTCGGAGCGGACCGTGGCCCGTGTTGTCGAGTGCGATGTGAACTTGCTCTGTCGTTTCACTCATGAGGAGGAATTTGGTCTGGTTGGAGCGTTGATATCCTCAAGGGGGGACAATGAAAGATGATTGATTGCGATATGGACAGGTAGCCACTTAGGTAGCACTGTAGCCTTAGATGCAGGTGATTGAATCAGGGTTAGTAACAATAGATAGCTAACTAGGGTTGTACCCAGTCAACTAGTTAGTTAATTAATGTTCCGTGATTCCCGCCCGAGCTGGGTATTCTATCAACTAGTGAATCTGATTTCGAACCGTCTTGGAAACTAAATACATAGTGTATGCATGTAGATATAGTAAGGACCAGTCAAAAAGTAGTAGCGCCGTCTTATCCTTCAACCAACGTCATCGTCACGTTCCCCGACAGAAACCCTTAAGATTCCAGAGATGCGAGTGGAATCCGAACTTTGTCCGAGGTTCAGCCGGCCGACAGAACCGACAGAACGCCGCAGCAGATCCCGCGTGGTCACTGGTCACGTCATGCTTATCTGCTTTTCGGGTTCTCGGCCTTTGCTCGTCCTGCTTCCTCAACAACTTTTAAAAGCCCCAATTCCTCTCCAATCATCCCCTCATTCTGTTTTCCATACATCACACATACCCACACACCACACATTCATCATGAAGTTGCTCACCAAGGAAGAAGAAGACGCCCACTACCGGTATGATGATTCCCTGGCAGGCAGAGCGGCCTCCAATCCTTTCCGAGTCTTTCCCGCATCATGCCATACTGACAATCCCCTTTTCTCAACAGCTCCGTGGTCAAGGGCGGCACTATCGGTGGCCTTCTTGGTCTTGCCGGCGGTGCAGCGGGCGTCATGCTCGCTGCGCGACGATACCACACAATCCGTAACCTCACCATCCCCATGAAAGCCTTTTTGGTGACCTCATCCGGTACCTTCGTCGGTATCATCGCGGCCGACCACGCCTCCCGGGATTTCGAGAAGCAGCAAAATGCCACCAGGATGTGGTACGAAAACCGTGAAGACCGTCTGCACGCTGAAGAGTTGCGCGGTCTGAGCTTCACCGACCGCGCTGTCGCCTTCGCCCGTCGGGAGAAGTACAAGATTGTCGGCGCCACCTGGATCGCCTCCATGATCGGTTCATTCGTCCTGGTCGGTCGCAACCCGTATCTGTCGGGTCAGCAGAAGATCGTCCAGGCCCGTGTGTATGCTCAGGGTCTGACTCTGGCGGTGCTTTGCGCTTCTGCGGCGTTCGAGATCTCCGATCAGCGCAAGGGTCGTGGTCTCCTTGATGCCGCTAAGAAGAATAAGAAGCAGCAGCTTGAGGATGCTGCAGAGCCTGCTCCTGTCCATGCCGGCAACAAGGACCAGGGTGATCTCTGGAAGGATATGGTTGCTGCGGAGGAGCAGCGTCTCAAGTCTAAGCACCAACCCCTCCATGTGAAGCACGAGGCGAAGGAGGAGGCTTCACAGTCTAACTCCGAGGACTCTCAGGCTGAAGAGAATTCCGAGTCTGAATCCGAACCCGAGTCCAAGGAGGAGCCCAAGGCCGAGAAGGCCGAGGACAAGAAGCAGGCTTAAATCTGCATGCCTACAGCGACAGCGACAGGCCTGCCTTGCCTTTTTCTCATGTGGCACCGCCACACCATTTCATATCAACACGGCTACTTCCTAGCGTAATGTTGCCCCTTGAATGATGATCCATTCAACCACCCCAGAGCCTATCAGGCTTTATGAACCCACAATAGACTGCGAGACAGGATTAGGGTTTCTTCCAAGAGGCTGGACCATTTGGCTTCCCTTTTTGTCTAACCCTCGCACATATTTTCTGCATTTTTTTTTGCCGGGTGTTTAATTCTTTTTTTTTCACCCCATGTCTCAAACGGTTCATGCGAGCCAAAAGTCTCCCTGCTATATTTTTGTATGATACTTCACAAGCTGGTTTTGGGATCTCTTTCTCTACTCTAATGAATGATATATATCCCCACGATGTTACTTTTTTTCCCCCTGATTTTTCGTGGTATATTGAGTGTTAATTGTCACGTCGCAATTCCAATCAATTCAAGTATAATCTATGGTATTATGCTCATCAATCCAATTGTAGAACGCGGCTCATCATTTTCAGATCCGTGGGCCGTTCACGGTCCAGTTTCGAAAGCTTGGCACAGATCATCGCATCAACATGATCTGATCGATATGCATGGCCATGCTCCGTGGCGCGTTCGTGTGTGGATTTGTTTAATAATGGTCTATTTTCCTGCTGCATTTGTAGAATGGGATAATAACTCAGCTGGGAGAGTGCACGACTGAAGTAAAACTCCAGTTTCTGCTATCGTGAAGTCGCCAGTTCGATCCTGGCTTGTCCCATTTCTTTTTTTGTCTGGTCTAGTCGATAGAACGTGCATTGAGACCTCCAAGCTCTTACTTTTTGCTCCCAGGAATTGGAATTGGATATGATGTGAAAAGCCACTCTTGACTCTGTGATCTGACTGGGATCATTCACCATACGCACACCAACGGGCTCTAAGATTGCATTTCAATTGTTTCTTGGTTTAAAAATCTCAGAGAATGAGCCCTATAGTAACTATGATTCCCATGATGATTTGAAAGAATAGAGGGACAGACCCGCGCTTAAACAATCAGTATCGCTTCATTAAATGCTAGAATTTCAAAAAAGCCCTTCGAGAACCTCAGCCTGCCGAGCTGCCCAATATTTTCTCTTCTCCTACCAAGCAGTGTCAATCGGGATTGGATAGTTATGACTATATAGGGCGCGGTTTCTATAGAACCACTCGACCCATGCAGTGTAGATATGGTGTGGTGGAGCTTTTCTGTGTTGTTGAACCTCCCAAAATCGGTCATTCTTTCTTCTATCATAAAGAAATGTCTGCTCTCTTCGTTCATTGCATCACGAACGGCCTCGAGACTGGCCCCGAGATGAGTTGTGTTATGCTCATGCTTGACTCTCCCTGTTGCAGGCTCCCATTCAAACCACCATGGCTGTTGTTGTAATAATCGGTTGGGGACATAGAATCAACGAGCATGCTGAGCCAACTCTCTTCGACCGAATCTTGGTTTTGGTCTCTCATACTCTGCTCCATCTTCTTATCAAGCTCTGAAGCGAGCCCTTTCTCCGCCTCGAGAATCTTGTCGATCTCCTTGCTGCCGGCATGTATCCTTTTATCATAAAGACGCAAGAAATTATCGGTGCCAATCTTTTGCAGCATACGTGAGTCATGCCAGATGATCCAAACTCTCTAAGACGGTCGATATGCTGCATTGCCCGGTAGGCATCGGCTGGTCCCCGAAGATCTTGGACCATCAAGAGCCGTTCCAAGATCCAAATATAGGCCGCTCCTTCGGTCATTGCAAAATAACAGCTGGTCTGATCCCGTGGTAGCCGAAGAAAAGGGGGGCAGCCACCGGGAGAGCAGGGACAGCGACAGTTATCAGGACTCCAAATACCTGCATTATGTGAAAGAAGTTTCGCAATAAATGTAAGATCATCTGAACAAACTCGTAGAGAGGCTGAGGAAACCTCATACTCCGATTGTGCATAGCTTGGAAAAGAACGGAATATCATTCTGGTATATGCTGTGTGCAATGCGGATCGTCCTATGTGGTTTCGTATATTGATCTTGCAGCCTTGTGTCAGGATTTCGTAGCCGACATCATACTGGCGCTGCCAGATTGCTTCCATAAGCGGACTGTGGCCTATAGAATCGAATCGATCAACATTCTCAAACCCTGCATCAAACAAGGCAATTGCCGCTTCCCTGCTATATGCCTCATGAAGTAACGTGCTTTCCTCGCCAGGGCGAGACTCATGCTTGACTACTGCATGCTTGTCTGCACCTAGCTTGAGCAAAACTCTGAAGCGCTCAGGTTGAGAGTGCCTGACACGTGCACTCCAAGTGCTGGCAATGAGATTGGTCATTTCGTTTTGTAAGAAATCCGGAGAAAAATATTTATGAGCACGAAATAACCGAAGTGCCTCTGTCATCATATCCCATCGATCCCGCTGCATAGCGTGGCGCAAGAACTCCAGATGTTGATCTTTCAAAGGCTTTGCACCGGCTCTCAGAAGAAGCATAACTGACTCTAGACAGCCATAAGCTGCAGCATATACCAATGGGCTGTTGCCTTGAATGTCACAGGAATCGAAATCTGGAGATAAGTCGAGCAGCATGGAGAGAATTTTAGGTCGTAGAACAGCCATGTGGACTGCGGTCTGTCCAAGAGAGTTGCTTCCCTGAAGCGATTGGGGGTTTTGCAAAAATGTGGAGAGTTCGGCCACAGATCCAGAGAGGATGGTGTCTATCAGATGAGTCTGCCCCCAAACGCCTGTACATGAAGTTGGCAATTAGACAAAACCGTCATGACGCCGAGTGGCATAGCATTTAGTTTCACCACAAGCATTTTTAGAGCATTCAGTAAGAAACTGAAGGAGAAATGGCTCTCCATATGTAGCTGGAAGCTCGTAGACCTCCTCTTTAGACATAGACAACGGTGGTTGGATGAACGCTCGACTAGATGAACTAAGAAGGGCTTTCAGAGGCACCTGGGAATGACAGGACATGTCTGCCGAGCAATCATAACCTACAGTCTGTAATTCTTTGAGTAACTTCAAGTGAAGTCCCACTTTGTTCCAACCAGCCACATATGATAAAAGACTAGACCGATTGGGCTTCTTAGTCTCTAAAGTCAAGAGAGGCTCGCTGTAGGCGACGTAATAATTTACGGTACTTTTGTATGCATAGGCGCACCACATGTACACAGCAGCTTCAGAAACGCAACAACCAAGTCAATATCGCGATTGGGATAGCTCAACATTCTCTGAACCATGTCAGTGGAAGACTTTTTCCTGAACTTTGAAGTTCCTGAACGTACCTCAATCCAAGTCAGCCCGTCTGGGAAAACATCCCATGGAGAGACTATTCCAGCACGAAAAAGCTCCAATAACTCCTTACAAAATGATTCAGAATCTGATTGATGCACATGCGATTTGTAAAAAAGTTGGAACCCAGGTGAAGTATTTTTGACCAGTTGTTGAACGTGAAGACTAGGGTGACTGAGAAACCGTAGTTTCCCCACGTTATATCTAGGTCCATTTTTAAAGCCCAGAATAGGCCGAGTCGAGAAAGTCCCATAAAGTATGCGAATTGGCGTTTGTTGTTTCGCTTGGAGTGTGATGCAGGCCTTCTTGTGAGCACACGCAGTGGGATGCCTTCAGCTAGTGTGTCTGTGGAATCAACCAAAACTCCACTTCTCGATGACAGAGTATTCATAGTAGTGGTTATCGTCTCCATGTAAGCAGAATGTTGCCACTGACTCAGGACTAACTTCGTGTTTGCCATCGTATTGCCGGAAGTAACAGCGGTCTGGAACAGCAACAGCTTCTCAATATAGTCGGATAATACAGAGAGGATCTTCTCTAGAGTTTTCTCTTGTTTCAAGCTTTCCAACGCTTTGCGACTCCTGGTCATCTTTGAGTCACCGTCCACTGCTGTCACATTTGTCACGATTTTATCAAGTGAGACCATCTGTAAGGCGCATTCATCGATGATCATCTGGAGCATGGGGGAGTCCTGAGGAGAGAAGTGGTGATGATCGATATGGGCCTGGACTCGTTGCAAAGATTGGATGAAGAAAAGCAGGTGAAGATGAGTAGAGCGCAGCATTTCCGGGACCTCTTTGACACTTCGTAGATAACTTTTCACCCGGTTGAATACTTTGGTAGTTGATTCCACGACTTGGACCGTTGAGGCGATAGCACCAACTACGACCAGTGCTTCAGCCATGCTCGCCAGAAATGACTTAGCGCCAGCTATAACTCATACATCGCGAAGCATAGGTCCATCATTTAAGATTGTAGGAAGGACAGGTCAAGTTGGAAAAACTAGGATGAGGTGTTTCTATCTCTGTTGCAGAAAATTGCCCAGGGCACTGTGTGAACCTACCCACTTGCCAAGGTAGGTACCCAAATCACTCCTCACTTCTCATCTGGGGCCTAAATTGATGATTCGGATAACATAATCTTCAGACAGTATGTGAGCCAGAAATGCCAGGGCACCGATAAATTGTGTCATCACGACGGCAGATATACAACACCCTACCAGGGTTAGTCTAGAATTAAAGACTTCATGTCCTTCGGCTAACTTAAACAGTGACTGAGGAGGGTCTCATTCTGTTGGGATTCCTTTTACATTATTCAACTGATATCTATGTAAAGCTCTTAATAACCCCCTGCTGACTCTGGTTAACCGCTGTCTTTGCAAAGCCGGGCAACCTCGCTTCAAATCCCAACAACTTGGATTCCTTGATTAATGCCACCATTCAACATGATTTGCTGCGAGATCGATAGTATCGCGTAAAGCGTTGTTGGCAGCTATAGCCTTGGACTATTGAAGACGTGACATGGGTGTCATAGCTGAGCAAAGTAACTCTACTAATAGGCTCACAGGGCACGATTTTTAGGATCTCATATCGAGATAGCTCAGGGTGCTGAAGGTCTGGGCCCGGTGAAGATTATTAGGTGTATACCTAGACTACGCAGGGTCAATATGCAGGAAGTAGACTACCCTCGCTTAGCCCTCTTGATGGTTTTCTTTCTTCGACCACATCTGAAATAACCCTTCATCAGTATGTAACGTATTATTTTCCAACAGATGGAACTCCAGTCGGATATTTCATCAATGAAGTGCAGGAGGGACCCAGGCATAAGGTAAAAATTATCTTCTGATGTTGGTGTTTTAATAACAAGCGCTTCATTCAAAAAGGAATTCTTCAGTTGCCGATCCATTCAGCCAAATAGTCAGCTCTTTGAAAGCGTCAAGGTCGTTTTTCGCAAGCGAAATATCAACAGAAGAGTCATGCCAGTGGTGCGTCCTTTTGGTAGCGGTATTGTGCAATGACTCCTCGATATATCTGCACCTATCAAAGTCGTTGAGAATAAGCGTACCGTCTTCGTCAAGCAGGATGTTTGCAGGGTTGATATCATTATGAACAATTCCAAGCGAGTGGAGATGCTTGATGGCCGCTAAAATGCCTTGTAGTCCACGTTTCATATGCTCCTTCACGGATCCACAGGAACTTGAAACGAAAGCGACATTGTTAAGGTGCTGAGGTTGACTGTCTCCAGTAGCGTGGAAGTATATCGCTTGAAACACAGCCCAGAAACTCGACCATGAGTCTCCATGTAACCATAATAGATTGCAGTATTCAGATGGGGATTCTTGCGAAGAATCTCGCATGTCTCAACTTCGCGACTGATTTGCTTTTCAGGATTTCCATTGGCATACGCGAGGAGACTTGGTGTTTTCACATAGACTGCTAACCAGGTGGTATTGACTTCTGGACCTCTATCCTCGGTTGAAATTTGCTTGAGTTCCTGAAGATCGTCCAACGTCTTTGGCATGTCTAATCGATTCACGCATTTTCCGGAATATAACATGCCGTCTTGCTGCGCAAAAACCTGGACGTAGGAAAACTTCATGTTCCCATCAATCCGTTTGAAGGCCTCGCCCTTCTGTAAGATTTCCATTTCAACGTAGATTATCGGTTCTAACAGGCCATTGGATGGAAGGCTGCAATAGCTGGGCAAAGAGGACCGTAGACTGGAAGAATTCAGTTCGAGCCGATGCCCATACCCCGCGGCATGCATTAATGCCCGATTCTGCTCCAGTTCGGTCCTTTGCCTCTCGAACTGCTCCTTTCTCCATGAGGAATTTGCCAACTGTGGTGTGACCGGCTCGTGCTGCGAAATGCAATGCTATATATATATGGCTATTGTTCTCATATGTGGACAAACTGGGTTGGATATATCATGAACCTGGTAAACCTGACCCCAGAAATCCTATAGTTCGTTGAAGAACTGCTACCACCTAAGGTATGACTCCTCGTTACAAGGTATCGCGATAGTTTGGAAAGAGCTAGGTAAATCAGATATGCATGAACGTGTTTCAAAATAGGGTTCTAGAAGATCTACTTGAACGAAGTGGTGAAACTGATTTGGTTCCATTCCGTAGTAGGTGGAGTATTTGAAATGTTAATCTTTGTTGCGGCACAGATAACCTAAGTACACGCCCTCAAGCTCAGAGAATAAAAGATCCCAACCTATGCCGAACGCCAGGCGCACCATGTTAGAAAAAAAATTGGAAGTCGTCCGATAACGATAGGAGACCCTGAAAAGAAACAGAAGAAAAGAAAGAAGTATGAAAATATGAGAGACGATCCGATTTTACCGACGAGAACCCTTCTGCGCCGCATTGTTACGGGCTTGCATCTTGCGGAATCGGTCCTCGCCGCTGCTGCCAAGCGGTCGCGCAAACTTGCTCTCTTGAACTGCAGTCTGTCGTGGCACAATGGTGTAGGTGACATTGGTGCGGTCGACACGGGCACGATTGGCAAGACGCGGAGGAAGCTTCTCGCGAGCCCGAGCTTCAGCAGCAACAATCTCGGCGGGAGTCTGGGTGCGCTTGATGATCTTGCTAAAAGAGTTATTAGTAAACATGATGGATATCGCATGGAGAAAATGATAACGAAACGTACGTAGGATCAAAGTCAGCCTGCTGGAAAACGCGCTTCGAGTAATCATCGCTGCGCTGGAGAATTGGCCGTGTCCACTCAGCCAGCAGCTTCTCAGCCATATCCTTGATGCGTCGCTCGGTACGCTTGCTTTTGGTATAGAACACAACGACCTTGCCAATTCCGCTGGCTATCAGAGCATCTTTCTGGATGGGGAGCTTGGCGAGGGCGGTTAACAGGTCACGCTGGATATTGTATGCAGGCATAGAGCCATCGTCCAAGGGCTCGAGGAAGAATCGGACGGCCTCGAGAAGGTTAATCTCGGGGTCAACCAAACTGTTGATGTACTGGTTGCGGTTGAGGAGCATGATAACCTCGGGAAGAAGCTTGAGCTTGTGCATAGCGGGCTTGCCCTCTTGACGACTAATGGCGTCCATCTGTGCGGCGTGGGTCATGCGCTTTCGCATGTCTTCAATTTCAGCATCGGCCATAGCTTCAAGGTCCTATTGAGACGGTTAGCGAGCGCATAAAACATCGTTGCATCCAATATTTCGTACAATGCCGTCTTGCTTGCGAGAGCGCCTCTTTCCAGGCTTTCGGATCGCCTCATCCATAGCACGATCAAGAGCACGGCGACGACCTAGAGTATCCCAATCTGTTAGCCCGAACTGAAACCAGTGTACCTTTCAATACCAATGATAAAACTCACGAGTCTCGGGATCTAGAGTCTCCTCATCCGTGTCAGGCGAGGCCTCCTTCTTCTTGCGCTCCTTGCGACGAGATCCATCCTCGCCCTCATCCTCATCCTGCGCGCGACGGCTCTTCTTCTCACGGCGACCCTCCTTGCGGCGCGAGCGACCCTCTCCATCATCAGCACGCTTGCGCTTATGGCGACCAATCAGCTTCAGGTTCTCTTCATCAATAGCCAGCTGGGGACGATCCTCGACATCAACGTTCTCGGGGTTGAAGTCCTCAAACTGCGCCTCATCGACCTCAGACAGAATCGACTCGTCATCGGAGATGCCACCTTCGTTATCGTCATCATCATTATCGCCGGCTTCAGCGATGGGGTCTGCAGGCTGCTCGGCCTCGTCATCGTCGGCGGCAATTGGGGTCGCGACTTTTTCGGGCTCCGGGGAGGCCGCAGCCGAACCGGCCTGGTGTTCGGGTGAAGCAGACATATTTCAATGGATATGTTGGTGTAAAGAGAGAAAGGACTTCAAAAAAGGTGTAGAGACAGATGATTGTCGAGTGACGCTTGGAGGGAGAGTCAAACGACGTTGAGTGAGCAGAGGCGGTGGTTATCGACGTAGGCTCCGGAGGCCTCTCTCCGAGAGATGGATCGCACGTGGAAAGTGTCAGTGAGTTTCGCTCTTGTGAATATGAAAAACAGCTCTAGATATGCCAGGAGAGAGCTTCAGGAGTTTGTAGAAAGGTAAGAGCAGGAAAGGGGAGCAGAAAGATGTAGAGGCAAAAGGTAGAGGCGGGCATCAGAGAAGGAGACAGTGTTGGTCTGTGCTCCCGTGATTTCTTTCCCTCCCCAAGTCCGCCCGACTTCCGCGGGTCTTCACATTACTTCAATCTTCACTTCCCTACCTATTCTCTCACTCTAACACGGCTCATCAACGACCTTTCTATTAACTCAAAATGTTCGCTCCAGGTATGTACCTCGACTCTTCAACTCTTCAACTCACTTCAACCTACAAAATTCGCAATCATGCGTTCAAACAAGACTCCATCCCACAGCTACCTAACAATGCATCGTCTACGTCTAGGCCAAGAACAGCTTTCCAAGGAGGAGATCCGGGTATGTGCTACTGCTTGAGCATGAAATTTACATGGAACAATACTGACTTCTGACCAGGCCGGTGAGATTGAGGCCAGCCAGACCGTCCAGATGGCTGTCTTCGGCGGCATCCTCCTCTACCTCTGTAAGTCAATTCTCATAATCGCGCGATCCTCGACAAGTCCTCCAAACTGCAATAGTTCTCCCATATTCTCGATCACATAGACTAACGTATTCCAGCCCCCTTCGCCATCGACTTCGCCCGCAAGTTTCTCTAAGCGCATCACCGCGCCCTTCCACCCATCTCTACCCTTCATTGCGCCATGACCGTCAAACCACTTTTGCCTTCTTTTCGTGCGTTTTCAGAGATTGGAAATTATGGACTTTCTTGAATTTGGGGTTTGTGAGATATATCAGCTGAGCTGGGAATAACCAAGAAAAATCTTTATGATTTTCTGCGTTGATGGCACTTCAATGCTATTCTGGCCTGCTGTATGAGATCAATCTCAAATGATGTATTATTATGGATTGTATACGCCGGGTTTCATCTGGATTTTTGTTTTTGAGTATAGAGGAACGGAAAATTGACCATGGCAAGATGCCACTTCGAACCAGCCCGAGGACCAGCGATCAGATAGATATGCCTTTAGTCTAATCTCTCTTCGAACATTACGATTTTAAATAGGCAAGGACAGGACAGAAACAACGGTATCCATCAGATTTGAAGGATTGTATTCAACTATGCATTATGTGATCGTCCCAAGAACGCCAGTGCTCCCATGCCCAATGATCATTCAAGTCCTCCGATGTGAAGAGATACAAATATCAAGGATCCAAGGGGATCCAAGCGCATTAGCAAAAAGCCGTCCTACTTTCCACCCAGCTTCTGCGCCTCTTCAAAATCCTTCTTTACTACCTCCATCTCCTTTTGCAAGTGCTGGATTTGAGCATGGTAATCGTCGAGAATCTGCAACGACAGCGATTAGTGGCTGAATTAGAGTTGAAATATTGTTGAGCTGATAAACCCACCTTCTTGGCTGTCTTCATGGTCTGCTCATCAATCTCATCCTCCCCATTCGTAGTCACGTTTGCCCCGGCACGGTCCATCTCAACCTGAAGACGCTTCGAGTGTTCGTGAATGGCTAGCATGCGAGCCCAAATTTCCTCGCCGCGACCATTTAGAGACGGGTCGAAGACGGAACGCTCTAGCTGGGTCAGCTTTTTCTTAAGCTCCTCCTCGGCGTCATCCATGGCGTAACCACGATTGCGCAGCATTTGCGTCTTAGCCGCCAGGGCTAGGCATCGCTTGCTCAACACAATATGCTTTCGGCGGGCATCTGCCACCTTGACCGAAATTTTCAGATCATGTCGCGAGAGCAGGTCGGTCAAGCAATTGTTAATTTCATGAAGGCGCGTCTGCAACATGGCAAGGAAGTCCTTCTGTCGCTGGGCGCGCTTTCCGAGGTCCATGAAGCCCTTAACCAGCACGGGCACGTATCCCGACCCAGGGCGCTTCCGCAAAGCCTCCTCCCATTTCGTCTCGTCGTCTTCAAAGCCAGGCTGGAAGAATGGGGCATTGTCATCGCCGACATGGTTGTAGAGATAGGCGCGGAATGGCGAAGATCGGATTTGGGCGTCCCACTTGTCCCTAACGATGGCAATTTGCATCGGGACAGTCCGGTGTACTGTTACCATGATGGATCGAGTTAGTAGGTGGGACAAATGATAGAATTCAAATTCAAGAATAGATTTACCTCCAGTGATCGCACGGCCAGGAGACCACAGGCTCGATGACAGGGATTGCTCTTGTGGCTGACCTTGTGGTTGGACCATAGTCGTTTGTCCGAACTGCGACTGCTGCGGCTGCTGCTGCTGCTGTTGTTGCTGTTGCTGAGGGGCCTGCAGGGTAGAGGCACCAAAGGCACTTCCACCCCCGAAAAGTCCAGACCCAGCTGCGGGCTGTTGCGTTTGTTGCTGCGGCGCAGTGGCACCAAACATACTCGTGGCGGGCTTCTGTGCGGTAGTCGAGCCAAACATGCTGGGCTGTTGCTGTTGGGTGGTTGAACCGAAAGCAGAGGTAGCCGGTTTCTGCGCGGTACTCGAAAACAAGCTATTTGTCTGGGTTGTCGCCGGGGTGCCGAACAAGCTGGGTGCCGCCGTGCCTTGTTGATTCTGAGGCGCACCACCGAACAATCCTCCTGTACTGGTTCCAGTGGTTGTGCTTGAGCCGAGAGCAGGGAAAGCGCTGGGCTTGTTGGCAGCGGCGCCAAAGGGGCTAGCAGTCTGTGTATTGCCGAATAGAGACATGGCGGATGGTTTAGACGAGGCGCGAGGGAATGTCGCAAAAAAAAAGCCCGTTCAATTACTCTTGAGGATTGATTTGCGTGATTGGGGAAGGCTGTCGCGTTTTATCGGACAAAATCGGATGCAGATCAAGAAGAGCTCAAGATCGCATTCCCCCGCAATTGGAGAAGAAGGTGGTTGGGTAGGTGAGCTGATGGGCGCTGGGAAGCTTCATGAAGAAGAGAACCTCATCGGAGCTGTGCTTGTTTGGGTCACGTGATATTTGACACCTGCCGGAATGGTTGTGAAGGACCACGTCAATTGGGGGAATTTTAAGGAAAGATGCAAACAGTCTAAATAGCCTAACTGTGTTTGAGACTACATATAGAATATTCTTCTGCCTATTTACCATAATGTCTGCCTATATCTTTGCCATTCGCCAGTCAAGGCTATATCCATACTTACATCTAAGTCCCTGCCCGGCGACCAGCGTGCTTACCTCAGCCCTCCCGTTCCACCAATCAGCGGGTACCCAAAGAAACCGACCTTTCAATTCCACCGCAACCCGCAGCTTCACGAAGTCCACTGCCCTCGTCAATTAGCCTCCCATTCTCCCTCATTCAGACCAGCCACCGTCACAATGGCTCAGCGAGACCCTCAGTATGCTTCCCTCCTGCGTCAATGTCCCCTTCCATGCTGTTCCGCCGCGCCAGGACCAAGACTAACCGCGCTATCCCTCGGCCAACAGGTTCAACCAGCATGTCCTCGTGGACACCACCCCCATGCCGGACCACATCCCCAAGGTGGAGGAGATTGGCGCCACCTCGGCATTCCTGAGCAGTGCGGCGTACTTCATTGGCGACCGCTGCAAGGCTTTCAACGACGATTTCATGAAGTGCAAGGACGAGGCTAATGGCCGCGGGGAGATCGAGTGCTTGAAGGAGGGGCGCAAGGTGACGCGCTGCGCTGCTAGCGTGTATGTATTTTGCTCGGAGTGTATTGGGGAAGAATCGAATGGCCGATTCAGTGACTCGGAGGGGATACGCAGAGCAGCTGACTGATATCGTTCTCACAACAGTATCAAGGATATCAACACCCACTGCCTCGACCAGTTCAAGGCCCACGCTGACTGCCTCGAGAATAACAACCACTACCTCTTCGAGTGCCGCAAGGCCGAGGTGTCCCTCAACAGCTGCATCTTCGACAAGCTGGTATGCATCCGATCCCCAGTCCATATCACATACCACCGAGGCTAGCAGCCAACACATGCATTGCACATATATATCCGAGTATCTGAAACTCAAGCTAACCTCCCTCTCTTTGTCTCTCACAGGGCCTGAAGAAGACCATCCCCGGCGCTCCCGAGAACCAGGTCCCCGTCCACCTGCGCCCCAAACAGAAGTACGCCCAGTACCCCGGACCGCAGTACTAAAAAGAATCGAGATGATACTCTCCTCACCCGGTTCAATCCTCTTTCACCAACCATCCCCGATTTCCTCGCCCGCCCTTACTATACTGCCGCCCAGGGCTTCGGCTTCTCTTTTTTTCCTATTTGTTTGTTCTAAACTAGATGCGCAAGCGGTCCTTGTGTTTCATCTACTCTGTCTGTGCTCGTTCGGTGTATGTTTTGTGTAAATATCTATTGGCATCAGGAATGGTTATGATTTCCGCTTGAAATGTGGTCTTTTATCGCGAATTGCGAAGTGCTTGGTATCTTGCTTTGCACAATCTAACTCGATATCCTGCTAGTCGCTTGGGACCGAGAAATAAATGGTGTTGTTAGGATTACTCTTCTCCAACGAGTTCTGGGTTACATACATGATACTGGCCCTATGCATGATGGAACATAACTTCAGTCCTTTCTGTTTCGTCTTTTGTCTGGTCGGATCAGCTTGCTGAGGCACAAGCTATGACATGCATCTATACCGTGTCCATAGAGGCTCAAAGCTACCTAGTCTCTCTCTGTCTGGCCTTCTTCCCAGCAGCATGCTAGAGAACATTCTTGCCCAAGAATTTTACGAACACAATAGAGGTTATCAGAGAAGTACTACTTGACTTATCTCAATAAGGCATCTTCTAATTTACCCCTCTACTTAGTCTATAGATATCTAAGACCACAATATACAACACTCAATATCAAACCACATGATAAAAGGAAAACCAAAAGAAAAGAAATAAAGAGAAGAAAACACCAGAGCCTCAAATTCGAACCCATATGTACAGAACAAAAGAAAATAGACAATACGTAACAGGTGTAACAAGAACTCCTCAAATGGTGACAACGAGGGGGGTAATCAAAATCGAAAAAGATGCAAAATAGCCAGCCAATCCCCAATCGTGATGATCCAATATCAACACACCAGTCGCAAGGAGGGTAGTATGAAGGAGGAGGCAAGAAGCAGGTAGGTATCAACCGGTATACATACCACAAACTTACGGCATGACAGGCATACGCCTAAGAAGCTTAACCCGCCCCAACCTCGCCTTAACACCAGACCACCCTTCCCTCAACTTCACCTCAAGTCTCCGATCCCCACGCATCCGCATCCAAATCAACAACACACCCAATAGGGCCACATCCCAAATAATCTGCCTTACAACAACCCAAAGCATCCACTTTAACCAAGCCCAAACGCCCGACCGACGACGATGCGCCAATGTGCGCGCCTCCATCTGCTCGCGGACAGCGGCTATTTCCGCCGTCATTTTGGTGAGGGCTTGTTCGACGCGCCGGCGCCAGCGGCTGTTTCGGGGGTGGGAGGGGTCTTGTGAGTCCGGGCCGTTTAGGCTTGTGCCGTCGCTGGCGCCGGAGGTGGATTTGTGTCTGCTGTGGGAGCGGGCGCGGCGGTCGCCGTGGGAGGTTGTCCGGTCTGTGCCAGTGTGTGTATGTGTATCTGTATTTGTGGATGCGTTGTCTGGGGGTTCGTATAGACTATCGCGGGCTTCTTCGTATTCTTCGTCTTCATCTTCGTCTTCTATTTCATCTTCGTTGAGGGGATCTCCAGATTGTCGACGGCGGTAATATTCTTCTTCTTCGGGTTGGCTGACGGGGCTGAGGACGCGGAGGCGTGAGTCGCGGGCATCGTCTGCTCGCATGTCTGGTCTTTCATATTGTTCGGAGGGTGATTGCGCGAGTCGTCCGCCTATACTGCCGTATGCGCTGCTGTGATGTTGTGATAAGGGTGGGACGCCGACGGCGTTGAGTGGGGAGGAGGAGGATGAGGAGGAGGCGTTGTATTTGATCTGATCCCAGACGAACTCGAGTTCGGAGACGAGTTCACGGGCTTCGGGGGTTTGTGAGGCATAGCGATGCATGGTGTCGATGAGGGTGCCGATGTAGCGGCGTTTGGCTTCGGTGCGCGTGAGTCCGCGCTGAGCGTACCAGGCGTCCCTGTTGATGCGAAGACAAGCGGATTCGTCAGTAATATGTTCAGATATCTAGTCTGTAGACGTGTAGATAGGATCCTGTCCTTTGCCATGAGACAACATACCACTTCTCGCACTCCGCGTGTACCTCCGGGGTATTCCCTATCGGACGATCCATGACACCCTCCACATCCCCCTCTACCAACAATTATAAGCCAATCCGCCTTCGATAAGTCGAACGACAGGTAATCCACAGGATAGACTCACCCATGCTCTGTTTATACAAGCCATATAGCTTCAACCGCTCCGCGGCCGGCGGGCGCGCGGTTCCCGTCCGGGGAATCCTCTTCACGGTATTCAAGGCATGGACGAAGACGCGATCTGCCACGGAACCAACGTCAGTACAACCCCGCAACCACAACACCCATCTGAATATATATTAGGATATCACGCACCTACTGAATCCGACATGCTGATGCGAGAAGAAGCGGTCCGGTAGTCTGCCCTGTCTTCATGGGAGCGGGGTCGGGCATCGGCTGGCGTGGACGAGCCTCATGGAGAGCGCGCGGCGAAGCAGAAAGGGAATAAGGAAAGAAGGACGAATGACAATGGTCGGAATGGGATGGAGGACAAAAGGGGTGCGGGTTAGTCTTTCGAGTATGTGCCGGGGCGTTTTCGACTAGGGAAATTGGATGTTGTCCCGTCGAGGATATGGCCGTTTAGTGTGCCTGTTTCCCTTCTTCTGGTAGTCCTTCCTGTTTAGGTCCCTGTCGGAAAAGGCAATGCTTTCCCGATCACGCATGCGACAATCGCCGGAGTTGAAAGGAGAGGATATTGACTAGATGAATGGTGATATTCATCTAGAAATGTTGGGATGAAGCGTGTGCAAGGCGTCTCGTGCCCTTGTGGAAAGGGCCGAGAAGTGGGCGTGTGGTGGAAGTTTGGGGGAATTTGGACCGCGGCTGTCGGAGAAGATCGTCAGGGCCACTTGTGATTCCCGCTGCCAACGGTCAACTAGGGAAATACGGGGAATAGGATATACGAGGGGACTAAATTATTCTACAATTGTATACAATAGGTTAGAATATTCAATGATGGACATATTTGCATAACACATATAATTAGTATACACAGAAAAGAAAATGAAGGTAGAACTGCCCCAGACTCTGCACTCTGGTGGATCATCTTAATTGCTGGGCATCTTCTTCACCTCGAGTATAGCATTCTCCGTATCCACCGCAGCGCCGTTCATAACCCCCGTTGCAGCCACCACTTCCTCCTTGGAAACTGGGGGACCAGTGAAGTGCTTGCGCGCATACGCAAAGTACCAGATGACACTGATAGCCGCAAACCCGGCAAACACCACGCTGGCGTAGTTCATCCCGGACGCAGTGACGGGCAGCGTGTACGGCATACAGAAGAGCACGACGGCCAGCACAATCCACACGACGGTGATGCCATTAATGATCCATCCAAATGAACCGAGCGAGTACGTGGAGCGCTTGACATCCTCACGGCCTCGAATCATGGAAATCAGAATGGGTAGGCCGTACGAGGTCGACAGACAAATTGTGGCCACGCCCGTGAACGAGTTGAAGGCAGCCGTGGAGCCAAAGTAGATCAATCCCAGGAGACAATCCACAACTGCAGACAGGATGATCGCCCACACAGGCACATCCAGCTTCTTGTTAACGCGGCGCCAGAGTTTGAATCCCGGAATAGCTCCATCCCGCGCAAAGGCATACGTGCACCGACTGGCCGCGGTCAACGAGCCAATACCCGCGAACAACATGATACCCAAAATAAGGAAGAGCAGACCAAAGCCACCGCCCGCGGAGCCAGTCACTTCCTTGAAGAGCGTTCCGATCGGCTGTCCACTCGCTACCTGGCGCAGGAGTTCCACGTTGGGCATCGCGAACAGCACGGGAATCAGATACAACAGACCCGTGATACCGGCTGCGACGACCGACAGCACAATAGCCTTGGGAACCTCGCGGTGCGGGTTCTGGACCTCCTCGCACATGGAAGCGACCATGCCATATCCCGTCAGCGTATACGCCGCCTGCAGCAAGCCAACGAAAAAGGCCCAACCAGCAGGCCATCCACTCTGCGACGAGTCATACTCGGCGAAAACAAACTCGCCTGAGTTCAAGTGATCCGCCATCGTAAGCAAAACGATCAAAATAATGATCACGCTTGCCGCGGTCCAAAAGATGCAAATCTTATTAATCAGGTCCAAATACCGCGACCCAAAGATATTAACCAATGTGCAGACCAGCATCACTGCCCAAAACATGAGCACCGTCTGCCACGCATTGGCGACAAAGTCCTCTTTCCACAGCTGGATCGCGCTGAGAATGAGCTGGCCACCACCGAAGATGATACTCAGTGTCACGGTCCAGTTACCCACGAGCGTCAACCAGCCATCGATAAAGGACATGAGCGGTGCCCAGCGGCGGGTGGAGAGCATTGCGCTCCAGTAATACACGCCACCGGCCGTCGGGTAGACGGCGCAAATCTCGGCGAGGGAGGCGGCGATGGCGATCGAGATGAGGGTGACGAAGACCCAGCCCCAGATGATGGTGACGGAGAGACCATCGGCCAGGGTGATGTACAGGGTGGTGCTGAGGCCGTATGGCGCGGCCATAATGGCGAAGGATAGACCGAGGATACTCAGCATGGACAAGTTACGAGGCAACTCGCTCTTGTAGCCCATGCGGGCCAACGCCTCGTCGGCGGAGGCGTCGACGGAGTGTTGCCGCATGGTTGAGTTGAGTGTGTGCCGAGAGGGAAGTGTTGAAGTAAATAGTAGAAGAAGTAGAACTAAGCAAACAGAAGAACAAAAGTAGTAGCAGCACACTACTAGACGCTAAGGACTAGGCACTACCGCACTAGGGCCGAGAAAGAGGAGTAGGGTTTCACTGTTGGGCCGTTGGCTGGTCCTAGTGAGCCGGAAGTGGAAGCGGAAGTGGAGATTTTCAAGAGAAATGGGGAGTCTGGGGAAAAGGAACCACGACCAGGACCGACGAAGCTTGACTTATTTAAACTGGAGAATCGAAGCTGACCATCAACAGGAGGTCCGCAGTTCCAGAATCTAATCAACAATCCACCCAGCATACGAAGCCACGAGGCGCCAACCCCGCATGATAGACATGATAAACGTGATAACATCGCGGTCCGAGACCGCGAGAGCGCGGTGAGGCGTCCGAAAAGGTTTAGGGCTTTTTTGGCTTTTGAGTTTTCTTGTTCCGGACTGGAGAGAAAGGCATCTCCCAATGATAAACAGGCTGGCAGAAGGACCGTGGAAAATGGTCAGGCCCTAGTCCGAGACTGTGAGACACGGCCGGAATGGCTTATCAGGGTCCAATGTTCGGACGGAATTCTGGGTCCTTGAAGCCGATGGGAGAGGCGGTAAGACTGGGCAGAGATTAAGGTGGCAAGAGCGATTCAAAGAGAACATACTACCAGATAGTAGTAGATCGTACATATACTACTCCGGAGTAATAGTATAGGTTTACGGAGTATAGTTATAATTTGTAGTTATGCTACAATTAATTGTTAGTCACGGCCCGATAAGCTAACTTGTAACTAACTTAATTAAACTAGTTAGTTCGTTACTTATCTTCTTCCTTGGGCGCCTGTCGCGTGGCCCCAGTCTTCTTTTGAAACGTGACCCGCCCGAGTGGATTTGAAGTGGACTTGCTTATCGCCTACTTAGAGCCATCTACTCCGTACTCCCTACGCTACAGTTATGTATATCCACACAATTAAGCTTGTACATGGTTGAATATCGGTTTTTGATTTTCACTATCATTGAAAAAGTCACCCGGAAGGTGACGGCTGCCACATCGGAATAAGATGGCCACCCCGGAGAGCGCACGGGGCCATCGATGAGCGCCAAGATAATCAACATCAACTCAGAACAGGAAGTAAAAGGGGGGGGGGGGGGGGGGGGGACAGGGGAAGAGGCCGGGCAATGGAGAGAAAATAGCGTGGAGAGATAAGTCCACGATGCCACACGGCCAGCATCCCGAGTGCGAATGTGCAAATGGGGGGTATCAAAACATGGAATTGGGGGTTGCACATAGGAACGTCCGCTGGGTTTTTGGGGAGAAAATTTTTTCTTGTTTGGATATCTAGTCGGACATGAGGAGACAGATCTAGATAGATCTAGAAGAAGATCTAGATCGATCATCGGAGTCGGAGGGCGAAAGTAGGCCCTGAAATATCGAACGAGTTGGGAGTGGATCGGGGGGAGAAGGGATGACTGTTGGGTGAGGCGAAGCGGCAAAGAAGAAAGGAGGGAAAATCGGCATGGAGAGAAAAAGGGGCGGATGGGGTGATTTTTGAGGGAGAGAAAAACAGGAGAATGTCGACGAAATCCAAGTCTATACAGCCACTCCGGTCGAAACACTCAACCAGAGTCGCGTTTTGAGCGGAATCCGCGTCCAAAGAGAGGGCATTGATGGGAAAAAACCGGGGAAAGAACAAAAAGAACAAGAAAAACAAACGCTGAGTCGTAACCAGCCAGCTAGTATCAACTCCAGGAAAATAAGATGAATAAATCATAAAAAACATGACCCGTGTCACGCGCAAAGATCGTGAATCGAGGTCGGCAAGGGAACATGGGGGGAAAGAGCAGAATAAAACGCCCATTCATGCAGTCGTCAGTCCAGTGAAGTCGTTACATGAGGAAAATGCAGTACAGTCGCAGGGAAGGCAAAGCGCGGGAAGAGGTGGTCGACAATGGGAAGGTACAAGGTAGGGTCGAGGCGAGGCGAGGCGAGGAGGACTCGGCGAGAATCGAGGGTCGAAAATCGTCCATCACATAGTTCATGGACTGAGTCCTCCCGTGAGGAGATCATCGGCCACATCGGGACCAAACCCGGCCATGTCGACCGAATGTAAGGAGCCAGGCCCTTTGCCCAAAGACATATCAGAGGAAGCATAGTCGTGCTTAAGTCGCTCATGGGGTCCGAAGAGATGTGGCCCGAAGAAGGGCCGATTCTCTTCGTTGGGAGTGTTGCCGTCGCCGGCGACCCACGGCCCGTTCTGCCAGAACCGAGTATTGGCCTGTTGATCCCCGAATAGATCATGATGATCGGGCTGAGGGTCAGGGCCGTGAGTGGGGAAGTCATTGGGCGACGGGAATCGCATGTGCGACCGACCAAAACTGGAGCAAGGGGAATCGGCATGCAAAGGCAGGTCTAGACCGGAGAGCGGGGGATCGTCAACCGTTGTAATATCAATGGTCGGGTTCTCCGTCTGTTGTGCAAGGGCCGATGACAATCGTAGATTCGAAGCCGTTGAGCTGTGCCGACTATGACTAGTCGATCGCTCAATGGCACGTTGCACAAAGCTTCCACACGTCTTCATGATTTTTTCCTTGTCCGCCTGGGAGAGGCTGGCAAAAAAGTCGTTGGCCAGGGTTGACTTGGGCGGATCATCCGGTGACGGAACCAGTCCATACGTGGTCTTCGCATACTCGGAGAGCCCGGACGGCATGTTATACGGAGACTGATACACGTTGGGGGCCTTGGCTCGTTGCTGATCCAAAAAGGCGTATTTTCCCGGCATCCTCGCCGCGGCAACACTCCCTTGGTCGACAATCTCCTGCTTCACCCCTTCTGACTCTTTCTTCTGAATGACATCTAATCGCTCGCGGTGACTCACCAACGAGAATCGGAGCATCTGAAGAAGTCGAGCGACCTCATCTGCCCGCATGTTGAGGGTCTGGGGCGGCAGCAAGGTCCCATCGGCGGCCCGAGGCTGTACACGCTGCTGGGCCATGGCCAGCTCGAGTTTTTCGAGGCCATTGATCGGAGGAATCGATCCCATGGGACCCAACAGGGTCTCTACCACCATTTCCGGGCTGACGATCGTATACCCGGCGAACACATTGGCATGCTCGGTGATCTGGGCGAGGCGGCGACGGGCGATGAGGTCACGAACATTGGCAAATGTATTGGTGGAGGTGAGGTGGTGCTGCTGCTGAGCGTGCGATTTGGTGACCGTGGGGTAGGGGGCATGGCGGATAGATGAATTCGGAAGAGTTCGAAAGGCCGACGGCATCGCAGGTCCAGCAGCAGCAGCACCAGTAGGAGCAGCAGGGGCAGGGGGAGGGGGGGGGGGCAAGGTGCTGCAAGGAAGAGGAGGCGGAGGAGGAAGCGACAGCGGCGGACGGCGGTCGGAGCGATGACGAGGAGGAAGAGTGTAGGTGAGGGGCGAGATTGACAGCGTTCAAGGTTGGCGGGAGGAGATGTTGATTTTGTTGTAGCAGCGGCGGTCGGTGTTGGGCGTAAAGATTTTGCTGGTAAGGAGGGGCAGGAGCGGTGGCAGCATAATGGAACGGACGGTGGGGGGGGATCTTCGATGCACGAGCATTGAAACCACCAGCCACGCCAAGCGACTTGACGCTGTCGAGGAAATTGGCCCGCGGGTTGTGGACGGGCACGCTAGGGTTGTGCGTATACTGTGCCCTACTCTCGGTGGACTGCGTGCCCAGATAATGCCACACCTGCTCGAGTTTGTCCAAGTTCACCCTGACCGGTGGGGCGAAGGCATTCCTAGCTCCATCCACCGTCTCGAATTCAGCCCACTGATAGGGAGATCGACTGTCGCCAAATGCACTGCCTGCGACCGGCACCGCAGCCTCCAATTCCCTTCTCGAGTCGGCCTTGCGCGCTAAGTGGGCCGGGAGGGGTTGGATGCCTGGTGCGAGGGGCACAAAGTTGCTCTTGCGTACCACCAGCATCCAGCGGTAAGGCATCTCAATGACATCTCTGTTGACAATTATCAGTATTGGGTAATTCGTTTTGGTTTTGGGGTGACAGGGCGAGAGGGGCAAAACTGGGGAATTATTGGATGGGACGTGGGCATTGTTCGGGAAATTCTGGGCAATGAAATCCCCTCGGTGGCAGTAATGGTGGGGGCGGGTGTCTATCCAAGCAAAAAGTAACTTACCCTCGCGGCAGAACCTTTAATAGCAGACTCCGCTCCTCCGGGCGATTCTCCAAGACAATGGCGCCATTAATCTCCTTGTCGGCTTGGAATTGAATCAAATCTCCCTGCACCAGACGACAGGCAGCTTCAATGACCCGTCGATCCAGATCAGATGATTCAACCAACAGTCCCGTGGGTCGCTTTTGGCGGTGGAATTTGCATTTGAGATCCACACTAGGTAATGAGTACTGTTGACTGTCGTCGGCAATGACAGCAATCGCACCATGCTCGACCTGAACACCGGCCAGAAGTGCACAGGTGGCATGATAGGCTCGTGTGCATTTGCCAAAGTTGCATTGGAAGCAGGCACCACGAACCTCGCGGCAGAAGAGGCATTTTAGACCCAAGCGGGCCTTGGGAATCTTGTCGATGTCACAGACTACCTCGTTGCCGGATGCATCATGGAGAATGGTGGTCTCTTCAATGAATAAGGCACACCGGCGATGAACATGTCCCTTACCACCTTCAGTTGGCAACAGATCCTCATAATCGAGATTATTCGGGCAGAGCAGACATGGGATCTTCCGCGGGCCATCGAGGTGGAGTTTGAGTCGTTTGGTTCGCGGCCCGTCACCCGCATTCTTCCGCTTTCGCCCACGGGTGGAGGGCTTGTCAGGCACACTGCGTGGAGGCGTGAGCATATCTGAAGCACCATCGAACCCTTCAAACTCGCTGTCATAATCGCCATAGTAGTCGGGGGTGGCTTCGCCGCGGAGTTTGCGCTCGATTTCATCCACGTCGATCCACACGCTGTCGGCTTCGCAATTGCACTTTTTGGCGATGCGACCATAGTCCAACCATCGCTCTGTGGCAAAGTTGACAGATTCGGCACAGTTGTAGCCTATATTGTAACCGGAGTGATAGCCGTACGGGAAAGTGATGACAAACTCTCCTTCGTAGTGAACCAGTCGGTTGACCGTGATACCATACTGAGACTTCAACAAGCTGGGAGAGACCAAGTAGGTCTTGTGGCGCAAGAATTGATCGCAGTTCTTGGCATCACTAGACCAGATGCTGCGCATGGCCGCCTCAAACTTGGGGGCGTCCTCTTGTGAAATGCTGTACCACTGCTTCGGAGCACCAAAGTGGATATAGTTGATACTGTAGAGATCGACGTCTTCCAAGTGCCAGGCGAACGTCGCCTTCCACATTCCCAAATACAGATACGCCGTGTTGACACCAGGCACTTTCTGTCCAAGAACATCAAGCAAGTTAGGCAGTTTAGCCACGTTCCAAGTGGTGGTGGAGTCGTCGAAGAGTGAGCCTGGCATATCTGCGCCGTACATCGGGTTGTTGAACATGAGCGACTTCCAGTAGGCGGTCTCTAGCTCCTCGCACCTCTCCGCAGTGTAATCCTCATTGTCGTGGATACGATAATCAAACTCCTTGAAAGCCTCCTCGTCCACAAGGTCAACGGTCTCGCCACGGTTATTCTTTCGACGTGCCGTGACAGACTTAGCCTGTCTCCCCTTGGGCTTGGCGGCCGGAAGAGATTCGCCATCACTCAAGTCCTCGCTTTTGGTTTCAACGGGAAGTGATTCAGGTGAAACGGGTGTTGGAGGGCCTTCAGGCCTAGACTTCTCTGTGTCATCATCGGTTGGCTCATCCTTGACTTTGACTTGATTTCCACGCTTGGGAGGTCGGCCAGGTCGACGCTTCTGACCCTCAGGGCGAGAAGCCTGAGGTCGTGGGGTAGGAGCTGGTCGATTAACCCGTTCTTGGTTCCGACGACGCTCTCCGCGGCGAGCAGGCGGTTGGTGGCTACTTTCTTCACACAGGCCCTTCCACTGAGGCAGATTGTATGTGCGCTGTCGTTCAATATTGGCCTGTGTGTATGTTCCGTGCGATCCATGGAACTCCTGCATGATAGGATTCTTCACACGGATGGTTTTCACTTGCTCGTCCAATGGGGGAAGTGATTCGGACCTTGAGGAGGGAGACATGAGCACAACCATCCACATCATTCTTCATTATTCCAAGCACTCACCACTCCTTTGGGGGAACCACTTTCACGATACCCGCTTGCATTCCATACTTGTCAATCCTTTTGATAAAGGACTGGAAGTCAGAGAATTGATCCATTGTCTGAGAAGATGAATGACCTGTCAGTGACACTATCCTAGCTGCAGCATCTCCTCTTGAGATGAGGATTTGTCGGAGTGGTTGAGCCATGACAGCTGGAGAGAAGTCTGCAAGTTAGGAATACTCACTGGCTTGAATACTGGGATCTTTCCACCGCCATAGTAATGGTCGGGTTCGATATCTTCAAGGACCTCCAGTTCTTCGGAATGCTCCCGCTTGATCGAAGGTTCGCCAGGCCCTGCAGCAGATTTGAAATCCAGCTCAAGATCTGATAACTCCGAGGGCACCCCTTCAGGCGCATCCTTCTTTCCGTTGGCGCTCTGGGGTGGTGTGATGGAAGCCGACTCGAACTCGACAATTTTACCACCTCCTGAGACTTCCAACCGAGGCGGATCCAAAGTCGCCGCCATGGTGAACAGCAAAGAGAAAAAGAGACGTAAGGGGAGGAGGTTAAGGGTTCAGGTGCCGTCGTCGAGTAAAGCGACCGCTGATCGACGGCGATAGGGTGTGATTCCCAGCGGTCGGGGAAAGGCGACAAAGATCGACAAGCCGGAGTAGAGAGAAAGTCGTAAATGAGTAGTGTTAAAGGGTTCTCCAAGCTTGTCAGGGACGAGAGGACAGTCGTGAAGATTGCGACAGGAGTCGATGTAGGTTGTACGGAGGACGATCGCGCGATAAGGTCCGTTCGGAGGCTCTTTTTTCCCTAGGGCGGGCCAAAGCAAAAGGTTTTAGTCCGAAGCGCCAATTAGAAGGATCAAATGGCGACCAGTTGCTGCGAGGAAGGAGATGAGGAACAGGGGCAAGAAAAGGGAAGCGGCTGCAGAGTCCTCAAGAATGGACGAGTCGATAACCGTCCCAGTAGAATAGCAATAAAGCACAAGGTGCTAGACTAGGTTCGCCAGGCGCCAGGGAGCCACAGAACAAGAGAAAGGTGAACAATTTAGACCACCAAAAGTGGGCCAACCATGCAGGCGCCGGGGCGAGGGTGGAGTGGGTGCACGATGGCCTGATACTCTGAGGCAGGCAGGGAGGAAATCAGGGTGAGGAATGGGATTGGGGATTGGACTAATCAGAGTCCAGTATGGCAGGGGATGGGGGCCGTTCAACTCAGACGGGAAAAGTGGGCTTATGATGGTGAGTGTGCCTGTAGGAGAGCCGCGACGGGACTGGGCTCTTGTCTGCTCCAGCCGGTCTCGGTCTCGACGGCTAAATGTGATGAGGTCCGGGCTTGGTTCAAGGGAAGGGAGCAGTAGAAGAAGGGGAACACAGGAACACCGCAGAATGAGATATTGCATAACTTACCTCAGTGTGCGCAATTGTCGAAGATACTCGGAGGTTTTTGAGCAGAAGTGAAGAAATGATGAGCACTTGGTAGGAGTCGAATGCGATTGCGACTGCTGATGCGACAGGCTGAGAGCTTGGCCGATGATTATAGTCATGTGACATCACGTGATCTTGGATAAAGCTATATTCCATACGTAACGGTATTAAGTTGAACATTCCATGAAGGATTATTATCAATTTGGTCACAATACCCGTATTTAATACAAAAGGTCTGTGCGCGGGCTTCGGATACTACCGGAGCTGGTGGTGCGATTCCAAGTCACTGATCTATGAAACAATTGCGGGCATTTGTAGCAAGCACATACTGGCCCTTGTATGCATGGTTTTCTCGGTTTGGGTAAGCTGCGCTTGCTAGTCTACTTTTTAAGATTCTGCAGCATATGTGCATAATAGCGTAACAATCTTCAAGTTCTGCGCATCAGGCCATTGTATTTGAATATAACGCTCTTTTCATTATAATGTCACGGTCTATCCCGAAGGATTGAGGTCTATTAATTACTATGCCCACTCCCCATTTAGATGCTCATCCAAGTTGATATATCCATCAACAACTGCCAGCCCCCGTAACCGCTCCTGCTCGATATGCTCCCACGTCCATTCCTCGGTGCTCCATGAGTCCAAGTTGGCCTTCTGTTGCTCCTCGAGAACCTCGCGGCTAGGAATCTGGCTATCGTTCAACTTCAGGACCTCCCGCACAAGAGAGCTATCCACACCACCAGTAGCTGTGATTCCTTCGACACTAGCAGGAGTGCCGATTGCCGAGGCTTCGGTTGATGAGTCTACCGCGCCGACAGTCTGGCTCTCGACGGGTCGAGTGGGTAGGAAACCGCCTAAGCGCAGAATGCGCTCCGGCGCAACTGTCAAACGCCCTTTCTTCACGACGTACTTGCTAATAGCCGTAGCCAGCAACGTCTTCTCGCCGCCGGATTGCTTAGCCGGGCGCACGAAAGAAGACAGGATGTACATCCACTTCTTATCCCAAGAGATCACCTTGGAATGCACCTCGTACAGCTCATAGGGCTTAATCTCGCGCTTGAAGCTGCAATATACAGATCCAAGCACGATACTGACCGGCTTGCGCTTGGGTGCGCGCTTGCCCTCTTTCTTGCTGGCTTCCAGGAACTCCTTATCCAGCTCTTTACTGACGAGGCCGACGCCAGGACTATACAGGCGGGTCACGAGTGCCGTACGCGACACATCGAGGTCTGTAAAGTAGGTGCTGTTGGATTTGTGCAAGTTATAGTCAGTCTCCAGCAGCGGAGTGCGCGACGTGATCCAACATGACCTAAAGACTGGATGTATGGGCTTGCCTTGTGCATCAACAATGGCCTTTCCCTTGGGCCAGAATGGAGCACTAGGCTTCAGTCTTAGGTTGAACAAGCAATGGTACAGGATACGGAGCTGGAAGATCGGTCAGCAATGTCACACAACATTCAGGGTCGAGTGTCCCTGAAAGCCAATCACAACGGACGTGTGCAAGTACAGCCTGCATCTGGACTTACATGCCAAATGAATGGGAGGTTCTTGAGGTTGATGATGGCCAAGATCAAGGCCAGAGTTTTCCATGTCGCTAGTGAACCCAGGGCTGACAGTAGCTCGCCTAGGCCCCCTGCCTGGAGCGTAGATAGGACGGTCGACATTCTGAGCTTTTTGAGAAGGAAAGAAATGAAAATCTCCCGTGAAAACAGACAGTCAATCACTAGCTGAGGTTGCTCTCAGTGGCTGAGCTGAGCTGATAAGCGATAAGTAGATATAGTCCTGCGCGACTATGGGTTGTGTTCTTTTGTTCAAGGGAGTTTGAAGCGGGGACCCCGGATTCGACATAAATTTGATGAGGAGAGACAAGGATCTTGCAGAAGATGGAATTGCAACTGATGAAAGGAGATCACCACAGGAGTATTCAGCTCATGCCGAGCGAGCCGATCATCAATCACAATCACAATCGATCATTCGTCATTTCTGTTGGGACATGGAACCGAGGCCTCGGATAGCTAGGTACACGTGATGCTGACTCAGGTTTTGTACATGGAAGCCGCGCTGATGAACAAGTGCCTGAACTTGGACAATTTTTCATGATAATAGCCATTCTGGTATTAGCTTGATAAAATCGATAACTTCGAATGCCAATCTTCGGTACCTGATACCTTTTTATCGGCGTGAAGGAGGTGTAGGTTGATGTGATAGCTCATCTAGTGATGTCCAATATGAATGTATGAACTTTACTGCCTGGTCTATCAGGCATCAACCAGTTTTTCCATGTCTTTCTCGTGTTTGCTTCTTTCCTTTATTATATTTTTCCCGCTGAATTCTTCCGGATACCTTTGTTGGATGCTATGTACTATTTGCTTCATCATCGAGCTATAACAAAGGAAATTCAACCTACATACCCGATTGGTCAATCTAAGGAGCGCTGAGATATATATCCCAAAATGGCCCATCCTTTACTCCGATATAGTGGAGCTGCAGCAAACAGCAATTTATTCGTCTTCATCAAGAGGGATAATTCTTTCCTGTTTCAACACTCCTTTCCCTGGCTCATGTGTCTGGTATCTGAGTATCACGTGTGATTGATCTTGTGATACCTCCAAGGAATGGTCCTGTGGTATATTTGACCAAGACCCCGGATTACTCGATGCAGCCATGGCCTCCTTTTCAAGTTGAATAACTTGCCGTGCGAATATAGAGAATAGACGAGAATCCCAAATGCCTTCTCGGTGAGACCATTCTTCAAGCACATTGAGAGCCTGATGCTTTAGATCAAAGTCCCTGCATTTCCAGCATATGAAAAACAGTGATGGAATGATGCCCATATCCAGGAGTAAGGTGGGTCTAGTGCTTGAATTGCTCTCGTCCTTGAAACTTTGGGAGATTTTGTTTGACAGGAACAGCATTTGCTGGAAGTTGCTCGAATAGTCATCGTAGATAGACTGATCCTCGCCGCAAAGTAGAGTCTCCACTAGTATCGAAAAGCTGATGTGATGCAAGATGATTAAATCAAGTCCTCGCTGTTCTTTCAAAGATGTCGGATGAAGGCATTGAGTCATGGACATGTCAAGCTGCTGCCTAAACTCGCGGTATTGAGCAATTAGTTTGCTTTGTGCATCTGATAGCCCAGGGTGTAATTGAGCTACGCGGTCTTTGACTGGGAAGCGGGAAACAGCAGCGAAGAAGCGGACGCTGCTGGCTAGGATTCTGTCCGAGACCACCTGTACTTCTTGAACGGTTTTGAAAAGAGTCCCGTCCAATCTATCATGCAGGAAGCTCAAAGCGGATTCTGTTCCAGGAGGGGGACCGAAGAAAACAGACTGTGTTTCCAAGCGGGTTATAATCGCCAGAAGTGTCTTTTCAGCAGCAGTACGCACGACTCCGGATCCTTCATGAAAGTACCGGCGCTCTTCCTCAACGATCGCAAGTCCGTTTTTGAGATGTAATAGCGCCGGATCATATTGACCGCGAAGTACATTGATTACTACAAATAACAAGCAGCAAGTAAGAATAATATCACGTAGTTTTGGATCTTGCGAATACCGCCGCTCATTCAGTGCAGCTAAGGATCGACCATATTGACCGATTGCAAACTTCTGACGACGGTTTGCCAAATTTTCGCGTGATAGAGGGGCCCCTCGCAATTGAAGGTCTTCATGCAAAGTAGCGAGTGCAACGACGGCATGAATGACCGCTCGTTCGGAATGGCTCATAGGAAGAATCAGATCCTTCCATAAGCACGAGTCAAAGAAGCCGTTCATATTGGGCACGGTAGCAGTTTGGAAATATGCGAATGCTCTTCGTTCCTCTGGACTTTCCCCAGGGCAATTGTACGCGGGCCGGTAGAGTGTTAGAGACTGATCCGGTCTCTGGTCACTTTTGCCGGCCAGCAAAAGTCGGACGACATCGTATCCTTCACATTTCCATCCTGCTGAAGTACAATTGCGGCACGCTCCAGGCGTCTCATCGCATTTAACGCGTCTGATTCTGGGAGATGTTAGCTGAATGGTGCGTAAGGTCTCCAAAAGTGCTAAATTAGTCCGAACTCACCGACAAGTTCGGCACCCGGTTCTTGATCGCCTAGAGAATGCCTTTTTCCTCGGTTGAGAGATCATGACAGGAACTTGCCGATAAGTGAGGCTCACTAGAGAAATGCTTCCCAAATAAGTTCATCTTAGCAAAAGCTGAGAGTGGGGGCAAAAAGAGACTGTTTGATCTCATCTTGGCTGCCTAAACTCAATCCCCAATTACAGTTGGTATGCCCTCAAAAGTCTATTCTTAGAAACCCCGCCGATCAATAGGCTTTTTAGAAGTACTAAACTATTTTTATCGAATATATAGAGGTTCAAGAAAATACGTATCTCACAGCTATAGCAGGGTATTACCAAACCCCAGATACAACCTAATGTACGGAGTAGTAAATCTTGTGTTTGCTCTCTGACTAAAAAAAATCCGGAATCGCGAATTGATAATACCAAAACAAAAACGATGAACTGCTCGCAGCAAATTTGCACAAAATGTGTTATATCTACCCGCTTCAATATAAGCATGCCCGTTCTTGGAGCGATGAAGAATAAAGTTCGGCTCCAAGTCTCAGCCCAGGCTCCTCATTTCGCATTGAAGTTGAGTGGAGCGGTATTGAGTCCAAGCTGCAAACCGCTATTATTGTTTCCGAATGTGACACTTCCAATTGAATAGTTCCCAGCGCTGGTCCCTGTTCCTGCAGACTCTTTAAGATTTGACAATAAGTCCTCAAGCAGTTTCTGGGAAGTTCCTAGTGCCTTCTGCTGCTCCTTCAACTGGTTGATAGCGTCTTCATATTCAACATCACCAGGAACACTGGTGATGCGGAAATGCTTCAGCTTGCTCTCTATTTCAGAGGTTTCACTCGCTGCTTCTTCCGAAGCCTTTACCAAATCTCCTGACTTGGCGACAATGTTTTGTCTAATCTCATCGGTGATTTGACCTTGTTTAATAGACTTCAGGCTGTACATAGTCCTTTTTGTAAGTATGTGTACGTTTGTCTAGGCTCAAGGGACATTCATACAGTGTTGCGATGCTCACCACAGAGGTGATCTTGGTCTGGCAGGTCTGAATTTCCCCACTCATCGAGATAAGGTGATGCTGTTTAAAGAATCCAATCATGGATCGATCCAACAAAGACAGACTACCGTCTTTAGAGCGCTTAGTCCACTTTTGAACGTCTGCGTTGAATCTCTCGCAAGTGGCGGTGCTAGTAGTAATCGTCGCTCTCGCGTTGTCCACGAGTGATGGGCCAAGAGACTTCCATTCATTGTCATCGATACTCTTGACAGAGGTAAGTGCCATGGTCAGGGAGTCAATGTTGCCAGTCAGGGTTTTGATGTTATCCGGCGCATCTTTGATTGACTTCAAGTCGTTGAGGAGAGCCCGGGAAACCTGCAACGCGGGCGCAACGATGCCCACGACACCTGCCGTGACGCTGAAAGGGTCCATCATTTTGATCGAAGGTGAAGAGGTGAGTTGTCAAGCAGGATAAGCAGCATTTGTCTCTTTTCTATCCAGGGCGCTTAGCGCGGGGTCACCTGATAATCAGCCTCAGCTGAAGGCGGGGGATTGTGCTTCATGTCCCACTGCCCCACTGCCCAATACCGTGATTGCGATTCTACCATACCAATGGAATATGTAGGTATATCGAATACCGTACTGGGCTTCTGGTCGGGACTGGGAATGGCACGGTGCCTAGCGCGATGCTTCTACGTATATGACGCACTGGACATGTTGCCTTGAAATCACCATCACTGCTTATCCGAAGACAATCTGTTAATGAACGTTTGAATATCCTCACAGGAGATCGACCGTGGTCGAATCACCTTGCCTTTACAATACGGATTGGACTGATAGTGCGACATACTAGAATCTAGAATTCGTGGACCGCTAATAAGCTTAGGCCGTCAATAAGATGCTTTTTTTGCATTATATTACAAGGATAATCAATCACTACATACATATAACTCAAATTTTCCTCACATTTCATCCAAATTGGGCTCCTGCTCCGGTAAATTCTGACTATCCTGCTTCTTCACAAATCCACTTGTTTTCTTCGGGGAGATACTCTCGTAGATATCAGCCTTGTGGCGCTCGATATCGGCCTAGCTAATTAGTATCTCAAAGAGTGAGCCAGACTCCTCAAGTAGACCTCACTTACAGCACTAAACTGCTCCGGTGTGGTTTGACTTTTCATTGTCGGACTCTGTTCCTGAAAGAGGTCGGATTTCATGGTTGATTCAAAGTCATCTGGGAAGGTGGTAGTAACGAAGACTGACCCCGGAATTTATTAGTGAATATGCATTGATGGAAGTCAGGAAGCTCCTGGGACATACATTCTTCACTGCCCTTGGCACTAGGCTGAGTTTTTCCAGATACCGAAGCTCTTGCGATTCTGGTGATATGGAAGGCCGATGGCTTCACAATCTGATGCTTGAGCAAGGCTGGATACATTTTGATAGATAGTAGGCTTCGTAGGTAGCTGTTCTTTGGTGTAATAATTTTGACTTGGGTATCTATGCGGATAGCCTGGGCCTCTTCCGCTATTTTATGAGCGTCGAGGACAGTACGGAGTACAGGGTCATGATGATTTCAGTCATATGATCCTTTTGCCTTTTGAATGAGCTCCAATCAGATAGCTGAATGAACAGCGGAATTCCGAGTGCCAAAATCTTTTGTTTGGGTAGGGTGAGATCGTATTGGTCCTATTGAACCATCGTAATGTGGAGGTGGCGACTTGGAGCTACAATCCATGGTTCTGGCCCTCCCGTATGACTGGCTTTCCATAGTCTAGACTTTGAAAGTCGCAAATAGACATTATTTGATTGAACTATTATTTAGCGTCACTAAAGCTTATCGAAGCATTCTTGGATCTCAAAACTCATCACTTGCCACTTGCTTACCGGTATATTCAAGATTCAGCGGGCAGATATTCTATCTCGCCAAGAAGATCAGATCGATTAGGTTCGGACCTCGATCAAACTATGATTGATCCAGACGATCGCACGAGATGATAAAGATGATGAACCTGGTCTTGCTGATGCGAGATCAACCGCATGGCCAGCAATGACGTACCTGCACAATTATATTGCCGAAAAAGGGTAAAGTTCATATAGAATATGAGGACCTGTCAAATTGACGCCGAAAATGACCACTTTTGGCGCCAGAAACGGCCACCAAGCGCCGTTAGCCATCATCTTCCGGCCGTGATGTTGGCGTCCGTACAACAGTCATTCCCTTGGATTCCACCTGCCACCGAAACGACGCCGAAAATGGCTCCCTTTTGCAGTCCCGCCTAGGCGCCCTCGCTTTCCGTCTTGCCTGGCGCACCTATAAGATGCCTCTTCTGTCGAACTTTAGAGTGTGATCCTAAGTCCTTATGGTGCACCGTAGTATAGTGCACGGTTAGATTGGAGTAAGTGTATGATCTTGTAATAGATCATAAGCAATCTTATTATAAGATTACGAGTGTGGTCGTGCGATCGAAGGATCCACGATATGGAAGAGTAACTTGATATCAGAATCAAAAGAGTGTTAAACTTGTTTAATTTAGCTATGGAAAGTAGGCAGTATTTATATCTTATGAAACATAGTGGAATGGCACAGGAAAAGAGTGGTAAAAATCCGAAATAATCATGGGGGCATGTGAGGGTGTTTGGAAACTCGTTGTTTTTTCAATCTGTCGTAATAGTTGATATCGGACATCGGAGATTAATCGGACTGGTTTAGTATGCATATTGCTATGCACACACAGTGAGGGATATTGCCCACACTCATGTTGACAGTTACTGTGTAGCGACTACTAATAGAAGTAACTCCTTATTTATAGTCGTGAGTCGCACTTACAGTGTTCAAATGGTATTTCACTTTCTGACATGCCAACAGCTTGTTAGTTGCCTTCAACGCAGTCTGAATGTACCAGTAACACTGACAAACTGGATGAATGAGGCTCGAATTTTTGAGTCCTCAAAGGAGGCTCCTGCTGGTCGCTTGGCAGGTATAATTGTCAGTGCGTGCGCTCTTCTTGCGTCAGTAAAGGAGAGGGTCGTGGACAAGTCGAACATGACTGGTTGTATTTCCGCACTCTTGTCTATTGATGAAGCTCTAGAACGCTGGGTCAAAAGCCTCACAGCTGAATATGGGTATAAGACGTCAACAGTCCCAGGAAACTACGCAGACGTGTTTTTGGAACGACACGACTCATATCCCGGAATCGAGATCACCCACACTTGGAATTTGCAGCGATGTGCGCGCATTACTCTTCGCCAAGCACTTATTGAGATCCTCTCGCTACACATCGGCTTACCGTCTTCTCAGTCAACATTGTCCTCCTTTTCTTACCGAGGACTTTTCCAAACTTCAGACATTATCATACAGCAGAACTCAAGCGATATATGCTACAGCGTCCCATATATTTTCCACTACTGCGATAAACCAGGCAGCTCAAGTGATATGAGAGCTGCTTGTATTATGTCTCTATTATGGCCCCTTTATGTTGCAGGAACAGCACATACTACCATGAGTACTACGCGCGAATGGGTTATAGTACAACTGAAAAAGATTGAAGAGATCACTGGAATTCAACGAGCAAGTCAATGGCTCTGAATATACCAAAGGGCTGCTTTTTATAGCATTTCTTTTGAGAAATTCACCGAAGGCATATAGCATTGATTCCTTTTAGGTAGTTGCTACCACTCATTGTTCTTATTAGTGTACTTTATATGGTCAGTAGGAAGTGTGCTTCCATTCCTTCTGCTTACTGGGTAACTACCGCATGCCCGTGCCGGAGAAGACTTATCTTAATATATGTACCAATTCCGCTGACATTTACCTGGAACGCATGCTAACTCAGAAGCTTAATTCAGAACAAGGGACTGAAATTATCATGGAGAAGACGTCCTACTGTGTTCTATATTTAATCCAAGCCTTGAACGCTGAAAAGTCCACCCAACGCCAGCACACTTTGCTTCGATATTTCGAAAATGGACACCTGCATTATTCACGTTGTTGACCCAGTCACGAATATTCTCTGCAAAACTTCTGGCGATTCCGGGCTTAATCCCCTTGCCAACGAAAAATTCTGGATCTTGATCCTTCTAGATGTGCTCAAGATCAAAGCCGTTAGATAGCGTGACGTCGCACGCTTGTCGAAATGCAGCTTTGAGGATATCATCTCCTACACGTGATGCAAGCCACTCACCGTATTCTTTAACGGTTGCGTCTCTGAGGCCGGGTATCTTCAATAGGCCTATATCCTTCCGCTCGGTCGTGTTTACTGCCGTCTTAGAAGCTATTACTTTCGATCTAGGGGGGAGGGACCGGAGAACATTGATGTTGATAGGTGCACATAGTGTTCCGGTCTCAACAACGGTTCCGCTCTTACGCTTTTCTTTCTCTATCCTCTGCTGCTCTTCTATATATATAGCTCTTCTTAGTTTTTAATAGGAACGTCTTTGTATGTTTCTAGGACACCACCTTTCTCGGTTTGCTTCCTCCCGCTACGTCTTGTATCTAGAGTCGACTAACTATAGTTTTTCTTAATATTGATTACTCATCTACGAAATCCAGTCCCCATCTATGTATACATGAGACCCTCACATTACGACGATAGTAGACCCCAGAAGCTATGTCGGGGTTCCTGGGGGCTACGTGGCTCCTAGAGTTCGCTTCCTTGCTCCCAGAAACGTTTCAGGAGCCCCCGGGAGTGTCAGAGATATACCTGAAGCATAGTTACGGGACGGATATAGATACGATCTGCGTGGGATCCACACGGTGCATCTGGGTTCCTCTTGGACGCGAAGAACCTACCTTCTTTTTGCTTCCTCGTGCTACGTCTTGTATGTAGAGTCAAATATAGCTTTTTTTAACATTGATTATTCATCTACATATACGTGAGACCCTTACAGGGATTAAGAGAACTCCCAGGGTCAAGAGATGAGCTCCTAGCACTGAGTGAACTGTTAATAGGAGCGTGGATATTTTCTTGATAGTAGCAGTGGATAGTCCTACAAGCCGCGAATTAAACCCGCGTAGTTGGTTCTAGGTTCACACTATGGCCTACGTATCGATAGCTCCAAATGGTGTTGACTCCAAATACCCGACGTTGAGTATCAGCTATGCAACACAAATCCATCGCTGGAGGGAATTCAATGACTCATGAGATATTCATCCCATAGGTTTTCATTAACCAATCATAGACAATTCATAGCCAATTTCAGTTCTCCAGAGTCCCCGGAAATCACGAAGCAAAATTGGAGAACCCGTAGGAGTTGCTGGAGTAGATATAAACGGTCCTCGATATATCTATCCAGTTCATGGGCTATGGCCAAGGCTTGGTTGCTCTCAATCCACCCATCCTCATTTCTTGGCCTCATTTATTGGTCTGAGTAAAGGAAACGGCTTTTTCCAAGAGAAATATGTAAACTGCAAACAATCATGTACCTAGTAACAGTTGTGGGCCTCACCGTTGCACACTCTATCTCTTGTGGGCAAGTCTCTAGCGCTGCATACCTTTTAGAAGCCAACAGTAAGCCCAGAAATTATTCCTTGTTGTTTCCTTTTGTCATGTTCGGGTTACTTCGGCCCTCATTTTAAAAGTTGAGGGCCGGGAATGGACCGCTCGATAGCATATCAATGTCTATAAATTTTCTGTTGAGATTCAAGAGACTATGAGATCTCACTACCTGATTTATCAGGCCTGGATCGCATTATCAGCACTGAACCACCATGAAGCTCGCTTTCCATGGAAGTCTTCATAAAGGGGACCACAATTCATCTCGGTTACGAGCGAGCGCATAACACCATGTCTATAAATACTAGGTGAGCAACATAGTATAGATAGACAGGCTCAAACAATCTCTTTCTCAGGGTGTATGCTACAGACATTTATATCATATGTCAGAAATATGGTGGATCTGCCTGTGGATTTCTGGGTATTTACCCAGAATATCTTACGATATCAATATCAGACACCTCACATAAAAGTGCATATTATTATTTATCAGCATATCCTACACAATTGCCAATTTCATATTTCTAGTTAGTTAGAGAGCTTGATATTACCATTCGGGTTCCCATACAATGCTGGTCACTGATTTTTGTCAGTAACAGTAAAACATTAAGGCAGCTCAGGCGATTAGTAACCTCTTCCTCTCACTTCGTTCATTTCAGGCGAGCTTAGCTTAGGCGCTACTACGCGTGGATCTGTTGAACCCTGGTAGAGGACGTTGGTATGGATACGCCTGCGATCTTGAACACGGCGTTCGCAGTTCAATATTTGAGTTATATGTAACGTTCAACAATCCTTACCAAAGGCCTTGGCTAAACATGATATTTACCACTCGGTCTGAACGATGGCAGTTCTTTCAGTCTGTGTCCATTTGAAGGAGTCACTACTGCGGAATCTTCGGTCCCATTTCCTGCCAAAACTTGCAGCGATTGCCCCTACCGCCTTCCCAGGTTACACCATCAGACAATGTATAGCTGTTGGATAGCCCAGGCTCAGCAATCGACGGCACCAATGTGCCAGCAGCGTTATAGAATGCCGGTGTTCCACCCGTCATGTTAGCTGACAACTGGGCCCGCTGCTCAGAGTTCCATGGCTTCCACTGCGTCATATCCGCGGTCCGCGGGTCGCAGTTGGTCCCGCAGGCAAGGTTCTGAGAGATGCGAGGATCGCGGTGCACGATGAAATTTCCCCATATACCTGCATACCCCTGGTCAGTAGACTTGCGGCTGCTTTGGAATAGGAAACTCACTCTCAAAAGCAATGACAAACTCGGCTGGCCAGTTTCCGTTCCTGTAAAAGTACGCTCCCATGTCGTACCCATGGGGGCTGGGCGGGACGGAAAACTCGTACTTCCAGGCTTCGGGAAACGCCGCAGCTAACCAGTACGCGGGACAGACAAACAGAACTTCAGCTTGCAGGTTCTATACAGTATTAGCACAGCTACCCCAAAGAACCCCCAAGAGATGTCGCATACGTTTACGCGCTGTTGCTCTCCATTAGCCCAACCGCTCATCGTCAAGGCCGTCGGTCCCGTGTATCCAAGAGTGGAGTAGTTAGTCATGTGAGGGTTGGTGTCGCCGCTGGAGGGATACACCTCCTTGAGCTTTGAAAAGTCCGAGTCCGAGAATAGGGGAAAGACATCCCGGAAAAAGTTCTCGGAGTCGGCCGACGTGACAATGTTGTTCGGTGTGAACCAAGGTTGGGCCTCGTTGGCGTTGTTCTGCATGACAAGTTAGCGATGATGCTTGGGTCACGGATGCGGTTTTAGACCCTCACCCCGATCAAGATACGTTTGCCGTTGACTTGTTTTCGTCTTAGCTGTTGAGAGGGTAACTGTTGAAGTATCACACCGTCCGTGACTGGCACGAAACCCCACGAGGTATATGTCCTGGAATTGTCTAAGGATTGTCCTGCTGTGCTCAAGATTGTGGCGTTAGCCTGCACAAGGCAGTCAAATACTGACTGCGCCCCTGTGCATCCAGTTAGACTTGCCACATAGGCATAAGCCGATTTGGCTACGTCGTCGTCGTAGTTGAACTGTTTCGGCAAATATGGACTAGCTCCAATAACCTGCAGGAAACTATTAATTCAAAGCCAGAGCTGATTTATAAAGATTCTATGACACCCACCGAAGTGAAGAGACTATCGCCAAGGTGCCCACCGCGTAATAGGGAAAGAAGCATCACGGCACCGGCACCGGCAGACTCACCTCCAATAGTGACTCGCCTGGGGTCCCCTCCAAATAGGTGGATATAGGTTTGAACCCATTGCAAAGCAAGTTCCATGTCCAAGAGACCAGCATTGAGTTGACCACGTTTCTTCACTTCCTCAGACGAGAGAAATCCAAAGACACCAAGCTATCTCCTTGTTAGTTTTTTGCTGTATTCAATCACTGAGATTTCCCGTACTCTGTACTGTATGAAGACAGTCACGAATCCATTGTTATTGTCCTCAATAAAACCTGTTGGATTGAATGCTGCCGATCCTTGGTTGTAGCCGCCACCATCTACAACAGAGTTACGTATCGTTAGAGGATCGACAAGCTGGGCCTAGCGGCGACAAGATATACTCACGAATAAACACGAATACTGGCAGGTTGGAAGCATTTTGTGGAGCGTGGACATTAAGAAACAGACAGTCCTCCGAGCCACTACACCCTCGTCGTTAGTTGCTCGGAACGATCATGTACATCCAGAGCCAGGCAGGCAAGGGAGAACAACAATCGTACCTGCCACTTCCTTGGGTACATTGCACTGGCCAGTCAGTCGCCGATGCAGTCCTGGTGTCGTTCCCGTCGGGAACTTGAGGTGCTTGGAATCGCCTGATTCCTGCGGTGGAAGCCGCATAACGAAGCCTGACAGTTCAGTGAGAACTAGACACGAGCCGGCTTGAATAGATTCCACAATACCCTAGCCAGGCGTTCAGACTGGAGTCTTGTTTGCCTCCAAAGCGCCCGTAGCCAAGATCAACGACGAGTCCTTGGATGGACGCTGCTTGCGACCATTTGGAGTAGGGATTGGTGAGCGGCTGAGTATTACCAATAGCCACAAGGCCAATGATGGTCAAATGAGACCACTTCATGGTAATAGAGTGCGTTTTGTTGTCTTGCGCAGTATTCATGCAGAAGTATTAAAATGGATCTGTATTGATGTCAGGAATTTATCTCACTCTAGACGGGCACTTGGCTAAATAGTTGAGGTTAAATTACCCCGCAAGACGTCTGGCAATCCATGATGCTAACTACCCCGTGCTGCGACCCAACCCCCTCTGAACGCTCCCTTTTCCTGTTGGCCACTGTAGCTTCGGTTTCACGGTTAATTTAACATTTTCTTTGTCTATCGGCAACGGACCTACAATCGTCCACCAAACACCGAGATTGAGAAGGATCGAGGAGAATAAGAATCCGGATAATATGATTAAGCTAGTGTATTCAGGGTTGATAGAAATTTCCGGCCACCTTTAACCTCGAAGCCGAACCTATTCTGTGTGCGGAGAGCGAGACGGGGTTGGATGTCTGGGGTATATCGCGATAGGTGGAGAAAGGAGTGGGTCAGGTCCCAAAGGCGGCCATAATCAACCTGTCGTATTAAACTTTCCGGAGTAGCATTGTTGAGATGACGTTTCTCAGCTTCACCTTTGAACTAGAGTTTCGAACTGGCAGGGGTCTGCTATTTTATTTGCCGGACCCTGGCCATTTTAGGAAAATTTGCGGTTGCTCTCCAGCAGCATCAACCGGCTGAAGCTGTGCTGCTAAATCGACCACGTATCGTACCCGCATTTCCATAATATGAGAATCTCGAAATTTAATATAAATTTCCTGCTAATGTCGCGACTCACTCACCTAACACACCGGTTCGGCTTTTGTCAATTCCTACTGCCATGCGTCTTCCAGTCAATTTCATTACTGTTGGGTTTGCAGCCAGCCTTTGTGCTGCATCGCCAGGTGCAATCCAGGAGCGGGCATCCACCTTCTCGAACCCCATTCTGTGGGAAGATCTTCCCGATATCGATGTCTCCCGCGTCGGAGATGTCTTTTACTACTCGTCCTCAACGTTCGCTTACTCGCCAGGCGCCCCAGTGCTGAAGTCGTACGACCTGGTCAACTGGGAGTTCGTCTCCCACAGCGTGCCGACTCTGACATTTGGCTCTAAGTACAATCTCAACAATTCCACCGACCGTGCCTACGTTAAGGGCATTTATGCCAGCACTCTTCGCTATCGCCACTCCAATGACATGTTCTACTGGATCGGATGCGTCGAGGGCAGCACCTATATCTACACCTCGGCGGGCAGTGGAGCTGGTCGCAATGGCGGCGAGGCCGCCTTCTGGAACTGGAAGCAAAGCGCGGTCCTAAACAAGTGCTACTATGATTGCGGCTTGCTGATCGACGATGACGATACCATGTATGTGTCTTATGGCAGCACCAACATGTACGTAGCACAACTCTCCAAGGACGGGCTTTCCGAGGTCAGGTCGCAGCAGGTTTACACTGGGGGTAGTACCTTCATTGAGGGCAGCCACATCTACAAGATTAATGGATACTACTGGATTGTCCCGACCAAGGTCCCCGTTGGCGAATGGGTTTTGCGCTCAAAAAGCCCCTGGGGTCCCTACGAACAGCGGGTGCTCTTTGACAGCGTCAAGGGGCCCCTTTCTAACGCGGGATATGCCCACCAGGGGGGCATGGTCCAAACTGCAAGCGGCGATTGGTGGTATATGGCTTTCATGGACTCGTATCCCGGCGGACGGATCCCGGTTCTGGCACCACTGACCTGGTCGACGGATGGATGGCCGCAGCTAGTCACGGACAGTAATGGTAACTGGGGCAGCTCGTATTCAATGCCGGTACAGACAAGGAAGAGGGTTCAGGCGCCGACGGGGACGGACCACTTCATGGGCCAAGCACTTAGTGACCAGTGGGAGTGGAATCATAACCCCGACAAGAGCAAGTGGAATATGGCTGGCGGGTCGGGTGGTGTCATACTGAGGGCGGCAACGGTGACAGACGACCTTTTCACGGCGCGCAACACGCTCACCCACCGTATCATTGGGCCAAATTCCGTCGCCACGTTCGCTTTCGACATCGGCAAGATGCAGGATGGTGACCGTGCAGGTGCAGCCCTCTTCCGCGATACATCAGCTTACATTGGTATCCACAAGTCCGGGTCAACGGCGCAGCTTGTTATGGTTAACGGCCTTGCTCTCGACGCCAGCTGGCTGACAATCAATAAAGGGTCTGTGGCGGCTACCGGCCCAACCGTGACCTCGTCGAACTTGTGGCTGCGCGTTGTGGCCGACATCACACCCGCATTGTACGAGAATTCCGTCCGGCAGGCAACCTTTAGTTATAGCACGGACGGTGCATCATTTACCCAGCTCGGGCCGGCGTACCTGTTGAATAACACAGTGGATTACTTCACGGGATATCGGTATGCAGCTTTCAATTTCGCTACCAAGAGTCTTGGAGGCCAGGTCACGCTGAAAAGTTTCTCGATGGACTTCCCTGGTAACGCCACGTCTCCTTCATTCTAACACTTTTTTGCCCTTCCGCCGGAGGCTTGTCGACTAACGCGGATGGAGGAGAGGGGCTCCGCGCCTGTAACCAATGTGACATGCAGGTACTCCTGCTACTCATCGCGGACAATGCGCGATCATAGGTAGAGGGGTCGTTTTCTTGTTGTTTATATAACTCGGCTACAATACCTCATATATAGGGTGCAGGTAGCGGCTTATGCCCACCGATGAATGAAGAAAAGATGCAAGCTGTGTTGCTAATTACTTCTAAAAATTCACAATAGCTAGGCTTAGAGTGAATTGAAAGTAATAGAAGTGTCGAGCTATTTAGATACTACGTATTATCGTAAATCAAGAATTTTAGTGAATAACTATAGTTATATTGGGGAGTTAGATCATGCTGCGATCTCTATATAAGAGAAAACTGTATGTCTGCTAAGGTATTTGTAATACCTTAGGCCGCTGATATGCTACTGTCACGAGAGTCACCACACACTATGTGAAATAGGTGAATTCATCGGAATATATAAAATTAGCCGTTATGGTGGTATGCATCCCCGCGCCGAAAATAGGGTGGAGGGCCGCGACTACGGGGTTTCCTAAGTTTGAAGCCCCTACAAAACTTCAGAATCATCTTACCTGTCATAAGTTAAAGGATGAACTAAGAGATAATAAGCGATTATATCAGGAAAAAATAGTATTCGAGATAGACTTCTGGAATACGCGTATTCGTCTGTTAGCACAATAAGGTTTTAACTCTTCAAGGCTAAATAGTCTTCGAGATAGACTTCTGGAATACGCGTATTCGTCTGTTAGCACAATAAGGTTTCAACTGCTGCATTAAGGATACCTAATTCAAGATGCTTAGGTTTGGCTCGGAACCCCGCCCCCCAACTCCCTCCTCTACGTTGCTGGATCGCTGGTGGAAATCTCCGCAGGACTTTCCGGCGGTAGAATATCGATCCCTGTTGTGCGGGTGAGTGTCTCGTCCTCATGTTCATAAGTGGCGTGGGGCTTTTCAGGGTCCAACGCCAATCAAAACGGGTTTGTTTCCCCAGGCAGAAACTTCCTACTGCCCCAGAATGCCACATGATCTGCATTATGAAAACATGATAGACCAGAGATCAGGCTATTCACAATGTCTCCTGGCTAGAGGTAATTATTATTTTTTTCTTTTTCAGTTCAGTGCCTCTATACCGGGCGTCCGTCCACGCTGCTAACCAGATCAAACGCAAACTCTCTGATGTCAGTTTGCACTATCAAAATGAATTACTCCTTCTGGCCACCTTCGGGCTTCAGACAGCCTCCAGCCAAGCTCATACCCAAAACACGACCTACAACAACCCCATTCTTCCCGGTAGCACTCGGATCCTAGCTGCACGTTCGTTCCAGAATCGAATAACATGTTCTTGTGCACCACATCTTCGTTCCTGGCCTCCCCAGGCCGCCCCATTTTCGCAAGCACAGATTTGGTCCACTGGGATCTAATCAGCAATGCGCTCAATCGCCCACCACAGTTTCCAGAGATCCAAACCTCGACAAATTTCTAGAAGTTGGGAAACTTTGCATCTACTCTGCGCTTCCGCGATGGTACTTTCTACTTGACCACTGCTTGGTTAAACCTCGATAACAGTAACGTTAAAGTTGAGATTGTACTGTTCACGACCACTGATCCGTATGATGATAGTGCGTGGATGAGATCTTTCTAAATTCAAAACCCTTTGAGCGCTATCGATCTAGACCTCTTCCGGGGTTAATGATAGTAGCATTATAATGGCATTTTCCGGGTCACCCATTAAAGCCTCCTATATTGACTTGAAAACTAGTAATGCAAGTGAACTATTTGATTTGTGGAATAGCACTAGCTACAACAACCAAGAGGGTCCCTATCTATACAAAAATGATAGTTACTATTATCTTCTTATTGCCGAGGGAGGTACGGAACTACACTACTCTTCCACATTTGCGCGCTTAAATAGTATTGAGGATACTTGGGAAAGTTCGCCGCATAATCCCTTGATCTCGGCTAGGCATACAGACCGGTACTTCCAGACAGTGGGTTATTCGGACCTTTTCTAAGACAAGGCGGGTAATTGGGGGGGGGGGGGGTTGCGCTGTTAACTCGAGCGGGACCGGTGCTGTACAATAAGGGTTTTAACTAATGGGCCGAGAGACGGTGCTATACTTAGTGGGCCAGCCCGAGGGAGATTAGCCACTGGCTGATTAATTTAGGGGTGAAATAAGTGGCCCTCTGCCACCAAAATATACTGAGACATGGTCGGTGCGTACTTTTATGGGTGAGCTAGATATCGTAGACTTTGTTCCCGGTCCCATATTTCCTAAGTACTAGGTCTTTTGGCGTGCGCTAGCTAGGCCGGAGTCTTTCAAGATCTCTCCTCCGGGCCACCCTAATACGCTCCTATTGACAGCCTCTAGAGCTAATCTCACTAGAGACTCGTCCTTCACAGCTCTAGATAACTTGACTCTTTTAGCCCGCCGCCAGACGAACACACCCTTTGAAATTTCCATCGATGTGCATCCTGGTTTCTATAAAGCTCAAGGTGACGAGGCTGGCGTGACAGCCTTTTTACATCAAGATCAACATATCGACCTAGGAATCGTCTTCCTTGGTGGCTCTCCGAACTCAAAAGGAAAACTGAGCTTCCGCTGCCAGGCTACTGACGTCGGTAACACCGATCTCACCATCATATCTCCACTGGTAATGCCTGTTCCCTTGTTATGGTTATCAGAACATATTCGCATCTATATCCGCGCCGAGAATAGTACCAACTATCGACTTTCAGCCGCGCCAGTCTTCCGACCTCACGAGTCCAGAATGTTAGCAACATTTACTGGAGCACTTATCAGTAGTCCCGATGTTTTCACCGCTGCCCTACTTAGAGTTTATGCTACCACCAACGGTGGTAATCATACCATGGAAGGGTATGTCAGTAGATGAAGATACACCCTGTCACTCAGCAGATTAACTATAATAATCTTGTGTGAAGCTGGGGGGTCTCTGAAACTATATGTTCTTAAATACGCCAAGTAGCCAGAGCCGCATACAGGTCGTTCGTCACTGTGGTTGTGCGCAACGTGAGGCCGTTGTTTACAGGGTATGAAGTCGAGTTGGGGGGGGGGGGGGGGGGCAAGGGAGGTTCCCTGGAAAGAATCGGTTCCAGTCGGACTGGCAAGCTCTTGAGGCGTCATCGGATAGGGGTAGGAAGTTCGCCAACCTCCATTCACAGTGGTGATGACAGTGAATCCGTCCGATCCAAAGGTAATGGGAGCAAAACCGGGGACGCGACCTCCAGGGTAGCTGTCCACGACGGCCATGTAGTACCAGTCGCCGTTGGGGGTACCAACAATGCCTCCCTGGTGAGGAATACCACCCCCAGGAATCGGTATCGCGATATTGCTTTCAAACAGCTTCTGAGTATATGGACCCCAGGGGCTGCTGGATTTGAGGACATACCCCGTGTTGGCAGGGAGATTATTGAAGATGTAGTACTCCCCGTTGATATTGTAGAAGCGCGATCCTTCGATTGATCCCACGGTTGACGAGAACACTTCCTATGTCTTCACCTGGCTGAGGCCGTCTGAGGAGAATTGAGCAACGTGAATTTGGACACCTCCGTACGCTACGTACATGATGTCGTCGTCATCGATGAGAAGGCCGCAGTCATAGTAGCATGTGTCGATGATGCTACTCTGTTTATATGGCCCCGTCGCGGAAGACGCAGTGAAGACGTAAGTCTTGTGGTTGTGGGCTTGGGTTCATCGCCAACGTGAATTGATACTTTAGGTACGTATAGTTTTGAACACATCATTGCTCTTTCTTCCGTTGAACTATTTTTCAGCCTGCGTTCACCAAGTGCGAGGGAAGACCAGGAGGTTGCTAGGGGCGAAGTCTTCCACTCGCTTGCGGTCTCTCTCTCTTTCCGAAGCTCTCCGACCTCCACTTTCCATCGTGACACCAATTGACTCGCAAGCAACAACACAACAACAAATCAATGGTTCAGCGTCAATACTCCCGGGCGATAAGGTAGAAGGTTGTAGGTGGGGTTGATATTGGGGTCTCGCCCCTGGTAAAGGAACTGCAGATTGCACGGGTCAATAGACATAGTTTGATCCGGGTTGCTGCGAACCAAATCGCCGTGACTAATATCATTCGTCCAGGTAGCACCACTGTTAGCCTTTCCAGCAAAAGGCTGGTTCTCGGTACCGGCCTGCACAGTCCACGAGCCTCCGAGGCTGTCGGCCGTGAAGGAGCGGAAGTAACGCCCATTGACGCCCATCGCCTCCACAATCATGAGATACTTGTTCTGCCCCGAGACGGTATAGACCTGCACGGCCTCAAATAGGTTGTTGGGGGAATCGCTCAAGACGACCTCGTACGCGCTGCCAAAGGACCCGGGGAAGTTGCCGATAGGCATGCTGGCGCGGTAGATCTTGCCGTTGTCGTCCGCGAAGAAGAGGTACATATTCTCAGAGTCACCGATGACGGTCTGGTCGAGGGCCGTGCCGTTGAATACACTACCAGTGAAAAGCGGATTCTCCGAAGACCATCCATTCGGATTCGAGGGATCACTCGAGGTTCGGTAGGAGAAGGTGGTTGAACCCCATTGGTAGGCGAGGACCCAGGTGGACTTGGGCGCGAAGTAGAACAAGGTCGGCGCGACGGCGGAATCAATCATTTGATTCTGACTTGCCCATTGCATTTCAGACCAGTCGCTGAAGAGCCCAAAATTCATTGAGTGATAAGCGCCTGATGTATCGGCGACCGAGGCATACACGAGATGTTGGCCATTGTAAACCACGTTGGTGAGGTCTTTGATCGAGGCCCAGCCTGACTTGGGCTGTGCTAATGGGCCAGTTGATGTCCAACTGTAGGTTGATGGGATACTACAGCTTGCTGCAACACTGCCCACCCATGCCAGTAGCAAGGCAACGCATGGCCACAAGTCTGTCTTGGCCAGTGGCGATCGCATTGTAAGATTATGTTTGGATAATTGCTTTGGAAGAAAGTGAATTGAGAAGCAGTAAAATAGAATACAACTAAAGACGTTAAATACCTTTTCTCTTTATCCCTACGGACTCTTTAAACGGAGAAATTGCGGGAGAAAGTCATCTTGCAAAAGGGTCGCAGGCGATCCATCGGGTTTTTGCCTTTCTGGATACGTCGCCGAGGCAGGATTCATGTCGATCTTTGAGAATAGAACAGCTACAAACTCCCTGAACAGGGAAATGATAGACAGGCTCAGAAACTTAGATAAGTATACCGAGTAACCACCTGGGGTGATGGATCAAGATCTCGATTGGTGATGGAGCGCTCTCGCTGTATTTGGATGCTTTCCCGAAGTTTTCGTGAACTGTGTCACTTTGAAACATGTCCCTGTTAACACATTCTTCTACCCCGCAAACTCCTTTCATTTAGCACGACCGTCGTCTTACCTAAAGTTCTTGTAGTTAGTCATTTTTAGTTATTTCATGCCCATTAAGGCGGTCTCAAGGGACGAGCGCCTCGAGACAGCAGTCAGCATGCTCGGGGCCATGAATTGTACCATGGTAGTCTAAGATTGCTGATAACACAGAAAACTTGGGATACTGAGAACTATTGCTCGGTACGTCTAGCCAAATTCCGGGAAGGCCTACAGAACCGGCACATTCACGCCCATAAGCATGCGCATATTTTCGCCATCAAAACTGCATCCTCCAATCCTCTTTGTTTAACTGAATTTCACCGACGGCAGTAACTAACTTAACCTAACTAACTAACTTAACTAAGTTAGTGCGAGCGTCTTAGTCATCAAGGATTTGTGTGTCCCCTACCCATTTTCAGCTAGTTCAGCTCATGGATATATTATCTTCATTACACATTGCGTTTCTAGCTTCATATTTGAATTAGAACTATTCACATGCTGTGGAGATCTCACACGAGCGATTAATAAGTGGGTATTACCTCCAAATGGTTGGTCGGCTATCCAGTCGACTAGTATATCGTACGCATCGTTATAATATGAGACGTGAATTGTCGAGGCTACATTTTAAGACTCGTTTCATCGTGAATGGGAGGCGTATTGGGGCACTAAACCTAGAAAGGCAAAACTAACTGGAACAGGCAATTCACAGGTCCGCCGTTTACAAGTAATACTGTATAATGCATTATCTCATGGAATCCTTCTATCTCCATTCCATGAGGTCCTTTCAGACGTCACTAATATGGAGACTGATGTATGTTCACCCTAACCCAAGGCATGACATAGCTTCAACTTATCAAATCCCATACCTTCTAGAAGATCGCCATGCAATTAGGCGTACTAGACACTCCCCGAGCACAATTCAATGGACTACTCGAAATAAAGAAACTCCAACGCCCCAATCTTTCACAAGTAGCCGCCAACTCATCCAAATCAAACATCTCTCCAATCGGCACTCCCCACCCAGCCAACAGGTGATGGTGTAGATCATACTCTTCGTTGATCGCAGGGAACACCTCAAAGCTCACTGCGTCAGACGCAACAGCTGCAAAGTGGTTATCCCACATGAAGCGTAGTACTCGCTCACTCTGTTCGATACCTGCATGCTGCGGCATGCGCTGCTCGCTGTATGCCTTGCGCTCTTCCGCAGACATAGCCGCCCATGTCCCTGGCAAGCCCACGCGGAGGAAGAAAATATCGCCCTTTTGGAAGGTAATGTTGCAGTCTCGTGCGATTTCTTGAACTTCGTCGAGAGAGATCATTTGTCGAGAGAGCGCGTTTAGAGGAATGCCTCTTTTTTGGGCGTACGAGACGTAATCGATTAAAACGCCACGACCTGCAATGCCCTTCTTCGCCCAGTATCCGATTCCAATGCGTGGTGATTGAGTGTCCATGATTTCTTCAGCTGTCGTGCCGCCGTAGAAGACACCGTCTTTATTGGCATGGTGTCTGAAGCCGTCCCATTGTGAGGTTTGTTGAGGATTGAAGTGGTATTCATCGTCGAATGCAACGCCCTCGTTGACCCATTTGATGCGGTGCTCAAAGGGCTTGCGACCGAATCCAGGTGGGTTCAAGTTCTCAATGTCCCAGTTTAGACACACTCGCTCGCCAGTCTGGATTTGCGTTCGTGCCGCTTCTGCGACTATCTCTGGCGTTAGGATGCGCAGCATGCCTAGACCCTCTTCTTCCGAGCCGGCGGGCGCAGGCCAATACCGACGCTTGTCGGGGAGATCATCGAATCGTTCAGGAAGCGGTGGAATTCCTGACATGCTGATCGGATTTGATGTAGGTGTAGAGGATGCTGGCGAGTGCGGGGTATTATGAGCCCAGCTCGGGGGCTTGCGCTTCTCTTTTGTACGACGTTGGAGATTGAGTTTAGCCGGGGCAATCAAGCATAGCAGGCTAGCAACAGGCTATATAGCAGAAGCACCCCCACGATATTCGGAGCATGTCCGTGTTTTGCGTTGACGGGGGAAATGACCCCGCAACCGCTCGATCGGGAAAGTGGGCGATGAGCCGGGAAAGTGGGATACTCAGTTATGATCCGCGATGCAGTAGTTCTCCAGATCTAAGCAATCGTCAGCTTCTGCAGACTTTTTAACCTGAAGTCCTGGGTTTTGACTCCCAGGCGTTTGCATCTTGTTTTGTGGCGGGTCCTTTGGTCGCTTGGATTGTTACTTCAGGTTGCGTTTATAGTTGGAGACCATGTGCTTACTATAAGGGTTGCAAGACTGAGGCCCCCGTCCCCTGCACACATCATAATTGAAATCATCCAGAGCTAAGCAATGACTTTACCATCGACCAAGCTTTGTCGATAGATCTATCGTGACATATATTTTTCTTCAAAGAACTAATTATCCCAACGTCCACCCGGCCCACTTCTGCTGTTAAGTTCCTACCACCACTATGTAGTAGAACAAAATCTCAACATGATTTCCAGTATCATATCCGGAAACATCGCCAAGCGTCGATCAAATTTTCGTCCAGCTGCAGTCGTACCGAAAACAAATGCCAATGAATGCTATAGCAGATCTACCCCCATAGAAAAAAAGGTACAGGATGTTTGCCCACAGGGCAGCAAAGAAAACAAATTTACAGGTCATCCAAATCGTCCGTCTTCGAGCCAGAGGTTCGCTTTGGCATGTCAGACATCTCATACTCTTCCTTGCTGGCAGCTTTGTCCGAGGCAGACATGGCGATAGCCTGACGGCCAGTGTCGGATTGCTCGAGGAACTCGCGCAAGCGACGTTTGCCTTCCACGAGGGCCTGCTGGGAGGCAGCTTCGGTCATTTTGATGATAGGGCCCCACAGGTTGAGCTGGTATGTGACGTAGGCGCCGACAGCACACACAAACAACAGTAGGAAGTAGGCTGGGTTGCGGAGGACTAGAATTGTTTAGAGTTAGCAAATTGATAACAGACGAAAAGACTGTGAATAACTCACCCGCAATGATCTCATTCCAGCCCAGGGCCAGCAGAAGACCGTAGAAGTATAGTGGAACCTGGGTCATGCCACCAATGGCACTCCGCTTGGCCTCGACGTATACTCCATCGGCAGTCTTTTTGAAGCGCACAGTGAGCTCCTGGCGCTTAGCATCACCGAGAATGGTCATTTCCTCTTCCAAGCTCTTGCCCTCGTCCTCATCTACACCACCAATAGGAGCCAGATCCTCTTCATCAGCGGGCGTCGCAGTGCTGGGAGTATGCCCAACCCATCGATCAAGCGGGGGAGGAGCATTTGTCTCAGCAAGACGGAACCGAGACAGAAGAGGAATCAACGTCAGGGTAGACTCGCGAGCGCGTGTATAGATACCCTCAATATCGTCCGTTGGGCGCCAGATTCGTGGCACACCAGCCTCATCGTACCGGAACTTGTCCTCAAAGTTCTCGCGCAGCTTCAGCAGCAAGTTACCCTCGGTCATTTCCTCGTCAATCTTGGCATGCAAAACACCCCAGGACTTGCGACGCAAGCGCCACAGACCAACATCGACCTCTTCCAGGCTAGCATCGAAGCTGCTGGCACGGTCTGTGAACCTCCGCTCGGCATCGAGCACAGTCTCCACGAACACATTCCAGATTCGATCCCAGAAGGCCTTCTCAATAGGCTTGTCGCCATCCTCGGGTGCACCATTGCCAGCACGTCCAGAACCAAGGTTGTTGAACTCGAGTCCCACTGACTCGCCCAGACGAGACTGAACCCACCGTTCAACGCGGCTGGCCAATCGTCTCATCTCGTCCCGACGCAGACGACCACTGACCTCAGCCAACTCCTTCTCAAACAATACTAGTTCCTGCTTATAGTTGCTCCAGGAAGTACCCTCGACTACTGTCGACCGAGCAACCTCCTCGAACTTCTCGAGAGAGGATTTAGTTTCCTGGTTGACGATCTCGGCAAAGTCGTAGTTGCCGCCCTTCTTCTGACCAGACTTGACAGCGTTGGTCACAGCCTCGCTAAAGTCATGGATACCGGACTTGTGGGCAGCTGCGATCTGGCCGTGGAACAGAGCCTTCAGTCGAGTATCAACCTTGCCTTCCAGCTCAGCCTTCTTACGCTGGTATACACCCTTATGGTAGCGACTGGCCTCGGTCTCAAAGCCTTTGAGAGTCTTGGAGCGGGTACCGCGCATGGCCACACCCAAGCCACCAATGACCTCCGGAGCTCCCAGGCGAACAGACTCGGCCTGCTTGTCCTCAAATGCAGTAATAGCCTCGTCGAATCCGATCATCACTTCCCGCAAGATCTCGTCGCAACGGAACTGCGCAAGCAGTTCCTGCTGCGTAGGCAAATCCAGGTCCTTGTTATTGACAATTTGGTCCCAGATACCTTCCGCATAATGCGAGAATCCATCCGCGGGGATTCGTCGATGGTATTCGGGTAGGAAGACTCCACCCTCAGAGAACTCACCCTTGAGCGCATCCCGCTTCGGGTCACGGTGGCCCTCGCGGAAGCGCAGGCCTAACTTTTGTGTTTCCGTCACGAACTGGTCGGGTTGATAGCCCTTGTGCGGCAGCCCGTAGAACTGGAAGTCAAAGTAGTCATGAATCGTAGAGTTCTCCAATCCAGCGGGTTTTGAGATTGTCGACCACAGACGGGCCAGATCTTCCAGCAGCGTCTTTTGGAGGTTCTTCAGCGGGGTAGTGCCGATGAAATCGCGAATGACGAAGAAGAGGAGAGATCGGTGCGTAGTACTAAATTCATCTCATTAGTACCTTGCTGGAACGAGCATAGGCGGTCGTTGATCCACATACCTCTTATCTTTCAAGAATAATTGAAGGTTGACCTCGAACACCGTCTTCAACAGACCCATGTTGGCACCTTGGTATAAGCCCACTTGATGCTCCCAGATATTCACAATGAGCACCTCACTGGTCGCAAGTGCAAACAAAGCACTCTTGCGCTCAAAGTCCTGGTCCTCGCCTCGTTCGCGACCATCAGTACCCTCCACATCCATCACCAAGATATTGTCCGCCATGCGGGTGCCCTCGGCGGACGCATCGCCTTGCTTCTTGTTCTTCGACAGCCAGATACCCTTCGTTGTTTGCCGGCGCTCTTGCTCGGACATGACCGAGAACTGAGTACCGAACAGGTTGTTCAGCAAGGTGGACTTGCCGGTCGACTGCGAGCCGAACACGGAGATGAGGTGGTAATTGAACCCGGCGTTCGTGACATCTTCGAGGGACAGATACTTGGACAAGTTCGGACTACAGAGAAGCTGTCAGCATCTAAGCTCGAGCGCAAAGGCGCGATCGCTCGCAGACCTGCAGCTGCAGGCGGGCGCAACAGCCAGGTGTCGGCGGGTCATACTTGAACTCCTTATCGCCGTCAATGACCTGCACTCCATGCTCGTAGGAAGTGACATCACTGCTATCACCGATCGTAGAAAAGTGGCCGTTCGCCATGATGGGAGGTGCTGTCGGGGTCCGGCCCAGTCCTGACGGGCGTTCGGACATGGTCGCTGCTATTGTACTCTGGAGTTGGTGTTGTGGGGACAGATCGCCGGGAGGTTGAGATGGTGGCGAAAGCAGGTGGGAGAAGTGGGAGCGAGGAGGTTGGGAGGGAGGTGGATCATACAAAGGAAGAGCAGCAGCACCGGATCAACCAGATGGAAACCGGAACAAGTCAGGACGATCACAAGGCCGTTGCACGAGTGCCGTGATCGAATGGTCCCGAGGTCGTTGGTTGCTGGGGGCGCCGGAGTGCAGTCTTACATAACCCCTTTAATTAGGTCACTGGCCGGGGAAACGACGTAACCCCGGTAGGTCTATACGGGATCTCGAGCTAGAGTTGTGAGACGATTCCCAGTGAAAGCTATGACATGGTATTATGAAAGAGTAATCTTCAAAAATATCAACAGAATAAATGAACAGAATGTTGTACAGTCCACAAGCAAGCCTCCTAAGATCAGTGTGGTATCTCTGACAGTCCGAACCATACTAGTTCCCTACTCTGACCAGTTCAAATTCCAACCATAGTCCAGCCCAAGATCAACAGCTGGATTCGGCCATGTAAACTGATCCAAGTCATCAAACAGTCCGGTGAATGCGTTGGACTCTATGCCCGCAAAAGTGGTTGTTGCAATATCCTCTCCTTGCGACAACGGTTGGATGGGATACCCGGAAGTACCCTCGGTCCCCAGCATGGGACTTTGTATATTTGAAGTCCCCGTTGTGTGAGACACCGATGCCCCGTCAGATAATGGGGGAGTATATAGATGACTCGGACTCGGTTTGCATGAAGAAGGTGCCGACGGACATGAGTTTCGAGCAGCGTCGTTCTGTTCGTTGTTGTTTGGGGGTCTCAACAGTTTGGTTCCAGCTCCGACAGTGATGGTTCCAAAGTAAGGCACCGTAACCTTGCATGTAGCTGACGATTCCCAGTTCCGTATTTGTGATCTGGTATGGAAGATGGCTCCGAGGATATTGGCTGACTCCGCAGCTACAGATCCGCCCCTCTCGGTGGCAGCCTTCCCAAGGATCTCGACGACTTCACCCACTAGCTTCCAGTCCTGTTCGTCTTTTTGCTTGTAGGGTCCTGCACTCTCATGACCGTGAAGGTGAACGATGAGAAGCATGCTCATCGTAAAGGCAAAGAAATCAATCATCTTGCACAGGTAAGACCTCGTCATCGATCGAAGCACTTTATACAGCACCAAGGCGTCCCGTGCGGATTGGATAGCTTCACGGTGGCAGAAGCTAAATCGCTGGTCGTGAGGATATTTAAGCAGGAAGGGCATATGCAGGAGAGCCCGGAGTACTTTTGGCATGAATTGCAAAGGAATTCGTGCATGGAACTGATCCCGCTGCTCATTAGGACCCGGGGTAGTGCCATAGAAACTATTCGGCAGGGCTTTCCAAGCATCCATGAGCTCTTGATCAAGCCTCAAAGTGGTCTCCAAACACATATCGGCCGGGTTCTGGTTGCGGTCAACCATGTGTCCAGTGATGACACCAATTCGTAAAATATACTGCTCCGCGGCGCTAACGCCCATATCCAGACGCCGTTCGATCTGCGGCAGGAAGAAGGCTTCCGAGACCCCGTACGGCAGACCAAGAATCAGACTCAACGATCTGTCTGATGTGGTCAAAGCACACCATATTCTCAATCGCCGTTCGAAAAGAGTATCCGAAGGTCGTTGGGTGCGAGTTGACTGGTGCATGCCCGCGAGATGCGCAAATTCAATGGCTCGCCGATTGACCAGCCACGCCTTGCGAAGCCGACCCTCGTTCAGGTGATACTTTGAAATCAACATCTGAGCTTCAATGCCAGGAAGCGTTGCCGCAAAGTCATCATCGCGAACGATGAGGCGATCTACGGCAGCCGTGCAGCGAGCGGAAAACTCTTGCGGATCGAAAGGATGTTGCAGAGCGCTGAAACTGAACTCAGGCAGCAGATGAATGACACTGATGGCGAGGCAGACAAGAGCCTTAGCAACCTCGGCGGGTGCAACTGTACTCTCGCCAAGCTCCCACGGAAAGTCAAATTGTTTCAGTAGATCTGGGAAATTCTCGTCCCAGAGACACCATAAATGTGAGGTTTCCGCAATGATCTTGCGAATGTCTGATACTGGCGGGAGTAGCGACAGGAGCTCAACTCGTACTGCGCGTGCCTTTGGAGACGTATCTTTCGCTCCTGCGAATCGGTCATTGCTATCCGAGTCCTCGCGGCGACTCAAAAGGTAATTATCGAATAGTTGCATTACTGGGGCATTCTGAATTTGATCGCTGGATGGACCGAGTTGATCGGACTCGGTTGCTGGCGGAGTCACTTCCGTTTGAGGTAGATTCCGGGCTAACCCAGTTAGCATCCAGTGGGCTTTATCGATTTCAAAACAGGTAGATACGCACCAGGTGTGTTATTGGTACTTTGCTGATCCAACCGTTTGGACAACTCTTGCACTGTGGTCTCCAGGTGAGCTACGCGCTCCCGAAGACTATATCGCTGGTCTCCTTGGTTAGAACCTCCCGCTGACCCAGGATCCTCGGAGGTATGCTCCTGATCAATACATGTAGAGCCTCGTAATCGACATTCATTGCAGGTATCTGGGCGATCTGGGTGATATGTGCAACGGATTTTGCGCCGGCGGCCTGTCGGGAGACTTTAGCACTGAGCATATCAGCCACAACGCTGGATATCTTACATTCGACACAACTCTTAGTTCCCTTTCGCATCCTCTTGCGAGGAGGCCCATTTGAATCGCCCCACAGATCCATTTCCTCTCGGGCTGACGAGAGCCGACGATTTAAAGAAGTTGTCCGGGGTTTAATGATCACCCAGGCTACTCGTACGTAGTCAGACGAGTGGCGGGGCCAGCGGGAGCGCGGTGATTGTTTCAAGAGCGTTACTTGTGCTAGACAGCCGCACAGAGTAGAGAGAAGCGGACTATTTCTTTTCAAAAGGACACTTCAAGCAGTCTGGATTATTTCAAGAATGAGCTTACAAAGACGCACAGAATTCGTAATCTAAGGTTGAGACCGACCGCGTTAGACTACTTTCGAAGGTGTAGCCTGGTCATATCCAGAGCAAGTGCGTGGGGATAAGAACTGTAGGTAATCAACCTCACTCATTTCGGTGGAAAAGGCAAGATAAACAACCAAGTGCAAAAGAAGCAGGGTAAGCATTCATTTGGTCCCATTTCAATTCATGGAATAGGTTGACCCATAGAACACAAGCACCTACGTAATCACCCATGTCGCCTTGGCCCAGAGGCGTATATGGATAGAAACGACGATAGGATGTCTCGACAGCCGCCAAAGCTGCGTCTTAGTTAGATATGTGAAAAGATACGTACATACTTGGTTACCAATTCAAGCATCGAGCTTACTACTAAGCATTACTGTCACTAGAGTGGCAATACGATCTGACGAGTAATTGGATCTCTTGGCTTGAGGCAAGAAGATTAGGAACTGAATATTTAGATACACCCCTACGAAAGAACGCCAGTTAGAAAGGCCCGGGGAGTTCTCTGCTTACCCAGAGACCATTTCTATGAAATCACGACATACTACTTTCTAGCATATACCTTGATATCGATTTCTCAAACACTCCTGTACCTAAAGGTCCAACAGTTACTAACCTAGCCATGTTGTATGTCGATGCACATTCTAGTGACTAAAGTCGCGATTGATTGGTAGCAGTGGAGCTAAGCGTTCATAGATGAATAGAGAGCTCCCAGCTCTGGAGTACAAGAAATCATCTCTCTTCAAACTCGCATGCTGTGCATACAAGCTTTGTCGTCTCCAAGCAACTATCATGCACAACATCGAGGATGTTTTAGTATGCAAGATCGAAATAACCACTCACCAGCAGACTAAATCCACGGAAGTTGATCCGGTGATCCGAGTCTTGGTCCGGCGCATCCGGCAGTCGTCCGTGCATTTCGGCCGAACGACACGACCGCTTCTCCCCAACACGGGATCAGAGTCGCGTGATTACAGCCAGGTGGATGTTGGGCTTTCTATTAAGAGAAACAGCTTGACTGTGATGTCTCGAATTAAGTTGTTGGATTTGGTTTTTATTTTGAATACAATTCCACGGGAGGAGGGGAGAGAAGATACAACCAACATAGAGGTACATGAACAAGATTCAAGCGAAAACTCCAGCTTTCTCCCCGATCCCTGGGGCTGATCGACGGTTCCCGCGCTGTGAATATAGGATGATAGACAAACAAGACAAGAAAGAAGAAAAAAAATAGGGGGTGTCATAATACAAGGGCTGGACCAGTCTTTTCAATCAATACTGATCTGGCCAAGGTCGAGCAAAGACCTATTTATCGTCCATCACACGGGTGATGAGACCAGTGGCGACAGTACGGCCACCCTCACGGATGTTGAAGCGCTGACCAGCCTCGGCAGCGACGGGGCGGTGGGTAGCGAGAACCATCTCGACGTTGTCACCGGGCTGGACGCGGCGGGACTCGTCGCCATCGGGGAAGGTGAGGTCACCAGGCTCATCTGTAATTGAAGAGTTAGATACTGATTGCAATATTGGGTTATGGCTAAAGGAAGGAAACTTACCAGCAGTGCGGAGGTAGACCTGGGGGCGGTAGTTGGCGCCGAAACCGGTACGGCGACCACCCTCAGCCTCGGTCAGAACGTACATGGAGACCAGGAACTTCTGGGCAGCCTTGGTGCTGCCGGGCTGGGCAATAACCATACCACGGCGGATGTCCTCACGCTTGATACCACGGAGGAGCAGACCAGAGTTGTCACCAGCGCGGGACTCGTCACAGGTTTTCTTGAAGGTCTCGATATCGGTGACCTTGGTCTTGATGGGGGTGTCAGAGCCACCAACAATCTCAACCTCGGTATCCTTCTTCAGCAGACCACGCTCAACACGGCCAGAGGCGACGGTGCCACGACCGGGGATGGAGAAGACCTCCTCAATGGACATGAGGAAGGGCTTGTCGAGGTCACGCTCGGGGGTGGGGATCCAAGTGTCAACGGCCTTCATCAGGTCGTCAATGCGCTCGGCACCAATGTCGGGGCGGCGGTCCTCAAGGGCGCAGAGGGCGGAACCGAAGATGATAGGGGTCTCCTCACCCTCGAAGCCGTAGGTGGAGAGAAGCTCACGCATCTCGAGCTCGACGAGCTCAAGCATCTCAGGGTCATCCACGGCGTCAACCTTGTTCACGAAAACAACGATCTTCTGGACACCGACCTGACGGGCGAGCAGCAAGTGCTCACGAGTCTGGGGCCTATGAAAACGAGAAATGTCAGCACTATTTTCGACGGAATCAAATCTGTAATTTGTCCATACATCTGACCATCGGAAGCAGCAACGACAACGATGGCACCATCCATGTTGGCGGCACCAGTAATCATGTTCTTAATGTAATCGGCGTGACCAGGGCAGTCGACGTGAGCATAGTGGCGGTCCTCGGTCTGGAACTCGATGTGGGCAGTAGAGATGGTGATACCACGCTTGCGCTCCTCAGGGGCCTTGTCAATGGAAGCGTAGTCGAGGAAGTTGGCCAGACCCTTGGAGGCCTGGTGCTTGGTGATAGCGGCAGTCAGGGTGGTCTACACGAGATGAATCAGTTAGATACGTCTGGATACACGATCATCAAGGCATTGAATCTTCACCTTTCCGTGATCGACGTGACCAATGGTACCAATGTTAACGTGGGGCTTGGTGCGCTCGAAGGCAGTGGCCAGGCCACGGGCAGCCATCTTGTCGCTGGCAAAGACATGGTGAATGGGGTTGATGGCGCGGGGGCGCAGCAGGGACGACCGGCCGGTACGGGCCAGGAGGTTGAGGGAACGGGTAATGCTCGACATCTTGCAAAGAGAAGCCCCAAAGAAACGATGAACGACAAGGAAGCAAAAAGGGAAGTCGATGGGGAAGATGAAGAGAGTCGCGGAATCAACAGCCAAATTTTCGGGACCGCGAGGGAGCGCTTAGTCATTCAGTAGCCAATCAGGAGCTGCGAATTGCGGAGGTCTGGCTGTCATCAACGATGAGATCAAGGAGATTCCGAGCAAATGGACCACATACAGGGCATTTAAATAGACTCTGCAGAGGGGTCAGTATGTTGGGTTTTACTGTTCTTGATTTGAAATGCCACTAGAAGGCAAATATAGTACCCGGGCTATCTAAGCTCCAACCGTGGCGAAGAGATAGATTGTATGTTCATTGGTATACCGTGGAATGTCAATTATCAAAATATTAATGATATACATGGGAGACAAACAGCCTGAATGAGCTATACAAAAGCCTACCCCTGTTCTCGAACCATATTAGGTCTCCTTTTTGACCGTGATGATCACCTGCTTGCCGGGCTCTCCTTCCATTGCCTTAACTTGGGTGCCACCAGCTTCTCGTGTAGTATCCAATACACTTTGGATGACCTGTTTGATTTCATCCACAGTAGGTGAGCGCTTCGCCTTCTTCCGCTTCATGATTACCTCCACCTTCCGACCCTTCTCCAAGAAATTGGTCAATTGCTTCAACCGGTGTGACAGATCGTGGGCATCGATTGCCCAGTTCAGCTCGATCTGTTTGGTTTGCACTTTTCCTACTTTCGCGGATTTCATTTTGGCCTTCTCATGCTGCTTGGCCTCCATCTTGTTCAAGATCTTGCAAACTGGCGGTCGATCGGCCTCGGCGGGGGAGACTTGCAGAAGGAAGAACTTGCTGCGGTCGAAGGAGTCCAGCACTTCGACTAGTCTTCGGGGAGGCATGAGATTTTGCTCCTCGTCGACTAGCTGTACAAGCCGAGTGCCAATAGCTTCGTCTTTGATTTGTGTGGGAGCGTTGGGTGTTCGTACGACAGGTAGCGCGAGCCGGGAGGACTCATGGAAATAGCGTGGCTGGAGTCCATTGCGAATAGATTGTGGATGCACAAAGGATAATCTGTGGGATCGAAGAGGAGCGATAAAGGTCTGGCGCAAGGCCTGCGAGGTGGACACGAGACCGCGCATGTGGTTCATATTGTCGGAGAGGGAGGATGTTGACGCGGTGGAAAAGACGACTAGGAGATGGATCGTTTTCAAAGTGAGCCCAAACCCAAGTCAAAATGAGGGAGCACCGAAGGGTTGGTGGTTAGGGCAATGCGTGAGTCTGGTCGAGCTGGTTTCAAAGCTGGATGAGCTCTGGTCGGCCGACGGAAGAGTGGCAGTTGACCTCTGGGGAAGTCCGCATCGAGAAAGAGCCTCGCCACATCTGCGCCACATCCCCCCGAAGAACCCTGAAATTGCCAATCTCCTTTCTCTCGCTCTCTCCTGTTTTTCTTCCTTGTCCATCCAAACTTCAATTTCTCCCATTTCCTCGCTAGGTTTGTCTCGGAGGATCAATGGTTTCTTGTCTTCTGTTTTGTCCATCTTAACCCTTCCGGTCGTTACTCCCTTCGTCGCGTTCGGTGGCAACTCCCGCCATCTGTCTTCTGCTTATCTTGCCCTCCGCGGTTTGCTCGCATGTCGACTGGAGTCGACAATCAACAGCAACCTCAAAAGTTCATAGACTTGGATTCCGTCGCCCGTCACCGTTCGGTGTCCCGCAGTAACGGTTCCACTGTCCCCCCGTCCATTCACGACCAAGTGTCCGATAAACAATCCGACAAGATGGTTTCTCAAAGTCAAAAGTCCCGTTGGCTGAAGACCGGCGCCATTGTCGGCCTCATTTTCATGGTTCTCCTGTGGCTCTCGCCGTCGAAGTCTGCAGTTTCCGGTTTCACCCAGGGTACGCGCCGGAGATCCTTGCCGGACCGCTTATCTGGAAATAAGATAACTAACGTTCTCCCTTCTGTATAGCAAAAGCGCCTTCTGCTGGTGGTGTCTCAACCAAGTGCACCAAGCCCTTCGATTCGTCCAAGCCCCTGATTCAATATGCCCTTATGGTTGACGCCGGCAGTACCGGTTCTCGCATCCACGTCTACCGCTTTAACAACTGCGGCTCCACCCCGGAATTGGAGAACGAGGTCTTCGAGCAGACCAAGAAGAAGGAGGGTGGCTCCGGCCTCAGCTCCTACAAGGAGGATGCCGAGGGTGCGGCTCGCAGCCTGGATCCCCTGCTGGAGGTTGCCTTGCAGAATGTCCCCGAGGATTACCGGTCGTGCACCCCAATTGCCGTCAAGGCTACCGCTGGACTGCGTATCCTGGGTCCTGAACTGAGCAAGAATATTCTGGAGGCCGTGCGCACTCGTTTGGAAACTGTCTATCCTTTCCCCGTTGTCGCCCGCGAGAAGGGTGGTGTCGAGATCATGGACGGGTCTGACGAGGGTGTTTATGCCTGGATTACCACCAATTACCTCCTGGGCAAGATTGGTGGCCCTGATGAGACTCCCACGGCTGCTATCTTCGATCTTGGCGGTGGCTCCACTCAGATTGTGTTCCAACCTACCTTCGAGAAGAGCAAGGCTGGTGGCATGCCCGAGCACTTGGCCGAGGGTGACCACAAGTACGAGCTGAAGTTTGGTGGTCGTGAGTTTGAGCTGTACCAGCACTCTCACCTTGGCTACGGTCTGATGTCTGCCCGAGAAGCCATGAACCGTGTGGTTCTGGAGGCCATGCTGGCTAATAACGACAAGGACCTGTCGTGGCTGAAGAGCCCGATTTCCAACCCTTGCATTCAGCCCGACATGGAGAAAGAAGTCACTGTGACTTTCCCTGAGGGCCACCCTCTTAGCCCGTCGGTTAAAGTGGTCATGGCTGGTCCCCGGGACGCCTCCGCCGCTCCTCAGTGCCGCGCTATTGCCGAGAAGATTTTGAAGAAGGACACCGACTGCAAGCTGGCTCCTTGCTCTTTCAACGGTATTCACCAGCCATCTCTTGAGAAGACTTTCGCTCACGAAGATGTTTATATCTTTTCTTACTTCTTTGACCGTACTGCGCCTCTGGGCATGCCCTCTTCATTTACCCTCGATGAGCTGCACAAGCTTACGGCTACCGTCTGCGGTGGTGAGGATAGCTGGAATGTGTTTGAGGGCGTGGAGGGTGCGCTCAAGGACCTCCGCGGCCGTCCGGATTGGTGCATGGACCTCAACTTCATGATGGGTCTCCTGCACACTGGTTACGAGATGCCTTTGTCCCGTGAGGTCAAGATCGCCAAGAAAATCAAGAATAACGAGCTGGGCTGGTGCCTTGGTGCGAGGTAGGTTTCCCAGTTTTCATCCATTCCTTTTTTTGTTCCAGTTTTGCTAACTTCTTTCTTCAGCTTGCCTCTTCTTAGCCAGGAGTCTGGCTGGACCTGCCGTATCAAGGAAGTCTCATAGGCTTCCGCATGGCATGATGTTCAATTTATCATTTTTTAATCATATGGTTCGGCCATAATACGTGATGGGTCCATGCATATAAATAGATACTCGACATGCGTTATTTTCACTTCTTTTTCTCGTCTCCCCATTTTGTCTTCATATAGACTTTCTACTTTTCGTTATCTTTTTTTACAAGCCTTATGGCAGACGTTGCCTGTTGCCTGCAACGTAATGACATATCCCTTGAACACTTCCATGTCCAGCATATTCAACATTGAGATGTTTGTATTGACTCACTCGGCGGGCTATGCTTTTCTCGTATGCCATATAGATAGGCTATCCAGTCTTTAGAGCCGGTACGGGGTAAATCGAGTATGAACAATCTTCAAACAGAATTATGTGAAAAACCACAGAGCAACCTACTCCGCATCAGTCGCTGGTATCACGAGGTACTGATGAGCGGCTGAAACGAATTCCTCAAAACTCAAATCCAACGATTCAGCTGGATCGATAGCAGAGGCAGATCGGGAAGTCCGAAAATTTGATGTGAATGTGTGATTGGTTTAAGAAAATAAACGACGCTAAGAAATGGTTAGAATTGGTTACATCGACGGCGATCGCGCTTTAAATGAACAAAAGCTCCGAGCTCGTTTGTATGTAAAACGGGTACTACAAAGTACTTGCTTTTAGAAGAAACCAATTTCCTTTTTAGGTAACGACTGCAAGCCCCTGAAACTGTGAGACACTCCGATGTGCCGCTTACGCGCTGAGTTGTATGGATCCGCTTGCCGCACGACCCTGTCGATGATCTTCAAGTTGCATCTGTCTAAGCCTAAAATGGCATTTGCCATGGTGGAAATCAACATGGAAACCGAATGCGAGCACTTTTCGCGGAAGCAAATAGCAAGCTGGACTATGGTTCAGGCGAGCTATAAAGATGATTGAATTATCATGGGTGTCGAGGTATTTCGTCTGGACCACATTCGCTTCGTTTCTATACCTCATACCCTCCTTGGCTATATACTTCCTCTGAGCACATTCATTTCCATTTCTTCAAATAAATCTTTACCGCTTGAAAACCATGCGTGGTTCTCTTTTATGGACTGCCGTGGCTGGCATGTTGGCCACGGCCTCATCAGCAGCCGTTCCTTCGCATTCATCCGAGTGAGTTATTACCCGAGTCAGTGAAATCCTCGCTATAGTCACTTTTTCTAACACAAGAATCCTACAGTCCACTTCAAAAGGGAGATACCTGTACCGGACCAATTGCTTCGCCCCCCACATCATACTGGCTTTTAGACCAAGATCACACGGGCAACGCTCGCGGATATGCCCCTGGAGTGTCAAATCCCAATTATCCTGTCTGGCGGAATGTGAAAGACTACTCTGCATCAGCAGATGGATCTGGCGATCAGACGAGCAGCCTACAAAATGCCATCAATGATGATGGATCAAATGGTAGCCGTGAGAGTCAAGGCGTTACCCGATACGCGGCTGAAGTGTTCCTACCTGGAGGAACTTACCAGCTGAAAAGCACTTTGAATCTGCGTGTGGGCACCGTCATTACCGGTGATCCTTTGAACCCACCTGTGCTCAAGGCATCATCGGATTTCAATGGTGATATGGTGATCAACGGGTTTGACAACAAGAATGGTCAGCCAGAGACCAGCTTCATGACGCTCATGCGTAATGTGGTGATTGATACTACAGCTCTCAGTGCGGATACCAAGATCGCGGCGCTGCAATGGGGTGTTGCGCAAGGCTCTGGTCTGACTAATGTGAAGATCAATATGCCTACTAGCTCCACTGGACATATCGGTATCGCGATTGGCGGAGGATCGACTATTGCTGTGACTGATGTGGAGATCACCGGTGGTGCTGTTGGCATCAAGAACTCCAACCAGCAGGTCAATTTCAAGAACATTTATTTCAAGGAGTGCACGACTGGTTTTGAGGCCAGCGGTGGGCACACGGCATTGTTACAGGGTGCAACCTTTGATACCGTTGGCCTGGGCATTGATATGAGCAGCAATGGACTGGGAAGTTTGGTCTTGCTGGATTCCAAGTCGACCAACTCAGGCACCGTGGTGAAGTTCCATGATTCTTCCAACGATGGCGGCAAGCGTAACAGCCAGCTCCTCATCCAAAATCTCGTTCACGATACTACCAATCCGATTGCCGTTGATAGAAATAACATTGTGAAGCTACCAGCCACCGACAAGATCGATACCTGGGCCTGGGGCAACATCACCCCCGGTCAATACGAAACAGGCACTAATTTCACCACCAGTCGGCCAGACGTGCTGTTATCAAACAACAAATACTTTATGCGCAAACAACCTACCTACGCTGAGTACGCCTCGGACCAGGTCGTCAATGTTAAAGCCGTGGATGGCCACCCGGTCAAGGGAGACGGTTCGACAGACGATGTTGCTTCTCTGAATGCCATTCTTGCAGATAACGCGGCCAATTGCAAAGTCACATATTTCCCTTACGGTGTGTATATCGTCAAAGATACACTCAAGATCCCGGTAGGCTCGCGTATTGCAGGTGAAGCCTGGGCCGTCATCTCTGGTGCTGGCGACGCATTCAAAGACGCCTCGAACCCGAAGGCAGTTGTACAAGTGGGACAGCCAGATGATACCGGAGTTATCGAGATTCAAAACATGCGGTTCAGCGTCAGCGAAATTCTTTCTGGGGCTATCATTCTTGAGGTCAATGCCGCTGGAACAAATCCCGGAGATGTCGCCTTGTGGAACACCATGGTGACTGTCGGTGGCACTGTCGAGACCAGCATCAAGGATAACTGCGACAATCAGGACACTTCACAGTGTATGGCGGCATACATGATGATGCATTTGACGAAATCTTCGTCGGCATATGTTGAGAACTTCTGGGGTTGGACAGCTGATCACAACCTCGACGGCGGAACTGGCGTGACAATCATCTCGACCGGCCGCGGAGTCCTGGTGGAAGCAACCAAAGGCACCTGGCTGACAGGCACTGGATCTGAACACAATTGGCTATACAACTACAACTTTCACTCCGCACAGAATGTCTACGCCGGTCTTCTGCAGACTGAGAGCCCTTACATGCAGGGCAATGATGCTACGAAGACTGCCCCAGCACCCTGGACAGCAGAGTCATCTATCGGAGACCCTGATTTTTCCTGGTGTGACGCCAACGACCAGAAATGCCGCACATCGCTAGCTACCAACGTCGATGGCGGTAAAGATGTGCTGCTTTATAACAGTGCTGCGTGGGCTTTCTTCGATGGAGAATGGAATGGAGATTACGGCACGCAGTGTGATGGTTCCTGCCAGACAAATATGATGCGTGTTGCTAATAGCCCCGAGAATTTGGCTTGGTATTCTGTCAGCACAAGGAAGGCGGATGTGATGATTTTGGATGGCCAATCAAACCCTACTGAGTACAACCATCCCGGTGGTTGGGAGGCAATTATCCAGGCTTACAGGCAGTTCTCCTCTTAGGTCGATGGAGGAGAAGACTGGATGCGGCAGAGTGAATTTTTGATTTGTACATGATTGACTGGCATCTGCAGACTGGAGAATCTTCTGCACATATAACTTAACAGGTGTATATAGTGTCAAGTCGTCCAAACGTACTACAACTGTCTGCAATCATTTTCGGGCGCTAGAGAGGCATAGTAGAGTGGGTTTCATAAGTTTGAAACTATGACCGATTTTCAGAATTATCTTATCAGTCACAAGTGGAATGATAGACTAAAAAGTTATACCCAAACTATCAAGGAAGACGATTAAAATGACCTTTAAAAAGACCTTTCAAAAACCGACAAGTGAAAGGGTATCAACTGGGTGATTTCTCTGGTCTCTAGACTCTGACTTTTGAACCACCACTGTATCACACTGGCATCCCAAAGATTTGAAATTATGACAAAATTTCTCAATCATCTCAGCAGTCAAGTCTCCAAAGTACAAGAGAAAATGTCAAATCCCTTCAGGAAGACGACTGGAAATGCATGTAGAACGACCCGTCAAAAGAGAAAGCTGGAGGTATTGCTGGTCAGAATCCTTTCTTCTTTGGACACTATTTGGAATTCGATCGCCACAGCTGACCCATTTTAGCGCTTACTTGCATCGGATTGATTATTTTATGTCAAAACTCGTCTCATTCTCTCTTTGCGTAAGGTTGTCTTCTGCAAGATGATGTCGCTTACTGTATTCCAAGGAGGTCCACTGTTTGTTACCTCCCGATACATGATTACGTGCCATAAATATTGCAGTTCCTGTGGAAAATTACATTCCGTTACGAAGCGATACGAAAATACCAGCCATCAATCGAGCAGCACGAAACAGTTTCCTGTCTAGGTCTTGCGTGTCTATTCCGACGGTGTTCGGACTATGAAACAATATGCTGCATAGTACCGAATATGATCGGCCCGAGAGAGGTCATTTTTGGATAGTAGTCATGCCAACACAGCCGATTCCTGTACTACATATAAGAGACAGAGCTCATCCCAGGTGATGGCTAAATATTCACTCGCATTCAATTTACTCGAAATCAGAGGATCCACGAAACTTCAAAATGGCCACAGAGTTCAAGACAGGCGTTCTTATTGTGGGTGGTGGTCCAGTAGGCTTGCTCATAGCCTATGGTCTTGCCAGACAAGGAGTGGACACCATCGTCGTGGGTGAGTAGTGCATGACTATCATGCATCCCATCTTCTATGGCACCTTGATTAAATTTTTGCTAAACCCAACTTAGAGAAGCATGACAAGGAGCAACAAGCTATGTATGGTCGGGCTACTACCCTCTTCCCACGGACACTAGAGATGCTTGATCAGCTGGAGCTTCTCGACGAGATGAATCAGATCGGCTTTGTTGCCCGCAACAGTGTGACCTACAAGAATGGCAAGCAGGTCACTTCGCGTGGCTGGCATATCATGTATGAGCGCATGCACGGCACCTTTCTAGATTACTGCTTGAATATCCGGCAGAAGTTCAGCGAGTCTGTGTACCGTGATGCGTACTCTAGAATCGGTGGCAAGCCTTTCATTGGTTGGAAGCTTGAGGACTTCACAGTCGACAATTCGATGGAGGGAGACTTTAAGGTCACTTCACGTCTTACTCAGGTTAATTCCGGTGATGCTGTGACTGTAAAGAGGTACTATGCACTTCGGTAACTTTTCTTGGCCAATTTTCATGCTAACAGTCTGTGGCAGTAAATACATCGTAGGAGCAGATGGTGGCAGCTCCTTGGTCAGACGTCTTGCTGGAATTCCTTTTGAAGGTGACCGCACCAATTTCAAATGGGTTCGCATCGACGGCTACTTCAAGACAAACATGCCTAACGCAGACGTTGGATTTGCCTCTATCGAGTCCAAGAGCCATGGAAATGTTCTGTGGGTTCAATTGGACCACGGAGTCAAACGCATTGGCTTCGCAATGACCGAGGAGATGCTTGCCAAGTATGGTAACAACCTTACCGAAGACCAGGCTGTAGCAGAAGCCATCAAGTCCATGGAGCCGTTCAGCTTGGAAATTGAAAAGGTCGAATGGTGGACTCTGTACAGGTATTTTGAAAGTCTTAAGCTATAAAGAAATTCAACAGCTGACAGTCTTCTAGCATCAACCAAAAGGTGGCCGATGCTTTTTTCACCAGTGACAGTCTTGCTAGCGGGCGATGCATGCCATACTCATTCTTCCGGCGCTGCCCAGGGAATGAACACTGGTATGCACGGCGCCGTCAATCTTGCTTGGAAACTAGGCGGTGTCGTCAAAGGCTGGTATGGATCCGAAATTCTTCAAACCTACGAAGACGAACGTCGTCCGGCCGCGCAACATCTCATTGAGCTTGACAAGGCCTTCTCGGCCACAATCTCAGGCACAGTGCCGGAAAAATACAAAGACTCCCCGCTCAATGCCAATGAGCTGTTCACGAAGCTGTTCGATGAGACCATCTTGTTCAACATTGGCCTCGGGATTAGCTATGGTGAAAATGCTATCAACAAAACCCCTTCCACGGGTATGATCTCAGCCGGCCAAAGAGGACCGGATGCTCTGATCATGGCTCCGGGATCTCGTGTCCCTGTGCGATTATATCAAGTGACGAAGAACACTGGACAGTGGTGCATCATTGTCTTTGCGGGCAGGCCTGACGTTACCAGGGACGTGATGTCAAAATCGGTGCCAATGCTGGAGGCACTTCAGTCAACACTTGCGAAGGATATGGTCAGATTCATCACCTTGGCTGCAGGAAGTGTTGATGATGGGGACAGCACCTTTGGAAACCCACGAGTTGGAAACATTTACTATGACCAGGATCGTTCTGCTCATGAAAGATATTCCATTGCTACTTCCAAGGGTGCGGTAGTTGTCCTCCGGCCAGGCGGCATTCTAGGCTATGCGACATCTCTTGATGATATAAATGGAGTCAAGAATTTCTTTGCTGGTTTTGTTTTGTCTGCTTGAAATTATATCACCCTGAAATCATTTGGAAGAGTGCATTTCTTCTCATAGCATCAGGTATTCAGAGTTATCATTAGAATTGAAGTTCAAACCAATATGGATCCAAAAATGTGTCGTCATCGAATCTTAGATCTCCGAAGAGTTCTTCCGAGAATGGCATTTCTGCACTCGTTCCTGGCAACACAGTCGGATTTTCGAGCTCATTCTGAAGTGAGCTTGGCGGCCGACTAGTGCTGGCATTAGACTGATCACCAAGGTTGTCTGCTCATTAAGTATTAGCTAATCGCTGTAGAAGATGAACTTCAAGGACTTACCAGATACAGCGGCGAGGCATCTCGACCCAACCAAAAGAAGGCTTTGAGCACATCGCTCTGCTGCAACGTTATACAGTTTGAGATGGTCAAAACAACTGTAACAATTCTCCCAAGATTTCACCAAGGACTTCTTTGTGACGACCATAATGATCGATGGTGAAAGCTCAGCCAGGAGCATTATCGATGCTGCCGTAAATATGTCTTTCGTAAAGATACAATTAGTGTTTATAAGAACTTTGCAGGGCCCTTTTCTCTTACAGAACAAGTTGTAGAACCATACACTGGCCAAGTCATTATTGCATGTTTGGTGTACTATGGAGGCAAGATCGATGGCTGCCTCAGTACAGTATACCGAGCAATCAAGGCTGTATTTGGCATAAATCCCGCGGGAGTCTGGGCTGGTTGCCCTTATCATATGTGACAACATGGGCCGGTATAGCAGAATTTTCAAGTAGGAGAATCTGTCATGAGACCCGATCAGTATAATAGCATAAACAATCTGGACTGTAACATACCGCGCTTTGAGAAGAAGCATCTCTCTCATAAAACCTTCCCCGTTATTTGATGCGCCTTCCAGTCCCAATCGAGGAGCTTCGGAAGATTCTCTTTGAAAGCCTGCAACTCAGCATCTATCTGAGCGATGCTCTGAATATCAGGACCGTTTCGCGAATTGGTCTGATGACCAGTCGCTTCAAAGGCCTCTAAGCCTCCATGGTTATAAAGTTTGAAGAGAATTGTGCGAAGTATCTCGTGCAGCTTCAAGGTTTCCACGAACCAAGAAATACGCGAGAAAATACCCGGTGGTTGCTCGCAAGTTGCATCGGCCACAGTGAGATAGCAGTCGTCGATGGCCTTTGGCTTGGGTGATAACGGCCTTTGAGAAATCATCGCCGGACGACCCAGCATGGTGCTGGCTGATCTGAAAGTGGATATTATCAGGAGGTGTCATAGCTCGAGGAAGACTGAAATGTACTTACAAGTCCAGCATGACACACCCATGCCACACTCTCCGTCTTATCTGGATCTCGGCGAATGAGCATCGTTTGTCACCGGCCCCTGAATGAAGACCCAAAGCTTGTGCCTCACGACAAGCCATACCTATGACATGCCAGCATCGATTGGGGGTCGATGAACTTTGTAGGTAATGTGCCATCAACAAAAGTAACTGACAGAGGGCAAGGTCACCATTTTCCAGATAATTGAGATTCAGGGCTGGTTTGCACAGGTGAAAAAATGCCTCAGATGTCACTTCTCGATCAGCCAGTACAACATCGGAAAACTGGCAACCGAGGGCAAAAACGACATTCAAAGCAAAATAGAATGTGGTCGAACTAACATCTAGAGACCCTAGACCAAGCCCCAGAGCTTTGATTCTGGTTGATGCAGATCCCTCCGGTGGACATAGTGATTGATACGCCTCCATGAACGCAGGTTCGTGGACAAACGGGTAGAGCGTATGGATTTTGGAAAAATAACAGGAAACAAGATGGTCAGCCAACGCGCGAGGCGGCAGTGAGCCAATCTCAGTGCCAGGAGAGGGTCTTGAGTCCCATTCCTTGTGACCAAGCCGTCGTGAATGGGGCTGTTCAGAATCACGATTTACCGTTGAATCCAATCTCAGGGTATCCTGAAGCTGTTGCATAAATACAATCGCCGAAGATTCGCCGAAGTGTTCTTTGGCTGTCATATAATTCTCTTTTGGGGACTTTGAGACCAAGCCCATGGCAGTAACTCCTACATTATCCTCTTCACCAAGAGCGACAGGGCTGAGGTGAACTGAAGTCTCTGGAACTGCAGGAAGGCCATAAAATGCCGATGGACGCACACCCTGACTGGGCTTCACTCGCGACCTTGAAATTCGTCAGTGAACATAATATAGAATTTAGTTATCTAGTTCAACATACCTCACCCTTCTTCGGGAAAGGCCATCATTGTAACTACATTCTTCTCGTCGACGCTGACAAGTGCCACAAAGTGGACGAACACCATCACAACGAATCCTCGATTTTCGACAGGTATTACATGCCTGATTGACCCTTCGTTGCGCAAAGCTTGACCGGGGAACCATAATACCTGAATTAGGTCATTCCGGGTGAGTTTATTGCCAATGAAAGCTGATGTGGAACGCAGAGTCAAGATGTTTAGATCAGATACTCCGCCGTTCCCGGTCTCTATGCGGAGACATCCAGATCACGTGTCAGGAATATGGACTAGGATATGGGTCTGCAAAAGAGACATAATACATTGTATGCTTTAGATATTTACTTCTTCGGGTATCTCATAGCCATGCCATCCATTGTGCTTGTTGTCTGAAACTCTGTTCTTTTCTCAAATTGGTGGCGAAGCCACGAGTGCGGATGAAAATGCGGCGTGCTAGAAAGAGCAAATAGATACAAGAATGCCAGTCTTCATAGATCACGTCTTTAGTCCGCCATCTCCTCAATTTTCGGTTTATCTGAAGAGCAAGTGATTGCACCCATAAGCTGCCCAAGAAGATCCGAATCTGCATTCTCTTTTGACTTCTGCGAATCTCCATCGGGGTTTTCATCATCGCCTTCATCGTCACTGGAGGAATCTTCATTGTCGCCGCGTTTCTCCTCGAGTACTCCTAGCCCAAGATTCTGCATACATTCAGTCAGTATGTGAACTTTCACCGAATAAAGAAAAAGGAAGAAACTCCACCTACCATCTCAATATAATCCTTGCCATCGTCGTCCACGGAATCCAAAACCATCTCTTGGCCTTTGCCAGCCGCAATTTTCTTTTCCAAATCTTCATTTGCATTCTTCATCTGCGGCAAAAAGCTTGATAACCGCGACAAAAGGTCCGAGCCTCCTTCCATGCGATGTATACTGGGCTTGGGCCGGCCGCCGATATGGGGTATTGATGGCTCTGGTGCAGGAATTGTGGTCTCCTGGTCATCTCGTATTTCTTGATCTTCGTCTTCGCTGTCTTCCTCTTCGCTCTCGCTTTCTGAAGATGAGGGGCCGGAGGACGACGTGTAATCATCATCTGAAGGCAGCGGTGCCCGCTCGTGGCGGTTCCCTGTCAAAGAGGAGGCTGTCGCGCTCATGCTGACGGTGACTGAAACGATCCCCGTAGATTATATTGAACTTTGTTCCCTTTTCCAACAGCCTCTTCGTACGTGATGCACGGCGGTCCAAGATGTCGCGACTATTGGCAGGTGGAAGGCACTAGGGGTTCGTGTAAGAGGCGAAGGTGTGCCGGGTGAATGATCGGCTGTGGAATTATCGAGGATGAAGTGGGATGATCTAATAAAATGGCCTCAAAGCACCATGGGCAAGCTCTTGATCGCGACGCTGGACAATTGTTGTGAAAACTTCAGTTGCATGGGCTGGCGATTTCAACTTTTTGGGTGGAGCTGGGCCCGATAACGATAACGCTAAGTCTAAATGAGGCGGACCCACTACGTAGATATGGAAAGCCGACTTCACTACTCCGTAGAGTATACATACTACAGATCACTACTACGGAAGTTCTCATACATTGTCACAAGGTATCAATTGTGGGTTTCAATCATCTAGTCGTACATTGTTATTATTACAGATTTAAGTAGAGCTCCAGAAGATAGCCCTACTTAGACTGAGCCTTAGCTATGGGAGACTCTACCGGCTTCGACTCCGTCTGCGACTGCGACTCCTTCGCCAACTAGGGCTTCGTCGTCGGCTTCGACTTCTTCGACGACTGCGACTGCGGCGACGAGTCCTGCGATCATCTGTATCCTTGGCTGACTCCACTGGGGGCGCGGCTTCGGCCTCTCCATGGTTGCCTGTGGAATCTTTTGCCCGTTCGGAACCAGGGATGTATCGATCAATATCACCCATCCCTCGGTCACGGTCTCGCTCCTGAGATCGGACTCGGCGTCTAGGAGATCTGCTGCGGGTGCTTGTCACAGGCACATAACGGTCGATGTCCAAAGAGCCGGGAGAGGCCCGTCGTGGGGGGGATCGGCGACGAGATCGTGACCTTCGTCGCATGTTTGACTTGGAACGAGAGCGCCGTCTAGGAGCAGCGGATCGTGAACGTGAACGGGGGCGATCTCGGCTGCGAGGTCGGTGGCGAGAGCGCGAGCGTGAGCGTCGGCGGGAGGGAGACCGAGCTCGTCGAGGACGATAATCGTCACCACCACGATCCCGATCTCGACTTCTATCGCGGCTACGATTGGGTCGGTGCCGGTCGTGGTCTCGTTCACGAGATCTAGATCGCTTCCGATCACGGTCACGGTCCCGATCTCGAGGTCTGTCTCTGTCCGCGCTGCGGTCTCTTTCACGTTCGCGCTCGCGATCACGATCTCTGTCCCGCCCTTCTCTGCCGGCTGATCGGCTACGGCTGCGCCGCGCGGGCCGATAGCTACGCTCATCGCGGAAATCACGGAAGTCGCGGTAGCCACGGCGATCCTCCATGTCACGGTCCCGAGATCTCACTGAACCATCCCGGGAGCGATCCCGACGACGGTCAGGATCATAACGTGAGGTGTGTCGTCGACGAGAGCGGCTTCGGCTGCGACTTCGATCTCTAGTGGGATTTCGAGTGCGATCAGAGCGGCCGATAGTGGAGTCAGCCCTTCTGGAGTTCCTGGATTGACTGGGAGCTCTAGTGGAGGCGGTAGAATTCTTGGCTGGCGCAGAAGTAGAAGGCGGCTTGAGGCCGTTCTCGATAGCTTCGGCCTCCTCGAAATCGAACTCCCGCTTTTGCCGAGCTTTAGCAGCAAGTTCTTCACCTTCTTTCAAGAGCATTTGCAATGCAGCCTCTTCCAGTGACTTTTCATCCACAGCAGGGAGTATTGGCGCAGGAGTTGGGTCTTTGGACGCAGTGGATTTCTCTCGTTTCGGGTCCCGGCTGCGAGGTGAAAGTCCACGATCGGACCGATAAGCGGGGGAGCGATCGAGGAGACGGTCACGATCCCAGTCGCGATACCTATCTCGATCCTCTCGTCTTCTTCGTTCGTATCGCTCCTCTCGCTCTCGATCTCGTTGCTCGTCGAGTGCCCGTTGTTCCTCACGCATGCGCTCACGTTCGGCCCGTCGTTTGTCATCAATCTCTTTCCTCCTGGCCCTCTCTTCCTCTTCTCTCTGTCGCTCCAATTCACGCTTCTTCCGTTGTTCCTCCTCCTTGAGGCGCTTTTGTTCATCCTCGAGTTCTTTCTGTTTGCGCATTTCTTCGCGCCATATCTTCTCTCGCTCATCTCGCTTCACTTTAACAAAAGCTTCATAGTCCTCGTCTGTTTTGCTGCCAGAGATCTCTTCTTTGGAAGCTGCCTCTTCTCCGATCTCTTCACGACGAATCGCGCGGACCGAATCCAGAATAGTCTGTAGATGCTTGGACGCTAGTTGATCTATCGAATCCTCGACATTCTTGTAGACGTCGCTTCGATCGACGGCACCTTCAATAAGTGTCGCGGCCTTGCCCCTCTCGCGGGAAAGGTGTGCAGGTTCGCGCTCGATCTCCGATTCTGCTAATGCGATCAATTGGTTCGTGAAGTTGGTCTTCCGGTCCTAGGCAGATGTATTAGCACCTTAAAGCTAGAAGGTAGATACAAAGCGCATTGCATCGTCCGAGCTTTGCCATACCCCATCGTTGAATTCAGCCCATATTTGTTTCCGAATGCTGTCAAATCCGCCCTTCTTCTTAAATGAGTGTAGGAGTTTATCGATGGCCGCATGTTGCGTAGCAGAAATCGGGAGGTCATCGGCCTTGAACTTCTTGCGCTTCAGGGATTCCATGTCAATCAAAGGCCTCTTCGCGCCCATCTGCACGTCCTCCATAGCCTCGTCGGTGGCCATCGTGGAGTCGTGGACTGGTTGGGACGAGGACAAGGGACGAGAAGAAAGTCGCGTGGAGGACGGACGATAAGCGATAACACGGGGATTCCCGGAGCTAAGTTGTTCCGTGCTTAGAACTGCGGGTTGCTGATTTGCTTCAACCTCCTGCCGCCCCATTGCGACTTCACGACCCGTCCGACCCCATCAATTCCGACCTCGGGCGACGCTTTAGTGCGACGTGCAGACTTACCACTCCTACTGTCTGTCTCGGAACTCGTCGAATATCTCAATCCCTTCTATCCGTCCTCGTCCGACCCGCGACCATGGTCCACAAAGTCCTCTTCTGGAGCGGCTTCGGTGCGTGACATGCCTCCCCCTCCATGACCTCGCAACTACCTTGTTCTACGGCGATTGCATTCGGGAAACTTGGGATTCGAACGTTAAAACCCTCTATGAACACATAATGCTAACTCTCTCCCCCTTCAACAGGCATTGCCATCCGCCTTTGGCAACTCGGAATCGAGATGCGTCCTATCCTCGCCAAGGAATCCCTCTGGGTCTACCCTCTTTTCGCCGGTGTTGGCGGTAGCTTCGGCTACTGGATGCAGGGTGTTGAGAACCGTCAGCTCAAGATGCTCGCTCAGCGACGAGAGGCTATCCTCGAGAAGCGCCGACGACGGGATGAGCGGGAAGGAATCAGCAAGGTTGAGGAGGGTGCTGTTCTGGCCGCCGCCTTATAAGCGGCTGGTCTGCGTTAGATGTGGTGAATAGCGAGGAGGCGAGCATTGCGTGTGTGTTTCTTTTATTCTTGACATGTACCAAAATTCCACGGTTTGATATCGGCATCCAACCTTGGGAAGTCTTCGCGGATGGTAATCCGGCAGCGTTATATACGCTGTAGAAAATGAACTAGACTTTCATCAACCGCTTTTCAACATTTGAGAGTCCATTGGCTTGCACTCAGTGCCTTCCACATATGTGACCACTTCACTTCCCGCCTACTTTACTACGGGTTTCAAAGAACGCAAGTCCAGTCTAGTTACCAGAACACAAGCTGGAACTCGAATGATGTAATTTACAAGGGTATATTTCTAGTAGTAATTGCACAGGTTGCACATATATCTTCCACCAGATGGCAAGCTAGGGCTTTTCAATAGTGAATTGGAGGGAAACCTCCCATTTCTGGCCACCGGTGCCATAACCCCCACCGAGTCGGTTTCGAATCAAGCTAGAGATCTTCTCTCTCAATCGAGATAGTGTATCCTCGGTTCCACCAACGCGGACTTTCAGATTGGCCATGCAAAGCCCGTAATGGACCTGCCAGAAGCGGGCGTCATCAACACCAAAGACAGCCGGGTCTGCTTCGATGTCCTTGATGACCTCTGTCACTCCTTGACCCGAGTAGGACATCAGCAGCATAGAGCCTAGAGTTTTCACCAAGCGCACGCCGAGAACGCACATGGAAATAGCAATGGTGCCGGAGAGGAGCTTGTCAAGCCAATCGTAGATTCGAATCGAGACCAATGGCAGCAAAAGCAAGAGAGCAGAGCATGAGAGAGTTAGGAAATGAGATGGGTTGCTCAAGACTGATGGAAGAGACTCAATGTAGCCAAAACGCATGGCCTTTCCGATTCGTGCATGATTCTTGAGACCAATTGCAGACACCAGCGTCGAGGAAATGGCCAGAACGGCTGTCACATCGACACTTCCCACAGATACCCGGTCATGGTCATGAGAATGATGGGGTTCGTGACCAGATTTCTCAAGGAAATGCTGCAAATTATGGGATATCAAGTCCAACCCCATGAACAGGAGCAGGACGCACATCGCAAAGCCAGCAAGGACCTCGGCTCGCTCCAGGCCAAATGGGTGGCGGATACTAGATCGCTTCCACACTTCAAAGTTCCCAAGGACATCTACAGCCACACAAAGAAGAGCTCCAAGTGAGTCGAAGAGTATCAAATGGGACAATGCCGTCATGGCCAGCGACCCATGCGCGGTCCAAAGTGTATATGCCGCCACGAACATATGGCAAACGCTCCACCAAAAGCGTGTCTTCTGATCCCTTGACATACTAGCACGGCATTCTTTCAATGTTGGAATTGGCAAAGAGTTTGGTAAAGCTAAGGGCGCCCGTGGGGGAGGTTCGAGGAATATTTGGTGTGAGATACTACTGTGCTTGTATTTGTGGCCACGACGCTGTCCAATGTTCTGGTGCAAGAAGAATACAGATTAGAATTGTATCCACAATGAACACGATCTCAACATACCGATTTAACCACTGGACCTTTTGCCATAACGGTTGTATTGAAATTGAACGGTCCCGCGGCGGTCGAGTCACTCGAGCCATTCTGTACAGTCGTGGAATCTGCAGGTCCAGGGCTCAAATTGAATGAAGATTTGGTTGGACTAAGACGATCCCCGTTGCCTGGGTCAAGCGATACGCTCCTGGGAAACGTATCTCGAAGTGGCGACAAAGCGTCGCGATCAACCGCGACTCCTGAGTTGATTTGCGCCGCATAATGATCTGTCACTTCATCCGATGGCGGTGTTGGGGTACGCGGGGGAATAGGAAGAGGAATATTCGAAGCCATTGCGATGGCCTTGCACATACACACTTCCACCGAGCAGAATGACCAGGCGGGGAAGCATTGAGATGAAGCTCCGGGGGAAAAGGAGATAGCGGAGGCGATTGCGGCCTGAGGAACTAGGTGTCAACATGGCAAGCGGAAGAGGCGGGGAGGCGGTGGTCTCGACCGCATGTCGAGTACATCATCCACTCGGAGACACCCCCGACATATTACCACCCTCGTCATTGATCATTACCAGGGGCTCGACGGCGTCGCGGTATTTGAATAGCCGTTATTGTACTTTGACCATCCTCGTCGATTGCCCTGCGATGCTCAACGGCCCGTTCTGAAGAAGAGAGTCCGATGCCGACACCCCGTGGCGTCGATGGATAACCGCGGTTCTTTCTTCTTCTTCCTGCTGGTTTTTTACCTGCTTCTCAGCTCTCAGTCGCATCCTCCGTTGATAGATGAGGATCGCGAACGTCAGCGTGAGCTTGATCGAGAGCGATACGCGCTACAGCTATTGAACGAGACGAAATATGGGGATTTCGATCCACCAGCGGGTCGATGGCTTCCTTTCGCCGGAGTACGGAAGAACGATACCTACGCATGGGAGTTATTTCAACAGGTTCAAGGCCGCGCTCGCCATCAGCTGCAATCAGCCCTCGACAATGCCGGGCTCCAACCTCCGGGTAGACTAGATGATTCCGACTTATCGTCACCATTGAATCTCACCAACCTCTTCCTCCCAGTGTATCGAAACGTAACAGGGAAGATACAAGGGGACTGGGTACGAAGGTCAGATGTCCAACGCCAGACGCCTCTCAACACCACCGCGATTGCCCTGGAGCACGAATACTATGACACCGAGTTTGGTTCCAACATCACGGGCAACGGAGGCACTTTTCATTTCGATCTTGAGGACGGTGGTGGTGAGGAGCTTCGCGTTGGAGAAGGCCTTGTCCGTGAGATACGGGCGACCCTGACGGTCGAAAGCAATGACTTCTGGGGAAGCAACTGGTACTTTTCGTTGTTCGGTGTTCACTTTCCCGAAACCGGAGGGATACTCTTGAGTACCACCAGCGAGAAATATGGTGGCATATTTGCGTTGCCGCATTTCGCCCTTTCTCCCGACACTTATGAGCTATCCCACGAGCTTCTCATCAAGTCACTGTCAAAATCCATTTCGGAGAAGCAAAATAGGCTTCCAACTTTCTTACCATGGTCCATCTTGGCAGGGACCGATCAGATCGAGTTTCCAGCGCCGAGATGCGAGCATATCATCTTCCTCCAGCAACATCCTGTCATGGTCGATAACAAGGTCGCGGATCGATTGTTGCTAGAGCGAATAGAACAAGAGCTCAGGTACCCCATAGGTGCCCCGATTCCTGACCCACCTCTCATGGTCATGTCGACGGTTGTCTTTTCTCCCGATTGTGGTTACATACTCGAGTCCAAAGGCACCCCAGAATTCCCACCGTCCGATTCGCTGTACCTATCAGGGCCCAAGAATGAGCAGTATGGTAAATATGCGGCGCGTCTTATTTTTGTTGTGTCTGGTGTGTTCGCTGGCCAGATCGCCCTTCTCCTCCGTCAGATCAAAGAGGCTTCGACTCCGTCTACGAGGAGTCGTGTCAGTTTCTATACCATTGCATTGATGGCGCTCGGCGATGGATTGGTGCTTTCTTTCATTGTATTCGAGCTTTATGCCGCTGTGTCCTTCCTGGTACTAACAACTGCTCTGTTTTTGGCTTTACTTTCTGTGAGTTACATTGGCATGAATTTCATGATCGAAATATGGGCTGTTCAGGAGCCGGAGAGACGGGAAGAACGGCCTGTCAACCCGCCAGCTCCTATCACCCGTCCAGGAGAGCTGCCGTTGCCTGCTACTGCTTCCTTTCGGGATACCGGTGCTACACCGATTATCTTGACGCCTGATCAAGATCCTCCGGCCGATGATTTGGAACAGCCACCTACCAACAACCGTACGGGGGCCCCTACGCCAGGAGAGCTTCGCACCGATGTGGGCTCCATGTATGCACGCTTCTACCTGGCGTTCTTCGGGATGTTCATCATGTCTATGTGGGCTTTGCTTCTACCCCGGAGAATGACTGCAATTTATGGGCGTGTTATTACCGCGATCTACCTATCATTCTGGGTCCCGCAGATCTATCGCAACGTCATGCGAAACTGTCGCAAGGCGCTGAGATGGGATTTCGTCGTTGGCCAGAGCGTCCTCCGGCTCTTTCCTTTCGTGTATTTCCTTACAGCTCGTGGAAATGTCTTGTTCATTCGTCCTGACTGGACAACCGCTTTTGTCGTGGTTGGATGGGTGTGGATTCAAGCTTGGGTCTTGGCCAGCCAGGATGTTCTAGGCCCTCGGTTCTTCGTCCCTCGCGGCTGGGCACCTCCTGCTTACGACTATCACCCAACCTTGCGGGATATGCCCGGACCCGACGAGGATCCTGAAGCCGGAGGCATTCTTTCCATTGCATCACTCCGAGCGGATGAACGGGATCTGGTTAGCGACACAAAGGACGATGACAAGCACAAATCTAAGGATCGCAAGAAGGTTGTATTTGACTGTGCCATTTGCATGCAAGACATTGAGATTCCTGTTCTCTCTGCGCCGACTTCTGCAGGCGGAAGCAGCGTTGCCGAAGGCGCCTCTAATATCTTGAGCCGTCGGACATACATGGTTACACCTTGTCGGCATATATTTCACACTGCTTGTTTGGAGAGCTGGATGAGGTTACGCCTCCAGTGCCCAATTTGCCGTGAATCCATTCCCCCTGTATAGATTTGCAGCTTGATTCCGTGGGTATTCATATCTGTATTTATACTATTTATCTTTTGTCACGTATGAATTGATGTCATTACTTGCATGTCCTTCACGATATATTGTGCTTTGAAGTCAGGAAGTTCCTAGGCAGGGTAAACCAGTGAAGAGGTCCCAGGTAGGTAGCTAACTACCAAAGTTCCAGTGGTGGTTTTCAGATTCATCCTGGCCCTGGCCTCTCGTCTTGGCTAGTGATTTATCTGATTCTTTACGTCATAAGGTTCGCGAAATCGGACCACATAAAGGTCATAGGAAGCAAATAATTCAGGTAGGAGATACAAATCAGCGCCGAATTATTATGTTCATGACTAGCCAAAGCCGTGGAGGGCCTAGCACTTTGATGGTATTGTTGAAAGAAATTTGTCTCTGTTGGACATAGTATATAGTATAACATCACAGAATCACATAAGAAATATCTCTCCTCGGTCATTCGCCTCCATTCTAAAAACCCATCGTAACCTTATCTCTACACATTCAGCATTTAGTGGTCGAGAGTCTCGTTGTAGGCAGCCTCGTCCAGAAGAGCATCGAGAGAAGCAGTGTCAGCGACCTCGATCTCAGCAATCCAGCCCTCTTCCTCGGGGCTAGCGTTGATGGTCTTGGCGTTGTCCTCGAGAACGGCGTTACCACGGATAACCTTGCCAGCAACGGGGGACAGCACATCGGAAGCAGACTTGACAGACTCGACGGCACCAACGGGCTCACCGGCACCGACCTCGAGGTCGGCCTCGGGGAGCTCAACGAAGACGACGTCACCCAAAGAGTGGGCGGCGTACTTGGTGATACCGATCTTGGCTATAACATTGTGTTAGTTACGGGGTCGCTCATAGAAGTCCACCCAACAATCCAATTGCCAGGAAATCGATTGACTAACCAGTGTTGCTGCCGTCAACGAGCTCGATCCATTCGTGCGACTCGGTGTACTTCTTCAACTGAGCTATAAAAGCCAATTGATGACGTCGTTAGCAATCTGTAACAGTGTATAGCCCAACAAGGCATGTAGAAGATCTCTACACTATCAATTCACCCTCACAAAGACTCAGGCGACTCATTTTGCCAACGAAGGGGACAGAATAACTCACCAAGCGGGCTCTGGGAGAAGCCCCGGGTTCCCCGCGGGAAGCGGAAAGCAGGCGCAGCGCGGCAGGCAGAGGCCAGAGGCTTCTGGGCGAGGGCCTGGGAGGCAAAGGGGCGGATGGAGCGAGCAACGGAGGCCATTTTGGAAGTGGAGAGGAGTAATTGAAAGGAAGAAAAGAAGTGGGAGACGGAGAGAGTTTAAGAAGGAAAGGAAAGAGGAGCTGCTTCCCCGGCGGAGTTGAGTCGCCGTCGATAAGCAAGTGCCAAGACCGCTGATAAGGACTGACACCTCCGACTTCGTCGGAATTTGCGCGACGCTGGTCCCTCGTCCCTTTCCGTCATTGTTCATCGGGTCTGCGCGCCACCACTCGATGCCATGTTGTACGAGCTGATTGCCATTGTATGTTCCCATTCCAATTGAGCTCTGACACTTTTCCGATGCAAAGACTAACCTGCGTGCCTCCCTCACAGGTCCGCCCGGGCAGCCTCAACGAGGTTCGCGAGTACGTCCCACCACCAACAGGATCAATATGCTATCTCATCTAGGTCGATAACTAATTCCAAGAACAGGATCGCCCGTAACGCCGGAGTTCAAGTCATCCGCTCCGGCGGCGTCGTTCGCGGCTATACAAACTGGGGTGCCTTCCGCCTGCCCAAGGTCACCACCAAGCACCAGGCCCGATACAGCGAGGGCCATCACTTCATCATGCGATTCGATGCCTCTGGTCCCGTCCAAACTTCCATTCGACGCACCCTCGGCCTCGACCCACGTATGATCAACTTCTCCGTCGTCAAGTTGGGCGATAAGCTGGAGGAGATCAAGGACATCGAGGGCAAGGTCGAATGGAACAAGACCCGCAGCATCGCCGATTCCATCTAGACGATATGCATCATTGCAGCAAATCTGTCCTTGATTTTTCGTCGCTGGGATGATGACCTCCATTACCATTGGAGATCGGTCTACATCATCTTTTTTTTTCTTGTATCATTATCGCATGGGATTCAGGCATACACACTCAGCACTGTCAACACGATCGGCGCATCATGTATAAATTAAGAATTTGATTTTTCTTTTTTACTCAATTTGATTTACCATGTCATAGTTATCTATGGACTGGACCGGACTATCCAATTGGTCATAACACGTTCGGCGTGATAGGAGAAACACAGAGCACGTGACTACCCCGTGGATGCCGAGGCTTCCCCGGGCAAACCCCAGCTTTCAGCTTTGCAGTTGTTTTCAATCTTTCCCCTTTTACTCCGTACACACCATATATTCAAGCATCCGGGCCACCTGGCTTGATCTCTTAGTCTGGTGCTGGAAACGCTCCAACTTGACGGGTGTCTCCTTATCTTGGACTGGACTGCACCCACTCTTGACTGTCGCATTGCCCGTCAGCCATCCGCGGCTATTGAAAGTATACTTTGCTTGGCCCGTTTGCGCCTGGGCCTAAATATCTCAATTTTGGTCGGCTTTGTCTGATTTCTCGTCATGTCAGCTACTCGAAAGGCAGAAGATGACTGGGAGGTATTGCCTACCCCACCTTCCTTTGTGGAGTTGATGGCACTTGAGCGACTCGAAGATATCAGCTCCAGTGAACCGGAGAGGATCGAGCGATTCCGCTCACTTGCTTCGCCATTTCCTCCTGGTGAAGGAACACGGTCATTTGGTGGGCATGTATATGCTCAGTCTGCCTATGCGGCGTCCAAAACTGTCGGAAAGGGATTTGTTGTTCATGTGAGTTTTTGGGTTGGGCGCCCACACCGAGAGATTATTACGTAAAATTCCATTGCTCATAGAGCTAATTCTGTGTTTAGGACATGACCGGTACATTTATTGTTGGCGGACGGTTGGATGTCCCCTATGTATATACTGTCCGGCATGTTCGTGACGGCTTTATGTATTGCACTCGAGCGGTGGATGCTCGTCAAGATGGGAAGATCTGCTTTTCTTGTCTATGCTCATTCAAGCGAGATGAAAATCAAAAGAATTTCCATCACCAGCCCCCAGCCGTGCAGGGACGGTTCCGTGAAATCCTTTCCGGGAAGCCACCTGAAGATCAAACAGTTAGCCCCAGTGTTGACGCAGACTGGTGGATCGAGGCTGTGGAGCAGGGTAACATTGAAGAGCGAGAGTTCCCTGGAGTCGATGTGCGGAAAGTCGATATGAAAGACTATAACCAGTCTAAATTGATTCAAGATCGACCTGACAAGTATCGTCAGTTGACCCAATATCGCCTTAAGGGATTACCAGACGAAGATCCAAACGCGGCTCTCACCCAAGTCAGAGAGCGAGACGCCGCAGGAGAATATGATAATCTATATGCCTGCGCGCATATGTATTCGAGTGATAGGAACTCCCTTCTTTTGATCCCACGAGCCCTTGGCATCAAAAACTGGACCGAGATGGCCAGTCTCACTTTGACGGTGATTGTTCATCAGCATAGTGAGGCCTTGAGAATGATTGACTGGGATGCGACACGGGGCGACAGCCCCTCTGATGTGGCCATGAAGTGGTTTATCCAAGAAGGCTGGACACCACAGTCGGCAGAGAACAGGGCCGTGCACGAAAGTCATTTGTGGAGTCCGGAGGGCACATTGGTTGCTACATCATTGCAGGACAGTATGCTTCGATTGCGGAAGCTGGGGCGTGTGGGAAATCTATAGCATTGGATTTGTTTGGCTTATACTAGATCGCTATAAATTGTCATAGATCCAAATTAGAGATAGACATCAAGATGTGCGATCTGCAATGATTTGTTCATTGTTGCAGCGCTTTGTCATTTGATTCGAATTTAACGGGGAAAGACAAGGTCTAGAATACTATGTATCTCAATCAAGACCTGGCTCCTTACACATTAACTCTTGAAACCATTCAAATCGTGTTCCCATAGATTAGATGGCACGTGATGATATGACGTAAGGAACAGCTTCGGCGCGCATCGCATCTCGGACATTCGTGTTTAGCTTCTGATTACACCTCTCGATGTACCTAGCACCTGTCTCATAATGACCTTTGCACAGCTCCTGTGATTCGAAATGCGCAAGACACTTCTGCTGGTCTTTATCCACGGCTTCAAGGTATGTCTGTATTGAGGCTCTTCCCTCACAAAGCCAGTATAACACGCCACATAAATGGACGTCTCCATGAGTCGCAGTGACTGAAATTTGCTATATCCAGGGAGGTGACGACACCTTTACCAGCTTCCCTGAGAAACTGCGCACTGTGGTGGGCAAGGCACTCCCCGCAATCAACGTTACCACGGCCGTGTACCCAAAATATGAAACTAAAGGCGATCTGAAGGGATGCGTGGGAAGATTCCGAGACTGGTAAGATTCAGCTGATTTACTTCTTGCTGTGAGCTTTTACTAATTCACTTATGGCGCAGGTTGCAAAATACGGTCATCGACCTCGAGGTTGCGAATCATACTGCCTCGCCCACAGTTGATCCCTCGGTCCATGTGTTCCTGGTAGGACACTCGATGGGAGGAATTGTTGCAGCGGAGACACTCTTGTTACTCGCTAGCGAGCAACCCATTCCCGCAAACCCCACATCAAAATCTCAACCAGCGCCTCAGCCTGAGGATGATGCTCCTGTCGTGGAACCAGGTACATTTATGTTCCCTCACATTCAGGGTGTTCTCGCCTTTGACACCCCATTCCTTGGTATCGCACCAGGCGTCGTCTCGTATGGGGCCGAGGGACACTATCGCAACGCTACCACGGCCTACAACACCTTTACGGAGGTAGCGGGGATCTTCGGCTACGGAAAGAGCTCACCAGGCCAGGCTGCTGCCGCCACCGCGCAAGAAGCCCCCAAGGCTCTCCCTCCCACTGCCGATGCAGCGGCCACACCATCATGGCAGCGCTGGGGTCGATACGCCATGTTCGCCGGAGCCGCCGGAGCCGTTGCTGCCGGCGGTGCCGCGGCCCTTTATTCCCAGCGACAAAACTTGACCGCGGGCTTTACCTGGGTGTCTTCTCATCTTGAATTTGTGGGATGTCTCGCACGAACGTCTGAGTTGAAGCAACGTCTCGAAGGATTGGTCAAGGTCCAGGAGGATCGGGGGATCGAATGCGTCAACTTCTACACCTGCCTTGGACAGGGCGCGGGAAACATCGTAGCGGAAACGGCAACTGGAAAGACATCCTTCAGTCAGAAAATCATTCGGTCAAAGAACAGAACATTTTGCATGCTTCCGTCTGAAGTGGAAGATGGCGAGGAAATGGCATCTTCATCCCGAGCCGGACTTCAGTGGAAAAAGGCTGTGAACAACCAGGCCGCCGACGAGGTCCAGGCGCACGTCAGCATGTTCCTGCCCAAAGACAATCCTGCATTCTTCGATCTTGTCGGCGAAACTTGCAAGACCTTGGTGATCTCAATCGACAAAGGCTGGTACAACAGTGCAACCGGACCAGCGGAAGGGAGTGAATCTCTTCAGCAACCCGCATCCGAAGTCGATTTCATGGACGCAGACGACGTCGTGGTCGTGGAATGAAACAAGCCTCAAACGCAATCTATCAGTAAAGTTTACTACTCCACACTTTTCGGGCACCAGCGAAAATTTTGCTAGGTGTTGAAAAGACATTTCCACACGACATTCCCCCCTGATCTGCGGGTCCACGTTTAAACTTTTTTCCTGCGCCCGTCACATCAGAGTCACACCAGAAACCTTGCCTATGATGTTCAATCAAATATTCAGAGTATGTGCAGGATCGTCCGAGACGGTCATATTCTCCGATGCATACTTTTTGCCAAGATATGCTTGCGAATACATGGCTAACGCGAACCAGCATTCTCTCTAATAATATGTCCGGCAAATCCCGTTAATATCCCGAAGCCTGGCAAGGTTCTTCGGACTGTCCGCCTACCGGGATTCGCTCAAAATCTTGCGGACTGGGGACAGTGCCGATCTTACCAGTCGTTCCAGCCTCTCGATCATCCTGTGCATCCTGTGTGCGTCGACGGCTCTGCTCATTGGAAGAGAACGGCTTTCAAGTTCCAGACCGCGTGGCATCTTGTCTGACATCGATAAAGTTCGCTCTCGCTAAAATTGACGCTTTCGAGTCGTATCTCTCGTATCTTCAAGATATCCCCAAATCGACTATCTGCATTTTATCAAGTTCGCTAAAGGATCGCTTAAAGGATCGACAGCATTTACCCTCGAGTTTTTAATCGGGATTCGAAGCAAAATGCAATGATTTGCTCCCCGACCCTCAGCTAAGTCCGTACATACGCCTGTAGACAAAACGGGCGACAGGTATGTCGTTCAAAGTATCGGAGCATTGGCGCGTTGATCAGAGAAATAGCACATCCTTTGTAACCGCTAGTGCCAAGGCTATTACCCAACTGAGCATAGTGAAAAGCTGGGGCACAACTGTACCCATGGAAATCAAGAAATTCTATCGGCCTAAAGCGGCACTAATGCCGTTCCAATCCGGCAGCCTTATTGAGACATCATCATGCATATATCATATCAAAAATGTATTAAATATCAGACCCCTTTGGATACAGTTTCAGGGCCAATGAGCTAAAGACTAAATGCAAGAAACATCGTCATATCCATGGGCACATTTACAGAGCAGGATAACGAAGTGGCTAATAGTTGTTGTGACCAATTGCCGACTGACGGTGGTGGTACATGCTGCCGGCATATTCGGAGTTGGTGTCTTGGTAGACGGTTTGGCGTCGGTCCTCCTCGGGAAGCAGTTCCTTGACTTCCCAGGTGTTTGGCTTGACGCCAACCGAGAATTCCAAGTCTTCCTTGGTAATCGAATCCCAGAACTAAAGCTTTGTCAGCGGATGAAGCACGTCTTCTTTCCTCAGTGAGTCTTACCTTGTAGACCATCATCACGGCAAGCAGGTTGCAGAAAGTTGCGAAAAACAGGCCATCCAGATAGTGCTGCACGTTGTTGCAAATGGTGTCACTGAACGCGTACAACAGGACCTGTCCGATGATGAAGACCAGCAGACCAAACAAGATGTGTCCAAGAGGCCAGCGATCATCTAGTGTGTTGGCGACAAGCAACAATTGCATCACGACATAGATGGCAACTGCGATGGCATTGAGTAGGTATAGCACCACAAACAAGCCAATGGTATTCGATGGACCCAGTCCACCCCATGACTTGAAGGTCAGCAGGGCAATCACAAAGGTCATAGCAAACGTGGCCACGGAGCTGATTCGGACCAGCCATACGGAGAGCGCCGTGCCATCTTCGTACAACTGGAAACCCACGAAACCGTTGACAAGCAAGCAAGCGCACAGAGCAGATGTCAGTCCACTCTGCACTGCAACGAAGTATGGGAATGGATCGCTCCTAGGGGGCACCACACCCGCATCGATAACCAGGGAGCAGATTGTGAGAGCCAGATAGATGTAAAAGAAGGTAATGATTTCCTTGCGACCTAGAATCACACGATAGGTTAGCGCTGATGTATATCAATCTCATCTCTTAGCGCGGCAGTAAGACGAACCGACAGCAGTGAACTTAGATCGAATATGAAGGATCATAATCACTGTCATGCCAAGAGCAATGATATGCATGAAGGAGGCCGCGCCCTCAAAGATGATGGTATTGGCGACCTCAATGTTTCGCGCATAGCAGTTCGAGATGATGCCCGTGGCACCGGAGATCGACGAGGGCGGGCCCACTAGGAGGCACAGCGGCAACGGCGTCTTCTCGCATATCGAATTGAAATCACCGAAGCCCATGATGTCTGGTGATGAGGTTGTCGACCAGTGCGACAACAAACAGTAGATTTCCTGTTGCGGTGGGCGGTCACAAAGCGAAGGACAGGGGCGGCTGTCTCCACAACGACGGGGGTTGGTGGAACAGTGGGGGAAAGAGAGCGAAGCGAGTGACGATAGTGGATATTGAGTAGACCCTGATTCTTCTGCGTGTCGTCCCCTCAGGTCAGCGGGTCAGCTCTTATGTTGCCGTTGCAAGCGAGCGGCGCAACTGGCGTAGAGGCTCGTTGATGAGGAGGTGATATTTGCTCTGCGAGGGGGAAAAGATCACGGGATTCAGCTTGGGCGGCGGCTGTTTTGCCGTTTCTATTTGTGGTTTAGTGCCTGGATCTTTCCCCGGAGGATGAGTCAGCAGATCATCCACGGGTGCCACGTGACTAGTGACCCGTGACTCGGCGCCGAGCTCGGGGACGATAAGACTATAACTAGAACAACGGTACAACCATCACGAACCATCGCCCAGGATGAACCGCTCCATGAATACAAAAAGTCCCGAGTATCTACTGTATATCCGCTAGTATACCTCGGATTGTTCTATCCACGGAATCCTGCGGACCTCGGCGCCCTTCCATCCCCCCGGCCACAGCCCCTCCCCAATTCCGAAAGCAGAGCGTGCGACACTGCGGAGGGCTGTACCCGAGGCGGATCCACAGGCAAGCTACTGGGGGTACTCTCTCCTGAGCAAGCTCCACAAGCCGATAAACTTGGGGCTTGAAACCAGCAGCGCGCTGCCTCCGTATCACACCGGCGGGCACCATTGGGTCTAACAGCCGGCTGAACCACCCACTCGAGACAAGCCAGGTCTAAATATGGGACCACACAATGGCGATGGAACCCGAGACTATTATTCTCCAAGTCTTCCGTACTCCATACTGAAGAAATAAAAAAAGTTCGGCATGTGGAAATGGCCTTCCATCGGCTTTCGAAACTTCACCCTGTGGATGTCGCACCATCTCGTGTTTCTCACCCACCTCGGACTTCCAATCGGCAATCCCCGTTTAACCCACAGGCTTTTCCCAGCGCATCCTCTCCAAGTCAATAAACCTTGACTCTCAGGGAGGATCCAATCCTCGCCATCATCAGCTGCTCCACATACCGTGTGAACCTGAACCTGGCCCGACTGGCACCACAAACTGTCTTGAACGCAACCCTGCAACATAGCAATTGAGGCAATAATAACCTAATCACCGGAGCCAAGTTTCATGCCGGTCAATGGTGGCTTAAGGTGTGCGACTCGATTTGCTTGATCACTGATGTAGCCAGGCCAAGCCCCTATACAGCCCAAAAATCAGGAGAGCCAACCAGCAATCCAGGGCTGAGTGTGCCTGTTTAGTGGGGCCGTTGCAGTACTTTTTCTGGGGCCATGCGATCTGGAGAAGGTCGAGCCAGAGTCTTCTTCGTGTGATTCGTGGAATACTAATTGAAGTTGCGAAGGCGGCACAGACAAGATTTGGGACCTTATGCCGGATGCCACCCAGAGATCGGAAACGGGCTCTCCGAGCTCTCCGAGTCTAGTCGGCTGGCTGCCCATGGCCGCTCCTACGTTGAACGACCCTAACTTGTCAAGCGCTGGCCTAGAACAGTTCATAATCCCCCCCCGGTCCGCCAAGCCGCTACAACCAGGAAAGAAATTGTTCTTTTCCCCCTTCAATATTACCTATGGCTGGGAGGTTGTATCCTTTGTAGATTGTTAGTTATCTAATTTCATTTATTATGGTTTTCCTCTCTGACCACATCATTCAATCATCAGCATCGGTTATTCTGCAGCCCATAATCTTCTTGAGACCTCTAACCAGTCATTAGATGAACAATGAACAAGGGTTTGAAGGTGTGATGCTAGGCAGCCAGCTAGGTGAAAGGCTATTCTCGAAGAAGAATTCCAGCCTCGGTTTCCTCCTTGACTTTCTCGGCTGAGTTGAGGTCTTGTCCCGACTGCCGCCCTTTATCCTGTATTTTACCCATTTCTCTACTATTTGCTCAATTGAGGCATTGTAACTCAGTATGGATATCGTCACCGGACTATTGAGCCAAGAGAATCTATAAACGGGAATTAAGACCGCTCTCCAGTTAACGGACGCTCACCTGGCTTGGTCTTCCTTTTGTATAACAGGAGGTAGCAAGCATATAGATTGGCAAAAAGTATAATAGCCCTCGTCGCTTCAAACTGACACTCAACTACGTAACATTCCAATTCCCTGCGTGGGACGACTGTGTACAACGACGGCATATCTGTTTCATGCATGACGATCCTGACTAGCGCCACGTGTGAGTGGAAGAAGCATCAACGGCTACAAGGAACCGTGTCGATCTCCCACCTACCCGATAGATAATATGCCGCGATGACGGTAACCGGGGGCCAGGTCTTGTCCTCGGAAGAAGAGGGTTGCTGATCTCCAATTGTCTTGGGCAAATTTCCGGTCGGGGTCCTTGGGGCTTGGGCGCGTCTTTTCAACGGTCGTTCACAAATCAAAGCCACACTTGATGCAAACAAGACCCGCTTTTTTGGGTGACAGGGATAAGATAATAATCTTTTTTCAAGGGCGGCTAGGTAGGAAATTAGTAACTACAGTACATAGGTACTACTAAGTATGTTAGTCTAATGTATACACTCTGTTAAGTGTAGGGGTGACCGAGGAGGGGAAAAGCAACACTACCTTGCTGGGGCTAGCTTAGTTAGTACCGTGCAGAATTTAGGGGAGCTAGCTGTAGGTACCGTACTATGGCGAGATACTGTACACACACTCTGC